GGGGATCCACGTTGCGCAAACCCTAAACCCTAAACCCTAAACCCTAAACCCTAAACCCTAAACCCTAAACCCTAAACCCTAAACCCTAAACCCTAAACCCTAAACCCTAAACCCTAAACCCTAAACCCTAAACCCTAAACCCTAAACCCTAAACCCTAAACCCTAAACCCTAAACCCTAAACCCTAAACCCTAAACCCTAAACCCTAAACCCTAAACCCTAAACCCTAAACCCTAAACCCTAAACCCTAAACCCTAAACCCTAAACCCTAAAAAAAACCCTAAAACCCTAAACCCTAATGAGAAGAACGCGAAAACCACGACTCTCATCTCCAACGACGCGAAGGAGAACAACGACAACAATGACAATGACAACAACAATTCGTACATTCGCGATATAAGTGGATTTCACGAATGTTCTTGGCATTTTCTTTTCAGTGAAAATTTAGGGGCTCTCCGCGGGCGTTTCGAAGCCGTAAAAGCAACACGCATGAGATGATTGAAGATTTGTGGTGGTGTTCACATCATTCCATACTACAAAACTAATTTTAATACTACGAGAACTACTCTACTATCGTCTGCCTCCTCCAATTCTCAGCCGAGCGCTTTCTTCCTCCTCAGCTCGAAAACGTAAGTGCCATTTGACGTAGTTGATTAACAGAGGAATAAACACAAACAGAAGCGCGTACGCGTTCAACTCGTCGTGATGATTACTACTACTACTACTACTGAGAGAATTGTAATCAAATTCAGGCGAGAACACTAAGCTTGCACCTCGAACGAACGCGGCGATGCCGACGGAAACAAGCGCGATTTTGAACGAAAACGCAAACTCGTCGTCCTTCTCGAAGAGGAGACCGAGTCGTTCGACGTCCCATATTTCAATTTGCGCCTTTTCCTTCCGCGTTTCCGTCGTCTCCCCGTTTTCTTTATCATCATCTTCTTCTTCTTTTGTGGAGAGTAAAACGTCCAACCTCGGCTCTTCGTTTGCCAACACTTTCGCCGCGTAAAGTAAACTGATATTTCCACCCATCGTAAACGCACCTTGCAACGCAACCAACCATTCTAAACTCGGATCGTTGTTGAAGAAATGTTGCGTGACTGCGCATATCCCGCTCGCGTGTAAAGGCAACATCGCCAGCGTTAACAGTTTCCACCCTCTGTGCTGCGTTCGCGTGCCGTAGTCCCAGACGAAACCCATGGCGACGAGCCATTCGACCAAGGAAAAAACGTGAACGCCCCACGTGGGAACCGATAAAGCGTTACTGGGAGGCGCTTGGACGTTGAGTAAACTCGTGAACGAGCTGTCGAATTCTTGAGCGTAATCGCGCCAGTTTTGAATGGTGAGAGTCACGCTCCCCATGAACTTTACGGAGGTTTCCGACGTCGCCTGGAAATCAATCGAGGATAAATCAATCAACCGGTCATCCAAAGCCATCAAGATGCCCGTGGACAAAAGAATAACGCCAGCGACGGCTTCTACAGCCGCGCCCGGTCGTCCAATATCTGCAGCCGTTAGTTGCGTTGTTGTTGTTGTTGTTGTTGTTGTTGTTGATGATGATGTCGATGTGGTTAAATCGAAATCGTCCCGAAACGCTAACAGTATCCGTAAATTCGTCAATGAAATCGCAGACTGAATCAAAAAATGTAACGAGTCTATGTTCGACAACACCGTGTCGTATCTCTCTTTAGTGTACACCTCCGCCGGTATTGAAATCAACACAAACACCAATAAAGTCGCGAAGGCGTATCTTTGTTCGCTCGTCGCCGTCTCCGCTCGCCAAAGATTTTTAAGGAACAAGAGATACGGTACGACGCTCAAGGCGAAAAGAGGCGAAGCGATGGCGATGGCCGTCGACCGTTCGTCCAAGATGGCGTTTTGAAGCATAGAGATGATGGGATCTAAACTGTTCGTCGTTGTTGTTGATGTTGTTGTTATTATTATTGGAGAAATCATCGATTGGAGTTGCGTGCTCTTCTTCCTTCTTCTGCTTCTTCTTTTCATCGTTTTGTTAAAACCATCATCAACAGAGAAAGATGATGATAATGACGATGATACCATTATTGTTCGTGCTCTTCGTCTCCTCGTTCTGCTCTCCTTGTTCATATTCCTTCGCGCATCGTTGTTAAACGTTTCGTTCTTTTTGCTTTTGGAAGAAGTAAATGATGATGAATTTTTTGACGTTGTTGTGTTGGTATTCTTTCTGGCGCTCGTCGTCCGAATCGTCGTCGACATCATCATCGTCCTTCTCCTCGTTCTCCTCTTCCTTCTCGTCGTCGTTCAATATATATCGTTACGCGCAGATACTATAATAATAGTCATCATCATTCGTGTTGAACAAAATATTTTATTCGTAATTTGATGAATAAAAAATGAAGAAGAAATTTCAAGAGAAAAAAAAAGAGAGACCGACGCACGCAATAAATTAGTACGTAGTATTAGTCGTAGAGAAGAATAGAAGATACCGGTACATACAGCATGACGACGATGGAAAGCAAAGAGATGAAATGAAGCCGAAGAAGAGTAACGCGATAAAGTGCTGCTTATTGCTCGCTATCGCTGGATTTGTGTTATATACAAGCGTGGATGTTGCAACAACAACAACAACATCAATAACAACGACAACAACGAGTGGTACTGGTATTCAGAATGTTGGCAGCGGAGCGAAAGCAAACGTAAGAGAATTCGCGGATGAGAACGATAATACTGATGATTACGGCGAATCAAAACGCGGATATACTCACAGAGAAGAAGAAGAGGCGGTAGAAGAAATCCGCACCTCAGCTTTTTCTTCTTCTTCTTCTTCTTCTTCGTCCAAAAATAAGAGAAGAGCGAAGCAAAAAGAGATATTGAAAACAATAAACGGGCACGCCAAAATGTTACCGGATAAGTCTCCATCGAGAGTGTACGACATTTTTACCGACGACGATGAGTTTGAAGATTCGAACACCGCGTCGTCGTCGTCGTGTAAAACTCAATTCACAATCTCTGACGCGTTCAAAAACGCAAACTCGAACGGCATCGGGTATTCGCACATGGCGATGCTCTCGCCGTTACCAAAAGGAAGCTTTTATCGATGGATTTTAGTGTGGCAGTGTTCAAAAGGAATCGAGGGGACCGCGGATATGCACTTGAGGGCAGTTTTTTCGGACGATCTCAACAAATGGATGCCTAAGGACGGCATAGAGTTGAACGTAAAGAAAGATAAAAAGAATGCTGTTTGGGCACCGGTTCTCCATTTAGACGAGAAAGAGAACGTGTTGTGGTTATTTTTTAGCGAGTCGGTGAAATGTTTGCGATTGATGTCGCCGGAAAATCGATGGTCGCCTGGTGGAAACATCAACGCTGTTTCTTCCATTGACGGGATTTCCTGGACGAAGCCTAAAACGTTGATAACGAGCGAAAGCGAGAGCGGCAACCCGAAAGTCATCGCGAACAAGTTAGTCGTACATCCGAAATCAAAACACTGGATTTTACCGTACTGGGGGGAAGCCTCGAGCGCGAAAGGGTGTCGTTCGGGTCATCCAACCATCAGCGGAGTGTTAATTTCTAAGGACGAAGGACATACGTGGCATTCGCACGGGAAAGTACACCCAAGACACGGTAGAGTGATCGAGGGCACCGTGGCGGTAACCGAGAACGGGAGTTCAATTTTACAGCTGTGGAGATCAAAAAGCGGATTTTTGATGCAATCGACGTCGGCGAATGGTGGATTTACGTGGACTTCGCCGAGAAAACGAACTGATTTGAAAAATCCAGACAGTAAATCGAGTCTGATAGACTTCAGTTATTACGTCAACGGCACGAGTGGTAAAACGATAATCGTCAGCAACAGCGGCATCAGCGAATTATCGTCGACATCATCGAAAGCAAAGCAAAGTTTGAAACACGTCATCGCGTTAGCCTTTAACGACGCCTCTTCCGGTCGCAAGAAACTTTCGTTAGCCGTTTCTTCGGGCGACGGCAAACGTTTCTCGAAGCTGAAAGAAATCGAACCCGGAAAATCGGGTGTTCACTTCCACTACCCGACGGTCATCGCCGATCCGTATTATGCGTGCGGTGGTAACAAAATCCGAATAACCGTCGCGTACTCGTACATGAAACGCGTCAACGGTTGGGGCAACGTCTATCGACAGGCGAAGTTTGGCGGCATTAAAGTCGCTACGGTTTTGATGGACGCCGCGTGAAAGCCAGGAGCGAAGATAGCGAGAAAATAGTAGAGACGATAGCGAGAGGTAGAGTTTATTTACCGTAGACATTTTATTAGAACTGTATGTAAAAACAAGATGATAGTATACTATTGAAGTTGATACGACGACGGACGCGAGTAGTCCATCATCCATCAGTCTCAGTATCTCTGTTTTTTTGTCATTTTTCGGTCTCCTCTTCTTTTGACATGTGACAAAAAAATCTCCTCTTTGCTGTGGACCACAAAAAAAACAAAAAGTGTCTGTGTCGTCACACATTTTAGATAGAGATTTTAGATTGATTATACACACGTCATAAAAAGGAAACCGCTTAACCCCCCCTTTTCCGGCGCGTAATAAAAGTGTTTCTAAGAACAACAACAGACGAACAAAAGTCTCTCTGTTTTGCGTTTAGGATTACTCCTTATACTACTATCAAGGTCGTCGTCGTCGTATAAATAAGAAAAAGATAAAAATGACGTCGTCGTCGTCACCTCAACCATCAAAGGGTGAAGACGACGACGAGAAGAAGAACGAAATGAACAACACCAACATGACCAGAGAAGAGAACAACAACGAGAAGAAGAATAGTAAAAAAGTGGACATTGGAATTCCAATCATCGATTGGTCCGTCAAGAACTCTCCGTTTCATAAATTCTTCTTCGCGCAAGTCACCAAACTCATATCCGTCGGTCAAATTCGACGCTTAGAGTTGGAAGATTTAGCGCACTTGCCCGAGTTAGAGTCTTCTTTTCTGCACGAAAACTTTCAGAACGAGTGGGAAGAAGAGAAACGTTTGAGAGGGAAGAACGACAAGAATTTAATCAGGGTTTTACTCCGAAGACACAAGTTTACGTTCGTGTGGACTGGATTTTTGTTCGCGATTGCGCAAGGAGCGATTTTTGCAGGACCTTTGTTACTGAGGGAGATTGTGAAAGGCATTCAGTGCAGAAATTTTTACGCCGCCAACTCGGGGTTCTTACAAGATGGACAATCCGTCGACGATATGTGCTCGACGACGAACGAGTTGTACATGTTTGCCGGGATTTTAACGGGGGCGAGCATTTTTAGCAACTTTTGCGCCGCGCATCAGGAATTCGCGTTGCAAAAAGTCGGCGTCGCCGTGAGGAATACGCTGATGGTGGCGTTGTACAGGAAAGTCTTAAAGTTGTCGCCGAAAGGCTTACAGGCGGAAAGTACCGGGAAAATTGTCACACTAATGTCCAACGACGTGAATAAGTTGCAAGACTTGTTCTCTATGATTCACAACTTGTGGGCGGCGCCGATTTTTATCGTCGCTTCGTTTACGCTTTTGTACGATGTCATCGAATGGTCCGCGTTTGTTGGGTTTGCGTGTATTTTAATCGCCGCGCCTTTCACCGCGACCGTGGCAAAGAAGTTGTTCGCGCTGAGACGCTTGGTTGTTCAGTGTGCGGACAAACGAGTGAACATCTTGAGTGAAGTCGTGAGCGGGATGAAGGTGATCAAATATTACGCCTGGGAAAAGACATTTAAAGGGCAAGCAGAGAAAATTCGAGAGGAAGAGATTAATTTAGTGTGGAGAGCGCAAAAAATCAGCGCGTTGTTTGGCGTCGCGTTGTTTTCCACTCCAATTTTCATTGCCGTGTGTTCGTTCGGGTCGTTCTCTTTGGCAGGAAATGAGATTACCGCGCCAACGGCATACACGGCGTTGGCGTTGTTCAACACCTTGAGATTTCCGCTCGTTTTAGTGCCGTTTTTGTTGACCTCGCTGTTGAACGCGTTGAACGCGATACAACGTTTAGGCTCGTTCTTGGACCAAGACGAAAGTTTGGACGTGGATATTGACGGTTCGGACCCCGGGCGAGTCGTTTTGAACGACGCGTCTTTTTGCTGGCCGACGTTGCCGAAGAAACTGAAGGAGGAAGAAAATAAGCCCGGTCAAGGAGGAGGAGCTCCACCTTCTAAAAGCGGCGCGCCAGCGACGACGGCGAGCGGAGAGGACGGTCCCATTCAAACGAAGAAGAAACCGACAAAGAAACCAAAGCGCGTGTCGAAGAAAGAACAGAAAAAGCTGGACGAAGAGAAAGCGGCGAAGGAGAAGGAAGAGCTCGAAAATTCGCCGCAACAAGAACCGTTTGGCATGACGAACGTCTCCATCAACATCGAACCTGGAAGTTTAACCATGATTATCGGCCCAGTGGGTTGTGGTAAATCGACCTTGTTGTCCGCTCTGAATAAATTCATCACGCTGAAATCGGGTGAAATCAAGCTCTCCGGCACGTCTTCGTTCGTCGCGCAAACGGCGTGGATTTTGAACACCTCCGTTCGTAACAACATTTTGTTCGGGAAACCGTACGATTCAAAGTTGTACGAAGATACTTTAAAACGTTCGCAACTCATGGACGATTTAGATTTACTCCCAGCTGGGGATTTGACTATGATTGGAGAACGAGGCGTAACGTTGTCCGGCGGTCAAAAACAACGCATCTCCATCGCGAGAGCGCTGTACGCAGAATCAGACGTCTATTTGTTTGACGATCCTTTATCGGCGGTGGATAACCACGTCGGCGCGGCTTTGTTTAAAGACGTCATCAGAGGAAGTTTGAAGAACAAAACGCGAGTTTTGGTGACGAACGCGTTGCAATACCTTCCGCAAGCGGATCAAATCGTCGTCTTGGAGGAAGGTAAAGTCCAGGAAATAGGAACGTACAAATCGTTGATGAGCAAAGGTTTAGACTTTTCAAAGCTAATGAAACACCACGGATTAGATCAAGAAGAGAGCAGTCGCGCGAGTTTGGACGGCGATGCGCGTAAATCTGTCGACGAGAAAAGAAAATCTATGGACATTTCTGTGGCGCAAGGAGAGCAAAAAGCGCCGGCGAAAGCGAAAATCATAACCGACGACATGATTGGTAAAGAAGAAGAGCGCTCGATTGGTAATGTCTCGTTAAAAGTCTACATGGAGTTCTTCCGCGCGACTGGAACGAAGTTTTCCGCCTTGTTCGTCTTCTGTCTCTTCGGCGCCGAATACGGAACCAAAGCGTTTCTGGATTATTGGCTCTCGTGGTGGGCGGAGAATAAATTCGGGTGGAACTCGAAACAATACCTCGGCATTTATTTCGCCATCTTCCTCGTCAACGGCATCGCCATCTTCTTCCGATCGATCGTATTGTATTTCTTCTGCGTGAGAGCGGCGAAGAATTTACACAACAAACTCCTCGGGAGAGTTTTGAAAATGCCGATGAGTTTCTTCGACACGACACCGTCTGGACGAATCATTAATCGATTCTCTCGAGATACGGAAACTATCGATTCTGTGTTACCTGGTATTGTCGTTCAGTTCTTAGGATGCATATCAAACATCATCACGACTTTGGCCATCATTTGTGCGGCAACCTTGTGGTTTATGATTGCGTTGCCGCCAATCTTCTTGATTTACATTTCTGTGCAAAGATTTTACATTCCCGCCTGTAGAGAGTTGCAACGCATCGAATCCATCACGCGTTCGCCCATTTATAGCGGATTGGGCGAGGCTGTTTTAGGCGTTGAAACGATTAGAGCGTACAGAGCGCAAGCGCATTTCATTTTGGAAGCTGATTTGAAAGCTCAGAAAAACGCAGACGCTTTCATCTCGCAACGCATGGCTGCGTGCTGGTTGAATATGCGCTTACGATTTATTGGCACCGGCATCGTCTTATTAGCGTCCTTTTTAGTGATTCAAGGGAAAGTCGAAGCCGGCATCGCTGGTTTAACCTTAGTGTACGCTTTGGACGTGACGAAATACATGGAGCACGGCACGAACATGGCTTCGCAACTCGAAACGCAAATGAATGCAGTCGAACGCGTCGTCCAATACTTGGATTTACCGTTGGAGAAGAAACACTCGACGGAGCCAGACGTGGCGACGGGAATACCGGAAAACTGGCCGGCTAAAGGCAAACTCGAAATTGTCGACTTGAGCATGAAGTACCGAGAAAACTTGCCGTTGGTGTTGAACAAGATCTCCTTCACGGTTTTACCGGGTCAAAAAATTGGCATCTGTGGTCGAACGGGAAGCGGGAAATCGTCCATGTTTGTCGCCTTATTTCGCATCGTCGAACCACAACCAGGGTCGAAAGTGTTATTAGACGGCGTGGACGTGTCCACGTTAGGTTTGAGAGACTTGCGCTCAAAAATGGCCATGATTCCGCAAGATCCGTTTATGTTTGCCGGGACGGTCAGGACCAACTTGGATCCGTTCGAAGAACACACCGACGAGGAAGTTTGGTCGGTGATTGAAAAAGTTGGATTGAAAAACACCATTGACTCGGCGGCGAAACAGTTGGACATGGAAGTCATCGACAATGGGAGCAACTTTTCTTTAGGACAGCGGCAATTATTGTGCATGGGAAGAGCGTTGTTAAGAAACTCTCGCGTGCTCATGATGGACGAAGCGACTGCTTCGGTTGATATGGATTCGGACGCGTTGATTCAAAAAACCGTCAGAGAGGCGTTCAGCGAGTGCACGACGTTGACTATCGCGCACAGATTGAACACGATCATGGATTCGGATAAAATATTATTCTTGGATAGTGGAAAAGTGACCGAATACGACGACCCGCAGACGTTGTTAAAGAACGCGACCGGCGACTTCTCGCGACTGGTTGAGAAGTCGGGCAAGACGCAAGAGAAGAATTTAAAACGCATCGCCAGCGACGCTGCGATGAAGAGGAAAGGATCCTTGAGCGATATGAGCTCGTAAAAAAGAGAAACATCGCTCGTTTAGTAACAATCAAAAAACTATCTACACATACAATCAATCGATATCACTCACTATTTCGTCTTTTTACTCTCCTGTCTCTTTTCTACCTCTTTCAGAATCTCCTCGGCTAACTTCTCGGCTCCGGAACCTTGCGTCGCCGGCGCCTTGGCGAGTAAATACGCGCCCGATACCATCCCGATGAAAATCGCGAAATACATCACGTTTACCGGTCCGTATTCGTTCACGTTGTTCGGTAAGAAAGTCAAACTCGTGCGATTGTTATTTCTCATCCACGTCTCTCGGAATATCTGTTTCGCGAAAAAGCTCATCAGCACTTCCGCCTTTGCCTCTTTCGTCTTCGTGAAAATCTGTTGTCCCAAGACGAAGAATACAATCGCGCATCCGATTTCGGTTTGCATTTTCGACGGCAACAATAAGTTCACCCCGGCGAATAATTCCAACTTCCCTTGCGTTTTTTGGTTCAACCCTTTCGCTTTCTTCGCTTTCTGAATGAATTTCGCGTATCCAATCACGATCAACATGATCGATAAAACGTAAGAGTTAAACTCGCCTCCGTTTTTCTCCATAAAGTCATCGATGGACTCGATAAAATCGATGATAACCGCCACGTACGGGTGCAAGAACGACAACATTTTTATTTCGTCTTTACTCTGTGTTCTGTGTGTGTGTATACCCTTTACCCGTGTGTTCTTGTGTGTTCTGTGTGAAAGAGAATATTCCAAGCTGTTGGTCGTAAAAAAACAATGACGGCCCCAAAAAGTGAATTTTTGTATCGAGAGAAAAAAGAGAAGAAAATTGCTGCTTTTCGTTACTTCGAACAAAAAAAATACTCAATTCTTTCACACACGCCAAAACTTCCCCCCCTTTGAGCTAAATTCCTCTGTTCATGAACTCATCATCATCATCATCATCATCATCATAACGAAGAGGATAATAAAAGAAGATAGAGTATTCAAGTTCACAATTATCGATGATGCGGAAGAAGTTCAGCGGATTTTCGTCGGTTATAAATATATCGAGAGAAGAGAAGAGAAAAAGAAAAAGAAGTCAAGATTTATCCGTCCAAAAATTCTTTCCTCTCCTCTTCTTGTTCTTCTTGTCCTTGTTCTTGTTCTTCTTTGATGGCGTTGATGGCGTTCGCGCCACAGAAAAAGAAGAACAGGACAACGACGAGCTCTTGCGAAAGTGGTTGCATTCGTTGCAGTTGAAAATCCCAAACGAAAGCTTTTCCACGTTCGACGATAAAATCGTTGTATCTCTAACGGGAATCGAGTGTGAAAACTTCACGACCAAAGACGTAAAGTCTTGGTTTTCATCCTCCTCAAATTCGGTTGGTATTCTTGATGACAATGATAATGATAACGATAATGATAAACCGTCTTTGCACGCGCACGTGATTGATTTTGGCGCGAGTTGCAGCGGAGTGTGGACGGTTTCGACGACATCAAATACCAAAGGAGTAGGAGGAAAAGTCAACGCGGAAGTCACGGAAGGCAATTTGCAAGTTGACGCTGAGTTTGTTGATAGAGAGCCAGATGATAGCCAAAATACGAACGACGACGACGACGATAACAGTAACAACAAGAAATATAAGCTTCCAAAGACGGTTCGATTTCCGAAATGTTCCATGCAAATGGAGGTTGATGGTTTACATTTTGCGCCATCGTCTAGAACCGATGAGATTGCAAAGCTATTGAACAAAGCTGCGCCGGAAATTGCGAAAGCGATGCAGAGTATGTTCGCAAAAGTCGCGTGCGAGAAAATTCAAAGCGTCGAGAAAGACTCGAAAACGCTCGCTTTTTTCGAAAGTGTCCACAACTACATCGAAAAGAACTTTTTAGCAGAGGTAAAAACACCTGACTCATCGAATTCAAGCTCATCATCGAGTGATATCGATGATCGCGACAGTGACAACGACAGTAATGAAATCTTCAACTGGGACGATTCAACGTTAATCCGCGTGTTGAACTTCATCAGCTCAGAGTACATCGGTACGAGCGGCCCGCGGAGTCTCAATCAGTTCATAAAATGGTTTTCAAATCACACGGGGATCTTATTCGTACCTCGCGAGAAATTAGTCGATAAAGAAACGGGCGAACCTTATTTCGTGTTATCGAAAACTTACGACGTCAATCAGGGAGAGGATGTTTCGTTATTACGGTCGATATCGTTTGCGATAACGGAAGTTGAATTCGTTGGGCTCGATACCGCGGATATTTTATACGGACCCGTAGCGGGTGGGCATTACGTCACAAAGGCAGCGGTTACTAGTAACGTCTCATCATCTTCATCGTCGTCGTTATTAGGTTTCTCGGTGGGGTGGAATCAAACGCGTATAGTGATGAAGGGTCGGCTGGAAATCGTTCCCGCAGCTCGAGACTCAATTTCTTCGACAAACCAAAACAACAGCTGGATCGAAAACGTCACATTATCTCTCGAAATAGACGATATGGAAATTGGAATGGATGTCGACTTACGCGTCGTTGAGAAAAAATGGCAATTGTTGACGCAAGAGCAGTTCAAAAATATGGCTTGTTTGTTTGGTATCGTTGAAAAGTTTGACATCGAGCGATTGTTATGGGACGGCAAGATTGGTCGGTTGAAAATAATCGATAGCGATACAAATATTAGTAGTAGTGATAGCAGTAGCAGCAGCAGCAGCAGTAGCGATGAGAACAACTTAGAGGTTGATCTGCAATCAGCGATTTCTAACCTCTCCGAGTTGATTACGACTTCTTATCAAAACGTAGTTTCCGTGATTGCAGCCGGCGAGTTCAAAGCTGTTCTAGAACCGTTATTGAACGCGCTCATACTGGAGAAGTTCTACGAGATTAGTAGACAGGAGTGTCCAAAACAGAACGTAAAATCTTTGGAGTTGATTAAAACCGCGAATACGGTTGTATCGATATTCTTCTTTATTCTTGGTTTGAGTTGTATCGCACTCGCGTTATTGACATACTTCGTCGTTCCAGCCTCGTTCATACGAAAACTCAATCGTCAAGCGATGAAGAAGCTGAAAGCGCGGGAGATGCACGATCCATTCGATGATGATGACATCGATGGTGATGGCACAATCGTTTTTGCGCATGAGTCAGATGAAGATACGAGCAGCAACGACGACGACGACGACGAAGCGTTACTTAATGATACTATTGGTGGTTCGAAGCACAAACAGGAGCAGCAGAAAAAGGAGGATAGTAATAAGAAAACGCATAGTAGAAATCGTTCAGGATCGGCAATTCTAGCTTCATTATTGACCACAAACGAGTCGTCAGATTCGTACTCGGACGGCGACGCGTTTGCGAATAATGATGATGATGATGATGATGGTGATGATGATGAACGAGAAGAAGAGCGACGGAAACGCAGAAGCCAACGCGAGGAATACACCATGCGCTTTCCGGAAACCGCCTGGCGAACACACACATCGAGAGGGAAGAAGGCAGATGAAATGCGAAGCACGCAAAGAAACAAGTCTTCGAGGTACAAGAAGCTTTTTTCGATGGAAGATTCGTTATCGAAATCGACACCAGTAAACTCTCGATGGTCGTTGCGATTATTGTTTATCGCCAACGTTCTTTTGTTTTTGAGTGCGAATATGGATTCGGGGGCATCAGTGTCGCTGTTTGCGACGCTGACGACGCCAGTCATTGATTCTGCGTCTACTATTCCTTCTTCGGAGCGGTCGTCGCCGCCTTCTTTGAACGACGCGCTTCTCAGCGCCATCAAAGGCGGACGAAAGAGTTTATTGTATGCTAATACTTCATCGTCGAGTACTACCAACGACAATAATCCGCAGCAGCAGCAACCACAAAGACAAAAGTATAACGTCATTCAAGCCTCGCGTGAGGATCTCTTCAACTTCTCCTTAGTCGGCACGGTCAGAGACATGTGGCACGCTAAAGTGTACGCTATTGCGATTTGCATTGTTCTCTTTTCTGGCGTCTGGCCGTACGTGAAACTGTTGTCGATGTTTGTTTTATGGGAAATCAGCGGCAAGAACGTTAAAGCATCAACCAGAGGCAAATGTTTAAAGTTTGTCGATCGACTCGGTAAATGGAGCTTGTTTGATTCGTTCGTGATGACAATGTTTATGGTTGGTTTTCGATTCCATTTACACGTGACTGAAGATGATGATGATTACGACGACGCATCTAAAAAGTTGTCACCGTCATCGTTTGGAGATTTGGACGTCGTCGTTACTCCAAAACGATCGTTTTACGTCTTTCTCTTCGCGACCGTTCTCTCCTTGGTTCTGGGACACGTAACTCTTTTTCTTCACCGCAAATCGGTTCGATCAAAAACTGAAGTTGACGATACCGCGACGCCTTTGTGGCGAAGAGACGTGAACAGACCGTCGGTCTTGTTACGAACGAAAATGGCGGCGGCACAAGCCGTCGGTGTTTTTCTCTTGTTAGTAGCCGCGATTGTTTTTCTCGCCGTTGGTGTGAACATACCGTCCATCAAGTTTGATTTCTTGGGAATTGCAGGATACGCGCTCGGGTCGAGCGAAAAGACTCGATCGTATTCGTTGGTCAAGTTGGCTGAAGCTTTACCGCACGCGAGCATCGATAAATACGCGGGTGGATCTGCGACAATGACATCAAGCGAGACCATAACCATCTTCTTCCAACACGTAGGCCCGCGCTTCATACAATCGACGTTATATGTCTTTGCGGTCGTCGCGCCTTTAGCGCAACTATTGATCTTATGTTTCCTTTGGATTTGGCCTTTGACTCCTCGAATGCAACGAAGAGTACAAACGATGGCTGAAATTTTCAGCGCTTGGTCCTCTTTAGACGTCGTTTTATTCGCCGTCGTTGCCGCTATGCTTCAAATCAAACAATTCGCCAATTTTGTCGTCGGTGGGGGATGTCTAAAGTTCAACACCATGTTAGCCTCAATAGGAGGCACCGGTCAAACGAGCGATTCGTCTTCGAACGCCGACAGACAACAAATCGATGACGATTGCTTCGATTTAGACACGTACTTCGAACCCGGGTGTTGGCTTTTAGTGTCGAGCGCAATGATGGCAAATTTTGTTGGCATATGGGTCATGAAAAGGTGCGATCAATCCGTCGCCAGTAACGCCTTGCGCTTGCGAACGTCCTTGTTGAGAGGCTTAAAACGCGACGACGACGACGACCAGGACGAGGAGGACGATGACGATGACGATGACGATGATAGCGAAGAATTAAGTTTATAAGTTTAGATGTAGATGATAGTAAATACTAATGAAGTTATATACGACGACGGACGCGAGTCGTCCATCATCCATTTTTCTAACAACCACCTACACGCACCCATACGCATAGGTTCAACTCATCATCTTCTCTTGGTGCTCATCAAAAAAAAAAAGGACGTCATCAAATGGTGAAGTTTGCCAGATGTCAATTTCTGGTGCGTTTGATCATTCTCGAACTTCGAAGAAAACTGAGGAGAGAAAAAAAAAAGGAAAGATTTTCACGCAAAACGTCACACTTTTTTGAAGAACGCGCGCGCGCGAGCGAGTACACATATACACAGAAGTAGACAAAATGAGTGGGAACACGGACGTAGAGAAAGGCAATTTTGCCGTTAAAGCTGGTTTGGCGCAGGTACGCGATTCGCATCCGAGAGAACTCGCGCGTTTTTCGAGTGTGGATGGATTTTCTTTTCTCCTCCGCCGTCGGCGTCATCGTCTTTCTCCCTTCTCGTGACGTCTTTCTTCTTCTTCTTCTGTTCTTCATTTTTTTTGCTTCGCACGACGACTCATACAAAAGTAGTCAGCAAAGAGAGTTTAAGAGAAAGAAGAGCGTCGACGATGATCGTTAAGGGGAGACGTTTCTCTTCTTTCACCGTCGTCGTTCGTTCGTTCTCGTTTACGTCGTCGTTACAAAAGAAGAAGAGAAATTGTTAACAACAAAAATGCGAGAGGGCACGTCACTCTTTTTTTTATTCTTTCTTTCTTCGTTCTTTTTTCCATGATGCGTGAAAAAAAAAGCTCAACAACATCCTCTCGATCGCTTTAAAAGTGAAAAAAAAACGAAACACTCACAATCAATAATCTTCCTTTTTTATCCTCTCTTTTATAAACAAAAACAGATGTTAAAAGGTGGCGTCATCATGGACGTCGTCAACGTCGAGCAAGCGAGAATCGCCGAAGAAGCCGGTGCGGTCGCCGTCATGGCTTTGGAAAGAGTCCCGGCTGATATCCGCAAGGATGGCGGCGTCGCGCGCATGAGCGACCCAACGATGATTAAATTGATTAAAGAAGCGGTGACGATTCCGGTGATGGCGAAAGCGAGAATCGGGCACTTTGTTGAAGCGCAAGTGTTGGAGTCTATTGGTATTGATTACATCGACGAAAGCGAGGTGTTGACCCCGGCGGATGAAATTAACCACATCAACAAGCACAAGTTCAAAGTGCCGGTGTTGTGCGGTTGCCGTGACTTGGGCGAGGCGTTGAGACGTATCGCCGAAGGTTGCTCGATGATTCGAACGAAGGGTGAAGCGGGTACTGGGAACGTAGTTGAAGCGGTGAGACACTGCAGAGCGGTGATGGGGGACATTCGAAGATTGCAAGCCATGGATGAAGACGAAGTGTTCGTGTACGCGAAGGAGATTCGAGCGCCGTATGAGTTAGTCGCGCAAACGAAAAAGTTGGGTCGATTACCGACGGTGAACTTTGCTGCTGGCGGTGTTGCGACTCCGGCCGATGCGGCGTTGATGATGCAACTCGGCATGGATGGTGTTTTCGTTGGTTCTGGTATTTTCAAATCCGGCGATCCGGCCAAGAGAGCGCGAGCGATTGTTCAAGCGGTGACGCACTACAACGACCCGAAAATCATCGCCGAAGTCTCGTGCGGTTTGGGCGAAGCCATGGTTGGCATCGACTGCAAAGAGATGCACTTCACCTCCTACGCTGCTCGATCGGAATAAGCAGCAGCATACTAGTCAAAACGAAAAGAAAGAACATCTCATTTAAAAAAAGTGAGAAATAATATAGTCATTATTCATGATTTATTTACACACGCGTGTATTTAAAAAGGAGAAGAAAAGAGGTTGTTTTGTTGAGTAAAATAAGTAGACACACATACAGGGTACCCATATATATGTATATTCTTAAATTTGTAATGCACACCTTTATATACCACCACCACCACATACGTTAACGTTTTGTCTTTCGCCTCCTTTTTTAATTATTGCTCTCATTACAGCAGTATTGTAAAAAGTTTGAGCGCAAAATGTGTTTGAGGAAATGTTTCTCTTCTTTTTTTTATTTTTCTGCTGCAAAATTTTTTCAGTTTCTCTGAAAAAGTTTCTGTCTGTTCTCAAACAACAAAACAACAACAACAACAGAGAAACAACGCGCGCAAAAACCACTATTTCTTTTGTTTTCGAGAGGAAGAAAGAAAGAAAGAGGAGGATTATCATCATCCACTCTCGAACGACGAACGAATACTACTCTCTTCTTAAGAAGAAGAAGAAGAAGAAGACAACAAGCGAGGAGAAACAGACGCAAAAAGAAATATGAAAACCAGGAATAAAGCCGCCGCCGGTGCGACACCATCATCATCAGCGAAGAAGAAGAAGAAATCCCCGACGACGAAAGCCTCCGTCGAGACGAAGAAGAAGAAGGAGACAAAGAAGAGAAACGGTGATGGTGGTAAAGATGCGGGTAAAAAGGAATCGAAATTTGATGCGCCGATGAAATCGTTGAAGCGCGCGAGGAAAGACGCGATGTTACTCTCGCTGAAAACGCAAAAAGGAGAAGACAAAGAGGAGAAGAGCGAGGACGAGGACGAGTCAGAAGACGAGTCAGATGACGAACCAGAACGGGGATTCACGGACAAGAACAAAAGTTGGCTGAAACCTGTTTCAAAGAAAACGAAGAAGAAAGCGGCATCTTCTTCTTCTTCTTCAGAGGAGGAGGAGGAGGAGGAGGAGGTGTCAGACGAAGAAGAAGAAGAAGAAGAAGAAGAAGAAGAAGGTAAAAAGAGCAAAAGAGGAGGAGGGAAGAAGAAACAGCAGCTCTTTGATGAAGAGGAAGAAGATGATTCTGAATCGGATGTGGATTTAGACGACGATGAATTCATCGGCGGAGAAGACTCGGACGACTCGGAATCAGAATCATCGGAGCCGGAATCGGAAGACGAAGAGGACGAACTGCTTCCGATTGAGCGCAAGTCGCGTAAAATGGACGCAGAAAAAGCAAAGAAAACGTCCGAGTCGAGGTTAGAGCAATTACAAGTGAACGTGAGGGACGAAGAAACGTATCAACTTCCTTCCTCGTCTTCGTCGGAATCATCTGATGAGGGCGACGACGACGACGACGACGACGACGACGACGAACGTCGAAAAAAATCGACTTCGTCGACGAAAGGCATTCCAGATTTAACGTCCATCCAACAGCGCATTCAAGAAGTCGTTCGCGTGTTGGCCGACTTCAAAAACAGACGCGCGCCAGATCGCTCTAGAAATGATTATTTGGAGCGGCTGACGTCTGACTTAGCCACGTATTACGGATATAATCATTTCTTGATTCGTTATTTCATCGATACTTTTTCGGTGCCAGAAACTATGGAGCTCTTAGAAGCGAACGAAACCCAAAGACCGGTGACGCTGAGAACAAACACTCTGAAAATTAGGCGACGCGATTTGGCCGCGCAGCTGATCAATCGTGGCGTCAACCTCGATCCAATCGGAAAGTGGTCGAAAGTAGGTTTATTGGTGTACGATTCGCGCGTTCCGATCGGGGCGACGCCAGAGTACATGGCTGGAATGTACATGCTCCAGTCCGCATCCTCGTTTTTACCGTGTATGGCTCTCTCGCCGCAAGAAGGCGAACGCGTTTTAGATGTTGCGGCCGCGCCTGGCGGGAAAACGACGTATCTGGCGGCGTTGATGCGAAATACCGGGATTATTTTCGCCAACGAATTTCAAAAGAAACGATTGAATAGTCTCGTCGCGAATTTACAAAGAATGGGGTGCACGAATTCCGTCGTGTGTAACTACGACGGTCGACAGTTACCGAAAGTTCTCGGTTATGTCGACAGAGTGTTGTTAGACGCTCCGTGTTCTGGTACCGGCGTCATCGCGAAAGATTCGAGCGTGAAGGTTTCAAAATCCACCGAGGACATTGCCAAGTGCGCGCATTTACAAAAGGAACTCCTCGTTGCCGCGGTGGATTGCTGCGATGCAAACTCAAAATCGGGCGGCTACGTCGTCTATTCCACCTGCTCTGTCACCGTTGAAGAAAACGAGCAAGTCGTGGATTACATATTAAAGAAGAGAGACGTGAAAATCGTGTCCACTGGATTAGAGTTTGGTCGGAAAGGTTTTACGAGTTACCGAGGGAAGACGTTTCATCCCTCCGTGAGCGAATGCCGTCGATTTTATCCTCACGTTCACAACATGGACGGTTTCTTCGTCTGTAAGTTGCAAAAGATGAGCAATCGCACGACCTCAATAATCACGACGACGACGTCAATGGCTTCTAATAATAGTTCAAAAAACACCCGCGTTGAGAAAAAAATAGCTTCTTCTTCGGATGAAGAAGAAGGTGATATAGAGGAGGAGGAGGAGGAGGAGAACAACGACGTGAAAAAGAAAAAGAAGAAGAAAGAGAAGAGTTGGGTAAAACGCGCGAAGCGAGAATTAGGAGTCGTTTAAATATTATGCTTACTTACAGTACGTTGAACGAGTTTATCTGGTATTTGTGACTTTACTTTTATTTTATTCTAATTCTATTATATTTCTTCATCCTCCGACGAAGACGCGAATTCGTCAATCTCAGTGAACTCGTCACCGCATATTACTCTATCCGGTCGACAAAACGACCCGTGCATGGGCGGACACTCGGGAATCAAAATTTTACCGCACGGCGTTTTCCCGTCGTTTTTACCAACCGGTTCGTCAAACTTCACGCCAACCCAGTACCCACACGGAAGGGACGGAGGCATGTCGACGACGTCGTCTTTTCCTAAGTCTACTTCTACTTCTTCTGCTTTTCCTTCTTCTTCTTCTCCTTCTCCGGTTTGGGCGGTATCCTTCACTTTACCGACGAAGCACACGACGCCTCGTTTCCCTCCCGGATTGACTTCGCACCTGGATCCCGAAACGACGTGGCGAACGCACTCGAACGAGGCGTACGTCGTTAACATCTTCTCTTTCGCTGCTGCGATAGCGTCGTCGATGTCGTATTCGTTACTGTTATTATTATTATTCCCGTTCTTTCTTTGGTTTCTCAGCTTCTGTTGTTCTTTTTGTAACGTCCACGTCGGATCTTCCTCTCTCTTCTTTCTCGCCCACTGGCGATAGGTACCTTCCCTCTTCTCGTACGCTTCGTCGCTCATGACGTACTTTTCAACTTTAGAAAGGTCTTCTAACCATCCGTTCGCGCTTAAACTCGTCGGATCCGTATCAATCACGTGTAATCGCATCCCGTCCGATGGAGAATAATACCCGAGTTTTGCCTCGTCGTTTGAAAGTTCTGTCGTTCTGTTGTTTGAGTGCTCTTGTTGACTTTTGAAATTGCCCCCGCTGTTTTGAAATTGTTGTTGTTGACTTCTTCTGCCGTCATCGACGCTATTATCACTATTAAAACGAGTATTATAATTGTTATTAGTAGAATCGTCAAACAACTGTAACCGCATCGCGCTCGCGTTCGTGCCGCAGTGCGTCATTAACTTTTCCTTCACCGTTCCAATCGTCCATCTCAAGTCAAAACGAATCTCCAAAAACTGCATCTCGTGTAAATTGGAGTGCGTCACGAATAAACGGCAGGTGTGTTCGGACTGATTTTGCGAGTTCGAGGACTCGTCCGTGACGTATAAACGCAACTGCTCTAACGACGACATGTTCGAGAGCATGATTTTTATATGTTTTTACGTTGTTATTATTCGTATATTAGTTCTATGTGTCGTGTGTGTTGATGAATGATGAATGGTTTACGAACAAAAACTTTTTTATTTCGAATTTTTGTGTGTTGCAAACAAAAAAATTGACTCCTCCTTTTCTCTCTCACAAAGGAAAAGTCTGTGGTCGTCCTCCTCAAAACAAAACAAAACAAGAAGAAGAAGACGCGAAGAAGAAGGAATACTACCACACATCATATACCAATAATAATAATAATAACGAAGATGACGACGTAAACGACTTAAACGAATTAAACGATGACGACGAAAACACCAACACTACTACTAAAGAAGAAGAGAAAAGCGACGACTTTTTGGTGTCAATCGTTCGTCGTCGTCTCGTTGCTCGTCTGTTTTTTAGGACAGTTGAAAGCGATTTTTTCTTCTTCTTCTTCTTCTTCTGTTGAAAATGATGCGCGAAGACATCAAAAACAAAATCAACTTCAACACGATCATCATCGGTACCATCGAGAGAAGGAAGACGCGAAGATGGTTTTTACAGAAAAAGAAGAAGAGGAAGAACCTCGTCCTCACATTCACGTGTTGGCAACTTCGAACGGTTCTCCGTATCTCAACTGGCAAACGCGCATCATGTATCGAACTTTTTTAGATATCCTCCAACAACAACAACAACAACAACTTGAACAACCAAACGCAGAAAAACACATGAAATATTTTACGCGGCTTTTGCACAGACGAACGGATGACGAATTGATGAAAGAAGTGCCCACGGTTCGCGTGGATTCTTTGCACCCATCGTGTGATAAATGGTGCGCATTTCCAGTGCACGACAGACCAGACGCCATCAAGAAGTGGCTTCAAAGCGAAGACGCCAAACGCGGCGGCGAGAAGAATAAGTTCGTGTTGATGATTGAGACGGATTACGTGTTTAAAAGACCAATGCAAATACCATCGCCACTGATGGAGTATCATCGTAGTTTTCTTCAACAGAAGAATACGAGAAAAGGGGAAGTTGGAGGTGAAGAACAAAAAGCATCGGCGATTGCCTTTCATTTCAATTATATAAATCCACATTATCCATCCTTGCCGCCGGTGATGGAGCGATTGATGCAAAAATTGAACGATCCGAAAAAAATAGTCGACACGAAGAAAATATTAGCGAGTGGACCAGCGCCGACGCTGATTTACCTGGATAGTTTAAATAGACTCATAGACGATTACATCGTGATCACTGAAGAAATAGAAAAAGACGAAGACGCGAAGAAAAAGCTGGGTTGGGTGCGTGAAATGTACGCGTATTCCATCGCCGCGGCGACGAGCAACGTGAAGCACATAGTCGAAGAACCGAGGAAAACTATGTTGATTTCGCAACCTCCGGCAGATGATGATCTGTACGAAGCATCCATGTACCATTACACGTGGGGAGCGAGATATGTGCGGGGGAAGGACAAATCATCAATCGCATGGGACTGGGATAAACGACCGTACATCGACGTCAAACACGTTCGAGAACCGGGAAAATACATGCCGCCCATGCCGCCTGAATTTATCGAAGAAGGCGGAGATTTGAAACTTTTAGACGGAACGTTAGTCACTTCAAAATTGAACGACGTCATGCGAGACTTGATTGGTACCATGAGAAATGCGATTCAGCGATTAGATACTCTAGATTATAACTGCGGATGGCTCGATACGGAACCAAAATGCGATTTTCGATGTCAAACCGGCGAGTTGTGTTAATTTATTTGCGCCGCGCGCAACAAGTTTTATTCATCATCCACTGTTTTTGCCATGGTGCACTACAAAACTAATACTATTTTTCTACCAGGTACTTATTATTACTATTGTATTTGTTCCAAACGCGCTTTTGATCTCTTGGCGTGCCTTCCGTCCGGATGTCGCTCTTTCTTTTTCTTTTTCGTCATTCCGCTGCCGCCGCCAATCGTCTTTACCTTCTTATCGGTCGATGCTTTTCTTGAAAGCACTCGCTTCGTCTTATCAAACTTCTTCTTCTTTTTATTATTATTACTCGCTGCGCGTGCTTTTATTTCTTCTTCTTCGCGCTTCTTTTTTAGCAGTTTTCTCTCTCGAATAGACAAAGCCGGTCTCCCTTCCTTGTCCTCTTTCTGTTGCTTCATTTTTGCTTTCAGAAAACCCGGAACGACGGTATCGTCCTTGTCGTCGTCAAAGTCGTCGTCAAAGTCGCCGAGGAGAACGTCCTCTCGCTTCCGTCTCTTTCGTTCTCCCTTTGTTCTCTCGTTTTCTTCTTCTTCTTCTTCTCCTTCTTTTCTATCCTTTTCCTCCCCTCTTTTCCTCGTGTTCTTCTTCCCTGACTCTTCTTTTGCGCTCGCGTATTCGCCTCGTAATCCTCTATCTCTTCCTGTTTTTGCTTCTACTTCTCGCGCTGCTTCGATCAGCTTTCCTTTCGCGGTTTCGTCGTGCGTGTACGTGCACTCGCTTCCGAATCGACACATCCCGGTATTTACCCAATCTAAACACGTCCCTTTATACCTGTAATACTCCAAATCTACGTGATACTTTCTCTTCCTCTCTTTTCTCTCCTTTTCTCTCGTCTCTTTCTCTTTCTTCTCCATTCTCGCTTTGTTCACTCTCTCTTTCGCCTCTCGTTTGGCCTTTTGTTTCTCTTTAATCGCCAACGCCGCGTTCTCGCCGAGCTTTTCAAACTTGTTCCGGTGGTAGTTCTTCACGCGCAACCACGACTCCGACGGTTCCATCAAGTTCACGTGGTTTCTGTATTTATTCTCTTCTTCTTCTTCTTCTTCTTTAACTTCTTCTTTTCTGTGATGCTTTTCGTTCTCGGTCTTCTCCTGCTCGTTTGTTGTTGTTGTTGTTGTTGTATTCTCCTTCTCTTCGCTTTTCTCGACAAACAAAACTTTATCAACGACGAACAAAAAATGCGACTTGCTGTCCAAAAAACACAACATCTTCTCCCGCTCTTCTTTCATGTTGTTGTCGTCTTCTTTGTCTTTGTCTTCTTCTCTGAAACAAACGCGTATGCTTTGCGCGACTTTGTTGTATTCGTTCGCTTTGACAAAGTTTCGCCTAAACTGCGCGTTTTCGATGAGTTTACGACGAATTAAAGCGATGAATTTTTCCTTCAGTTTCTTCTCTTTCCCGCTTTTGGTTTTCTTTCTCTTCTTTGTCTTCTTTGTCTTCCTCCTCTCGTTGTTGTTGTTGTTGTTGTTGCTCTTATAATCATCATCGTCGTCGTCGTCGTCATCCTTTTTATCAGATGTAAAAGATACTACTAGTGTTTTTTGTGCCGATGATGATGATGGTTTTTCTCGAGGAATACTCACCGGCGGCGGAGAAGGAGAAGGAGACATGTTGATGTGTTCAGTGTGAAGCAGAAAGAGTGCAAAATTTTTTTTAGAACGAGTGATGAAAAAATGATGCTGAAATTTTTTTTTTAAAACAACAAGGAAGAGAGCAAATGGATAGTATATATTACAGGTATTTAAAATACGTGTATTACAAAGTAGGTGGTACATGTACGTGGCCGCCCGTGGCGCACCATGTACGAGAGCACATCTATACACAAATGATGTGCTCTTCTTCTTTTACGTTATTATTTTTTTGTTTGTGTTGTCGTTGTTCGTGATATTGATGATTAATATCGATATCCACATCCCACGCGTATTATCATTGACTTTGGTAAATTTATCTTAAAGCCGCGGCTGGCGTGCAGCACGAGATGGCAACGACGCCCGAGCCTCCCGTGCCCCCATTGCCGCCGTGATGACTCGTCGTGGATCCTCCGCCGCCGCCGCCGCCGAGGCCGTCGATGCCATTTTCGCCGCTGTCTTTCGCGCCCGGCATGCCGTTTTTGCCGCCGCCACCGGCGCCACCTTCGCCGCCGCTGGAACAGGCTGGGTTATGAGAACCGCCGCCGCCGCCACCGCCGTACGTGACCGTCTCACCGGTGATATCGCTCGTAAAACCATCTCCGCCGTTACCGCAAACGGAAGAGGTTCCGCTGACCCCAACGGATCCGGCTCCACCACCGCCTCCGGCGTTCCAAGACCCAGACGTTCCGGAACCTCCGGCAAAACCGTGCCCGTATTCGCCGCTCAATCCAGATTGAGCGGATTGCAAAGCGGCGCCGCCGACGTGACCATACTTACCGCCGCCTCCCGATCCGCCCGGATAGCCGCCTTCGTGCCAAGATGAACCGCCACCTCCACCGCCAAGAGCGATGAGGTCTTGGAATACGGAGTTCGAACCAGCTTTTCCTGGATCATCGTCGGAGCCACCTTTCGTGTTTTTCCCTGAACCGGTGATTCCACTTCCTCCGGCGCCTCCCGAACCGACTTGGACTTCGTAGGTTTGACCGGCGACGACTGGATACGACTCGACGTATACCACACCACCACCGCCGCCGCCAGCGCCGGATCGTCCACCGCCGCCACCACCGCCGCCGACGACCAAGATTTTCGCCATGCCCGTTTGCGGCGCGGTGTACGCGTACGTCCCAACCGATTCAAATTTCATAAGTTCCGGCTCCGACGAAGGCGTCGTCGTCGTTATTGGGTTCGCTTGAACGCCTTGCCCTGAACACTTTTTATGAGTAAAAGTGTCGCCGTAATAGCCTCTCGCGGAGTAGTTATCGCTACCGCAACCGCCAACGTTTCGAATGTTCGTGTTGGACGGATCCGGGCAAAAATCTTTTTGATTCGTACCCGGATTCGACGCTTTCCCTCCCGCCTTTCTGCACGACCAAAACGAATCGCCAGAGGACGTTCTCACGCTCGGGTCGCCGCCAGAACCTGAATTTCCGACCCATCTGCAGTAATCTTGGCAAATACCGCATCCGCTCGCGTCGTACCAGCCGCGATAGTTATCCGTGTAACCGGCGTCGCCGGTACCGCTGCTGATCGGACACGTCTGGGCGTCGAGCACTTCGGGCTCCGTAGATATTTGCGGGCACCCCGGTGGCCCGGAGTTCGCGCACGTCGTTTCACACGTTCCCCAGTTATACGCCAACGTTTCACCGTCGAAAACGCGGTTGTAAAACACATCTCCGCTCCCCGGATCCGAATACTTCGACGTACACTGCTCGATACCGGCGAGCGCCGACGGCGAAGAAAACGCCGGGCAACGCCCGTCGCCTTCGTGTAAGCAACCGTTGTCCAAAACCGTGGATTCGTCCGATTCGTCTCCGAGTGGGTATAAATAAAACCCAAACTCTTCGCCGACTTCAAGATCGACCGTCCCTTCGTAGTTTCCGCACGACGTTTCCTGCAAATTTTGTGCGTTTTCGAACCTGAAATCACTTTGCATGGATTTCGAAACCACTTTCGCTCCAATCTTTCCGGTCCAATCCGAGGACGTATCGAACGGAAGCTTGTTCAAGGGAGAGCACCCGGTGTGCAAACTAATAGTTTGCGGAGAACCGGCGCCCAATCGTGATTGACGAACAACAACTTTGTTGTTCGAAGTGTTCGTATTGGAACTCCCGAGTTTGAGTTGCCCGCGGCCAAAAGAAGATGATTGCGACGCGACCCCTAAAGCGCCTAACGCGATCGTCGCGGTGGCGGCAATCGCATATTTCGGGGTCAAATACTTCTTTAACGAAGAAGATTCTTCGTTCGTCTTTTTGTTTAGTAAAGTCGTCGATTCCATGGTATCACTTTTAGAAGTCATCATCGTGCTCTTGATTGTGTTGTTTTTAGTGTTGCAATGCTGACTCAGGATTTTCTTTTCTTTTTTTCTTCGACAGCTCCTCAAAAAAGTGAAGAAATGGAAAAAACAGAAGAGTGATTGATTGAGAAAAGAGGAAAAAAATTCATTCGTGAAAAATATTTCATTTTTGCTCGACACAACAGGAGTAAAAGTCTGTTAAAGATGAGTCTTTCAGAAAGAGCAGCAGACAAAAAGACAAAAAAATTTCGTCCACATAAACACTTTTTTTTAATTGGTGAGACGAAGAGAGAGAGAGAAGAGAAGAGAAAGAGTCTCTTCATCTCTCTCTTCTCCTCTCTTCTCATCATCCACACTTTTACCATGCGCGTGTTATGCTGTCGAATACAAAGCACTTTCACTTTTCCCACCGCTTTAATTCTTCTTTGTTGTTGTCTTCTTCTCTCGCTCTTCTCGCTGCGTGCGATTTCTCATCATCATCATCATCAGTCGGTCGTGATGAATACACACGCTGAGAAAGGAAGACAAACACAACGCGAAGGAGAAGAAGAAGGGAGAAGAAACCAAGCGGAAGAAAAAGCGTCGTCGTTTACGTTTATCACGTCTAATAATAATGATGTTCCTTTATTTGTACAATACGAAGTGTATCCCAAGTGTGCAGAAGAACAAATCGAAAGAAACGTCAAACTGTTTCAAAAAGAACCGACAACGTGTCCGGATGAAAAATGGTACGACGAGTGGACGCAGGAGATTATCATCGGTAAAAACGAAAAGGAAGACGATACTAATTCATTTGTCGCGATCGAAGTCGGGTGCAACAAAGGAACGGATGCGATTCTTCAGTTGCGAAGGTTTACGAAAGACGCGAGAGCGAGCGTCGCAACGTTTCAAAAGTTGACCAATTTTCCGGAATTTTCGTGTTCTTGGGAACAAAAGAAATGGGACGAAGCGGTGCGAGGATCGTTCGTAAAAGATGATGATCCTGGACAAAAGAAAGGCATTAAATACAGACACTATTGCATAGAAGCGAGTTACGAAACATTTGAGCGAGTTCACGCCGCGGCGGAGAAAATGAAATTGGCCGACGTCGGACTGACGGTGCACTACAACGCGGTGTCGTCGAGTTCGTGGCCAAGTACAGTCAAGTTCCCGAAGATAACCGCCGGTCAGGAGAATATTGGAATTGGCATGACGGCGAATCCAAATTTGAAAACGCAAACGTATTCCGAATTTCACCAGACTCCGGTGATAACCGTGGACGAATTCGTTAGGAAAGAAAATATGCTTGAAGGTCTGGATGTTGTGAAAATCGACACGGAAGGTAACGACGCAGCCGTATTAATCGGAGCGTCTAAGACTTTGATGTCTTTGAAGCCTTCCTACGTCCAGTTTGAAAATCACGGAGTTGGGAAGTGGAAGACATTCGATTTAAAGGATTCAATAGATATGTTAGACGCGATGGAGTACGAGTGCTTTTGGAGCACAAACAGCGGTAAACTCATTCAAGTGACAAACTGTTGGCACGAGTCGTACAGTAAATTTAAAATTTGGTCGAATATCGCGTGTTACCACAGATCCGATCGAACTTTGAAACGGATCATGGATAAATACGTAGTAGTAGCCAATTAGGGCAATTAGAAAAAATATTATTCATAATAGATTTTAGCAAACGACTACTTTAGCAAACGACTACCATACGACTACCATACTATACTACTACTTTTTATTTAAACTACACGTCTCAGACAACGCGGTCGTCAACGCCCCGCGTGATAGCATCTCACCTTGAACACGAAAAACATCAACGTGCCGTACAAATATAAGACTTTTGGATAGGTGATGCTATTACTCGCGTCCACCATTACCCCGGTTAAAGAGGAAGAAGACGCGCCGCCGCCGCTGCCGCCGCCACCGAGCGCGGAAGTTTTGGTTCTCGCGTCGAGAACTTCGCGAGCGAGAGAGCGCAATTTTCGCAACTCGGCGCTCGTACTCACAAAACTTCCGCCGCTTAATCCGTCGTCGTCACTTTTCTTGGACGCTTTCGTCGCGACAGTCTTAGCCGCGTCGAAGAGCAATTGTCTTCGTCTTTGACTTTTCCACGTTTCCAACGCTAACTCAGATTCGGTTTGCTCTAAATTCGCCCACTTCAAAGAGCACAACGCGAGCGCGACGTCATCCTGTTTCATTAAATTGGACGACATCGCTTTTAACACCTTTGATTCTTCGTTCGATGCTCGTAAATTAGAAACACCCGACGAGGACGACGACGACGATGAAGAAGAAATGGTGTAATCGACCAATCCCGGCATCGAGGGCGCCGCGTTGCCTTCCAAAACGTATCCGTGTTTCGTCGCCGCGTCGTGTATTGTTTCCGCCGCGAAACGCACCGCTTCGTCTTTACTCCACCCGGCTCGTTTCCCTCGAGTTGAAAACGTGACGGCAAAAATACCGTTATCATTCACCGCGTGTCTCGAGAACACGTCGTAGATTTGTTGCGTTCGTTGCATGACGGCTCCGCAATGGTCCAGATAGACAACTTGGAAGGACTCGGAAGCGGGATCTCGCGACGCTAAATACGATTCAACTGTTCCAGTGAATGCATTTTCCTTCTTGGAATTATCGACCGAAAACGTTCCGTTTCGCAAGGCGTACACGACGGAGGAGTACGGGTTTGGAATAAACACCGAGGACGCGGTAAATCCTCTTCGCGTGAGTTCAGAAGAAGTCAATCCATCCTTCGCGTCTAAAGTTAAAGACAAACACCGCTCTTGGGAAACGCCCAACTCGAGAACGGATAACTGAGACGCTTCCCCGACGGCTGAATTCGTGATTGCTTTATCCACACCGACGAGATTCCGTTCGCTCGGAGCGCCTTCTTTGTTATTCCCGGCTTCGTCGTACGGGTCAGATTCCCAGCGACAAAGAAACGTCCCTTTGTGTTGGGCGAGTAAATATTCTCTCTCTAAAAAGCGCGTCTCTTCTTCTATTTTTCTTCTCACGTTTGTCTCGTCTCTCGTCAGCGCAGTCGCGACAATCGCTGCACAAAACGCGCACGCGCTTAAACACGCGTCTAAGAAAAACAACGACGGCGACGCGTACCGCGAAGGCCCAAATCCTAACGCCAGCGTCTTAAACGCCAACGCTACGAAAGCTAAAGTTCTATTTGCCTCGAGTACTGAAAGCGCGAAGGAAAATCTGAGCTCCGCGCAGTCTCTGAGAAGAGTTTTCAATTTCGCAAACTCGCGATGGCGTTTCACGTTCGCGCTCACGTCCATTGCTCTTCTTCTGTTTTTCTGTTCGTTCGCGTCTTTCGCCGCGAACGGCGCCAACGAGTACGGTAAGAACGCCGAAGCTTCGCGCAAGCGCGCGTTCAATCTTATTTTTACGCACGTCAACGCGAGCGCCGGTAACGCGGGCGCTATACAAATCGCGTAGACGATAGAATCCGCGACGGCGTCGACGCAAAGCGCGAGAACTTTCATCGTTGAAAATCTATTCAACTGAAAGTCAAAGTAATACGTTGAACTCCCGCCGCTCGACCACAAACCAAAGTATATGCGCAAAGCGGCGACGAAAATCCCAAACGTAACGGAGAATAAGAACGCAGATTTCGCCACGGAGGCGTATTTTGACTCGTATATTCTCCCTTCTCGGACGAGAACTGGCGGTTTCTCGTCTATGAATTGTTTGTTTTGAAACGAATCCTCGACCGCGTTGAATAAAGCTCTCGTTTTGTTCAGTTTCACCACGTTATTATTATTGTTTTTGTTGTTGTTTTTAATGTTGTTTATGTTGTTCATAGAAGAAGAAGAAGAAGAGCGCGTGGCAGTTTGTAACGCGGAAATCGCCAACGACTCTACCGAATTCATGTTTTCTTCTTTCTCTTCTTTTTCTTCTTCTTCTCTTCTTCTTCTTCTCCCATCTTCCGTCGATGACGATGATGATGATGATGATGAAAACGATGATGATTTTGTTCGTTGAAGATGATGATTTTGATGTTTTCGTCTACACCGTCCTCCATGTAGACGAGGACTTTTAAAAGAAAGACCAGAACCACGATTACGAGGAGTCGTTTTAGTAGTAGTAGATATAGTATTACTAAAACTAAAACTAAAACGACTCAAAGTCCGTAGTGGTATCGTCGTCGTCGTCATTCTCGTTTGGAAATGAAGAAACGATGAAACAATAGTATAACGAAATCCTTCTTCTTCTTCTGTTTGATTTGATGTGAAAAGAAAAAGAAACAAACAAAAAAAAGAACAAAAAAAAAGCAAACAAAAATCTCTTTCTCGACCATTTTCATGCAAGAGAAAAAAAAAGGAATTTTACAACAACAACAACAACAACAAACTTTTTTTCTCAAACACACAAAAACACACAACACTTAATTACTATAATAGAACATTAACAGATAGAACAACAGATATAATAGAACGAAGAGTTAGAGAGAGAGAGAGAGAGAAAGAGAGTTTAGAAAAGAAATACATGCCTCTTCTTTATCAGTATCATCATCATCGTGATGATGATTCACCACCATCATCATCATCCAACAACAACAACAACAACAACAACAACAACAACAACAACAACAACACAACATTAAAGAAGATTGAAAAAATCTCAAAAGTTTTACACGCGTTGTTTTTAACGACGGAAACGACGATGCATTGTAATAACAACAACGATGATGATGAGAAGAAGACAAAGAAGAAGAAGAAAGAGGACGAGTATCGAGTTTTGAAGATAACAGACAACGGCTTTTGTGGCCCGTTAACGAAAATGACAAAAGAGAAAACTTTCCAATTGGAAAAGCATCGTCTCAAAGGGGGTGTTCGTCCCCCTCTTTTAGTGACAAAATACGCGAGTGTTTGGGAGCAAAAAAAGTACAACAACAACGTGAACAATGAATTCTCCTCGGAAGAAGGAGAACACTACCGCGATGTGCTCTCCTTGGCGAGAATGAGCGAGCAGTTTCAATCACGAGTCGTGGCTTTGCATCGCGTGAAAGAGCTCTCGTCATCGATACAACCTTTGACAACAACAACAACAACAGACGAAGAGGAAGAACAACAACAACAACAACAACAACAACAACAACAGGAGAGAGAAGAGGATGTTGATTTTTTACTCGCGACGCATATTTTCGCGCCGGGTTCGATGAAAGCGAAACATATAGTGGAAGTGCTGGACGGTACTATCGCTCATAACGGAGGTAACGAGAAGAGTGTGATAAAGAAGAAACGAGAGGTGTACGCTTTGACGACGGCTTTGAGAAGCTTGAACGGCTTGGCGCGGTATGTACAGATGCCTCCCATGAAAGAAGAGGATAAAAAAGAGACCCACGAAAGGTTACGCGCGGAAGCGAAGAGGAAGAGATGTTTAGTTTTACAGTCAAAGAAGACGATTATTGAAGCGTATAAGGAAATGATGTTGACGACGCCGAAGAGTTCTAAAATGGCTGACGAGAAGAAAACTTCTCAACAAAAATCAACCGCCGTCGAAAAAGGAGAACGACAAACGTCCGCGACCACAAAGGAAACAAAAGAACAACAACAGACGAATAGAAGTGAAAAGAGAAAGGAAGAGAAACCACAACACGAGAATAAAGTCGTCGCTCCTAAAAAGACCGTCGTCGTCGTCCCAGTCGTCGCGACGAACCTTCCGCCGAAAGGCAGAAAACAAAAGAGGACGCCGTTTTCACCGCCTCGGATCTTTGGACAAGAGATTACGAACAACTACAACTAAAAATAATAATAATTCGTTTTAAAATACTACACGTTTAAAAGTAATGCAAATAGTGTGGCGGTACCGTGGTTCTTTTTGTGCTAATACATATTATGGTATCATCAAATCATTCGAATATTCAAAAGAAGTTTCTCAACAACAACTAGGCGTAGGCGTGTTCGTACTTCTCGAATTGCCACGGATGAAATTCCGCGTCCAGCGGATGTTTCGTGCTATCTTCTCCCTCGTCGGTATTTGCTCCTGCTACGTTCGTGCACATTTTCTCCATCTCGCGAATATCTTCGTACGAGTTTTTGTTGTATTCAAACACGTGTTCGACAATCTCCGCCTCGTCCGCGGTGCACTCGGCGTTTTTGCCCGTCTCCAAGAAAAATCTCGGCTTCCACGGGCCGCACTCCAAAGCTCTCCTCTCTCGCCTCTCTGCTCTTTGCCTCTCTTCTAAAGCGGTTTTCTGCGTGCTCGCGGTTGAATTATCCGCTTTTTCTAAAGCTCTTCGATCTGGTCGCAACCTTGAATCGGATTTCAACAACTTACCATCCGCCGGAGCCGTTTCCGCGCCGATGGATTTCACCGCGAAAGAGTTGAACCCGTACGGGTGTTCGTGCGCTACTTTAATCTCGCTCTCCTCAACCTGCCACAACTTCTTCTCCCACGTGGTGGTTTCATCATCGCTTACTTTACTACATTTCAAATCTTTGTTCCAATGTCCGTACATTCTCAATTTCTCTTTTTCGTTGTTATCCTTGACGAAACCGTTGACTTCGTATCGACCTCGAGAGGACCAACCGCAGGCGGTGAACTGCAAATCGCACGTCGCTTTCGTCGTCAAGTTTTGCACGCGCATGTCACCGAACGTGTCCACCCAAATTCTTCCAACGATCAAGTTGTTAATTCTCGACGTGGGCGGGATAATGTTGAACGTCTCGTTCGTTCGTTTCAGATGAATTCTCGTGCGACCGATTGGAAAGACGTCCACCCAGTTCCCCATAAACTTCGTCTTCACCGCGGAGGTAATATCGTACGTCCATTTTTCCGTATTCGCGTGCCCGGCACCAATCGGCGGGTGGTGACTCACTTGCTCGTAAATCGCCGTGCTCTTGCCGTCGTCCAGTTTCAACTCGTACGTCTCGCCTAAAATCGGATTGAACGGTTTCTTCGTTCGTTCCATGGTGGAATACACGGACACCGCGTACGCGGTCACCAACGCCAACCTTACGTCCTCGTCCTCCTCATCCGCGGCTTCATCCAACAAATGTTGATACTGCAAAATCTCCGCCATCTTTTGCAACGTCGACATCGGTTCCATGATGAACACTGGCACGGAAAACACCGACATGACGTCCGCGCCAATCATATTTTTCAGCGTCGCCCACATCGCTTTCCTATCTTCCTGATGGTTCTTCCCGTCGTTCGGGTCTGTATCGCTCGCCCCTCCTTTCAAATCTCCGTCCCCTTCGTTTCCTCCGCCTTCGGTGACTTCGAGTTCATCCACGCCCGCCAGACTGTTTTAATGTTAATGTGAATGGTGTTGTCATTCGCAGAGGAGTAGAGGAGTGTTTAAAAGTGGTAAGATTTTAATTTTTTTTTTGGGTCTTTTTCGCGTCTGTTTTGGCAGAGAAAAACAAAACCAAACGACTGACTGACGACTGTTTTCTCCTTCTTCTTCTCGCTTTTATCATGTGCGACTCTCCGACGAAAGCGAAGACGACTACCACGATGGTTTTCGACGAAAGAGAGAACGAAAGAGAGATGGAGACTTTCTCCGCGCGCGCGCGCGTTGACATCTGTTGTTGCTTTTTTGAGATGAACTCGACGACGTAAACGACGTACACGAGACGAAACTCCGATGAAGAAAAAGAATAAACTCGACTTTTACGCACTAGTTAATCCCGTCGCCGAGGGCGTTCACCAAGTCAGACCCAAAGGTGGAGACGCGACTGAATAAAGATCGGTGTCCAGGAGACGCTTTCATTTCAGTCGTCGTCGTTGGTGGTGGTGTTCCTTTAGTCGTGGCTTTTTTAGCGGCGTCCTCTGAATCGTCGTCAGTATCGAGTGGTCGTGGTGTGCCGCTACTCATACTCATCGTGCGTCGCTGTGGGTGAGTAGTACGAGATGAGTGAAAGTGTGTGGTGTTCTGTGTAGAAAAAAACGACAGTCTGACAGTCTTTTGTCACACAAACGAGAAAAAAAAAGCGATGGGGGGACACGTTCGATTTAAAGACGACGATACAAACGAGGATGACGAGGATGAGATGATGGACGTGGAGAAGAACAAAGAAGAAGAAGAAAAAGAAGAAGAAGGAGAAGAACGAGTGGTATCGCACGATTTTGGCCCAGACCCTGAGTTTACGATACGGAAACCAGTGGCGAATTTAAAGACGATGATGATGATGATGGCGGCAGAAGAAGAAGTTACAGAAGTTAAAGACAAAGAAGATAAAAGAAGAAGAAGCGCCGTAAAGCTTCGCAACAAATGGACGGAAGAAAAAGGAGCATCATCCGATGCCTGCTACATCACGCAAATAGAATCGAACTTTGATTTCTCGAAAGTCTGCTATCGAACGAGCGCGAACGAGGCGAAAGTTTTCGATACTACTACTAATAATACTACTAATAATAATAACAACAACAACAACGATGTTATGATACTCAAGCACGAACGCGCGATGACTGACGCGCACTTTCCCGTGCCGAACGAATTAACGACGATTCTTTCGTGCTCGCACGATAACACGGTCCGAGAGTGGGACGCGAGGACAAATAATAATAACTGCGCCGTCGCGCAAGCGCGGGTACCGAATCATATTCTCGGTAAGAACGGATCCTTGGAGACGTGCTCCATCGGCGGCGCGAACGAAACAATTTTAGCCGTAAGTTGCGGAGAGAAGATTTTGTTTTACGACCGACGGATGATCAGACAAGGAGGAGGAGGAGGTGGAAAAGAGACGATGATGATTAAACAGTTTGAAGACGCGCACTCGGAAACAGTCACGAAACTTCGATTCCATCCGGAAAAGAGACACATTTTGCAAACGAGTTCGGTGGATGGGTTGACGTGCACGTTTAACTTACTCAACGAAATTGACGACGAGAACAGTTTAGTGAGTATTGGAACCGCGAATGCGGCGATTAATGAGTTTGGGTTTTTGAGTAGTACGACGAGTAGCGGTAGCACTAGTAAAAATATCTTGTGGGCGTTGACTGGCATCGAGGAAATTCATTTGTTCGATTGCGACGCGGGTGTCGCGACGTGTGGCGTGGAGATTGGACACGTGAAGAACGCGAGAGAAAAAGCGAGAGAGGCAGCAAAGCAAGCAAAGGCGATGAGTGTAAAGAAAGCATCTTCTTCCTCGTCGATATCGAAGAAAGGATTGAAAGATTTGATCGAAAACGGCGTCGATTACATCATCAACGTCATCGACGGTGGCGAGGCAAATAACCATAAATATTACGCGTGCTGCGGAACAATCAACGGTACCGTCGGTTTGTTTCCGATAGCTTACGACGAAATCGCTATGAGGAGCGAGACGAGCACGCAACCGTTGACTTTACTCGCGCCGGAATACGTGTTGCCGAATGATTCTTCTTCTGAACAAGGAGGCCGTGGAGGAGACCGTGAGGATTTGATGATGAAAGGTCACGGCGATATCGTTCGTTGCTTACTTGCATCATCTTCTTCAACTGCGATGACGACTGATAGTCAAAACGTGCTGCACTTATACACCGGAGGCGAAGACTCTTCAGTGTGCTCGTGGACGACAACGAAAGACGAAGGTCATAATAATAATAACAATAACAACAATGATAACAATAATAATAATAACAACAACAACAACAACAACGTTGGCTTTGGAGGAGGCGCGATGAGGAACAGCCCATCGTCTTCGATCAGAAGCGGTCGCGAATCTCCGTATTAGTTTCTTCGTGTTTCAAAAACCGCGTAGAAAAATAGCAGAAATAATAATTTTAGAGTAATAGGAATCGTAATCGATTTTATCAACAACAACACGCTTAGTATTAAATCATTTCTCTCTCTCTTTCTCTCTACTCTTTCTATTACATGTACTATGTAAAAACCGCACGACGCTCGTCCCCCGGTCGCAACTCAAATTATACACACAACAAAATATGTCCAGAATATGATCTAATAATAATAATAATAATAAAAGTCACAAACGTCTTCTCACGTATCATATACACGCCGCGTAAGAAGTTACTTCGTCGCGTATTATTATTTATTTATTTATTCGTCTTCCACTGGAATAAATCTCCAAATTACCGCCATCATCGATCCCATAATCGCCATCCAGACGACCGAAACCGCCGAAGGCACTCTCACCAAGAATTCCGGGAAGTGCAAACTCGCCAACAAGAACCCAAATGCGCTCGATTTCATCGCCGTTTCAATCGCGCACGTTCTGCACGTCGTCTCCGAGTACTTGAATATCTTCATTCCCCAATACCCGAGCGCACCACCGAGTAAGTGCAACAAGAACGCGCCAACTTGTAACTTCATCCCGGCGTTCAAAATGCCCTCCGCGCATTGGGCGACGGACCCGCCGACCAAAATAACCGTCATGATGACTCCGACGATCGGGCAAAACGGCTCCACCGTTCGGCACGTTTTCGGCGTCACTTTGTTCAAAGTGACACCTAACACGACGGGCACCAAAACAACTTTAATCGTGCTTATCGCCATCCCGATTGCGTTCACGTCCACAATCGCGCCCAACGCCAACTTGCAAATCAACGGCGTCATAAAAATGCACCCAATCGTGGTCGCTGTCGTCATCAACACGGACAACGCCACGTCTCCTTTCGCGATGTACGCGCACAAGTTCGACGCTTGGCCGCCGTTAATGCTTCCAACCAAAATCAAACCTGCTAACAACGGCCCGCTTAAACCGATGGCGTTGCCGATGACGAAAGCCAACGCCGGCATAGCCACGTAGCAGTACAAGAATCCGAGACCAATGACGTCTGGTTTCTTAAACACTCTCAAAAAGTCGTCGATAGTTAACGTGATTCCCATGGAAAACATCAACAACGCCAAGCAAAACGTAATCATCGGCGTGGTCATGAAATTGAAAAACGCCGGTTTCGTCAGCGCCAACGCCGCGGAGAGCACGGTCCATAACGGGAACAAGTTGCTAAATAACGCGGAGAACTTCGAAAACGAGTCCATGGCGGTCGCGGCAGAAACACGAAGTCCACCATTTCCCATCGTGGCTTTGCGTTTTTGCATGAAACCTCTTTTGTTCGTTTTCGTCGAATTCGTTGTCACCAACATCAAGGTTTTTGAAGACGATTCCAGCGAAGAAGAAGAAGAGGTCTTTTCACCACCAACATCCTCGCCTCTTCTGCTTTTCATCATCATCATCGCTTTTGTGGTGGTATTCGTGGCTTCGCCTCTTCTGTTTACTCTTCTTTGACTTCTCGTCTTTGGAATCGTCGTCGTCTGAATCGTCTTTTGCTTCTTAAAAGAAGAAGATAAAGACGAACGCTGCTGCATCATATCTGCTAAAGACGAGGACGATTGCATCATTTTCCTCTTATTAACTTCTTCTTCTCCCTCTTATATATGCTCTCTCTTTATATATATACTCTCTCGTATGCTTCGCTTTTGCGACTTTTAGAAGAGAGTAGTAGTATTATATCCGATTATTATTATTATTGGCAGTTTAGGTTGTGCGCAAAGTGATACTAATAATAATAATAAAGGTCAGAAAGAAGAAGAAGAAGAAGAAGAGAAGAAGAAAAAGGATGGAACGCACGTGGCAAAATTTCAACAAAGAGAGGCGAACATTTTTGCGTGATTTTTGAGAGCCCACACGAAAGTGAACGAACGAGCGCTCTCTCTCTCTCGATTGCTCTCAAAGAAACAACGCACGAAAAAACTTTTTTTGTGTGTCGAGTGTTTTTTTTTGTTTGTGTTGTGGATCGAGATATTTTTTGGTCTTTTCCAATCAAAAACTCTTTTTTTTATTCAAAAAAGCAGTTAAAAAACACCTTGAAGAGAGACTCGAATCTTCTTTAAAGTAACCGCACGCGCAACAGAAGAAGAGAAAGAACTTATTAAAAAGTGTCTCTTTTCTCCTCCTAAAATCCTCATTACGTTTCTTTTTGTGATCTCATCATTAAAAGAAGTTTATTTTCTTTTTTGTCTTCTTCTTAGTTGAATGATGACGATGATGATGACGACGAGTTCAACCGCATCATCCGCCGTCGGAAACAATTCGATCGCGTGTACTCATAAAACGCGAAACGTTGTTTCTTCCAGATCTTCGATCAAAACGCAACAACACCAACAAAGAAAAGCAATCTCGATGAGTAGGAAAGCGACAAAAACTTTGACGAGAAGATCTCAAACGAGAAGAGGCGCTTCAGTCGTCGTTTACGCGAGTCAAGACGATGGATTCAAAGTTGCCGTTTTAGGCGCCGCTGGTGGTATCGGGCAATCGCTCTCTTTATTGCTCAAAATGAATCCGATGATTTCTGAGTTAGCGCTGTATGATGTCGGACAAATCGTCAAAGGTGTGGCCGTGGACTTGTCTCACTGCAACACCGCGTCCACCGTGAATGGTTTTTGCGGCAACGAAGAGCTCGGAGAAGCTCTGAAAGGATGCGATTTAGTCATCATACCGGCGGGCGTGCCTCGTAAACCGGGGATGACGAGAGACGATTTATTCTCCATTAACGCCGGCATCGTTCGAGATTTGACGCAAGGTGTGGCCGATCACTGCCCGAACGCAGTCGTGGCGATTATTTCCAACCCGGTAAATTCGACCGTGCCGATCGCGTGCGAAGTGATGAAGCAAAACGGGAAATTCGACAAGAGGAAAATTTTGGGCGTGACGACGTTGGATATCGTGAGATCGGACGAATTCGTTTCGACTTTGAAAGGTTTGGACGTGAACGACGTGGACGTGCCGGTGATTGGTGGTCACGCCGGTATCACCATCTTGCCGTTGTTGTCGCAAACGTTCCCGCAAACGTCGTTTAGTGAGAAAGAAACGGAAGATTTGACCATTCGCATCCAAAACGCCGGGACGGAAGTCGTCGAAGCTAAAGCCGGTGGCGGTTCGGCAACTTTGTCCATGGCATATGCCGCCGCGCGTATGGGTGAGGCTATTTTGAGAGGCTTGAGTGGCGAATCTGACGTGTACGAGTGCTCGTACGTTTCCTCCGATATTGTTCCGGACATGCCGTTCTTTGCGACCAAGTGCAAGTTGGGCAAAGAAGGCGTCGAAGAAGTGTCGCCGATTGGCGACATCACCGCCTACGAACAAGAATGGTTGGACAAATTAAAACCAGAGTTGAAAGCGCAAATCGATAAAGGAATTTCCTTCATCGCCGATGCCCCGCAAAAGATTTAAATGTATCTTGATGCGTTACTAAAATATATATTATTAAAATATATAATTTAACTCATCTCATCATCATCGTCATCATCATCATCGGCTTCGGCTTCAAAAAGAATACGAGAGAGAAAGAGAGAATATAATACAAGTTTAAATACACCACCAGTATGAATATAATCAACCGCTACCTACTAACGCACATCAGTGTACTTATTTTGAGATAATACTATATATTATTGTTGTTACAGCAAACGCTATCTCTTTCACTCGCCTAATAATCTATGATTCTTCACACCGCCGCTTTTGAAATTGTTGTCGACCAAATGTCCTCCTTCTTCTCGTCATCCTCCTCGTTGTCGTCGTTGTCAACGAATCGATTGTGCGTGCCACCAACTCCGCCGGGTTGATAAAACGGGAACTTCAAAACTTCGTTCGCGGATGTGCTCTTTGACATGATCACTTTCTTTTGTTGTTGTTGTTGTTGTTTCGCCATCTCTTTTGCTTGTTTGAGAAGATTGAGATCTTCTTCGGAATCGTCGTCCATGTCCTCTTCCTCTTCCTCTTTTTCCTCTTCTGCTTCTTCTTCGACCATCATATCTTCTTCTAAGTCGCTGTCTGATGATTCTAAATCTACCCCGTTGAAGAGTAAATATTGTCGATCGTCTTCGTCTTTGCCTTCGAAGAAATCCTCGTACACTTCCCACGGATCGCACTCGAAAATATTCACATCCGAGTAGTTTTCTTCGTGTTTTTTCAACTGATCAAACCCAAAAGTTTTGTAAATCTCCGTTCTCGAGGGATCTTTGAAGCACAGGTACGCGACCGTGAGCTTTTTAAAGTCTAAAGTCGCTTTGTGCGCGCGAGTGAGTAGTATGGAGTTCTTCTTCTTGTTGTTGTTGCTCTTCTCCCTCTCGTCGTCGCTCTCGTCGTCGTTTAAAGAGCAACAATACATCTCTCTCAGTTCGCTCCCTTTCTCGCCAAACGCGGACAAATCTTTAATCAACACCAACTCCCCGTTCTTTTCCATCTCGAGATACGCGTTTTCCGTCTCGTCGCGTCTGCCTTTGTTCGTCGAAAAATTCGTTCGCATCTTTTTCTTCTTCTTCTTCTTCTCCAAACACACTCGACAAATATCCGTCAAATCATCCGCCGTTTCTCCTCCGTCTCGTTCATCTTTTTCTCCGCTTCTACTTCTCGAACCGGTGGTGGTGGTAAACCTGTACCATCTTCCCAACTCTAAAAGCATGCCGCATTGATCGCACCACCCTCGCATCCTCCCGCTTGACGCCGCGTTATAACTCGGATGCAATCGTTGACTGAGTTTGTGATACTTACTTCTCGCGACGTCCGCGTTGATTTTCAACGACGACGACGACGACCGCTTACCATTTGTCTTCAACTTCAGTTCAAGGAAAAAGTCAAACGCGTCGTTCAGTTCGATATTCCCTCGTTCAAATCTCGTGCGTTGTTGTTCTTCTTCCTCTTTGTCTTCTTCTTTGTCTTCATCTCCTTCTTTATTAGAGAAGTAATCTTTCTTTCGAAACGCGCGTATTTGATTCGTCTCCGAAATCGTTCTCGACCCGAGCATATTCTTTCCTTTTTCTTTCACCATCTGGTGTATTAAAACTCGAACTGGGAGAGACAACTGCGTCTCGGAAAACGTGATGGAATTGTTGTTTTTACTGTTGTCGTTGTTGTCCTTAAGAAACGCCTCGAACTCTTTCAACACGGACTCGGGAATACTGCCGTCGCCGTCGTTTTGGCGGCTTTCATCGTTGTCGTTGTTGCTTTTTAAATGACTCTCATCATTAACAGTGCTCTTCTTCTTCTTCTCCTTTTCCTCCTCCTCTTTTTCTCGTCGCACTTCTTTTGATTCTTCTTCTTCTTCTCTCGTCATCATCTCATCAGCTCTGTCCGTGATGATGATTTTGATGAATCGATGACTTTTTATCAGAGACTCTTAAATTATATAAGAGTTGAGCACAGAGAGAGTAGTACTCCTACAGTAAGTGTCTTTTCACAAAGAACGAAAGAATCAAAGAATCAAAGGGATATCTCTCTCGGTCTGATGAGACTCTCTGAAATAATGACTGTCTCTTAACAGACTTATATGATACTAAGTTTGTTGTGTGTTTAAACAACTGTCTTTTTATGAATTAATTTCTCCCTTTAAAAAAAATTGCTTCTTTTTTTTGTCAAACACTTGTCCGACAGTCCAAAAATGTATTCAAATCGAACCTTACATTTCTTCATTTTTGCATTCACACCATACACGAGTGACAACAACAACAGAGTCGTCGTCGTCTCGTCTTTAGTAAATTATTAAACGACGACACAGTGAAGACGAGACGACTTTATAATAAAAACAACACGAAGAACAACAACGCGACTTTTATGACGATGGGAGGAGAAGAAAACAAGAGCGATTCAGAAAACGAGGGAGGAGGACGAAAGAAGAAAAAAGTGTTAACAACAAGGTTCGATTTACCGAAAGAATCCGAGTTACGAGTGGAGTGTAAATTGAATCGGTTTTTCCACGTCGCCGTTGTGCCAAACTCCGGGACGTGCGAGATTTTTGGAAGCGAAATTGGATCGTCGTCGTCTTCTGCTTTATCATCGAGTGGTGGTGTATCATCAAGCGTTGGTGGTACGAATACCACGAAGAAAAAGTTGGGAGGCGGGAAGTGGGCGTTTTTCACGTACTCTGGGTGCACGATTGAACTGGAAGAAACGAATCAGACGAATGCGACGAATGCGAATTCGAAGATTCATCTGACAACGAAGAAGACGAGCGGTGAAGGCGCCGGCGGCGAGGATTTTGGTGACGATACGGGAACAAGAAACGAGGATTCAGACGACGATTTAGAAAAGAGTGGAGACGAAGAGGATAAAGATAAAGAAGAAGAACAAGCGATCGAAATAGCGTACGTTTCCGAGGAAACGCCGATGGTGAGTTACTTGAACGTGCACGGCGTATTAGAGGCGAAGCGAAAGAAGGCGAGAGATTGCTCGTCCGCTTTAGTATCGAGCGACGACGCGGTAAACGAGATGGAGAAAGAAGAGGAGGAAGAAGATACAAAGAAGAAGAGGAAGAGAGGAGAAATAGTAGAAGGAGAAGAGCAACAGGAGGAAAAAGAAAACGATGGGGTTCGTCAAAAATCATCCGCGGGTCCGCGAGTGTTAATCGTTGGCCCGGCTGACGTCGGGAAATCTTCCTTGTCGAAAATCCTCATCAATTACGCCGCGCGACAAGCGTGGTCGCCTTTATTCATCGATTTAGATCTAGGCCAAAACGCTATTTCAGTCCCGGGAACGATATCGGCCGCTCCAATCGATCACCCGATAAATCCGTTCGAGGACGGCGCGCACGTGAAATCTGAAATGCCTCTCAGTTACTTTTTTGGCGACGTGACGGTTACGGAAAACTCGAAAGAGCACTATAAATTTCTCGTAGAGAAAATAGCGGAAATGATGGAGGCGAGAAACTCGAAAAACGAACACGCCAGACATTCCGGGTGCATAGTGAACACCATGGGATGGATCGAAGGGTTAGGCTTAGAGTTGATCTTACACGCCGTGAAAAGCTTAGAGATTGATACGGTTTTGTGTTTAGGCCAAGAGCGATTGTTTCAAACGTTATCGAAACAGTTCGCGAAAGACGCCGCTTTGGCGCAGCAGCAACAGCAAAAGAACAAGAAAAACAAGAAGAAAACATCAAGTAGCGATGATGATGGTAAAAAAGTCGATGCGGCGGTTGAGATTCTCTCTTTGAAGAAATCCGGGGGCGTGGTTGAACGAACGACCGAGTTCAGACGTAAAACTAGAGACGATCGGTTTCGCGAATACTTTTACGGGTTCGATTTTGTCTCGAATCCTCTCTCGCCGGTGGCGCAATCGGCGTTTTTCTCCTCCGTTTCCTTTTATAAAGTTGGCGGGGGGGCGAAAGCCCCAACGTCTGCGTTACCGATCGGTCAAGAAGCGAGCACGGACCCGATGCGAGTCGCTTCTGTGATCCCATCCATGTCTTTAGTCAACGCCATCGTTGCGGTTTCGCACGGTAAAACGCAATCGGATTTGTTAACCTCAAACGTCGCCGGGTTCATTCACATCGTCGAGGTTGATATGCACGCCAAACGTTTCACGTACTTGAGTCCGAACCCGGGGCAGTTGCCGAACACGAACTTGATCGTCGGCAACGTGAAATGGTTCCCGGAGAATTAATAATAAAAATTACTATAAAAAATTACTATCGTCTAAAAGTCATCCTCCTTTCCTTGTCAGCCAGCTTCCTTTTTTCGTCGTCGTCGTCTGAGTCGTCGCGTTGTTGCTACTCTCGTCGGTTCTGCTACTCCTATTATCATTATTATTATCATCAAACGCTGCTTTTTCGACGAAATCCTTATAGTTCTTCTCTCTCACCGTCTCTCTCCATCTCTTCAACTCCTCCAACTCTTCGACCACGTCTTCTAAACTCTCTTTCGTTAACTCCATCAACTTTGTCAGCTGTTGCCTTTCCACGGCGGCTATTTTTTTCTTCTCACGTTCGCGTTCGTTCGATTTCTCGGCTTCCCAATACACCAACCCTCCGGCGACGGAAAAGAGAAAGATCTCCGACACTAACTCCGCTCCGTTCGTCAAGGCGACGTCGTCCGACAAAGGTTTCACGTATTGGTGGTGCGAAGACGAAGACGCTCCGGAGGACGATTTACTCCGACCTCTGGTCACCACAATCTCTAACGGTTTCCCACTTTTTGTATCCATCACCGTCGTCGTCGCTGGTTTTCGTGGTATCGGCGCTTCTAACACGATGTACGAATACATGACGTTGATTTTCTGCGCCAAGGAAATGCACGTCTTTTTCAGCTCTGGTTGACTGACGATGAAGGATTTCAACGATTTCGCCATCGGTTTGGAGACTGTTTTCAGAACCAACGAGAACGCTTTCACGTATAACGCCATTTTCTTGTTGTTAGTATTAGTCTCTTCTTTTTGCAAACGAAACTACTGTCTTCGTAATGTCTGTGTTATCTGTTTTGGATATAATGGATGAAGTAATTTGAATGACTCAATTCCGCAACGCAATGTATAGAATCGCGAGGATTTGTTTCGTCGTCGTTTCCTCCTCCTAATCCTCAAGCACGACTCCTCCTACTACCACCAAAACCAGAACCAAAAACGCTCTCTTCTTCTTAAAGACTGAAACTCTTTGAAACTTTTGTTAATAAACACAATAATAATAATAATAAAGAGTGATGTGTTTGTTGTTAAAAATTGAGAAACGAACTTGAGTTTTAATGTGGACAAATAAAGGACGAGACGTACGATTTTTTGCGCGCGTTATTAGTGTTTACAAAAAAACTATTCTTATTCAAAGAAGTCTAATTATCGATTATTCTGAATGGCCTGGCACGTGGAGCTCTCCGTCTTTGTAAGACCAACCAGGTGGGAGAGGACAGTTATTGTCGAGGAGGTATTTTAAACATTCGGTTTGGTTGTTGTTGTGTGCGTATATTACGGCGTCCTCGTCCCACGGCGCTTTGGCGGTTTCGTGTAAGTACTTCACACAGTCTAAGTGACCTTTCTCGGCCGCAAACTGACACTCAAATCCGCTATATTTATCAAACTTACGCTCGACAAGATATTCGAGTATGTGAAGATGACCATTTAAAGCCGCCCATCGGGCAGTTAGCGAATCCCAAGGCGCTTTGACTTCTTCGTGTAAGTATTTGAGGCACTCGAGTTGACCTTCTAAGGCAGCACATGCACACGTTCCCGCATCAAGAGGACACTCATTTGCCACGCAATACTTTACCATTTCCAGATTACCTTGGTCTACGGCCGCTCTAATCGTCCTATAATCCCATTCACACTTTTTCTCCTCTCGTATCCACTTGAGCAACTCGAGTTTATTCGTGTAAGCAACTTCCCAGCAGAAAGATCTTTCGTCTTCTAAGTCACCCGACCACAACGATTTATGCTCCCACGCAACTTCCAACGTCGATATCGACGACATATCTTTGACCATGAAACTCTTCTTCAAATCGCTCTCGCGAGACGATCTCTTCATCAACTTTCTCGTCTCACCATTCACCTCGTACAAAAACTTCACATCGTTCGAATTCAGTTTCGGCAAGATATGAGTGAAACAAATATCGTCGCACTTCACGACCACATCCCACAACAAAGAATCTCGAAACTCCCAAATCATCCGTCTTCTTTTCTGCCCTCTCGTCCTTAAAATCACTCCTTCTCTTCCTCTCTCAGAAGACATATCGATGATGACTTTTTGGCGTCTTTCTCTCTCTCTCCCAAAGTCTTTTATTATTAAAAACGTTTCATCTTCATCGCGCGTGTTGTTGTTTTTACACTCATGTTTTTCTTCCCCTCAATTGCGTGTGTTGTTTTTTGCCTTCAAAAAAAATTCATCATGCATCTTTTGTGTTTTCTTTCTTCTTTTTCTGCCCTGATGAAAAAATTTTTCTCTGTTGTGTGTTCTTTCTCAAAAAATTTGCCCTCAAAATAATTTCTCCTTTTAAAAAAAAGAGCAAAAACTTTTTCACTCATTCACTCGCCTAAAACAGAAGAAGAAGACGAAGAAGAAGAAGAATTGAAGAAAAACCTTCTTTTCTTTTCCTCGTTCAAAGAAGACACCAGAACTATTACGAAGAAGAAGAAGACAACGACACACTTTAAAAGAGAGAACTTTTACTCTTAAACGGTTTTATTGAGAGCGGTGTTTTTATCAGAGAGGAGTGTGTTATAATAAAGATGACGAAAGAAGACGACGACGACGACGAGGAAATCATCATCGAACGTTTGCAACGAGAGAGACGACAAAAACGGATGAATGTCGACGAGAAAGAAGAAGACAAAGAAGATTCTTTTTTATCTTCAGACGAAGAGAAGAACGATGATACGAATAAAAAGAATAATCGTCAAAAGCGACGGTTGAAATCGTTCACCATGCCCGCGAACGCGACGAAAGACTTCATCTTTCAAAGCGGAAAAGGAGAAGACGATCAGGAGGAAGAGGAAGAAGAATTACTCTATCGAGAAAAGTTTGGCACCTCGAAGAAAATTTCAGATCGAGAAAACGAATACAAAAAAAGACGGTTTCAGAGACAACTCTCGCCGGAACGACGAGAAGGCGTTTTAAAAAAGGATTCCTCCTCTGACAACGAGCAAAAAGGAGGAGAAGAATCAAAAAGAGGGTACAAAGAAGCCATGAGAGAACAAATGTTCGCGAGAGAAAAAGAAGAGACGATGAGGAACATCGAGAGAAAGAGAGAGCGAGAGCGGGAGGAGCAGAAGAGGAGGGAAATGTTTTCTTCTATCAAAGCCGACGACGTCGAGGAAAAGAAGAAGGAGACAACAGAAGAAGAAGCTCCAAATTTGGAGGAAAAGAAGAGAAAGAGAAAGAGTCGGTGGGATAAGACGACGAACGGGAATGAAAAGAACGAGGAAAAAGAGGAGAATGTTGTTGTCGCGAGAACGATGGACGACTCCGCCGCGAATACCGAGAAGGTCAAGGAGCACCGCCGACGTTTGCAAAACGATGCGTGGGACGACGACGACGATGACGCCTCGCAATCGGTTGGGAATAAGAAAGGAGGAGTCACGAACGAGTGGGACGACGACGATTCGACGACGAAAGCAACCAAAAAGAAGCCGAAAAGAAACCGATGGGACGACGCGACGCCGAGAAACCAAACACAACCTTCTTCGACGCAAACAACGGGGACACGAAGGAAAGCGAGCAGATGGGACGAGACGCCGAGAAATGAACCAAGCGTCATGATGATGCAAACGCCGATGATTAATGGGGGTGGATTAGGATCCGAGACGCCGTTAATGACTGGTTCAACGTCTGCGTTTATGCAAACGCCCGCTCGATCCTCTGAATTCGGAGGAGGTCAACAACAGATTCCGATGACACCGGATCAGTTACGATCGGCCCGACACGACCGAGAGATGGAAGAACGGAACAGATTTATGACGGACGACGAGCTCGATGCGGTCTTACCAGGTTTGCCGCAATACAAAATACTCGAACAACCGAAAAACTACGTCCCGCTCCGAACGCCGGCGAGAAAGGCGCAGTTTTCACTCGGCGGTCAAACGCCGTTGTCTTCCGCCGGAGGAGCAGGAAATGGTGGTGGTGGTTTCTCTATTCCAGAGGAGAATCGCACGCAAATGTTTGACGTCCCAGACGTCCCGGAGGATTTACCGACGATGAAAGCGGAAGATTACCAGTATTTCGCTCCGTTGTTGAAAGAAATCGACGAAGACGCTTTGTCCATCGAAGAACAAAAGGAACGGAAAATCATGAAGCTTTTATTAAAAGTCAAAAATGGTTTACCACCGCAAAGAAAGTCAAGTTTGCGTCAGTTGACGGACAAAGCGAGAGAGTTAGGCGCTGGGCCGTTGTTCAACCAAATCTTGCCTCTGTTGATGTCGCCGACGTTGGAAGATCAAGAGAGGCACTTGCTCGTGAAAGTCATCGATCGAATCTTGTACAAATTGGACGACTTGGTCAGACCGTACGTGCATAAAATCTTAGTCGTTATCGAACCTCTGTTGATCGACGAGGATTACTACGCGCGCGTGGAAGGTCGAGAAATTATCGCCAACCTTTCCAAAGCGGCGGGATTAGCGACGATGATTGCCGCCATGCGACCAGACATCGATAACGTGGACGAGTACGTGAGGAACACGACTGCTCGAGCGTTTGCGGTCGTCGCGCACGCGTTGACCATACCAGCTTTACTCCCATTCTTAAAAGCGGTGTGTCAGTCAAAAAAATCGTGGCAAGCGAGACACACCGGGGTGAAAATTGTTCAACAAATCGCCATCCTCTCCGGCGTCGCCGTGTTGCCGCACTTGACGAAATTAGTGCAAATCATTGAATCCGGTTTGGAAGACGAGAATCAAAAAGTACGAATGATTTCCGCTTTAGCCATCGCGGCGTTAGCGGAAGCTTCGACGCCGTACGGGATTGAATCCTTCGATTCCGTTTTAAAGCCGTTATGGAAAGGCATCCGATCGCATCGCGGCAAAACGTTAGCGGCGTTTTTGAAAGCCATCGGGTATATCATTCCTTTGATGGACCCGGTTTACGCGTCGTATTACACGAAAGAAGTCATGGTGATTTTGATCAGAGAATTTGCCACCGCGGACGAGGAGATGAAGAAAATTACTTTGAAAGTGGTCAAGCAGTGCGTGCAAACGGACGGCGTCGATAGCGAATACGTCCGAACGGAAATTATTCCTCCGTTTTTCAAAAACTTTTGGGTGAGAAGAACCGCGTTAGATAGGAGAAATTACTTGGCATTAGTGGAAACGACTTTGGAATTAGCGTTAAAAGTAGGCGCTTCCGATATAATCTCTAAAATTGTCGAAGATTTAAAAGACGAATCCGAGCCGTTTCGACGAATGGTCATGGAATGCGTGACGAAGGTTGTCGAACACTTGGGCGTTTCCGACGTGGACCAAAGGTTGGAAGAATTACTGGTCGATGGCGTCTTGTACTCGTTCCAAGAGCAAACGCAAGACGAGAACGACATCATGTTGAACGGTTTCGGTACCGTCGTCAACGCTCTCGGTCAAAGAGCGAAACCGTACTTGCCGCAAATTTGCGGCACGATCAAATGGCGCCTGAACAACAAAAATCAAGACATTCGTCAACAAGCGGCAGATTTGATTTCAAAAGTCGCGCCGGTCATGAAAGTGTGCGAAGAAGAGCAATTGATTTGCCATTTAGGTGTCGTCTTGTACGAATATTTGGGCGAAGAGTATCCGGAAGTTTTAGGATCTATCTTGGGCGCTTTGAAATCCATCGTCGCCGTCGTCGGCATGTCGAAGATGACGCCGCCGGTGAAAGATTTGTTGCCGAGATTGACGCCTATTTTGAAAAACAGGCACGAAAAAGTGCAAGAAAACTGCGTGGATTTAGTTGGAAGAATTGCCGATCGTGGCGCAGAGTTTGTTCCCGCGAAAGAGTGGATGCGGATCTGTTTCGAATTGTTGGAGCTTTTGAAGGCGCGGAAGAAAGCCATTCGAAGAGCGTCGGTGAATGCGTTCGGGTACATCGCCAAAGCGATCGGACCGCAAGACGTCTTAGCGACGCTTTTAAACAACTTGAAAGTGCAAGAAAGGCAAAACAGAGTGTGCACGACGGTGGCTATAGCCATCGTCGCGGAAACGTGCGCGCCGTTCACCGTCTTGCCGGCGCTGATGAACGAGTACCGAGTGCCGGAGATCAACGTCCAAAATGGCGTTTTGAAATCCTTGGCGTTCTTGTTCGAATACATCGGCGAGATGGGGAAGGATTACATCTATGCCATTGCGCCTTTAATTGAAGACGCGTTGATGGACAGAGATATCGTGCACAGACAAACCGCGTGCGTGGCGGTGCGGCATTTACTCTTGGGTTGCGCTCGATTGAATTGCGAAGACGCGGCGACGCATTTGATGAATTTCGTCTGGCCAAACGTGTTTGAACAATCCCCGCACGTCGTAAACGCGGTCAACGAAGCCATCGAAGCGTCGAGAGTGACGTTAGGTCCGGCGTATACCTTGTCTCACTTAGTGCAAGGCTTATTTCATCCAGCGAGAATGGTTCGAGAGCGATATTGGCGCTTGTACAACAACTTGTACGTCGGATCGCAACAGAGTTTAGTCGCCGCGTACCCTCGATTGAAAGACGATCAAGAGAACGTGTACAAAAGACACGAGTTGGAAATGGTTTTGTGATTTTTGAGTATGATACTAGTAGTGTGTGTTTTCTGCGTTTGTACTATTTTACTCTACTACTTTTACTGCTATTATACTCCTTTCTTTATCACCCGAAAACATTCTCTCTTCTTCTTCTTCTAAATAAAAGTCATCGAAACTACTAGTACTCCCTAGGAGTCATCAATCAATCAATCAATCAAAATCGCTATCCTCGTCGCTTTCCGTCTTGTGGAACCCTCTCTTCATGCGTCTGTTTGCTAACTCTCTCATCACCTCCTCCTTATCGATTTGTTCGTCTCCTTTCTCCTCCTCTTCAATGGCCTTCTCTTCCTCTTCAACAGCGCCCGCCTCTAACAACCGTTTCTCTAAAGCCATCGTCTTGTAATCGTCCTTATTTCCGAAATCCTCGAACCCGACGATTCGATCGAACGCGACGCCGTTTTTGAACAAGATCAAACACGGCAGAACTTTCACGTTTAATTTTTCCGTAAAGAACGGCAAATCCGGCGCGTTTGCCTTCATAAATCTCGTCTGGAAATACTTCTGACTCAAGCTTTGCAAGTGTTTGTCGAGAATTTTGCACCTCTCAAACTCGTCCAAGGAGAAGTGCACGACGCACGTATGCGAAGACGTGACCGCGGACAAGAAGTCTTCCTCCGCGATCGAGGAGTACGACCCGTGGCCTAACCGTTCCATCTCGAACCGGAGCTTTTGTTCTGTTTTTTGTTGTTGTTGTAATAATAATAATAATAATAATAATGATAATCGTTAGTAAAGTAAAGTAAAGCAACGTAAAGCAAAGAACGAACAATCGCGAAGAATGTTTTACGTTAACGTCGTCGTCGTACCATTTTTCAGCTCTTCCAGTCGTTTCTCCTTCATCTCTTGTTGGACAGAATCCTCATCCATTTCTTCTTCCTCGTTGTTCAAGTTTATCGTGTTATTCCTCCTCCTTCTCGATAGTAAATCATCCTCATCAAAATCTTCTTTCTCTAAAATTTCTTTTTGGTAATCTCTCGCCGCTCGTTCCATCACGTGGCCGTAGTTTAACGAGCTCATCGTCGATTGGAAGTTTTCCGATTTTGAAAATCCGTTTGTGGTCGTCATTTTGTGTTTATTGTTGTTTAAGAGTATTCAACGGCACGAGTTCCTTCTTGCACTTTCCTTTAAGCGACGACTACTACTCTCGTTGTTGTTATTCTTGCGTGAATAGAAACAATTTCTTTCGTCGTCGACGAAAGAAGCTTTTTTGTGTGCGCGTTACTCTTAAAAGTGTCGTCTGATAATGTGTTCGTCGTTTCTTTCTAAAGTCTCGTCGTTTAAGTAAAAGTCAACGCTTTTTTGTTCAAATTCAAAAAAAAAAAAAAAGATTTTGATCAGGAAAAAAAGAGTGCGATACTTCTGTCTTTAGAATGAGATACCTTTTTACATCGCACGATTCACGAGAAACGACTAATGTTAAATGCGATGCTCAACCTCTAAAAATAAATTTGTTGTCTTTTTGTTCTTCTTCTCGTATTTTGGACTGAAAAATTGTTTTGTAAGGATAAGCACCATTTTGTACGGACGTAAGTGTCTTCGCCAAAATAATACATAAAATACACACGAAGAAGAAGAAGAATACTTTTTTGCTCATAAGAAAACGATCTGATGAACCAACCCATCGTGACGACGGGAGAAGAGTGCGAGAGCACACCCCCTTTGCCGTTGTGGCGTTTGTTCAGAGAGGCGTTGCTGAGTGGCGGCGCGTGTCGCGATATCGTGGAGAAGCATGTGATGTGTAAACTGAATCGAACCGATCTTAAATTCTTTTACGAGGTGAATACGGAGACGAGAAAGTTGATTAAGAGATCATCTCGCAAGGGGGAGTTGAAAAAAGGGTTTAAAGTGAGAGAGATGTCGTCGATATCGACGTTGGAGATTGCGTGGGAGCATAAATCGTCGTGGCGGGATTACTTAAAAGACGAAACAGATTTCTGCTGGCAAGTTGCTGGAACGAATAAACTCGAGTTGCTCAAGTGGGCGCGAGAGGAGAAAAAGTGTGAGTGGAATGTAGGGACGATTAATATGGCCGCAGACCAAGGCAATCTGGAAATGGTAAAGTATTGCGTTGCAAATAAGTGTCCTGTCAAAGAGTTTGCGTGTGCAAAAGCTGCCAAAAACGGTCATCTCGAGGTATTCAAATACTTACGCGAAGAAGGCAAAGCGCCTTGGGATTCGAGAACTGCCGCTTGGGCTGCTGAAAATGGTCATCTCCACATACTCGAATATCTTGTCGAGCGTAAGTTTGATAAATATAGCGAACTTGCGTGTATGCGTGCGGCCAAGTACGGCCACTTGGACTGTTTGAAGTACTTACACGAAACCGCCAAAGCGCCTTGGGACGAGGACGCCGTATACCACGCACACAAGAACAACCACCCCGAATGTGTACAATACCTCCTCGACAACGACTGTCCTCTCCCGTCCAATTGGCGATACGAACACGGAGAGTTACACGTTCCAGAATAATAGCATCGTCATCATCATCGTCATAAACATATACGCGCGTGTTACATTAGATTTTTTTTTTAAGAGCAGCGAAAAGACTCAAATAAGACTCTCGAACAAGGTAACAAAAACACCATTAAAACACCACGTTTACTCTTCTACTTCACATCTCTCTCTTAAGAAAGTAGTATTAAAATGGCAAACCCCTCCACTACTGCTGCAAAAGCCGAAACAACTGCGGCGGATAAAGGAGCACCTGCACCACCACCACCGGCGTACGAGTCTCTGAAGAATAAAAACGACGACGATGTGTCGAACACCAACGCGTCCTCTGATTCGCCTTTGAATCATCCAAACGCTCCTCCTGCTTCAACAGAGGAGAACGAGAGAACTTCTTCCTCTCGGTTCGAGAAGCTCACCGCGCGCGAGTTACTCGCAATCTCCCCCAACAGCGATCAACTTCTCTCTTCCTCCTCGGAAAATGGAGAGAAAGATGAAGAGGAAACGCTCAAATGCGAAGTGGGCGATCCGAAGAAGATTGGGCAAGGTGAGTGCATAAAAGATTATCTGTGTTTTAATTCGGCATTTGTTTTCTCTTAATTTAACAGATGATGATACGTTTGATACTCACCATCCATTCTCTCTCTGTGTGTAACGCTCTGCGCATTATGATGACGCTTAAAACGAATCTACTGTTGCGTAACAACAAAAATTATTATACTTCAAAGGCTTGACGGCGTACGCGGCGTATACGATCAAATCAGAATCCACCTGTCGCTCGTACAAGAAAGCGAGCGCGCAAGTCGAACGACGATACTCCGATTTCGAGTGGTTGAGGAATAAACTGTTACAAAACTACCCCGGGATTGTTTTGTACAAGTTACCGGAGAAAATATCCGTCGCAGATCCATTCGATGAGGAATTTTTGGAGAAGAGAAGAGTCGGGTTCGAACAGTTTATGAAAGCGGCGTGCGAAAACGAAGAGTTGAAATTGAGCAAAGTTTTGATGCAATTTTTGTGCGACGATCAGTTGGAAAAAGAACCGTGGTACGCGAAAGTGAACGCGACGTCCGCGTTGGATGGCATCGGGTCTATGTTCAGCGGGTTAGGGAACGAGGACGAGTCGGTTCCAAGTAACTCGTCGAATAACAACACGCCGAACAAAATGAATTCTGCGAATACGAATACAAACAACACGAACAACAACATTAACAGCGAGTCTCCGGGGGGTGAACAAGCGACGACCACGTCGTCGGGAAACAAAGAAGATCCGGACTTTGCCGCTTTATCCAGCTACATCAAAAAGCTCGAGAAAGAACTCAGAGTCTCCGTCGACGTCGCCGAGCAAGTCATTTTGAGTTTCTACTCGTTGGCGATGCTTTCCGAAGCGATGGGCGAAAACGCCTCGTTCTTGGGCGACTGCGAAACCAAAGGGGCGCAAATGTTGCTGAAATCGAACCAAGCCGGCGGGTTAGGTAAAGCGTTCAAGAAAACCGGCGAAGCGATGAAGGCTATGAAAGATCCGATGGAACGTCGATCGAGAGATTTGAGCAAGCAGTTTCGGCAACCGTTGGTGTGGGCGAAACACTTGAGCGAGAGTTGCAAAGAAAGCACGGAAGCTCGAGCGAAGTGTTTGTACGACGTCGTTCAAGCGAAGAAACGGCTAGAACAGGCTTCAAAAAAGCTTGAGAACCAGTTGGGCGGTGGTTCGATTGTCGTCAACGCGCCGCCGCCGCCGTTGAATAGCAGTAGCACGCCAGACGCGACGCCGACGAAAGCAACGGGGGCTACCGAATCACCCACTAGCACGGCTGGAACGCCGAATAACGCCACCGAACAGCTCACCTCGTGGTTTTCCTCGGTCACCGCCTCGTTAACGGCGAAACCGCCGACGATTTACGAGATGCAACAAGACGTGGAATTGAAAACGCGAGAGGCACGAGCGATGGAAGCGAAGTATGAACTCGTGAAGAGAAGAACCATGATCGAGTTACCGAACGCGCACGAACGCATCGAAAAAGTTTTGAATTCCTGTTTCGAAGACATGACGCAGCTGATGCAAGAGTTGGCAAAAGTACAAGTCGCGGAGTTTGAAAGCATCATGCCTGGTTCCACGAACGCGCAGCATTAGAAGGACAAATAATTCTTTCTTTCTTTCTTTCTTTCTTTATTATAACTTGGTACAACAAAACCACGGAGTAAATTATTCTTTTTTAATAATAATGATGTATAAAGTGTTGTTGATTAAAACATTCGTCTTTAACATTATTAAAAGTCGTTCGTCGAAATGTATAACAATCGTCTTGTGAAGAAAAGTATGACGATACAGTACTCATCCGTCGTGTCTCTTCCCACCACCGCCTCGTCGCGGAAACACGATTTTCTTCAACTTTGGGAACCTCTCGAATAAAACTAAATACGCGAACGCTCCGTGAGACGCCAGAGTGATTAAAACCCATCCAAAACTCTCCCCGCTGAACAATTTCAACGCGATCACCGCAAACGCGAGTTTAACGACCATCATAATCTTCTTCAAAACTTTCATCAAAACGAAACCGACGCAACCGGCAAAGTACACTTTCAAAACTTTCCGATTGGCTCGCGCAAACGCCAAAACTGTTTTCGCCAAGACGAGGGATACCGGCCAAGGAATTGGCACCCAAACCGATGACAACACGCCTAAATACACTCTCTCGTTCACCACCATCGTCGAGAAGAGGAAATAATCGTCGTAGAGCATGTTCTTCGAGCACTGCTCGCCTTCCGGTACAATCGATCTGGCGACGAGCGCGAGCGCGTTGGACATCAATCCTCCTTTTCCTTTTCCTTTTGATCCTAATCTCTCTCTCACGCACTTCTCGTAAAAGCTCTCCCTCGTCGGTCGTACATACGGACTCAGGACGGTGAAAAACAAAAGCGAAAACAGGACGATGAATGCGTATTTTTGTGCCATTACTTTTTGTTTTCCTCCAAAACCTCTTCCTCTTCCGTTGGTGTTGTTGTTGCCAGCATCATTCATCGCAACAGGCGGTCTCGGTTTCCCGGTGTTCTTATTCGAAGACGCGCGCATTTTATTCTTTTTCTTCTTCAAATGTGTGACTTCTTCTTTTTACCTTCTTCTTTTCGCCTTTTTGCGGCGTTCTTCTCTCCGTTCTCTCGTCTTTACAATACTAACAGAAGAACAGAAGAAACCTAAACGAGCAACGAACGAGATTTGAATTCCTCTTTTTCTCAATCACACAACGCTCTCAAAGACAACGTATTATTAAACAACTCAATAAAGACAGACGACGGGGGGACAAAAGCGTAACAACGAATACTCTGTTTTTACCACCACCCTTACTTAGAGTGTTCGTATTATTAAAAGAGTGCGCCGAACAAACGCGAATCCCTTCTTCTTCTCACGTACGACTGCTAAGAAATGGAGACCTTTCTCCCTAAGTGTCGACCTTCGTTGGAGGAAACGTCACGAACGACACCACAACAAAAGCACGAAACAACGCGAAGAAGAACAACTCACATGATAATAATAATAATAACACTACTACCACTACCTCTCGGCAGTTCCTTTTTCTGATACTCTGCTTTTGTGTGCCGTTCGTTTGTTCTTCTCCAAAGCCCTTTGTTTTACACCAGAGCTCTACTACTCCTTCGCGTGGTATTTTTAGTCTCGCGTGTCGACCTTTTGGAGGACATCGAACGAACGACACAAAATTGCACAACACACAACGCATCATCTGCTTTCAGAAGAACGACACAAACGTCTCTCTCTCTCTGTGTGTGTGTGTGTTCCTTCTCGAACAACAACAGGTAGTACTGGTGTTTTTGTCGGCTTCTAAAAGTTCTTCTGTTGTAAGAAGAAGCTCTTTCGTCGTAAAGGGAAAAGAACGATTAAAGAACGAAACTCTTCTCGAGTCGTGTGTTCAAACGAGAATGTGAATGCGAAGAAGAAGCCTTGATTGAGTTGAAACAGAGATCAGAACATGACACCAACAACGACAACGACAGACACCGGAGTGAGACGATGTCTTTCGATCAAAAATCGATGGAACCCGTCGAGACCTTTTTACGTCCCTCTGTTAGCGCGCGCGTTTCGTCCGGATTTTTCCTTCTCGGAACAAAATTCCGAGGACGCGTTGAAAGCGAGAAGAGAGACAAAAACGAAGAAGACAAACTTTAAGAGGAGCGCGGACGACGACGATGATTTTTTGTCCTCATCTTCGGAAGGGGGGGTCACGTTTGAATCGGAAATAGGTCAGAGACGATACCAGTTTTGCTTAAAAACGATTGGTCAGGAGGTGAGGAGAGAAAATCCAGAGCTCGTGGAGTTGGTGGTGACGTCGTTATTGAGAGCGACGGAATGCGACGTGGCGAGGACGTTGCACCGGGCGCAGCAGTATTTTGATTTTTACGTGGACGTGTTCGGGAAGTTATCGTTTAAGCAAACGTTAAAGGACGATGAGCAGTTAAGAAAGAGCTTTGAATCCGGCGTTTTGCAGGTTCTCGAAAATTGCGACGATAAAGGACGAAGCGCGATTATCCTTTTGTTCAATCGGATGTTGCCGGGACAAACGGAATCGAGCGGGATGCAGATGATACGAATGATCAATTACATAATCCTTCGTACGCTGAAAAATTATCCGACGACGCAGAAACACGGGATCATAGTTATTCCCGATATGGGCGGATTTTCCTACGAAAACTATTCGTTTTCAAACGGTCGAACGAACTTGTACGTGATTAGCAAATTTTTACCGTGTAAAATTCACAAGTTTTGCTTGTTGCGACCGTTGTATTTCGTAAAGTTTGTGCTGCCAGCGCTGAAATCGTTCGTATTCCCGGGTCCGATGTCCGCAAACGTGCACATATTAACGCAAGATCCGAGAGATTTGCTCAGGGAACCTATAAATTTAAGAGCGGAGATTTTACCGCCGATGTACGGCGGCACGAACACGAGTTACGATTTCATCCCGCGCCTCCGAGGGTGGGAGTTAGAGGAAGAAGAGACGGAGTTTAGCGAGATGGGGAGTTCGAATCATCACAACGACAACAACAACAACAACATGGAAGAAGAAATCGGCGACGACAAAGAAAGCGGATTCGCGCGCGAGCTCTTTAAACGCCAAGACCAATTCGGAAACGATATCGCCATGGACTGCGCGAGAGCGCCTTCGAGAGAGAGCAACGACCTCAACGACGACGACGACGATTTTAGTCATAATAACGAGGAGGACAAAACGTCAGGGGGAGGAAACTTTTTGACCTCCTCTTTCGATGATAACAATACATACGATTCCGCCGACGATAAAAGTTTTACGAATAAAAGTTTCGAAGTTTTATAAGTAAGTTGAGTGAGAAATGCGTTTGATTAATTTAATCAAAAAACCCTAAACTCGTAGTCAATTAAACGCATCTTTTCTCACGACGAGAAGCGCAAAAACAACCGCCACAAAAGCACTTATTACTTCTTCATCTCACAACACACGCCTTCAGTTTGTTTCTCTTCTTTCGCACAGAGTGCAAAAACAACAACAACGGATGAAGACTTTGACGAAACAGACGACGACGACGGAATGGGACGAGGTATTACAAAAGAAATTCGGAAACAACTTTGTGAAAGAAGACAAAGTGAAAGAAGACGAGCAAAGAAAAGGAACCCCGAGGACGATGAAAAAGGAAGAAACGAACGTGGCGATTTTCGAAAACGAGCGCGACGATGAAAACGACGAAAACGATGAAGACGAAGAAGAAGAAGCGTTCATGAAGTCCTACCGAGAAAAACGAATCGCGGAGATGTTATTTATGCAAAAAGAAGAAAAGGAGGATGAAAAGGAAGAGAAAAACAACAACGTAAGAAGGAACGAGTACGTGATGCACGTCTCGCACGAACAGTGGACGAAAGAAGTGACGGAGGTATCTCGCTCTCATCCTGTTCTGGTGCTGTTAACGAAAGAGAATTCGAAGGCGTGTTTTACGCTCGAGAGAGTGATGGAAGATGTGGCGCGTACGTATCGAACGTCGCGGACGAAGTTTCGTCGGGCGGAGGCGAGGGATATCATTCCGAACTATCCGGAGAGGAACGTGCCGACACTTATTTTGTACAGGAACGGGGACGTGGTTGAGAATATCGTCGGCATCGAACAGTTTGGAGGGATGAGTGGGGTGAACACGGAGACGGTGAGAAGACGCGTAAGGATGAAAAGCGATGAATTTTTGATGGACCGAGGAGAGGAGGAAGCGAAGGAGGCGGAAAAGAGACGAGAGAAAGAGACGGCGAAAAACGGATGAGGAGGAATAGGAATAGAAATAGAAATAGCTTTTACTAGAAGATGTAGCATGAGTAGTTCTAAATTAAGAAGATGCATCTAAATCTAACTCGAGCAGCATCTTCATTTTTTGCTTCTTCAGCTTATAGTGCTTCACGGCACCGCCGCCGCCGCCGTCGTCGTCGTCGTCTATTCTTACGCGCTCCTCTTCTCCTTCTACAATACTATCAATATGTTTCTTACTAAACCCGAGCTCTTCGCACACTCGCAAAGCTCTCTCATCGATGTCTACGTTATCGTCGTCGTCGTCGTCTGAACCGTCGTCGTCATTATCATCTTCTTCTTCTTCTTCTTTTCCACCACTTTTCTTCCGCCTTTTTCTCCTCCGGCTCTCCCGCATCGCCTGGCAAAACGTTTCGCTTTGCGCTTTGGTCAAACTCGTGATTTCATTCTCGCAAAATCGGAAGACTTTGACCGGGTCGTGGTAAATCTCGCACGCCTCTCTCGATTGCCGGACTCTTTTGAACGCTTTCGCAAAACTTTCGCGATGGAAACATTTCAGAGCGGTGTGCAAACTTTTCGGCGCTTTCGGCCCGTCCAACCATTCGCACAACAGCCAGGCGTCTTCGATGGCGGTGTTCGCGCCTTGGCCTTTAAACGGCGACATCGGGTGGGACGCGTCGCCGATGACGGCTATGATGCCGTCGTCGACGATTTTTGTTGGCTCTTCGCGATCGTACAAAGGTCCAGCCCACGCGTGGCTGAAATCGGTCTTCTCGAACATCTTCGCGATTGGCACGCCTCGCCAATGGTTCGTTTTTTCCATGCAAAATTGTTTAATAATTTGATCGAAACCTGTCGACTCTCTCTCGCCGTATAACCGTTTCGCTTCTTCCTCGTCGCACCGAACGGAGAGTTGCCACATCGTTTTCTGTTCTCGATTATCGTCTTTATTCTCGTCCGCAAAAGGCATGGTAAACATTCTCGATTGGCCGTCGACGGCGTAGAAGCCTCGATTGTTCAACAAGTAATGTTTTAAAGACGTAAATCCCGTGATTAACACGACGCCCAAGTACTTCAAATCTGGAACCACTTCTTTCCCGTACAATTTTTGCCTAATCTTTTGCACTTTCGAGTGCGACCCGTCCGCGGCGACAATTAAAGCGCAGTTTTCGATTAAAACGTTCGTCGGTCGATGGCGATTCTTTTTCAAAGTTATCGTCGCCGTCGAGTTCCCGACGTTCATCTCGATATTTTCCACTTCCGCGTTCCACAAGATGTTCTCCTTCGGTATTCGTTCGAGCAAAATCTCTCGCACGACATTCCTCGGCACTCTCAGGTTTCCTTTTCTTTCCTTCTCTCCTCCTTTACCGTCGTTTCCTTCTTCTTCTTCGTCATCCTCTCGCCTTCGTAAAGACGACGACGGTTCAGACGACTTTGACGATGTGAATAAATACTCCCGAAACAGCTGCCCGAAATACCCCAACACGTCCCCATTTCTCGCATCGATCGTCCAGTGTTGCTTGGACGACACGTTTTCTCGTTTCAGCGCGTTCAATACGTTCATCTTTTCAATCGCCATATTCGTTTCCGATATCGTCAATCCGTAGCCTTGCCTTCGACTCGATTTGCTCTCGTCCTTTTCGAGCAGAAAAACGTTCTTCGTGTACCCTCTGCGGTGGAGTTCGCAGGCGACGGCGCACCCGGCGATGCCGCCACCGATGACGATGACTTTGCTTTCGTGTTTTTCGTCACTCTTCGTCGCATTCTTTGTTGTTCTTTCCTCGTCATCTTTCAGAAAGGCGAGCGGGTTTCGCTTTCGCATTTCCCCTACGACGACGACGAAGAGAGATAAGTTCGTTTTCTATGCGCACACTTTGAACGAATACGCTTTTAGGAAAACGAACGAGAAAGAAGAAGGGTTCGTCCAACAGCACGTACACTTAAAAGCTGCTTTGGAGGGAAGACAAAGACGCGTTGAGTATTCTTTTGCTGCTTTTTGCGTTTTGTCGTCTGTCTCTACAAAAATGAGGAAAAGAGGGAAAATGCGAGCGTTTTGTGCGCACTCGTTTCAACAACGCGCACATCTTCTCTGCCTCTGTGTAAATGCTTCTGAAAATTCGTACGCGTGTACATATATGTGTTTCTGTTCTTCGCGTGCATTTTCAGCTCTAGAATCAATGCGACCGCGCAGAGAGTAACAGATGTACAGAGAGAGTACAACGTGTGGGAAAACGCTCCTTTTTACTCGTTTTGTGCGCACATCTTCTGCGTGCGTGTGTGCGCGTGAATATCGCTAAAAATGCAATCAAAAACACAAACCGTGACGACGAGTGTTACGCGTAGTGGTGTGAATTTTCAGTTCGAGTTGTTCCATCGCGACGCAGACGCGACGCACAAAACATCGAGCGCTCGAAAAACGAGAGGTTGTATTTTCCACCTCTTTTCCGTGAACACTTAATTGACCAAAAATGCGCTCGCACACCATCCCATCAAACAACTGCGTGAAGATGCGCTTCACGAAACGCACCCATTTTCTTTCGTCACGAACGAGACGCACGTCTGTTGTGTCTACTCCGTACCGTCAGAAAGCCTTTTCGTGTGATTTTATGCACCCCTTGTGTTGATACTTTTCGCGTTCCAAAGAGAGACTTGCTTTTAAAGCGAGAGTTTTGTTGACTTTTCGAACACCACTTGCGTCAAACCGCCTCCGACACTTTTTTAACGCGCAAGCAACGAACAACAACAACAACAACAACAAAAGAAGAAGCGCAAGAAGCTTCGAGACAGAAGTCACGGAAGAGAACCTCGCGTCTCGCGCGTCCAAAAGTCGGGAGTCGTCTCGCCCGAAGAACGATGATGATGACGTAAACGAAAGACAACAAGCAAACGAAGATCGTCGTCACGCCGAAGCACATTCACCACCGCGCGCTCGAGAGAGCACTACTACCCACGGGGCGGGGTGGTCCTCTCGCGGTTCTTTGGATTTGGATTTTCGCGACGTGCGCGTGCGCGTGCCTTCTCGTCGCGTTTACTTTTCTCGAGAAGAATGGTACAAAAGAAAGAGACTTTAGAGGACTGATGAAGAAGAATAGCGCGAAAGGTCTTTCCGACGACGCCGACTGTTCGTATGAAAAAATAGACTTTCAAAGCGTGAAAAACAGAGTCGTCGAGAAGATTGAAACCGCCACGGTCGAGCGCGTGCCGTTCTCGCATGTCTTCGTGAAAGGTATATTCTCCGAACGCGTGTACGCGTGCGCTTTGCGTCATCTGGCGAACAAGGATACCGAGGAAAATCTTACGTACGTGCCGATGGCAAATTGGCCGGGGCGCAACTCCATACCTCTGATTGATAAATTCGGTAAGGTGAAAGCGAAGGAACCGTCGTTTTGGGGTCACTTATCGCGAGCGTTGGGAAGTGACGAGGTGAAAAGTGCGTACGTGAGAAAATTTGGAGCGACGATGGAGAGGAGATTTGGCGGCGTGAAAGTCGAACGCGTGTTGCAAAACGTAAGATTGAATCATCGACTTGACCTGACGAGAGATACGTCTGGATATTCGATACCTCCGCATACAGATACGAACGAGAAGGCAGTGTCGATACTGTATTATTTGGCATTTCCAGAGACATCAAATACGTCGGTTGGTACGAGAATGTATGCTTCAAAGAATAAAAGAGACGACGGTATTCGATACCCGCCGCGTGGAAGTACTTCAACGCCGTCTAAAAATTTCAATAACGATTTTGAGGAAGTGGAGAGCATCCCATTCGTACCAAACGTAGTGTTTGCGTTCGCTCCGTGCTGGTCGAGTTGGCACGGCGTTGAGAATATTGGAAATGGTGAAAGAGACACAATCCAGGGTTTCGTAACGATAGAAGAATTGGTTGGAGAGGGACATTTTGACAAATACGGAAGTCAAAAACCGTGCGTCGCGTGAGCGAGAGAGAAAGAGTACTATTATATTATACGACGACGATGGTTTCTACTAGTAAACGGTGGTTTCTAAAGAATAATCAAAACGTTTTTATCGTAAAAGAGTTTCACATCATCTCGATGCGAACATTGATTGCGCTCTCATTCGTTCGCGACATTTTCACAAATGGCCAAACATATCCCACAACTCGCTCACTTGCGGGCCGCCGCCGTTCACGACGTTCGTAAACCCTTCTTTCTCCAACCACTCTTTACTTTTTTGTCCTCTCCCACCTCCTCCGCAGTGCGTGATTATCGCTCTGTCCTTTTCGAACGTTTGCAAAATATCCACGTTCGATCCGCTCAAGGCTTTCTTCGTTCTATCGAATGGCACATTGATTGCGTTTGGCCGTTTCTCGGTGCCGCAATCTGCGATTGGGAATTTCCCGTTTATACTCCCGTAGAGTTCATCGGACGGTTCGACAGAAAAATCCGGGTTTCGAGCGTCTACGATAACAATCTTCGATAAATCTTGGTTTTGCTCGAGGAAGTTAAGCATTTCTGCGTTCGAGGCCACGCCTGGTTTCCTCGCTTCCTCGTCCGATGATGCTGAAGTTGTTGCCGCTTTCGTAATAGGGGTTGTCATTTTTCCCTTACTTGACACGGACTTTGAGAAAGAAGAAGTGTGTGTGTTTTTGGTGTTTTTGAAGAGACAACGACGAAAGGCGCGTTCAAAATGTGATGTTGATCTCGTTGTTCGCGGGAAAAAAGGGACTCGTTGAAGCATTGGTGGTCTTCGTCGTCTTCTTCAAAGTCAAAGCTTCTTCGTATCGCGATGTAAAGCGCAAAAGTTTATTCCTTTTTGTTAAAATGAAAAACCTAAACCCTAAAACCATAGTGCCAACATCGAGAATCTTTCGTTGAGATCAACCCTGCGAAAGCTTGCACCATACGCTCTAATGCAGTGCCTCTAATGCTTTTGCACTTTGACCACACATCGGCAGCGTCTAAAAAAAAAAGGCGCAAAGCGCTGTAACACCATCCCTATCTTCAGGATTAAGTAAATAAGGAAATACGAGCACAACCACATAGTTTTATGAGTAGCACGTCGTCGCTTTATTTCATTTTAGATCCCTCAAGTTTACGTGTTGTAACCACGCGTAATAGAGGAAAGAACCTGAAAAAAGAAGAGCTCACATGACCATCATCAACTATCACGAACTTAACCTGTATTTACAAAAGCGGAAGAGAGTAATTCGCCGTACAAGAGCACTTGTTCTCGTACTCGTAAGTATCAGTTTATCATTAATAATTGCGTCATCAATACGATATGCACCGTATGATAGTGGACGTGTGCACGTTTCGCACTTCACAACCTTCTTCAAGTGTTGGTCTAACTTTGGTTTCTGTGCACCAAAATCACTAGAAGCTAAAATACTGAATTCCACGACGAGGGCAAAGTATGCCATTGTTTCGAGTTGCGTAAAGGGGGTGGGGATCTCTGATGAGATGGTTCAGGCCTCGGTAGCTAATAAGCTGATGTATTGTGAAGATCACAAAAATGTTGATTGTATCATAAACACAGAATTCAGAGACTTAGTGGGAGACTTTCGATTTAACGTGACCTATAGACAGGATCAGCTGTCTTCAAAATGGTACAAATTTCCTCTCATTTTGGAAAATTTAGATTCGTACGAGTGGGTAATATGGTTAGATTGTGACACACTCATTCTAAATCGAACAAAAAGTATAGAAGACGCTCTAAAGAGCTCGGTGGATGATCAAATTTTTGACGGGAAGGATGTAATCTTTACCGTCGATCATAATGGTGTGAATTTAGGTGCTTTCGTGGTACGTAACTCGGACTGGTCAAAGGTGTTTTTAAACCACCTATACGATCAGCGAGGCTCAGTAACTTTTGCACATAAGTTCAATTTAACACGAAATCGCCGTTCTGCACCCTTACAAGAAGGTTGGGCAGATCAAAACGCCCTGATAATTGTACAAGACTCCTTCTACTCTTTAGAACAGTTAACACGGCACACATTGAAAAGCTCTAAACTTTCTGCCATGCTTAACAACTTTTGCCTGGTGGACACAAGATTTATACATCACCGAGTGTATTGTCACTCAATCAACTGTAACAAATATTTCCTCTGTTTAGCGCAGTCTGTGACACAGACAATAAGATGTGAAGTTCCGACCACACTCAAAGATGCATGCAAACAACAGAAAAAATATTTAAATTTACATCCATGAGGTATTGGCAAATTTAGGCAAGAGACGGGGAAAGACCCGAGAAGTTTCTTTAACGTTATGGTGAGAGAAGTTCTTACTAATAATACGTTTGCTTCGTGCTCCTGGCCCAAAAAAGATGCAAGTGTTGATAATATACGAGATGGAATTGTAGGAGTATGGCTTAGGTTCTTTGAAAATAATGATAGGATATCAAAAGGATGTGTTGTAGATGCTTGGCTAAATAAAGCAGCAGAAACAAAGTGGCTGGCTAAGAATTTGCTGGGTTCGACCTTGCTGAAAAATAGAGATGCAAATGGTAATAACAGTCCTTATCTAACTTTTACAAGAACTACATATACAGTTTAGTTTGGAGAGTACTTAAAGGGTGTGAGTGTAAACTACCGTGTATTTAAGTAAAACAATTTGAACTACAAAAAGCGCGCTCTAAAATCGAATCTCTCCATATAACGAGTGAGTGCATTCAAAAGCAAAGCTAAAATCACAGGACCGCTCCGACGACTTTTACGCCGCCGCCGTCGTCGCTCGAGCCGTAGGCAGCGTTTGCCGCCGACGACTCGCTTTTTGTCGCGCTCCGAAGAGGGACGAGATATTCTTCCGCCGCGCTTTCGCGGTATGCTTCTTTGTGAACGAATCGATTGCTTTTGTCGCGCGTAAACGACGCCATCATTTGACTCGCAACCATCCCGAACGCAAACGCCGCCGCAACGACGATGTAATACGCGGTATTTTTGTTCAACGGAGATAGAAAGGACGCGTCCTTGGTTCCCTTTGATGAGCCCAATTTTTGTGATGAGCCCAATTTTGCGGACGAAGTCGAAGTAGACGACGACGACGACGACGACGACGAGCATCCGAAAGATTCGGTGATTGTGAGACTTGACGCGCCGTTTCCACCGGTATCTGTGAGGTACCCGTCGTTGATTGTTACCGTATATTCGCCCGCTTCAGCTTTCGAAGACGCCGCCGAGGAGATCGGTATGGTCATTGTCCATGAATTTCTTCCGTTTGTTTCGTGAGAGAGGCATCGAAAGTCGTAGTGTAACAAGATGTCAGCGCTGCTCACGGTACCGTCTGCGACGGCGTTTCCGTCGCAATCGGCAGTTCTCGAGATGGAATACGCAGAAGCATCGGAGTCAAGTTGCGGACACGCGATTTCTTCCGAAAAATCGACAAATAAAACGTTTCCGAACACTTCGAGAGAAGACGGATACGGGCTCGTCACGTCGGCAATCATGTACAAAGTATCATCCGTTACCGATCCTCGAACGTCCGTCGTCGCGAACGAGTCGTACCCGGAGCAGAAGACTTTCGCTCTAATTTCCCACGGGCCATCTTTCAAGCCGTTCAGAAAGTATTGGTTTTCTAAATCCCACTCGAAACTGCATCCTTCGCCGCGCGCTTGCGAGCATTGTAAATCTGCGGAATCAGTCGCTCCTGCTTCCCAAGCGCTGATCCATTCCCCGGTTCCAGGTCTTCGAAATTGCAAACGGATGAATTGAACGTCTTCGTGAACTAAGTGATTCGTTCGATTTGTATCTCCGTCGACGTAATCGTCCGACCATAAATTCATAGGATCTGGGTTCATTAAAGTCACGTTGAAGAGACTTGACGTTTCCGTCGACGCCACGTAGTTTGCGTACGTGTTCCAAGTGCCTTCGTCCCAAGTCACCGACGGGCATTTCTTCTCCCACTTGATATCGCCGAGATACGCCGTGTGTGAAATCGGTGCGCGATAAATTTGGCTGCGCGATAGCGCCCACTCGCATTCGGAGATTAACGTCAAACCAATGCTTTCGTACGAGTGCGCCATCGCGCCTCGTTCTATGCGAAGCGAAACGACCGAGTTGACGAGATTACCGCTCATAGATCCATCGTCGGTTGCAGGGATGTCGTGCAAGTGAAACAAATCGCCCATTGGGGACATTTTGTCGTTGCCGTTGATTATAAAGTTCAAGTCTTTCATGTTGCCGTACGTATCGCCGGTGTAGTTCGAACCTAAGAGCAAACCGAAAATTTGACCCTCACGATAAGGCGATTCGTTCGTTATCGTGATATCAAACAGAGCGCTCGCATCGGGTGCAATGAACTCGTTATCTGTGCCATCCGCGGCAGCAATAGAGAGCTCCAGACCTTGTTCTCGCCACATCGTGTTCGGCTCGCCCGGACACTTCGACGCGCCGCCGATAGTTTGGAAAATAGGCGTTCCAAAACGCTTATCGAATTTGACTAAAATGACAAATTTGTCCCCGTGATCTGGGTCGGACAACGTGTACGACGTTTCCAATTCACCGTATTTTGCCCACGCCATGGCGTGTTCAAGGGCAACGGATTTCCCGCCCGAGTCGTGGTAATGCCAGTTCGTGTAGGCAAGACCAGCAGCTGCCTCGATGTCCATGTTGTTGGTAATCTCGGATTCAGCCTCGAGCGACCACTCGTAACCATAAGAGTCGATGTTATCTGACACGGAAGAGGAAAACTCGAGCGCGTGACCACCGCCGGAAAATGTCAAATAAACGTTTTCCGTGGTTGCGGTATCCGAAGGCAAATTCGGCTCAGATGCGGGATCGTAATCGTCTACATCTATCCCGTCGATTGTTTGCGAAACCGTTTTAGTGGTCCCAAAATCAAACGTAGTATCCATTCCAAAAACGGAAGAATCGATCATATCCATCGTTTGCATTTTGGTTATTAAGGCTTCGCTTGAGGAAATTGGAGTTCCGTAACTATCTTCGGTGTTTGGCTCTAAACCGTTCTCAAACGCGTCCACGATTGCCAGATCGTTCATGCCGCGACTCCAAGCCGTATTTGGTTCGGTGGAATTGAACACGTTCTTGCCAGTGTCAGTTTCAGTCTCAGAGTACGTTTCGACCCAAAGATCATCTTCAGGCTTCCATCTATCTTCGTTATCGTAAGAACCGATGGAGATACCCTCCACGATTCCCTCGGTCACATCCTCGCCGACCATTCCCATCGTGTCCGAAAGACCCGACAAACCAGACACACGACCGTATGAACTACTCAACGAGTCCCAAACGTGTTCGAGATCATCCCAATCTTGCTCAAACGTATATTCGCTCAAAGATGACGTTTGTGTATACGCACCGTATGCCTTGTCTATTTTGGGTTTAAATTGCGCGCCAAAAACGCCGGTGTCTGAAGTGAACGAATCAGCCATGTTTGCGAATTTGCTTTCCGCAGAGGTTTTTGCGGCTGTTTTATCATCTTCAGTCGTCGCCCAAGCAGGGTTGAAATCCGGCGTCGTCCATTTCACGGTGTTTTCCCAATCTGTGATTGCCGTGGTCAAACGATCAGCCCAAATAGCCGCGATTTCGTCGGTATCTCTAGATACCAACTCTCCATCCTTATTTGAAATTGTTCCGTCCAAAATCCCATCTTTCAAGTATTCGAGCTCGGGAAGAATTTTGTCTTCAATCGTGAACACGTTGATGATATAGCTCGTAGGTTTGCGCGCCGACCACACCACTTCTTGGGTCACAGCCAAGCAATTATCAGGAGCACCGTCGTCTAGATCGAGAGTGTCAGACATTTCGTAAACGATTTCGAATCCGCCGCCTAAGAGAACGTCGCCGGGGCGTCCGGCTAACGCCGGGTCTAAAGATGAATCAAGATTTCTATTCAACGTCATGTGGAAGTCCCATCCGTTATCTGTCGTCGCGGAAACGGAAACGGAAGGTCCGTCTTCTTCGCGACCGCCACCTATGCCGGCAGCAAAGCCCAATCCAGGAGTACCCTTCTTTTCATTTCCCGTAGTTAAATCTACTTCACCATTCAAATATCCTGTTCCTACGGAAGTGCCAAGACTTGTTTTGAGTTCAACACCAACTCCAGCATCCATGCACCAACTCCCGGCAACGTTAGCGCTACGCGTCGTGAGCAACCCGAGCTCGAGCTCAATGTTCGTTCCTTGCGCTATAGACGCGTACGAATCTCCTCCCGGAGGATCGTGAACGACCGTATACACCAATCCGCGAATAGGCGCCGTCGCGTAAAACTCCTTAGTACTCGTATACCTCGCGGAATAATCTGAACTTTCGCCTCGGACTTTAGACCCAAGCGCGACTAATTCACGCTCAACCTCAGTCGTCGTCGAGGACCACCCGTCGTTTCGAACGACAGTAAAAAATATCGAGCGTCTATACGGAGAAACCAAGTTAGGTTTGGCACTCCCGGCGTTGATTTTGCGATAAACAGTCGTAGCCCCTGCAGAATCGGTGAATTGCACAAATTGGCTTGTCTCGTCCACGGTGTTGAAGTAGCACGAATCGTTTGGCTCGTTGCTCGAGTGGCACAGATTGCTCAATTGTGGCTCGACGTCTTCTTTCAAACGAACCGAAATACTTAAGTCTGTGTTCGTTTCGGACGAGAAAGTAGAGCAATATGTGTTCACGCAACTTCCCGAATCGTCCAACGAAGTGCAGTGCGCCTCAAAGACTTGCAACCACGCGTATTTTTCCGTGGTGATGGTCGAAGACAGTTCAGTCGAACTCGACGTACCAATCATGTGATTGGAAGTTAGAGGGTTTGTTGCAGTAGCCGCGTTGAGACACGTCTCGTCCGCATCAATCAATGGCCAGTCAACCGCAAAAGTGACCGTCTCAGTGGAACCGATAGTCGGGTTGGCGCACAAATACCCGTGGTACTGGTACGTCGCCGTCGCGTACGCGGTATCGAGAAAACCCAAAGTTCGAACGAGTTCGTCTCTGTCGCGGAAAAACGTGAGTATGTTCGAACCAGGCGCCGTACACGTCGCGGCACTATTACCGGAATCTGAAAGAATTACTGTTTCTGTCAAAGCAGATACACTTGGAGCGACATCGAGTTGAATGTAGTAATCCATCGCGGCGTACGGCCAATACTTGATATTTGGTGTACTTGTGTCCGTAAGAGTCCATCCACTGATATCCGTATCAGCAACGCTAAGCGCCGCACCGCACCCATTCGCGGGCGTGATGAGCATGGTGTATCCTTCATAAGACGTTCCGCACGCGCCGGCGTATAAGCCGACATCGACGGTGCGTTCCGTCGTGTCGTAGAAAACGATACTTTCTGATCCGTCGATCGCTCCGAGAAGGACGTAACTGTTTGTGGTTACGATATCTTCGCTCGGCCCGAGAGTCATGGTCGTGATCGTCGTTGTGGAGCACTCGGCGTCGAATCCGTCTTCCGAGTAGCAGATGCTATGATCCCCGTACGAGGCGTGAAACAAGTACGTATCTCCTGGGGTGACGGAAATCTCAAAGTATCCCAAAGCGTCGGCGGTGTATTCGTCCGCTTCTTCGTAAGTACACGAACCATCGTTTCCACATTGTTGCTTGTAGGCGTTAATCACCGCGTACGGTAAACCGCACACAACGTCAGATGTTCTATAATCAGGGAAACGGACCATACCTGAAACGGTCACGACGGTGTTGTCCTGTATGGCAACCCCGGCGACAGAAAGATGAGAAATCTTCGTAATCGTTTCGCTCTGTTCGGTATCGTAACCTTCGTCCTCGGTGTTGAAAACGTGAACCACGTCGTACAGTTGCTCCGTTGCGATCAATTTGAGATTCACAGAAGAAATAGGAAATGACGCAGATAAAAGAGCATCGAATCCAGAAACTTGCGAGGAAACCTCGTCACCAGACAAGACAACTCGACCGGCATCGTCGGTGCGAACGACCATAGGAATAATCGCTGGGTTGATTTCCGGTTCATCGTCAACGCCGAGAGTCGCGAGAATATCAAAGTCAGTCGAACTACTCGGCGAAGCAAACGAAAAATCAGAAAACGAGGCCGTAACGTTTTCGTACCAGATTTGCCACGACGTTGTGGTAACTGGCATGGTAGTGTTTGGGTTCGGCGCCGCCGCGATGGCGGATTGGCCTGTTGTCGTCGCGAGATCACTCGCGTAGAAATTCGTTAAGTAACTCGTCTCCGCGAGGGGATAAACGAGCCACGGCGTTCCAACTACAGCACCGCTGTGAAACGCAGCAACCACGTTCATAAACTCGGTCGAACTTAAATCACCACTTGAATCTACATCGAACGTGTTCCAAAACGCATCCGGAATCACAATAAATGCGTCTACGTACTCCAATCTCGCCGCGGCGTAGACGGAGAATTCCTCCTTTGATACAGCCGTGCTGTTATCGACGTCCGTATCGATGAATGGACTCGGTGGTGGCGGACTCGGCGGCGGGTTTGGTGGCGGAGGGCTCGGTGGTGGCGGAGGGCTCGGTGGTGGCGGAGGGCTCGGTGGTGGCGGAGGGCTCGGTGATGGCGGAGGGCTCGGTGATGGCGGTGGGCTCGGTGGTGGCAGACTCGGCGGCGGCGGACTCGGCGGTGGGCTCGGTAGTGGCGGACTCGGCGGTGGGCTCGGTAGTGGCGGACTTGGTGGTGGCGGACTCGGCGCGACCCACGTACTTTTAATCGTATCGCACGAACTCGCCGGCCCTCTGTTGGCGGCTGTGCACTCATATTTGGCTTGAAAAGCAGTTGCTCCAACAAACATAGCAATTTGTGCGCTCGTTGCCGCCGATCCCGTCCATCCCGACACGTCTTGATCAAATATTTCATTAGATAAAAACATGAACATCATATTCGTAACTTGGGACGTGTCCCAACCTCCAATGTCTTGGTTGAATGCCGAAGTATCTACGTTTTGCATGTTGAACATTCCTTGCATCGTGACAACAGAACTGACGTCCCAGCCACTGATGTCTTGATTAAACGCAGCAGCGTTTTTGAACATTATGAACGTAGTGGTCGCGGAAGACGTGTTCCACTGGGAAATGTCGGCGTTAAATGTTGTTCTACCAAGGAAAGCTGAAGACATATCCGTCACCTGACTGACGTCCCAATCCGGCATTGGACCGTATTCACTATCTGTGCATAAACCATCGACAGGATTCGTGTCTAAACAATCCTCGATAGCCGAGAAAAATACGTCGTCCGTCACCGGTGAGTATAATGGGCTCGGTGGTGGTGGTGGTGGTGGTGGTGGTGGGCAAAAAACTTCACCAGTCGTCTTCACATAAAGTTTCACTTCGGATACTTGTGTAGGAAAAGGTCCCGGAATTTTATTGTTGAAAAAACTTTGGAATGATCCAATTGCATACCACCAAATCCCTACGTCGATCACTCCATCAATAAAGGCACTTGACCCGAGATTGTACTCCAAGCCTTTGAAAGTGTATGACGAGGTCGCCCCAATGGAAATGGCTTCATATCCTTCAACACCTCCTGAAGTCATCGTAACTGGGTTAGACGTTTGCTTCCAAATATTAGTCCATCCGTCATAGGCAGGATATACGAGCTTAAATTCGTATGTCCCGTCGTCGGATTTACCATACGTTTCCACTTCGTCAAGACGAGAATATTTATAATCCGCGGATGAATCACCAGTATGTTTCACTTCGGCGAAAGAATCAGAATCGGAAAAATATAAACCGGTGGAACTATCGTGTCTGAAGACAAGAAAATATCCGTCTTCGTCGACTTCGGAATCGCAAGGTAAATATAATCCGTTACCAAGAGCAGAGGTACTACCTAACGATGCGGTTAAACCAGTCGCATCGTATTCGAGCGCGATCAAAACAGCATCCGGCCCGACGATAGAAGTGTCCGTTTCGTTGGCCACAGTCTGAAAAAGAGTGCTGTCGCTTCGATCAAAAACGACCGTCTTGAACGCCATGACGCCAACTTTTGCGTTTTTCGAAGTCGCTCCCGATTCTTCCGTAATTTCAATCTCGAAATTGCCGTCGTCGTCCGAAAAACCTGAATAAGGACACGTGATTTCCGAACCCGTAACGAAGACTTCGGCGATGGATTGAGTCGAACTTTCGCCGGAAAGTACGGTGATATATTGTCCAGAAAAACTGGAGATGTGTGTTCCGACGCACGAGTATTTAATGCACACGTTTCCATCCGCGACTGAAGATATCTCGTCTTCGATGCACATATTCCCGGAATTCCCCGCGTCGTCGGGATCGTCGTAATCCATGACTCGAACAATAAACTCAGGCGCCGTCGTTAAATCTGTTGTGCTCGCGACGCACACGCTCACAGACGAAACTGACGAGAAAATATTCAAATCAATCTTCAAATGTTCCGCATTGTCGAGCTCGACGGAGGTGCCGGTTTGAGTGTCCGTGACCTTGTAAGCGTCACTGATTCGATCGCTGTTCGAGTGCACGACGTACGTATATGAAGCTAAACTCGGACTTTCTGCATCTGACACGGTACCAACAGACGTATCAGAGCTCGTTGTCGAGGATTTGAGCCGCGCACAAACGCGCACGTTTGGCACCGCGACGTCCGATTCGCCTGCCAAAATTTCGCCCTCGACCACGCCATACCAAGGCACCGTAAACGTAAACGCGTCCGAATCGATGTTCAAAACAGAATCCGTCGGGTATTTCGTACGAATGGCGTATTCCCAAACGTCACCAGGAACCTTCGCAGCTTCGTAGTCCGCAAAAGTCATGGAATTGAACGATGAGGCGCAACCGCTGATATCGGAATCGATCAAAACAATCGACTCGTACGTTCCAACTGCGCTGCCGTCCACAACTTGCCTGCGAAGAACTTCAAAAGAGCTCTCTCCCAACGCCGTGTCTCTGAACTGAAAAGTAACCCCTTTCGTAGACGCAGACGTGGTTAAATCAATCGCCAAACCGTTATAGAATAAACCCGTGACGCAAGGGGGTGTAAAGCCACTCGTCGCTTGGGTCGCAACCGCGTAGTTCAAAACGACGCAATAGATTCTTCGAGATTGCGGCGATGCGTACGCTCTGTTCGCGCACAAGTCGCCCCTTCCGCAACTATATATAGAAGAAATGTGTAATTCATGAACGAATCCGCTGTAAATGCGAGCGTCGTCGTAGACGTACGAACTCGACGCGTAGGCGGAGTTGAATAAAGTTTTCGTCGTCGAAGTCATTCCGAAAGGTAAATCCATCAGAGTATTCGTCCAATCGCCCGCAACCATAGTCGCAGCAGACACACCATTTTCGTAAATCGTCAAACCATAAATATTGTTGGAAACCATCGCAACGTGATGCCACGAATTTGTCGACAGCGCCGTTGCAGACGAGATTTCGCAGAGACCGTCTCCGTCACCGCACGTCTGCGTGCAACCTCCATTGCTGTTGTCTGAAATGACGAGACCGCCGCTCAATGTCGCATCTGTTCCCAGCGTAAAGTGGATTTCTTTCTTGCACGAACTGCCGGTTACTGATGTTGAGTAGATGACATCCGCATTCCCCGTGTCACTACTACTTCGATAGATCCACGTCATGATCGCGCTGTTGGCCATCTCGTTTGTGTTGGCAAACTCATAGCCGGATGATGATGTCGACATTTTCAAACACTTGACACCATCGCCGCACGTCTCGAATGAATCGTATCCAGTTAAAGTTGTCGTAGTATCGTCCGCACTAGCCGAATTCGACATGTCGTCGTCAAACAAGAAGTGCGCGATCAAACTCACTTCGCTGTCTCCGGTTCCCATTGAAGGTCTCGAGTCAGTGAGTGATGTTGGGATACCTCCGGTATCAGAACCAACGTACTTTGCGAATAAGCGAGCATCAGAATACACACACATGTAATCAGAGTTGTCGACGGGCGGAGTGTTGTACGCCCACTTGACGGTGACGAGCTCTTTTGCCGCCGCGCAACTATTCAAAGTCGTCGACGTTGAACCAGCGTCTGTGCTTAAATCCGGGTACGTGATAGAAGTCATGTACACATCACTCGAGCCAGTCACAGCTTTCTCGTAGCACTTAAACGGCAACGCGTCGCTGTTCATGATGTCGCTCAATGTGAGATCGCTGTACCCACTTTCGCCGATTTCATTCGTTAAATGCGAAAAGTCGGCGTCGTGTCTCAAAAACGCGTCCTGAATTTCGTCGTAACTGAGCTTCCCGTCGCGCGGATTCGTATCGTACTTTCGAAACACCATTTCTTTGACGTAATCTACGGTATCACAGTCGGTAATCGAAAGAAAACCAGGCGAAGATAACAAAAAGGATTTTTCCAAAGGAACCGTTGAAAGACTCAACCAGTCCGAGCACCCTTCCTCGACGACGAATTCGTGCAACGTTTGTTCTCCAGTGGTGGTGTCGGGAGCTTTCGTGACGCCGTCAGCCATCAACCAATAGCATTCGTACTTGATTTGGTACGTTCCAGTCACTAACTCGTTACTCGCATCAGTCATCGTCAGGGTAAACTTATAATCGTCCCCTTTCGTAGAGTCGTAAAAATTCGTCCACTTTTTACACGGCAAATAATCGCTCGAAGTAGCGTGCGTGCACGAAGTATCCGTAGAACTCGACGCAACGTAGGCGTCGCATTGCAAACCTTTTGCTGTATTTGCATTGACAAGGGAAGGGGTTCCCAAGCAGTTCGTCACGTCTGAACAGTCGTTATCAGAGACGGTGATTTGAAAATCAAACTCGCGATCCGTTACTTGTAACGCTTGCACGCCAATAGCAACCGTCGGTACACCGTTGCTTCCCGGCGGCGGTGGCGACGGCGGAGGCAGCGGTGGTGGCGACGGCGGTGGCGGTGGAGGAGGACACGAATGAGAATTACAATCAACATACTGGGTCCTAACATAGAGTCTATCGCTCTCATCCGCAAACGCGCATTGACGAACTTCGCTGCCTTTCGTTTGGCAGTAGGTGATTCTCTTGAAGTGGTAAAGTAGCTGCTGTTCCTGTTTTCCACCTCCGCAGTCTTCCGAGCATTCGCCGACGTTCTCCCACCTCCAGTCATCTTTAACACCCGACCAGGGATTGCGATATTCCCAATGGTCATGAACGCAAGTACCTATTTTGGTAGGGTTATTATTTTGTATTTGGTTGGTACAACCCGCGCCATTGCGGCCGTTCCAACCGGCTTCGATGGAATTTGGAAGCTGAATCAAGCACGCGAGCGCCGCGAAAAAGCACGCGGTGAACGAAAACGAATGACGACGACGATAACGACGACGCAACGATTCTTCTTTTCGACTTCTCGCTCTTTCGTTCATCATCGTTACCGCACAACCGCTTCTGCGCTCGTATTTTACTTCAGTTTTTTTTTTTTTTGGTTTTTTTTGTCTACATCATGTCAATAAAAGTGTGATCACATGAAGAGAGAAATGCGTTTTTTTTTCGCCGGGTCAGAGAGAGAGAGAGAGAAGAGAGAGAGAGCCAGAGCCAAAAAAAAAAAAAAGACGCGAGAGATAGATTTGTTGCTTTTTTGGTCTCGCGTCGAGTCAATAATGCGAGGACAAAATGCCGCGTGTGATGATGCTCAAATCTGAGTTACATCTCGCCGCACGCGCGCAAGAGAGGAGGGAGGAGATACACGCGCGCGCAGAGATGATAAATAGATAAAGAGAGAGAGAGAGATGATAGCACTCAGAGCGCTACAGCTCTACATCGAAACAGTCCTCCTACAGAACGATATCGAGAACAAATCGTTCAACGGACGAGAAGATTTTCCACCATCAACAAATGATGTCGAACGACGATATGAGTCAGGCGCACCTTTTCTTCAGCGATAAAACAATTTTAACAGAACACAAAAGCTACTATCGTTCTCTTTGTATCTTTGTCTTCTTCTTCTTCTGTTGTATTAGGAGACGACGCGATGAGAGAGAAACTTGATGATGATGATGATGTTTATAAAGAATTAGTATATATATCAAATCAAAGCGTTGCTTTTGCGTTGCGCTTTGTGTTTTTGTGTCGTCGACTCAACTTTTTTTTTCTCATCAGCTTTTCCGCGACGAAATTAATGTAGAGTTTAAGTTTAGGGTTTTATATTTTAGGGTTTTGTTCGAAACCCTAAATTTTCTAGACTTTGTCTCTCTCTCTTCAAAATTCAAAAGCGCGAGACTTTTCTTTCGACGCCGAAACGCGCGCGCTTTTCCTCGCGACTCGTTCGAGGAGTTCGCGTCGTCGTTTGAAGAAAGACGCCCCAAACAAAAGTCTCTTTCTTTCGTTGAAATTGCATTCGTTGAAAGAGAAGCCTCCCGATTTCTCTCTCAATCGGTATACTTTTCTTTCGCAACACACGTGAGACGACGACTTTGAAGAAGCGCGTTGACGCGTTTTCTTCAAAAATGCGCGTGAGCGGCGAACGAGGCGAAGGCGACGCTTTCGTCTCCGAGAACAGAGACGACGACGATGCGAAGAGGAAAAAGAAGAGGAAAAGAAGAAGAGAAAACGGAGGCGCGTTGGAGTGGAAAGATATCGTCGCTGGAACGAAGAAGAGCGAAGAAGACGAGTCCTTCTCGCATCATCATCATTCTTCGGATTTTGAAGACCAAGAAGAGGAGGAAAAAGAGGAAAAAGAGGAAGGAAAAGATCTGGACGCGTTGATGAAAACGGTCCTCGCCGGGAGAGAAAGGAAAGGGAAGAAGATGAAAACGGAGGAAGCGTTTAAAAAATCGAGGAAAAGAGAAGCGTCGAGGTTGAAAAGAGAGTTGAGAAACATAAACGTGAAGGAGAACAATCGGAACTTTGAGAGGATGTTCATCGGCGAGACTCTCGTCGACGGCGTCGGGAGGAGGAGGAGAGCGACTAATACTGCTACAAGTGCTGGTAAAATGGAGGATGACACTGTCGAGGACGATGATGTAAACAATAACAACAACAGCGATGAAAAGAAAGGATGGTATTACCCGTGCGACTGGACGTTAAAGACGAGAGCGACGTTCGCGAAGATTTGTAGTTTGCGCGACGACGATACGAACGACGAGGCGGAAGAAGATTTCGACGAGGATGATGATTTCGATACAGATGAAGAGAAAAGAAAAATACAACAAACTTTTCTTTCCTCGTCATCTGTATCGAAATCGTTCTCGTGGGTGAACGACGAACGAGGCGCAAACGCCGTCGCCGCCGGCGCGCACGATGCTTTTTCCACGCACGGCGTCAACGGCGTCGAACCTTTATCGAGTAAAAACTGTTCCTTCTTTTACTGTTTACCGTCCTCTTCGAATTCAATCATATCCAGCGAAAGTAACAAGAACGATTCGAGACGATCGGCGGCTATGCAACGCGCAACGATATCGTTTCAGTATCCGGATTCGCGATTGCCGGCGCACGCGATTGATAAAATGAATATTTCCTTCAACAACAACAAAGACTTAAAGTCGTCGAGTGCGGCTACGAACGCGTGGTTTCGCCAACGTTCCAATCAGTGGACGGAAGCTTTGAGTTCCGCCTACGGACGATTGAGGTCGTATTTTAGCTATTCCTTTTACGTCGCGTACGAAGACAGACGCATATTCTTCGCCTGTCCGGGATTAGATGGTAGTTTTTCGAGCAATAGCTTTAAAGAGAACAATAACACAAAAGACGACGACGACGACGACGTAAACGACAAAAACGACGATAAAAACAACAACATCAGTCAAGGTTTCGCCGTCATCACCAACACGAACCAAAAACTGCGAGATATTTTGACCAAGAATGGCATCCCGTTCAAACCGGTCTTTGTCACGCGGGACGGTAAAGGCTTCAGCGTGAACGATAACCGAACGAAATCGGATAAAATGAAGAATAAGAAGCACTTGCTGTTTGGAGGCGACGCAAATTTATTCGATGTCGACGACGACGACGACGAAGAAAAAGATAACGATGATGAAGGAGAAGAAGAAGAAGAAGAAGGAGAAGATAACGATGAAGATGATGATGACGGGAAAGAAAACGCGGAGAGAGAGAACAAAAAAGCGAACCTTCAACAAAGCGGCAGTCAAGAAGAAGGAAACGACGGAGATAAAGTCAAAGACGATGTTAAAGGCGAGGAAGACGGATGCGACGACGGATATATCACGAACGTCGTCGGGAAAGAGAATTCTGTGAAGAAAAAGAAGAACGACGATGCTCTGTTAAAAAACGCCATACATCCAACCTTTATCGACGCTTGGAACGAATCCAAACGAAAAATCAAACTGAAAGAAGAGCAAGAAAAGAATAAAGTATTCGAACGGTTCACTCGAGACGGCGCGATTCTTGTTCGAGGCACGTTAGCCGTGCACGGTTTAGTCAACGTCTTGTTACAGTTTCGAGGGCAGGATCCAGGCGACGTGAAGGTGACGGAACAGACGGTCATGGACGCCGAAGCGTTGGCGTTGGCGCGAATGAATACTTTTGCTGAGAATACCACCAACACCAACACCAACACTAAAAATCTGACGACAACGAAAGCGGGCAGCAGCGCGATGATATCTTCAGACGTTGGCGCTATTCTCGCCCCGAGACCATTTACTAACTGTTTCACGAAATCGTTCGAGTTGAGGCCGAACAAAGTCGCCGTGGCGAGCGAAACAAGCAAATCGAAGCTCATGCGTTTATGGACCTTGGATTTAGGATCTAATAGTAATAGCAATAACAACAACACTAGCGATAGCTATAGCGAGAAAAAAAACAAGATGATGATGAGGACGACGAATTCCGATCGAAAAAATTGGTGCGACCCGTGCGATTTGATACCTCCGTGGACGATGGCGAGAGTCTGTCGAGTGTTGTCCGCGGAAGATGATTTTTTTGGTAGCAACGACAACGAGAGAGACGACGACGACGCGATGATGGACGACGATAAAACCATCGCGAACGAGGACGACGACAAACAGAAGAAGAAGAACAAAAACAATAATACGGTGAAGCAAAACATCCTCCGCGAGAACAAAAACTCGATTCGTTTGTGGTTGGATACCGACCCGTGCTCGAAAGTGTTGAACGCCTCGGTCGCCGCCGCGCGGTTGATGAGCGAGGAAAGTTTCTCGAGACGTTTAATAAGAAGTACTTCAAAAGCAGCTCAACAAAAGAAGCCCGAGGATGAAAAGAAAGTCTCTCCTCCTTTGAAACCTCGCGACGAGGCTTTTGGCGACGAAGACGAGAAACGCTGGGCGTTTTCGTTTTCGTCGAATAATCGAAGAAATCGTCGCGCCAACGATTTCGCGGCGAAAAGCAACAACAACGATACCGGCATCGTTCAGTCCTTAGAGCTCAAGAAGAAAGCCTTCGTAGTAGAAGTCGCGTGCGCTCGCTCCTGGAAATAATACTACAACTACTACTAATAACACGCTCTCTCTACTCTTTTCATTAATGCTGCTGCTAAAACAATCTACCACGCGTAACGAGCAGCAGCGCTCGCTTCTTCATCACGTCGTCGTCATCTCCACGTCGTTCATCTCTCCGACGCTTTTGGTACCAAACGCACTCTCGTCTGCGTCCTTCTTCTTTTTCGAGACCAATTCGTCTCGTTCTTTCTTCATCTTTTGAATGTTTTTCGAGAGCGTTTTCCGTAAAGTTCCGCTCGTTTTTTTCTCCTCTTTCCTCCTCTTCTCTTTCATCGATATCATCGCCAGTTTGAGTTCTTTTTTCCTCCGCATATCTCTCGCTCTTTTCTCTTTCTTGGACAGCGTCGTCGATGCCTCCGTTTCGTCGTTCTCCGTCGTCATCATCGTCGTCTCTCCGTTCTCGTCTTTCTCTTTAACATCCACATTTATGCCGGCAAAGCGTAAAGCTTTCAGTTTCTTTTCCCTTCGTTTCGCCCGTTTCACTTTGGCGGAATCCTTCTTCTTCCCGAAGTTCTTCGCGCCCATGTTTGATTTGATGCGCGTGTTGTGGTTTTAGAAGAGAGTATGTGTAGTGCGCACTCAATAATGTGCGCGAGAAAAGTGTGTCGAGTCGGGTAAAAAGTTTTCGACGAATTTGTGCGTCAAGATGTAAAAAGTTGCACACGAAAGGTCCACATCCGCGTCGAGAGCGTTTAAATATAAACCATCTCCTCACGCTCTGCGGAGATACGATGACTCTCCGAGCAATTGTTGTTGCCAGTCGGATGCAGTATCGGCGACTCTGTGCCGGTAAATATGCGCACTCATCCTGAGGAAAAACTCTACCTTTTTTTCACCAAGTTTTCATGCAAGTACTAAATAGAGAGAGGGAAAAACTCGCCGCTTTTACCTCAGACGCGCTTTATCACTCTCTCATGAAGAAGAACACAACACCAACAACAGCACAGCGCACTAAATGCGTAAAGATAAAACGACGACGCGTGTGAAAGTTGCGCAGAAAGTTGGGTGCAATATAAATACGCGCGCGCGCTCTCTCGTGAAGAATACAGAGGGAGGCGGAGGACAAAAAGAAACTACCTTTTTTTCACACGTTTTCGTAAATCAAATTGAGAGGCAAAAACGCAAGCGTCTCTTTCCTCCTCAAAATCAGATACGCTCTCGCGCTCTCGTTACGACAACACCAACAGGTACGATTCACAACTCTCTCTTTAACAAACTCTCAAACTTCTCTCGACGTCGAGTTCGAGAGGAGCTTCTCATTTGCGCTCGTTTTTCTCTCCGAGACTCTCTCTTTCGTGCACCGAGAAAGGATGAAGATGGAGATTGATTAATGTGGATAAAGAGGCGATTTTCCCGATCCGAAATCGGATTCTATCCGACAAAAGAGAAGACAAAACGGAGGAGAATACGCACACAATTGCTCTCCAGAGAGAGAGAAACAAAAAGAACGGATGATCTTTTTGTGTTCAATCGTTTGGTTTTTGACGACGCGTTCTCGTTTCGTCTCGTTTTGATGTCGTGGCTTTTGTCCGCGTAATCATTATTTTATCTGATGGATGATGGTGTTGGTGCGTCGTCAACATTTTCATCGTCATCATCGTCATCGCATTCATCATCATCACTGACGACGAAACAATGTTTCCCGCATTCCTCTCTTCTCTGTCCTCTCTTGCACCGCATCACCAGATATACTAATGATGGCCTCTACGACCACCATGAAATCATTCGTCTCCAAGACGTCCTCTTCCTCCGCGTTGAGAAACACGAAGAAGTCTTCTTCTTCTAAGCGAGTCTTTAGCGTTCGGGCGAAAGCGGGTCAATCGGAAATGGGCACGCCGTTTTCCACCTGGGTGCTCCAACAAGAGATGAAGGATAACATCGACAACGAACACGCCATCGTGTTGCAATCCATCTCGGTCGCGTGTAAGCAAATCGCCTCTCTCGTGCAAAGAGCCGGGTTGGCCGGCATGACTGGTCTCGCCGGCGAGCAAAACGTGCAAGGCGAAGACCAAAAGAAGTTGGACGTTATCTCCAACGACGTCTTTTGCGACACGTTGAGATTGTCCGGGAGAACTGGCGTCATCGCTTCGGAGGAAGAAGACGTGCCGGTTGCGGTTGAAGAAACGTACGGCGGGAACTACGTGTGCGTTTTTGACCCGTTAGATGGGTCTTCGAACATTGATGCCGCCGTTTCCACGGGGTCCATCTGGGGTATCTACGCCGGCGACTCGCAGTGCGTTCCGGATTTCAGCTCCGAATCGCCGGCGGAAGTCGAAGCGAAGTGCGTCCAAAACGTCTGCCAACCGGGCGAGAACTTGGTTTCCGCCGGGTATTGCATGTACTCCTCATCTACCATCTTGGTCATCTCCGTCGGGGATGGGGTCTTCGGTTTCACCTTGGACTCCGCCGTCGGTGAGTTCATCATGACGCACGAAAGAATCCAAATCCCGAAATCCGGGAAGATTTACTCCTTCAACGAAGGTAACTACGACATGTGGACGCCGGGATTAAAGCAATACATGGACTCGTTGAAGACGGGCGGTAAGGAAACCGGAACGAAGCCGTACTCTGCCAGATACATTGGCTCTTTGGTTGGCGACTTCCACCGAACGATGTTGTACGGCGGCATCTACGGCTACCCGGGGGATGCCAAGAACCCGACCGGTAAGTTGCGCTTGTTGTACGAGTGCGCGCCGATGAGTTTCTTGGCTGAGCAAGCCGGCGGGGCGGGATCCGACGGTACTGGGAGAGTGTTAAAGATCAACCCGGAGAAGGTGCACCAACGCGTGCCGTTCTTCACGGGCTCGGTCGAAGAAGTCGCGTACTTGGAATCGTTCATGAAGTAAGAAGAAAAATAAATTATAAAGAATATACCGCACGACGTTTAGTAGAGAGAGAGAGAGAGAGTAAGAGTAAGAGTAAGAGTAAGAGTAAGAGGGAGAAGATGGTTTTTATTGGATAAGAAGAAGCAGCATTTAATTGTAACAATCATTATTTGAATTCAAGAATGAAGAAGAAGAAGACTTGTTTGTGTTTTAAAATCGTCGTCGTCTGAATCGTCCTTTTTTTCTTTCATTTACCCGCGTAATACTACTAACTTTTGTTTTTTAAATCAACAAACATTATATAGTAACCAGGTAGTAATTTGAACAAATTGTTATTATATCACGCATTCGTTGCTCTCGTCGCTCGTTTAATCGCTCTTTTAATCGCCTCTCGATTCAAGCTCGTCACCACGTGAATCTCTTGCACTTGTCTTCCGCTTCTCGCTAATAAGTTGTACCCGTCCTCGACTTGGACGTTGGTGAGCCATAACTCGAGATCTTGAGAAACGACCCTTCTCTCCACGGCCGTTCTTCCCGGAATAACAGCCTCCACGCCATCTTCGGACAACAACTCCGCGCAAATTCTCGGCAATCCGGGTAAACTCGCTTCCATTTTCGTCCCTTCCTCGCCGTCGAAATCGCCGCTCGCGAACGCCGAATCCGAATCGTCGAAGGACAACTCCGGCATCGTCACCGGCATAATCGTATCTAAAGTTTCCATCAAAGGATCGTCCAACATTTGCTTCGCGCTGAAATTAACTCTTTGACCACTATTCGCCACCTCTAACACTTTCACCTCTAACTCGTCGCCGACTCTGCACACGTCTCTCGGGTGCGCCACTTTGTTCCAAGACAACTCGGAGATGTGAATCAAACCTTCCAAACCAACCGGGGACAAGAGTTGGTCTTGTTCTTGTGAAGAAGAAGAATTATTATCGTTGTTGATAACTTCCACAAACGCTCCAAAATCGCTCAAATTCGTCACCACCACTCTCTGTTGCGTCCCCACCGGTAACTTCTTCTCCGCGTTTTCTTGAATCAAACTCTTCTCCGAACACACGACTCGTTTCGGCGTCACTTCGACGAACTTCACGTCGATCAAGTTCCCAATCTGTTGCTTCATCACTTCCGCTTCCGTTAACTCCGCCTTTGTGGTTTTACAAAACTTCAACCGCGACGATCGCATCTGCGATTTCGGCAGGAACGCTCGGTACTTGTTCTTCATCACGCGCAAGATCAAACCGCCGCGGTTCACCGCCTCCACTTTCCCGGTCACTTTTTTGCCCGATTCTAAAGCTTTCATCAGGTCTCGTTTCAACTCCGCGCTCTCTTTATCTTTTTGGCTCTCGTTTTTACTCTCGACATTATTCGGTGCTTTTTCCACGCCTTTTTCTGTTGGTCCTTCTTTCAAGCTCTTCGTCTCCTTTGTCTGCTCTGTCTCCTCGGAAAACGCGTAAGAAACGATGCGTTTCGATGACGACGACGGTCTCGACGAGGAGGCGGATTTCGAGCTCCAGACTCGCCGTTTCATATCAGACACTTTTGGCCACCTCTTCGCTGTAGTATTCGCAGAAACAACCGTTCCTCTCGAATTGCCTCTTCCGTGGTGGTGTCCGAGACAGAGCATGGAAGAAAGCGCGAGAGAGGACGACATGATGACGATGATGATTCGTGTTCTTAGTAACGCTGCTGTCGTCTGTGCGGTGGTTTTGCGGTTGAAAACGTTTATCCAAAATCCTAACAAAAAAAAAGAGTACGACTGACGGACTAAGAATTTAGGGTGTAAGTCTGTAGTTCTTACTCAAATTTGACTTTCTGAGTGCTTCTTTCGTACTCGCACGTGCTTCGTTCTTACTCTTTAAAATACGAAGTCAGAATACATTTCTTTTTTGTTGTGAAAAAAAGCAGAATGTGTACAGGCGCAGGTAACTTCGAGTACGCGCGATGATCAATTCGCCCCGCGAAAAGTTTTATCTTCGGAGTTGTTGTTGTCGCGTTGCGCGTCGCTCTGATGAGAGGAGATGCTTTTGATGTCTCTTTTTACGGAGGTATTGAGTGCTATAGACTCTGTAAGAATACTTATAAGAGTAAATAAAACGTTTTTTCGTTTCTTGTCTTTCCTTATTTTTTGTTGGGAAATAATTGTACAAAAAATACGAGTTCTCGCTTTCATTACAAGAAGCGCGGTGTTGTTCTTCTTCTTCGCGTATCGGAGCGCTGAAGGAGACGAGAGCGTTTCTTTTGAGTCGTCGTTGTTGTTGTTGTTTTTACTTAAAGAAGAACGAGAGAAGAAAAAACTCGTCATCGAGTGGTCTTTTTTTTTATCGAGTTGTTTCCGAGAGAAAAAAATACGAGTCAGAGAAGATAAAGTTGAGAGGTCAAACGAAGATGTCCGAGAACGAGAGCAGCAGAAGCGACAACAAAAACAGTACAAACAAAGAGGGAGACGAAAAAGAAAAGCTGAGAGAACTCGTTCGCGCGGTGAAACACGCCAAGCGAGAACGGTTTTTCAAAGGAGTCGTCGTTCCTTTTTGGTGGTTTCTTAAAGTGTTGGTTCTTTTTTTCTCTCTCGTTTTCCTCCAAAACGACGAGGCAAAAAAAGTTGAAGCGTTGCAACAAAAGTACTCGCCGATTGAAGATCGAAACATCCGGGAGGCGTCTGGCCTCGTGAAATCGAAACTGAACTCCAAAAGCCCCGCGGGGAAAGTGTTTTGGACGCACAACGATTCCGGGGACCGGGCGAGGGTGTTTGCCATTCGCGTCCCGGAAAAAGACGACGACGCAAAGTCGTCGAAGAAAACGCGCGTGGTCGCCGAGGTGACCATTTTGAACGCCGGGAACAGAGATTGGGAAGATCTGGCACTGTGGCAAGATCATAAAACAAACCAACAAAAACTTTGTGCCGGAGATATCGGTTCTTATCGCGGGGAAGTCGTTATTTATTGCTTCCCGGAGCCGAAATTATCCGAGATGTCGGAGACGTATTCAAACGTCTCCAAGCCACCTTCGAAAGAGTACTTAAAAGTACCGTTCACGGAAAAGATTCGCCTGCGATACCCATCCAACGAAAAGCACGACGCGGAAACTTTACTGGTGGATCCACACACTTCGCAATTCCTCATCGTCACCAAAAAAAGCAACAACAAAGGCGCTTTATACGTCTCCGAACCGATCGACGCGTTATCGCAAAATTCGAAAGGATCGAACGAGTTAAAATTCGTGCGAACGATTAAACTTTACGGCACGAGTTCCGGCGCGACTGGTGGCGACATCTCTTGGTCCGGTAAAAAAATCGTTCTCAAATCCTACGGTCGATACGTGTACGAATACACTCGCCAACAATTCTTCGATCCGAAGAGAGACCCGAACGTTCGCGGTTTAGGCGAGTACGATCCGAGCGAAGCGTTGGCGTTGGAAAACGACGCGCCGGACGAGAACGAAATCTGGACGTTAAACGAAGGCAGCGGGAGTTCCTTGAGACGGTACAGGTTGCGTTAAAGCGTTGTTAAAGCGTAAAAAGAAAACTCTCTCTTTCTTTCTCTCTCTCTCGCGAAAAAAGAAAGATCGTAAGAAAGAGAGCGAGATGTAAAGAATAAAGAAAGAGAGAAATTCAAATCCAAACGTTTGAGCGAGAGACGGTTTTCTCTCTCCTTTTCTCGTTCTTCATCTTCGAAGCGAGAGAGAAGAGAGAGAGAGAGAGAAAACGTGGATTAAAAATAATAAAAACGTTGAAACCCTAAACACATAAACACAAAAATATCTAAAAAAAGCTGCCCTTTTGCACACAAACAGACGCACTTATACACACACTACAAAGAATAACAATAATGAACGCTGAAAACTACGTCAAAGCTTTCCAGGGCATCATGGGTGTTTACGGACTCCAGTTTTTGTTGGTCCCGAAGAAAATCGTACGTTTTTTTTTATGATACTTTTACTACTCTTTGTCGTCTTTTGTTTATTCCAAATCCGATCGATTATTCCCCCCCGTTAGAAAAGACGGGGAATTGGGTAGACAACAAAAGTCGACTTTAAAACTGACATCACATCTCTCTCTCTCTCTTAACTCTCACTAACATACTAACACACGATGAACCGCGCTTTACGCAGCACGAAGACCACTTCGACTCCCCGGCGTACGTTGTTGTTGTTGTTTTTTCTCGTTCGAATTCGTTTCTTTGTGTTCGTCGATTGGTAGGTTTTTGGGGTGAAGCACTCGGTCGAGGGAAAATAGTAATAACGCGCCTTTTCTCTCTCTCATAGCACGCCAATGATTAAATTCTGGGCGAGAGGTTCATCCTGCGCGTGGTTAGGCCTCGCGTACGCGGTTGGCGAAATGCCGACAGCTGCGGCGGCCAAGTTATGCGCGATCGTTTCCGCCGGTTGCGCGTTGCTGTATCCGTTCAACGCCAAGTTCAACTTAACCGGAGATGTCGGGAACACGGTCAAGTACCCGATGCACTACGTTCCGGAAGTTTTGATGAGCGTTTTAACCATTTCCGGCATCGTCGTGAACATGAACTAAATGTAAAAGAAGACTTTTTGTCCTCCTCTTCGAATCGCCGCGTGTCGCCGGAGTACGACGTAGTAAACGTTTTACGTCGAAAACAAACGAACGCTTTTAAGAAGAGGAGGACGCGAGACGAAAGTTTCATCGTCTGTTGCACATAATACTAAAGAAGAATCTTCTCATAAAGAATACATAAAATCATCACAGCGTTCGATGTAACTGATGGTGTGAATATATAATGAACATAAAAGAACCGACGATACTCCCGCTCCGTACGCACATTCGTATTAATAGACCGCTTCCTCTCGTTCAAACGACACAACAAAACCACGCCTCATACAAACGACTCGCCTCGCAAACGCTTGCGCATTCAAGAACACGAGTCGAATTCAAAGCGATGACAACACCACACCTCTCTTTGTCGCCTTTTTTCGCGAGAACCGTCACCGCACTCGCGTTATTTCGGACGATCGCGCCGCACTTCGCGCTCCTCCGCGACGCGTTCGAAACGCTCGAGGATGGTTTGGATTCGATTTTGAAGCGAAGTTTAAACGCTTTAAGCGCACCAAGAACGCATCAAGAAGAGAGCGACGACGAGGAGGAGGAAGAAATGCGTCTCGTGAAACACTCCGCGGATTCTATCGCGGCGCTGAGAGCGATGGAATACCGACGAGGGAGGAAAGCGTTGGTGAAGGATAAATTCGCCAAGACACTGGCAGGTACGCAATACGTAACGAACGCGTTAATGAATGTGAACGCGAAAGCTTTGGTTTCTCTCTCGTCTTGAACTCTGCGTTTAGAGTCGTGTGCATCGTCGCGTTTTCGTTTTACATTGCGCTTCGACGAGTTTAGTGCGACATTTTTTACTCACCAGATGCGTTCTCTTTTACGCTCTCGTTCTCGCTTCGGCGACGGTCGTCTCTGACGCACGTTTTGTAGGCAAAGCGGCGTACGCGAAGGCGAAACTAAAACTCCCGATCGGAGATAACGGACGGATTGCCATAAGGACCAAGTTCTTCGACGAGACGATACGGATGGCGATGTACGAAAACCCGACGCACGTGAACTGGCAAATCGTTTTACTCGGAAGCGGGATGGATACGAGGAGTTATCGGATGGAAAATCCGCACGGGTTAATCAAGACGGTGTTTGAAATCGATCACGAGTCCGTTTTGAAGAGGAAACGGGAGCTTTTAAAAGAGTGGCCGCATTGCGGGCCGCGAGTGATTTTGGCCGAGGAGCGGGTGGAAGTGTTCGCGGATATCATGAAGGACGATTGGATGCGAAAGTTGAGAGAGAAAGGGTTCGACCACACGAGACCGACGGTGTGGATGTTGGAAGGTTTGTTGTACTACCTAACGCCGGAGTTTGCGTCTGCAGTCGTTCGAGAGTGCGCGGATGCTTCGGCGAGAGGATCGTACATCGTGGCGTCGTGCGTGAATAATTCCTCCTTGTACAGAGCGATTTCAAACAGTTCGAGCGCGTATAACGATTTGGAGAATCAAATGACGCCGATGCGAGATCGGTTGACGTATAATAACGACGATATGAGTCCGTTGGCATCGTCGTCGTATTCGCCGCGGTATTATTTACACACCAGCGGTATTGATTACAGCAACGACCCGCATCATCGCAACGAGGACAAGAATTCAAAGAAGAAGAAGAAGAAGACAAAAGACAAAAAGAGTAAGAAGAATCAAATGACGGCGAGACAAACCTGGAAATCCGCGATAGACACGCCGGAACTTTATTTCCCAGCGCGAGGGTGGGAACGCGTCACCGCGTACCAACTCGGCGACGACGGGTGCGACTACGGCAGATGGACGGGCAAACGCCCGACGGCGAGACCGCCGACGTGGAAGACGGATTTAGAACCGAGATCGTTTTACGTCCGAGCGGTGAAAGGCGGATACACGCACCAAGAACTCGCGCCAAAAATACCGGAGAAGAGCTCGTACGTCGCGTTCCAGGATGACTCGTATTCGAGTAAAATCTTGCGCGCAGATTTCGAGGAGGACTTTTTGGATCACAACAACAACGACGACAACAACAACGACAACAACAAAAAAGAAGAATCGTTTTCGTTCTTGGACGAAGACGAGTCTGGATTCGTGTTAACGCCGTCCGCGATTACCATGCGAACGCCGCGAACGAGTTACACGAAAGCAGACATTGATAAAATATTAGCCCCGGACGATGAAATCGACGACGACGAAGCTCGAATCAAGTCCGTCGGTCAATCGGCGATGGCTGATTTCGAGGTCAAACTGAACGACGTGATTACAGAGTTCGATTGATTATTTGCGTAAGATTTAGTCGAATCAAGAAGAAGAAGAAGAGTTCGTCGTCGTAGATGTGCACATGTATACTACTACATGCGCGTACTAGTTACTAAATAATAAGTAGTTCTACCATATTATTAATCATAATTTAAACAAGTTTTTTCTGCTGCAATAGAAAATGATAAACAGAAACGACGCCGCCGCTAACGCGGACGTTACGACGATCACGCCGACGAAAAAACCAGATTTGGTTTCCAAGTTGGATTGTAAATTCATACCAAAAATACTCCCAGCCACAGATACGATCGAACACGCAAACAATGCCGCGGAAACCACCAAATCAATCTTAATCAATTCGTTTCTTTGTCGATCTAAAATCATCGACGACACCGCTTCGGTGTTTTGCAACAAATCTTTCAACGCGTGCGCGCGTTTTTGCGTCGCCGCGGAGTGCATGAAGTAGGCTTCCAATAACGCTTCGGCACCTTCGTGTTCGTGTCCATCCTCTTCGTTCGTCGAATCGATGGTTTCGAACTCTTCCTCGTTTTCCGGGTCGTACTCTTTTTCTTCGTTCATGGTCATGCCCGTCGGATTTGATATCACGCGCGTGATAAATTGCGCTTTCTTACTGCTCTTTTTCGTCGTCGTCGTTTGCGTCGTTGCGGCGCCCCCCATTCTCGGCGCGGATTCATTCTCATTGTCGTCGTCAGGCGCCGCCGTTGTCGAAATATCGTCTCCTCGCACCAGTTCCATCACTTTCAGTTTACTCAAACACATCGCGTCTAAACTCTCGTCGTGTTCCAGAATCGAAGATAACGCTTCCGTAAACGCCTCCAATCGTAAAATCAACGCGTTCAATTTTTCTTTAATCCTTCTCCCTTCCGCCAACTCTTCCGCCTGAACGCTCTGCAACATCTTCTCCATGCACGGCGCGGCTTCTCTTTCCAAAGCTATCGTTTCGTTGTCTAATACTAAACCCAGTTCGTGCATCGCGCATTCCAAGACGAGCAGTTCAAACGGTAAGTGCAAGACGCGTTCTTCTTTGATTTTGGTCGTCGTTTGTGCATTTTTTAACGCGCTATTCGATTGTTGCAGCTTTTGAGTCTCGTTTTCGTTTTCGTCTCGAATAATAGTCTCCATCATAGTCGCTTCTTTTACTAAATCTTCTCTCTTTTGCGTCTGCGCTATTTCCACCTCCTTCAAATATTTCCTAAGAAATTTGACGAAGCGTTTCACCTCCAAACTTTCCGCGTTCAAGAACAACGCGATTTCCGCGGTGACTATAAACTTCATGTGCTCTAAGTTCACGATCAAACATTTCGGCCGTATGAATATATTCGCAGGCGTTAACGTCGGCCTCAACGGGTCCAAATAGTGCAAATCTCTCAAAGGAACGCCAAACGCCGCCGCGACGTGCGCTTTTGACGCTTTCAGATTTTTCGCCCTCCCGTGTTCGTCCAGAACCGTCCACATCCTATCCAACGTCTGCGTGATAGTCGTGTTCCCTTTACCCTCGTTTCCGCTGTTATTGGGGTTATTTCCTCTGTCGTGAGTATTCGCGTGTAACACGTTCCCGGACCATAACAAGGCGGATGGTAACCCTAAAACCGCGTTGGATTCGTTCGAGGCAGCGTCTCCTTTCGTCTTCTCTCCCGACCCTCCTGCTCCGCTTAATTTCAAGATCTCGTTTAACGTGTGTAACTCCCCCGCGGTTCTCTTTTCCGTCGGAATGACGTACGAGGCGAGGTAGGTCACCGGGGAGGCGAACACTTCGCCGGATTTGGAAATCAGTTTCCTCGTCGCTTCCATGTTTACTACACCTCTTTGAGTCGTTCAGAAGCGCTCAGAGAGACTCGAAAATACACAAATCGAGACTCTGTCTCTTATTCTTTAAACTCTCTCTCTCTTTTAGGTGGTGGTGGTGTCTTTGGGAACGAATGAAAGGAGGAAGGATATTCAGCGTGGCGGCGGAAAAAGTGCAGTCGTTTGAGAAAAATATCTGAAAGCAACTGCGAAAGTTCGTCAAGACTTAAGTTCACATAAAAGAGCGGCATGTGAGCCTCTCGCTGCTTTACTGGGTATTAGGAGTCAGAGGAGTACGCGCGAGGTGAGGAAGCGCGTATCAGATGTGATGTTAGAGGTACAGGGGGACATTGTTTGATGTCTACATTTTCCCGCTATTGACGTATAAAAAATGCTGAGTCAGATTTTATTATTCGCAAGCTTGGTTTTGTGTTTCTCTTTCTTTCTCTCTCTTTCTCTCTCTTTGTGTGTGTATTTATTATGAGTTGTGTAAAGTTCCGTCCTCGTATCGCCAATCGCGTGGGAGAGGACAGTTGTTGTCGAGGAGGTATTGTAAACATTCGGGGTGGTTGTTCTTGTTTGCCCAGAATACGCCCCAAGAGTCCCACGGCGCTTTGGCGGTTTCGTGCAAGTACACCAAACAGTCGAAGTAGCCGAACTTGGCCGCCAACGTACACGCCCATTCGTCATATTTATCAAACTTACGCTCAACAAGATATTCGAGTATGTGAAGATGGCCATTTGAAGCCGCCCGATAGGCAGTAGTCGCATCACAAGGCACTTTCGCTTCTTCGCGTAAGTATTTGAGTACCTCGAGTTGACCGTTTTGGGCAGCCCATGCACACGCCCACTCATCGATAGGACACTCATTTGCCACGCAATACTTTACCATTTCCAGATTACCTTGATATGCGGCCGCATTAATCGTCCTTGAATTCCACGTACACTTTTTCTCCTCTCGTATCCACTCGAGCAATTCGAGTTTATTCGTTTGAGCAACTTGACGGCAGAACCATATTTCGTCCCACCAACTCGGCCACAACGATTTATTCTCCCACGCTACTTCCAAAGTCGATATCGACGACATCTCGTAGACTTTAAACTTCCCTTCCAACTCCCCCTTGCGAGTTGATCTCTTCACCAACGCTCTCGTCTCTGTATTCACTCCGTACAAGAATTTCACATCCGTCTCATTCAGTCTCGGAATGATGTGTTTGAAACAAATATCGTCGCACTTCACGATCAAATCCCACACGTCTCGCTCCCCAATCCTCCTTTTCTGCGCTCTCGTCCTCACTCCAGAAGACATGACGACGCGAAAGACGTCTCCTCCTCTCTTCTTTCTCTTCGCAAACGCGCGCGTTACGATGATATCACAAAAAAGAAGAGATCTGTGCAATGCGATTGTTTTTCTCAGAAATGTAAAAACGAACGTTTTTTTTTCTTTTTTTCCTCAGACACATCATAAAAAATCACAAGAAATTTTCCCCTCTGAGATACGAATAAAATGGTAGGTAGTATCACCGCTGCGTGTGTTTTATTCTCTCTCTCTCTCTCTATTTCTCTTTCCATTTGTGTTCTGCGACGACGTGTCAAAATCGTTTTTGCTTTTGTTCTTGTTTTTGTGTCTTGTTTTCGCGCGTTGAATGGTTTGAATGGGAGAGACAGATGAGACGAAATTTCCCCTTCTTAAGTTGATGATGATGCGTTTAGAAAGCACACGACGACGGTTTACACGCGCAATTCAAAAGAAGAACACGACGATGAGAGCGTCGTTATATCTTTTTTCTTTCGCAACACACGCATTCACTCAATTCTTTATTGTCTCTTCTTCTTCATACGAATACTACGACTAAAAATGTTAAGGCTGGAGCGTCGAAACGAGTGCTCGCTGCAAAGCAGAAAAAATTCAACGCGAACATCCACAAAAGAGGCATGGTGGACATAAACTCCTCGACGAAAGATAAGGAGAAATTTACAGTCGGGCCTGTCGTTTTGGCGTTTTTTATATTCGTCGTGATCGGGTCGTCGTTGTTACAGATGATTCGGACCTTACAAACCGGGAAACCGTGAGGAGTTAGTACGCGAAGTCGTCGTTACGCGAGCGAGAGAGAGAGAAATAGAGGGGTTTGAAGATTAAGAGTAGTATACTTATTATGTGAACAAAATGTAACTATAAATATACATCACGTGCTTCTTAATCCGTAACTTTCGCTTATCGTTTTCAAGGACTTGCCGCTCGTCTCTTTCAAATTCCGTTTGGCGAAGATCGCGCCCCAAAGCTGAATAGCGCCGGCGAAAGTGAGAGCGACGCCTTCGTTCCATTCTATGAAAGGTAAGAAATAGAAATCCGCGACGGCGCCGAAAAAGAATAAGCTCGCGACGCAGACGGTGATCGCCGCGGATTTGTGTTCGTTTTCGAAACTCTCCGAGACCAACACCCAAAACACCGGCGCCCAGGAACAGCTGAAGAAAAACGTGAATAAACACAAGCCGATCAAGACGAGATATTCGTGGCCGACGACGCCAAACGCCGCGAAAAACAGCGAGAGCGATGCGGCGATGCCGCCGTAAAATAATAAAGAAACTCGTCCCCCGTAGAATTTCTTGTTTTCTTCCTCTCCTTCTGGTGGTTCTTCTGTGCGTTCTTCTTCTCTTTCGTCGTCGTCTGAATGGCAATCGACAAAGTATACGCCTACGGCAACCCCTAATAATTTCGTAATCGTGATTGAAATCGCAAACGACGTCGAATGCGCGACGGAATCGAACTGCGAACCTTGACCACCCGCCAACAGTCGTGGCGCGTAGTTTATGACGGCGGTACTACCGCTCAATTGGTTGAATGCCGCCAACGCGATTAAAATCTTCGTCGCTTCGAAGGCGTTTGCGTTTGAGCGCAACGATTTGATTTTCGCGACGATTCGTTTCGCGTGTTCGAACATGTTGTTGTTGTTCCCTTCTTCGCTTTGACCTCTACCTCCTCCTCCTCCCAAATTTTGTTGATCTAACGTGCGCACGATTTGATTCAATTCTATTTCCGCGAGCCTTTCGAGCTCTGCGTCCTTCCTCTCTTGAACGCTAATAGATTGGTCCATCGCGTAGCTTTCGTACGACGAGACCGAGACCCCCTTGTTGCTACTACTATGACTATTCCTACTACTACTAAACCCTCCTCTTTCTCCAACATTATACGACCTCATCAAAGAAGAATTAAATTGCTCGTCGTCGTCATCCTTTACTTTTTTATTCAATAATAATCGTTTCAAAACCTCTTTGGCATCCTCTTTTCTATCCTGTTCCAACAAATACCTCGGACTTTCGACGAGTAAAAACATCGATAAAAGAAACAGCAAAACGGCGAAAGGAATCACCACGAGCATCATTTTCCTCCACTCTGGCCTCAATAACGCGTCGCTCGCGGCAGCAAAACACGTCCCGCACGCCAATAACAACTCGTACGTCGCCACATTTTTCCCTCGATCTACGTTCGAGGACATTTCCGCCACGTACATAGGCACGACCACCGCGCTCATCCCGATGGACACGCCGATCAAAACTCGTCCAACCATAATCTCACCCATATTTTCCGCGACGCTCAACGTCGCCGGTCCTAACATGTACCCAATCGCCGCGCTCCACAACGCCGTTATTCTTCCGTAACTATTCGCAACAGTCAGACCAAAAAACACCCCGACTACCGCCATCAACTTAGCGACGCCGACGACGAGCGACTGATTTAAAGACGTGTTTATTCCTTCCACCGGATCTGAACCGCCCCGCGACATGTACGGTAAAGCCAGCGCGACTAACACGATATCGGCGCCAAAGAGGAACCCGCCTAAAGAGGCCACTAAAGTCACCGTGGACACTGCGTTCATCGTAGTAGTATTCGTATTACATATTAGTATCAGATAAGCAGAGAGAGAAAGAGAGAAACGAGACGACTTTTAAAGCGCTCAAACGACTCAAACGTACCGAGCAAAGGCCCTCGAAGAAGCACGCGTCCACGACGACTTCCACAATGCTCCATTTTGACGAGTATTACGCGATGATGCTGCGTTTACTCGTTTTCTGAAGACAAAGTTTAAGCCGTTCAGGAAAGAGGATTCTGAGGCTGATTTTTCCCCGCTGATGGTGTTGTCTGTGTTTACGTCGTTACGATGAATACTTCTGTCGTTTGAAACGCAACAAGACGCGAAGGAAAGCTGCAAAACTGTTGCTCCTGCGACGACGACAAGTGGGACGAACAAAACTGGGAGCATTCAATACACTTCGAAAGAGAGAGAGCGAGAAGTGAAGACATTTCCCCAACGGGGAACTGATTTGGTGTTACAAAATGGTATTACAACAAGGATGATATCTACGACGCTTTCCTACTAGTATACGGCTCGTTATCATCCGCGGCATTCATGTCCAACTCTGGTCGGTATCCACCCATCTTTATTGAGAGAGTGAGAGAGAGTAAGAGTAAGAGAGTAAGAGAGTAAGTAAACATATATTCACAGATACGAATTTTAAGCGCTTTACTAGTGCGCTCGATGATGTCATAAAACGACGTTAAAGGACGAGCATTAAACGAATATATAATAAAACGAGAGAGACGAGAGCATTCTTCATACTACTTACGTTTACGATCTCGCACTCTTCCTCGGAGACGAGGACTTTGACGTCCCTTTTCTCGCCGCTTTTAGGATGATTTTCCTCCTTTTGGATGCTTTTACTCTGACTACTACTACGACTACTACTTATGCTAATCCGAACGCCGTCGATCATCCTCGTCGGGAACGATATGCTCGGAATGCGCGCGAGGATGTGGCGGGACGAAGATACCATTTATTTTTATGTGTGCGCTTTTGACCACCGTCTTTGTGTTTATGAGGATGTTTTAAAGAGATGTGTTTTAAAGTGACATTTTACGCTCGAGCGAGACCTTACGCGTACGTCCAAAATACTTGCTCTGATGAGTACACATTTAGTGCAAAGGAGGAAGAAGCAGTTGTTTTACGTGTGTTTTAATGTGAGTTTTAAAGAGATGTGATGATATATGTGCAATGTGAAATTTTACGCTCTGCGAGCGAGATCTCGCAGAAGGTACCAGTATATGTTCAAGTATTATAATAATCACGTTAAAGACAACTTTATTAATTTTAAGACAAGTTGAACGACACGTATATCTTTGAATTCATCGACGGTCGAAATTCTTTTTTTCATTAATACCACCGTTGTTACGTTGGGGTCGGTGGCAACGGCGGCAGCGGCGGCGGCGGCGGGAACGGGAAGTTGGAGCGAAAGCAGTTCGGGTAGTTGCCGCCGGCGCCACGACACGTGCAACAGTTTCCGCTCCCGGCTGATAAGCAAGGGGTGGCTGGAATGCCTGGACATCCGTTATTACAACTAGAACGTGTGCACTCGTTCGCTCCACCGGGCCCTCCGTCGAAACAAGTCTCACACGTTTGAAACGCGTGATTCACGGGAAAATCTTCGTTGCAGCACGCTTCACAACTATGATCGCAAGCGTTTCCGCAGTTACCCGAACACACTCCGACCACTTGGTTGTTTTCGCAAAGAGGACCTCCGTTCGTGCCGAGAAAACAGTATTCAAGTTGGCACAAAGTCGGCACGTCGGCACTGGGGACGCATCGTATGCCCATACTAGTCTGGCAACAGGCGAAATTTCCCGAAGCGATGTCGCAGCAATCGTTGCCGCAGCATCTTCCCGTAAAGTCAGAATAATTGCCTCCAATTTCCCCGTGAAGTGGGCAAAACTCCTCTCCGGAACCAGCTAAACAATTCGCCGGCGGAGGGGGCGATGGCGGTGGTGAAGGAGGCGGAGACGGAGGCGGACTCGGCGGCGGAGACGGAGGCGGACTCGGCGGCGGAGACGGAGGAGGGCTCGGTGGTGGAGAAGGAGGGGGGCTCGGAGGCGGCGGCGACGGCGGTGGTGGAGAAGGAGGAGGCGATGGCGGAGGAGACGGAGGAGGGCTCGGTGGTGGAGAAGGAGGGGGGCTCGGAGGCGGCGGCGACGGCGGTGGTGGAGAAGGAGGAGGCGATGGCGGAGGAGACGGAGGAGGGCTCGGTGGTGGAGACGGAGGGGGGCTTGGTGGCGGTGAAGGAGGTGGGCTCGGAGGCGGCGATGGCGGAGGAGACGGAGGAGGGCTCGGTGGTGGAGAAGGAGGGGGGCTCGGAGGCGGCGGCGACGGCGGTGGTGGAGAAGGAGGAGGCGATGGCGGAGGAGAAGGAGGCGGCGATGGCGGAGGAGACGGAGGAGGACTCGGCGGCGGAGACGGAGGCGGGCTCGGTGGTGGAGAAGGAGGGGGGCTCGGTGGTGGAGAAGGAGGGGGGCTCGGAGGCGGCGGCGACGGCGGTGGTGGAGAAGGAGGAGGCGATGGCGGAGGAGACGGAGGAGGGCTCGGTGGTGGAGACGGAGGGGGGCTTGGTGGCGGTGAAGGAGGTGGGCTCGGAGGCGGCGATGGCGGAGGAGACGGAGGAGGGCTCGGTGGTGGAGAAGGAGGCGGGCTCGGAGGCGGCGGCGACGGCGGTGGTGGAGAAGGAGGAGGCGATGGCGGAGGGCTCGGCGGCGGAGAAGGCGGAGGACTCGGCGGCGGAGACGGAGGCGGGCTCGGTGGTGGAGACGGAGGCGGGCTCGGTGGAGGCGATGGCGGCGGAGAAGGTGGAGGACTCGGTGGTGGTGATGGAGGAGGAGGCGACGGTGGTGGTGGAGAAGGAGGAGGCGATGGCGGCGGGCTCGGTGGCGGTGAAGGCGGAGGACTCGGAGGCGGTGATGGCGGAGGAGAAGGCGGAGGACTCGGCGGAGGACTCGGCGGCGGGCTCGGTGGTGGTGATGGAGGAGGAGGCGACGGTGGCGGAGGAGAAGGAGGCGGGCTCGGCGGCGGCGATGGCGGAGGAGAAGGAGGAGGACTCGGCGGAGGAGATGGAGGAGGACTCGGCGGAGGAGATGGAGGAGGGCTCGGTGGCGGTGAAGGAGGCGGGCTCGGAGGCGGCGATGGCGGCGGAGACGGAGGCGGGCTCGGAGGCGGCGATGGCGGAGGAGAAGGCGGAGGACTCGGCGGCGGAGACGGAGGCGGGCTCGGTGGAGGCGATGGCGGAGGAGATGGAGGAGGACTCGGCGGCGGAGACGGAGGCGGGCTCGGTGGAGGCGATGGCGGAGGAGATGGAGGAGGACTCGGCGGAGGAGATGGAGGAGGGCTCGGTGGCGGTGAAGGAGGCGGGCTCGGAGGCGGCGATGGCGGCGGAGACGGAGGAGGACTCGGCGGCGGAGACGGAGGCGGGCTCGGAGGAGGACTTGGAGGAGGTAGCGGCGGCGGCGACGGCGGCTGTGGAAGAGTGTGTTCAAAAGAAAATGTATTCATCGGGTCAATGATTTTTCGCGTGACAAAAAGAAAAGAATACAAACGCGAATAAAAAAAACGACCGAATTGCAAAAACACACGAAAACTCCTCTTACTTGGTTGCAAATTTCTTTCTTAGCGCACTTATTTCCGTTGTGCCCAACGATTTCAGGCGCTACGCAACAAATGTAGCCAGTTGGACAACAAATTTCCCCGCAACAGAAACGTACGAAAGAATCGATGAACTCGGTGGTAAAGGCTTTCTTCGTCGGGCCCGAGTCACAACGTTTGAAATCATCGCTTACACCACAAAAATCTGGGCACATGGAAAAGTGAGCCACGCACGATAAGTGGCCCGTCTGTGTCACGTCGCAGCAAGCTCGAGGATACAAACAATTTTTCGCGGTACACTTTTTGATTCCGCCGACGATGATAGCGCTCGAAGACGCCGGAGGATACAAATCGTAGTTTGATGAATACGACGGAGAAGGCGATGATGTAACGCCGCCAGTTCCAATACTTCCAGGACTTCCTCCTACTACTCCTTCTCCATTATCCGTCGAATTAGTGCCGTTGCTTCCGCTACCGCCAATACCACCGCCGAAGCTTGACAAATCTAATTGAAAAAATGAAAACAGCCAAGTCCACGCGTTGATTTCCGATGGACACGCCGCAAAGGCGTCGCCTTCCTCGAACTTCCCGAGCGCGCGATGTATTCTCTCCTCATTTTCTTTTTCGTCTTTATTCGCTAAATAAAACGACTTAGCTCGCGTGTAGAACGCATCTTCTATGTTTATCATTGGAATCGCTTCGTTCTCGTCGTCGTCGTTCTCGGTTATCGCGTTCGCTTCTCGCGTCGTACTCACGATACTATTGCCATCGCTCCTATTCGATCGCGAATGCATTTGGTACATACGATTCGTCTGGTCGTCGTACGCTCGAAATCCAGCCGCGTCCAAAAGCGCGTCAAAGAAATCAAAGATGAAATTCAAGGCGATGCCTCCGCTGGAATCCTCGCACCTCGCCGAAGCGTATCGAGCTTCGGCAACCGGATCGCCTCTCTCGACGAGCTCTCGAGGCATCCTCGCTCGCATTTTACTTACCATTTCACCGCTAATTCGATAAAGAAATGCCGCGTCAACGTCGGGACGAGTTCGAACGGGAGAAGAAGCGTCCAAGGTATTGCCAGTATTCGCGTCTCTGGTCGAAGAAGAAGAAGCAAAAGTTCCGTTGTTTCGAGGCGTTTTTTCATTTTGCATTCTCGCCCCAGCGTTCATCATCAAATTCGCCGCCAACTGATCCACGACTCTCGCATCTTCTTCTCTCTTCCTCGCCGCCGCGGACGACGACGACGAGGATGACGCATCTCTCTTCCTCGCCGCCGATGACGATACGTTCTTTGAAAGTGTATCTGCGGTTACCCCCAAAAAAACGCTCGAGAACGACAAGAACAAAAGACACGACAACGCTTTGACGATCGAGACTAAAGAAGAATTAGACGACGACGTAAACGACGACGACGCCATGATGATGATGATTCTCCTCCTCCTCTTCTTCACTCCGCTTCTTCACGTGGAGGAAAAGCGCTCGCGTGTACGCGCTCTTTTTGCGCGCGCGTAAGTATATGTATTTTCTTTCTTTTTTTTTAAGAAGAAAATTTGAGCGTTTTTTCAAAATTAAAATGTCTCTCTCTCTCTCTTTCTGTTGTTGTATCTTTTGCTGCTGCGTTCTCTTTTCATTCGCCGTCATCATCTTCCAAATCGGAGTGCGTTTGCGCCTACTCCTCTTCTTTTTCCAGATCGATGAACGCAGCGTATTGTTCGTCCGTTGGTTCTGGGCACCCTTTTTCGAGCAAGTAGTTTTCGCAATCGGGGTGTTCGTAGTAACGAGCGTACGCGATGTATTGCCAGAAGTTAAGAGGCGCTTTCGCCTCTTCGCCTAATAAGTATTTGAGGCAATCGAGTTTGCCATACATTGCAGCATTTACCACGCAGTTGCACTTTTCCTCATAGGAGGATATCCTTCGTTCTTCGACGAAATATTTCAAGATGTCTGTGTGACAACCGCATGCTGCTTGTAGTGCCGCTGTTCGCTCCGTCTCTCGCGAAGGTTCCACTTTGTCGAAAAGAAATCGAACACAGTCGAGGTGTCCTCCATGAGCAGCTAGTTCACACACCTCTTTTTCATCACACGGGCAACCATTAGAGAAGCAGTACTTCAGCATCTCGAGATTACCTATATCTGCTGCCACTTTAATCGTCCATTCATTCCACTCACACTGTTTCACTTCTCTCGCCCACTTGAGAAACTCGAGTTTGTTCGTAAAAGCAACTTGCAAACAAAACCAGGCTTGATCTCTCACCGTTCCATCTTCAAATTTCTCTCCCCAGGGAATGTGATTCCACGCCCATTCCAACGTCGAAATGGATGAACATTCGTGAACAGTTACACCCAATTTCGATACGTTTACCCCGGCGTATTCAAGCACACCCCGACTCTCTGTATTCACCTTTGAAAAGAAAAACCGATCCATCAAATTCAATTTCGAAATCACATGCGAGACAAACACATCCTTATGATGCACCACCAACCCGGTCCATAACTTCGTCGGTCCGAGCTTCAACCGCTCCATGTCCAAAGCGAGCTCTTCTTTCTCTTTCCTCTTCTTCCTCTTCTGTGCTCCAGAGAGTTGCTTCTTCCCCATGACGATGATGATTATAATATTCTGATCTGATGAATTTGCTTTCTTTTTTGTCTCGTATTTTCTCCATATTTGACGGCGCATTGACTACACAAATAAAAACACATCATACTTTTGCTTTGAAAGACAACAACACAAAGAGCAAACAAACGGGAACAACGCATCAATACTACTACTACTAACACTAATAATGCGAGAACGAAGCGAATCCAGAGAAAGGAACGACGATTGGAATCGCGACGAGAATAACAACAGTGACGATCACCATCGACGGGTGGAAAAGATTCCAATTTGGACGAGACGACGGCCGACCGGTTTCGACGTCATGCCCGAAGGTAAACATCCCTTTTACTCTCTCTCGCTTTTAACAACAACTCACGAATCTCTCTTCTTTCATCGAATCATCACAGAAGGCGCGGACGACGAGAACAACAACAAGAACAAATCAAACATAAATCCTTACGACAACAACAACAACGGGAACAATGCGAATAACATGAACCCGCACATCAGAGCGCAAAAAATCACCAGTCACATCCTCGAAGAAGCGCAAGCGACGAGGCACGCGAGACGAGTATACGTCGGCGGGTTTCCGCCGAACGTTTCGGAAGTGCGCGTGGCGGATTTTTTCAACAACGCGTTGATGGCGGTTGGAGGGATAGCGGAAACGCAAACGGAAGGGAACGCGAATCCAGTCGTGAACGTGTACATGAACCACGAGAAGCACTTCGCGTTCGTAGAGTTTCGGAACGCGGAAGAGACGTCGAATTGTATGGCTTTAGACTCGATTTCGTTCGATTCGTCGCAGCTTAGAGTGAGGAGACCGAACGATTACAATCAACCGGCGGCGATGAAGTTAGGGCCGATCGTGCCGAATATTAAGATGAATTTAGAAGCGATTGGTTTGTCGAACGAAGTTTTGCAGAGAATGCAATCTGGAGTCGCGTCTGGGCAAAATAACGGTAACGCGAATGGATCCAACGTCGCCGATCCGAACGAAGATCGCGTGTTTGTTGGAGGCTTGCCGTATTTCTTAACCGAAGCGCAAATACGCGAGCTGTTAGAAGCGTTTGGTCCAATCACTAGGTTTGATTTAGTCAGAGATAGAGATACCGGAGGATCGAAAGGCTACGGGTTTGTCGTGTACAGAGACGGCCCGGCGATTACCGATATCGCCATCCAAGGTTTACACGGCATGCAAATGGGCGATAAACAGTTAACCGTGAGAAGAGCGAACGCGACGCTAGAACGAATGCAACAAGAACAACGAGCAGCGTTACAACAGCAGCAACAGCAACATCAGTTATTAGGTAACGGTGGCGCGGCGGCGCAATTTCTTCCGCAATCTGCCGCTCCTGCTGCGCCCGAGGTAGATGAAAACGCGACGGAATGTTTAGTCTTGAAAAACATGGGCATCAAAGACGAAGAGTTGAACGATCCGGAGGAGTACGAAATCATCGTCGAGGATACGCAGGAAGAGTGCGAAAAGTTCGGGAAGGTTCTGGGGATGAAGATCCCAAAACCACCGTCGAAGAGCGCGGGTGTGGTGTTTGTGCGTTTTGAAACCGCAGAGAGCGCGAGAAAAGCGAGGAAGAGTCTAAACGGGAGAAAGTTCGCCGGTAATATCGTGAGCGCTCAGTACGACTCGATCGAAACGTACGAGAAGCACGATTCGTGATGAAACACACAAAATTTTTACGCTACCCCTATTCAAAACTACTACTACTACTACTACTATACTCTCTTTCTCTACTTCTTCCTAAACGCCTTCTCGTACGCCAATTTTTGCTTTTCCAACAACTCTTTCTTCTGCTTTTCGAATTTCATCAAAGCCGCCTCGCCGTATTTCGTTTTCGTTTTCGAAGTCGAAGCGCTTTTTGAATCGTCTTCCTCTTCCTCGTCGTTTAAGAAATCGTCCAAACTCTTCTCTTTCTTCTTCGAAACAGCCTTCAAGACGTCTTTTTCTTCCACGACGTCGCCTTTTAACGATAAGAACGCGTCGTCCTCGTCCTCTTTTCCTTTCGAAGCGCCAACGCCGCCCTTCTCAACCGCCGCTTCCTTCTTCAACTTCTTCTTCAACTCCAGCACTGCTTTCACCCCTTCCCGGTGTCGCTCTTCCTCCATCGCCACTTCTTCGTCCCTTTTCATCAACTTCTCGCGTTTTTCGTCGAGCATTTTACACAACTCCGCTTCCATCAGTAACCGTTCGACTGTCGTTTTCTCGTCTTTCGTATCTTTCCTCGCTTTGAGCGAGCGAGTCAGAGCTTCCACGTGTTCCAAAGTTTGCGATAAGTTCGAGTGCCTTTGCTCGGTTCGCAGTGAATTCTGTTCGCACAAAACGCGCAGTTTCACTATCGTTAATCGTGTGCATGCATATGCGTATCGTCATAATAAGTCAATAAGAGAGAGAAAAAGATACACGTTTACCGGTGAGATTGAGCAACACATCCACTCTGGATTTCCCGTGGAGAAACATCACGTCGATGACGTTCGCGAGCGATTCAGTTTCCACGTCGTGGAGGAAACGCGCGATGCCGCCTTCGTAGAACGACGCCGCGGTAGAGGTTGTTGCTTCTTTTTCTCGCGCTTTGTCTCGCTGTCGCCGAAAAAGCTGCCGCTCCTGAGGAGGAGGAGAATTCATATCGTCAGTGCGTCAGACGACAGAGAAAGTGTGAGGAATTCGTACTCGGATGCGTAAGTAGTATTATTATTCAACGAAGTCTAACTCTGATTCTGATTCTGAATCTAATTCTGAATCTGATTCTGGCACGTGTAACTTTCCGTCTTCGTATCGCCAACCATCTGGTATAGGACAGTTGTTGTCGAGGAGGTATTGTACACATTCGGGTCGGCTGTATTCGTGCGCAAAATATACCGCCATAAGGTCCCAAGGCGCTTTGGCGGTTTCGCGCAAGTACTTCAAACAGTCTAATTGGCCCTCCATGGCTGCCCCCCGACACGCATCTACGTCAAATTGATCATACTTACGCTCGACAAGATATTCGAGTATGTGGAGATGACCATTTGAAGCCGCCCGATAGGCAGTAGTCGCATCACAAGGCACTTTCGCTTCTTCGCGTAAGTATTTGAGGCACTCGAGACGACCGTTTTCGGCAGCACATGCACACGCAAACGCATCGATAGGACACTCATTTGCCACGCAATACTTTACCATTTCCAGATTACCTTGACGTGCGGCCACATTAATCGTCCTTGAATTCCACGTACACTTTTTCTCCTCTCGTATCCACTTGAGCAATTCGAGTTTATTCGTGTAAGCAACTTCACGGCAGAAATATGTTTCGTTCATCCTTTGGTTGTAGTTTATCAACGTACCCCACGGACAATGCTCCCACGCTAACTCCAAAGTCGATATCGACGACATCTCTTCTATTTTAAACTTCTTCTTCAACTCCCCCTCGCGAGATGATCTCTTAATCAACTTTCTCGTCTCTGTATTCACCTCGTACAAGAATTTCACATCCGTCGCATTCAACCTCGGAAGCACATGTGTGAAACAAATATCGTCGTTATTTACAATCACATCCCACAAACGAGCGTCTCTTTTTCTTTTCCGACCGCCGCTTCTTTCTCGAGGAGTGTTCATCGAGCGCTCAATTCCAGGAGACGAGGAGGAGCCTCTTGTTACGTATGTTTCTTTGCATTCGCGCGCGTTTCCTATCCAAACGGTCTGACGATATTTGCGCCACAAGTTTTCCCAACATTGTATTTGGCCGGACGATAGATCGTCACGGCGCAAAAGGTGATACACGCATCGTGAATGCACGCGCTGCGAACCGAAGAGTAGTCGTCGTGGAAGAGTAACGCGCAAAATCGTTCACATTATGCGCTGAGTGGTGGAACATAATCAATCATCGCGAGACAAAACGAATACGAAAGAAGAATCTCAAGTGCGAAGCAGCCGATGGGGATATCCGGCGCGCAGAAAAGGAAGAAGAAAAAGGAGAAAGAAGAGCTCGCTTTGGACGTGGAGCGGTTGAAACTCGGACCGAGCAAGTTATGGACCGGGTTGGTCGTGCATCACAAGGATGTGTTCGTCTCGCACGTGATTCCGAAATTGAACGGGATGGACCGGTATTTCTTATCAAAGGTGAATACAGAGAGTCAAGATGCGCTTAAATACGCCGGGGTAAAAGTATCGAAATTCGGTGATAATGTTCAAGAATGTTCATCGATTTCGACGTTGGAATTGGTGTGGAATCACTTTCCCTTCGGATGTGAAGATGAGGAAGGAAACGTGATAGATCAAGCCTTGTTTTGCTTGGGAGTTTCTTTTACGAACAAACTCGAGTTTCTCAAGTGGGCGAGAGAAGTGAAACGTTGCGAGTGGGATGAAGAGACGATTAAAGTGGCAGCAGCTAGAGGCAATCTCGAGATGTTGAAATACTGTTTCTCTAATGGTTGCCCTTGTGATAAAAAAGAGGTGTGTGAACAAGCTGCTTATGGAGGACACCTCGACTGTCTTCGATTTCTTTTGGACAAAGTGAACCCTTCGCGAAAGACGGAAGAAGATGCGGCACATCAGGCAGCAGAAAAGGGTCACGTGGACATCGTGAAATATCTCATTGAAAGAAGAAAAATATCTGATAAGGTAAAGGAACACTGCATGTTAATCGCTACATGGTATGGCCAACTTGATTGTCTCAAATACTTAGTCGAAGAGGCCAAAATGCCTCTTAACAACCGTAAACACATCGCTTGCGCTCGGTATTACAAGCACACCGACTGCGAAAACTACTTGCTCGAAAAAGGGTCTCCAGAACCAACGGACGAAGAATACGCTGCCGTTGTCCAATTTATCAAAAGAACGAAGAAAAGCAGCACGTAGAACACCAGTAGAGCAGCAGCACTAGAAAGAACCATATCATCGAAAACACTTTCGTAAGAATAAAAACGAATACGAATACGAGAGAGAGAGAGAGAAAGAGAGACGTACCGCCCCGCGCGGAGGTACCACCAGGACCAGATAGACTACGACTAAAATCTGGTCAGTTCACTCTATTCGTACACAAACCAACCGCAGTTGCATCGTTACGTGCACTACTCGTCGCCATTTGAACTGCAAGCTAGTACCTTTCGCATCGTACCTTTCGCCGCGGTATTAAAAAATCTTCAGTCTTTTCTTCTCTTTTGCTTCGTCACAACGAAACACTTGAAACAAACATGTCGTCGCTTAACTCCTCCTTCTGTTCTGTCTCGAAGACCACCACCTTCCCTCGCGCGCAGAGCGACAAAAAAAGCGCTGTTTTTTGTTCCTCCTCTTTCTTGTCTTCTTCTTCTTCCACCACCCGCGCGAGTTGTATTCAAAGTCAACGGGGAAGTTTACGAACGCATCGGCGGTTTTCCAATTCCAACGCGCTAAAGAGGAATACGAAGACCATCAACGAGGGACTTCTGAGTGCGAAAGCGAGGACGGTCGCGATGTCCTCCTCCTCCTCGAACGACGAGCAAGACGTGAAAGACGTGCAAATTACGCTCGTGGATTGTTTCGCTGATGAAAACGACCGAGAAAAGATGACGACGGAAACGAGGCGAAACGCACGAGAATCCATCATGGAGCTGGAAAACGCGCGTTTCGACGCGTTGCGTAAAGACAACCAATTCGTCTTAGTGGAGATATTTAAAGGGAAAGAAGCACTCTCAGAGCATAAATCTGAACCGCACTATAAAAACTGGAACAAAAACGTGGAGTCTTTGATGTCGAAACCTCGGGCGAAGAGAAGTTACACACCGGTGTTTCCGACCAACGAGGATTGGAACCAGGTGAACACGCCTTTGCAAATCGATGAGAACGGGCAACAGATTGAAGTTTTGGAAGGGTCCGGGACGTCGGTCGCGTGCCACGTGACGATTACCGTGCATAAGAAAGACTGCGCCGCGTTTGAGAAGATTTCGATCGAAAACGCGATTTCCTCCAAGCTCGAAGAGGACGGCGGGTGTTTACGATTTGACATTTTCAAAAGAATTTTTAGCGAAGAAGACGAAAACGAAAACGACTCCGCGGAAGAATACTTGTTCGCGGAAGTCTTCCGGGACTCTCAAGCGCAAACATTCCACTCGCAAACTCAGCACTCGCAAAACTGGAAAACCAAAGTCGAACCGATGATGGCCAAGGCGCGGACGTGGATTCAATTCGACCAAGTCGTGTTCCCGACGGACGATAAAATGTGGGCCGACGGCGACGCGTGCGAGGAAGCGTGCGAAATGGCTTGGTAATAATAATAATACTAACAACAGAAGAGCGCATCTAAAGCAGCAAAATTTACTCATCGCTGATGAATGAGAACGAGATGCGCATAAAACGGATGATACTGATGACGAGAAAGACATTTACAGTAGCGCGTATTTAATATCTACTCCTCAGAACAAAGTTCCTCATCTCACATGCGCTCGAGCATTCCCGCGCGGTTCGTACTCTTTTCTCTTCAAAACCATCGTCCAAAAGGAATAATACGAACGCGAGCAAAAGTTCCCCTCGACAAAATGAGCGCAGAAGAAGAGACGCCTTTATTCTCGGACAGCACCGGCGAAGCGTTAAACGCGTCCGCCTGGAATTTGGTCCGGGAAGCGACCGCGTCGGCGACGAACGTAAACGCAGAGAACGAGGACACGAACGACGATCCTGCGTCCATGCGATGGATTGAACCTGTGAAAATGACACCTGGTAAACACAAATACGTTTTGATGAAAGTCTATAACGAAGAAAATGGAGAGAAAAAGTTCCTCGTCCGGTCGTACGCGAGGTGTTCGTACCACGCGGAGAACTTTCGAGAGGCGGTCGGTGAACTGAGAAAAGACGAGCGGATGGCGACGTTGAAAGCGCACGTCATCGGGGGGGGAAGGATAGAGTACGACGAAGAGAAGAAACGCGTGTTCGTGTACGGATACTCGATGACGTTCGGGAGAACGCCCGGGTGTAACAAAAAGACGATGGAAATCATTCGGAAACGCTTCGCGGAGGAGGACGGCGACGGTCCTCTCGCGGAGTGCGAATGGTCGGACGAGGGGTATTAGCTGTTTTAAACTCGCGCGCTATTGCTATTATTCTGTACACTTTACTCTACCAGCTCTCGAAATTACCAAAGCCTCCTGTTCTTTTCGCGGATGTTGTTGTCGCTTTCGCTTTCTTGCGTCGTCGTTCTTCTTCTTCTTCTATTTCTTCCGAATTCATAAACTTCGTCGCGTTTACATTCGCCGTCGATCCAGTCACGAATCGACCGATGCCAGACCCGACTATTTTAGGACCCATCTTTTTCTTCTTTTCTTCCTCTTCTTCCATTTTTTTCTCCGTGTTTGTTTTGACCGCCATCGTCGCGTTGGCGGTCTTAATATCGTCGTCGGCGACGCCTCCTCGTTTGTCCTCGTACTCCTTCTCCAATTTTGTCCACGGGTTTTGATGAACCGTCGTCTTTTCGATGATGATATCCACGCCGGATTTCTCGGGATCTTTATCGTCTGCTTCGATATCTTCCAACTCGTCCAATACTTTCAAACCTCCGACGACTCTGCCAAAGATTGTGTGTTTTCCGTCTAAATGCGTCAAATTCTTCCCGTACGTGATGAAGAATTGCGAATTGTTCGTGTCTTTACCTTTGTTCGCCATGGAGACAATGCCGCGTTCTTTGTGACTCAACACGCCTTTTTGTAAACCAAACTCGTCTTTAAACGTTTCGCCGTATATGGAGAAGCCTTTCTTCCCGGTTCCGGTTGGATCGCCGCCTTGAATCATAAAATTCGGGACGTTGCGATGGAATTTCACGCCGTCGTAAAAACCCTTCTCGCACAGATGGAGAAAGTTTTCGCACGTTCTCGGCGCGATATCGCAGTGAAGTTCCAGGTTGAGAGAACCAAACTGTTGAATGTCGAGACTAACGTAGCCTTTCTCGCCTTTTTTGGGATTCAAAAACACAGGTTTCTTCTCTTTGCCGCCTTTCAATCCTTCGCCGCCGATCGTGGACGTGAAGCCCATGGCTTGTTTACCGTCCGAGCGAGAGTGATTTTCTTCGAATCTTCGAGGTTTGAGAAAACGTTTCATAGAGTTCAAGAAACGTTGGCGTTCCTCCTCTAAAGGTCGTTTCAAGAAGTAATCGCGATCACTGACGCCTTTTTTCGAGTAATCGACGGGTTCCGCGCTCGAAAACGTCGCCGCGCCGGGCGCGAATTTCACCACGTCCGCCGCGTGCGGTTTGTCCGCGTACTGGTGAAGCTTCTTCAAATCTACTTTTACATCTTCGTCGTCGTCGTTGTTTCTAGCATCATTCGCTTTTTTCATCTCCATCTCCGCGACTTTCCCTCCGCCGCCACCTTTAAAAGCCTCTTTCGCTTCCTTCGTTTTCAACGCATCCAACGCTCTCTTCACGTCTTCTGACATCGCGTCCGCGTTGATACTTCCTCCTTCTTTCTTCACGCCGCCTTTACTCCCAATAAAGTTCGCGCCTTTTTTCGTGATCACGTGGTCCATCTTTTCTAACATTCTATTTCTATCGCCGCCGCCTTCTCGCGCGTTGCTTGTCGTGGCCATCGGATCTTGAACGATTAACAAATCATCCCTCGTAATCTTCTCGTCCGTCATCAAATCGCGCCATCTTTTCGGCTTTATCACCAACTCCTCGATCGCTTTGTAACTGTACGCGTACCCTATAATAAAGAAGAAGAAAGAAAGAAAATTTTGCGTCGTTGTCAGTGAAAAACATGCATCCGCGAATCGTCTCGAACCGCCATCCCAAAGAGCATCCGGCATCCGGCATCCGTCGTCGCGGGCGAATCAAACGAAGAAAGAACTTCATCCGCCCAAAAGTCGAATCCAATCCAACGAAATACAGCAACGTTAGTAATATACGCGAAAAGAACGAGAGCAAAACCGAAATCGTCTGCATCGTCTGCATCGTCGTCGAGCGCGTACAAAAACAGAGAAACAACACCCAAATGTCTCTTAAACCGTACCGGAACGTTTTACGACGCAAATCTTCGTCGAATCCGTAAACTCGCTCCCTAGGATTGGACACTCGTACGTAAAATCTTTGTTCCCTTCGCTTTTCTTCAGTTTCAGTTCTTTCAGGTCCTTTATTTGCATGTTTCGGCCGGTGATTGGATCCTGTTTATGTTTCAAAGCGTAGGGGAAAATGTTTTCCAAATCGTATATCGAGCCGGAATTGACATCAAAAACAGGCGTTTCGAACGGTAAAAAGGACAACGCGCAACAGTTGAACGGGAGTTTCTTTAAAGGCGCGTTGACCGAGGCGTTTTTTTTGCCACCGCCGTCGAGTTTCCACTCGGTGGCGGTGACGTAGCCTCGGTCTTTGGCGGCTGATTTCTTTGCGCCCATTTTGTGTGAGAAAATATGAAGATTTTCAGGAAGACGCGAAGAAGAATGATTATAACGCTCACGTAATAAACTCGAAAGATTGAGCATTCGCAAAACAGAAGTGCGGTTCTTGTTGTTCTCGTGTTGTTGGTTTCTTGTTTATGTGTGTGTGTGTGTGTGTGTGTGTGTGTATCAAAAATTGAGATCCTCGTTTTTGTTCTCGCTTTCCCGCCGCCCGCGGCGGGGAACCGCTTGGGACGAAGCTGCTCTTGGTGTTTTAGTGCTGCTCTTTCATTTCTTCGACAAAGTCAGCGTATTCTTCGTCCGTTGGTTCCGGGCACCCTTTTTCGAGCAAGTAGTTTACGCAGTCGGTGTGCTCTTTGTAACGAGCGGTAGCGATGTATGGCCAGTTGTTCAGAGGCGTTTTCGCCTCTTCGACTAAGTAGTTGAGGCAATCGAGGCGGCCATGCATCGCAGCGGTTGCCACGCAGTAAGGCTTCAAATCATCCGATATCTTTCTTTCTTCGACGAAATATTTCACGATGTCTAAGTGACCATGTGCTGCGGCTTGTAGTGCCGCTTCTTTTTCCGTATCTCGCGAAGGTTCCACTTTGTCGACAAGAAATCGAAGACAGTCGAGGTGTCCTCCTGCAGCAGCTTGTTTACACGACGCTTCTTCATCATACGGGCAATCATTAGAGAAGCAGTACTTTAACATCTCGAGATTACCTTTAAATGCGGCCTGATTAATCGACCATTCATCCCACTCGCAATGTTTCACTTCTCTCGCCCACTTGAGAAACTCGAGTTTGTTCGTTTTAGCAACTCCCACGCAAAACCAGGTTTGATCTCTCACGTTTCCTTCTTCATCTTCACATCCGAAGGGAAAGTGATTCCACACCAATTCCAACGTCGAGATGGATGAACATTCGTGTGGACACCACCCTAATGATACGTCTACCCCGGCATACTTAAGCACATCCAAACTCTCTCTATTCACCCTCGAAAAGAAAAACCGATCTGTCGTATTCAATTTCGAAATCACATGCGAGACAAACACATCCTTATGATGCAACACCAACCCGGTCCACAACTTCGTCGGTCCAAGCTTCAACCGCTCCATTTCCAAAGCGAGCTCTTCTTTCTCTTTCCTCTTCTTCCTCTTCTGCGCTCCAGATACCTTTTTCCCCATAGTATTCTTTTATTAATATCTACTAATATTGTCAAGAGCTGAATGAGACATGGGAGAAAAAATGGAAAAATGTCCGTTTTATTATCTAAAACGCCAACTTTGAAGACTTCTTTCAGATATCAATTCGACCAATGCTCGCAAAAAATTTGACATCAATCGATCAATCTCTTCCGTGACTCTCCACCGACGCGCACATCGCTTCTTTTTATTCACTTCTGCATACATCCAGAGCGCGTCAAAGATGGTCATTTCCCCCTAAAATTCGTATTTTGAGTAAAAACTCAAACAAAAAATTCCTCAAAATTTCCAGTAAGAGAGTCATCATGTCCTCCGTCGGGTTAGGCAAAGGCGTCGGAATACCGGTCAAACTGATGCACGAGAGCGAAGGACACGTGATTACGGTACCATCACTACACTCTTTTCTCTCTTTTTCTCTCTGTCTCTCTCTTTAATGTTGTTTTTGTGTGTGTTCTTTATTAGGGAAAATTCGATCGCTCAAAATGGTTCAAAAGAGCCGCCAAGTTGAGAGAAGGTTTACGAGAGACTACGAACGCGATCATTTTCATCCTCGTCGTCGCCGTGACATTATTATTAGTAGTAGTAGTATTAACAATAAGCGCTAACGAAAACGTTTCTTTCATGCGCACAACAGGTTGAACTGAAATCCGGAGAATTGTACCGAGGAACTCTGGTGGAAGCAGAGGATAACTGGAACTGTCAACTGACGAACGTGTCGCACACCGCGAGAGACGGTAAGACGTTTTTATTCTCATTTCGATGCTTCGTTTTTCTCTCTCTCTTTCTTTCTTTCTTTCTGACGCGAAAATGTATTCTCTTACTCTTCTTTATCGTCGTTTACGAACTAAAGGGAAACACTCGTCGTTGGAGAACTGTTACTTGAGAGGATCGAAAATCCGGATGGTTATCGTGCCGGATATGTTGAAAAACGCGCCGATGTTTAAGAAAATCGATCCGAGGACGAAAAGCGTGTTAGCGGGAGGCGGGAAGAAGTGATCCGGATGGATTTAATGAAGAAGAATAGCTTAAAGAGTTTAATTTGTGATGATGTAGTAAATATAAAATAATATAATCCGCGTGTGATGTAATTTTACGAATATAATACCAAGGAAGGAGAAGGATTGAAGATGAAACTCTTTCGGGTTCAATCAATCGCGCGCCCAGGCGGGCGATCGATCGTTCGTCGGCGAAAGGCGAGTTGAGCGCCGTCGAGTCGCGCTGTGTGTCCCGTTCGTTCCGTTCGTGTGCGGATGCTGCTTTTTCTGCTGCTCCGATTCCTTCTCTCTGCTAACACTATTTCTTCGTTTACTACTCTTCATACCTGGCGACGACGCCTTCTTCTTTGTCGTCGTCTGAATCGTCGTCGCGCTTTCGTCGTGCTTGTAAATGTCGTACACGTGTTCTTGAACCATGTGCACTAAATAGAACAAGCAATGGAGAGGAACTAAATACGGCAGATGTTCTCTAAACGATTCGTTCTTGTGGAACCCGAGTAACCCGACGATGCTCCCGACAATCATCGGGTGTGGGATGCCTAGATTGTACGGAAACCCGTCGACAAAGTTCGGCGCGCATTCGCCGAGCTCGACGCCAAAGTACGTTTGGTCCACGCCTAACGCGTACGCCGCGGAGAAGGATAACGAGTACCCACCGAGAATCATCGCTAACGAAATCAAATCGTATTCGAAATACTTGATGAAGTAATTATACCCCAAATGACACAAAGCGATGGTTTTGAAAAACACGACGTTTCGTTTAAACGTCCCAAAGTTAATCCCTTCTCGAATTTGGTACGTCGCGATGTACATGCAATAGTGCGTGTACGAGGTAAACGCCAAAAAGAAGTGTTCGTGAATGAAGTTTTTACCGACGTAATACGCCAATACGACGGCGACGATGGAGTTCAACCCGGCTCTTTTCTCCAACTCAAACACCGACCTCGTGACGAATAAGACCATGAACGCCATGAATTTCCAAAACCAATTCGACGGCGCGATTGTGTTCAAGAACAAGTTCCTCGCCGCCCAGTTATAAAACGACGCCAATTTAGCTAGAAATCTTCCCAGGAAACCAAAACACCTCGGGTACACGACGTAGTGTAACTTCATCGTGACTCTTCGATCGGTATTTCTCGTCGGCAAATCGCGAATGATGTGAATTTCGCGGTGGTAATCGAAACCAACCACGTCGCCGTCGGATAAACACGACCCCGAACCTTCCATCGGGAAAATAGTTTCCACCTGCTTATTTTCGTTGACGGCAACCATGCACCTATACACGAAACACCACGGATATACCGACCACGGTCCGTCGCAGTGTTCCATGTAAAACACCGTGTCGCTGTTGAAATTATGGTGAGAACTCGCGACGTAGATTTCATTCATGGAATAAATCGGTTCCACCGCCCACGCGTCCGAGCGAAACTTCTTCGCAAACATCCCCGCAATCGCCTCGCTGTCGATGATAGTATCGAACGCTTTTTTCGTTTTCCCTTTCAATTTCTCAAACCACCAGTGCGCGGTTCGATCTCTCGACGGATTTTCCTTCGACACGAAATCGTAAATATCTCTCAAAGCATTCGTCTCTTTCGCTCCGGTCAGTTTACATCGCAACAAATAGTTATGCGCGACAATCCAACTCAAGAGAGGAACGTCTCTCGTCTGCCACAACGCGTCGAAGCACAAAGGTAACAAAAAATACGCGTGTTCGATTAACAGCGATTGCCAATTTTGGAGATTCTTCTCCGATTTTGAGGAGGACATGTAGCTTTGCTGGTACGTCTTCTCGAACGTAATCACGTGCGCGAGCTCTTGACCGACGTACCCGCACGCGAACAACATCGCGCATTGTTTCAAGTTTGTCACGTACTTAAACTCAACTAAATATTCGCTCAAAAGAGACATTCCAACGAGTGAAATCCACGTGAACAGTAGCGTCGTCCCTTTGTATTTCGTCCCGCGCTTTCGTTGGTCTCCTTCATCAAAGTGAAACGTCGTCGTCATCGTCGTCTTCTTTACCACACCCATCGTTCTCGGCAAACTCATCGCGTATATCAAAACGAGCGTCCTATAAATCCACTCCTTATCCTCCGCGAGTAAAATCAAAGAAACTGCGATTGAAACGAGCATCGCTGGCGTCGTGATCAGGTGTAAAAAAACGTTCAATCCGTTCGAATGAAATTCGCGGAACTTTGTTGCGGTGACGTCGAACGATACAGACGATGTCTTTGCCGTCGTCTTCTTCATCGTATTCGTGCGAAAGTGTTGTTACGATGGTATTCGTCACAGAAGTGCACGTTTTGAGTGTTTGTGTGCGAAAAGAAAGAGCGAAAGCGCGGAGAAAGAGCGCGAATAAATGAGGCTTGAAAATGGAATATTCGTACTTTGAAAAGGGGCAGGTGACTCACATTTTCCTCTCGTATTAGAGCGAGAATACGCGTTTCTCTCGCTCTCGTCTCTTTGTCTCTCTCTTTCTCTGATTCTGTTCTTACCAGAGTTTAGTACATGTCTCTCTCTTTTTCTCTGATTCTGTTATTACACGAGTTTACTATATGCTACTTTTGGAGGATGGTTTGTTGTTTGCGTTTTCCGCCTCTCTTAGTATACTATTGCGAGTGTTTCTCTCGCAACGTCTCTTTCTCTCTCTCATTCTGTTATTACGTTAAGTTTTATTCTGATTCTGATTCTGATTCCACGCTGTGTAACTCTCCATCTTCGTAAGACCAGCCTTCTGGTAGAGGACAGTTATTGTCGAGGAGGTATTGTAAACATTCGGTTTGGTTGCTCTCGTGCGCTCTTCGAACGGCCTCAGAGTCCCACGGCGCTTTGGCGGTTTCGTGCAAGTACTTCAAACAGTCTAATTGGCCGTTCATGGCCGCATTTTCACACGCATCTTCGGTATATTCATCAAACTTACGCTCCACAAGATATTCGAGTATGTGAAGATGACCATTTAAAGCCGCCAAATAGGCAGTTTCTGAACCCCAAGGCGCTTTGACTTCTTCGCGTAAGTATTTGAGGCACTCGAGATGACCGTTTTCGGCAGCACATGCACACGCAATCTCATTGCCAGGACACTTCTTTGCAACGCAATACTTGACCATTTCCATATTACCTTGCATTGCGGCCGCATTAATCGTCAATGCATCCCACTTACAATTTTTCTCCTCTATCGCCCACTTGAGCAACTCGAGTTTATTCGTGTAAGCAACTCTCCAGCAGAAATTTGTTTCGTCCCACCGACTCGGCCACAACGATTTATGCTCCCACGCTACTTCCAAAGTCAATATCGACGACATCTCGCTCACTTTAAACCCCTTTTCCAACTCCCCCTTGCGAGTTGATCTCTTCACCAACGCTCTCGTCTCTCCATTCACCTCGTAAAAGAATTTCACATCATTCGAATTCAATCTCGGAAGAATGTGTTTGAAACAAATATCGTCGTTATCCACGATCAAATCCCACAACAAAGAATCTCTCTGACCAACCTTCCTCTTCCTTAATCTCGTCATCGCGACGCCTTTTTCTCCCGACGTCATCGTCAAAAGTTTCTTTTATTAGAAAACATTATTTTCTATTCAAATCGAGCGTTTTTCACGTGTGTTGAAATGAAGGATTTTCCTCGTTCATACGTAAAACGAGAGCGTTTAAATACATAACACGTAACATACTACACATAACACATAACAACTACTACCGCACTACCGTATACTTTTATTTCGTGTTCCCCTTTCTTTCTTTCGGCAAGCGGCTGTCTTTTAAAAACTTTTGGTACTCTTTGTTCATCTTATCGTACTCTTTCTCGTCCCAACCGGATTCGTTGTTTGAACTCGCTTTTTTTAAGGACGCGTTCATCTCTCGCACCTCGTCGAACTCGTCGTCTTGCGAGGCGGAGGATAAGCGCTTCGAGGTATCACTTTTGGTGATTGTTTTCGCGGTTTTGGAGGTGCGGTTGCCGAGGAGTTGCGAGGAGTCTGGGTTTTGGGCGATGGCTTTCGTCCAGCGTTGCTTTTGTCGCTCTCGGTCGGCTGCGAGGCGGATTTCTCGTTCGGCTCGCTTTTGCGCGCGCTCGCGGCGGTTTTTGCGCACGCGGGAGGAGGTGAAGGCCAATAAGAGGAAGGAGGAGACGTAGAGCGCGGTTTGTTGGATCGCAGCCGGGGAGAGGTTGGTTGGCGCGGTAGCGATAGACGGCGGTCGGATGTTTGTCGTCGCGAATTGAACCGCGGAGGTGACTTTGTCGCCAATCAGAGTTCTCGATTGTTTGGCTAAAGAAGAAAACGACGACGGTGAAATCTTCGTCGCCAGAGTGGAACCAGCTGCGGAACTTTTCGTGGCTTTCGTCGTCTTTGTCTTTTCCATCTTCTTCGATGTCAAAATCGCTTTCTTCTGTTGCTGAATTGGTTTCAGTTTTTCGACGGATTTTTTCTTCTTTTCTTCTCGCTTCGCCGTCGCGGACGATGCTACTTTTTTCGGTTGTTGTTGTTGTCGCTGTTGAATTTTCTTGTTGTTCTTTTTCGTCGTCGTGTTCTCAATAATCTTTTCTTTTCTTTTCGGCAATTCAATCGAGAGCAAGGAATCTTTCGTCTTGGTCGCGACGTTGGATGCCGTCGACACGGTTTTCTTTACCGAAGAAACAGTCGCGTCTTTCGCCTTCACCGAAACATCCGCGACGGACGATCCGATCGATTTCGAAGTTTCAAACGCCGACGAGGACACGGATTTAGAGAATTCCGCGAACGACGAAGCGCTTTTCGAGAGTGATTCTTTCGTTTGCGTCATGTCCGGCAAGGAAACCTTCGGCATCTGAATTGTTCTTTTTGACGTAGTAGCGCTCGTCGTCGTCGTCGCTTTCGTCTTCTTTTTCTTCTGCTTCTCATCGTTTTTCTTGTTATTCTTCTTCGCATCCATCATCGTCTTTTGTTGTTGTTGTTGTTGTTGTTGTTCTTGCATCATCATCTGTTGTTTCGCCTTCTCCTTTTGCTCTTGTTTCTTCCTCTCCGCGTCGATCTTCATCTTCGCTTTCATCTCGAGCTCTTCCTTCACTTTTTGCGCTTTCATCTCCGCCTCTTTTTGCGTCTTCGCGCGTTCTCGTTCAATCTCTTTCGCCTCTTCCATCTTCTTTTGCAAAAGTTCTCGCTTCAAAATTTCCACGTTCTTGCGTTTCTGTAACTCCGCCTTCAACTTTTCGCCCTTGGCGTCAAACTTCGTCTCCGTGCCGTCCGATATCGACTTCTTGAACCGCTTCTCCGTGAAGTACGTCTTGCCGCGCTGAAAACTTAACTTTAAGGGAAAGTTCTCGGACTCACCAAAGGGAGTGTTTTTGGAAAACTCTCGTTTCGCGCGATCTTTCCACCGCGCGCTTCGCGTCGGTTTCTGCGCTTTCTTTGAAGTCTTCTTTTCCTCCTCTTTGGGAGAAGAATTGACAAAAATCGGTTCCAAAATCCCAGTCTTTTCCGCGAACGCGCACCAACTCAGGAACACGATCAGACTTTTTCCACCGGAGGAAACGCCTTGCATATGGTACGTTTCCATCTCTTCTTTGTTTTTGTCGTTGTCGTCTTCTTCTCGCGGAGGTGATGTCGTCATCGACGGGGGAAAATCATCATTTGCATCGCTTCTTCGTTTCGATCGCGCGGCGGATTTAACAACGACGCGGGTTCGTCGTAAACGCGCAGAGCTGCTGCTCGCGCTGATGCCTTTCGAACGAGCAAAAGGAGCTCGCGCGGCGAAAGAAATCGTCGTCATCGTTCTTATTCTTCTTAGTCGTTGTTAAATACTCTGATTTGTATAAGAGTATCAATTTGTCTGCGTGTGTGTTCAAAAGTGAAGGACTTTTATATATATATGAGGTTTTAGAGGAAAATGTCCAATCTGAACACCAACATGATACTGTGAGTATGAGGAGCAAAACGACTTCGAACGCTCCTCTAGCTCTAAAAACACTGCTTTTTTCTGGGTTTTGATGCTTCTTTACATTTCGAGCGTGCTGCTCCGTGTGCGCGTTGTGATTGCGCAAAGTCTACGATACGTGCGCGCTCGCGCGTTATTAGTACAAAAGTAGTATTATTCAGAGAGGTCTAATTCTGATTCTGAATCTAATTCTGATTCTGAATAGTCTGGCACGTGGAGCTCTCCATTCGCGTACCACCAGCCTTCTGGGAGAGGACAGTCGTTGTCGAGGAGGTATTGTACACAGTCGGGGTGGTTGTTTTGATGTGCTTCTCGTACGGCCTCTTCGTACCACGGCCATTTGGCGGTTTCGTGCAAGTACTTCAAACAGTCCAAGTGGCCGTACTCGGCCGCCCACCGACACGCCCGTTCGTTATATCTATCATACTTACGCTCAACAAGATATTCGAGTATGTGGAGATGACCATTTTCAGCAGCCCAATCGGCAGTCCTAAAATCCCAAGGCGCTTTGACTTCTTCGTGTAAGTATTTGAGTACCTCGAGATGACCATTTCTGGCAGCATATGCACACGCCCTCTCATCCATAGGACATTCATTTGCAACGCAATACTTCACCATTTCCAGATTACCTTGTAATGCGGCCATATTAATCGTATATTCATCCCACTCACACTTTTTCTCCTCTCTCGCCCACTTGAGCAACTCGAGTTTATTCGTTTCAGCAACTCGAAAGCAGAAATATTCTTCGTCTTTGCGCCAGCACAACGATCGATTCTCCCACGCAAACTCCAAAGTCGATATCGACGACATCTCGTGCACTTTAAACCCCTTTTCCAACTCCCCCTTGCGTGACGATCTCTTAATCAACTTTCTCGTCTCCGTATTCACTCCGTACAAGAATTTCACATCGTTCGAATTCAATCTCGGCAAGATGTGTTTCTCCACGACATCGCGACACACGCCTCCCGAAAACGCACCGGCGTTTCGAAACAACCTCCACAACGCGTCGTTGTTTTCCTCCTCGACCGTGTCTTCGCTCGAAGTCATCATCAGAAGCAGTTTTAAAGGTCGTGGCCTTTTTTCTGTGGATTTCCCCCAAAAACGTCAGAAAAGAGAGACGTAAAGACGTACAGCTGTGACGATGTTTACGACGTGTGCGACGCGCTTTTACACCAAAACGACGAGAAACGCATCGCCTCCGTCCAAAGCCTCTGTGAACGCTTCCTTTCTTCCGTCGGTTCGGCCTTTGTCTTCCTCTAAAAGAACCAACAACAACAACAAAACCATTCGTCGTCGTAACGGTATGACACTGAACGCGTTTGGAGGAGGAAAAGGTTCACCTCCTAAAGAAGAAGAAGAAGAAGAAGCAAGGAATGAAACGATACAAACGATGCGAGAAGAAGAACGAATGATGTTTTTACGAATCGAAGACGTCTCGCACGTCCCACCGGGATCGGCGAGACCGACCTTGACGAAATGCTTCGTTGGATTCCCGAAACAGGGTTTAGTGTTACTGGTGGGAAAATCCGGAGCTGGGAAGAGCACTTTGTTACACTTAATCGCCGGTCTATCCGAACCAACCGAAGGCGGGATTTATATTCTCGACGACGACGAGGACGAGGAGTATGAAGAGGAGGAGGAAAAGGAAGGAGGAGGAAAAGCGACGTCAACGCAAATGTTGCAAACGCGACGAAGAAGAAAAACGCACACGCCGGCGGCGGAGCGGACGAAAAAAGTCGGCCTGTGCTTCCAGTTCCCCGAGCGGCACTTTCTCGGGAGGACGATTTTAGAAGAGCTGACGTTCGGGTGGCCGCAAAACGCGAGGTCGTTTCGGATGCGGCGAGAGCTCGCGGAGACGACGAAGAGAGCGTTGAGAGCGGTTGATATGCAGGAGTATCCGTTGGAGAGCGAGGTGAAGACGTTGTCGGGAGGGTATAAGAGACGATTGGCGTTGGCGTGTCAGTTGGCGAGAGACCCGAAGGTTTTGTGTTTGGACGAGCCGTTAGCTGGGTTGGATTGGAAGTCGCGGTCGGACGTGGCGAAAGTTTTAGAAAAGTTAAAGAGAGAGAGGTTGATCGTCGTCGTCACGCACGACGTGGAAGAGATGAAACGCATCGCCGATTTCGCCTACCGAGTGAGAGATAACGGGAAAGGAATCGAAGAGGAAATAGGTTTAGCCGAAGGAGGAGGAGGGCTTTCGTGGTTCGAAAAGGGAGATGAAACTACCGCGGCTTTGAAGAGCGAGTTTGGCGAGTTTTTGTAGTAGCAGTTTTGTTCACGATCAGAGAGAAAGAAGAATTTATTCGCGTATCTAATAGTACTAGTAGTAGTAGTCGTTTTTAATACACGTACTGGTAGTAGTAATTAATGCACAACTACCAACACCTCCTCGTCCTCCTCACCCTCGCGGAACGTCTCCCCAACCGCAATCTAAACACTGACCGTTCGGGTCTAACAAATGCTCCAACGTCCAAAGCGACGACTTCTTCGGGTCGTTCGGGTCATCCTTCTCCTCCAACGCTTGCTCCCAAGTCTCCCTCGTCTTCGCCTCCTTCCTTTTCCTCAAACACGCTAAACTCGCCACGTTCATTTCCACGTTCGTCTCCCCGGTGAACTCTCGCACCGCTTCTTCCAATCCTCGATTGTGCCCGACGATCAAAACGACTTCGTCCGTCTGTTCCCCCTCGAACGTCTCGCTCTCCCCGATAATCAACTGCTTCACGTGCGACCCAAACACGCCGTCCATCCCGGCGTAGTGATAAATCGACCCCAAATACACCACGGTATTGTTGTTGCTACTGGAAGAAGAAGAGACTTTGTCGTTGAAAATTGACATCGTCGGTACTAAATCCATCGCCATCAGCGTCTCTCGCGTCCGCCTCGCGCTCGAGCACACGATCCGCGTCGGCATCCACTCCTCGCCGCAAATCGTTTTTAAATTCTCCGAGAGTTTCTTCGCGTACGTAATGCCTCGTTCGGTTAAAGGTCGATCGATGTCCCTCCTGTATTTTTTCTTCTCCTCGTCTTCCTCCGCCGCTTCCGAATGCCTCATGAGGATCAGACGAAACGATGCAGATTTGGAGGAGGACTTTTCATCATCGTCATCATCAGCTGCTGCTACTGCTACTGCGTCTCTTCTCGCTTTTAACCGGTGTCGTTGTTTTCTCGTCGTTCTTCCTCGATTATTATTCACAGGAATACTTCTGAGTACATCATTCCTCCCGGGAACTCCTGAGGGTGTTGTTGTTGTTTCTCTCGCGAGAATAACGGAGGTTGTATGCATCAGATAGATGCTTCTTGAAAAACAGATACACTTCTCTCTCTGCTTTTGCTTTTCTTCGCTTTCTCGCTTTCAAACGCGTCTCTGTGTTGCGTGTGATACGAATAAGGTCTGCTGCTTTGTTTTTCTGGGGAAGTTTCTGAAACAGATATTAGGGTGAGTGTGTCTCTTTTTTTACAAGCGTAAATGGTGTATTTCTTTCTCTCTGTGTGTCTCTCTTTCGTGTGTGTGTGTGTGTTTATTACGAGGTGTGTAAAGTTCCGTCTTTGTAAGACCAACCGCGTGGGAGAGGACAGTTATTGTCGAGGAGGTATTGTACACATTCGGAGTGGTTGTTCTTGTGCGCGTCTCGTACCGCATATTTGTCCCACGGCGCTTTGGCGGTTTCGCGCAAGTACTTCAAACAGTCTAAGTGGCCGAACTTGGCCGCATCTGCACACGCCAATTCGCTATATTTATCATACTTACGCTCGACAAGATATTCGAGTATATGAAGATGACCATTTTGAGCCGCCCTTGTGGCAGTCCAAGAATCCCAAGGCAATTTGACTTCTTCGCGGAGGTATTTGAGGCACTCGAGTTGACCGTTTTCGGCAGCAAGTACACACGCCCACTCATTAATAGGACACTCATTTGCAATGCAATACTTTACCATTTTCAGATTACCTTTTAATGCGGCCCTATTAATCGTCCTTCTATCCCACTGACACTTTTTCTCCTCTCGTGTCCACTTGAGCAACTCGAGTTTATTCGTTAGAGCAACGTTACAGCAGAAATATGGTTCGTCCATCTCTTCTTCCACTTCGTGGTCATATGTGCCCCATGGATAATGTTCCCACGTAAACTCCAAAGTCGATATCGACGACATCTCTTCGATCTTAAACCTCTCTTCCAACTCCCCCTTGCGTGACGATCTCTTAATTAACTTTCTCGTCTCCGTATTCACCTCGTACAAGAATTTCACATCGGTCCCATTCAATCTCGGCAAAACATGCGTGAAACAAATATCGTCGCACTTCACGATCACATCCCACAACACCAAAGCATCTCTTTCCCCCGTCCGTCTTTTCGTCCTCGTCGCTCCGGAAGACATGACGAGACGCAACGAGAGAGAGAGAGAGAGAGAGAGAGAGAGAGAGAGAGACGCACACGAAAAACAAGAGCTTCTTCTCGTGTCTTTTTTTAGAGAGACATGTGATTCTTTTTCTCACGATGAAAAACGACCGTTTCGGACATCAGAGACAGTTGGAAAAAAATGGATAAACTCTTCATTTTGAGAGCATACAACACACGCACGATGCGGTCATCTCAGAAACGAGGACGGTTCGAAAAAGCTCTGATGATGAGAGCGACTTTGTTTCTGCGAACGCGACGAGAGAACACTTTTCATCGTCGTCGTCGCGATAATATCAGCAGCAGCAGCATCACCCTCCGCGCAGAGGACACGCGAGACCAACGGAACGCACCGTTTTCCCCTCACGGTGAGAGGACGCGGACGACGACGAAACAGACGCAACAGAGAGCGTTACACTATGAAAACGTCCTCCTCGTTTTAAAAGAAACCGCGTTGCTGAAATACACCTCCTTAGTCGGCGCGGCGGAAACGAACGAGAGATACGGAGATTCGTACGAAAATGTCGTCCGCTGGGACCGATTGAAAGCGAGACACGAAACGCACGAGAAGGCGGTTTTGAAAGGTACGCGATTACTACTGTTCTTATTTTCGAGTATTCTTACTATTCTTATTCTTATTACGACGACATTAACGTTAACAACAGTGCAAACGTTCTTGAAAAAATGGCAAGAAGAGAGCGGCGGAAAGCTTAAATACGCGCTCGTCAAACGAGATTCGCTCTCGGAGAAGGATTTGGATGGGGTGGATTTAGTCGTCGCGTTAGGTGGAGACGGGACGACGTTGATTGCCAGTCACTGGATTAGTTCTTCTTTGTCTTCGTCGTCGTCCTCCTCCTCCTCTAGGAACGATGGCGGCGATGCGAAATCATCGTCACTCGCGAGCGATAGGCCTAAATTGATCGGGATAAACACGGACCCGGCGGTTTTAGCGCCGTGCTTAACGTTCACGAAAAAAGCCGAAGACGAGCGGCGGTCGACGGGATGGTTGTGCGCGGCAGATGCGAACGACGTGGAGGATGTTTTGAAGGAGATTTTGTTCGCGTCGTCGGAAGATAATAATAATAGTAGTAACGAATGTAGCGATAGCATCAACGACGACGACAACAAAGAGAGCAGTAGAAATAGCAGCGGCGTAAATAGTTTGATAAAACGGCGTCCAATTCGTGCGAATCGTATTCGGATAAAAGTAAACGGCAAGACGTGGAAGACGATGCCGCTGGCGTTGAACGACGTGTTAATTTGCCACAACTCGCCGGCGGCGTTGTCGAGGTATTCGGTCTTGCTCGAAGAAGACGACTTGGTCAATAAACCTCCAAAACACTCTGACGACGACGACGACAAAGACGACGAAGACGGAAATAAGAAGAAAAAGTTCGAAGCGTACTACCACATCCGCTCCTCCGGCCTCCGTTTATGCACCGCGCTCGGCGCCACCGCCGCGATGAAATCCGCCGGAGGTTTCGCCATGTCCCGCGACGACGCCCGCATCCAATTCCACGACCGAGAACCGATATATTACGACCACGAACCAAAACCTCCCGGTCGCGGTCGAGGCTTTTACCAAGCGAACAAAACGACCAAGTTTCGATGGAACACGCGAGTTGGAAAAATCTACGTCGACGGCGCGCACGTGTGCCACCACATTAAAATCGGCGACGAAATCGAAGTCGAGAGCGCGATTGGCGACGAGGTGGAGATTTATTGCAGGAATTTTAGGAACATCGCTTTGACTTGACACACCCTGACTTCGTTCAGAGAGAGAGAGAGAGAGAAACGGTAGTTTCAATCGATAAATCGATTCCTTTTAAATCTGTCATATTTAGTAGAAAGAGCAGAGAGAGAGAGAAAATCTGTCCTTTCTGCTAAACCCTACACCCTAAACCATAAAACGTCCAGATCGTGAGCGCGAGAAACTCTTCATTACGAAGAGGAAGAAGAAGTTTAAGAAGACAAAGATGACCTCAATACTCGCGGACACCCGAGACGCAAACAACAACAACGCGCTCGGTCTCAAACCTTTCTTCAAAGGCAAAGTGGAAGCGTTAGAAATCGCCGTAAGGGACGGGACGCAAAATCTTCGACGATTGGAAGCGCAAAGAAACGAGTTAAACTCGAGAGGTTTGTGTTCGTCTTTTCATCGTCAGCGCGCGTGATACTCGCGCTCGTTTATCTTTGGTGTCGCTTTTCGACGCGCGTTTTGTTGTTTTTGATCTTTGTCTTCTTCTTTGTGCGCGTGTGTGTCTGTTTGTAAACGTCTGTTTTTGGATGGGGATGGGATGATGTTTGAAAGATCCACCAGAGAGGCGAAAAGGAGCGCGAAACGAGACGAGACGACATTTCGCGATGAACACCCGTTTAAGAAGAACAAACGCTGACCTAATTTGAAAACTACTCTCTTGTTTATTTATTATCACGAACAGTTCGAGCGTTGAAAGAGGAACTCTCTTTGCTCCAAGAACCCGGGTCGTACATCGGCGAAGTCGTGAAAGTGATGGGGAAGACGAAGGTTTTGGTGAAAGCGCATCCGGACGGGAAGTACGTGGTGGATTTCGACAGGTCCATCGATTTAGCAAAGTTGACGCCGGGGGTGAGAGTCGCGCTGAAGAACGATTCGTACGCGTTGCATTACATATTGCCGTCGATGATTGATCCGTTGGTGTCGCTGATGAAGGTGGAGAAGGTGCCGGACTCGACGTTTGATATGATTGGAGGGTTAGATCAGCAAGTGAAAGAGATTAAAGAAGTCGTGGAGTTACCGATTAAGCACCCGGAGTTGTTCGATTCGCTAGGCATCGCGCAACCGAAAGGGGTCATTTTGTACGGTCCGCCCGGGACGGGGAAAACGTTGCTCGCGAGAGCCGTCGCGCACCACACGGATTGTTGTTTTATTCGCGTCAGTGGTTCCGAATTGGTGCAGAAATATATCGGCGAAGGCGCGAGGATGGTTCGAGAACTCTTCGTCATGGCTCGCGAAAACGAACCGGCGATTTTGTTCATGGACGAAGTCGATTCTATCGGTTCGGCTCGAGGCGGCGGCGGCGGATCCGGCGGCGATTCGGAAGTTCAAAGAACTATGTTGGAACTCTTGAATCAATTAGATGGCTTCGAGGCGTCAAACAAAATCAAAGTCATCATGGCAACGAATAGATTGGACATATTAGACCCGGCGTTACTTCGCCCAGGGAGAATCGATCGTAAAATCGAGTTCCCGAATCCAACCGAAGAATCTCGCGTGGACATTTTGAAAATTCACTCGAGGAAAATGAACTTAGTCAGAGGCATCGATTTGAAATCGATCGCGAGTAAAATGGGAGGGGCGTCCGGGGCGGAGAGTAAAGCGGTGTGCACGGAAGCTGGGATGTACGCGCTGAGAGAGAGGAGAGTGCACGTGACGCAGGAAGATTTCGAGATGGCGGTGAGTAAAGTGATGACCAAAGATACCGATAAAAACATCTCGATCAAGAAGCTCACTTTGTAGTAGATACATTTTGCAATAAATAAAAAACACACGTATTAGTATGATAAAACAACACGCATTCTCTCCCTCTCTCTCTTTTATTAACTTTTCTCTCTTAAACTCTCTTAAAATATTACTTATTTGACGCTTTTTTCGTACGCCTCCCATCCGGCTTTTCGATACTCGCTCGCCGCTTTCGCTGGATCTTGCGCTTTATAAATACCTCTCCCGACGATGATCACGTCCGAGCCGTTGTTGCAGATTACATTCATCGGAGTGTTGTATTGTTGGCCCATGCTATCGCCGCCAACTTGTAACTGCACGCCTGGCGTCATGTTGATCAAGCCTTTAGACCATTCGACTTTCCAGGCGTTTGGGTTCGTCGCGATGAAACCCATGACAAAATCTTTGTGGTCTTTGGCCATTTGGATGGCAGCTTCGGTGTACGCGCCGTTCGCCATGGTACCTTTAGAACTCATTTCTGCGAGGAGAAGTAACCCTCTTTTCTTGGGTAAACCGACAGATTTTAACCCGTCGATGATCCCGGATCCCGGCACGATGTGCGCGTTGGTCACGTGCGACCAGTCGGCGATTTTATGCACGCCGGAGGAGTACTGCCCGACGACCGTGTTGCCGATATCGGCGAATTTACGATCTTCAAAGATGAGAAAGTCGTGCTTTTTCGCGATCGCTTGTAACTTTTCGCCGAAATCTTCCGTGAAATCCGGGTACAAATCGCAGTGCGTCTTTAACATGCAAATTTCCGGGCCTAACGTTTCCGCGAGTTCGAGCAATTCCTTCGCCGTGTCCACGTCCGCGGCAACGCACAAGTTCGACTTCTTCTTCTCCATCAAGTGGAACATATCTTTCGCGCACTGGTTGGAAGCAATCTTCGCTCTTCCCGCGTACGTTTCTCTTTTCGTCTTTTCTTCCTTCGGCTTGTCGCCTCCGGTTTGGTTCGCCGCGATGAACTGTTGCACCTCCTCCACCAACTCCTTGCTCATTTTCCCTTCCTTCTCTAAAACTTTCAACACTCTGCTCAACGGCAACACCGCGTGCAATTTCAACCCGTTCTTCTTCAACGTCTGCTCCCCACCTTGCTCTCGATCGATCAAAACCACCACGTCCGTCGTCTTCAACCCGACGTGTTGCAACGGATGCACCGTCTCCATCACCGACATCCCGCTCGTCACTAAATCCTCAACCAATAAACACGTCTGCCCTTTCTCAAACGCACCCTCGATCGCCTTCTTCGTCCCGTAATCTTTCACCTCTTTCCTTCGCATGAGCATCGGACAATCGTGGTTCAAAGACATGCACGTAGCAATCGGAAGCGCCGTGTACGGAACCCCGCACATGTTGTCAAACTTCGCTCCATTATTCGATAAAACGTCCCACATGCACTCCGCCACCGCGGTTAACACGTCCGGATACGATACAATCACGCGTAAATCGATGTATATCGGCGATTGGAGGCCGGATTTTAACGTGAACGAGCCGAATTTTACCGCTTCAATCTAGATTTTTTATATGACGAGAGATTTTTTGAAGAGAAAATTTTTGTCAATTTTGAACCTTTTTTTTGGTCTGTCGTTTATGGAGAAAAAAGAAAGAGACGAACAACACGGAGACGAAACCCGCCAGCCGGCTGCTTTTCCTTTTCCGAAGCGCTTCCCGTTTGGGAGGACCACCGCCGTTTGAAAAGACCGCGCGGCGAATAACACCGACGATCTTCGAGACGCGCGCCTTCAAAAGACGACGCGACACGGAGACGACTTTTAACCGGGAAAAATCTTTCAAAATGTTTGAAAATTCGAACGCAAAAAGCATGCGACGGACGAGACGATCGAGAGCGTAAGAATACCTCGTGTAATCGCAAAACCAACGCGTCGATGCGTTCGTCCATCGTTTTAACGTTTTTATCGCTGCCAGTGCTCGAAGGGACGCACGAGCGGGTCATTTTGTTATTCGAGTTCCCCATTCTCGAGTTTGTGGTGGTGATTTTTCTGAGGTTTCGTGTGCTTGTTTTTTCTCTTCTTGTAGTATTTTCTGGTGTGCGTATGTATGCGCGGGGCGTGTTATTACATTAAGTTTTATTCTGATTCTGATTCTGTCACGTCGTGTAACTCGCCGTTTTCGTATCGCCAACCATATGGTAATGGACAGTCGTTGTCGAGGAGGTATTGTACACAGTCGGTGTGGTTGTTCTCGTGCGCTTCTCGAACGGCCTGAGAGTCCCAAGGCCATTTGGCGGTTTCGTGTAAGTACTTCAAACAGTCTAAGTGACCTCTCTGGGCCGCAAACCGACACGCCAATACGCTATATTGATCATACTTACGCTCAACAAGATATTCGAGTATGTGGAGATGGCCATTTGCAGCCGCCCAAGCGGCAGTTTCTGAACCCCAAGGCGCTTTGACTTCTTCGCGTAAGTATTTGAGGCACTCGAGATGACCGTTTTTGGCAGCATTTGCACACGCAAACTCTTTGACAGGACACTTATTTGCAACGCAATACTTTACCATTTCCAGATTGCCTTGGTCTGCGGCCATATTAATCGTCCCTACATTCCACTCACACTTTTTCTCCTCTCGCGCCCACTTGAGCAACTCGAGTTTATTCGTGAGAGCAACTCTCCAGCAGAAATATGGTTCGTTCATGAAGTAATCATCCCACGGATAATGCTTCCACGCTACTTCCAAAGTCGATATCGACATCATCTCTTCAATATGAAACCCTTTTTTCAACTCCCCCTCGCGAGATGATCTCTTAATCAACTTTCTCGTCTCCGTATTCACCTCGTACAAGAATTTCACATCCGTCCTATTCAATCTCGGTAAAATATGTTTCTCCACGATGTCTCTGCACTCGCCGCCGTCCAACAGAGCGGTTTCCCTGAACAATCGCCACAGCATCGTCGGTTTCCTCTCGACCTCGAGCAGGACTTTCTCGAGCTCTTTTCTCGCGTTTTCCAATCGCTCGTGCTCCTCTTCTGTCATGTAGTCCGAACAACATAATTCGGAATTTTGCATCATCATTCTTTCTTAATCAAATGTATACGTTTTGAATGCCATTTTCATCGCAACAAAAGAAATCGCCCCGCAAACAAACGCGTTTTAAAGAGAGAGAGAGTGTGTGTGCGAGTGTCGCGTTTGTTTATGCACAACAACAACAACAACTACTACTTAAAGCAGTCCAAAATTGTATCGATTTTCCCTCTAAAATTGCCAGAAAAAAAGCATGTTAAAATTTAGGGTGTACAACCCTAATACTCGGAATGGGCATTCCCTCCTCTACAAAAATTTTATCCGAGAAAGCGCCGCGCGAAAACCGCCTCACTTCCCCCGCACGCGAATACCAAAACGATGTCGTTTTCATTGCACTGCTCGACTTCAACCCAATCCTCGAGAGTTTCGACGTCCTCTTTGACGTCCAACGCGACGAGTAAGAGAGTTGTTCAGAGAAAGGCGTTTCGCGTTCGCGCTGCCGATGCCGGTACGTGTTGATTCTTCTTTTTTTCTCTGTAACGCGCGCGCGCCGCATCACGATGATGAAGATAGATGCGACCAAAGACGCCAGGAAATCTCGTCAAATATACATCCAACAAACGTTTCTGCGCGAGATTTTATCGTTTTATCGGTCGTTCTGTGCTGCTTTATCATCGAGCAGCGCTCTTGCCGTCGTCGGGTCGAATTCCGGTGAAAACCTGAAAGGAGGATAAAGAGGGCTGCTCTGCTTGTGTAGTAGAAAATACGCGCGAGACGAAGAGTTCTCTCTTCAAAGAGTGGCTCTCTTTTCTTTGTTCCCCAGTGCGACGCGCGATGATGACGTTTTCATTATTACACATCTCTTTTGTGTTTGCTGACTTGTGTTCCTTCTCTCTCTCTCGTTTACGTCAACAACAATTCACAGCCGCCGCGCCGGTCGCCGCGTCAAAGATTAGAATCCGCTTAAAATCCTTCGAAACGACGCACATGCAAGCCGCGTGCGACAAAATCATAGAAGCTGCGACGGCTACGGAAGCGCGAATCAAAGGTCCGATCCCGTTGCCGACGAAGAGACGCATTTATTGCGTTTTACGTTCGCCGCACGTGAACAAGGATTCGCGAGAGCACTTTGAAACGAGAACGCACAACAGAGTGATTGACGTGTACGAGCCGACCGCGCAAACGATTGACGCGTTGATGGGGTTAGAGTTACCAGCGGGGGTTGACATTCGCGTGAAATTGTAAAGTGTTTTTGTTTAACACCACCACTTTGTTGTTGTTCGTAGTATACATGCGTACAATTTTAGCTGATTTTTATATATACGTAGTAGAAAAAACTTTCTTATTATCAAATTAATGGTACAACCGAGCACAATCCACGACGCGCGTTTGTAGGCGGACGACGACGTATGCTGTGAGACGTATACGACCCCGACGACGGTTTTTTTCAATGGAAATCTTCCTCCATTTCCATGTACTCGTCCACGCTCATCGCTTTGCTCATTCTATTATTATTATCTGCCGCCGCTGCTGCTGGTAATGGTGGTTGTCTATTTTCCTCGTTTTCCTCGTCGCCGCCGTCTTTTCGTGCCTCGTAATTGTTACTCCCGAACGAACCTCCACCCGATGACGGGGTCTCTCTCGCTTTCTCTACGATTCTCGTCAGCAACTCTCTATCCATGGGTTCAAATTTTGAAGCGTGCAAGGATGCACTCACATCATCGTTTTCAAACAACTCGCTCGGTAAATTCACGTTGAACCATTCGTCTTTTTTGATATCCTCCATGGTTAACCGTTTCGCGACGTCGACCTGGAATATGCCGGCTAACAGTTCTCTGCACTTTTCCGACAACGCGACTTTCGACGGGAATCCGTACTCGCCGTTTAATATCCTCTTCACGGTTTTTCGAAAATTCTTCGGGTCTGTCTTATCTTCGAACGGATATCGTCCGCACAACATGACGTACAGAGTGACACCGCACGACCACACGTCCGCGGCTCTCCCATCGTATTGACCTTGTCGTTTGAGAACTTCGGGCGCGATATACGCCGGCGTCCCGACTGCCGATTTCGGCGCCGAATCAATCAGAGAGTGTTTCGAGTACCCAAAATCGCAAATCTTTAACCTCGGAGTATTATTATGGCTGTTATCGATCAACGCGTTTTCCAATTTCAAATCTCTGTGCGCCACGCCTTTGCTGTGACAATAATCCACGCCGGATATTAACTGTTGAAAGAAATACCGCGCCTCGTCTTCTTGCATCCTACCGTTCGTTAACACCCGATCGAACAACTCCCCACCGCTCGCGTATTCCATCACGATGGCTAAATCCGTCGGCGTTAACAAAACTTCGATGAAACGCACGATGTTCGGATGGTTCAATATCGCGTGGTTATGGATTTCCCTGTTTTCGTTTTACGTTGTTGTTATCATCGTTTGCGCCGAAACAAAGCGAGAAACGCGTTGAATAAAAACAGAATAGAAGCAATAGGTCAGCAATGAAAACAGGCGTCAAAAGGTCTCCTTGGAAAGAGCGAAACATGTTTGGCTTTATATTCTCTCGAACAGAGCGAATGTGCGTCGAATATATCTCAAATCGAGCGCATTAAATAAAGCGCATCCTGTTCTCTCCTCACGCAAACAAACAACTCACTCGGAGATGGAAACATTCGATCATAAAAAACCAAATCAAAAACAGAAGAAGAATACAACACAACCACATCATTACCTCACCACGTTCTCGTCTAACTTTTTCCCTCTCGGTATGTATTTAATCGCCACTTTTTTCCCTGTTTTTGTTTCGAACATGAGGCGAGCTTGGCCGAAGTTTCCGGTTCCCAGCGGGGGGTGATTTAACACCGGATGGTACTTTTTATCGTGCATCGTCTCGTCCATTTTTATATGCGTATTCAGCGAAGCCGAACGCTGAAAAGACGAATAGAATACAGACTCGAGCGCCTTCTTTTGATTGCGCTTTTAAAATTCCTCTCTCTCTCTCTCTCGAATACACGCGCTAATACGTAAGTCTCTCTCTTAATAATGAGGACCTTTTCTTTTCCCCCTATTCCTTTTCTTTTGAATTTTTTCTCAAAAATACGAGTACTTCTAGTACGATATAAATCACACGTCTAAAGAGCAGAGTGAGACATACAGACACTCACGCGGTAAAGAACGAGAGACGTGGACGTACTGGTACGCGTTCTAAAGAGTAGAGAGTGAGAAATATGCCGCTCTCGATAGCGAGGACCTCTTCTGTTCCCCCTGTTATTTCTCTAAAGAGGAGTCCTTTTTTTTTGAATTTTTTCGTGTGAAGTGGAGCAAAAAATACGAGTAAGACATACAGACTACTCGAGTACGAACGAGAGACTTATGCATCATTCTTTAAAGAGCAGAGAGTAAGAAATACAACAGACACTTATTACGAGTACGAACGAGAGACTCATAGACGTTGGAGGTTATACGAGGCCATTTTTGTAGAGAGCAATTTTAAGTGGGTGGTTTGGTGGACAAAAAAGACAGTTGTTGGAAAATACAGACGAGAGAGCGTTGTGTGATCGCTCGTGCGTACACGCGCATATCTTCTCTCTCTCGCTCTAAATGCTCCTGAAAATTCGTACAAGTATACGTACACACGTTTCTATTCTTCGTGTGAATTTTCAGCTCTAGAATCATTGCGACCGAGCAGATATCAACAGATGTACAAAAGTAACAACAGAGAGGCCATTTTTAGGCCAATGTCTCCATAAAAAGTCTCTCTTTATTACAAGGCGGCGCAAACAAAAGTGAACACATAAAACACGCATCAAACACACTCTCTCTCTCTCACTACCACGACCAAATAATAAAGACAAAGATACATCGCTCTTTCTCTCTCCGATCTGACTCTAAAACTCTCCAGCGAGCGCACAAAACAGATCAAAACTCGTATCAAATTACGCGTAAAATCCGATCCAATTTTCGATCATTTCTCTCTCTTTCAACGCGTTGTTTAGAACCACAGAACTGTTACATTCGCACCCAGAAGACTATATAGTACACGTATTACACGTCTTGATAAAATGGCGGCAAAAGTCACGAAGAAGACAAAGACTGTTGCAACAAAAGGACAAGATGAAAATCTCAAGAAAATGACAGTCAAAGAGCTCAAAGAACGCTTGAACGCGTACGGCTTGGACGCGACCGGTTTGAAACCAGAACTCTTGAAACGACTGGAAACGTTTTTGACGTCCTCGATGATGCAAACGACGACAAATGGGAGTGGTGGTGATGGTGATGATGGCGAAAACGATTTGAACATTGAAACGTTGCGAGACGAAGCGAAGAAGAAAGCCGAGGACGCCATCGCAAAGTTTGAGATGAAGAACAAGGAAGAAGATGACGAAGATGAAAAGCCTCGCAAACGCGTCATCACGGAGGAAGACCACTTGCCGACAAATGTGGCGGCGGAGGAGGAGAAGAAGAGTGGTAAAAAAAGAGGACGAGGAGGAGGCGCTTTGGCGTCGGCGTCGTCCTCGAGGAGGAGGAAAGTGAGAACGATCAGCGAGTCCGACGAGGAAGAGGAAGAAGACCAAGAGGAAGAAGAAGAAGAAGAAGAAGAAGAAGAAGAAGAAGAAGAAGAAGGGAATGAAAAGAAACGTCGCCGCGATGGTGGTAAATCGAAGAAGAGAAGAGGGAAAAAAGAGTACGAAGACGAAGACGAAGAAAAAGCCGTTGAAGTTGAATACGAATCGACCAAATCTATTCCGTGCGTTGGAAACGAAGGACGAATCATCGGCAAAGGCGGCGCTAAGATTCGCGAGTTGCAAGCGAAGTACGAAGTCGTCATGCAATTGAACAGAGAGAACGGATGCGTGGAAATCATGGGCGATCGAACGAACGTTCTCGAGTGCGAAGTCGAGATTCTGAGAATCATAGAAGAAGGCACGGCGAGGAACGCGGAGAAAGAGAAGCAATTACAAAACCAAGGACGAGGTGGTCAACATCATCAAAGAGGCGAAAGAGGCGGAAGAGGAGAAGAAAAGAGAGGAGGAGGAGACAGAGGAGGAGGAGGACAAGGAAGAGAGGAAATTCCGTGTGCCGGGATGGAAGGTCGTATCATCGGTAAAGGCGGCGAGACGATTCGAAGACTCGAAGCGGATTCCGGCGCGAGAGTGAGAATCAATCGCGAACGGTTAGTGTGCGAGATTTCTGGCGAACCCGGGTGCGTGGAAACGGCCGTTCGGTTGGTGCACGAACTGATGGCGAGCAGCGGCGCGGATAGAGGCGGCGGCGGCGGTCAACAAGGAAGACAACAACAACAAAACGTTTACGGAGGACAAGCTTTCGGGCAACAACAACATCAAATATACGGTCAACCCGCCGCCGCCGCCACCACCACCACCACCCAAGTGTATGGCGCAGCCGCTGCCACGTACGGTCAGCCGGCGGCTTCTTCTCACGTCGCCACAGCCGTTGCTCCCGTCTACGGCCAACAACAACAACAATATTCGTACGGTACCCAACAACAAGTGTACGGTCAAGCGACGGCGCCCACTTCGTCCGCCGCTCCCGTCTACGGCCAACAAGTGTACGGTCAACAAGTGCAACAAGTCGCCCCGCCCCCGGTAGCGCGTCATCATCCGATTTCCTCCTTACCCCCCGATTGGGAAGAAGTCAACCAAGACGGACAAATTTACTACTGGAACACTCGCACGAATTTGACCCAATACGAGAGACCCGTTTAAAAAGCAAACAAAAGCACCACAAGCGCGCATCATCAATATCATCGTCATCATCATCATCACAACTCAATACTAATCAAATTTTCACGAATCTATTTGAACTATTACTACTACTACTACTAGGTACTACTACTACTACTACTACTACTACTTTTAACTTTTAATCTACGTCTATAAAAACCACCATCCTCTCTACCTCCTCTTCTCGATATTGTCGTCGTATGAATGCGCGTCTGTAGTCTGCCCTTCGTACACCTCAATATTCTCTGCAAACTCTTTCGGCATGTACGTCCCGTTGCGTCCTCGATATTTACCCTCCACATTCTTCTTCTTCTTCTTCGTATTAGTATTCGTATTCAATAGCGGCGGTTCAATCTCTCGCATCGTTTTCTCTTTCTCGTCGCAATCGACGACCCAGAACAAACCTTCGACTCTTTTACCGGCGTCCCACTCTTCCGCGTTCCCAAGTTTGAAAGCTTCTCGAGCGGATCGAGCGATCGCGTCTCTCGAGTATTGAGCGCGTATGTCCTCTTCTTCTTCTCTTGGTTCTTCTTTTTTCAACAACGCGACGACAATCACGTTACACGGCTGATCGTGAATCGGAATCGTCATGACCGGCCCGATCGACTTTTCCAATCGAGCGCAAACGACGTGAACAAACGCTCTCGCGGTCGAGCCTCTCACGCCGTTGAAACAGTTCATGATGAACATCGACGGCGATCTTTGATTATTATTATTATTGTTTTTCAACTTTTCGCCGCACAAGCGGAAAAACGCTCTCGAGATCAAATGTTCCGGTACGTTTCCGCCGCCATCAAACGCGTCCATACTTATGATATCTAAACTTCCATTCATAACTTTTGTTTCCAAATACTCGCGAGCGTCGTCGACGACGCATCGAAACGGTATCGCGTTCCCGTTAAAACACGTCCGTTCAATCGCTTCGATGACCACCGGATCGTGTTCCACCGTCTCCATCTCAAACTCATCACTAAAATGCGTTTCCATGAAAAACGGCAACGCGCCAGAACCCATGCCAATCATCAGCATCTTATCCTTTGTTTCATTGACTTCTTTTCTGTCTTCTTCTTCTTCATCCGAAAAATCCAACCTCCTCTTCGCCGCCGTCGCCGCCGCCATCGCTCGCAAATACTCGTACGCCAAAACTTTCCCGTCCATGATCTCCTCATCAACAACGTACGCTAACCCTTGCTCGACGTCGTTAAACCGAAGCGATCTCCAGTTTGGACCGAATTGAGAGATTGTCACCAGACCGTTCGCTTTCTCGCTTGGTTTCGAGAAGAGGATTTTTCCTTCTGAGTCCTATATAATAAAGTAGTTATAGAGGGAAAAATGTCAACATCACAGAACACATCATCAAAGCACAATAAAGGGCGCACGTGATATAAAAACGACTTCTACGTACCGGGTACTCTAAATACGCGCGTTCGCTTCTCTTTTCAAACTCGTTTGCTTTCGTAAACGCGAGGAGAGGCGTGAAGAAGTTGGAGACGTTTTGCGGGAAATGCATCGCTTTAACGACAGTTTTTGATCTTCTCTTCGATGCCATCGCGCTCCGTCGCACGTTCTGCCTTTTCCACGTTCTCGCGAAGAGCGGTGCTCTTTTCTCTCCTCTTTTCGCGAGGGAGGCGAAAACTTTGCTCCGCGTCATCGTCGTCGTCATCACTGGTCGTTGTTTCAAAAAACTTCTAATGAAGTAAAATGTGTTCGTTTTTTTCCCGTAACGGCTTTTCTGAAAAGCTTTTGTTCTCTCTGCGTTTAATAACGATATTAACTCCATTGACTGCAGACTTTACGCGCGAAGAAAAAGACGACACCACTCGAATTAGTAGCACTGCACCAGTGCTCCAAACGTTGGCAAACGATAAATTGGATGCCACGCGGTTGGTTCCGCGGAAGTATGGATCATCCCGAGTTCTGCATGATTTCCTGATCTGAAACAGTTTGACTGCAAATCTCTCTCGCTTTGCGATGAGATCTTCTTTTATTAAAGTCACGACAACGAACGCCGTTCGCGAAGAGAACGAAAGAGAACGGAAAGAGAGACGCGAAAGCGAACGAGAAAAGAACGGAAAGAGAGACTCTTTTGCGATGTGATGAAACGGTTTTCTGTTGCGCTTTTGTTGTTCTCCGTGAAAGTATTTTGTTTGGTGTTGGGGGAAAGGACATGTAACGAATATCCTCATTAAAACACGCGCTCTTACACTCTTTTCTACCGCGCGAAACACGCGAGAAAAAGAATAGAAAAAGCAGCGAGAGAGAACATCTCAACGACAACATTAGTATTTCATCGAAGTCTTCCGTGTGTGTGTCGAAAGCATCGTTCGTGCTTCATCATCTTCATCCTCTCGTCGGGAGGAAAAGGAGGTTCGGGAAATTACGAACAAGAATACGTTTAGGACAACAAACGATGATGGAGAAGAAAGACGACCAGGAAAGCCAACAACACCGTATGTTTTACTATATTCTTATTATGTTACTGTAAACTGACACCGTTTTGTCTCGTTATGTTATTATTATCATCATTAAACAAAGCGTACTACGATGCGGAAACCAAATCGACGAAATGGGAGGCCATGTGGCAAAACGAAGAGAAAAATGGCGAATCGAAACCAAAGTTCGATTGCAATCGAACCGGTACGTTTTGTTTTTAGAGTCAAACGATGATGTACTTATTAACCGTCTCTCTCTCTTTCTCTCTCTCTTCTCTCTCTCCGCGAACACAACGACAACAACAGAACCGGCGTTGGTCCATTTCTTGGCGAAGAATACAACGTTCGTTCCAGAGTTGCAGAAAACGAAAAGCGCGAGAGTGCTCGTCCCTGGATGTGGCCGAGGCTACGCGTTGGAAACGTTCAGTTCGATTTTTTTTGATTCTGAAAATATCGTCGGTTTGGAAGTGTCCGAGACCGCTCGAAACGCGTGCGAAGCGTACCAAAGCGAGAATAAATCGAAAGCGAAGTGCGTCGTGGAGGACTTCTTTACGCACGACGATAAGTACGACGTTATTTACGATTGCACGTTCTTATGCGCGATACAACCTACGCAGAGACACGTGTGGGCTGAACAGATGCGAAATCTCACCAAGAAAGGTTCTCGCGTGATTTCCTTGGTCTTTCCCTTGGGTGATTTCAAAGGCGGTCCGCCTTTCGCGCTTTCCCCCGAGTTGGTCAAATCTCTCCTCCAAAACGATTTCGACGTCGAGGAGTTGATTCAAGTTCCCGAAGACATGTGGGCGAGAGGAAGACCCGAATATTTATACGTCTTCATTCGCAAATGATGATAGATACTGTTAATACTAATAATACTTTAATAGATAGGACGCGTACGCGGTAGAATTTTAATTGTTCAAAACGAGACCTTTTGAAAATACTTCACTTTCTCGTTTTCAACAACACACATCCATCCATCGTCATCATCATCGTCATCATCGAAGCGAACAACAGGAATGTACTACTCTTCTAAACAATATAAACACTTCCTCCCGGTCTTCCTCCTGGCACTTTTCGCCACGCTTTTGAGGCAAATCGAAGCGTACAGATATTACGGTATGTTAAACGCTTATTTTACGAAACGTGTTAAAAATATGACTGATCTTTATTCTAAAACACTTTAGGAGGGTACGCGCGGCCGGCAGTCGTCGTCGCGCGCCCGGTCGTCGTCGTCAGACGCGGTCGATGGGGACGGAAATTACTCCAAGAAGATGCCACGCAGTATACGCCGGGCGAGAAGTGCGAGACAATGCTAGGTAATGATTACGAAACTTTATTCTTTTTTTTTTCTCTTGTATAGTCTTGGACGTTGCTCTGAAAGTATTACATCTGACGCGCGATGATCTAACATTTTCTTTCATTTACAGAGATCATCAAAACCCGTCCGGGTCTGTCCAAACTCGCCTCCGTGGTCGAGAAACTCCCTCGCATTTCCGCCGCTTTGAACGGCGGCGATGAAAGTCGGGGAAAAACCGTGGACACTTTATTCGCGCCGACGGACAAAGCCATCGAAAACTTCCTCTCGTGGACGCGAGCGCAGAACAAAACGGAAGAGTTTGCGAAGATTTTAGGCAACCAAACCGTCGCCGGGGCGATTGTTGCGTACCACGTGCTACCAGAACTCGTGTATAAATTTGGAACTTTAAAAGCATTTGATCGAAAATTCATCAACACCGCTTTATCGAACGCCGTCTCGGATACCTCCGGCGCGTTTGCGCTTCAAATCGACGAAGAAGGCGGGTCCATTTTCATCAAAGGTACCGGGTCGGAAGTGAAAGTAATCGGAGCGGATAATTACGCGTGTAATGGAATCATTCACTTAGTCGACGGCGTGTTGTTACCGTTCGATGCGGATGGAGAGTTGAGCGAGAAGCAAAAAGAACGCTTGGAAGACGCCAAGGAAATGTTATCGGAAGCGATCGAAGAAGAAGAAGAAGAAATGGAAGGCGCCTCGCCGGCACCGGCGCCGGATGCGGCGTTATCCATCGGTCTCTTAACTGATCTTGGCGGCTTAGTAGGAGACGCTCCAGCGCCAGCACCATCACCATCGACTATTGCTACTACCGAAGAAGTCGTCGATGATATCCAAATCGTCGATGAACCTCCGCTCTTTTCGGAGACGACAGAAACCGAGGCGTCGGAGGAAGAGGCCGAACTCGTCGTCGAAGACGAAGATTTGCTCCAAGCCGAGTTGGACGAAGGCGATTTTAACATCACCACCGGAGCGAAGAACGAAACAACTACGCGCGATTAAATTCGACTCCAGAGCTCGAGCTGCTACTACTACTACTACTACTACTCCCGCGTCGCGTCGGATCCACCTTTTGTCAAAGGCACCACATTTTTTTGAAAGAATCACAGACACACCCAAACGCATCATGTAAACGGTGCAAAATTAACCACACGTTTCTCCTCACTTCTTTCGCGTTCAAAATTTCCGAATCAATTCTCGTCTCTCATTTTGTCGCGACATCGACGTCACTTTTAACACAACTCTCAAGAAAAAAAACCTAAAATGCTCACCAAAACGATCAAGAAATCCTCCGCGTTTCTCGCGCTCTTCGCGTGTGTCTTTGCACTTCTCCCTCGCTCTTCCGACGCGTTCGGGTATTGGGGTTGGCGCCCGTACGGTTGGGGCTGGGGAGGTTACGGATGGCGTGGTTACGGTAAACATTTTCTTTTTAGATACAAAAATAAAACTGACCGTTTCACACAAAACTAACACTAGGCTGGCGCGGCGGCTACGGATGGCGAGGCGGGTATTGGCGCGTATTATCAGTAGACCAAGAAAAAGACTGATTATATTTAAAACAGGGGCCGCAAGTTATTGCAAGACGAAGCGCCGGCGTGCACGCCGCTCGCAGAGGTTGGTTTTTGTTTCCCGAAAGAGAGTTTAGAGATATTTTTTACGTTTCGTATCGATACGAAATTTCTCGATTTAAAGAAAAATGTATCTCATTTTGCGTCGAACGATGCGAACTCTCGATGACAACATTCCCTCTCTCTCTCTGTTTCTCGGTCTCACTACTGACGCTTATTACACGTTTCTTTTTCTTTCTTTCAAATACTAGTTCATCGCGTCGCGCCCGGATTTAAGCACCATCAACGACATTCTCTCGTTCGCGAAAGTTGTCACCGCCAAGCTGGACAGCGCGCCGTCGGAGTTGATGGCTGACGCTACGCCCAAGACGGTTTTACTCCCGAACGACGACGGCTTCGCCTCTCTGGAGTACTGGAATAACATGACCGCGTACGAAAGAGCGATGAAGCTTCTCAACGAAACGGAGACGACGTCGTTTCTCGGGTACCACATTTTACCAGGCGGCGCTTTTGATAGCGCGACGGTGGCGACTTTGAACGGTCAAACTGTCGACACGTGTCTTTCCAAAGCGGTGATGGACTCGTACCCGGATTCCACCGTCTTGGACGTCGGCGTGGAAGTTCGCGACCCGGACGTCTTCATCAAAGCGAGAGCGTCCGAAGCGAAAGTGGTCGAAGCGGATATCCCGGTTTGCGAAGGTATCGTCCACATTCTCGACGCGCCCTTGTTGCTTTGCGACACCGAAATGGAGTTCACCGACGAAGAGACGACGGTCGTCGAAGCCGCGGTGACGAAGGTTGCGGAGATGCTCGAGAAGTACGAGGAAGGCATGGCGCCGGCCCCGGCGCCGATGGAAGACGAAGCGGTGATGCCGATGGAAGCCGTCGCGGAAGAACCGGAAGCCTAAAAAAGGAGAACGACGAAGTGTGAAGAGAGAGAGAGACAAAACGTACAAGGAGGAAAAACATCTAAGTTTTATACACCAACAACAACACAAGTCATTTGAGAGAGACTAAGAGGCGTTCTGCACAAGCGTCGTGCTTTCATTCGTTGTAATCTATAATCCATTTCTAGAATTGCGTCTATAAAAACTACTACTAGTATTCTTCTTCTATTACGGATGCGGCGGCGGCGGTGGTGGCGGTGGCGGTTGAATTTGCTGTTGCATCATTCTCGCGCCCATCGCCATCGGCATCATCGGATTCACGACAACCGGCGGCGGCGGCGGCGGTACGAATTGCGAAATAGGCGGCGGCGGCGGTATCCTTCTCCCCTCGTCTTCCTCTTCCTCCTCGTCCTCCTCTTCCCCAAAATACCCACCACTTAAAATCCGTCTCTCTTTCACCCCCATATCCTCCCCGACGATTTCGCACGTCACCTCTTTCCCTCGTTCCAACATTTTCTCCGCGTGCGCCTTCGCTTTGCGATACTGTTTCTCCATCCCCGGCGGCGGCGGCGGAACGTACGCGTCCTCCATACCTTCCCAATTTTTCACGTAAAACTCCACCGTCCTTTCTTTTTCTGTTTCTTCTTCTAACCCGTTTGGTACTGTCACTCTAACGATCGGTCCGAATGGAATCTGCGCTCGTATCGTTTCTCCGGCTTTCACGCCTAAAGGAAAGGACACTCGAAAGAATCGAAATTTTCTTAATTCTTCTCTCGTGAGCGGTTTTTCATCCGTCGGTGGCCCTGGTATCCCGGTGATCGTTTGGTCTTCTTTCTCGTCCTCTGTTACGTCTTGTTGTTGAGAATGCTTCGTAATGATCACGCTTTTGTTCTTCTTTTGCAGCTTTTCGAGCGCGAGTTTCCGCTTCGAATCGAGCTGTTTTTTCCGTTCCATTTGCTCCGATTTCGTATTCGTAGTACCATGTTTTCTTTTATTCTTCTTTAGTATCTTTTCATCGTTTTCGAGCGCTTGAAAGTACGCGTCGCGTTGGTTCTTGAGAGAGCTTTTCTCGTTCGTCATGGTGCGTTTATATGTTGTTGTTTATGTGCGCTAAAGTTGTTGAATAATGAGGAAATTGGTTCGCTTTGGAAACAATCGTCTAAAGGAGCGTTTTCCCCTACAGCGTACTCTCTGTGCATCGCATCCGCTCCGTCGCGTTGATTCTCGAGCTTCAAATTCTCACGGAGCACAAAAACACGCACACGACGTAAAGTTGTACGAATTTTCAGGGGCATTTCGAGCGAGAGGCGGGAGATGCGCACGCGCGAGTGATCACAAAATCTGAACCGTTTTTTTGTGGTCTGTTTCGGATTGAAATCACATGCGAGAAAAAAAAATCTTCACTTTTTGTTCTTCTTCTTCTTCCTTTTTGAAACGCTCGGTTGTTTAAACGAGGACGTCCGCGATCAAAAGACGAATGGGGGACGAGAGAGATTCTTTGTTGTTGTTGTGGGATGTGGTCGTGAAGTGCGACGATATTTGTTTCACGCACATCTTGCCGAGATTGAATCGAACTGATCTTAAATTCTTGTACGGGGTGAATACGGAGACGAGAAAGTTGATTAAGAGATCGTCACGCAAGGGGGAGTTGAAAAAGAAGTTTAGAGTGAGAGAGATGTCGTCGATATCGACTTTGGAAGTAGCGTGGGAGAATCTATCGTTGTGGCCGAGATGGTGGGACGAAACAGATTTCTGCCAGAAAGTTGCTGAAACGAATAAACTCGAGTTGCTCAAGTGGGTGCGAGAGGAGAAAAAGTGTAAGTGGGATAAATATACGATTAATGAGGCCGCATCTCAAGGTAATCTGGAAATGGTAAAGTATTGCGTGGCAAATGAGTGTCCTATCGATGAGTGGGCGTGTGCACGTGCTGCCCAAAACGGTCATCTCGAGTGCCTCAAATACTTATGCGAAGAAGCAAAAGCGCCTTGGGGTTCGGGTACTGCCTCTTGGGCGGCTGCAAATGGTCATCTCCACATTCTCGAATATCTTGTTGAGCGTAAGTATCGTAAATATACGGCATATGCGTGCGAGCGTGCAGCCGAGAGCGGCCACTTAGACTGTTTGAAGTACTTGCGCGAAACCGCCAAAGCGCCGTGGGACTCTTGGGCGGTACGAAGAGCGCACGAGAACAACCAAACCGAGTGTGTACAATACTGCCTCGACAATAACTGTCCTCTCCCATCCAATTGGCGAGATTTGCACGCAACCTCCTAAAAAACACACAAAAACATACACACGCACAAAGTATAATCGTAACACAGACAAAACACACACACAGAGAGAGACGTACAGACGAGAGTCTCCCCATATTCGTATATACCCTAAATAAGCAACCCATTCCTTCCGTTGGGAGAAAATTCAAAATTTTCTCACTTTTACCGCTCTTACACATAAAAGATGTTTACGACGATCAACGACAAAAGAACCACCTCAATGACCACCACCAAACGCAAAAGCACGATTCGTTCCTCTCCTTCTCGCACAAAACTGGGCCTCTTTCTCACGTTTTTAGCGTCTGTTTTACTGGTTTCCACGCGATTGAAAATCGAGAAAATCTTCGTTTCCGCGCTCGAACATGAACACCATCATCATCAGAGGATGCCGCCACCTGCGCGTCCGCCTCCTCCTCACCGTGAAGAGCATCATCAAAATCATCGTCTGAATGATGAGAACCGGAAAAAGAGCGAACGAGAGAGACAGAAACAGAAACCTCCACCACCGCCGCCTCCCGGGCGGATGCACGCCAGGAAGGTGGATCCGCCTCTAAACCCTAATGATGATGTTGATGCGCAAAAGGAGCAAAAGGATCCGATTCCCGCGACGATACCAACAGAAAAGAAAAGAATGACCGCACAGGAGTACGTGGACGCGAGGAAAGAAATGAAACCGCCTTCTGTTTCGGGGAAACAACAGAAGAACTTTATGAATGAAATGGTATCGAGCGTACTCGCTCCGGGGTATAAGTTCGCGGTCGGACTTCCGAAAAACAGTTTGAAGTTTGTGGTTGAGAAGTTTACGACGATACGAGCGACGTTTCGAGTGCACGCGATTGCGGTGTTGTCGAAACTCCCGACCGGGAAGATGGACGTGAATAAATTCGGCGGTTACCTGGCGGATGCGTTTTTGCTCCTGTTTACGCTCGCCGTCGCGCGCGTCGTCCACCTGTTCACGCCGTTCGCGAAACCACCGCCGGCGAGCGTGAAAACGCGTAAAGTTGGTTCCGATCGCGTGAACATTCAGTTTCACATGCCGTTCGCCGGCGGCGCGGATAAGTGCATCGTGTTTTTAAAAGGCAACAAAGTCTTGTGTCGATGCCCGGAGAAAATGTTGGAGTGCGAGACGACGTTATCGGCGCCGGCGAAAGGCTCGACGTGGATCATCTTCGAGGAACCAAAATGGCTGGAATATAAAGACGAGTTGGTCGTCGTCGCTAAGAGCGTGAAGAAGGATAAAGAAGCGAAGAAAATCGAAAAGATGCCGTTGAAGACGCCGGCGGCGAGAAAGAAGAGCGCTTCGAGGACGACCGACGAAGGCGAAGAAGATCGAGCGCCAGCAAAAGCGAGAACTTCGAGAAAGACCACCACGGCGACGAAGGCGAAAAAGACGCCCGCGGCGAGAGCGAAATCGCCAGCCAGTCCTCGACGCACGAGGCAGACGCCCGCGAAGAAGAAGTAAAAAATATTTATTATCACTAAGAACGTTGTGTTTGAATAATAGTATGATACTAATATTTATCGCGTAAAATCGTCGCGACTCTATTCTATTCTATTCTCTATTCTATTCTATGAAAACAAAGTTAATCTTGGTCTGAATCGTCTGAATCGTCGTCGACTTCTCCTCTCGCTCTCTTCGCCGCTCTGCGGAAAAACGCGACGTTCTCCGTCCCTCTAACAAATTCGCAAAACTTCAAATCAATCTTCGTCCGCGCGAATTCGCTCCTTTGATCTTGTAACATCGACCCTTTCGGTAAAAACATCGCCTCGGTCACGCGTTCAAACTCGCTCGATTTTGTAAACTGGGCAACTTTGGACAAATACGTCGATTTATTCCCGTTTGACGCTTCGACGCATTCGCGCTCCACGCGTTCGGCTTCCTCCACCATCGCTTTCAATTTTCCTTCATTTTCCTCCTCAAAAAACTTCGTCGCGACGACGTCGTCGTTTAAGTCCTCTCCTCCTCGCGCCAATCGAATCGCGACTAATCGATACAAACACTTATACCTCACCGCGGTTGGCACCGTTTTCTTCTGTTGTCGTTTCATCGATGAAATCGCCTCTTCTTCGTTCAGCAATAACAGTTTCGGTTTCGCCGACTCCGGGAGTCGCTTTACCAAAGCCAAATTGCTCGCGTGCGCCGCTTCCGCCGTCTTTGATGTAAATATTGAATAAGATATAAGAGAGAGAGAGAAAGCGTAAGTTACGCGTTAATACCAACGACAAAATGTCAATGTCAACGCGTGAATAGAAAACGAAATGTATAATGTATTACCGTGAGTGGTGCTCGCCTCGCGTCTCCGTACGCCTCGTAATATTCAGAGCTATACTTCTTTTCATCTTTCTTGAGAGTATTCGTATTACTCTTCATACTAAACATTTCCCGTCCTCGATCGCCTCGCGGTCTCCCAACGCCTTCGAGATTTTCTCTTCGAAATTCCAAGAATTCCATCCTTTGTCTTTTCGGTTTAATCGCTTCTATTATCATTCCTGGTTGCTGTTCTTTACTGCCATCGTAACGGGCGTCTTTGATGCGTCTCTTTCGCGTCGTCGTCGTCGTAAGCTCGCCTTCTTCTTCGTCTTCATCTTTAGCCGCTTTGGAGGAAATCTCGTCTTTTCTCATCGTTTAAGACTTCTTTTACCGCGCAAACATGAACAACATGAACAACAAGAACAACAAAAACAACAACGAGAATAACGTTTAACGATGCGACGATATGTTTTGACGACGAAATGTGACGAGATGATGATGTGTTTTGTGCGTAAGACGAGAATAGTTAAAATGAGGTGATTCTTTGCTCTCTATGTTCCTAAACAACGCGCTACTCTATAATGCTCAGATGATGATCAATAACGGCTTAATCTTGTTCTCGTTCTTCGAAATGCTGATGTTGTTGTCATTGAGTCTTCTTTTTGTTTTTTCTGGTCGCCGCGTGGATGACTCTTCGGGCGATTTCGGCGACGTCGAGATGGTTTCGGCGAGAACGGCATCCGTCCGTAAATCCGCCAAATCTGGACGTTTCGTCGTCGCTTTCGCTCGTCAAAGTCTCTTTCAAATCGTCTTCTTTTCTAGGTGCACGCTCGAGCATTCCGGAAATAAACATATACGCCATGTCCACGGATTCTTTTTCGAAGACGTATTTGCCGACGGCTGGGATCCATAAGTCCGGGCGTTCGGCGGTCGCGGCGCGGGTCGCTTTGAACGCCAGGAGGAGTTGGTCGAGGGTGATTTGGTCGCCGACGTTTTCTTTCTTCTTTGTCTTCTTCTTTTCTACGTCGTTTATGTCGGTATCGGTATCATCTTTTGAGTGATCGTCGTCGTCTGAATTATCGTCGAAGAAAGCCTCCAGGGCGTCCAGGGCGTCCTCGACGACGTTGTCGCGAACGATTTTTCCGTCTTTGGAGAAGAGGAAGCGCAAGGCGTCTTCGACCGCGTCTACGGCTGGAGATTCCGACGATGTATCGGTGTGGTTTTCTTCTTTTTCGTATTCGTTTTTGTCGACGGTTTCTTCCTCAAAATTCCGATGATGTTGACCGCCGCTGTTTTTGCTGCTACAAAAGACGTCTTCAACCAACGTCTTGACGCCTTTGGCGGATTTGCGGGAGAAGTCGCGGAAGTATTCAAACGCGTTTTCTCTTCGCAACTTTTCCGCTTTCGTGACGCCTCTGGCCCGATCGAAATCGTTGAGGTATAAGTCGTCTTCTTCGTCTAAATCTTCGTTTTCGAAAGAAAAGTCATCATCATCATCATCGTCGTCTAAACTCTTTGTAGTATTTTTTCTATTTCTAGCGCCGCTTTTACTCCTCCTCGTTTTATGAAACTCTCCGGAAACTTCCGAGCCTTTCTCGGCGTACGCCTCGACTAATCTTCTCAACCTCGCCCATCGAACTTTCCCGCTCTTTTCGTCCAACAACAACCGTCTCACGGCCGATCGCATTTCCGGCGACCGGTCGCTCGTCACTCTGGCTAAAACGTACGGATACGATTGCTCTAAAACTTTGAAATTCGGATCGATGGCTTGCGCGGTACCTTCTAAAGCGGCTAAAGCTCTCAAGACTCTCGCAAACGTCGGCGGCAGTCGGAATCCTTTGTATAACAAAGCTTCCGTGAGTTGCGTGATGACCGCCATGAAATCGTTCGAGTCTCGAATTCGATTGCCTCGTTCGTCGAACACCTTCGTCAGTGCTTGGACGCACGCTTCGTCGTCGGCGTCCTCGGGTAAGAAATCTAACGTTTTCAAATCGCTCACCAACGATTCCGCGTCTCGATTGACGAAACCAATCAAACCTCGAATCATCGCTCGTCTTTGGAACTGCGGGACGTACACGCACGTGCCGAAATCTAAATACACCAAAGCGCCTTGTTCGTCGACGATTAAATTTCCCGGGTGCGGATCCGCGTGCATGAAACCAGTCGCCAACAGTTGGTGTAAAGAACACCGCACGCCTCGTCGAAGGATTTCGTGCGGCTGAAACTCTTTCATGAACTTTGTTTTGTTTCTTTTCTTCCTCTTGCCGCCGCCTTTTTCGTCGAGTTCCCACGACGAATCGTCGCCGTAGAGCTTTTGTAACCCGTCGATGCGTTCGCCTTGGACGAATTCCATGGTTAAAACTCGACTCGTCGACAACGCGTCGACGACGACTGGCGCTCTCACGCGACCGGCAATCTTTCCGTCTTGGTACGTCTCTCGAAATCGATTGCACTGCTTCGCCTCGCGTTCGTAATCCATCTCTTCGAATAATCGTCCGACTAATTCGTCCACTATTCTCACCACGTCAGAATTGAACTTTTTGATTGGATTCTTCGCGCTATATTTAGCCACCAATCGTAACACGTAACTATCCAAAGCGACGTTCTCGAACGCCTCTGGTCGCTGCAACTTCACCGCGACTGCTTTCCCGCTCCCAACTAACGTCGCTTTATACACCTGCGCCAAACTCGCCGCCGCTATCGGCGTCGGATCAAACGTCGCGAACGCCGCTTCCGGCTCGCACTCTAAGTGTAACTTCAAAAACTCCCTCGAACTCGCCAAATCCGACGGCGCCATCGAATCTTGCAACTCCGCCAACTGCTCGCAATATTCTCGCGGCAACACGTCCTCTCTCGTCGATAAAACCTGCCCAAACTTCACGAACGCCGGTCCTAGTTTAACTAACTCGTCCCTAAAAAACTTCGCCCTGGATTCCGTATCGCCGACTTTAAAATACACCCGAGCGCCGACGAACGTCATCGACGATACAATCTCAATCATTCGCTTGAGCACTTTGAACGGTTGCTTCTGGAAGTGTTTTGCGAGTAATTCCGGGTTATACTCTCGAAACGTTTTCGCGCACAACTTATAATCAGTGTTTGTTGAAACTAAATATGTATCATTGGCATCGTCGTCTTTCGATCGACGAACATTTTCTGAAGCAGCGGCTGCTTTCTCTCGAACGGATTTCAAGTGCACGGAGAGCAAACGTAACTCCTCTTCCGTCGCCCACGGTTTCATCGCAGTATTCGCGTGACTTTTCGAAGAATACGAGCGAGAGGAGGAGTGGTGACATAAAGGTGCGGCAAAAAAACCGCATTTCGACGACGACGAGGATGATGTTTCTTGACTCATTTGAAGCCGTCGACGCGTAAGAATTGGATTTTGAGACTGAAATTGGATCAGCAAACGCGCGCGTTTACTCGTCGCGCGTCGCATTTTGATGGGAAAGAAAGCAAACAGAGTATGTATTATTCTCTAAACTCCTTCTTTACGAGTGTGCTTTTACTATAACACTATTACTCTTCATCTTTGTTGTGTTTCCTCTAGTATCAAATGATGGATAAAATGGAGCAAAATGTGCTTCCAATTGGGAGAAAAGAGTGACAGATATGACAGATTCGACGGAATATGACAGATTTCCACGACGAAGAGCTTTTCGTGAAAGATGTGTTCTCACGCGCTCTCTCTGTGCGTGATGGAGAGTATACTCATAATATGTGTCGTTTTGAGCGCGTTGATTATTATTTCGTTTCGTTTGTTTAACTGCTACGTGTTGTTGTTTAAGCTACGTGTCGCGTTTTACTACGCTTTTACGTACGCGACGCTACCTACTAAAAGTGGTGCTATACAGTAGTGAGTGCTCTCAACTACTTCTTTCTCGCGGTTTCGTCGAGAAGACGTGACTAAACTACTTCTTTTTCGTTCCTTTCGTTTGGTCTTCTTTTTCGTCGCGGACAAAAGCCGAGGAGTTGATTCCCCCGATTCCGTGAGTATCGACGACGACGGCTAAAGGCGATTCCGGATCCAACCAATAGCGGTACCCAAGCGATGCGGCTCGGGTGAGCATCAACACGGCGATGCCTAACCAGACTCGTTCTAAACCGTTATTATTATTACTATCATTGAGCCCTAAAACCCCCAACAAACCGCTGTCGAACGCGTCCGCGAATATAGGCGTTTGAAACGCCGCCAAAGCGAAAAGCGAACAGACAATCATCGCCTTGGAGAGAAATTTGAAATCGTTCGCGCCTTGGAAAACGCCGTCGCCGACAAAGACCATCGCGTTGAGTGGTTGAAGTGGCGCTAATATAAACGCCAACGGGACGAACGTCGCGGCCGCGATCGCGGCGTCGCCGGTGAAAATTTTCGGTAAATCGTTGGAAAAAAGTTCCGTGACGACGGTTAAAAGAACGCCGAGCAAAAACGACCAAAACAAACACCTATCGACGGCTTTTCGCGCGGCTAAAATGTCCTCCTCGCTTCCGTCGTTTTTCGCCAATCGCGTGGACACTAACGTTTGCGCGGCAACCGCGATGGCGTCCAGCACGAACAGCTCGATCCACCAGACTTGACTGACGATTTGGTGCGGCCCGGAGACGTTGTTTTCCGTCGCCAACGCCGTCGCGCGAACCAACACGAATTGTAAAAACAGCGTTCGCAAGAGCTGATTGGAACCGTTCGAGACTAACTGGCCGAGTTTACCGCTCATATCTTTCACATCGTTTTCGAGGAAATCCTTTATTCTTTGTTTATAGAAGAAATCCTCCTCGCCGCGGGTTGGCGGTACGTTTAAAATCCCTCGGTCGAACATCGCTCGCGAAAACAAACTAAACTCTAACACCGTGCTCGCAAACGTCGACCATCCAGCACCTTCTACGCCTAAGTGTAATCCTAAAACTAAAAACCAATCTAAGAAAAAATGTACGGATTCGCTCACCAACGCGACGTTCAAAATCGACCTCGTATCCGCCACCCCTCGAAACGCGCCGATACCAATCAACGAACAACAGAAAAACGGCAAACCCAACGCTCGTATTTTCACGTACTCTAACGCGCTTTCGTACGCGTTTATTTCTAAACTGTTCCCACCGCTCAATCCTAACAACCATTCCGCGTTCGTCTCGACGAGAAACGTCGCCGATACGCCGACGACTACAGCTAAAGCTAAAGCCGCCGATATTGTCTTCGACGCAGAAGACGATCCAACAACCTTTTCATTTTCAACAGTTTCATCATCATTCATCATCTTCTTCCTCTTCGCTTCTACCAAAGCGACTTCTCGACTGACCAGCGGCGTCGTCGCTTGCGCCAGAAAGCTTCCAGAGTAGCTTATAAAGTTGAACACCGACGAGCTCACGGCTAAGGCCGCTAGGCCGGAATTTTCCCCTTTAACTTTCATAAAAACGCTCTGATTAGCTTCTGTTGTTACAGTTTCTTCGGATTTGCCGACGAACGCGGTATCTGCGGCCGTCAGTAAAGGGTCTAAGAGTAAACTCAACAACGCTGGAACGGCGAGAAGGAGGATTTGTTCGTCCAAATCCGCATCCGTATCTGAGGCTTTTTGTCGCATACTTCTTCCTCTCGATGACGAAAACGTGAATTCTCGATGACGGCGACGATGGTGCGCACACGTACCAGTCGCTCGTCGCGGAGAGGAGGATAAAAAGACCGAAACGAACGGTCGATTAAGCGTCATGTGGTGCCATTTTTTATGGAGAAATGGAGTGAAATGTAGTCAATTTCCCCATAAAACAGACACACTTTACATCATCAAACGGACAAGTGAATACTGCATAAACACACGAGAGCATCGGAGCATTCATCGATGCTTCGTTTTGGTTCAATTTTACCGCGAACCAAGGCTGGTTTTGGTGTCAGAAGTCGGATAAAAAGAAGCAGAAAATGCACGAATTTTAGGGGAAAATCATCACAAAAAGACAAGGATACGAACGATGATGTCAAGGAGGAGAATAATAACGAGGACGTCTCGTACACCGAAGACGAAGAATTCTTCGAAAATGTAAACATGTCGCCGTTTTTACGCCCAGCTGGGGCGCCAATTTTAGCGAACACGACCGACCCGACCGTTTGGAAATTGATGCAAAAAGTGTTGAAGAAAGCACAGGTGCGAGATGAAAATCTTCCTCTCGATCGAATGTTAATCTGACCTCTCTCTCTCTCTCTCTCTCTTTATCAGGTGGAGCAAATTATGCCGAAACGAGCGAAAGAGTTAATGCAAAACGAGAACTGGATTTTAGTCGACGTTCGGCCGCAAATCGATTGGTGTAGAAAACACGCGTATCCGTCCAAAAATTGCCAATACTTTATACCGCTCGAAGTGAGAGATTTGAGGACGTTTACGAAACAAGCGGCGTCGCTGGCGATTTTTCCGGAGAGGGTATTCTCCAGCAGCGGGTACGCGAACGTGGAAGAGAACGAGAACTTTATAGAGGAAGTCGTAGAGGAAGGGTTGTGGGGCGAGAAGGTGATTTTATACGACGACGTCGGCGGGGTCATCGGGGAGGAAATGATGGATTTTCAAGACGGAGTGCAAACGCCGTCGCTGATGGCTATTCACGAATTAGTCGCTCGAGGATTCGGCGCCGAGAATATAAAACACATGGCGGCGGGTTTAGAGTGGTGGGACGAAGTCGAAGATTTCGAAATCGGGAGCGCCGAGCAAATGCCTATGGGTATGTAATAAATGATACTAATACTAATAACGGTTTAAACGCAATTAATACTAAGCTAGTGGAATAATCTAATCCTCCTCCTCTAAACGTAACGCGCCACTTTTCCGAATGGATTCGTACGCGTAAAAAGAAATCGCCGACCCGGGCGCGACGCTCAAAACTCTCGCAAACACGCCTCTGTATAAAGCCAAAACGCCTTCTTTTCTGACGACATCTTTGAAAACCGTCCGTAACGTCATCACTTTCTTGTTATTGTTGTTATTATTATTATTAGTCATCGTTTGTACTCGTGTTTTGCACAAATCCAACGGGTGCGTCAAGATCGTCGCGCACGTCGCCGCGGCGAACGCCGAGACCGCGTGCGGCGAAATGTTGTTTTCGTACCACCCCCCCTCCCGATAAAAACTACTACTACTTTTAACACTACTACTACTACTACTGCTACTCTCAAAATTACTGCGCTCAGCATCACCACCAAAAACACCACCGTTATCATCAACGCGAAGACTACTTTTGTTGTCGTTGTTGTTTCTACGAAAAATCTCTAAACCTTTTTCGTACGCGACGAAATAACACGCCGACCACGGCCACCAGACGAAATTCTGCGCCCAGTACCCTCGCATCAAACCGTTCTTGATGCCTTCGTTTTTCACGATCGTTTTCAACGCGTCGAACGCGTTCCGGTAATCCACCCCGTTATTCGTTTTCAAATTCGTCGGCAACACCGAACTCACTTGCATCCGTTCTTTGACGACGTCCACCGGCGTGTACGCGATCCCGGCAAACGCTTGCGCGCCGACGCCCGTGATTATATTATCTATCATATATATCGTTGTTTTATTATCTTCTTCTTCTTCTTCGTGATCATCATCATTAAACGCTCCTTCTCGTCTTCGTTCTCTGCGTATCTTCTTCAGCGTCTTCTTCGTCGTCTCGTACCCGAGAAAATACATCCCGCTCGCCATCGGCGCACCAAGCGCGGCTGCCCCGAAACCTCTGTACAGATTTTGTATCGCATGTTTTGCGTTCAAAAGTCGAGCGCTCGTCAAAATCGGACGACGATGACTCGTACTATCGCATCCGCTCCTCTCGGTACTCCTCCTTGTGACGACCAAATTCGAAACTTGCATCTGACTCTTGATCGTATCCACCGGGTGCGTCGCTGCTCTCGAGAGGAGACCGCTCACACCGCCGGCGAGGAATTGGTTCATAATCAGAGACGACGACGAATTAAACATCTTTTTTCCATCGGTATCGTCATCGTTCGACTTTCCCTCCGACATGATGTGTTCGTCGTTTTGGATAAATGTCTGTCAAATCAGAGAGACATTCTATCGATCAAAAGAAGACGATTGAGAGGGAAAAGAGACGATTCAGAACGCTCGCAGAGCAGCGCAACGATGATATTGTTTTTCGAATACATCGCGAGAGTCTCGTCTCGAAAAGTCTCGAATGCTGGCGTCTTTCTTTCAGAAGTCGTTCATACAATGAGGAAAAATACACGAAAGGACAGTGTGAGTGCGCTCTACCTGGAGATCTCCAACATCTGACGCAACATACACAACTGTTGCCTGGAAGAGCTTCATTTCGTATAAAATCTGATTTCAGTGGTAACTCCACAGGATTGCCGATTTATTGGCGATCTAAATAGGGTATTCTCAGTGTTAAATGCGACGCCGTTACACCGACGCGAATACGTCCAGGACGCCAAACGACGACAACAAAGCACTCCTTTCCCAACGAAAAAAAGGTAGCAGTCGTATCCAAGCGCACACCACGAACACATCAAAGTATATTTCGGACCACCACATTTGTATGCACACACAAAGGAAATGTTCCGACTTCTACGGCGGCTTCGAAACTCCTCGAGTACGAGTCGCGCGGCGTTTTTCTTTCCAACCGTCAACCGCGCGCGTACGGCGACTTTGGAACATGCACCCTAAAATTTTAACCAGAGCCACACGTGCACTGAAAACCTTTCACTCTGCGTCTTTTTCTGCGCATTCCCATCTTCAGTTTCGAAACCGAATGTCTTTCGTAAAGCGCACGCGGTCTCGTCGCGGAACGTATACACGAATAAATATGACAGATTATGATACCCTAAACTATTCCGGATATCTTTCTGGCGCTCGACTGCTTCGTCACTCGACACGCGCGCGCGCTTTCGTCGCACACACCGCGCGTTTTAAAAGCACATTAAAGTCCGAGAAAAATGACTTCACGCGTGCGTTCGTGTTCTCTCGCAAATGTTTCGTCGAAAAGAAGGACGAGAGAGCAACCGTCGCGTCGTGAACATCTCGAACGGGCGACGGGAAATCGTCGACGTAATCGTCGAATCTCGTCCTCGTCTTCCGCGCTTTTCGACGCAAATAACGAGACAAACGAGGACAAAAACGAAGAAAAAACGACGAACGAAACGATCGCCGGTACGACGAAAACGTCGAGAGTGGTGGATTTCGTCGCGGCGTGGGATGTGTTGAGCGGTCGCCTCTCCGAGTCGTCGATGCTGAGATCCGAAGAGGACGAATCGGATGACATCGCGAGCTCGAACTCGCCGTCGCGGGAAATGCTCCTCGCGGCTTTAGCGCTGGCGATACCGAAGTTACAACGGATGCCACACATAGTTTTGGATGATTTTAACCGGAGACATGAATTTAGAGCAAAAAACAGAAAGGAAAAGGATGATGAATTGAACGGCAGATGTCCGCGCGAGCGAGCGGTGGCGATGTGCACGCAACTCATCGATTTAGGCATGGACGCGGAGTGCTGCTCGGCTGGTTTACTAAGAGACGCCTCGTTGGCGAACGAGATTTCCTTGGAAACGATCGAACAACAATTAGGTTCGGGCGTCGTGAGAGTCGCGCACGATTGTCAGAGATTGAGAGACTTACCGGAACGATTGCGAAACAACAACAACAACAACAACGCGTCGTCGGCGAACGCTACTACTTTCAACTCGAACGATACTTCCTCCTCGTCGTCGTCAACAAAGAACAACAATAATACTAATTCGAACAACAACCAAAAAATGTTACTCTGCGACGACGAATACGCGGAAAAAATGCGCACGTTTTTGCTCACTTTCCACGACCAACGCGCGATTGTCGTCGAACTCGCCTCTCGATTGGACATTTTGCAACACAGTCGGGAGATTTTCAAATCAACCGTCCGCTTGCAGCAATTCGCGCTGGAGACGATGAAAGTATACGCGCCTCTCGCGTCCGCTTTACACTGCGGACAACTCTCGGCGGAGTTGGAAGACGCCGCGTTTCGAGCGCTCTTTCCGAAATCCTACGAGAGTTTAGACAAATGGTTACGACAGACGGAGAAAGACGACGCGAGAAAGTTGGAAAGAGCGAGACAGGTTTTGCTCGAGAAGATGAGCAAAGACGCGGTTTTGATGCGCGTTTTAATCAAGGACGACGAAGTGTACGAGGAGTTGTTGAAAACATCGGCAAAAATGGCAAAAACAAGTGATGACAAGAAGAGCGGCAACGGCACCAGCACCAGCACCAGCAACAGCGGTGGTGGTGAGAACAACAACTATCCCGCGTCCTTGCGCGTAGCCTTGAATTCCGCGCTCACCGTCTCCGCTCGACGCAAATCTCGATTCTCTTCCATGAAGAAAATACTGCGCGACGGACGCGACCGCGCGAAATTACGAGACTTGTTGGGCGTTCGAGTGATATTAAACCCGCAAAAAGGCTCGATCGCGGATATAGATTTGAAATCCGCGGATATGGCGTGTTATCGCGCGCAGCAAATCGCACACGCGACGTTTAGTGCGGTGAAAGGCAGAACGAAGGATTACGTCGCGAAACCGAAGAAGAACGGGTACCAGAGTTTACACTCGGCGCTGATCGTGAGCGATGATACTGACGATACCGACGATATTGAGGACGACGATCCATCCGAGAAGAATAAAAATGACTCGCCCTCATCGTCGTCGTCCAACGATAACAACCACAATAACAACTCTCATAATAACGGATCGAGAACGACGGTTGAACTGCAAATCCGAACCAGGCGCATGCACGCTTCGGCTGAAATCGGCAACGCCGCGCACTCGTCCTACAAAGGCGGTTTTACCGAGGGCGATCCGGGCGCCGCGAAAACGCTGAAAGACCTCGTGGATGCGGCGAATATTGCCGCGTATGAAAAGTTTGGCGACTTTACGGACGATTCTTTGCGATACGAGGGAGGTGACGACACCTATAATCCGGACGCCGAGGACGCGCTCTTTCGCGCGTTTGACGTCGACAAGAGCGGAAGCGTATCGGTGGAAGAGTTGAAACAAACGATCGAAACGATTTGGTTGAACGACGACGATTCAGACGACGTAAACGACGTATACGACGAAGAAGGAGAGAATACGACGACAAAAACGACGACCGAGACAGCGGAGACTTTGATGAAAATGCTCGACGTCGACGCCGACGGCAAGATTTCGCCGGAGGAGTTTAAAAAATTTAGAGAATTCGCATCGACGTTTAAAGCGTGTTCAAACGCGGACGAGAAGCAATCCGAACGCATTCGTAAAGCCGTCGAAGTGGAGATGAGCAGCGTCGATGATGAGGACGAGGATGATGAGGACGACGACGGCGACGAGGAAGAGATCGTTGTCGTTGACGCCGTCATCGAGAGTAATGTCAAGATTGACGACGGAAAATCGATGATCGAAGAAGGAAGCGGTTTAGCGTCGACGTCGAATTCTGCGCGACGACGAATTATTCGAGGACAACAACAACAACAACAAACGCAACAAAAGGTCAAGGACGACGACGAAATCGATGTGGATAGATTAGTGAAGGAAGTCATCAGCGCTTCTGGTTCGTTCGATGCAATCAGCAGTTCGCAGGACGTTTCCTCGGACGAGAAGGAGGAAAAAGAAGAGATTTTGCAACAATCGTCATCAACGACGACGATGAAAACAAGCATCCACGACGTCACGGACGACGACGATATAAACGAGAAGAATGAGAAAAAAGATGAAGAGAAGAATGGCGAAACGAAGGAAGGCGCAAAAGCAGCGCAACCGTCATCATCATCGCCTGAAAAAACAATAAGCCCGGACCAAATCATCTCGCAATCGTACGTGTTGATCTCCGACTCGGACGCTTCCTCTCGCAAGGCGAGAGAAGCTTTGAAAGATCCACTCGGCGGCGTCGTCGAGTGGCAACTGATTTGGGACTTGCAAAGAGCCGGGCGAGCGGAAACTGCGAGGCAGTTGTTTTACCAGCGAACGACAAGAACGCCGTCGAACGTGCAGTTGTGGGAGCAATGGGCGAGATTTGAGCTCTTGCAAGGAGATCAGGAACGATCTCGAGGTTTATACAAGACGGCTTTGTTGCACTCGGAAGGCGACGCGGCGGTTCGAGGCGCGAGCTTACGGAAATGGGCGACCATGGAATTCGGGGCAAAGAACTTCGAGGAGAGCACGAGTCTATTCAAGAGGTGCGTGTCGGTGTACGACGACGAGATTTGCGGTCCGTCCTTAGGATCGTCGTCGTCTTTATCCTCCTCCTCCTGCGACTACCCGCCCAAGGGCGAGATCATGAAGAATTTAGTCGAAGGTCGTTTGGTGGCGTTACACGCGTGGGCCAAAGGCGAATTCAGACGAGGCAACGTCGAAGAAGCGAGACGAGTTTTGAAGTTGTGCGCGGACCACGTGAACGAGACGGACACCGAACCGATCGCGCGCAAACTTTGCGCTACGGAAAACGTCGAGTACTCCTCTGAAATCTTCAAAGACGTGAAAATCCTGCGCGCGTCGCCGCACGTCGCGCATTTGTACGCGCAGTTGGACGAATCCGAGGGACAGTTAAAACCTGCTCTGCGTAAATATCGCTTCGCGAGTAGAATCTTCCCGAACGACGCGTATATTCTGCAATCGTTCGCCGAAGCGTTGGCGCGAAGAGGTCACGTGGTCAACAGCCGCAAGACGTTCAAAGAGGCGATCGAAAAGTTCCCGCAAAATCACGTCTTGGCGACGTCCTTCGCCATCGCGGAATCGAAACTGTTTTTGTCTAAAGGGAAAGAAACGGTCGCTCGATCGGAGTTTGCCCGAGCGGCGTCGTTAGCCCCGTGGTCGGTTCAAGTTTGGTCCGCGTGGGGCCAATTCGAGTACGCGAAATCGCACGTCGACGCCGCGAAAAGACTCTTCGAACGAGCCGTCGAAGCCGAACTCGGGAACTCGAGAGCGCTGATTGGTTTAGCCAAGTGCTACGACGAGATGGAACTGTTCGATAAGTGTCGAGAAACGCTCGAGTTGGCCATGCTGTCCAACCCGGACAGCTGGGGCGTCTTTCACGAGAGCGCGAAATTGTACGAGAAGCGAGGCAACGCGGCGAAAGCGTCGCACTTGTACAACAAGGCCAAAGCGCTCGGGATGAAATCGTCGGTGAAAAAGAACAACCTTCTTGCTACAACCAATACTACTTCTACTTCTTATAACAACAAGAACAAACGAGGCACGTGGGCGCCGGACGAACGGAACAAGACGGAAGAGCAAGCGCAAATCGCGGTGGACAGAATCAGAGCGCGGAAGTACGCCAGCGGGAGCGGCTCCGGGAAGAGAGACCCGGTCGTAAAGTTCTTCGACGAAAGAAGCAGTAGCAGCGCGTTTTCCGCGGATGGAGGTTCCGCGGACGACTACTACCGGGAAGCGTTTCCGAACGCGTACGAGTACGACGAGGAAGAAGATTTAGTCCCCGCGGAGAACGACGCGTCCGCCTCGAGCGGTAGTAACCGCCGATATAATAACAAGAAGAATTAAAACTAGCAGCGAGCAAAGCGAAATGTATTATTACGAGTAGAAATTTGCGTGCCTGCTGTTTGAGCAGGTACGAAAGGAACGGTGTGAGATTTTTGTATAGTAGCACGTGGATGTGCAACAATGTACTTCTTTTCAATTGTATTTTTACGACCCAAAGAATTTGACTATATATACAAAGTAAAGCGCTCTCTCTCTCTCCTTTCGCTCTCTCTCTTTCTTTTCTCTGTGTACAAAACCGACGACGAGAGATGGAATTGAACAAGTAGTAGTGTGCGCGTGTATCTCATTTTTTGTGCATGTTATGTATCCTCCTCTCTGTCTTAAACTCTGTCTCTGTCTCCGTCTCTCTCTCTCTATCACGCAAACGCGCAAAAAACCGAAGAAGAGTTCGTCGCCAACCGAACCTGGGAGATGAAACCAATTGCTTTGGTAGAACCTCTTCGAATCCCGCCTCCTCCGGGTAAGCGTCGCGAATGCCGCGCTTTTCTGCTCGCGGCGGCGATTTTTTTGTTGTTCAAAGCCGCCACAGTAGTGGTAGTAACCGTCGAACTCGTTGCTCTCGCGCTAGATGTTGTTGCGTTACTACTGCTACCGCTACCGCTACTACTCGAAGAAGAAGAAGAAGAAGAAGAAGAAGAAGAAGCACTAACAGCACTATCTTTCCCTAAATCGAACCCATCGCTTGAGTCGTGCACCCCGACGGCTCTGCCGGAGATGTCGCCGACGCTCTTCTCCCACTCCGGATCCCAGGCGACAGCCTCCGGCGTCGAACACGCGATGGATTTCCCAAACGGCACCGTCTTATACGCGTCTTGGCCGTTTTCAAATCCCGTCACGAAGTGTTCCTCAAAAATCGATCTCAACAAGTAATACTCTTTCGTCGTCGGCGGCGAAAGCGGGAAGCGTTCGGCTCTCTTGGAAAACTCTTCGTCGGAAACTTTTTCCTCGGCGTGCGCTTTTAACCCGTCCACCCAATCGTACCCGACGCCGTCGGAGAACTGTTCTTTTTGACGCCATAAAACTTCCGCCGGTAAATACGGATCCTCTGGCGTATCGAACGCTTTTCTCAAGATGTACTTTTCTAAATATTTTTTACCGTCTTGATCGAGCTTTTTCACGTCGATCATCTTGTCCAGCGGGGACATGTTCATCGCGTAATCGACGACTGCTTTGGATAACAGAGGCGTCCTCGCTTCCACGCCCCAGGCCATGGTCATTTTGTTCGCTCTCGCCACGTCCCACTGGTGCAAACGACTCGTTTTTCTCGCGCACTCCTTGTGAAACTCCTCCGGCGACGGCGCCTTGTGAAAGTATAAGTACCCGCCGAATAATTCGTCGGCGCCTTCGCCGGATAAGACCATTTTGAATCCCATGGATTTAATCGCTCGAGAGAGTAAATACATCGGCACCGATGCTCGCACTTGTTCGAACGTCTCCAAGTGCCAAACCACATCCGGCAACGCGTCCAACGCTTCCTCTGGCGTGAAATAAATTTCGTGGTGAATGGTCCCCAAACTATCGGCGACTTTCCTCGCCGCTTTCAAATCCGGCGCGCCTTTAATACCGATTGAAAACGAGTGCACTTTCTCCGTGCTCCCGTAGGTGTTTTTCGCAGTCGCTCGGTTCCTCACCGCAATAGAGGTGATCAGACTCGAATCCAACCCTCCGGAGAGTAAAACCGCGTACGGGACGTCCGACATCAATCGATCTTTCACCGCTTTGACGACGATTTCTCTCAACTCTGATAAATCCGCTCGTTTCTCCGGAATGTAGTCCACGTCTGTGATCCATCTCTCGTCGTACCATCTCGTCATCGTCCCTTCTGTCTCGTTTTTCTCTTTCACCCAGACGTGACCGGGAGGAAACAACTGATACGACTCCACCCCGGGGTCGTCGTGTAAACACTTCATCTCCGAGGCGAACCAAAACGACCCGTCTTTCCCTTTCGCCATGTACATGGGAATCTTCCCCATGTGATCGCGACTGGCGATGAGCCTTCCTGTTTTTCGATCTTCAATGACCGTGGCAAACATCCCGTCCAAATGTTTCGAAAACTCGAGCGCGCCGAATTTCTCGTACACGTGGCCGATGACTTGACAATCCGACTTGTTCGGATGCTCGATGTTAAACGTTTCTCTCAACTTTTGGTGATTATAAATCTCCCCGTTGGCGATAAAACACGTCTGTTTCCCTCCATCCGTGTACAACGGTTGTTCCCCGCTCTCGCCCGGCGCGACAATCGCCAATCGTTTGTGCACCATAAACGTTTGTTCGTTTTCCGAGTGTTCGAACTTGTCGATTTTATACGAATCCGGCCCGCGGTGGCGAAGGCGTTTCGCCAGCTTATAAATCCGTTCCCGGTTCGGTTTCGGTTCGCCTTTTAAGTAATGCACGGAGAATATCCCACACATTGTTGCTTTCTTTTCGTGTTGTATCACTCTAAAGTCTTCGCTTTATAATCCTTCTTCTTCTCTGCTTCTTTACGTTTCCGTCGTTACTACGCGTTGTTACCTTTATCCAAGTGTTTTATATAAAAGAGAATAAGAGAGAATAAGAGAATAAGAGAGTATATGTGATACAACACACACCGGTCAGTTTTGCATACCACCACGAATTCTACACCGACACAACATAAATTCAGCAAAGAAAGGAGAGATACGAGCGCGATTTTCGTTGCTTTTCCTGCTCTCGTTCTTCTTCCCAATGGTGCCCCCAATTAATTCTCTCTCTCTCGATCCTTCAAAGACCGAACGTTTACGAAGAGGAAAAGAACAGACACAGAGAGAATAAGAGAGACTCTAAAACCGAGATTGAAACGAGAAGAATACCAAGAACAACACACACTCTCTCTCACTCTCTCGAGATGTACACACACGCAGAGAAAGAGAGAGACAAACGAGAGAAACAAGAACGAGAGAACAAAAAGCGCACCTCGTGACACAATCGAGGGTTTTTCCCCAACGCACAACGAATTCTCTTTTCTATATATAGAACGTCTCTGTCTGTTCGAATATAAAGCTTTAACAGAAAACGAAAGACGGGAAACAAAAGACAGAAAAAGCCTCGATCCTCTCCCGTCTGTGTCTCTTTTCCGAACACCAAGTAAAGCGCTCTAAAGAGACAGATAATGAGGTAATTTGCCCTCAAAATGCGCTCGTGAGACATTGCTTTAAACCCTAGTTGTATATGAAACCCTAAAGATTTTCGTGCTCTCTTTTCTCTCTCTCTCTTTACTAAGCTTTACTTTCATACGGCGCCGGTCGTACGCGCGTTGAGAACATCCGCACGCATCGAAAGAATTTCGGAACGTGTTTTAGTATTCCAAGCGCGAGAGGCTCGTTTTGTTCCGTATAAGAGAGCTTTTTCAAGCGTGTATGTTTTAGTGTTACATATCGAACGTATGCGTCTTCTCAAAACGACTACTACTACTACTCCTTACGTATGCGCGTATACGAAGAGAGCACAGGAGACGTTGCGAGACTTCGAGGAGGCGAAAAAGCAGAGCGCTCTGAAGAGAGCGCGCTTTTTAAACTGCTCTCTGGTTGTTTTTGTTTTGTTTTCTTCTCTCTCGTGTGTTGTTGTTGTCGTTCGCATCTCTCGCTCAGGAGTACTACGACTCCTTACGTACTCCATCTCTGCTCGGTCGCGCGGATTCTACAGAGCTAATAAAAACAGTATTCTCTCCGTGAAGAAGAACACACTACACACACACACACACGTATGTGTGTGCACTGCGCGTGTGCGAGAATTTTCATCGGGAGCATTTAGTAGAGCTTTAGATGTGTAGAAGATTTATACACGTGTGTGCGCGCGCACGAGTGATCTCGCAAAACTTTTTTCCGTTGACTGCGAAAAAAAGACGTTTCTTTCTGAGAGAAATGTGCTCCATTTTCTCACTCGGGAGGAGTACTTATTCACGTACCGCGTTGCGCGAGACAGACAACGCAAAAGGAAAAAGAGTCAGAGAAGGACACACCACACATACACGCGAGGTGGTGTGCACTTTTCTCTCTTTTCTCCCTCCAGAGCGATATATGTGCGCTGATTACGTGAACGTTTATAAAGAGCATTTGGGTGTGCGTTGTTCCCCAGAGTGTGCTCGAAAGTGCGCGTTGAAGAACGCGCGCTCGCATCTCTCCTTATCATTCTGGACGACGCTCGTTGGCGAAATAAGAAGCGTGTAAACGTTCTATTCTTTCTTTGTTTGTGTGCAAAAGGTGTTCCCGTGAAAGGTTTCTGTGCCTGTGTCTGTTCTTCTTCGTGTGATGAGGAAACGCTCGGAAGCGTTTATGTGACTGCCAAAACCAAAATACGCGCTGCGCAACGTTTTCGATTGAGACGACGATGGAAGAAGGATTCAAAGGAAAAGGAACGGCACAACAACAACAACCGAAATGTCGCGTGTGCGCACAAAACGAATCGCTCTACGCGTGCCCGAAATGTAACTGCCGATATTGTTCTTCGAAATGTTACCGCCTGCACGGCGACGGGACGTGCGTGGAAGCGTTTCACGCGGAGAGTTTAGCGCGGATGATGAAGAATGAAAAACATTTCGATGGGGATTCCGAGGACGAGGAGGAGAAGAAGAGAGAGATGGAAGCGATGGTGATGGAGTACGAGAGGCACGTGGAGAAGGACGAGAGGGAGATGAGGACGAGGTTTGGTTTGGAGGCGAAATCGTTTTCGCCGTCGTCCTCCGACGACGAAGAAGAAGAAGACGAAGAAAAAGAAGATGAAGATGAATACTGCACTTTATCCGCGAAACTCATGCGCGCGTACTTGAAAGAAGAAGAAGATAATAAATTCTCCGGAATTTCCGAGCGCGACTTCGCCGCGAGCGATAAGAAGCGTTTGGAGAGAATGTTGCGAAAAGGAGAGATTCGAGTCGAACCGTGGCGAGCGTGGTGGACGATAGACGACGACGACGAGGTGTTACTGCGAGACGACGGAACGGCGAAGATTGTCGCGCTTAATGATGATACCAATAATAATGAGGACAATGATAATGGTTATCATCCATCGTCGGTTTTGGGATTTCCGTCGCCGCCGACGGAACCGCTGCCGTCCTACTGGTCTCTTTTACCGCCTACTAAAAGGACTTTGAAGAAAGTATCGGCAAAGCAAAGAAACGTCTTTCGCGAAAGAGTCGCCGGCGCGATTACTTTATACGCAATCATAGCTCGCGCGTTTAACGGCGATCACGCGTGTTTCGACGCCGCGGCGACGTATTTGATGCATCATCATCATCATCATAATGATACTAATAAGAATAACAACGAAGAAGAAGATAAAGAAGAAGAAGATAAAGAAGAAGAAGAAGAAACGAACGATTCCGTCAACGCTCTTTTAGCTCTCCACGTGTCTGCGGTCATCAATGCACACACGCTCGTGCCGAGTGGATTATTCTACGACGCCTCGAAATCGGGCAAAGTTGCGAAGAATTTAGAATCCGACGCGTACGCGATGTTGCGCTCGCGCTCGAAGAGAGTCCTCGCGATGGAAGATTTACGGTCGATGTTTCGCAAAGCGATCGAAGACTCTTATTACGACGACGATGATGATGATACTACTAATAATAATAATAAGAAGAAGAAGAACAAAGAGTTCCGCTCGAACTGTCGCAAGATGGAGCGAAAGTTATTCTTTGCCGAGTGTTTCGCGAACGTTACGGACGAAGAGTTCTTCGCGGCGAATTCGGTGGCGGATGATGAAGCGGACGCGGAAGCAGCCTTGATGAAAGTCTCCTCCTCGTCATCCTCGTACCCGAAAGAAATCCAACTCACGACGTCGACGGAGCACAACAAAATCGTCTCCAACGCGTACGCGTTCGACGCGAATTCCGAAAACATCTGTTTCGACGTCCGATCGCACGTCGGCGGTCACGTCTTTGACGGCGATTTGATCCAACTCGTTGACGTGAATACGAAAGAAGTCAAAACGGTGTTACGAACCGCACACGAAGCGAAGTGTGGCGTCGCTTTGTTTCATCCGTTTGATGAGAACGTTTTGTGTTGCATCGTCGGTCCCAGACATCCGACGGAAGAGTGGGCGTACTGCGCGCATCATCGCCGAGGATACGTCATCGATTTATCGGAAGATTCGAATGTTGATTCCTCGTCGTCCTCGAACGCACAACAGTTAAACTCCTCTAGGTCGCTTTCATCGAATTTAGAAGCGCGAGATTTAGTCAGTCCGTTCACGAAAGGCGCTTTGCGAGGCGGCACGCACGTCCACGCGTTCTCGCCGGACGGCACGTTGGTGAGCATGACGTACGAGGACGCGATTTTAGCGGACGCTACGGACGTGAACGTCTCGAGACGCAACGCTCGGAACATCGCGGTGACGATTTATAAAGACATCGTCGAAATCGATAAATCGAGAAACGACCGGAACGTTTCCGGCGGGTTCACCGTGTGCGTGACGGAAACGACTCCGGATCCAACTCTCGGTTCCGACGAAATCTCTCGAGCGTACGAAGATTGTTGGATGGATTCGAGGACGTTATCGTTCTTGGGCGACTGTCGAGACGAGCGCGGGAACGTGCGCACGGAATTGTTCGTGGTGGAGTTACCGCGAGACGTGGAGAAGTTAAAAGAAGAAGAAGAGAAAGAAGAAAGATTACTTCAAGGCACGCTCACTTCCTATCCGAAACCGCCGAAATCGGTCAAGCAAAGACGCGTGACGCGGTCCAGCGGTTGTCAAGGTTCCGTTCGATTTTGGCCTCGAGCGAATCCCGCGGATTCGAACGTCGTTTGCATTTTACTTCGAGACGAAAAAGCATCCTTCCAGTTACACCTGGTCGACGCAACCACCGGCGAAATCGAGCAACTTTCCTTTCTCAAAGACGGCGAAGAAGTCAACTCTGCCTTCTCGTGGTCGCCGGACGGCCTTTACGTCTGTTTCGCGACGAGTACAAACCGAATCGCTCGGACGTTTACGCGCGGCGGCGCGAGGAAATATCAGACGGAATATTTAACCCCTCCTCCAAGAACCACCAACGACGATAATAAAATCCGCCCAGAGTGCGTTTGCGTCTCTCCGAACGGAAAGTTCGTCTGTTTCCTCAAAACAACAACAACATCATCGCCAACAAAAATCGTCTGTAACGTCTCAGAAGACAAAGAAGAAGGAAAAGGAAAAGGAAAAGGAAGTGAGCACCCCGACGCGAAGAAGAAAATCCTCGTCAACCAAATCTTCCTCCTCGAGCTACCACTAAACAACAACGAGATCGACGATGAAAACGAAAAGAAACCAACGTCCGAATAGAAGAATATACGAGAGAATAGAAACAACACCGCGACGAGAGCGCGAGCGAGCGCGAGATCCAGAGGTTGTTGTTGCGCATAACAATAGCGTAATAGCGTAAAGTTAGCGGGAGAGATACTCTATAGAATTCTACGCACGTAATAGAATACTAAAACAAAAAAGAATACTAACAAACTCTTACACGCTATATATTCACAAACGCTTCATCATCAAAAACACAACCTGAACCACTTAAGCATCGTGAATACTCTCGGTGATACGCCGCTCGTTCGTCGAGAAAAGCAGCGCTTTTCTGTTCGCACGCGAGGAAAAAGTCAACAACAGACAGAGAAAAGAATTAAAAAAAAACGGCCGCTTTTCCTTTCAGGAAAAAAAAAAAAAGAAATCGCATTTCTTTCGCGTTTAAAGAAGAACAAAACGACACACAAAAGCATCATGCCTTCTTCTGGTGCTACTGCGTATAAAACTCTTGGGGTGAGGACGCGAGCGCAGAAAAGGAGGATCGGGGAGCGAGATGTGTGGGATTTGATCGTGAATAACGACGATATTTGTTTCAAACACATTCTTCCGAGACTGAATCGAACCGATCTGAAATTCTTGTACGGGGTGAATACGGAGACGCGAAAGTTGATTAAGAGATCATCTCGCAAGGGGGAGTTGAAAAAGAAGTTTAGAGTGAGAGAGATGTCGTCGATATCGACGTTGGAGATTGCGTGGGAGCATAAATCGTCGTGGCGGGATTACTGGAAAGACGAAACAGATTTCTGCAATCGAGTTGCTCAAACGAATAAACTCGAGTTGCTCAAGTGGGCGCGAGAGGAGAAAAAGTGTAAGTGGGATGGAAGGACGATTAAAGCGGCCGCAGGACAAGGCAATCTGGAAATGGTAAAGTATTGCGTGGCGAATGAGTGTCCTATCGATGCGTGGACGTGTGCAAATGCTGCTTCAGGAGGTCATCTCGAGTGCCTCAAATACTTACGCGAAGAAGCCAAAGCGCCTTGGGATTGGAGAACTGCCAATTGGGCAGCTTCAAATGGTCATCTTCATATACTTGAATATCTTGTTGAGCGTAAGTTTGATGAATATGAAGAAGATGAGTGTGAGTTTGCAGCCAAGTTCGGCCACTTGAACTGTTTGAAGTACTTGCATGAAACCGCCAAAGCGCCGTGGGACTCTTGGGCGGTTTTCGAAGCGCACAAGAACAACCACCCCGACTGTGTACAATACCTCCTCGACAATAACTGTCCTCTCCCACCCAATTGGCGATACGAACACGGAGAGTTACACGTGCCAGAATCAGAATCAGAATCAGAATAATTGCACCCCCCCCTCCTCAATAAAGCCGCCGCGCCCTCGTACTACTCCTCTCGAGAGAAACACAGAACAAACACCTACACTTCCTCCACAAAAATTTCCTCTCTACACGCACACACACTTAATAAAACACGCGAGAGCAAAAGCAAAAGAGGAAGAGAGACAAAACAGAGGGAGAGACCTTCTCTTTTCGTTCGCTTTTAGTATCGTCTCGGTGTTACTCTGCGCTTTCAAACGCTTGTCTTTTAAAGTTAAAGTTGTTCCATTTTGGACAACATGACGGACAAATTCGAAAATTCCTTTACGAAACATGAGGAGTTTAATGAGACGAATACTGAGTCGCACGTCGCGCAAAGCGTAAAAGAAATCCTCCAACACGCGCACAGACACATCTCCGACGCCATCGACTGCGATGAGAACAACTACGGAGAATCTGCGGTGAGAAGTTACAGTTTGGCGATGGATTACTTCAAAACGTATCTCAAAATGAATGCCATTGGCAGCTCTGGAGGGAAATTCGGTGCGTTTCGCGCGTTTGCGCGATGGAACTCGCCTAATGGAAAGAAGACGTGTACGAAGAAGAGGAGCGAGGATGTGGTGTTCTTGTCGTTTACATCGTCGTCTTTGTGTGTTTTTCGCTCTGTTTCTTCTTCTTTGTGTGTTTGTTTCATTCATCATTGGCGACGACGCATAAAAATGGTCGTGTGCGAGACGTTTGTTTACGAGAGAGGATGCCGACGGGAGGACCTTTCTCGGGTTTCGCGACAAAGTCGTCGTTTTTCGCTTCTTTCTCTCGTCGGTGTTCTTTCAATGTTTTCGTCTCTCTTTTTCCTTCTCTTTCTCTCTCTTTTAGATCGAATAATGACTGATCAAAATCTCTCTTTTATTACCAACGACAACGTTACGCAGGAACGAGAGACGAGAGGGCGCAACTCGTCGCGAAAATCGTTCAGTATCAGAAGCGTTTACAAAAGTTGAGGAGAGATTTGATGCGACGGAAATACGGCGAGAGAAGTCTGGAGAAGTCTTCTTTAGCAGCAGAGAAGGAGGAGGAGGAAAAGGAAGTCGTCGTGCAGTTGACTGCTTCTTCTTCGAACGGTTCGGAAACGAAACGAAACGACGACGACGACGCGTTGCACTTGGAGACGATCATCGAGGACGAGGAGTTGAGGCGTCTGGTAGACAATGATAGCGACGACGACGAGAGCGGCGAGGAGAACGGCGGCGATAGGAGTACGAATAACAAGAGTAGCAATAGTAAGAAGAAAACGAAGAAGACGGCGGCGGTATTCGATCGATCGTTATCGGCCATGCCGCGGTTGATGAAAAAAACGACGACGACGAATAGCGATACGCGAGAAGGAACAGATAGCGGTGGCGGCGTCTTCGATTGGCTCTTGGACGCGTTGGATGCTTTGGACGATAAGATTGCCGAGAAAGTGGAACGCGCGGAAGACGCGCTCTTTGACGCCTTCGAGGACGTCCAAGATTCTTTCAAGAAGACCTTTTCGTTTCAAAAGAAGAAGAAGCATAGCGAAGAAGAAAAAAACGACGACGTTTAGGACAACGCAAAATAATAATCATCATCGTTCGAGAAAACGACGAGGGCGGTGAAGACGATTTTGACAACCTTCTTCGTTCGTGCGATGGATTTTTAGATAGATGATATGCGCTATTATTACAACTCGCCGCCGTCGCCTCGGCCGCTCGTCAAATCTTCCACCAACTTGTGCGCTTGTCTGTACGCCTCGTCTTCTTTCCTTTGCGCTCTTTTCTTCTCGGTGAACGCGTCCTCGTCGAAAGGTTCCCACCCGCTTTCGAGTTCCTCTTCCGTCGTCGTCGGTCGTCGCGTCGGAAATTTTTTACACGTTCGCGCGCACATTTTCTCTCGAAACGTCCTCGTGTCTTTGTTTATTATTATTCGTTGAGGAGGAGGAGGATTACTACTACTACTATCACTACTATCACTACCACTATCACTACCGCGACTCTCTTCCTCATTTGGTGTGCTCTCGTACAAAATCGAATACATGTCCGATTCGTCCAAATCTTCCTCCGAACTGTACACCATTTGCTCGCAAAACTCTCGCATCCGGTGCGACCACATCCCACCTTTTCGAAGCGTGGTTTCCATCGACAGCGTTTGCGCTTTGTGCAACGCTTTCGGCAAAACGGTTAAACCTGGCCCGTTGAAATAATTGTGCCCGTCTTTCCCGTGCGTGACGCCGTAATACTCGCCCCAGAACTGTTCGTCCTTACACGTGTCCTCGAAACTTTGCTCGTATTGATCCACTCTGAGACGTTTCTGGACATTTTTGCCTTTCCCGTGTTTGCGTTCGGTTTCTCGAATATTCGTCGTGAGTTTATGCGAAATGGCGTGACACGCGTCGCATCGCATGTGAGAAGGAATTTGCATCGAATTCTGCTCTTCCTCGGATAAACCTACCATTTTTTTTCTCGTCGTCGCACTAAAACTCTCCTCCTCCTCCTCCTCGTTCTGCTGCGCCGCGAGCGTTTCTACCTTTCGTCGTTCTTCTGTTTGCGTTTGTTGTGAATGAGATGATTGTTTTGAGTGTTAAAATATAACACAGAACAGAGAAGAAAAATATGAACATTTACGTGCGTGATCAGAGAATGTTGCAACAAAAAGAAACAAAAAGGCGTTTTAAATTCATCGACTGTTGTTGTTGATTGTAACGCGTAACAAACACAAACGATACGAACGCGGGATCGAGAAGAAGAAGACCAAGAAGACCGAATGAGAAAGGAAAACGCTGCGTGAGCCTAACGTACCTCTCTTCTCCCGTCGCTCGTTCTGAAACGCCTCGAAAGATGACGACGAAGAAGACTTCTGATGTTGTTTTTTCCCTTCCACCCCGATGGGGGAAAACTCAAAATTTCCCGACATCAGAATCGCGCTCAATATCATCAAAAGAAGACTCGTTTTAAAGAGCGCGAAGTGAAAGATCGAAGAACAAATGCCGTCGCGTTTTGCTGCTCTTCTTGTTCCTCTTTTTTTCGATGATTTCTTTGATAAAAGTCGCGTTCGACTGCGTGACATCATCGTCATCGTATAGGGGCAGAAAAAGTGAAGAATGTCGTTCCCCTTTAATTTTCTTTGCTTAATTTTCTTAGGGAAGGACTTTACAAACAGTCATTTTCGAATTGCACGAAGTAAACAGCACATCAACCGCGCGATAGGATCAACACAGACACCCGTACCTATCGCGCGATGCGCTTGAATCGATCGATGCGGTCGCACATGAAGAAGTACAGACACACCTACTCTTTTTCTGATTTTTTTTAATACCTGTTTTGTTACACACATGTAAAGAGATATACACGCGCTCTTATTTACTCTCTGCATAGGCTCTGACTTACGCGAACGAAGGCACATCGAGCGGCAGAAGCGCTGGTTCATGAAAGCAGCGATACGAGCGGTACTCTCAGCGGCGCTAAAAGAAGTGGCAACGCGTTTACTGCGGAGCAAAAACGCTCTGATCACACATGTGAATATTTTTTTCCTAAAATTTGTTCGTTGGGGGAAAATTCACTTCAGAAATTTTCAAATTACTATTAAAGAGATACGCTATTAAAACGCACGTAAAACACACGCACCACATATAAACGAGAGGAAAAGAGGAAGAGAGAGATTTACGCGCTTAAGTTCTTTCTTTTCACTCTCTCTCGCTCTCTGTCTGTCGTTCTTTGTGTGTGATTTACGTGTAGGGGAAAGTGTGAGAAATTTCAAATTTCGTTAAAGAGATACGCTCTTTACGCGCGCACACACGCGCGATAGACTCGATAAAACTTTCGCACATTTTGTGCGCGAGAGAGGATACGAGAGAGTGAGAGTCTGTGCGCTTCATTTTTGCTCGAAAGTGTCGCGTCACGGCTCGTGTAAAGATGAAATCCTTCTCGAGCAAAGAGAGGAAAGAACTGCTCAAGCGATGGAACGAACGGAACGCTACGAACACGAATACGACGACGAACGCGAAAACGAACGCGAAAACTTTACTGAATTCTTCAAACTCTGACGGTAGTATGTCTTTAAAAGAAGGAAAAGGAACGCCTCGTTGCGATGATGATGCGGAGAATGAAAAGCAAATTGGAAATTCGAAGACGTTTGAGTCAAGGAGCAGTCGAAGCGCGGGAAAGACGTCGACATCGAAGGATGAGTACGATCGTGATTTTCGCTCGAAAAATGCAGACGTAAGAAACAACGGGAGTATTTCGTCGTCCTCTTCTGGAGTATTAAGGCAACGGCAAGAGGAAGCGCAACAGAATGTTTTGATGAAGCGGAAGAAACTGAGTAGCGATACGGAGAACCAGAGGGGAACAAAGGATTTTGCGCCGGATGACGAAGATTGGAGGATGCAATCGAGGAACGTTTGGTTGAGCAGCTGTTATATTAATAATAAGAGCAGTGTTGTTGTTGCTCCTACTGTTGATGCGAATGAAACGAACGAAGGAGTTGGAGCAGATCCGAATGATTTTGATGACGCCTTTATTACTCGTCGAGGCGTCGACGAAGGATTCGTGAGTAAAGGTCAGCAAAAAGAAGAAAGTGGGCGAGAAGAGAATATCCCAAACAATAACATCGCAGCAGAGGAAAGAAAACGCACGAACACCGCGGCGACGACTTCATCAAAATCAAAAAACCCGTCTTCTCGAAAAGGAGAGGACAAATATCTCCTCTACACGCAAGCGATGGAACGTCTGGCGACGAAGATGAAAACAGAAAACGACGAACAAATAAATCAATCGAAACGTCTCGAAGAAGCGCAAACGAAAGAACACTTAATGCTGAAGAAATCTCTAGAAAAAGAGCAAATGCTAAACAGGAGGTTGGAGAAAGACTGCGAGAGTTTGAAGGAGAAAAAATTGACCGCGGCGCGCGAGCGGGATCGGTTTTCCGAGCGAGTCTCGCGGGCGGAAGCGGAAAAGGAAAGAGTACTCCGAGAGATTGCAAAGACGAAATCGAAAAGCACTCATCTCTTGAAAGAACACAAGTTTACGATCGAAGCGCAAGGGGCAATGCTGGAGCAGTTGCGAAGAGAATTGGAAACGAGCGAGAAGATGGCTTTGGACGCGGAGAGGAAGTGCGACGCGATGACGAGAGAACGAAGCGAGACGGAGGAACGTTTGGCAAACGCCAGAGAAAAGTTGAAATCGATGGAGGAAAAATCCACCGACCAAAAGCAAAACTCGAGAGCGATTGCAATCGCGCACGAGCAAGTCTTCTCCTTGACCAGAGAATTGCAAGAGAAAAAGGAAATAAATGCAAAGATGGAAGAGACGAACGCGAAATTGCAAAAAGAAGTCAACGCTCGAAAGCGAGAGTTTGCGGAGATTCAAAAACAGTTGGAATCGGACGTGGAAACTGAACGAAGTTTACGAGTACACGCGGAAAAGAAAATGGAAAAGATGATGAAAGAAATGCAGTCGATTGAAGAGGAAAAACGGAAACGCGTCGAGGAGTTACGAGTGTTGGAAGAGACTTTGCGCTCGATTGAAGAGGAAAGAGACGCTTTGAAGAAGACGGTGAGTCAATGCGAGCTTGAAATCTTCAAACATTTGCGCGTCATCAAAGAACAGGATGAAATTGAAAATGAATGGATTGAAAAATATTCCATCGTGCAAGAAGAGATCGAAGTGCGAGATTTGAAGGCGATAGAATCGTACAATCAGGTGAACAACAACAACTCTAATAACGAGGTGCAGCGCAAAGCGGCGGAGATTGATCGAAAAGAGCAATTTTTTTCTTCGAAAGCATCATCGAACAACAATCACTCGAAAATGTTAGCCGTCGAACGGCAGAAAGTGACCGACGCGATGAAAGCGAAGAGATATTTAGAGAGGCAGTTGCAAGACGAGAAGAGAAAGTTGCAAGAGAAGGAGAAGATGTTGAACGCGCTCGAGGAAAAGTACGCGGCGACGGCCAAACGCGTCAATTCGGACGACACGAAAGCCGAAGAAGCGTTGAAAATTTTGAACGAGAAAGTCGCGAAGATGACCACGGAGATGCACGAAAAAGACGAGCGGTTGAAAGCGAACGAGGAGTTATTGCACAGAATGCACTCGGAGAAGAAGAAGCGGGACGGTGAGCTCGAACGCATGCGCGTCTCGTTGACGCAGAAAGACGAGGTGGTCAAAAAGTTGGAGGATGATTTGAAATCATCAGAGGTTCAAAAGGCCAATAACAATAACAATAGTGACAACCAGCAACAACACGTATTTATGATGAAGGAAAAAGACGCGACGATCCAAAGCGCGCAATCGAAAGTGGCCGCATTGGAGGCGAAAGCGAAGCAATCGAGCGCGAATGAAGAAAACTTGCGCAAAGAGTTGGAACAGTTGCAAAAGAGCGAACGAACGGCAAAAGCGGAACGCGAACATTTGGAAAGGCAGTTACGAATGGCTGAAGAGAAAGAGAAGAAGTTATCGGCGCAAGTGGACGCGATGAGCGTGGATCGGCAGAAATCTTCCTCAAACGCGGCGGAGCTCTTCGAGGCCAATCGGCGGTGTTTGGATTTGAGAGCCAAATGCGACGCGAAGGATGAGCAATTGGAAGAGATGCGTCTGAAGCTCAAAGAGGCGAAAGAGTCGTACGAAAACGAGCATAAGAAGCACTTACAAACCCAGGAGGACTGCGCGATTTACCTTGAAGATTTGCAAGAAGCCGCGGCGGATGCGGAGAAGACGATTTGCGAGCACCAAAGGACGATTGAGACGAACAAAGAGGAGATGGAACGGTTACAGACGAACTTAGCGAACGCGGAGAAGAAGTGCGAGTTAGCATCGTCGGAAGCGCAGTCGTTTAAAACATCTTTGGAGAACACGCAGACGGTGTTGAACGCTCGCGTCGAGGAAATCGAACGTTTTCGCTCGCAATCGACCAGGGAGAAAGAGAACATGTCCTCGAAGCTTATGTTCTTAGAAGATGAAAGCGCGAGTTTACACTCTAAATTGCAAGAGAAGCAAACGAAACTGAACAAAGCCTTGGGTGACATCTCTAAGTACCAACAAGAATCGGAACAAGCCAAGCGGCAACTGGACGCTTTCCGCGCGTCCAAAGAAGTCACCGAAGAGCGGTTGCGCGAGGAACAAGACAAGTTGAAAAAATCCGAACAAAACTGCGAACAGTTGTCAGACATGTTGAAAAAGAATGTCGAACGACACGCGAACGTGTTGAGCGCGAACGAACGCATGAAAAACATGGAAATTGAGGATTTGAAGGACGCGTTGAGATCGCTCGAGAGGAAAGCGTTGAAGATCGCCGAGGTGGTGCACATCGATAAAGCGTTTTTCGATGGGTTGGACGTGGAAGCGCAAGTGATTGTTGAAGATTTTTGCGCGACGAGTAAGAACGTGTCGTCGCCGACGCCGTCGAAGATGAACGTAAACAATGGTGGTGGCAAGACGCCGATGACGGCGCCGTCGGCGAATCGAGGGAACTTTGTCTCCGCACCTTCCTCACCCGCGGATAGATTTCAAACGCCGCAAACTTCCATGCAAACATCCTCGCGACTCGGCAGAACAACGATTGCAACGACGACGACGTCTAAAAGTGCCGGAAAACCAGCACTCACATTTTCGTCCGCTGGTAAACATCAACATAAAAGTCACGTCTCGCAACGCATCTGGGGCATGGTCTCGGAAGCGTCCAAGATCAACGTCGATTTACAAGGGTTAGCGGAAAGCGCCAAGAAACGATTGCAAGAACATCAAGAACAGTTGAGCGAGAAAAAGAAAATCAACAACAGCGCGGTAAAAGCGTTGCGTCTCGACGTTGTCAACGGAGAAGATTCCGGTCAAAAACCGAAACCAAAAGCGGGTACGCCTTCCAAGCGTCGCGTATTACAACCGGTTCCGTTCAACGCCCAGTAGAAAGAGAGAGAGAAATATATATATAGCAGTTACCAAGAAAGGCATAATAGAATGTAGAAGAGAGAGAGAGCGTTGTTTGAATACTAATACTACCAGATTTACTATATATGCGCTGCCTTCCTCGTTCGAATGTGAAAGTTTGTTTCATTTCTTTAAAAAACGCTCGCTTTTATTTTCGGCAAAAAAAAAATATGAATACCAACAACAATATCCTTGACGACATTGACGATCGCGAGGACGAGAACATGGACGAGGACGAGCTTTTACGGCAGCAGCAGAACACCTGGACAATGTGCATCGAACACGACGGAGGAGGCGCGCGACGAGATGTGCATCCTCCTCCTCCTCGGTTGATCCCTTTGTCCTCCATATCCAAGGAAGGCATCGAGGCATCCGAGATCCGAATGAAGATGATGAAATACGAAGCCGATACTACGAAGCCGTTTTCGCCGCCGCCGCCGCAAAGGAACAACGGTACGATGGGTGTTGCCGTGCAGTCGGTGTCAAAATCTGTTGGCACGCAAACAACAACCGATGATGTCGACGACGAGGAGATGTTTGATACCGATGGTGCTGAACAACAACATTCGATGTCTCTTGGATTGCGCAACGACGAAAGCGCGCTGCCGAAGAAGAAGCCGAAGGTAATGAGGACGGCGAAGACGACGAGAATTTTGGACGACGATGACAGTTCGGGCGACGATGGAGAAGAAGTTCAAACGGTGAAGAACGAGAAGGAGAAGAAATCTTCCTCGTCGGGTACGCGGTGCGATGATAAAAAAGGCCACTGCGGTTTCGGCGTGCCGGGGTTTGTCGAGAAGCAGCCTCAAATGCTGTCGTCGCGGCTTCAAAATCCATCGAATAATCCAGAACAACGAGAAGAAAAGCAACAACACCAGTGCAAAAAGAGTAGCGATAACGCGACGACGACGATTGAAGACCAAGAAGGAGAACTCGCAGTAGTACCGAAACACAATCATCGCGAATTAAACGCTCTCGTCGACTACAATCGCAACGGTCGCGCGACGAATAATGCCAATCGAAGAGATCAATTCACGTCATTCGTATCGAATCCGGACAATAAAAAACTCCTTAAATGCATATGCATCAAAGCTGGAAACAACGCTCGTTTCTTTCTTTCGAAAGTTTCGAAATCGTTCAAAAAAGTAACTCTGCGAGACTTTGGCGTCAAGAGTTCCTCGAACTTAGAACAAGGAAGAGTCAAAGCGGTAAAAATTTCCGAAATCGAAACGCCCGCGCAATTCGCCTTGTGCATCGAACACGGATTACAACTCAACGATCTCGTTTTCGCCGCGTTAGCCGACGGCGGCCGCCTCGAGGTTTTGAAATACATTCACGACCACCTCTTGCCGGACAAAATGTACCTAAACTCTCTGGCGGTGGAATACGCCAGTCAAAACAATCATTTGCAAACTTTACAGTATCTCGTTGAATACCACAACGCGCCTTTATGCAAGGACGCCTGTTGGAGAGCCGCTTGGAAAGGTTCTTTCGAGTGTTTGCAATACTTGGTCCTCGAACGCAAATGTCCGTTCGATCGACACGAGTGCCACGAGATCGCCTACCAAAGCGGACATTTTGACCTCGCGCGATGGATTAAAGAGCATTAATAATAGTATTAATATCATCATCATCATCATCATCGGTGACTACTACACTACTGCTCTGAATGCACTGCTGCTGTTCGATGCTCTTCTCCTCGACATCATTAAGTGTTGTGTAAAACTCTTTCTTTTCTTTTTACTCCTTTTAGCAAAATATGCGTTTCCACACGAAAGAACCGCATTTGTAACCTCTCATGATCAACATGATCATCGTCTCCAAATCACCACCACCACCACGCATCGTGGCGAAATTGTCCTCGCGAAATCGATCGAGAACAACGCTAAAAACACCCCCATTAAGAAAACAACGAAGATTCAATGGTGTTCAAACACAACATTTGGAAGCCGTTTTAGGGGAAAATGCAGATGCCAACAACGGGGTTGCGGAGGGTTTAAAGATGAAGATGAAGATGATAAATAGACGCGAAGCGATGAATAACTGCTTAAAAATCATCGCTCTCCTCGAGACGAGTAAAGACAGAAAAGCGTTCGCGTACGGGTTGAACAAAAAACCGCCCAATAGTGATGATAACGAACCCAATTTGGTCTCGTATCTTGGGATAAGAAACTCCTCCAAACGTGAGAGATTCGAAGCGAGCGAAAGAAAGAAACGGGAAGCTGAAAAGTTACGGGAAAGGAAAGAGGAAGAGTTGGAATCAGACGCACCTTTGATGACGTTACCATCGGGAATACAGTTTCGGGAGTACGACGAAGGCGTGAGTGGGACGAAACGGTGCAGAAAAGGCTCGAAAGTTTCGATTTTGTTTAAAGTGTTTCGATTGTCCTCGGGCGCGTATTTTAAGTACTCGTCCGGAGGGACGGCGGTTTTGTTGTGGGCGCGAGGATACGGCTCGGAAGGACTCGACGACGTCGGCGTTCCGTATACTTTTATACTGGGAGAAGAGAATAGTTTGCCGAGAGCGGTTGCGCCGGTTGTCGTTGGGATGCATCAAGGCGGCGTGCGAAGGGTGTTGATGCCGCCGAATTTGGGATACGTGAACGATTTTGTGCAACCGCAACCGGATTCGTACGGCGCGAGGCGAAGGCTGGAGAATTATCGAGACGGTCCTTTATTATTTGAAGTAGAAATCGTGTCGGTGAAAGATCCGGGGAGCGATGATAGCGAAGGAGTGAGCGATGATAGTTTGGATTTGAAGAACGGCGAATCTGGTTTCTATAAGCTACCGTCGGCGCCGACGCTGCTCGATAGATAATTTTTAATGTACATACATGTAATAATACAACGCCGCGCTCATCGTTTTTATTATGTTCCTCTTCACACTGTGATGATTGAAAATTGAAAATTGAAAATTGAAAAAAGAGAGAATGAACGCGTGAGTAAAAACAACAACAACAACATCCAAGAAGAACGTCGTCAAATGTAATCGCCCGGTTGGCACAGTGTAAACCATTAAAGTCGGTCAACCCCGCTTCCTATCATGAGGGCAGAAATGATCGATGTAAGACGACATTGGACAGATTCGCTCAAAGCCATGAAAAGCTAACGAAACCGTGGCAGACGTCTACAACAAAAGATTTATGGATATGATATGCGCGCTTCTTGACCCAACATCCGCGAGAGAAACGCAGCGTTGCAACATAAAGCGCCCTAGAAAAAAGATTCTACTAATCTAGCACGCAGACCAGGGCTCGCTCGATGACACTACAAAACGTCGAGCAGCCCGGGGTAAGTCGCGTGCACAACAAAAGAGAAGTTTAAAACAAAGAGAAAATGTGCCAGCAGACAGGTCGACGCGAGCGACCCGCGTCGCGCGAACGCAACGCGGCATCTCGTATCGGTTTAAGATCTGGTCTAAACTATAATCTATGCTTCAGCCAGACGGCGAACGTTCGGTTTAAGAATCGAACGTTCAGATGTCCGACGTACAAGCAATACTGTACTTCTCCTTGAAAATATACGAGAGCGAGAGCGAGAGAAAGAATATTTTAATCGTACCTGTTACATCGCGAATGAATGGGTCTTCTCGACAAAACGCGCATCATCATCGACACAAGAAGCCGCAGAGGGAAACACCACCCCTGCGCTACACCAGAGTCTCTTTCTCTCTTCTTCGGTAAAACGGTAAACCCTTCGCCAAACACAACTCATCAAGAGTGTCTCAAAAACTGCACCGAAATCCAATTCCAGTACGCGTAAAAAATGGTCACCGGGACGGCGACGATTGACGCGTGAATGAACGAAAAGACAGTTTTAATATCGTTGCTGTTTTTACCGACGAAATTGTCCTCGTTGTTTCCGAAAAGGCAAAGGAAAAGCATCGAGGAAACGAGGAGGAGAAGGATTCCAATTTCCTTGTTCGCCGCCATTAATTACACTTCGAGTGTTTCTCTCTCTGCTGTCGAAACAAACAGGCTACACGCGTGCACAGAGGGTCGTTTACGTCGTTAAGTGGTACTTCACTACTTTACACTACTTCTACCGATGATGCGATGATAACTCCGAAAGAGCCGCTCCGGAAAGCGCTGCTCTTTTTGAACATTTTTTGTGGGGGGAATGTGCTCCTTTTTTTCCCTTCATCAAACGGACCAAAATTTACGATACACTACTACATATTACGCTCAATCAAAACACGCACAGAACTGACTGCTTCTGACGCGCAGTATTCCACAAACGCGTCTTAAACGCTACTGTTGTTTGATTTGTGCGTGATATCGTCTCTGTGGTGGTGCGTATCATCGCCACTGCTCATCATTTACCCTTCATTAAAAGGACCAAAATTTGCTACATATTACTTATTATGCCCGCCTCCTCTCCTCCTGGCTTGCCTTCGTTCGAGCCTCCACGGCACTTCCAAATGCCCTTTACTGACCGCGTTCGGGTCGCACTTCGCACGAGATGGGAGTTTGACTTTTTTTTTCGTAAAGTCTTCGTTCGCTTCTTTACATTCGTCGCATTGCGTTTTGGTTTCGTGGCACTCGGCGACGCACGGTTCTCGGAAAGAAATGAACCCGTGTTTGGCGAGTTCTCGGATGACGATCCATTCGGTGTCGTCGCGTTCGACGTTTGCGGGGACGTCGCATGGGTCGTAGTAGTGGTATAACGTCCCGTGTTGGGTGGAGACTTGGAAGCCGTAGATGGAGACGGAGTGGCAGCGTTGCAACGCCAACAAGATGCCGTACAGACCGGAAGTGGCTAAAAAGTTGACCTTTTGCGCCACGTATTCCACGAAATCCGGCGCGAACGCGTAGAGCTTTAACGGTTTCTTTTGCTTCGAGTTCCAAAACAAACCTTTGATGGCGCTTTTCGCGCGGAAATGGATTAAAATGCTCTCCTCCGTTTTCGGCTCGTGGAAGCCCCAGTTTTGGGTGTTGGTGATTCGGTACGTCGTTTTCGAGCCGACGTGCTTTTCAAAACCTCTCGTCGGAGCGCTGTTGAAACGAAAAACCATGTCGTGGTCGTCGATATCGCCGCCGTGTTCGTAATTCAAAACGATTCCCGACGAACCTACCACCGCGCACGTACCGAAAAACGAACGTCCAATTTCGTCTTTTTTCGGCAAGATTTTCGCAAACTGAGAAAAGAGCGGCTCTTCGTTCGGGACGAGAATACGATACCCGCCATCGGGATCTTTCTCCTTCCCCGGCAACGTCACCGCGACTTGCTTATCTCTCACAACTCGATCTCGATTGATGGCTAAATCGCCTTCGAATTCGCCCGTAAACGTTTTCAAGCAATCGAAACCTTTAAACTCCGTCGGCATCGGTTTCACCCGCTCGCACCCGTCGCCTTCGTACAACGCCGAACACAAGCATTCGTTCAACTTCTCGCTATACGCGCCGTGCTTGCCGCATTTTCTTCTTTTATTACCTACTACCCTGTTTTTACCGCTATTATTATTATTATTATTACTACTCGTACTACTCCTACTCCTCTCCGACGACGAGGCGTCCTCGGCATCGATCTCCTCGTCGTCGTCCTCGTCCTCGATCGTCGCCACGAGCGAGTACGGATTATTATTATTGTTATTGTTATTAGTATTCTTAGAACCACTCTTCGCGCCGCCGCTTTGTTCGTCCTCTTCCTCCTCCTCCTCCTCCTCCTCCTCCTCGCCGCTCCTTTTCCCACCAAAACCACCATTAAAACCATCAGAGGATGACGACGTAAACGACGATAAAACGTCCTTTCCCGAAAAGGAAGAATCCTTCTCGTCAAAATCGAGACTTCGCGTCATAAATTCTTTTCCTCCTCCTCTGTCTTTTCCTCCTCTCGTCGTTTCCTCTGTCCACGTCAAAACGAACAAAGTCATCACCACGGCGAGTAAGGGAAACCATCGTTTCAAAATCATCATCCAAACCCGTTTCTTATTCGACGGAGACCCGCCTATTCGAGAGAGTTTTGACGGCGTTCCGACGAGCATTTTGACGCGTTATTTGTTGTTGTTGTCGTCGCGATGTGGTGGTGTTTGGTGGAGGGAGAGAGAGAGTGTGAGTGTGTTGTTGTGAGTAAATGTGTGAAGTTCTTTTGGGTGCTTCTTTCCTTTGGATGATAGGGTTTAGGGGTCTACGGGCGCGACCGACGTCATATTCATGTGTAGTTCAACTTGTATGTCCAGCAGTGTTTCTCTCTTTTTCACCAATCTTCTTTACGGTCGTCTCGGAGAGATTCGCGATAGATCTTTCTTGAGCTCTCTCTTCTTTTAACTGAAACCGCCGCCGCCGTTTTGTCGGTCGTCGTCGTAGAACGCGTTGTTTCGAGGCTGTCTGTTTTGTTTTCCTCTTCTGCCCCCCCTACCGTTTGTTGTTCCTCTTCCGGGGCCATTTCGGCCGCCGTTATTTCTGGACGACGAGGATTCCTCGAACGCGAATTTCTTCAACTGCACCGGTCGCGGGTAGTCTTTCGAATCCAACTCTGGGATGAATTTGCGACAGTATTTCATTTGCGGGTCGTAATCTTTCGTTTGTTTCGGGATGTTGAATTTGTTGACGCGGCCTCGAGTTAATCCGGCGGCGGCGACCCAGTTGCCCCAGTTAGACGCCGGGTCGTAATCTAATAAGAGAAACTCGAACCATTCCGCGCCCATTCTCCAGTCGATTCGAGCGTCTAACGCGAGCCAAGAGGCGACGTTTTGCCGACCTCTGTTGGACATCCATCCGGTGAGCTTTAATTCGCGCATGTTCGCGTCGATGAGCGGGTACCCGGTCGTGCCGCTGATCCATTTTTCGAATATTTCGTCTCGTCCTTCGTGTTCGGCCGTCCAAGGGGGCATCTTTCCGTTCGAACCAATCCCATCGAGTTTGAAGATTTTCGCGCCGTGCCGCAAAGCGAAGAAGCGATAGAAATCTCTCCAGGTCAACTCGAAAATGACCCAATACGTCGATTTGTTCTCCACGCGTTCTTTCTCGTACTTGCGAATTTCGTTCTCGATAAATCGAGGAGAGATGCATCCTAAAGCTAAATAAGGGGCTAACTTGGTTGACTCTAAATCTTCCAGCATGCCGTTTCTGGTGTCGAAATACGTCGCGACGGCGTCGGTTTCGTACAAGTATCGCTGGACTCTTTTCAACGCCTCGGATTCGCCGCCTTTGAACGAGTACACAGGAGTTATGGAGTTATCTTTAGGAATAGCGGCGTGCATTTGTCGAGCGTCGTCGCTCAACGGGATGTCTTCGATTGTTGGCACGAATTGCATCTCCTCCTCGCTCACGTTGGACGGGGACGAAAATTTCTTCAATCCATCGCTCAACTCGGCGTCGTTCAAAATCGGTTTTCTCACGGACACTTTACTCTCCACTTTATTCTTGAACTGCGTGAACTGCGTCGGTAAATCGTTCAACCCGTTTTGATAACAGTTCCCGGACTCAAAAACGTCCTCGTAATGGTACAAAGTATTATCCCAAACCAACTTTAACTCTCCTTTCGCCTTTCGTTTGACTTTCCTCTCCAACGCTCGTTCGTCTTCGCACACCTCTCGACTGCAGACGACGACGTCCGCGTCCAACGCATCCAAAACGTTCTCGCTTTTACCAATCTTAATCAACAAATCCGAACCCAAACGCTTGTATCGCTCTTTTAAATCTAACACGGATTCTAATAAAAACTCCGCTCTCCGTTGCGAACACTTTGGCGCGTTCGTGAGACTAATAAATAATGTAAAAGAGAGGAGAGTTAAAAGGTCAGAAGACAAACACCATAAACGACAACAACAACAACAACAACAACAACAACAACAGGAGTCTTCAAAGCCTCGAGAGAAAACGTATTAAGAATTAAAAATGTCAGACGACGCGTTCCGCGTACCTTTTCTCTCTCCTTTTCTGATCAGACCGGTCAAACGCATCATCACTCAAAAACCATCTCGGATCGAAAATGTACGTCGGCACGAGCTCACACAGCTCACTCGACTCACTGCAAAATGTCAACGCTTCTTTTAAGGTTAAGTTATCGTGCACGCGCAAATCGTTTCTGTGCCACAGGATCACTCTTTTCTTCTTCTTTGTCTTTCCGTCGTCCACATTGGATAACGCCGGCGACATGTGACTGGAACGTGAAACGCCTTTCACGACGCCTGTACCGCGAGTGCGATGATCTCGACGAGAATAAAAAGAGCACGAGCAAGAGCTCCTTTTCACAGAGAAGGCGACGCCGAAGCCTCGGGAGCGAAGAAACGACGCGGAGAGAGAAGATATAGAAGCGGTAATGATGACGAATTCTCTCCTTGTATTTGTGTGGTTCGTTTGGTGACCAGACTGACATTTTAAGCGAGCGAGAGCGTGTACGCGTACGTTTATAGTACGTTATGTAGTGTATATGTATTCTTAAAACAACCAACCTTTGCAGACGTCTTCCCCGCAGCGACACTCGACGGTTTGCCTCAACGCCTGTCCGTCCTCTTCGCCGTCTCTTCCTGGGGAGTAATCGATGGTTAATTGTTCGCCTTTTTTCACGTCTTTACAGGCGAAGAACGCGAGGCGAGGCATGTATTTCATGGTTTCAATCAAACGTTCTTTTTCGGTCGGGCAGTCCGAAGGGGAGGCGTATTTTTTGTTCTTTTGCGCGTTGTTCGGTAACTCCAAGGTGGTGCAGTTTGGTCGGCAGGAGTGGTTGAAGAATCGACCAAGGTTGCCGCTGTGCGTCGGGTCGATGGAGTATCGCTTCGCGTACACCTGGCCGGTGATGTCGTGTAAATAGTAAAACCCTTGCTTGTTGTACAGAACCTCTCGCGCTTGCGCTTGATCTCGCGTGATGATCTCGCCGATGTATTCGCATATGAATGAACCGCGAGAAATGTCTTGCGTCGCGCGGATGCCGAACCCGACTCGCTCGTCGGGGCATTTGAAGACGTGGAATTTGAACGAAACCGATCCGCAGTCGATGCCTTTGGTCGGGCACACGCCTTTGTTGAAATCGTGAACGTCGACTTCCGTGACCGGATCGTCTTCGTTGCTCGTGAAAATCGTTGCCAAACGGTTGCACGAACACTTTGCAAAGTATCGTTCCTCTTCAATGATTTTATCGTCCGAGGAGCGCATGAATCGGTTGGTGATGTAATTGAACGGCACCGGCACTTCTTCGCAAAGGGTTTCGCCGGTAACGTTATTGGACCAATCGATGATTTGCTGGTGCTTGGTCTCGTCGTCGCTATTCGTGCTCTTGTTTGGCGGCGCTCTCGTTCGAGGGAGCGGTTGTCGCGGCACGCGCCTTTCCTGCTGCTCTGCGGGCTGTTTTTGTTGTTGTTGTCGCGTCGCTCCCGCTCCTGCCGCCGCTGCTAAATTTTTGTTCTCTCTGTTGGTGATTTCTTCGTTCGTCCACGTGCCCAATCGAGGACTCGCGTTCATTTTTGAGTGCATTCTTCTCGCCAACTCTTCCTCCGTCAACGGTTTCTCTTCTTCTTTCTCGATCTCTCCTCCTCCAATCTCTTCTCTCTTCACTCGTACCTTTTTACCCGCTTTACCGATATCTTTCCTCTTCGCCTCAGCCTCAACATCGTCGTCCACAGAATCTCTCTCTCTTTTCACGTCCTTACTTTTACCGCCGTTCTTCATCGCGTCGCCGATAACCTTCGCCGGATTTGCAAACTTAATATCCTTACACCGTCCTCGACACGTCTCGATCAAACAAAACAAGTCCCTCTTCTTGTTGTTGTTCTTCTTCTTCTTCGCGCTTATCGCCCGCGAACTTCGGTGAAACAAATCCGGATTGACTTCTAACAAAGTCTCCACGTGAATCACGTGCGAAGTCCCGTCCCAGGCGTACAAATCGTCCTCGTCGATAGATTTCAGCCACTGCACGCCGACGCTGTTTTTCTTCGCGTGGATTTCCATGATCTGCGTAACGTAATGAAGTTAGTATTTTAATCTCGTTCGTACTATTCCTTTTTGCGCGCGCGAACACGAGCACACGAACATAAAAGAGAGAAGAGAAAACTTTGTGCGCTCGTTCGTCGTGCCACGTCAGATCAGACGCGCGAGCCTCGCGAAACGACGCTCTCGCGAAAACATCTCATTAATTGTTAAACAGAGAAAACGAAACAAAATTCTCATCATCAAATTCGTACCCGTCCAAACCATTTCTGCGTCTCGCCGGATTCGACTTTCACCCACGTGTTGAGTTTACAGTGCTGTTTACGAATGAAAGAGAGAGAAGGAGAGAGAAAAAGGTGAGTTTAGCGCGTAGTTCGTGCATCAAAAGTGATGTAAAGTTCTCGGGGAAAAGAACGAATTTGAACGAATTTGAAACGCGCGCACGATAAGTAGTACCGAAACGAGTATCTTGTCGGTTTTGCTCGGAGGCATGGTTGAGAACGCTTTCGAGGAAAACCACGCGCTTCTTCACGACGACGCGTTCTCGCTTTCGCGATGCAACCGCGTGCTCTTGGGTTTTGAGGAATCGATCGATCGATCGAAGATTATGTATATGCGTGTGTGCGTGGAAATGTGAGAGACGAGTTAAAGTGTGAAGAGGGAAGTGTCTTTTCAAAAAATGTCAAGAAGGCGCGTTTTTCTCGCTTTCGTGTATGCGCAGTAGTACAAGCTTTGGGGTTTATGAGTGCGAGCGTTCTACTTCCGTATATAACGTCCCTCCTTCGTACCGCCAACCGGGTGGGAGAGGACAGTTGTTGTCGAGGAGGTATTGTAAACATTCGAGGTGGTTGTTCCTGTGTGCCAACAAGACGGCCAAAGACTTCCACGGCGCTTTGGCGGTTTCGTGTAAGTACTTCAAACAGTCTAAATGGCCGTTCCTGGCTGCCAACCTACACGCCCATTCGTTATAATTATCATACTTACGCTCAACAAGATATTCGAGTATGTGAAGATGACCATTTTCAGCCGCCCAAGAGGCAGTACTCGAACCCCAAGGCGCTTTGGCTTCTTCGTGTAAGTATTTGAGTAGCTCGAGATGACCTCCTAAGGCAGCATTTGCACACGCACTCACATCAATAGGACACTCATTTGCCACGCAATACTTTACCATTTCCAGATTACCTCGACGTGCGGCCCTATTAATCGTCCATTCATCCCACTCACACTCTTTCTCCTCTCGCGCCCACTTGAGCAACTCGAGTTTATTCGTTTTAGCAACTTGATAGCAGAACCATGGTTCGTCCCACCAAATCGGCCACAACGATTTATGCTCCCACGCTACTTCCAAAGTCGATATCGACGACATCTCTTCGACCTTAAACCTCTTCTTCAAATCACCCTTGCGAGACGATCTCTTAATCAACTCTCTCGTCTCCGTATTCAACTCGTAAAAGAATTTAAGATCCGTCCCGTTCAGTTTACACATCACATGCTTCTCCACGATATCGCGACACGCGCCGCCACTCAGCAACGCCTCTCTGAACAAACGACACAACGGCAAAGGGGGTTTATTCTCGAGCAGTGCGAGAGCGTTTCGCAGTCTCTCGCGTTCCTCTTCCGTCGGGTATTCGGAGGACATTTTTCTTAAGTCTTCCGGATGTTTTTGAGATCGCTTTTTTTTATTCATAAAAAACAGGCGTTTCTTGGAAATGTGGAATTTTCTCTCTTGCGTGGAAAGAAGACACAAAAACACACACAAAAACACACGAAAGAACATGCGACGACGAGGACGTAACAACTAAATGACATCGACCCCGAACAAACGAATCACGAGATCGTCCTCTGCGTCTCCTCCTCCTCCTTCTTCTGTAAAAAGCCATCGACGAGGTCATCGAATAAAAGCGATGAAAATGGATAAAATCATCTGTTCCATCTGCTTGGAGGAAATTTCCAAAGAAACCAGTGCGTTTCTCGACGGCTGCGTCGAACACTTATTCTGCTATCCTTGCATCAAACGGTGGACGAAAACGTCGAGGAGTCGAAGGAGTCGAAACGGGAGTGGTGAAAGTGGTGTTCTGACTCTCAGTTGTCCGACGTGCAGGAAAGAGTTTACGAGAATTCGAATGAAAGAAACGAGCGAGTTGAAGTTCTTGAGGAAAAAATCTTTCACGCGAGAAGGACGACAACCTAAAGAGACGAAAGAGGCGAGGGAGAAGAGGCGCGAAAAGGAAAGAAAAGACGGCGAGAGGAAGGACTTTTCGGACGACGAGGAGGAGGATTTGAGTTGCACGGAGAACGACGACGATGTTGATAATGGTAACGAAGAAGAAGAAGAGTATTACGAAAACGACGTGCTCGATTTAATAGCGTCGGGCGAGGCGTGTCACATCTGCCGCGAGTACGACGTGGATGAAGACGGAATACTGTTGTTGTGCGACGGTTGCGAACGGGCGATGCATCCACATTGCTGTGGTTTTGGGGAGAGGACCGTGCCAGATGGAGATTTTTTGTGTCCCGAGTGTCATCGCGTGGCGATGAGACACGCGAACGTGAGAGTGCGAGGCAACGACTTTCAGAGGAAATACGTCGATTTTTATATGAACAGAAGGACGATTCACGCGAATAACAACAACAGTCGAAACAATAATAGAAATAACAATAGAGGCAACAGTGCCGCGCGCGCGATAGATTTACCCTCGTCTTCAGAAGACGACGAGTATAGAATACTTTAGTAGATGATAATTACGTGTAAAAGAAAAAAGAGCTTTCATCCGCACGGAGCTAAATTTTTACACGTCGTAATTACTACTACTGCATTTAAACTAAATCAAACTTCATGGGTTTCCCGACTGACATGTGCATGTTCTCGAACGCGATGCAGACGACCGGTTTGCCTTTAAAGACACCATTCAAGACGTCGTTCGTCTTCCCCTTCTTTGCAACATTTTCGTCGTTGTCATCATCGTCCATCATTTCGATCGGTTTGGACACGCGCACGTTCGCGTTCATCTCCAAAGAGTACTTCATCAACTCTGGGCACGTTTTCGTTCGGCCGCTGAACGAAGGTAAAAACATTTTGATTCGCGGCGAGACTATTTTCTTCGGCGCCATCGGTAAGCGCATCGTGCAACATTTTGAGTTCTTACTCTCGGAGACGTCGACGACGTGAGAATGATGATGATGATTATGATGTTGTTGTTGATTATGATATTGTTCTTCATCTTCCTCTCGTCGCCACCAAGGATGGTGCGTTCTGCTGCTGTTCGTATTGCTATTCCTATTCATCGTTCCCGTCGTCTGCAAACTCCCAAATCCAGGCAACAAAATCGTCGCCAAACTTCTCAACTGCTTCTTCTTTTTCTCGCCGCCATTTCCGTCGTCGTTCCCTACAACTACCGCGCTATTAAAATCCGCCCTCCGACTGGGCAACCCGCACGTCTTCACCCCGTGTTTCCTCGCCGCCTCGTTGTTCACGTACACCCGACTCGCCCACGCGCACGAGAGCGGTTTATTCCACACCAAACCTCCTAAAACGACCAACTCGTCGAACGCGCCGCACGGCGACTCCGAATACCTCGCCAAATATACGCCGCCTAAAGTGTACCCGAACAACGAGACTAATTGAAGATCGCTCGGGACGGATTTGATCGCCTCCGAGACTTTGACCAAATGCAGTTGGTACAACGCTTTCCCTTTGAAAATCCACGGTCCGTTTTTATCCGCGTCGTAACCTCCTTTTCCTCTTTTTCCCATCGTGCGATTTACAGAGACGATGCTTCTCGCGTGAACTGCGTGTACTCTTTACCTCGAAAAGCGAGAAGACGAGAGAGAATAGCTTGACTTTACGCGCGAGAAGAAACGCTTCGAAATTATCCAAAAGATATGCCTCGAAGTTGTCGATGATGATTTTGATACTCTTAACGAGAGAAGATGAACGCAACGAGAGAGGACAAAACGCGCAGAACAAACGCGACGACCGAGAAGACAGAAAAGACGACACTCTCGTGGCAGAGAGAGCGCTTCGCGAAAATATCTGTTTTTTTTTGTTTTGCGTGGAAAGAGTGCGGTTTTTGCTCGATTTGCGTTTGTTTCTCTCGTGGTGTTACAAGTGTGTGGGTGGGTTGAAAATGTAAGGGAAAAGTGTCTCTCTCTCTTTCTCTCTGTTTAATCTAAGAACGAGTTATCTCTTCTCGTAGCCTGTTCTCCTGCTCGATAAACCAAGCGTATTCTTCGTCCGTTGGTTCTGGGCACCCTTTTTCGAGCAAGTAGTTTTCGCAATCGGGGTGTTCGCAGTAACGAGCGTACGCGATGTAGTGCCAGAAGTTAAGAGGCGCTTTCGCCTCTTCGCCTAATAAGTATTTGAGGCAATCGAGGCGGCCATACGCTGCAGCGCCTCCGACGCAGGTGAACTTTCCCTCATCCGATATCTTTCTTTCTTCAACGAAATATTTCACGATGTCTGTGTGACCCAATCCTGCTGCTTGCATTGCCGCTTCTTTTTCCGTCTCTCGCGAAGGTTCCACTTTGTCGAAAAGAAATCGAACACAGTCGAGGTGTCCTTCAAGAGCAGCTCGAATGTACGACTTTTTTCCATCACACGGGCAACCATTAGAGAAGCAGTACTGGAGCATCTCGAGATTACCTTTAAATGCCGCCTCGTCAATCGTCCTTTCATCCCACTCGCAATGTTTCACTTCTCTCGCCCACTCGAGGAACTCGAGCTTGTTCGTTGCAGCAACTTGCTCGCAAAACCCGGCTTGATCTCTCACCGTTCCATCTTCAAATTTCTCTCCCCAGGGCATGTTATTCCACGCCCATTCCAACGTCGAAATGGATGAACATTCGTAAACATTCCAACATAATTTCGATACTTTTACCCCGGCATACTCAAGCACACCCCGACTCTCTCTATTCACCTCTGAAAAGAAACACCGATCTATCTCGTTCAATTTCGGAAGCACGTGCGAGACAAACACATCCTTATGATGCAACACCAACCCGGTCCAAATCGGTGAAGAAGAAGAAGAAGAAGAAGAAGAAGAAGAAATCGAGAGATTCTCCAGCGTAATTTCCGCTTCTTTTTCACCCTCGTCCTCTTCTTCCGAAGAAGAAGAAGACGAGTACTTCAGTTGATCCCACTTGGAATAATCAATCACCATTTGCACATGCGAGAGACTTTTTTTAGTAAAAATGAACAAAGAAACGTTTTTCTTTTGCCCCAAAACTCCTCAAAACAAAGGGCAAAATTGGCTTCTTAGTAAAGGGAGACAACGAGACAGACAACACCACTCCTCATGCCAGAAGAAGACCACCAAGAAGAAAAACACACCACCACTGGCAACACCAACAACGGCTACGCAGGGGTGGTCGCGGCAAACGCAAACGCAGCGCCGGTGTTAAAACCGTGCGCGAAATTCTTTTCCATTCAGTGAGTTACACGATTCGATCGCATTTTCATGCGGAGAGAGTATTCGCCGGTTTTTCTTTCGTAATAAAGAGAGAGAGTGATGCAAACAAAACGACAGAAAGAAACAAAAAGCGTGTGGAAGACTACTTGGTCCGTGTTTTTGATCGAGCGTCGCCCGAGAGGGGGACATACTCGTGGAGAAAAAACCCAAGGGATTAGACCCCCGATTCTGAATTTTTGTTCTCTCTCTGTGTTGTTTGGTGGGGAGGAATGCTCTCTATGATTTGATTCTCTTGCGACGACGACGCGCTCTGCCTTCCAACCAGGAATGCGATTCTGGTTCGTTTTTAATCAGTTTCGTCATCGAATGCTCTTTGATGGCTTTCGTAAAGTCTTGTCGGTTGTACAAGACATCCGCGGGGCGGATTGCGAGTCTTCGTATATTTCTTCGTCGGTTGTTAGACGCTCATAAAATCATCTTGCACCACATGCACTTTCGGTGTTTTATTATATTGACCCATCGTAATCGCTTTTATTATTCTTTCAAAACACAAACAGCGGATGTTCGTACGGCGCGAAGTGCGCGTATTCGCACCAACACAACGGAGGGAGAGGGAGTCAGAGTAGTAGTAGCAGTACTGTCATTAACGCGACTCTACCTAGTAATAGTACTACTACTACTACTACTACAAACAATAATACTAATAACGGACAACAGGAGTTTTTGCAGCAGCAACAACAACACAAACATGTCGGGATGACGACGACGATGAACAACGGCGCGTCGTCGTCTGCCGTAAACGGTAGTCATAGCGGCAGAGGATATAATAATCAAAACAATAGTAATAATAATAATACGACGACGACGACGACGACCCAACAGCAACAACTTCAACAACAACAACAAAGAGAAAATCGAGAACAACAACAAATGAACATGGCGGCGCTCGAACAAGGAGGCGTGCACGCGAAGACGATAAACGCGCGCGACCGACCTCGATACAAGACGCGTTTGTGTAACTCGTTTCGCCAGGAAGGCACGTGTCGATTTGGTTCGGCGTGTTTGTTCGCGCACTCGAGCGAAGAGTTGCGAAGGACATTGACTGATGGAGGAGCAGATGGTAGTAGAGATGTGAGTGGATTAGGGGGTGGAGGAGGTTAAGAACTCCCTTTTTAAGAACTTAGAGAAGAATTTCGCGAGAATGTGTTTTGTTGTAATACTAATAATGATCACTAATAGCAACTGCGGCAATATGCATATGAAGCTAGTATATGCATAAACTAGAGTTTCAAAATACGTCGTCGTCGTCGTCGTCATCGTCCTCACCGTCTCGTAAACGCCCATCGTCGTCGTTCTTCCCCGCGTTTTTGTGCTTATCGAAAAACCCGTTGGCGTTGTCGAAATCTTTCATCTTGCCTCTCCCCATCATGTAATCGTCGGCAAGAACTTCCCACACTTTCCTCTTCTTCTTATCCTTTTCCTCTTCCGTGTTTGTCATTTTCGTGTTTTCGTTTGAATCTTTCTTCAACTCCGCTAAAAACTTCGCCTTGGTCTTTCCTCCTCCTAAACTAGTATTCGCGCTACTACTCGTATTCTGATTCTTCTGCGCCTTTGCGATGGCGTTGAACAACTGCGCCACGCCGTGCGTGGCGGTTTTCTTCAACCGCTTTTCTTTCAAATCCTCTTCAATATCAGCCCCAACTTTAGACGGCACGAAGTGCCCTTTCTCTTTCACTCTCAACCGTTCTATACGTTCTCGCTTCCTCTTTTGCGATTCCAAGCGGAGAAGCGCGCGTTCCGTCTGTCGCGATTTCGATTCCGGAAGGATGACGGCATCATCACCTCTCTTCCTCCCATCGTCGATATCGTTCGCTTCCTCGGACAGCTCGTCGTCGGATTCCTCTTTCTTTTGTCCTTTTTTCAGCAGACTCGTAAACGCTCTCGAGAACGCGTTGTTTGTCTCTTTTTTCTCCTCCTCTTCCTCTTGTTGTTCGGAATCCGAATCCATGGTCAACTCATCGTGATCATCGTCGCCCGATTCAGACGACGATTTTGACTCTGATTCCTCGGAGGAGGATTTGGAGGAAAACTCCTCTTCCTCTTCTTTGTCTTCTTTTCTCTTTCCTCCCATCTTCACAGAGTATATGTTTACTACGGTTGAATTCCTCTCTAACGGAGCCGCCAAAAACTGCTCTTCGGGGAAACAAATTGGACGAGAGCAAAAGAAAAGCTTTGTTGACCTGAAAAGCGACGATTACGAAGAGCAGAGAATGTGTGCCACAACTGTTGTTCTTTACTCTCTGAAAGAGCGCGAGTAAAGTGTGTTGTGTGTGTGTTATGTGTGTGTATTTGTGTCTCTTGAAGTGGAGCAGTTTGTGTCTCTTTCTCTCTCTTTCTCTCTCTCTCGAATGCTCCTTTTTTTCGATCGATGAAAATTGTATGAAGTGTTTGTTCTCTCTCTCTCCTTGTGAATGTTTTATGCGCGCATCACCACCTTTAACGCGTGTGTAAAGTTCCATTTTCGTATCGCCAACCGGGTGGGAGAGGACAGTTATTGTCGAGGAGGTATTGTACACATTCGGTTTGGTTGTTCTCGTGCGCTTCTTGTACGGCCTCATAGTCCCACGGCGCTTTGGCGGTTTCGTGTAAGTACTTCAAACAGTCCAAGTGGCCGTACTTGGCCGCACACCGACACGTATAATCGTTAAACATATCAAACTTACGCTCAACAAGATATTCGAGTATGTGAAGATGACCCTTTTGAGCCGCCAAAAAGGCAATATACTCATCCCAAGGCGCTTTGACTTCTTCTTGTAAGTATTTGAGTACCTCGAGATGACCGTTTTTGGCAGCTTGTACACACGCATCCTCATACATAGGACACTCATTTGCCACGCAATACTTTACTATTTCCAGATTACCTTGTATTACGGCCGCTTTAATCGTGTATTCATCCCACTCACACTTTTTCTCCTCTCGTATCCACTCGAGCAACTCGAGTTTATTCGTTTGAGCAACTCGAGAGCAGAACCGTGGTTCGTCCGTCTTTAGGACGAAGTATTCCGGCACGCCTAGGACGAAGTATTCCGGCATAGGCGTACCCCACGCATAATGCTCCCACGCAACTTCCAACGTCGATATCGACGACATCTCGCTCACTTTAAACTTCTTTTTCAAATCACCCTTGCGAGACGATCTCTTAATCAACTTTCTCGTCTCCGTATTCACTCCGTACAAGAATTTTATATCTGTCCCGTCGAGTTTACACATCACATGCTTCTCCACGATATCGCGACACGCGCCGCCACTCAGCGACGCCTCTCTGAACAAACGCCACAACGGCAAAAAAGACTCACTCTCGCACTCTTCTCCCGTCGTCGCGATGGGTTCAGATCGTTTTCTTACGAGCAAAAACCCCGTCTTCATAGTCGTGTATTTTATGAGGTATTTTTCCTCGTTTTGAAAAAATTGCCGTTTCTTTTCGAAAACCATTTCCCCGCACAAAATTTCACATTTAAACAACAAGAGACACTTTAAACACAAACGCGCGAAAAGGCGCGAGAGTCGAAAAACGCACCGCGCGCATCACGCTCTCTCGCGCGAATTATTTATTTATTCTCATCGATCGTCGTGCTCCACACACAAAGAAAGAACATTTGGCGTGTTTTTCTTTCGCGGGGCCAAAATTTGAATTCTCAAACTCTTTTCCCCTCGTAACGATTTGAAGTCGTCTCTCGAGAATAACATGTCGTCCGTCTCGATGCAAACGGAAAAGTCCCGACGCGATGAGTATTCTTTTCGTCGCGAAGACGAGGGTTTTGGGAAAGATGATGACGACGATGAGAACAACATAGATTTAAACGAATGTTTGGAAATGGTGCAAGATTTCATCCACCTGTACCAACAAACGGACGAAGACGTGCAACAGATACGTTTAATGTCTTCGGAGTACACGGAGATAAAGTCGGTGTCGAATAAAAGAGAGCAACACATGTCAGAAGTCATACGAGAGATGACGAAACGAGTACAAAACGCGGAACGGAAAACGAGCAACCTTTTATCCTCGGCGGCGCGGTCGGACCGGTTTCGGAAAGTGGAGGAGGAGAAGCGAGACGCGGAGCGGTACTGGTCGCAAATGGAACGCGAGGCGCAAACGTTGGAGGAAACGAGGGAGATTTTGAAGAGGAAAAGGAACGAGTTGAAAAAGAAAAGACGGGAGATGGACGTGTTGGTTACCGAGGAGATTCCAAAGTTGAAGAACGCGTTGTCTTTGTACGCGCACGTGACGAAGATCGCGTGGAAGTACGAACAAAAGGCAAAGATTGAAGGCAGAGTGAATACGAACAGCGCGAACGGGGAGGTTAAAGTCATCGATAAGAAGTTTCCCAGGACGGAGGAGGATCGGTTTCGTTTGTGTAATTCGCTCTGGGATTTGATCGATTAAAGACTTCGAGAATTGCGAACGCTCACAAAAAGCGCGAGAAAGAAACAAAAAGAGAGAGACATTATTGAAACAACGACTTGTAAACTACCACTCATAATAGTACACGTAGAAGATAAAGAACAGAAAAGTGATGCGCTGCGCCGCGAAAAGCAGTAAAACGAGACGAGAGTTTACTCTACGCGCACACATTATTCGCTCGTAAAATTTTCCTCTCAATTTTCTTCACTTCAACGCTCTCTCTACACATGTTTCCTTGACACATCAAAAGCGCGACAAAGAACCACTGACAAAACGAAATGCCCGCCTCCCTGGGCACCGCGGAGACGACGACGACGAGTAGTAAACGACGCGCAGCGGCCCGAAGAATCCTACTCCTTCTTCTTCTCTCCGTCGTTTCGTGCTTCTCCGTCGTTCAATTTTATCCAATTTTGACATCTTCGTCTTCTATGATTACGATGATGAAAGGGGTTCCTCCTGGTGTTTCTTTGAGCGACAAGGAATACGAATCAAACGACGAAACGATGACGATCGGTTCTTCTGCATCCCCGTTGGCATCCAGCGAAACGCGCGTGAAAAATGTCGCCGGAAATCCAAAACTGTCCAGCGAATTACACCAAAGCGGAGAAGGAGGAGGAACGTGTTCGGCGAAAAACGCAAACAACGGGAAATCCGCGCGTGCGTTTCACGGGGTGGTTTCTCCGTTTTGCCGGAACATGGCGACGAGTGAAATCGAGGACGATCCGTGGATGACGGTGGATGCGGTGTATGGGAGCGAAGAGGGATTTGTCGATGATGGATGGCAGCATTCGATATATTCGATCGAGGTATGGGTTGGATTGAGAAAATGTGACTCGATACAATTCGCGGAGAACGAACCGTGCGAATGGATGAGGATTACGGACGAGAAGCCAATGGTGGTGGAGTTAGTGTTTGATGACGATGAGAACAACAGAGAAGAGGACGACGTCAACGTCTCGCCGGAAGAAACGAAGAAGATTTTCACCGACGACGGACGATTGGCGTATACGTGGGACAACGTTCAGATGTATAAGAACAAAAACAAGGAGGGTAGCAGTGGTAGTAGCAGTTCTAAGAATAGACGAACAACACACAAACAGCGGCGCATCATCAAAGGCGTCAGGATCTCGTTACCAGGGAAACAGAGACAGTTGAGCGTCCAAGAGGTGAAGATTTGGGCGAGGATAGAAGAAGAGCAAAAAGCAAACGCGTGCGTAAACGACAGGATAGGCGACGATTGCGCCACGGATTTGACCCTAGATTGGGCGTACCTCCCGCAAAACTTTCGCTTCGCTCGAGAAAATTGGAACCGGACGATGTACAAAAGTTTAGAAAAGTCGATCGAGGAGACGCAATCGTCGAAGTGTAACGCGCCCAGAGCGGCGAGCACGGACTCCTACAACATTGGCATGGGAGGCAAAGGCGCCGGGCTCGCCTCCACCATTCATTTCTTATCCGGCTATTTATCCGACGCACATCTTCAAAACAAACCCTGGGTCTTTGCCGGTCGATTGAACTACGCGTATAATCGAAATTGCGCCAAATCGAAACTTACCGGGGACGTCGAGTGCTACTTTAAACCGTACAGCGCGTGCGATAAAATCAAACAAACGGCGTTTGCGAAATGGAAACCGTACCCGGCCAAAACCAATCGATGCACGATGCCACGAAATAGATGTCGCGATTTGGCACCTTGGAAGCGAGTTCCAACGAGCGTAGCGAATTATTATTCGCGAGCTCCGTCGTCATCGTTGTCGTCGTCGTCATCATCTGGGTCGATGTTGCAATATAACAAAGGTTTATTTTTCTTTCGATCGGCGATTGTCGCTCGGATGATGCGATTGAATCAAAAAACAATCGAAGAACTCAGTTTGCACCGAGTGAAAGAAAGCATAGGGTTTAAGCATCCAATCATTGGCGTGCACGTGCGAAGAGGCGACGCGTGTCACACGACTGGTAGGAAAAACAGGTGTCGATCGTTCGAGGAGACGTATTTGCCTCACATTAGAACGCTATCGGAAAAATACGGCGTCAATCGAGTCTTCTTGGCGACGGACGACGACGCGTTGTTGCGAAAAGTGAAGAGCTCTCCGGCGGCGAACGAGTTTGAGTTTGTGAACGTCAAAATGGATCGGTCGATATACAAAGCGTCGAAACTCATCGAACGGAGGACGGAGTTGTACACGGAAAAATCGAACGTCGCGCACGAGATGACTTTGCAAGCGCTGACGGATATATTCTTGTTGGCCGAAGCGGACGCGTTTATCGGGCACTTTCTGTCCAATTTGAGTCGATTGGCGATTGAGTTAAGCGCGGCGGAGAAAGGGTTTGTGCCGCCGTTCGTCAGCGTGGACGGGCAGTGGTGCAGGCATTGGAAGTTTTGCCGATGATCGAGTAGTTTTTAGTTGTTAGTAGTTTTAGTAGTTTTAAATACGTACTGTATGAGATTATTTTGTAGTGCACATCGTAACTCTCTCTCTCTCTCTCAACTCGACGGGGTTTCTTTATTGCTGATGTTCCTTAGTAATTATGTTATTTAATCATTCCCCTTGCAATTCGCCTTGCGCCCATTTGACGTAGAAGTACGCGCCCGGTTGACCCAAGGTGTCGTTAAAGACGGATCCGATGAATCGAGACGAGACGACGTCCGGACACACTTTCGCCATTTCTTCCTGTAATCCAGACGGATCTTCCGGAATTTCCGCCAAATCAATCACGGTGTACGCCACCGGATCTCGAGACGTGTTAATTTGCTGCAAAATATTGACGCCTTTGGACCCTAAGAAGGATGTGATTTCACCGAGAGCGCCGGGGACGTTTTTGTTGACGATGGTCAATCGAGCGCCGGAGGAGTTCACGTGCGGCGCTAAAATAGTCGTCGGGAAATTGACGGAATTTCGGATCGTCCCGGTTTCCAAAAAGTCCATCAAAGTTTCCGCAGCCATCGCGGCGGAGTTGTCCTCGGCTTCCTCGGTGGAGGCGCCCAAGTGCGGCAAGACGATCAAGTGCGGGTCGTCGCGCAACGCTTCGTCCGTGAAATCGGAAATGTACTTACCGGTCAACATTTTCGAGTCGTAGCCGGCTTTCAAGGCGGCACCGTCGACGATTTCACCTCTGGCAAAGTTCAAGATGCACACGTTCGGTTTACAAATCTGTAACGCTTTGGCGTCGATCAAATGGTGCGTGACGCCTTTGATGTACGGGACGTGGATGGAAATATAATCGGAAACCTTGAAGAGGTCGTTGAGATCGGTGACTCTAACCATTCGGTCCCCGGGTAAAGCTAAAGCGGCATCGACGGATAAGACCGGATCGTAGCCAACGACGTTCATGCCGAGACCTAAAGCAGCGTTGACGACGCTATATTGTTATTTTGTTTTAGAGAAGGCAGCGTCAGCGTCTTGTCGTCTGATGAAATTTAAAGCAAACGAACAAACAAAACAAGATAAACGAACGAACGAACGGGTCAGAGAATTGAATGGATTGTGCCTCGAATGGTTTTCCGATCACGCTAGATTCAGAGTCTAAAACAGACTCTAAAAACGTCAAACATCTAATCGAGATTTCATCACTCCCGTTCGTCTTCGTATTCGCGCCAAAAAGAAGAAGAGATAAAAATATAAAACGCAACAACAAAAAAAGACGACGTACCGACTTCCGATCGCTCCTAACCCGATCACCCCGATCGTCTTCCCTTGAATCTCCGTCCCGCCAAACTTCGCCTTATCCTTCTCAATTCTCGTCGCAATTTTCTCGTGCTCGCCCTTTTCTTCCACGTTGATCACGTTCTTCACGTGGTTCGCGCCTTCCAAGATGCCTCTCGACGCCAACAACAACCCGCACACGACAAGTTCTTTCACCGCGTTCGCGTTCGCCCCGGGCGTGTTAAACACCGGAATACCTCTCTCACCCATCTCTTTCACCGGAATGTTGTTCGTCCCCGCGCCGCATCTCACGATCGCTCGAACCGTCGGTTTCACTTCGTTCACTTGCAGCTTGTGCGAGCGAAGCATGATCGCCATCGGCGGACCGGGCAAATCCGACTCATCGCCGGCAACTTTATACTTCCCCTGCGGGAACTTTTCCAAACCCGTCGGGGCAATCGCGTTAAACGTCTTCACGTTAAACGACGCGCCTAAGTTTCATTAAAAAGAAAGAAAAAGAGGAAAAGTTAGTCATGCGTCTCTTTACCGTCGTCCGAGCGCTTACGCTCAATAATACGAGCGAGCGAGAGCGAGAGAGAGAAAAATGTTCCACATCATCATCAATTACACTCGAACCATAACATAACAGAGCCACGCGTGTTTCGAGTACGCTTTTAAGGTCGTCTTCGGGACTCGTTTGCGTAAAAACCGATCTGCGATCAAAATCACGCGACGCCGCGAGAAAAGTCCTCCATATAAAAAGAGCGATTGGATTCAAAAATCGACTCCAAAATCCGCCTTTTAATCGTACCTTCGTACCCAGATCCGTCGCTTTTCCCTCCCGAAGAAACGCTCAAATCTTCCTTACTCTCGTTTTCTTTCCTTCGTTTGGCGAGTTCGAGCATTTTTTGGAGCATTTCGATTTCATCGGATGCCGTTTGGTTCGCTTTGACGACCGACATTCCTCGCGATGAGCCCATACTTTTTTTCCACGTCGTGCGCATATAAACGCCTCTTTTCGCGGAACATGCGCCAGATCTGAACGGCATCTTCGAGGAAGATTGAAGTGTAGTCGAATTCGTGGTGAACATGTTGCAATTTTCGATATACTTTTTGTGTTTTGATCGAGAGAGAGAGAGAGAGAGAGAGAGAGAGAGAGAATAAAAGGGACAGGAATAAACCTTTTTGTGGCGGCTCGAGAGAGACTTTTAAAGAAGCAACTTATACGAACGGAATAGAATACTATTACATATTACGTCTACTAAAAAGGGAACGTTTTCATCCTCTCTCTCTCGAGCGCACGAAACAGATCAAAGCTATAGCATTAGTATTAGTATTATATTATTACCACTCGTCCAACAAAATAAACTCGTCGTCTCGCACGTCTCGAATACGAGCGCCGTCACCGGCGTCGACGAAGTGCTCGAGGCCAACCGTTTCCATTATTTTTTTACCTTCTTGTCTGGTTTTTTCATCGTACGGCGCGTACGGCAAGCGGAAGACTGGTTCTGCGCATCCCAGCATCGCGAGTGCGGTGTTCACGCCGATTGGGTTCGGTTCTTTGAACAACCATCGCATGAGAGGGATCAAATCGTCTCTCAATTTCGGGTTTGGCTTCGGGCCGAGCATGAGTTCTCGCATGAGTTTCGGGGCAACGTTCGAGGTGACGGAAATAACCCCAGCCGCGCCGGCGTCCCACTTCGCGTCGTGCGCCTCGTCGTCGTTCCCGGACCAACACGTGACTCCATTCTTCGTGTAATTGCGAATGCGTTCGTTGCCTTCGCATTCTTTCACTCCGGCAAAGTTCGGATGCTTCGCCAGCTCAAAAATAACCTCCGACGGAATATCTTGCGTTGTTCGCGCGGGAACGTTATACACGATCGTCGGCCCGAAATCTAAAACCGCCCCGAAATGCTTCATCAACCCAGCTCGACTCGTTTTCCCGTAATACGGGTTTATCTGCAACGCCGCGTCCATCCCGACGGCGAACCCTTGCGAAGTCGCGTGTACGGCTTCCCGCGTCGAGTTCGACCCGGTGTTCCCAATCACGAGTAAATCGTCCCCGTATATTTTGCTCGTGTGTGCAATCAGCATGATGTGTTCGTCCCAGCTCATCAGTTGTCCCTCGCCAGTCGTCCCTCCGACGACTAAGCCTTGCACGCCGCCGGCTATTTGCTGCTCGACCAAAACGTCGTACTTTGGTAAGTCGATCTTCCCGCTTTTTAAATACGGCGTTTTAATCGCCGTAATTAAGGAACATTTTTTAACTTCATCGACTAAAGCTTGTTTAGACTTACTCTTGTTGTTTGTCGCGAACACTTGCGTGTGGATGGAGGCACGTGTGGAGGAGTCTCTTCTCGAAGATGATGATGATTTTGTCGGCGACGGCGAGTTTTTAAATCCACAACTCGTCTTCGTAAACGTCTTCGTTTGCATCCGCTGCTGATGCTTTTCGAGGACGATTTTCGGTGAAGAAGAAACGCACAAACACGAAGACAGCATCGTTACTACTACTGATGCGCACGACTGCTCCAAAAAGAGGCGATTCTCTCGTTACTGGTGGTGTTATTCTCTCGAGTGTTTTTATGGGGAAACGGTTCAAAAAAGGGCTCATGTCTTAAAATACGAGTCACAACGCGAGCGCGTTTCGAACGTTTAATCATCCATATCTTCACTGCAGGTTCGCAAAAGCGCTCGATTTTAACCGATAAAAAGTGAAAGCGTTACGTTTCGAAAACATCAAAACGTTTTGTTTAAAGTTTTATTAAAGTTTTATAGTAAGACGGCGTACTCCGCGCCGCCGCGAAATACAGACGAATGACCCGCACGTGATGCTTTTCTCTCTCTCTCGGTTATCTCTCGGTTGTTTCAATCGCGAGACATCGACGATGCAAAGTGTCTCAAACAATACATCGCAAATGTGAGCACAAAAGGTACGGCAGCGGCGTACGCCAATACCATTTTGTCGTTGTTCATCTGGAGATCCATGACATCTTCTTCCAATAAGTCGAGTCGTTTTTCCAACGCGTTGAACTTACGCGTCGTTTTTGTCGTGTTGTCATCGTTCGTTTGTGAATTCCTGTCCGTCGATCCTACTTCTTCTTCGACATCGAAATCGTCGGAATCGGGTGATGGTTCTTGTTGTTCGAGAGGAACGTTCGCTTCTTTGAAAAGAAGTTCGTTTTTACGATCCTGAAGTTCAATCAAGCGTTTGCAACAGTCTTTTTCTTCTGCAAATGCGTTGGCGAGGTCGGCATTGATTCGCGCGTTGTCACTTTCTTCTCGTTTCGCAGCCGCGTGCGACTGCTTCAAAGCGAGAAGTTCCATTTTACGACGCACAAGTTTCCGATAGCGAGTTACGCAGTCTTTTTCTTCTGCAAGTGCGTTGGCGAGGTCGGCTTTGTTTCGCGCGTTGTCATCGCTTTCTTCTCGTTTTAATTCGCTTTGTGCCTCGCTGGAGAGTCTCGCGTTCGCATCGTGATTGTGTCGCACCATACTCGGCAAAAGAGGAAGGATATTTGGATGGCAGATATGTGTGTGGGTATTTTTTTCTTTTCGGATCTCGCATGTCATGCATGTGATTTTGGTACGTGACAAGACGAATGAAACCGTTTTTCCCTCATAACACAACCCTTACTTGCTTGCGCCCGTAATCGTCGTCGCGAGAGCAAAAAACGCAAATTCAAAAGATCAATTTCAATACCTGTTACGCGCGCTCTCTCTTTCAATAATGTCTGGTGGTTAAAGCAACGCATCCTCTTCCTCTTCCAACACCAACTCGGGAAATTCCAACACCAACTCATCGGGAAATTCCAACACCCAATCAGAACCGACCGTGATCCAAGGTTGGGAGCATTCGAAGTACGCAAACGCAAACTCGACGTACGCAAACGACCGTTACGCGTACATCGGGAAGGACGAGGACACGAGAGAACCCATGTGGATGGATAACGGACCAAAAGGCAAAAAGTAATGAGTGACTCCTTTCCTTAACTGCGTTTCTTTGGACGAGAGGCGAATTTTACATACACATATACAAACTTATACAATTGATTCATTAGTAAAGTCACACGCGCGGTGTGCAACACGGTACCAGCGCGTTCATGCAAACTCTCTCTTCTTCTTCTCTTTTCTCTCTTCTTCTTCTTCTTCTTCTTTCATAAATACATTTTTAAAACAAAGATCTCCTCGGCGCCTGTTCTTCGCCGCATTCGAAGTTGGTACAAAAGTCAGCGTTCCAAGTACCGAATTGAGCTCTTCCAACTCCTCCTCCTCCTCCTCCTCCTTCTTCTTCAACTCGCCTAAAACTATTTCTAACGCGCAATGGTGCTCCCGGTGGGGTCAAATGTTGCGGATCCTTTTTATTTTTATTCGATTGTTCCGGCGTGCGAAACGTAAACTGAAAATTTTTGTCGTCGTCCTCGTCGCCGAGGTTGTTCTTGTCATTCGTCGGACGCGGCGTTATCACGCCTTCTTCTCTCAATCCCTCTTCTTCTTCCTCTCCTTCCTCTTTTTCTTCTAACACGAGCGTCTCTAGCAAATTGGAAATGGGCAAGACCAAGTTACCGTCGTCCACGCTGCTTCGATTCGAGTGCGCGGCGGCGCACGCGCGAGTATTTTTTAAAACCGGTGACCTCGTGATACGATTCCACTCTCTGTAATCGCACTCCTCAAACTCACCATCGAGTGAATTCATCGTCTTTTCGCTCGTCTTCCCGGCCGTACTCGGCGTCCTCGCGTACCCTTCTCTCAGCAAAGGTCCATCAGGACTCGACAAGCTTTTATCGTCGCTCCTCTTCGACCCGCCAACGACGAAGGACGACGACGATTTCGAAGACGAAGACGAAGACGAAGACATTTTCTCTCTCAACGTCCTCTCTTCCATCCATAACTGCTCGTAAAACGCGCTCTTCCACTCCAAATACAAAATCGTATCCTCTGTATCGCTCTCTTTTTCAATCTCTTTTCCCTCGTCGTTCAAACATTTCAATCGCAACAAATTCTTCGCCGACGGAATCCATCGTCTTTCGCGCGTAGGTTGCATCTTCGAGAGCAAAAATTGAACTTTGCTTCCGTCTTTCATCGCGACGTTCGAATTCTTTCCTTCGGAGAGGTACGCTCCCAATCGCGCGACGGCGTCGCTTTCTCCTCCTTTGGTGTCATCACACATCTTCTCCGAAATCAGCACCAGCGCTTTCTTAATCATTTTCATCACAGACTTTTCGGCATCATCGTTATTCGCAACAGTAGTCGTAGTATCATCACCCGTTCTTTGTCTTCTTCTCTTCTCTTCCTCTCTCGCGCGATGATGATGATGATGCTGTTCTTCGTCGTTTCCAACGCGAAGCAGCTTCTTCGCATTGGGAAACGAAGACATTTTGGGTGGAGATAAAAAATCCATTCTATTTGTTGTTGTTGTACTAAATCGCAGTTAAGTCGAGAAAAAACTCTCTTTTACGCTCTGACTGTCTCTCTCTCTCTCTCTTCGAGGTTTTTGCGCGCGTATAAAATGCGGCGCGACAAAGCAAAGTGTGCGCGTAAAGGCGAGAGATGTGTGATGCGAGCACGCGACAAGTAAAGTTTTGGTGCGTTTTTGAATTTTTTGCCCCTCGCAGAAGACTTATAGTTTAGGGTTTATACAGTTGGTGGTCACCCTAAGGAGTAAGAAAGACGCACGTAAAAGTTTAGGGTTTAAGTGCTTCGTGGGTACTCCTGAGTGTCTCATTCGTACTCGTGAGTCTTACAACAAAATTCGAATCGAGACGCGCGAGAAAAACACACACGAAAAAAAAAAACACATGTCGTCTCGCATCATCGATTATTCCAAGTGGGATCGACTGAAGTACTCTTCGTCTTCCGAAGAAGAAGAAGAAGAAGACGACGAGGGTGAAAAGGAGATGGAAATTGCGAGGAGCGGAGCAGCGCTGGAGAAGCTCTCGCTTTGTTCTTCTTCGTCGTCACCTCTTTGGAACGGGTTGGTGTTGCATCATAAGGATGTTTTTGTCTCGCATGTGATTCCGAAATTGAATTTGATGGATCGGTTTTTCTTTTCGAAGGTGAATACAGAGAGTCGGGGTGTGCTTGAATACGCCGGGGTAAACGTATCGGGATTAGGTTTGATTGTTCACGAATGTTCATCCATTTTGACGTTGGAATGGGCGTGGAATCACATTCCCTGGGGAGAGAAATTTGAAGATGGAACGGTGAGAGATCAAGCCTGGTTTTGCGAGCAAGTTGCTCTAACGAACAAACTCGAGTTTCTCAAGTGGGCGAGAGAAGTGAAACAGTGCCAGTGGGATGAAGAGACGATTAAAGCGGCAGCAGCTAAAGGTAATCTCGAGATGCTGAAATACTGCTTCTCTAATGGTTGTCCGTGTGATGAAGAAGAGTCGTGTAAACATGCTGCTTATATGGGACGCCTCGACTGTCTTCGATTTCTTTTCACCAAAGTGAACCCTTCGCGAGAGACGGAAGAAGATGCGGCACTACGGGCAGTAGGCTGTGGTCACTTGGAGATCTTGAAATATTTCGTCGAAGAAAGAAAGATATCTGAGGGGGTAAAGAGAGCGTGCGTGTACTTCACTGCAAAGTATGGCCGCCTCGATTGCCTCAAGTACTTAGTCGAAGAGGCGAAAGTACCTCTTAACGACTGGGAATACATCGCTTTCGCTCGGTATTACGAACACCCCGACTGCGAAAATTACTTGCTCGAAAAAGGGTCTCCAGAACCAACGGACGAAGAATACGCTGCTTTTGCCGAGAGCGTGCGAGCGCGAGAGTCTCAGCAGGGGAACAGTTTCCATTGAGAAGTTCGTTCGATTGTATTACGAAGAGAGAGAGAGAGACACATTTTTCATCAACTTTGTGCACACGCAACGCGAAACTCCTCAAACAAAAAATCTCTCGACACCACCAACGAAGTGTACTTTTTCCGCGGAGAGAAGAAGACGAGATGCTTACGTGGTGTTTTTGAACGACGCCCTCGCCTGCGACGACCACAATGCGCTCGTTCTTTGTCTTTGTCTTCTTTCTCGTCGCGTTGCTCATCGGAAAGTCTCTCCTTCTTTTTATTGTCGCGCGTAGGAATGGAAAAGAAGACGAACGTGAAGACGAGAAGAACGAGTACACTACGAAAGGAAAAGCGCCCACGAAACCTCCAAAGTGCGTCGCTTTCGCGTTCGGTGCGGACGTTTTGGTGTCGTCGCGTGCGTCGTTTTCGTTATTCTCATTCTTTCGGGGTGGTTTCTCGACAGAAAGAGATGATGATAAAAAGATGGTCAAAGAAGCACTGCGAGAGACGGTGACGTTTTGGGCGACGGAAGCGGCGTGCGAATCGATGGTGCTTTATTTCGACATTGGTGGGAGACGCACAGACGAGGAGGAATATTTGTTAGAGAGGTACGTAGAGGAGTGTTTTTTAGATGGTGGTGGTAATAGGAGTAGTGGTAATAGTCATCGCGCGCGGCGGAACGTTCGCGTGAAGCGGTATTCGTCGTCTTCGACGAGGACGATGGAGACGGTTGGAGAGTACGTTTTGGGAGGTTCCAGCGGCAAAGAGAATGGAGAAGAGGGAGAAGAAAATCACGGTTTGTTCGCGAATGGTTTTGAGAATAACGGCGGAAGGGTCACGCGGTCGGCATCATCCTCTGCGGCGCGTCAGAGGAGGAGAACATCGACGTCGACGATGACGGAGAGAGAGAAGACGAAGAAGAATAAACCGATGGATGTCATCATCCTGACGCCTTCGACGGGATACGACATCCTCTCGAGTTTCACGCGATCGTTGAGAAAACGGCAAATGAAGACCGACGAAGAGAAAGAGGCGTTTTTATCCTCGCTAGTATCCATGTCTTCTTCGTCATCGAAAAAGGACGCATCAACAAGAAGGCCTCCGCCGGCGACTGTCGCGTTAATCGAACGCGAATTGAAAATAAATTTCCTCAAAAACCAACTCCCAACTCCGGAACTCCTCGTCTCCGTCAGCCAAATCTTCTCGGTCGGTAAATTCCCGGGTTATTTACTCTCCAAGTGCGAGTTAGCGCACGTGGAGTCCTTGAAGAGGATGAAGGATACATCGACGCAAAAGAAGATTTTGCGAGACTACTTGCGGTCTTTTCAAAGGTTCGGTACTTAGAGAGAGAGATTAACGATAGGATGTAGAAAGAGAGAGCTGGCGTAGAAAAAAGAGCATGAGTAGAATACTACGAATACTAGGTTTAGAAGATACTTTTTACGGATGATGTTCCCATCTTACGTCATTCGCGAACGACCGACGCCGTTACAAGCAGGGAAAAAATCGCCTCCTCCTCTCTGTACGCCGCCACTAAAAATGCACGAAACGAAACAACAACACCACTGATACTATGTCGTCGTCGCATCAACATCATCATAATAATAATCCATCGCACTCAAACGTGCATTTCGAAAGCTACTACCGGCATCAACTCTTCTCGAACGACGAAAAAGCGTTCCAATCGTTGCTTCGAACGTTATCTAAACCGTTACCGTTAACGTTTCGAATCACGAAAAATGCGCACCACGAGTGCACCATCAACGCGCTGAAAAGAATCATCGAAAGTGAACAACAACGGTTACACGTTCGAACGATTTCGTTCTTAAACGACCCGCGGACGTTTCAAATCGATAACATCGCAGTAAACAACGATAACGGGGGTGGAAACGAAAATGATTTGAAAACAAAACATCCAAATGTGCATCAGTTTTTAGTGCGCGCAAACGAAGGCGGCGATTTGAGCCGGCAAGAACTCGTCTCGATGATTCCGGTGAAACTGTTAGACGTAAAACCGAGTCACTTAGTCCTGGACTCGTGCGCATCTCCCGGTTCGAAAACGTCCCAAATATTAGAAGTTATGCTGAGTAAGAACGCATCCGGTGCGGTCGTCGCGAACGACGCTTCGTTACAGCGCGCGAATTTACTCACGCATCGATGTTATCGACTGGAAGCGGCGGCGAAGAATTTAGTAGTCGTAAATCACGACGCGCAAACGTTACCATTAGAGTTGGAGAATACGTTCGATCGAATCCTTTGCGACGTGCCTTGTTCGGGAGACGGGACGTTGCGTAAAAGTACGGATTTATGGAAGAAGTGGTCGAATTCGAGCGGCGTAGAGTTACACTCGATTCAAGTGAACGTCGCAACCAGGGCGTTGAGATTGCTGAAATACGACGACGGCGGGGGAAGGCTCGTCTATAGCACGTGCTCTCTAAATCCGTTGGAAAACGAAGCAGTCGTCGTGGAGTTGCTGCAGAGAAGCCGAGGCGCGATCAAATTAGTCGACTGCTCAAAAATGCTGCCAGATTTGAAACGATTGCCTGGTTTGACGAAATGGTCCGTCCAAGATTTAAAAAACGGGAGATGGTACGATACGTACGATTCGTATCTTAAAGACAACAACAACAACAGAGCAGGCCAAAAAAGTAAAATAAGAAAGAGCATGTTCGCTAACACCAACAATCACAAACACAATCTGGACAGATGTTTCCGCATTCACCCGGATTTGAATGACACCGGCGGCTTCTTCGTCGCCGTCTTTGAAAAAATGAAACCGTTACCGACGGAAATGATTGACATCGACGCGAAAAAAGAACAAAAGTTATCGAGGACGACGAACGCGAACACCAAAAAGTGGGCGAGTGCAAAGATTGCGCCGGTATTTTGCGTAAAAACAGACACAGAATTCAAAGCAGTCATTAAACGAATAAAAGCAAAGTATGGATTTGATGCGAGAAAGAAGGAAGAGAACGGAGGGGTGGAGATAATCACAAGAAACAATACCGACGTTGTGCCGAAACGACTCTATTGTCTCTCCAAAGGCGCGAAATTGATTCTCGATAAGTGCAGCAGAAATCAACAAGAACAACAAAAACTTCGAATCCTCGCATGTGGCTTGTGCTGCTTTGAGCGACAAGCGGTAAACAAAGGATTAAAAAGTCAATCCGACGATACCGATTGCGAGTTCCGCTTCACGCAAACGGGCTGTGAACTGTTCCAAGATTCCATCTCGAAGCAAGTCGTGCGCGTGTCGCCTAAAGAGTTGGAAAGCATGTTAGCGAGACAACAACAAAAACTATTGACAACATCGAAGAACGCGCCGCTGTGTATCGACGACAAAACGAAGAAAAAAGTCCTGAGCGAATGCCAAAGAGGCTGCGTCATTTTAGCGGTGCGAGCGAAGAGTTCAGGATCTGGGAATAAAAGGAAATTAGTGGAGGAAGAAGTCGCGGCAGTTAGTCCGGTGACCATCGCCTGTTGGTTTCCGCCGTCGAAAAAAAGTCGATCAGATGGTATTAACGATATCGACGACGACGTTACTTTGACTTTAATGTGTTCCAAAAGCGAAGGCGAAGTACGACTAGAACGATTACGAGAACTTGGGAAATTGAAACTTGTGAACTAAACACGACATTGTACAAAATGTAGAGATTACAACAGACTAGAATTGAACAGGGACGACACTGTATCCACCTCCAGTTTATCAACAGAATCACTTTTCATCGTCCAATCGCACTTATTCGCGGCCGCGATGCATTCAATCAGATACCATTTTGCCGATGTCGTCGCTTGCGTGTAAACGTAAAATTTCATTTGCGTCGCGTCGCCGCCGGATGCTGCCGTAACGAACCCGTTCGATTTTAATCGATCGATGAAAACCGACGTCGATTGCGTTATTAAAGCGCCGAGTGATGGAGAAATCATCACGGATTGGTTCTTCGCGACTTCTGGAAAGAGTTGCCAATTGAGTTGAAATTGAGACGGATCGAGGAACGGATTCGGATTCAGCGATGATGATGACTCTCTCTCCTCGTCGTCCGCCGCTTCAAAGTCATCGAACTGTAACAGAGACGTTTCTTGATCTAATTGTTGTTGTCGCTGCTGCGCTCGTTGTCGAATGGTCTCTTCCTCTTCTTCTTCCGTTTTCGTTAAACTACTACCATCGATAAATTTCTTCTCTTCGAGCTCGTAGGTGATCGCCAGCGTGTCCATCTCATTGAATAAACGATCGAATCGTTCTTGTTCTTCCAACTCTTCGCTGAACTGCACCGACCCCAATTTACTGTGGGCTAAAAGTAAATCGTTAGCAATCTTCCTAGACGACGAGGAGGAGCACATCAAGCTTCCGTATACGCTCGCGGTCGCGCGCGCGGTCGAGTCCGAATCTTCCGTCGCGCACCACTTCAAACACGTCCCAAACGCCTTCCTCATTTCCGGCGCGCGTTTGCAAAACAATTTTAAGGATGCAAAGAACGTTTCCGTTCGAATGGATGGATACACTTCCTCTGGTAAGTTCTCAATCGAAGATTCTAACGCGTACGGTGCGGAGTCGATAAAACCAGAAGCGCCGAATTCACCCAGGAGCCATAACAATATCGATCGAGCTCTTGTTATAGATTTAGTCGTCGCGCTTGAAACAACACCACTGTGCGCTTGAGGAAACATATCAAGCACGGAAAACTGTACGGATTCTAACGCGCTTTCAATAGCTTGGCAACAAATGGATCGACACTCTTTCGATTCTTCTTCTTCTTCTCCATCTTGACTCGTCGCGCATTGTCGCAAACACATACCAATTTCGATTAAACTATCCGCTTTCGAGCTCGGCGAAGTCGTTTCCACAAACACATCGCATATTTTCTTCGTCACCATCAACCTCTTCTCTGCGTCCATCATCGCAAAACTCTCCTTCTTCTTCCTCGCCACGCGACCGATGGCTTTCATTGCCAATCTCGCAAAGTGTTCGTCTTGGACGTCGTTGACGTATTCGAACAACTCGTCGACTATTCGCGTGCAATTTTGCGCATCGGCGATTAACGATAACGTTCTCAACTTGCATCTTTTAATTTCGAACGAATCTGCGTTGACTCGGACGTAAAACGATTTATAATCCGTGACGAACGCAATCGGCGCCCGATAGGCGAGGAGCTTCAAGTGCGCCCAAACCACGGCGGACGTTTCGACGCCGCTCGTTTGCGCGGTGGCTAACGTTAACAGAGACGGTTTAATTCGTTCATATACGCGTTGATGCGTGGACGGGTCATTCTTGGTCAGCTCGAGAAAGATTCGAGAGGCGGCTAACGCTATGGAAGTGTTCGGCGAGGATATTCGCGACTCGAGACTGTTCATCCACTGGTACTTCACGTCGTCCGGTAACGGCGGTATTTTTTTACTATTGCTCGCATCGTTCGCCAAGACGGCGTAGCTATGCGTCAGTTTCAAGACTAAATGTTGCGATAACTCGCCAAAGTCGCGGATTTTGTTCGTCAACGCGGTGAGTAAAGCTACGTTTTGTAACCGCGGGTCGGATTCTCCAAAGATTTCCACGACGGTGACTAAAGCGTTAGCGACGACGTTCGCGTCGCGGTCTTCGAGTAAAAGTTTCTCAACCGTTGCTAATATCCCAGATTCTGTAAACGCATTCAAAATGTCCTCATTTTCCGCTCCATTTCTTCCGGAAGAAGAAGAAGCGCAACACAACCGATACACTTTCAAACACCCCAGGCACGCCGCTTTCCTCGCGTACGGATGCGCGTCCCTCAACCCTTCCTTCACGCACTCGATCGAATACTCCACTAAACTCTTGCTCCTCAAACTCGTCATCGACCGAATCGCTAGCCCTCGTATTGTTGGATCTTCGTGTTTCGTATCTTTTTGCAGCGTGTTAATCGTCATCATCGCCAGTTCTTCGCTTTCTTTCGATTTGTCCGAGTAGACGCCGATGTAATGGTACAACATTTTTTTCGTCGCGATGTCCCCGGTCGCCGCGTTCATGAGAACGTCCGCGAATAATGAGGACAGGTCGATGTTTGCCGTTAACGCTTGTATCACTCTGTTGTTGTTAAAGAGAGAGAGGGGATGATGTTGTCAGTAAAGTAATGTAAAGTAGTTATTCGACACACCTTTGAAAAATCCCTCGTCGTTTCTCCTCCGCGGATTGATTTGCCCCGGACGACGAGGAGGATTGACCGGCGTATTTCTTGAGGAGTAAAGAGAGTTCGTGGAGTTCGTCTCGTTTGCGCGGTTGCGCGTTGGAGGAGGACGACGGTGCGGCCGATGATGACATTTGTTCGTATTCTAATTTAGAGCGTCGTTTTTGTGCGTCAAAATGGAGAAAATTCCAATTGGAAAAAAACGCCTCCTTTTTCAGAAATGGACATGCGAGATCATCATTAATTATATCGCGATATAAAAAAAAAAGAAGAGAGAGAGAGAGAGAGTAAAAGAAGAAGGCGAACTCGTGGAGTATTCGATATGAATGTGTCGAGTGGAGCTGTGCCGACGAGATTGGGGAAGAGGAAGGTTGGTCAGAGAGATTCTTTGTTGTGGGATTTGATCGTGAATAATAACGACGATATTTGTTTCACGCATATTCTTCCGAGACTGAATGGGACCGATCTTAAATTCTTGTACGAGGTGAATGAGGAGACGAGAGCGTTGATTAAGAGATCGTCACGCGCGGGGGATTTGAAAAAGAGGTTTAAAGTGAGAGAGATGTCGTCGATATCGACTTTGGAGTTCGCGTGGGAGAATAAATCGTGGTGGTCGGGATACTTGTGGAACGAAACATCTTTCTGCTTGCAAGTTGCTAAAACGAATAAACTCGAGTTGCTCAAGTGGGCGCGAGAGGAGAAAAAGTGTAAGTGGGATTTGAGAACTGCCACTTGGGCGCATCAAAATGGTCATCTCCACATACTCGAATATCTTGTTGAGCGTAAGTATGATAAATTTGACGAAGATGCGTGTGCGTATGCAGCCAGAGAAGGTCACTTGGACTTTTTGAAGTACTTGCGCGAAACCGCCAAGGCGCCGTGGGACTATTGCGCCGTACGAGCAGCGCACGCGAAAAACCAACCCGAGTGTGTACAATACCTCCTCGACAACAACTGTCCTCTCCCACCCTTTTGGCGATACGAACACGGAACGTTATACGACTCCGAGGACGAAGAAATACACTAGCTCTCTTTTACGTTTTTTGTTCACCGTTCGACGGTTTTTTTTCAAACTTCACACCATTTCACACGAAAAGAAAAGCAGACGCACCTACGCACAGAAAGGCGCGCTCTTGATGGTGTTGCGAAAAGCATCTCTCGCGAAAATGAGAGCGTTGACGTCTCTCGAGTGCAGCACGTCGTCGGTTTGTTCTCCTGACGGATACTCGCAACGTTCTTTGAGCGCTCTTTTAATCGCTTTGGCATCGTTTACGTCGTCGTCGTCGTCGCGTTGTTTTCGTTCTCATTCGACGAATCATCATCTCATTCGTCGTCGGTCGTTGTCCTCTGTTCGGTTTGTTGCAAAAGCGTCGTCGTCGGCTGGAAATAATAATAACAACAACTGCGACGACGAGAGCAACGAGCGAGAGAAAATTCAGTTTGAGTATTCCGAGAACACGGACCCAGTCGTGAACGAGAATTTTATCGCGCCTAATTTTGGATATAAGCGACAGTATAAAGGTGAGAGTATTTACACATTCGGATGGCGGTCGCGGGAATGCGTATGCCGCCGCCATACTTTTACTCACCTCTCTTCTCTTCTTTTTTTACGCGACGATATCAAAAACAGTTGGTCACGATATACTCAACACGGGCGAACCGTTAGCGGCTTCCGTAACCACCATAACCTCCGCGGCGACGTCGTCGTTTGCCAACGCCATCTATCGATTGGAAGTGACGACGGGCGCGTGCAGAGGTGCTGGGACTTCCGGGAGAGTGAACGTGATTTTGATCGGCCAAGATGGACTTACGTATCCGTTTGATTTAGAGTACACGGCGGGAGATGCGCCTGGATTCGCGCGAGGGTCGACGTTGCCGTTTCGGGTGGCTGTGGCGGCGCATTTAGGACCGATTCGGAGGGCGAGGGTGAGATTGTTGCCAGATAGCACGTCCACTGGGAGAGGGTGGTTTTTAGAAGATATCGGTGTCAAATGCGAGAAAACGAACGAGTCTTATAAGTTTACCTGTCGAGACTGGTTTGGACCGTCCGATGCGGACGATACGGTGTCGCCGTATAATCGAGATTTGGAAGTGACGACGGTAAAGAATGACTTTGAAGTCGCGTTAGAAAGAGAACAGAGGATGAAAGTGAGAAGAGAAAAGGGCGATTTCGTCTTTGACGTCGGAGCGGCGACGATTCCTCACCAAGATAAGATTAAAGAAGGTGCGAGGGCAAAAATGTCGAAATCGTTCGGGTACGGCGGAGAGGACGCGTATTTCGTCGAGACAAAGAACGATGATTTAGAAAGCAGCAACGAGTTGTCATTAGGCGTCGCAGATGGCGTGTACATGTGGCGATGGGAAGGCGTGGATGCTGGTTTATATTCCAGGGCGCTATTGAGAGAAGCTGCGAAGATATTTTTGAGCGGTTCAAAAGTTGCAGATGGATCAAAGTCGACGGAGGCGTTGTCAGATAAGGCCGCTTCATCGTCTTCTTCAGAAGCTTCAAAGTCTACCACCCATCCATTGTTTATGCTTGAACGAGCGTTCCAAGTTGTCGCAGAAAAGAACGTGAAAGGGTCCACGACGTGCGTACTACTCACATTAGACCCGCGATTGGGCGTGTTGAATGCGGCAAACATTGGCGACAGCGGCTATCTGGTTGCCAGATTGAATCCAGACGCTTCTTCTTCGTCGTCGTCGTCATCATCATCATTATCTACTAGCAACACCGCTCCGTACTTGTTGAGCAAAGATGAAAGCAATGATGATGGAAAGCCGCAAAGGTTTATCGCGTATCGTTCTCCTCCTCAAGAACACGATTTCGGTCGCCCGTTTCAACTCGGTCATCATGAGGCTACCGATAAGCCGTCGGACGCGATGTTGTCCACCTTCTTCTTAGAAAACGACGACGTGATTGTCGTCGGCACAGATGGACTGTGGGATAATGTCTCTGAAAAAGAGATACTTGCGGTTATCGAAAACCGCATAAAATCTAGCTCCGCATCATCATCATCATCATCATCATCATCATCATCATCATCATCATCATCATCATCTCTCGGTTCGAATCAAGCGTTCTTGAATAAGAAAGAAGTCGACGCGTGCGCCAAGGAGTTGACCCAAAAAGCTTTTGAACACGCGAACGATCGATCGAGAACGACGCCGTACAGTTTAGCGGCTACGGAATATTTCGATATGGTATATAACGGCGGTAAGAAAGACGATATTACCGTTTTAGTGTGTAAGATTAAAAATCGATACCAGTGATACTCTTTCGTTGCTTTTTTTGCAAATAGAGAGAATGAGAGAGAAAGAGGAAGCCAAAAATAGAATTTCTCCTTCACAAAAAGGCACGCAGACGAATACATGTTTAAACAACGTTGTAATAGCGAGTTCGTAGACGCCGTCGAGCACGCCGAGCACGTCGCCAAACCAAGCAACGATGAAGCCAAGAAAAGCAACGTCATTTGGTTGGATGCGTTACATCAACAGCAGCAGTCAAACGTACCGACGAATACTCAAAATCCGTTTCCTTCTTCCGAGACTGAATTGACTATGTCCTCGAAAGTTAGCCACAATGCAACTATTTTGCGCGAATACTGCAAAGTCTTGGGTGAACTCGAGGACGAATACGTGAAGGTTCAGAAATCGAAAGATAGATTGACGAAAAAATTGAGCGATTTGCAGTCAAAGAGCTCCACGTCAGCGTTGACGGGAGGTTGTGACGAGTCGGTGTCGGAAACGCAGGAAATGTTGTTCGTCTTGTCCATCGGGGCGTTTATTGGTTGGGCCGCAACGAGAATGATATGTAAAGAGTAATCGGAAAGAAGTCGACGGCTTTTGATGATGACGAAGATGAGTGAAAGAGAAAGAAAGAAAGAGTACATGCTGTGTATATACTGGTAGTCATATTGTCATATTTCCTAAAGCGGCGCGGCAGTAATCCAATTATAAAATGGTGAGTAGTTTATAAAGTCACCACGGTCAAGTTCATCTCCGATTTCCATACGTACCCATCTCCTGGAAGTACCACTGGTTTCACCGCGCACGCACTTTCCACGCACGCGAATTGTTTATAGCACTGCGGCATGTTTTCGTGTGGATTCCAAATCACGTGGTCCCTCCACCCCGTCGTGTTTTCCACGCTCACCGCGGCGCCGTTACCGACGTGCAAAAGCACCTCTGGATCTGTATTCAAGAATATCGAGTCCACTAGTTTCGTACCAAACGTCACCCTATCTTTGTCGTACGTCATCAACGGTGGATTCTTCGCGTCTATCTCTTTATCCATGTACGATTTACCCTTCAAGTTCCCTTTGACGTACACGTTTTCCGAATCCGTCGCGTCCACCACCTCGATGTAACTGTGCAACGCCGCGGTAAACTCCAACTCATCTTTCAAATCATCCGCGCAATTCTTCACGCAAAATTCGCATTTCAACTTCTCCCTTCTTAAAGTTACCTCGTACGTGCACTCAAACTCAAACGGCCACATCTTCCTCGTCTCCTCGTTCGATTTCAGCGACAACATAACCGCCGGTTCCGGGTCATCCGGATTCACGTCCGCGGAGGTGCCTATGACTTCCCATCGCATGTTTCGCGCGAACCCGTGTTGTTGCGACATTGGACCGTTCATTCCGAATTGCGGGAAACATATCGGGATTCCACCTGTTTAAAAAGAAACGCGGGTGGTAAGCGTCTAAAATCACCTAAATTGAAACAACACGACTCACCCGCAATTGGAACCGATTCATCAAATTTCGCATCTGGTCTCACAAACAAAACCTCGTCGCCCGTCGGTTGCGTCCAAGACGCGCAATTCGCGCCAAACAGGTACACTTTCGCCGTGGACCCGTTTTTGTGCGTCAAAGAAACGTACGGGGAAGATTTTGTTTCATCGCATTCATCATGGAAAAACGAGACGGAGGTTGGGATGGCGAATTTCGCGTTCAAAGCAGAGACGAATTCCTCGTCGTCGTTCGTTGAAGCTTTGACGACGACGAGTTCGTCGTTGAAGGAGTGAGCTCTTCTTCGTCGTCGTCGTCGTTGTCGTTGTTTTCGCGAGGACGATGATGTTTTGAAAGAGGAGGTGAAGGAGAGCGATGATGATTGGGTGCTCGTCATTCTTATTCTTTTTTATAACGAAAAACACGCAAGTATTTTAAAATACTGTGGCTGGTTTTTCAATATTTTTTATCTTTCACCATATATGCGTTCTGAAATCGATGCATTCATCCATCGATCGCTTTGAAACTTCGCACAGAGCGAGAACGGGTGATTTTTGTTTCGCGCGCGAAATTTAAGCGCACTCGAAGCTCACGTTTCGTATGCGTTTACTAGGGCATTCGCGACATTTTTTATTTTTGTAGGGGCATTTTAACCCCCATGTACGAACGAAAACACGAGCCAAAAATACTCGTGCACTAAAAAATGTGGCTCGAGGCGGATTTAGAGGAGGTTGCCACGTGGCGATGTTTCTACCCGGAGTGAAGATATTTAGTTTGAACGACCCCGCTCGTTGGTATTCCACCGACTCCTACTCAATGTTGGCACTTTTGGTGTTTTCGCCTTTCTCGATTTCGTAGTCCACTCTTTTTTATCGAAAACACAAGTCGTACAAAAATACGCAGAGATGCACCAAAAAAAAATGTTGTCCTCTTTGAAGATGGATGCGGTGGAGAACGACTCGATACGGAAACCGAAAACCTACGTCGAAACGAACCGGAAGTTCAAACGTTTGACTTTAATAAACAACAACAACAACGGAAAAATCGTCGGTTTGGAGATTCTTTTAATCAGCGATAGGAGTTTATTAGGGACGAAAAACGAGGACGATGTCTTAAATACTGGCGGCGATGATGATGACTTCGCGGGGAAAAAAAACGAGGAAACAGAATCGGAATCAGACGAGGAAGAAGAAGAATCTGGATCGGATATGATGTCCTCAGACGATTCAGACGACGAGCACGAAGGGGCAAAAGAAGGGTTGAAAACAGCCGCCTGCGCGGTGGAAGTTTCCGTTGGGTACCTCTCCGACCCGGAGAACTTCCACGGATTGTCGCATTTTTTAGAACACATGGTGTTCATGGGAACGAGGACGAACAGGTCGGAAAATTTCTTCGACGAATGGTTGAGTCGAAATTGGGGGTCACAAAACGCGTACACGGACACGGAAAAGACGGTTTTTCACTTCGACGTGCACCCGAAACGTTTGAAAGAAGGCGTGGAAATCTTTAGCAAGTTTTTTACGGAACCGTTGATTTTGGAGCGAGCGCTCGAACGCGAAGTGACGGCGATTGAGAGCGAGTTTGAGAGGGTGGTGAATAGCGATGGGGTGAGGATGGAGCTTTTGTTAGCGGATTTAGCGATCGAAGGGCATCCTTACAGGAAGTTTGGGTGGGGGAACAGGCAGTCGTTGACGGAATCAGAGGCGTATAAGGAGAAGAATGGCGCGAGGAAAGCGCTGAAGAGACATTTTAAGGAACATTACCACGCGAGGAGGATGAGCGTGGTCGTGTGCGGGGCGGAAGAGTTGGAGGAGTTGGAGGAGATGGTTTTGAGTGCGAAAGCGTTCGGGAGTTTATGCGTGCAAGAAGAAGAGGAGAAGGAGGAAGTTGATAATGGAAACGATGATGATACCAATAATAAAATAGTCGACGAGTACGTCTCCCAATTCGAGCGAATCGATGAGGTCAATTTGAGCGACACATACGGTCAGCCGTTCGCGCATCTCGTTCCCTCGTTCGTCAAAACGTCTCAAGTGAAAACCGGTACGCAGTTGACGTTAGTCTTTCAACTGTCATCGAAGATTAACCGGAATTATCTCTCCAAATCGGTGAATTTTATTGAAACGTTATTAGGACACGAAGGCGAAGGATCGTGTTTCGAGGCGTTGCGTAAACGAGGCTTGTGTTCGGAGTTGTGCGCCGGAGTGAGTCGAGGCGGTTTAGATGATACGAGCATTTCGGCGTTGTTGTCGGTATCGATTAAATTAACCGAACGAGGCGCGACGCGAACTGAGGATATTCTTTTCATCCTCTTTACGTATTTACGCCAAATCGAAACTCTTTTATCCTCCAACGGCGCTCGATTTTACGACGAAATGCAACAAATTTCGCAAATTGAATTCGAGTATTCGGAATCCGAACACGCGTGCGAATTCGTGGAAAGATTGGTGTCGGACGTGAGACGGTTTAGCCCAGAGAACGTTTTGTACGGCGACTCGTACTGGCAAAGGTACGATGAAAACGAGATTCGCGAGGTGTTGTCGATGCTCACGCCGGAAAACGTTTTAGTCATTTTAGCGAGTTCGGAGTATAAAGGAAACGACGCGGCTACAATTGAACCGTGGGTAAAGTTTCCGTACGAGGTCGAGTCTTTTAAATATACCGCTTCGACGTCGGACGCTCAAGATATGCAAAAGGTTGAGAAGGAACTTGGATTTCCGAGTAAAAACAGGTTCATTCCGAAAGATTTGCGTATGCATAACGAGATCGAGAAACTTTTTCCAGTAAACGGAAACGATAGTATTAACACAACCACCACCACCAGCACCACCAATCACGCGACGTTAGAAGTCACTCCGAAAATTATCTACAACGAGTGCGGCGTGCTCCGTCTTTGGGCTAAACTCGGATGTCGCGAGTTCAAGACGCAACCGAAAGCGAGCATGTATTTCAACGCCAATTTACTCGTCGAAGAAAGCGTTCACGATACCATGTGCTTGAAAATGTTCGCGCTAATGCTTCAGGATTCCGTGAACAAAGATATATACTACCCTGCGCACGTCGCCGCGAACGAGTGTTCCGTACACGTTCTGGCACAATCCACCGGCGTGTCGTTTAGATTCGACGGGTGGTCGGACACAATCTCGGAACTCGCGTTGGCGTATTTTCGAAGAGCTGCATCCGCCGATCAATCGTTCATACAAGAAGAAGACCGGTTTCAAAAAGTCAAAGAGACGGCACTACAAGACATGCAAAACATGGTTCTGAAAGTCAGGTCGCACTGCGCGATTCTTTCGAGATTGATGAAGCACGAGAAAGAGCACAGTTTACAGGAGAAAGTTGCAGTTTTGAAAGAAGTCACCTCCGAGGACGTGATTCGATACGGCAAAAAGTTCTTTCAGAACGTATTCATAGAAGGTTTGTTAGTTGGAAACATCACGGAATCTATGGCGACGAAGCTTGGCGACAGTTTGAAACAATTACTCGTCAATGCCGCCGCCACTACTGCGGGCGCGTCTGAAAACACCAGTGGCGAAGAAGTTACTCGCGGTAACAACAACAACAACAATGCTTTGGTCTTTTCTCGAGTCGTAAACCTCCCACCAGGAACGAACCATTCTATCCATGTCAACGCCGTGAACAAAGACGAAGTGAACTCTGCGATTACGCATTACTACCAAATCGGTCCATCAAATAGCGCGTCCAGAGCCATCGCTTTACTCTGCGAACAATTCATGTCGGAGAAGATATTCGACCAATTGCGAACGAAAGAGAGTTTAGGATACGTCGTTTCCGCGTATTTCGAATCTTCGAATGAAATATTAGGCTTTAACGTTCTCGTAGAAAGCGCATTCCACGCGCCGAAATTTGTTTCGGAACGAATCAAATGCTTTTTAGACGCGTTTCCATCCGTGATTGAAAATCTAACCGACGAGGAGTTTAACAAACAACGCGTGTCGTTAATGGAAGAGTTATTAGCGGAAGATGCGAATTTGCGAGAACAATCTGGAAGGTATTTCGCGCACTTAAAGAATCGAAAGTATCAGTTTCACCGAGCGAGAGACGTTGCTGGACACGTAAGTACGATTACAAAAGCCGACATCGCTCGATTTTGTCGAGAGACGTTTAGTGATTCTTCTACGAACGCATCCGATGGCGACGCGAGAAGCAAGCAGTTGAGTGTGAGCATTCACGGCAAGAATTACCCGGTGGAAGAGAAAGAAAAGTCTGAAGTGAAAGAAATCATCGCTATAAAAGGAGAATATGGCTATTATGCAACCGAGGAAGGTGACGGAGTCACCGTCCCGGAATTGTACATTCCAAGTAAGAAGATTGCAAACGCGCATTCGATGGACGTGGCCATCAGCGGCGCCTCACACGCGAATCCAGATACCACCGCGATGAACGAAGACACCATCGATGCACAAGAAGAAGGAACAAAGCAACAACAACAACAACAACAATTTTATTCGTCCAAAGTGATGAAAACCTGCGAAACGCCCTCTTGCGGGTTTTGCGGCAATGGAAAGAGGAAGATGCCGTTTAGTTTACCATCGGGAAACTAATAAGCGTAGTACACACAAAAAATATTTGTAGAAAATAGGAAAAAGAAGCGCGGCGTGCGGTGCAGCAAGTAGAGAGTAAGTGTGTGTAACTGTAAATGGTTTTCTTTTAAATACAATAATTGATATTAGTTCCATCTCCCGGCGTTTTTATTCACCTTCGCTTGTCCACTGCCACCGCCAAACGCTTTCGCTTTCTCCTTTTTCAATTTCGCCTTTTCGGCTTTGCTCATTTTACTCTTCGAGACGATTTGCGTCTTTTCAATTTCTTTCTTCTTGGCGGTCAAAATTTGGTCTCTCGACCCAGCTTTATCGTTTTTGCTCAAATAATACGCGTAATCGCCTTCGTAGTCGGTGATTTTACCTTCGTCGAACGCCAAGACTCGAGTGGCTATTTGTCTCAAGAAAAAGCGATCGTGCGAAATGGCGAGGACGGTCCCTTCGAACGATTGCAACGCCTCCTCGAGCATTTGTTTTGACGGAATATCCAAGTGATTGGTAGGTTCGTCCAAAAATAAGACGTTCGCTGGCGTGACCATGAATTTCGCTAAGGCTAATCGAGCTTTTTCACCTCCGGATAAGAAGTTTACCGGTCGGTCGTGGTAACTCGTGTTGAACGCCATGCGCCCGAGCAACGCTTTCAGTTGGTTCAGAGGTTCATCCGGCGCCGCTCGGACTAATGTTTCGAGAACGCCGACGTCCCCGTCTAAATCTTCCGCTTGATTTTGGTAAAAGTAGTTCACTTTACACAACTCCTTATCGCCTAAACGCGCTTCGCCAGCTTTGGGAGCCTCTTTGCCTTGGATTAAACGCATCATCGTGGATTTGCCGCAGCCGTTGTCGCCGATCATGGCGACGCGTTCGGATCGGTCGATTTGTAAGTTGACATTTTGGAACAACGTTTTCTCGTCGTAGCCGTGAGATAAACCGCGAACTTGCGCGACAATTTGAGAGGATCTTGGGGCATCTGGGAATCTAAAGCGTCTCGACTTTTCCTCCCATGGTTTCATGATGGGATCTTCCATGAGCTTATCCAACGCTTTTTGCGCCGCCGTCGCTCGTCCAGATTGACCTCCTCCGGCTAATCTTTGGATCAACTCCCGTTGTCTCGAGACTTCTTTGTTCCATTTCTCCCACGCCACGTACGTTTGCATCGCTTTCGTTTCTTTTTCTCTTCGATAGTCGGAGTAGTTGCCTTTATACGTGGTCGCGACGCCGCGTTCGACTTCAACAATTTTGTTACAGATTTGATCGAGAAATTCGCGATCGTGCGAGACGCACACCAAAGGAACGTCCACGTTTTTCAAATACGATTCTAACCATTGGATGGTATTCAAATCGATGTGATTGGTCGGTTCATCGAGTAATAACAAACCCGGTTCTTGTAACAAAATCTTTCCGACGGAGATGCGCATTTGCCATCCTCCGGAAAAGGAAGAGACTAATCGATCGTTATCTTCCGGAACGAAGCCTAATTCGGGCATAATTTTATCAATCAATCGTTCCATGTTGAACAAATCCATTCGATCGGCTTGACGTTGTAATTCGTTCAGTTTATCCACCAACAGTTGCGTCAATTCCGCGCTCGGGTTGTCCTCTAACGCTTTTTGTACGCGTTCGAGATTTTTTAAAACTTCGGATTCGTCCCCGAACGAGGCTAAAAATTCCTCCCTCACCGTGTTCGTACCTTTGACTTCAAACTCTTGCGTGAGGTAACCGATTTTCACGTTGTTCGCCAACAACACCTCGCCTTCGTCTTGTTCGATTTCGCCCATGATGATCTTTAGCTGCGTCGTTTTCCCGGCGCCGTTCCATCCGACCAGACCAACGCGTTCGCCTTTTTTACAATCCCAAGTGACATCCGTTAACACCTCTTGTTGCGTAAACGTCTTTTTAATGTTTTCAACTCTTACGCCGGTGGTAACCGCGCCGGCTGTTCTTTTCAACGACCTCTTTTTATCGTTTGAGAAGATATCTTTGAGATGTTCCGGGATCATGTAGTCTTCTTTGTTTTTCTTCTGTGTGGTTGGTTTTTCTTCCGTTTCATTCGTTGTTGTTTGCGCAGCTGGAGCAGCAGCGGCGGCCGTCGCCGCCGCCGCCGCCGCAGCTTCCTTCGCTTTCGCGGCATCCGCCAACACTTTCGCCTTTTCAGCCGCGTCCTTTTCCTTGGCCGCTCTCACTTCTTCCTCTTCTCGCTCTTTTTCCGCATGTTCCGTCTGTTCCGCCTCCGCCGCCGCCGCGCTCGCTCTCTCCTCTTCCTCTCTCTTCGCCTGCGCCATCGTCGCTTGCTCCGCCATCTCCTTCGCCTCTTTCTGCGCCAACTCGTACTCTCTCTTTTTCGCCTCGAGAAGCGCCGCTTTCTTCTCCTGCGCCAAACGCTTTTTCTTCGCGAACTCATCTTCTTCTTCTTCCTCCTCGTCTGCTTGTCCTGTCGTTGCTGCTGCTGCTACTGCATCCGCTTCGGCGACTACGGGAGTCTCTTTGACTTCTTCTCGTTCTTCTACTTCTCGTTCTCGTCGCGGCGGCGACGGAGGAGGAGGAGGAGTCGACGGAGGCGTCGATGGTAACGGTGACGGTGGCGCCGCTGCTTTCGCCGGCGTCTGCTTCTTTTTATTCTTCTTCGCCTTCCCAGCCGGGACGAAATCATCATCAAAGTCGTTCTCCCAATCGAATTTTTGCTCTTGTGCGGCTCCTCCTTTCTTCTTCGCGTTCGTTTTTATCGAGTCCCTCCTCTTGAAAGAATTCTCATCGCTCAAAGAGGCTTTTGCAACGACGACACAAACAGATCTTTTTGGACAATTTCGAGATCGTCCGGTAATAAAGGTGGTCGGCGACGTGAACGAATGCATTCTCATCGTCATCGTATTTTGGATAAAATGGAAAAACGCAATTCTCTCTGTTAAGTGTTGTTGCGTGAGATATATACTTAAAAAGCAATACTCGCTTTTAAAGACAACGCTTTTCTCTCTCTGTGTGTGTGTTTTTGTCTCTTTTGTCTTTCTCTGAAAAGTCTCTCTCTTCTTTTCTGTTGTGTGTGCTTCTTCCGCGCGTAAAAAAGTGTTCAACTCTGATGTCTCTTCAGACGGGAAGGACGACAAAAAAATTTGGAGTACGACTGACGTACTAAGAGTTTAGGGTGTAAGTACGTAAGCCTACCTCAAATTGAGCTTCGTAAGTGCTTCTTTCTTACTCGTGAGTGCTTCGTTCTTACTCGTGAGTGCTTCTAAGGTTTTTCGCCTGAACATCCTTCAGAAAACTTAACAAAGAAAGCTTTTCGAGTATTGAGGCTCCGAGAAGAACGAATGCGATGAAAGTTGCGAAAAGGAGGAGGATCATCGAAATTTGAACGACGAGAGATGAAATAGAGAAAAAATGGCGGGAGAAGAGGAGGAGAAGAACAACCACGCGGCGGAAGTCGCGTACGCGCGATTGGTTTCCCATTTTTCTCATCATCATCGAACGACCAATGATAACACGAGAGAGGACGACCAAGTCGTCGCGCGAATGCACTCGTTATCGCAAGTGCTGGAGGAATTCACGGGTCCTGTCGAGAGGAGAACGGTCGGTGTGCGTTCGGTCGTGTGCATCGCGAAGAAGTTAATCGAGAGAGGAGGAGACGAGGAGAACAACGTCGAGAAGAGGCACTTTGGGTACTCGATTTTACAACGACTTTTAATATCATCGGCAAAAACGAGCAGCGAAGAGGAGGAGATTTTTATGAAGAACGAGTTCACGAATATAATTTCAAACGAGTTACGTTTGACGTCGCGAGATGGCGCAAAAGTGCCGTACCCGTTGAAGTCGAAAGTCGCGCAGATTACGGCAGAGTTTATTAAACGAGAAGGTTCGACGGCGTGGATCGCGTTTAGCGAAACCATCGCGAGGATGTTGCGATCGGCGGATGCGTACGAGTGCGAGTTAGGGGCGATTATCGCGAGATACGTGGCAGAAGACGTGGCGTTGCACTCGGACGAGGTGTTTGCGGATAAGGTGAGAGATTTGTTGGGTGGAATAACGCAAACGATTGGAGAGGTGACGGGCGCGATGCGAGAGGCGTGGGAGAGGCATTTTAGTAACAATAATGTCGGTGCGCCGGAGATGCAGAAAGCGTCCGAAAATTGCGCCTTGGCTGTTTTAGAGGCTATCAGCGTGTACGCGGAGTGGGCGCCGTTAGTGCCGCTGGTCCGGAGTGGACTTGTGGATATATGCTGCGTGGCTTTGTTGGTGCGCCTTTTGATTTCTCTTTTGATTTCTCGCTTTTCGCTTCTCGCGCTTTTGCCGATGATGATGCACAATTTTTGGATCAACCATCTGAACATCCACCGTGAGGATAAACTTTACAAAAACATATTATATGTCTGAGGCATCGCATTCACCGCTCTTCTTTCTGCTCATCTCTCTTTTTGCTCTGTGCATGTGTGTGTATCTATCTGTGCGCGGCCTAAAATACTGACGAGGCGAAAAAATTACTCCTCTTCTTCTTTTTCGTTTTACCCGAAACAGAGCAACATCAACGAATCCGCGTGCCGAGCGCCGGCGGCATCAGCCATTAAGCACGTTCTCGCTCGTAAACCGTTACCGGAGGATGTTCCTCAAGACGATCGAGCGGTTGTTTTTATGGCCATATCTTCGTGCGTTCGCGCAGTGGCGACACATTTAGATGTCGTTTTAGCGCAAGAATACATCGCTTTGGACAACGCGGATGCGTACGAGCAGTGCGCCGAATTGGCATGTCAAGCGGCGTCAGTGCAGGTTTTACACACGCTAAGTCGCGAAGAGCAGCATCAACAACATCAACACCAACAACAACAGCTAGAGTTGGTCGTCGCGTTGCTCGAACGGTTAGCTATGTTAGTCAGGATCCCCAACTTGAGGTCGTTGGAGACGGTGTTAGGAGCGTGGACGGCGTTATTGCGCGCGAACGGAGCAACAGTGCCAAAAAAAGGACACGCGACGACGACTTCCTCTATGGCGCCGCCGTCTTCGTCATCGCCATCAACTTCAACATCCTTAAAAGTCCTCCCGCCTGGTGCCGTTCCAGCTTTGCTGGACTATTGCGTCGCGTGGCTTCGCGCTGGTGGTGGTTTAGCCGGCGGCATGGATCCGGCTGGCACGCACATCGCCAACGAAAGAGAACAATGGGAAGACACGTTCGAAACGTTCGAGGAATTGAAAACGCAATGGATTATCAATCGCGCGAAAGTGATGGAAGTTATCAAACTCTGCGCGAATCTGGACCCACAAAGTGCGTCGAGGAAGTTGTTAGAAACCGTCGATGGGGCTCTAGAATGGTTGAAGAGCGTATCAACGTCGGCAGATGGAGGGGAAGATTCAGGAGACGAAGGCAAAGCGTGTATTTTAGAAGGTGTCCAAGCGTTCACGGAGTGCATCATGCTCGTTTTGCCCATCGAAGAACCGCAAGCATCGAGCGTGGTGATAGAAATAGAAAACTTAGTCACGAAAGCGCTCGCGATGACCGATCAATCTTCCCAAAGTGGTGGAATCAGATTAGGCCCGCAAAGTTTAGCGCAATACGCGAAAATTTTAGAGTGTTTTGGACGCATCGGTTTGGTGCGACCAAATTTGGCGCCTCTGTTGGTAAAGAACTTGTTCGATTTGCTCGGCACTGTTGCGGCGGAGGACGTTTCCGCGCCACCGGTTCGAGGTAAAGCTCGAGTGAAAAGGACGCAATTGGCGAGACAGAAGATTTGTTCGGCGATGTTGAACATTTGCGCGACAGTGCCAGAGGTACGAAAAAACTTTTTGTGTGCTGGTCACATTTCCTCTTCTTCCTTATTTAATTCGTCTTCTTAAAACTTTGTCGCGGCGTATTACAACTGCGGCAGAGCTATGCAAAGGCGAGAGATTAAAATCAGCGTTTTCCTCTTTCATGTATTTGCAATATCTTTCACAGAGAGATTGAAGTTTTGCATCGGAGGAAGCGCTACATGTTTCCTACTTTTCTTTTCCTTCTTTTTCGTTCGTAACAACAGAATCAAAAGCAACATCAAAAACATTTACTGACGCACTCTTTCTTTCATTCATATTTATACAAACAGGCGCTCAACCCGCACCTGGAACCGTTGGCAGAACAAGTCGAAAGTCTCCGATCCACGGGCAACTTGACCGGCGCGGAGAGAGGAACTTTAGCCGAAGCTTTATTAGCAGTGGCGACACCGAGTGGTCCAGAACGAGTGATCCAAGTGCTCGATTGGTTGTTAGCGCCGGTGAAAAGTAGATGGTACAGCGTGGAAACTGGAGCAGTGTTACCGCTGGTGGCAAATTTGACCACGCCGGAAGCGTTTATGGCGCAGGAGCAACAGCAACAGCAACTCTCGAACGTGCACTGGGATCTCTTTCACGACGTGCAGTTGCTCGAAAGGTGCATGCGACGGTGTTTACCGGGCAGTAGCGCGCAAGCAGCGCAGAAAGTGGTTCAAGAAGCGCCCGGAGAGCAACAACAACAGCAACAACAATCCGTCTGTCTCATATTGGAACACGTCGAATGGGCTATCCTCTTAGCGACGGAGATGCACCGACTCGTAAGACAAATCTATACGCCAGGTTTGCAATCGCAAATGGTCAGCTCGAACTTAGCAGAATCGTTGCAGCCGTCTTGGGAAGAGTACGCAGCCTCGTTGAAGCCAGGTAAATTGAAAGAATTCGCCTTGGAACAGGCGGAAAATCAAAACGCAACGCAGCTGAAAGTAGTTTCCGTTCGAGATTGGCTTCGCGTGTTACGAGACGCGAGTTTGAATATCATCAATTTGGTTTTGTTACACGCGAGTGAGATGACGTATTCGAACCCGTCAATCGCGGGGAAGATGCAGACAGTCATAGCCACCGATTTAGAGGCACAAAGAGACGACCAAGTGAGGACGATGGTGCTTTTGTTCGTAAGGCCGGTACTGTCGAGATGTCCGGCACAGTTTCGCCAGATTTGGTTTCAAGCGTTGGTTGCGCCGATATTGCCAGATTTGTGCCGACGCGTGGAAGCTGGCTGGACGACAGCGGGTGCGAACAAAGCAACTCTTTCGACTCCAGGAACAACAGCGAATGAAGCTCTCGACACGTCGTCGGATGTATCCACGTACGCCACGCTCGTCGCCGAAGCTTACTCCGAACGCACGTTGCGCGAAATTTCTCGAGAGTTGGGCTCGATATTAGAACTCATCGTCGCTCCAGGCGGCACTCTCGGTCGACGCACGAAAACTGCATCTACCTCAGATACCGAAAAAGACGCCGTTGCAGGTGGCAAGCACTTGATCGATTGGATGTGTTCGCAAAGTGATGTGCAAGTAGCCCAAATAGCCATCCAAGCAGGCACTTTGGCGTTGAAGATTGACGATTTAGAAACAGTTTCTAAAGCCATCTTGTTTTGTCGAGGTTTAGTCGCCGCCGCTTCCGCGCAAGACCCGCGCATTGGCGAAGGGCTCGCGGAATCTTGCGGCGGCGAAATCGTACTTGCCGCCGTGGCGGCTTTGAGCAAATCTTTGAATTCTTCCTTACAAGCGGAACTTTTGAGTTTGATTTACGAAGTTTTAACGAAACACGCGAGGACGACACAATCAGTCCCGCACGCTATGCTCTGCATCCCAGGCATTACGGAGAGCGTATTGATGAACACTTTGGAGGAAATAAGCAAGTGTCGTTCGGAGAAAAAAGCGACTGGATTGGTGAAAAATTTATTGTTATCGATACCGGGAGAGGAATTGAAAGTTTTAGCAACTGGCGATAACAAAAAGACAATTTCAGCGATTCAAATTCCAACCAACAGTAAAAGAAGGCAAAGTGACGGTGGAAACGCGAGTGAACCCGTGAAATCATCTTGGACGGAAAACGAAGTCCACGCCGGGTTCCAGTTGTTTCAATAGCGATTTTTATTAAATTTTATACGCAGCGCAACTCTTTTTGAATTTAATGTACACGTGGACTCCTTCTTTCTCTCAATCGACGTTTAACGCACGTCGACAAATTTTTCTTTTTCGTCGCTCAACCACGGCACGTTTCCGCACTCCAACTGATTTTGCAATCTTAAATCGTACACGATGTTCCGTTTCCTCGGTTTGAGCGCCGGCGTCACTTCGCCTCGCAACACGTTTTTCAAATCGCACTTAAATTCGCCGTTGTGAAACCACGGGTGCGAAAAATACGCGTCCATCGCGTCACCGCCTCCGGCGCCTAGTCTAGCTAACTCGTCTAATCGTAGAAGTTTTCGAACAATGTCCACGGTATCGGCGTCGAACCAGTGCGGACACCAGACGCCACCGTTTGCGTCTACGCTAGTCACGGCTTCGTATAACTCAATGTGGTTTCCTCGGACGTTCGCGTACGGCGTCGCTCCCGAGCATAATTCATAAATCAAAACTCCCAAACTCCACAAATCGGCTTCGAATCTACAGCCTTTTTTGCTCATGACTTCCGGGGACATGTACTGACTCGTCCCGCAGAACGAGTACGCGCGCTCGTCTTCTCTTTCTAATTTCTTAGCCATACCAAAATCGGCTAAACACACGTCGCCGTTTGCTCGCAACAAAATGTTCTCTGGTTTTAAATCTCTGTAGACGTATTTTTTCACGTGTAAATAGGCAATGGCCGCAGAGACTTGCGAGATGTACACCTTTGCGTCTGAAAGAGACGGTAATCCGTGATAGACTAAACACTGAAACAAATCCCCGCACGGTGCGTACTCTGTGAGCAAATAATACGCGGTCGGATCGTCGTACGAGTGAAACAAAGTAGCTATGAATGGGCCGTTGGATACGTCCATGTGAACATGCCTTTCGTACGCGGCGTGTTTTTCCTCACCGACGGAAACCAATTTGGACTTTTGCATCACTTTAAACGCCAACAACTGTTTCGTATCGTGCAAACGAGCTAAATACACCGTCCCGCACAAACCTTTCCCGAGCTCTCTCAAAACGGTGAAATCTTTCGGGAACGACGAAGACGGCGAAATGATAACCTCTCTCAACGAGTCGTCGTATTCGGCTTCTTTATAGTCTTTGGACAAACCCGCCGCGGAGACTAAATTCGAATCGTCCTCTTTTACCGTTTGCGTTTGCGTTTGCGTTTGCGCGGCGGCCGTTCCTTTTACTCCTTCTTTAACCTCCAATTTCTCCACCTCCTCTTGCGAAGATATGTGTAACCGTCCCAACAACTTCCCGGCTCGATCTTCCTCCTCCCTCGTCTCGCTAATCTGCATCAAATCTAAAACCGACGCGTGCGAATGAATCGTAGCCGTCTTCCTCAACCCCCCGACGACGCTCCCTCCCAATTTATTATTCGTTCTTCTCAGCGGCGACCCGGGCGGCGTTTTCTTCCTCCCGCCAAAATCCTCCTCTTCCTCCTCCGTCATCATCATCGCTTTCATCGACGCCACGCGTTTCATCGGTTTCTCTCCGCCTTCCTCCTCGAAATCATCATCATCATCCGAAACACCCTTCTTCTTCGTGGTTTTGAGTTCAAATTCTTCTTTTTCTTCTTTTTCTTCTTCTTCTTCGTACTCTCGTATTTTATGCTCCCGTCGTTCCGCGTCTTCCTCGAAATCTTTTAAAGCCAATTTCATCCTCGAATTTTCTTCTCCTCCCTCGTTTTGGATAACAACGGTCTCTCCTCGTTTCTGTTTCTGTTGTTTCTGAAATTGTTGTTGTTGTTGTTGTTGTTGCATGAGGTTGGAGAGAGATTTGCTCTTCCGCAAACGCGTCGTCGTTATTGTTGTCGTCTTGTTGTTGTTATCTTTTTCTTGTTGTTGTTGTTGTTGTTGTTGTTGTTGTTGTTGTTGCGCTTGGTTCCCGCTCTTCTCATCGCCGGACTTCTCCGCCTCGGCCTCTTTTCCCCGGGGGCGGAGTTGATTCATGCGAAGAGGAGTTTAGAGAGAAATTGAAGAAAACTAAAACGAACAGCGGGAAAAAAAGAGTCGGCGGCGGGAAAAGTGCTCTCGCAAAAGCGGGCGGAGGGTATGCGTGTGCTTCGTAAAAAGTGCTCTCGCGCGCGCGGTTATTTTTATGTGATGATGTTTTCGTGTGAATTGTGTTCGAACGTGCAACCACTAGTACGAGAGAAAGAAACGGACGGAGGATAAAATCCTCTCTGCCCTAGTACCCGCGGCAGAAAGGTGTTACGTAATACTCAGACCAAACACTTTCGAAATCCACTCTCCAACTGCTCTCGATTCAAATCTCTGCCGATGAAGACCATGCGATTCAACTTTTTTTCGCCTTTTCGCCACTCGTTTCCGCTCGGTCCAAAGTTTATTTGTTCGTGGACGCCTTGAAACACAAACTTGGCGTCGCCTTGACCTTGAAAGCAAAAGACGCCTTTACTTCGGTACATGTTCGCGCTATTTTCTTGCAGCAAGTTCATCATGAACTCGTTGACTCGATTGAAATCCAGCTCGCCCTCGCACTCGATACCGACCGAGCCGACTCCGGTGAGGTCGTGAATTTTTGATTTATTTTCGTCCAAAAAACTCGGATCGTGCTCCAACGTCTTCTCCACGCTAAACGAGCTCACGCCTAAAACTTTTTTCAAATCAACCTGACTATTTTGCGTCTCGATTACCTCTGCGCTGCTATTGATCGCCTTCAGAACCTTCTTCGTTTCCTCCAATCTCTCTTTGCTCACCAAATCAATCTTATTCAACAAAATCCGGTCGGCGAAGGCGACTTGCGAGACGGCTTCGTTCACGGCACCTTCTTTCTTCTCCTCTTCCAAGTGTAAATGTACGTGCTTCGCGTCCACGAGACACAAGATAGAATCTAACTCGTAGTAATCCGCGATTTCTGGATTTAGAAAAAACGTAAACGCCACCGGCGCCGGATCCGCCAGACCTGTCGTCTCGATTATAACCGCATCGAAAGTTTTATCTTTCCGATCTTTCAACTGCATCAAAGCTCTCACTAAATCTCCTCGGACCGTGCAACAGACGCATCCGTTATCCATGCTAATGATGTCTTCTTTTTCCTTCACGTTCTCCGCGACGAGTGATTCGTCGATAGAGACCGCGCCGAATTCGTTTTCGATCACGGCTATTTTTAAGCCGTGTTGAGAGCTTTTTAGAATGTAATTCACCAGAGTCGTTTTCCCGGCGCCGAGGAAACCGGTGATTATGGTCACCGGCGTCTTCTTCTTCTTTTTCTCATTCGCGTCGTTCATGTTCGCTTTCTCGTCGTCGTCATCATCATCGGTATCCTTTTTTGGTAACGTGTCGTTGATGTTGCTTTTGCTCATTATTTTTGTCTTATTTTAGTGAAGCGTGGTGTATTTTGTTTGGGTTGTGTGTGTGAGTTGTATCGTTTTGTGTGTTGTACCTGTAAGTAAATTGTTTCATACAAAAGACAGATGTGGGTAAAATATGTGTGACTGGGCGACATCGATTTTCGGCCACTTTTTTTAGATGACCGAATGGCATATTCTTCGAAAGATGAATTTGCTACCCCAAATTTTAAAGTTTTATTGAAAATATACCAGAAAGCATAAAAAAGCAGGAAAGGCCCCTCAAAACAAAGCTAAAAGCCGACCTCCCAGACGTTACTACTAGCAATAAAATCCACAAAAAGCAGTCAACCATGGAGCAATGAACAGAGGGACACGGTAAACGTGTTTTTTTGTTCATTTGCGAGCAATGTCTCTCTTGAGAGAAGGCGAAGGAGGGGAACTCCTGACTTGAATCCAACAAAAAAGCAGTTGCTCTCACACTTTCATCTGGTAACGTAGTTAGATTTTCAGTGCTAAATTCACAAATAATAATACCTGCTCTATCTGTATTAATCAAGATCTGAAGAGAAGAGTTCTTTAAAATCTTGAAAGAAGACTTCCTCCAAGCTACTTTTAACAATATCTGCACCAGTCAACTCCCAACGCCTCGTTTTACCTCCTTGAATGAGAACACACTTCATACCAAGTGAATGTGCAGCTTCACAGCAAGAAATCGAAGCACCTAGCACCACACACCTATCACATGCCCGTTGAATCAAATTTGCTGCATAGGCATAAAGTTCTGGATCTGGTAGGCCATTGGCAGTGTCATCGCACCCCGCAATTTTCTCAACAATTTTATTATGTGAATTTGGTAACTTATCTTCATCTTCAACATCAAAGTACGTATGAATACCTAGTGAAATCAAAGTTGCCCTTAAATCCTGGCGGCTTTCAGATGAAGTTATTATGCAAGGAATATCTTGTGAAGTCATCATCCTTAAAAAGTTATGAACACCCGGTTTTAGATCTATACAACTCTTTGGAGTAGAATTTTTTTGAAGAAGGCGGCGATATTCCTTGATGAGATCACGAACAAAGTAACGATCGGTACCCCATAGCATGATTTGAGTAATGAACTGGGTTGGACTACTCCGTTCTGCAACTTTTAAATCATATTTACTTGGATATCTCAATTTTTTCTTCTGTGCTAACTTCATCCAAGCATCTTGAGAGTAGATATTACTACCTTCCACAAGCAAGGAGTCAAGGTCTATGATCAGTCCAAACCACCGAGTTCCTAGCTGTTCTAAACGTAGCAAAGGGTTCGAAATGGCAATGTTGTGATTTTGGTCAAAATCAGGGTTTTCCCCTTCATATATTCTTTCTAAGAAACATCGACAAGGTAAAAGCACTGTGCTTCTTTTAAACTTCGTGGTTTTTCCTCTATAGTTAAACGGGTCAACCAGGCTAGAACGTTTGTAATTACATACGTTGGCAACCAGGTTTATTGATGTATTCATGATGGAAATGAGTAGATGCAAACAAATAGCAGCTGAACTGGCTAGTTTTCAGAGGTCTCGATGCCTTATTTTTGCAAGAACACTTTCGCTTTTCTAAAGCGAACCATCTTTACCAAAGCGCCAGTTTCAAAAGTGCCACGAAACAACATTCCAACATTCCAATTGGTCACTTTTACTTTTCGGCTAAAAATAATGACACATATTCGGTAGAATACTAATCATGTCCCTGTTTGTCAATCCAACTTCTCTTGTTTCAAATAGGCTTTAAGTATGATTTTGTGGGAAGTGAGGAATATGTGTAAGTAAATTTGTGTCGGTGAATTGTTTCAATATGACAATATCACTTTTAAAACAAGTTGGGTCCGAAGGTGCGGGCAAAAAAGGCAGGAAGGCAGCACTTTGTAAACAAAAACAGTCTTTGAGGCAAACTCCGATTCTCCTTAAGTCCGTTTACCCTCAACTTCTACCCGTAAAATAGAAATCACAAAAAAACTCCAAAAAAAGGCGGCCCAACATACTCGTTATTATGCAACAACCTTTGTAACCTGCCCATGCCATATATTATATTCATATGAAAAGGTGCTCCCAATTTTTATCCCAACATAAGCCTGTTCCTGTAAAACTGTGATAAGAACTTGAACTTAGCGGACGGTAGAAGAGTAGGAGTATGCCTTCGATTAAGAATAAGATTTCATATTATTACGATTCTGAGGTTGGCACCAGTTATTATGCTCCCAATCATCCTATGAAACCACACAGATTAAGCATGACACATAGCCTAGTGCTTGCATATCGACTGCATGAGAATCTTGACGTTTTCAGGCCAAGAAAAGCAACGACAAGTGAGCTTGCTCAATTTCACGCTGAAGACTACGTCGATTTTTTATCAAAAATTACTCCAAATACCCAGCACGAGTATCTCACTCAAATGCAAAGGTTCAACCTGGGAGAAGACTGTCCCATATTTGATGGTTTATTTGATTTCTGCAAAATTTATTCAGGTGGCTCTATTGAAGGAGCAGTTCGAATCAACCATGGAACTTCAGACATAGCAATAAATTGGTCAGGTGGTCTGCATCACGCAAAGAAGTCTGAAGCTTCTGGATTTTGTTATATAAACGATATTGTTCTAGCTACTCTTGAGCTGTTGAAGTATCATGCAAGGGTACTATATATAGATATAGATATTCACCATGGTGACGGTGTCGAGGAAGCATTTTATCTGACAGACAGAGTCATGACAGTAAGTTTTCACAAATTTGGTGATCTTTTCTTTCCAGGGACTGGAGATTTAGGTGATATAGGAATGAACAATGGGAAATATTATTCAGTCAATGTCCCACTCCATGATGGTATGGATGATCAGAATTTCATAGATATCTTCAAGTCGACGATGCAAAAAGTCATGGAAGTTTTCCAACCTGGAGCTATTATTCTACAGTGCGGAGCAGATTCTCTCGCTGCTGATCGCTTGGGCTGTTTCAACTTAACACTTCAAGGCCACGCATCATGCGTAGCTTTTATGAAATCATTCAACATTCCACTTTTAGTTCTGGGAGGAGGTGGATACATTAAATCAAATGTGGCGCGTTGTTGGGCAAATGAAACTGCAACTCTACTTGGAAGAACTTTGGACGAGAATATTCCAGAGCATGAATTTTATTATGAATATTATTCAGATGCTTCATATCAGTTAAAAGTTCAGCAAAAGAACCCTATCGAGAATTTGAATTCATGCTCATATCTTCAAGACATTAAAACTTGTATCCTCAATAATCTTAGTCAATTGGAAGTAGCACCTAGCGTTCAGATGCATGAGTTACCTCCTGAAGCTTTTATACCAGAGCTGGATGATTCTGCGTTGAATGAAGATGAGCTATCTAGGAATATTATCAAGAATATGGCGGTGAATGAAATGGAGTCGCGTGATCGAGAATAAATGCTTTTAAGGAAGAGAGATTTTAATGGAGTGTAGAAAACACCAAGCACAAATTATGGGGACCGAAGAGCTCACCCGCACACCTAACATATATAAAGATCTTGTTTTTATGTTAGTCACAGCAAACTGAAGGAAAATTGATCTGAAGTATAAGTATGTTATCTTTCTTTTATTGATGGCGTTTGCATATATGATTTATATGTACCCTTGCGCACTTTTCTCACAGGTAATTAATTTTTTTCTGTCTTTCTCCTTCTTTCGTTTTTTTTAACTATGGCCCATTCGCGCATTAACTTTTTCTCTTTTTGTCGAGTTTATATACATGATGGCCATACGCCTGGCTTCACGTATTTATGTTGTTATTTTTACTCCTGAAAAGAGTTGATATAAAAGCGGAAAATAGCACTAATTTTTCTGATTTCCCACTCATATAAGCACGCTCGCACTCCGCACGCACGCGTATGAATCAAATAATAGACCAAGAGAGTGTTTTAAGAATCATCCGATCACTTTTCGGCTGATTTTTGAAGTTCGTTTTCAATTTCTTCACTGATACGCGAGTCGAAGTCTCGAAAGTACTAACGCTATGGCCGTTTCAACTCCCGAAGACTTTGACGTGCTCAAATCGAAAGGAAACGCTTGCTTTAACGGTTGAGTTTATTAACCTGATGCTTTTTGGCTCATTGATGTGATTGCTAACCAGAATGCTTATACTCTCAAGCCCTTTCTTTCTATTCTGATGCGTTGAAGCTTAAGAACGATCCAATTATACTATGCAACCGAGCTCTTGTACATTTGAAGTGCGAAAATTTTGGTTCAGCTCTTTCAGATAGCTCTGCTGCAATTGCACTCAATCCTCAAAATACAAAGGTATTGTACTTTTTACCCGACTTCATTTTATAGCACACTACAATATATCCAACATTCAGGCATATTATAGACGTGGTATGGCGTATTTCGCTCTTACTAAATTCACTCTGGCGGGTCGTGATTTCAAGAAAGTAAGTTTTTGTGTTTAGGATAGAGGTACCTGTATTTACATAGAAATAGTCCATTCTTTTAAGTCCAACAAATCATGCTGCACGGTCAAGATTTGAAGAATGCAAGAAGAATATTAAGAGATTAAAATTTGAAGCAGCCATATCCAATGTGAACATCAGGGTGAGTTCTGGAAGGATCGTGTTATAAATAAAGTGATGTTTTGTTTACAGGCTTCAGAAAGGCTGAACATAGACGACTTCTTCGTTGGTGAATCGTATGATGGACCATGCTTAGACCACGATGGTAAAATCACCGAGAGCTTCATAGAGAGCATGGTAGTTCATTTCAAGAACGGCAAACAAATTCACAAACGGTGATATCGTTATCAGACTTAATATTGTTTGTCATTAGCATTTTCCCTGAAGGTTCGTAGCCCAAATTCTTCTTCGGGTCAAAAAGATTTTTGAAGAGCTACCAAATATTTGTGAAGTTTCTATTCCGAACGTAAATTAATTTTGTAAATGTTGGAATTGATATTGAACCGTTCTGGCCAGGGATCTACTTTTACAATATGCGGTGATATTCATGGACAGGTATTTTAATTCATCACCCTGAATACAATAATGGAGTTATCAATCATTAGTTCTTCGACTTATGCAATATTTTTGAAATAAATGGGAAACCAACTCACGACAACACATACTTATTCAACGGAGATTTCGTTGACAGAGGATCATTTTCCTGTGAAGTTATTTTGACACTTTTTGCGTATAAATGTCTTCTCCCGAAGGTATGATTTCTGTTTCAGAGGATTTTATTTTAAAATGAATAAGTAGCATTTTCACCTTCTTCGAGGCAACCATGAAACAAACGCCATGAATGCTCTCTATGGTTTTCAAGGAGAACTCACACAAAAATATGGAAAGAGCTTCACATCTATTTTTGATGAAGTTTTTTGTACCTTACCACTGGTAAAACTTATTCCTGTGTGAACCAGAAAAATTTTTCAGTGTTCTTCCAGGGCTGCGTTCTCTCAGAGCAAATTTTCATAATGCATGGTGGTTTATTTTCAGATTCGGAAATAACTATTCAGCGATTAAATGCTATGGATAGATTCAAGGAGCCATCAGATGTAAAAGTTATTTTCCATTTCAAGTGCATTTCATTTTCTAGTCCTTTCTTAGAATGGTGTTTTTTCTGAAATCCTATGGAGTGATCCTTGTGATTCTTGTGGTAAGTTCCCAAACAAACGCGGAGTCGGAATTGCATTTGGTCCTGATATAACGAAGGTATAATTGAAGCATAATCAGATCTTGAGGGATTCACTGAAGCTTTGCAGAATTTCCTAAATAAAAACGGTCTTAAGTTAGTAATTAGAAGCCATGAAGTTAAAGATCAGGTCAGCATTTTCCACATAATAGCAATTTTATGTCATAGAAGCTTTCATGAATATTTCCTAGGGTTACGAAATTCAGCACGGCAACAATTTGATCACAGTTTTCAGTGCACCAAATTATTGGTACGAGCCTGGAACACTATTTGAACTTTATGAACTAAATTGATTAAATATAGTGACCAGATGGGGAATAAAGTATTACTTTTGCGCTTTCCGTGTGTAGTGTTTAAAATTCTTTTCTTTCTTATTCCAGGGAGCTTTCATCAGACTAAAAAGTGACATGATACCAGAATTTATTACATTCGACGCTGTTTCTCATCCAAATATTCCGGCTATGTTCTATGCTAATCCTTACACTAAAATATTATAGAAAATTTAGTAGAGGGAAACGATTTTTTGTGCCCCGTAAAGTGTAAATTTTTAATTTTATTACTGCACTGTTCCTGGTACCGTGATACACTACCAGTATAATGTTTATTTTTTTAAAGTCAGTTCTTATCCTCGGATCCACTTTCATCTTTCAAACCACTCTGTGTATCTTTTCTTGATTCGTGGGATAAATTGGAAACCTTTGGTAATCTATCGCGATTTGGGGATGCTGTTTTATCATTTCCCTCACCTTCCTCATTAGTTTGACCAGTTTCCAAACCAACATCACTATTCCCTTCTTTCAAAGCCAGAGAAGCTTGATTCTCTTGGCGAATTTGCTCCTCTTCCAAGGAAGCCCTCAAGGCAAGCATCAGGGCTGGATCTTCACCGAGATCGATCCCAGTCCCACCCATTGTATTTACGTTTGCTGTAGCAGCTGCAGCTGCAAAACCACTACCTGCGTTTGAACCCGCTGAATTAAATATATGAGTCGCAATAAGTGTATCTGCGATAGATTGACCCTGTGGGACTTTGATCAGATGGCTATTTTCATTCTTATTTACCATTGAAAGCAATGAATCTAATTTTCTTTCGTTATCCGTGCACCTGCCAAAACTTACTATATCAATTGCAACATTGCACTTTTTCAGCTTCCGACCAACTTTAAGAAGTTCCTTCTCATCATCCAATATCGGAGATCCAATAAAAACAACGATCCGCATGCGCTGGTGCTTATTCTGGCGATGTTTCAAGGCAAGATGGGCAACTTGAATACCTGTTACCAAGTTTATTTCACCCTGTATGGTTATACCATGTACAGAGTTCAAAACTTTGCCAAGATCATTTGTCGGTGTAACCAGTACACGTGGAACTTTACCGGCTAAACTCAAAATACCAACAGAGCTTTCTGGATTATTTTGAGTTTTAGCACCTGCTAGTAGATTAACCGCGTCAGCTTCCGCCTATAAATAAAGAGTCAATACAGGAACTTACATAACTTTTGGCACTGTTTCAATACCTGTAAACGGGTTGGAGCATAATCGGAATTACGAACGAACTCAGAATTATCCATGCATATCACCGTCGCTTCAAGAACCATATTGTTCGGAATGTCCTCGATTTTGAAAGCACTGAGTAAGCAATCCTTTAACTAAATCAGATCGTCTGGGAGGTACAGTTAAGCACCAAACACGACGTTTTTGTCACGTTTGCTCCAAACTCTTTGATGCTTCTTATAATATTGTGTGTGGATTTATGCATATTTAAAGCATATATGGCATGATGATATCATATGGCATATGCATGCATGCATTGTTGAAAAAGCGAAAAAAAAAATAGTAAAAAAAGCACCATATGTCATATATATGGCCAACTGTACAGTAATATATTTTGACGAGTAGACAAGAGGACAACACACGACGTGACTGACGAGCCATAGTGAGGTAAGTGCATACTTTGAGTCTAAAACTCGAGAGCGACGTGGTGCGATACCAGATAAAATAGCAGACGGGTTATAACTCCTATTATTACGTCGTGAGTCGTTTTCTGTTGCGCATACGATATCCTGTATCCCCCAAATTCCTTTTGCTTTTATACACCAACGGCACAAAGAGGAGAGAAGAGAATTATGGTCTCTTCTTCGGGAGACGCTAAATTTTTCGTCTCCACTTCTAAAGGTAGATGAACTTTTTAGAATCATTGTGCATACTCATGAGTACGGTTCTATCGAAGGAGAAATTGCTGAATGGCGTGAAGAACTCAGAAGAGCTGATCAAGACAAACAAATTGATGTTTTAAAAAAAGGTGAATTATTTTTACGTGAACGAAGTAAATTGTGTGAGTGCTTCGATAGTGATAGCCGCCATGACTGTGGGTAAAGATGTATCTTCATTATTCGCAGAAGTTTTGAACTGCATGCAAACGGATAATATTGGATTGAAAAAACTCGTTTATCTCTATCTTATCAACTATGCAAAATCTCAACCAGATCTTGTTATTTTAGCCGTGAACACGTTCGTTAAAGTATGTGAAAACTTCAATACTAAATATCTTGACTTTTTTTTCTACATTAGGACTCACAGGATCCAAATCCGCTCATAAGAGCACTTGCTGTTCGAACAATGGGATGTATTCGTGTCAATAAAATCACTGAGTATCTTTGTGATCCACTTCACGAAACTTTACAGGTAAATAACCAATATCCACTTCAAAGTCCTTTCAACTTTGTATTGTAGGACACGGAAGCTTACGTAAGGAAGACTGCTGCGATTTGTGTAGCGAAAATGTTTGATATAAATCCTGAGCTAGTTATTGAGAGGTATATGCGTATTTGAGTTTTAAAGATCTGTCTTAGATGTGTACAAAAGGGGATTCCTTACCCAGTTACAACTGTTACTTGCGGATCCAAACCCCATGGTAGTGGCAAATTGTGTTGCAGCTTTGAGCGAAATTAATGAGAAAAACTGTGATGTCGTTCTAGACATGAGTTTTGATGATGTATTCAAGCTACTTAATGCTCTCAATGCGTGCACTGAGTATGTTTTTTTATGTTTTCTTCCACGAACTTATTGACTTCTGACTTAGGTGGGGGCAAATATTTATATTAAATGCGTTAGCATCATATCATACAGATAATGAGGAGCAAATACTTCAAATTTTGCATCGTATCACTCCACGTTTACAGCATGCGAATCATGCAGTTGTGCTATCTGCCATTCAAGTTTTATTGAACCATTCAGAGGTATTATGTTCACTTTCAGCTTAAAATCAAAACGCACTTCTCCCCAAATTTTCAGGGGTTGAGACGGAGTGAGCTTCAAGCTGAATGCATTCAAAAAATTATCCCGCCACTTATTACACTCCTCAACTCCGAGCAAGAAATACAATATATAGCTTTACGAAACATAAGGCTCGTCATACAGCGTTACCCTGACATTTTACGGCGGAATGTTCAGGTATTTAAGTTGTTTATCACAATTTTTTTCTAATTTTGCAATAGGTGTTCTTCTGTAAGTACTTGGATCCAGTTTATTTAAAACAGGAAAAACTGGACGTTATAGTCAGCTTAGCGTGTGAAGAAAATATTGTACAAATATTGAATGAACTTCGGGAATATGCTACAGAAATAGATATTGAGTTTGTCAGGCACTCCATTAGAGCGATAGGGCAATGTGCTATTTCCTTTGAAAAAACTGCTGCTCAGTGCGTCGACAAACTACTGGAGCTTGTAAATACGCGAGTGAACTATATCGTGCAGGAAGTCGTTATAGTCATGAAAGATGTATTTAGGAAATATCCTAATGAGTATGAAGGAATAATCAACACTTTATGCGATTGTCTTGAGAATTTGGATGAACCAGTCGCGAAGTCTGCAATGGTGTGGATTATTGGCGAATATGCGGAGCGAATTGAGAGTTCTCAGGAACTTATTTCGAGTTTTGTCGACTCTTTTATCGAAGAGTCTTCAATAGTACAGTTGCAGTTACTCACTTCCGTGGTCAAAATTTTCTTAAAGTGTCCAGATCCGGTGTCGCATGCAAACATGGAGCGTTTGCTTTCAGTCGCATCATTTGAAACGGACAACCCAGACATACGCGATCGAGCTTTGGTATACTGGCGAGTATTAAGTTCTCAGTCAAACTGCGCCCATGATGTGATTCTCAATCCGAAACCGATCGTAGAATGTCAACCTAAAGTACATGGTACGTGACTTTCTTATCACTTTTTTCAGCACCTCAATGCATTACATTTCAGAAGCAACAGTACTAGATGAATGTTTGCAGCAACTTTCCATGGTAAGCTCAATCACAAGAAAGTGAAAATTGTTCTACGTCTATGTTGACAACTAAGAAAGAGATGTGAATTCCTGGTACCATGTAGCATATATTGGTACTTGGTACCTGGCACCTGAAAAGAGAGTCTATTTTTAAAGCAAACTTGAAACTCAAAAAAGAAATATTTTACGTTTACTGTACCTAGATGGTACATGGTACATTAACCATCTGCTGAAGGCTTTTGGTGTTGTACTATCAGTACCACTAGTACATAGATTTAGGAAAAAATCTTTCTCGACTCTTTGTATGATAATGCAAAAAAGGATGAAAAAAATTTAAATACTTCATGCAACTTGTACCCATAGATGTATGCATATAATACACTGTACCATGGTACCAGTGGTATATATGTACCACACTCTCCCTATATTACTATACGTACTGTTACGAGTAAAATCCTAAAAAACAAAACAAAAATCTGTCTGTCAATCTGCACTCTGCACACATGTGCACAGTCTCGGGCACGTTGCATTCTATGTATGGCAGTGTAAATTATGGTTTAAATTTATCAAAATAAGCCACAGACAGACAGACAGACAGACCACAGATAAAAAAAGGAAAAAAGTAGGAGACTCGTACAGACCCAAAAAAAACGAAACAATTTAGCGTGACACAAATAAAATTATACAATTGTGGCGCTATAAGTGAGGTTTCAAGGAACTAACTAAGAAGCCAGCGCTCGTATAAGTTAAAAGCTTTGCAGGTAAAGAGGTAACCACGAGCTGTTTGTAGCTGTTTTGTGTTTCGGTTTCCTCATCCTCAAATAGTATAATTTCAAACGCGAAACCAAAAAGGAAAAGGAAAAGACAGTTGGTTCCAAAGGAAGAAAGTGATAACTTATAACTACTGTTAATCAATGGCTACATTAGCTAGGAGAATTAAGCAAGTTTCGAAATTGCAACTTAGATCTTCCGAATTAATCTGCGTAAGAAATCTCCATAACTTTTCTAAAAGTATCATTAACGATGAAATATAGGTTCGCTATCGTTCCAACAGCAGATGGTCAAAAAATGATCAGCCTACTGGCAGGTATGAATTATTCTATTTTCACTAAATTCGATGATGAATTATACTTCAAAAATTTTCAGCTCCGTCGGAAATACTCTTAGTAGAGAAGTTCGGAAATCATGTGCCTGGCAGTTCTATTCTACTTTGGCTCAATCTGTTGAAGAGCGGATTGTAGTACCACAAATGGGTGATTCCATCACCGAGGGTACGTTAGAGAAGTTCTTGAAGTTTCCGGGAGATAAAATACAGGTCGACGAAGTTGTCGCCTTAATTGAAACAGATAAAGTTACGCTGGATGTGCGCTCCACGAATTCTGGTCAAATCAGAGAGCTGAAAGTGTCAGAAGGCGAATCAGTGGTTGTTGGACAAGAAATTATGTCTTATGTTCCATGCTTGGTCGATGATATCGTGAAAAAACCTCGTCCTGAAAGTAACGCAGATGACGACGATCATGTAAATATTTCTGTTGTTGTCCCAACGATGGGTGATAGTGTTTCTGAAGGGGTAATTGTAGCTTTAAGCTCTAAACCCGGGAAGCATGTGAAAAAGGACGAGTTGATAGCGCAAATAGAAACTGATAAAGTCACAATTGACGTTCGCTCTCCAGATGATGGTCTTTTTGTAAAGTATACCGTGCAAGAAGGTGAAGCTGTGTGTGCTGGGGACATGATAGCTCAAATACTACCAGAGTCAGGAATATCTGAGGTCCAGATTAAAGGTGAAGTCAGTTCCGAGAGTTCTTCGTCTATTTCTGTTCCTTCTACTTCTACGCTTAAATCAAGCCAGTCAGAGTCCCGAGGTGAAAGCAGAGTGAAAATGAGTCGTTTACGAATGCGAGTCAGTGAACGTTTAAAGTCTGCTCAGAACACGTATGCCATGTTAACCACATTCAATGAAATCGATATGACTAATGTTATAAACATGAGAAAAAGATATAAAGATCAATTCCAGGCTAAATATGGGGATAAACTTGGATTTATGAGTACATTCGTAGCAGCGAGTGCAAGAGCATTACGGGAAGAAAAAAGCGTGAACGCAGTAATAGAGAATGATGAGATAGTCTTCAAAAATTTCGTTGACATTTCCGTGGCAGTCAGTTCTCCAAAGGGCCTAGTTGTTCCGGTTCTACGTTCAGCTGATAAAATGACTTTTGCACAAATTGAGTTTGAGATTAGTAGATATGCAAAGAAAGCTAATGATGGCACTTTATCAATAGATGAGATGACTGGTGGGACATTTACAATTTCAAATGGTGGAACTTTTGGTTCGCTTTCAGGAACTCCAATTATTAACCCACCTCAAAGTGCAATTTTGGGCATGCATTCTATCGTTCACCGTCCTATCTGCATAGGTCCGCAGAATCTGATTGTAGCCAGACCCATGATGAATGTCGCTCTAACATATGATCATCGATTAATTGACGGAAGAGAAGCTGTTTCGTTCCTGAGAATAATCAAGAAGAATGTCGAAGATCCGCTTCGTATGTTGACAGAACTTTAGAATCGAAAATATGAAGAAGAACAGGAAACTATTTTCGACGAGGATAGTGAGCTGACATAATTGAAGCGTTATGGAGTGTTTCTGTTCAAAGCGAGTTTATTTGCAATCGTCTCGGCTGGTACCTGTGATACTAGAATAAATAAGTAGGCAATTTGTACTCGTATACTCGTACTGCCCTTTTTTCGCATAGCTTTTTTTACTTCAAGTGCCGTATTTGCAAGTAAAAATCGTTGAAAGGAAATGAAAATTTTGTTGCGACCAAGTTGTTTTGTTTTGAGTTGTTGATGATACATTGCTGTAATCAGGTGGAACAGCCAATATATTTTGTCAAATTCAATTATTTGGTTTGGCTTTTTGTGTATTATGCCATCATGTGCCATACCCATATTGTTTATTACGTATTGAACAATATTTTTTTTTATCTCTTCCCCCATTTCCCTCGGACCTTCGTTGTTTTGAAAAGTCGCAACGAGCGCATGTTATTGATCTACGGTGATGATATCTCATACATTCGTTGCACTGACTCAGAAGACGAGACTGATCAATAGTAAGGCGTGTGTTTTTTGAAGCGCGCTTTCCTTCAAGAGTAATGGCCTGTTCCAAAAGTGGACTCACAAATACAAATACAAGGAGTATCTGTTGTTTCGTCGCGAGTACGAGAAAGAAAAAACATTATACGACTACCTTTCCAAAACCATGTCCCAAACTAAACATGTCCTTGGGTAAGACACGCTCGACAGCTTATGAAAGTTGTACGTTGAAGGAAAACAGAACTGAGTTGTACTGTCCCTTTAGGAGGATATTCTTATCTGGGTTGACACTAATCTGCTGTCACCAAAGTGCTGCAATTGCTTCAACTCTTCAGAGTGGACAAGTAGGAAATCAAAGTAGCGTGCGCTACAAAGGTAAAGAATGGAGCATTATTCTTCCCGACTTGTATCAGAGAGTTGCGATATATTCGAGTAAGGAAGGAAGTCGAAATAGTTGCGAAAATTGTGGAGCTGCAGGAGGAAATGTTAGTATATCAAAGAGTGAAAGTCCTTTACTTGCTCGCTTTAGTTCACAAAGTGGAGAAACCGATATAACCGTCAGTGTCATAGGTACGAATAATCTCAAATTATCTCTTTTGCAGACAAATAATATCGAAGAACTTGGTTCCCTCGATTCTACGTCAGCTTTATTTTTACCCTCCACTGCAAAAATTGAAGGAAGCAGTACACGCAAGTCCAGTGCGATGAAAACATTTTATTCATGGGATTTCACGTACGGAAATCAAAGAGTTCTTCTCACGGTTATTTTTTTGATCTAATATGCACAATTAACTAATAAATATTCCCTGTGACAGGCTAGTGTGAGTTTTGGAAAGGTACTTTTATTAGGTTGCTCTTGTGAAAGAAAGGTCTGGGAAAAGTATGAAAAGAGTTTTCACAAGATATCGGAAAGTTTTAAAGTCGGAAATGATGTGTGAGAACTAGATGGCGCTTTTTGCATATTCAATTTCCATAGTATGAGTAGCGTTCAAACGAAATCCCTGCAGCCCTGATAATGCAGTTGTTGCCTCGGCAGCACATCGAAACTGGACTGAAGCTAGACCGGGTTTCTCAGAATCTGTTCTAACCCTTTGAAAACCTGGGAATTGTTTGAATAAAAGAGATAGCATTTGATCTGTGGTAGCTTCTGTTATAAAAAGAAAAGTAAATCCGAGTAATTCAAAATTAAAGTTAAGTATAAAACCTGGCAAACCTTTAACAGAAAGTATAGCACTTTTCAACTTATTTTTGTGCTCTTCCCTATCTTCTCCCTTCTTTTCTTGATCAATCCCGACATCCTCTCCACTTCTCCTCATTGAGCTGATACCGGAAGAATGAATGCATTGCTCACTCGATTTCTGAGGTAACTCTGAAGAATTAATCTTCATACTTGCGGATGGAAACTTCAGAGCAACAGCAATATTCTGTGAAGGGAAGCCATAATCGAAAAATTAAAAGTGAACAAAATATTAAAAACCATTGGCTTGCTATAGAACGGTAAACCCTGGAGAACATGTAATGCGTTGTCTGCGGACTGAGAATTACCGAATACGATCCATGCCTGGCCTCTTAGCTTGTATCTTCTAGACGCAAAGATATTCGAAACCCTTCCGAATTGTGAAAAAACGGCGAGGAGAGCTTTTCGTAGTTCTATTTTGGGGGGTCAAAAGTGTTTTTAAGCGTTCCGGTAAAGCTTACCGTTGACAGCGACTGTCTCATTTAAGTTACTAATATACAGTGTCGTGTTATCTTTACAATTTTCCATGTCTTTGTTCGTATTTCATATAGTGCTGCTATATATAAAATCACTTTCCCCCCTGTTGATGAGTGAGGTACACGAATTTTTTTGGCGTTTTTTTTAGTTTCTGCGCGACTTTTTGTGTTTTTTTCTTTTTCATACATGCCTATTAGTATGCTATGCGGACTCGTATTTGATGCGAATTTCCGCAAATTTCCTGTCTTCCTTCTTTTACATTTCTACGAGTTGTCGAGTTCACTAATTACAAGGTACCCGGTAATGCCTAGGTATCTGGTAGTCATAGTATTGACGCTTTGACAAACAGTACTTCCAGATTTTTTACCTCAAAGGGAGGTAACATATCAAGGGTTTGCTTGTTCGTCGCTATTACCCCGAAATCTGGATTCTTTGTCTAACTTATTCATTATTCTGGCGAACCTCATAGCTTTCATGCACACGAGAAAGAAAGGTATTTTTAAAAGAAGCTAATATGCCTTCTCCTGCTATCTGCTCATCCCTTCACATTTTGAACGAGAACTACAAAGTACTTTTATCCCGAGACTGGCGAGGAGATGTATCAGATTCGTGTATCCAGCGTTTCGTTTCTCAAATGAAAGGTTCAGATAATGACCAGCCTAGTATTCCTATTATTCGTGATACTGAGACTAAAACAACTTATGTCTATATAAAGGGAAATGGTTTATATTTTATGTGTACTTCAAAGTTTGACACGAATATTTTAGCCCTTTTCACGTTTCTCCATGATTTATTAAACATATTTATAGCATATTTTGGTGATTTAGAGGAAGAGAGTATCTTGGATAACTTCGTTGTGATTTATGAGCTATTGGATGAGGTTATAGATAATGGTTACCCTCAGTTTACAGAAGCAAGCATTTTAGGAGAATATATCAAGACAGATGCACACAAGCTTGTCAAGGTTAAAACTCCATCCGTGATTACAGATGCTATTTCGTGGCGAAGCGAGGGTATAAAGCACAAAAAAAATGAAATTTTTCTAGATGTCATTGAGCAGTGTGATCTTATGATAAGTTCAAAGGGAGCAATCGTAAATGCTGAAGTACGAGGCTCGCTGAAGTTACGGACGTTATTATCGGGTATGCCCGAATGCAAACTGGGACTGAATGATCGTCTGAAACTAGGTAGCGAGCACAACTATCCAAACATTGTATTTGAAGATATGAAATTTCACCAATGTGTTAAGTTGTCCGAGTTTCATGAAGACAAAACAATTTCATTTATTCCCCCTGATGGTATTTTTGAACTTATGTCATATCGTCTGACAAATGTTAATGTTGATCCATTAATTTGGTGTGAGATGAAAGTGGAAGAATCAAGTGCTACAAGAATTGAGTATGTTATCAAGATAACGAGTCAATTCAAGGAGAAACACACTGCGAATAATATTGTTATCAAAATACCTGTGAGAAGCGATGTAATATCACCGGAGATAAAATGTGAAGCTGGTTCCATAACATACTCTCCGGAGTTAGAATCGATGATTTGGATCATAAAATCACTTCCTGGAGGAAGAGCGGAGTGTGCAAGAATAAAGTTAAGTTTTCCTTCAATAGCGGAAGAGAGAAAGACATTCACTTCTCCTATTTTGAGCGTCAACTTCGAGATTCCATACTTTACGATTAGTGGTGTACAGGTCAGATACCTGAAAGTTTCCGAAAAAAGTGGGTACCAAGCATTACCATGGGTAAGATACACCACGAAATCCGGATCTTACAATTTTAGGATATAGATAGATTACCTTATTAAATTATTTGTTTGTGCACACCGAGCCTTGTGGAAGGTGGGGAAGCAGGAGAACTCAATTTTAAAAAATGAAAAAAAAAATCTTTTGGCATCCGAGGAACTTATGTACATTTAAGTGGGACTGGGGAAAAGCTTGGAAAAATCTCCAAAAAAAATAGTTTGCTTTTTTTAAGAGGTAAATAGAATCTAAGTCCAAGGAACGAATATATATAAAGAGCAGTCAAAAAAGTGCGGCCTCTTCATTGATAGTGTTCTTTCTATATCTATAATATCTTAGATTTTGGCCTCTTCAAGGTTCTTTTCATTTTTATCACAAATTGTAACTCTGATTCCAAAAATAGTACAGACTTGAAATAAGTCTTCACGGGAAAATTGCTGGACGTTCAAGTCTAATCGGTATTATGCAAAATGCGGTGATAAAGGAGCACTTCATTGAAGATATAGAGGAATCAGTGCAGCATGAGGTGTGTTTTAATGATGCTATTCATTGTGAAAGGAATTCCATCGGTCACGATGGACGAGCGGCCGAAATAAAGAATAATATGATACAAAAGAAGATTGGCCGTCCTCGGGCTAAAAGCTTATTTAGCTCTATATTTACTCAATCATACGACAAAAAAAGGCATATGCACCCTAAGCTTTTATCTGTAGACATTGCTGCATATGGGTTAGGATGGAAAGAGAGTGAGAAGTGCCTTGCACTTTTTTTCCTATTAATTTTCAGTATTTCATGGGGTATGCTTATTTCTTTTGATGAAGGATCAAAATTATTTTATTTTGACCATTCCTACTGGGTCAAACTTCTCACGCAAAATTGTTTTTTCTTACTTGTATTTAGTATTTGTGGATTTTTAGTTGTCACTTGTGATTGGAAGGATAGTTATTCGCGCAAAAGCTGTCATGTTGTGATGTACCTTACTCCACTCCTTGTTCACCTTATTTGGCCTTCAGGTGAGACAAAACTACCGGATATCTGGGAAATGAGCTGGACAGTCTGGTTTCAGTTTGTTCCATTCTTGTTTTTGATGAAACCACTTCGCCGTTGCAGTGCTCTTTTGATGCTTTCATTTCGAGCAGTAGACAGGGCTCAAGATAGACCGCACACGCTTGCATGGATAATATCTCAGCTTGTTGCAAGTTACATGGTTATAATTTGTTTATATTCCTATCTATCTGTAAGAAAGGGATTGCCGAATGAAGCTGGAAAATTAATTTTGGTTCCAATAATCGTAAATGTTTTTGGAGATGGTCTAGCCGAACCCATAGGTGTGCGTTTCGGCCGCCACAAATACAGAGCATCAGCATTGTGGTATGATGGGAAGTGCTGTTCCGGAAATTTCCATCGAACATATGAAGGGAGCGCATGTGTCTATTTCATTACACTTTTCTCACTATTTCCTTTTGAGGGATCTCTTTCCTCGAAACAGTTCATAGCCCTTCTATTCCTTTTACCGCCTGTCATGACGTTATCGGAGGCATGGGCTCCACATACATGGGATAATCCTTTCATAACACTGATGGGCACTCTAACTATTTTTATGGTCTATGAAGTGATTTAATACTATGAACTTACATACCTTTTACTTACGAATTATTTGACTATTTTGTTGTACAGTGCCACAGAAAATGTAATGTGGAATTAGTCATAGACCTTCATTTTTTGTTTTTTTTTCATGATGTTTAGAAGCTGTCATACTCATAAAAATGCGTCAAATTTAGGAGTATCCACCGCGTTTTTTGCATTTATAGGAGCTATTATTTCTTGTCTCTATAACTCTCCAAAATTTAACCTATGTTTGTGGTATATACAACTTGCTCATTGCCCTATTTTCACAAGTCTTCATTGAACTTTCTGCCAGAAGAAAGCATGAACTTTATGACCCATCAACTAAGCAATACAAATCACTCGCGTCAATCTGAGAATGTATAGGAGTAAGTACAAGACCAAACTTCCACCCCGAATCGTCAATAAGGGCATCTTTGTGCACAGAAGGACTCCAACTATCATCACCGCCAAGACCCATATGGAGATGATCAAGGTGAACCTCAACATATTTACTTTTCACTAAATCGTCCTGATGTTTAGCCCTTGTGAGTTCTTCTATTGTGTAGTTTGAGATTGACATTTGAAAGAGGGATTGACTTCGTGCGGATACAAATATCCCATGTGTCTTATCGCATATGGGACGCAGTGTAAGCCAACGGACATCTGATCGACCGCCATTTTCACTAGGAAATATGTAAGGAACATGGAGTTCCTCGACCGTGCTACTATATCTATCAACAAATGCAGATGCTTTTCTGTCTGAATAGCACTCGTGTTTTCCTCTACCAAACCATTCGATTCCTTGAAGTTCATCAGAACACGTCATGGAAAGACCGACTCGAGCGAGTGGTGGGAGACTTGCAACTTTTTGGATGGAAACATCTAAAAAAATTATACCGGAAGGTTTTACACTGTATTCCATCACTAAGTTCATTTTAGTATTTGATTTATCACCCCTACGCACTATCCAACACTGAAAGCTAATATTGAAAATTCCATTTGAATCAAACGAATAATTCATACCCGAAGTATTTGTATTTCTAGCCAAAACAAAACTTTCAATTTCAGCATTTCTCCATCGATTTACATATGAGAATACTTCTCCCCCATAATCATTATCAATAGGGGCGCGTAGAAAGTTTGGAGAGGGTCCAGAACATACAAGCATCTTGTCATTCATATAAATCTGGGAAATGCATCCAAACTTCTCTCCAGATTTAAAAAATCCGACACGCATACCCGAAGAACTTTCTATAGTAAGAATATCGTAATTTTCATGCACGATTTGCAACTTATATTTTTCTGCTGATAGCACTACTTTTTTTTTGGTTTCCGGCTTATTGCTACGGGGCATTAAAATTTGTTCCTGAGCAATTATGTGGCCCTTTGGAGCCCACGACGACGACTCTTTCAACACTACGAAGAATTCGATCCAACACTCCTTAAATTGAAGACTTTCTGCGATGCTTCCTAGATTTGGCAGTTCTTGTCTCCATGGAATGACGCACTCTGAATTAGCCGACACTGCAGGTAAATTTAAAATACCTGAGATAGCTTTTCTTTCATTGTCAAATTTTACTTTCCATAGTATATTAAAAACATCAAGTCTCATAAAAGAAAAATTGTTTCTGATTTTCAGATTTCCACTCTCAAAGTCAACTGAAAATTCGACTGGTTGTTGCAGGTACTTTACTTCATGAATAGAAGGGTGGGGTGATCTATCTGGGAATAGCAATCCATTTATACAGAACTGTGCATCATTTGGGCTATCTCCATAATCACCGCCATAGTTCCAAGATTTACCACTTCGCTGTTCACCACTTAGTCCTTGATCAATAAGATCCCAAATGAATCCACCCTGTACTGAATTGGTTTGTCTGAAACACTTCCAATATTCCTGAAGACCACCATTACTATTTCCCATTGCATGAGAATATTCACACAAAACTACAGGTCTGTTTTTGCATTCCAAAGCGCTCATATGTAGACACGACTCTACTCGTGCATACATAGGACAAATGATATCAGTACATGAAGTTCGTGCGCCTCCACCCTCATACATCAAAGGACGTGTTGAGTCATAACTGCGAGCCCACTGTGAAATTTTTTCATGGCTTCTCCCACAACCTGATTCATTCCCTAAAGACCAGATTATTACTGAGGGATGATTTCTATCTCGCTGAACCATTCTGGAAGTTCTAGAAAGAAAAGCACCGTACCAAGACTCGTCATTAGATAAGTATGGCGTCGAATGCATAAGTATCTGGAATCCATGAGTTTCTATATTTGACTCATCTACTACATAGAGACCGTACTCATCACATAAATCATAGAAATGGGGGTGATTAGGATAATGAGCAGCCCGTACTGCATTGAAATTATATTGCTTCATCAATTTTACATCTTTCAGCATCATCGCTTCACTGATTGCTTTTCCTCTTGCAGGACAGTGTTCGTGTCTATTCACACCTTGAAATATAATTGGGACACGATTCAAACGAAATAGTTTATGACCTACTTCAATCGTGCGAATACCCAGCCTGCATGCTTCGCAATCGATTATTTCGCCCGCAAAACTTAATGATATCATGAGTACATACAAGTACGGGATTTCTGCAGACCATAAAGAGGGGTTGTCGAGCACTATTCTACAACGTAGTATGTGTTTCTTCCTAATCGATATCGAATCTCGAAGATTACATCCATAATCAACGGCTTCCTTGAGTTCACTGACTTCTAGCTCAGCGGAGCAAACCAGAGCATTCTTATCATCATAAATTGTTGCATTGCAATCAATTACACTACCTCTTTCCATTATAGAATCTGGCCTGCGACAGTCGTTTAATTGTACAAGAATTTCAATTTCAGCTTTATTCTTTGGAATTTTATGAGGAACAGTCGTTGTATAAACAAAGTCAGCTATGTGTAAAGCCGGTTTGTTATATAAAAAAACATCACGATATATCCCACTTAACCACCATTGATCTTGATCTTCAAGATAACTACCATCACACCATCTCATAACTTGTACTGCAAAGATGTTTTTGCCTGATTTCAGACTATCTGTTACATCAAATTCTGCAGGCAAGCGACTATCTTGTGAATACCCTGTAAAGTTCCCGTTAACCCAAATATAAAATGCCGAGTCGACCCCCTCGAAAACAATAAATGTTCTACTTCCGTTAGCAGTCCAATTTTCGGGTATCTCAAAAGTGCTTTGGAAACAACCAGTTGGATTTTGTCTTGTACTCTCATCCACTTTAGATGTATCCCAATTCCACTCTTTTAACAAACTAGTTGAACTTTTCTCCGATCCAAATGAATTATTCGGTGTGCTCCATACTCCTTCACGATGGATGAATGGTGGATCCAACGGAAAAGGATATGTAAAATTGGTATAAATTGGAACATCATAACCTTGACATTCCCAATTCGACGGAATGTTAATGTTATCCCAGCCTTCTGGAATGTCATTCCCTTCATAAAACTTATATGGTATTTCCTGAGGAGAATTTACAAGTATAAAGCTCCATAACCCATTCATTGATATTGAATTTGATAATTTTCTCCTCGCAGAATAGCTTCCTCCCGATTTCCAGAAAGTTTGAGCTTCAGATGGACCAGAAAAGGCATACAGGGGCGTATGAGAGTTTTCTCTGTTCCTTGCAACAACTGTCTGGTTCTCCCAATCATAAGACTCAGGTACCTGTTGAGAAAATTAGAGCAATATAATCATGTAATAATATGACTTACTGACGCAGACTGTCGCCAGTATAAGTTGAAGAATGTATCATAAATTCTTTCAAAGAAAAAAATTATTTTATTGTAACCGTGCAATCGCCACGCCCAATTTGTGTAGAAACGAACAAATTGAGAAATTCCAAATATATTGATGGCAGTATAGAATGACATTTTCACTCAATCAACAAACTTGAACGTCGGAGGAGTGAACGACGGTAGAGCATCCGAAGTACTTTAAACGGATGAAATCAAACAAAGATATAATCAATAACCAAAACTATTTTTCTACTTATATTTAGCTGATACCAGTATGATGGTTAAAATCAATTTTTCCAGAGTTTAGGGTCCGTGTTGGTCTTTTTTAGTCCACTTTCGGTTGGTTTTTTGAGCTTTGAGTTAATTTAATCAGTGAAAGTTCCCATATTACCACCGTTTGCGAGTGAACTATAGTCGTTCAGGTTTCCAATATCATAATGTCTGCAATAAGTAAAGAGCATGCTGGGGTTGGTTTAAGTAGACTCGTATTTCTAATTCGGAAAAGTTCAAAGTCTGTAGAGCTATACTATGATGTTGCAAGAGTGTACTTCGAGATCAAGTCAAAAACAATTTCAGTTTCTGAAGGAATTAAAAAGTTGAAAGAGATCCTTATTGAAAATACAATTTTATTGGATGCGGCTTTTCTGGACCTGAAGGCTAACAGTCAAATTAAACTTCAAACTATTAAGAGCAAGAGCGGACATGATGCGGATTTTTTACAACAAGCTGGTGATGTTTTAGCCACAGCAGGTATAAATCCGGACGAAGAGTCGTCATTCTTGATCCAGTTGAAACATAATACTAAGCACGTCTCAGTCAAAGATACCACACTTAAACAGCATAAGGATTATATCAGAGTGAGGCATGTAATAGCTTCTAGAGTCAAAGAGAATATTTGCATACAAAATCCGAAGGCAGAGTGGGTTATCAATGATGCTATGCATAGCCACTTGAAAATGTTAATCGCGACTGTAGTATCACAGTCCAGAAAGAGGAGAATCGGTTCTCAGCACATATCGGCTTCGTTCCTAAAAAGCAAAGTTTCCCCAAAAGCTCTAATCCGAGTTATCAATAACCAAAAAGAAATCAAGAAGAGAACCAGGGAGGAATTGGAAAGAAAGATGCTTCTTAAAGTTGGGGAAGCTTTGACAAAACGAAAGAAGGATATTTCGGTGGAATTTTCTTCTATGGAGCAGAAAGTTGCCAAAGCACTGCAACAGGAAGAGGAAAGGGTGCAAGCACACGCTGCTAATCAAGCCACAAGAACAGCATTTGGGGGGGATGCAAAGTATATGAAATGGCAAGATAAGGTGCAAGAACAAAACATGATATCGATAAAATCTAAGGAAGTAGAGAATTTTGTTCGAGATGCAGTTCCTCCCTCCAGCTTTGGCATCAATACTGCTAACGTGTGCATGCGAGATTTATTACTTGTTTTCAAGCAGAACAAGAAAAAATTCACAAAAAGTTACCATGGCTTTACTTTGACTGACTAGAGATTTGAATATTTTCATGTAATAGCCTTTTTCAAATGGAAGCTAAATGTGCGAAAGGTCAAATAAATGTATGCCCCATAGTCTTTTTCTTGTTCACGACTACACCTGATCGCCGGAAAGATATTCAATGCTCGCAGCTACTTTGGTTCGAGAGTAATAATTGAACCAAACAGAAAGTGTTGCATCACGAGGAAGTTACCGAGACATTCAGCCTATTTAAATTTTAGTAGACAATCCTCGCACACGTGAGCAAACTATGCACCTTAAACATTTTTAATAGTCCTGAATTTATCTTTTTCCAGGTTGGGAGAAAACTAATATCATACAATATGGGAGCTGTTTCTGAAAGCGGACCACTCTTCATCTGTATAGTTTTCATCAGAGAAATTTCTAAAATGCAGGTGTATTTCTCACCTCTTTGATGTACTTTATTGATGAGAAATACAGAAAGTCATCCGAATTTTCTTTTAATATTTTTTCATCCCGAACGCTATTTGGTGAGAAATGTCCAACCAGTTGAGCGGCTCCCCTTTTGAAAACATGAAACAACATTTGATTATACACAGGTGCACTACTTACCAGTAAAAAGAAAGGAAAGTATAATCATCCAACCCCCAAACACCACGAGAACCAGCTGGTTCGAGCCTAAAAAGACATTCGATCAACGATCAAACATTATTTAAATATCGCACCGGTATACTCTTTGCAGTTTTCGTACGAGCTTGACATATTCCTTAAAAACAAAATTGACAAGAGAACTGAAATCGTCCTTTACAAAAATCCCAAGTGAATAAAGACAATACATGAGAGCTACGAAGTTCAATTCATGACCCGTCCCATAATCTATCCTGGAAGGATCCCCAAAGCTAAGTTACTGCGATTAAATTTGCAAACGAAGGATAAAAACTTGAAACCTTTGAAGAATGTACGGAATAAGTTCAACTTTCGCATCCTGATTTCTTATCAGTTTCATTCCAGCATAAATACGTTCAATAGTGTACCTGCATCGATGGAGGGAGTAATGTACTCAACAATTCTACAAATTTCTAATCAATATCAACGGGTTTGTGAAATTCTCACTTCTGAGATTCTTACCATTTGAGTTCTTCTCTAAATGAGCAAGCCAACTTCGAAAAGCAACATTACCATATCGTGTCACAGAAGTTGTTGGTGATATTTCACTCACCCATATCTCCAGTTGGTTCAAAATATCAAGAAGGGCCTGAATACTCTTAGTTGTAACGTGAATGTTCCCATTCTTTGTTCCAATAACCGAGGTGTTCAGCTCTTGAATAAAGTGAACAAACCTTCTCTCTGACTCAGAACCAGAAAAAAGATTCATTTGTTTTTTCGTACGTATACATTTTTCCGGCGCATGGAAGATTGGAATATCACTTTCTCGACTCATGATGCATATATATATAGCAAGCTAGATTTCAAACAACGCAAGTGCTTCAGCAGACGCGATACCTTTCACGTGAGGTTTTTTGCTTCGTTTATAAAGAAGCTACGTAAAAGTGAGTTGATGAAAGTGAGTTGATGAGCAGGAACTCGAATTTAATCTTTCAGGTTTAAATCTGTATTTCATTCTCTGTAATAAGTCATATGGTTTACGGCTGACGGCGACCGAGGAGGTAGTCAGAATAAAACAAGAGATCTGTACTTTTGAAGTATACGACGTTGTTAGATGCCCGCAAGAATTGTTGATATTATTCAGTGCTTACCCCAAACACCCTAGAGACAATAAGAATTTGAGAAGCACACCCTAAAATAGTAAAGTTTTGCAAAGATTTACGAATTTTTGCGATCTAGGCACGTGGTGTTCGCGTTCGTGAACGAGGAAGACGCACAGTCATCATTTCTTTTGGTGACGTTGCTTCGAGCCTTTGATGTTTTTTATAAACACTTTACTTTCTGAAGTGCTGAAAATCTCTTTGTATTCTGGTTATGCATACCTCGGAAGTTGCTGTTTTGCATTTTTGTATCAGCGGAAGCTTCAATATTTTCCGGATCGCTCGGAATATAGAATAGCTGATGGATCTTGCGGCTATATTCATTTCGTAACAGAAGCTGAAGATGGAGTTGAACTCAAGGGGATCTACATTGTTCCCAACCCCGAAAAGCAATTCAGTACTTTGACACTATTACATCTTCATGGAAATGCGGGAAATATCTATCACCGTTTAAGTTGGGCTAACTTAGTGCACAAACAATTTGGATGCGGTATTGTACTACTTGATTATCGCGGTTTCGGAGGAAGCTCCGGTCAAATAAGCGAGACTGGATTAATTCTGGATGCGAATGCTGGTGTTGATTGGATAGTAAAAGTATCTGTAAGCTCTTGCATAATAGCGCTACACTTAGAGTCTATAGGAAGTGCTGTTGCTTTAAATATCTCTGCAAACGTGTGTAAAAGACCTGAAGTACAAGGAATCGTCGTGGAAGGCGGTTTGTGCTCTTGTATGGAGCTGGCACAAGAATTAATCCCCATTTTGCCAGTACGTTATATTTTGAAAGATAAATGGACAGGAGTACGAGAGGCAGCAAGTGAAATTAGTCGTTCGAGTTACTTCATGTCTTTACATGGAGCCATTGATGAAATTGTTCCTTTAAGTCACGGTCGTGGCCTTTTTGAATCTGTTGCAAGTGGAAATAAAATACTGCGTTGTTTCCCTCGTGGAGGTCATAATGATCTTATTGGACATCCTGGCTATTTCGGTTCTTTGAATAGCTTTTACTCAAAACTATTGTAGTAATATTGTAGAAATGTCTAGGTACCTGGTACCAGGTATCCAATTACTTTTTAATTGACATCTCACGACAATAATCTGTCATGAATTACTCCAGTCAATAGGTATTTTGGATACGCTTTCTATATCACTTTCATTCAACAGTGATAATAACTTTTGTCACTACATGTTGCCAACCACCAATAAGCACCGCTCCATATCAGATTCAGAAAAGTTCCGAAAGATCGCAGGGAGATTGCATGTTTTCTCTGAAAGTATTACTCTACGTAACTCAGACGTAGTAAAGATTCCAGCCATAGCAAACGGTAAGAGAGCATCTCGATTATGTGGTAGATCATGACTTCGCATCCATTTTGAAAGATCCTTCATTTGCTCCCGAAGAACATTCGCTTTCTGTGACAAGTCAACGTGACTTGAGTGAAAATAATACTCTCCGTTTCGGTACAAAACTGCGAGAGCAAATGAATACCAGATTGATCTTGCGTGCACATCAACTCCCTGCGATGTTAGAATACCTCGAAACATTGAAACAATGCGTATTATCATGAAAATGTCAGAGTCAATTTCAGAAAGAGAGACAACACGAAGTTCTTGTGGTAGCTCTGAGGAAAGAGGAGATATTTTTGCTTCCCTAATATCCATGCGAGTATCGAAAAGTAAATAGGCAATAATCATCTCTATATCCGTGGTAGTTTTGTCAAGTTTGAGTCCAATTTGTTTCATTAACTTGACGCACTCGGCAGAGTCTCCTTTTAGAGCAATAATCATTCTGGCAAAAAGCAGTTGAGTTTCGTCACGAAGAACTTTCATCTGACCAAAATCTAGCAAAGCACAGGCACCACTTTTCGTCAGAAATACATTCCCCGGATGCGGATCGCTATGAAAAATGCCAATACCAAACAGTTGATATCCGTAAGAAGAAAATAAACTCCTACAGAATTCAGAAGATATTTCTTGTTGATCTAAGATTGGCTCGGCAGCTGCAAATATAGTATCGCATCTGTCTCCAACGATAAAGCCCATGGTCAAAACCTTTCTAGAACACAAGCATGGTTGAGATCTTGGTATCTCAATATTACAGTCTACGCGAGATATATAATTACCGATAGAATTCAGCATATCATTTTCTCTGATAAAATCGAATTCTTTCGGAACCTGAAATTTTCGTTAGAGAAATATTTAAAAAATGGAACGTAGGGAAAGAACCTGTTGAGCATATTCTCTTAGAATCCCTGTATGGTCGAAAGGAGGTTTAAAACCTACAGTATCCATGAATATAGATACATGCAACATATTTTTGATATCACTGAGCATTAAATCCGAGCTACCTGGATGCTGAATTTTCACAGCCACTTTTTCATTAGATTCTCGTAGTTGTGCCAAATGGACTTGTGCGATTGTGGCAGAAGCTATTGGTCGCTTGGTAAATTCAGTAAACGTGGTTTGTAGAGTAATGCCCAACTGATATTTCAATAATTTTTGTACTTTTCGATATTGGGTTTCGCGGCAATCTTCAAATACGAACTTTAAGGAATCAACATACTGTTTCGGTAGTAAGTCTGGTTTTGTTGCAAATACTTGACTCACCTAAACACAGTATTAGTAAACAAACACGGAATTATGACCGCACTTGAGAGAAATAATAGATCACTCACTTTAATGTAAAATCCAGATAGTTCCTTGACCATTATCGCACTGCGTTGTGCACCCCAGAGATGTCTTTTATTCCAGATACACTTTAGAGCAAATAAGTAATTACATCTATACACCTGAATTTTTATACCTGGATTTGCTCACCAGTAAGCTTTTTGTTAATAGATCCCCTTCGCATAACAAATTTAATGAGATATGAAAAGAATAAGGTAGTCACTAGCACTTACGAAAGAAAGGTACGAAAATATCCCAAAAATATTGGAACTAGATGATAATAGAATTTACAGGTTCTATAATACCCAGGTAAGATATGTTTCATGAATTTTGGCCCAAACTATTTCGTAAAACATTCAATTTTTTATGAAGCTGGAGTAAATAAATACCAAAAAAAAACAGTATGGAAACTCAAAATGTTTCAGTAGAATAGGAACTCTTCGTTCCTGACTCGAAACGAAAGTGCATAGTCTGTCCTGAGAGAAGATTAGTTTCAATATCAAAGAAAATCTCAGGAAATACCATGATGAATAGCCTTTCACACAACTTGTGAATTCCTAAAAATCAAGTTATGAAGCAAGTTCCTGAATAATAAGTAAAACTCACGTTGAAATTTGCGTCTATTTGCAAAGAAACCTAGAAGACATGCGCTTTGAATAATCATTCTAGGTATGAATATTCAACTCGTGGAGATGGTGTCCCAGCAGATGATCGAAAAGAACACCGCGTAACCCAAAAAAAAACTAAGTTTCAATTTTCTCTACGTCTACTCGAATTTTTGTGCCATTCTTGTTATAAGTGACAAAGTGAACAAACGCCAGAACACAATATATGTACCCGCAGAAGAAAAAGGGAGACTTGAATCTAAAAAAATACTCTAATATCCAGATTCCAGAAACATGGAAAGACTGACCAGCTGACTGACAACAGGGTCGACTGCGCTTATCTTTCGTGCTCGAGCGTCTTTTGTCTTCGATGAAAAAGGTGCCCCAAAAAAAAGGCAAAAAATAAAGCTTTAACGCGGGGTAAATGAATTCTCCTCAAACCTCGGCTTGGGAACCAGATTTATGACTTATACTAAAAAACTTAGCAACACAACACACCGCACGCACGCTTGTCACGCGCGCATTAAGCAGAGTTATTTTAACTAGGATAAATGTTAAGTGCATAACTTGGGCTTTTTTCAATTCGGTTTGCTTTATATACCGTGATGCGTATTAAGTAAAACGCATAAACGCACCAAGAGTAAATTTATGAGAGAAGGAGGAAATCTTAAGTTTGGGGGGATGATTTCACAACCCCCCCGTCTGACTACTTGCATCACTCTCGAATCATTCCCAGTTTATAATAGAAAGGATTTGAGCGACGAGGAACCGTTGTTGAAACAGACTGGCTTCATTTGTGACCAAAACCTTGAGGTTACTATGATTTTGTCAAGTGTAAATATTCTGTATCTGTACGTCAAATTATTTTTATATTTATACTTCCTAACTTTACTCCTTTTGAAGTTCAAGTTCAATTGAGTTTCCACACTTAGATACGGGAAATGAAAATGGAACAGAAATGCAAGGTCAAAACTTAAACAAATCTATACATTTACCGCTTAGTGCGTTTTACTATTTTCCTATTCAGACAATTTGTACTGATAAGTTTTCTTCTTAGACCCCTTTCGCAGAAGTCGGAATAGGACAGGTTTTCTTCTGCAAAAAAAAGAGGATGAAGGTGCCCATGCAGAAATTTGTGCTAGTAACGTTAAGCATCAAGTTCCTGTTGCAAATATGGGCTCGCACGCAGCAGTGAGGTCAAAAAGCAACAAGCGAGAAGGGGACTTGCAGGCTTTCAATGATTTTGTAACCCGCATTTTTGAAAAATTCGAGCCATATATACCAATTCAAAGTCGAGGATGGAAACTGATAACATCCACCCTTGTAGATGAAATCGCAGCTCTAAATTCGAAGCTAGACTCTATCATTGGTCTGAATGAAGTCAACAAAATTTCTGAAGAAGTTCTAGACCAAAGCTTTCAGATTAATGAATGTTTATTGGTTTACTTTTCAAACGTACTCAAGGAGAGCTCACAAAATCTTCGAAATCTTACTGATGAGGAAATGATTTTTGCAAGGGAAGCAACAGTATCTTTTTCCTTGATCTGCAAGGTTATTTACGGGAATTTAATATCGAAATCCTTGTGTACAGACGAAAGAATTGAACGAATGACTTTGCTTGTTTGTGAAATCTTGAATAAGTACTTGTCTATGAAGGTTGACCCACAAACTTTGAGTTCCAGTTTCAGAACAAATTTTGCAGCCTCCACTGTGCAAGAGAGCGACAAGAATGGTAACGAACGTGAGAAAGGGGTAGTAAACCCAAGAATACGTCAAAATTTAATACCTTGCCACATTCTTCCTGATCTAGTTGCAAATTCTGCAAAGATGGTGCATCATTTGTCTTTGTTAATTCTAACTATCAAAATCTCGGAGCCTTTTATGCTGCGCTTAATTAAAGTTTCTTTTTCTGTCCTCGTATCAAGAGATGCAGAATTATTAAAAGCAAATGTTGTTCAAATGGTTGCACATATATTTAATAGATATCCAAACTTACGCTCCAATGTTGTTGATAAAATTATTGAAATTATTGAAATTGAGATTTGTGGACAGGACTCTTATTCTAGATTGTATTGCATTCCAGAAGACTCGACAAGAAAAATTAGTGTGATTACTGCTGCATTGCTGAGTTGTTTACAAAGTTGTGTAGAATATTATGACATTGCCTGTGATATTGCAAACAAAGTTGAAGATAAAGGAATTGCCCATGCTTTCCATTGGTCAAATATTTTCTGGTCGGAACTGTTAGTGAAAGTTTCCCAACTTCAGGAAAGAGATTCACGAAAGTTTATTCCGAAATTAGTTGGAGATTTATTGTTATGCTTGAATCTCCCAGAGTGGCCTGCTTCTTCTTTAACGCTTTTGAACATGTGTGCACTGTTAGTTGGAAAGTTTGGTTTACAGCATAAAGATCCAAAATTTCGCGAAAGGGCCCTTGACATATTAAGTCAAGTATGTGCAAGACTTAGAAGTGAGTCTTTGAGCTGTGGAAAGTATGAAAAATCGTTTTTATATGAAGATAATTCAAGTATTTCTGATGTACTTATCCAAGCTAGTAGTGACATCAGATCTACCTCTTTTTCTGGGGAAAAGCTTTCCAAAATACAATCAATTTGCATTGAAGGATTTTTAATGCGGTACCTCCTGAATAATATTAAGCAGCGCACTAGTATGGAGGTAAGTGAAGGCAGTGATCACGTTGTGTGTGATAACGTAAGATATCGCTTACACAACGCTTTAATCTTTCAAATATGTCAAATGACAAATGAAATCAAAAGGCATCCGAAACATGACTTATCTGAGATGAGTGGGGATTTTTATTGGGATCTATATGATAAAATAAAGGTCAATATTTCAGGCATGAAAGGCGCTGTAGGGAAGGACAGAGATTTGTCGAGAAATTCTATTATGGTATTGAATCGTCAACTGCAAATTTATCGACCCCTTGCACGGCAAAATGATGTTCTGCTCCACAGAATAATTGGTATGCTTGACGATGTATCAATAACAGTACGCACAACTGGAATTCGTTCACTCTCAAGAATTGTATCTATAGATCCAAATATGCTTATAAATCCACGGATCCACCAAATTTTATCCAAAAGAATAACAGATCCGGCAACATTAGTGCGATGCTCAGTAATTGAGCTAATTGGGCAATTCATTTGTTCAAATCGTGAAGTCCGGCTCCAGTATTGGTCGAAAGTTCTTGATCGAATTAATGATATTGGGGTAAGTGTACGAAAACGTGTTATTATGATCATGCAAGAAATTGCACAAGATGCTGACAATGATTCAGTTATTTATTTCAATTATAGACTAGCACTCCGTATTATGGATACAGATTTCAGCGTGCAGCTCCTAGTGATTCAATACTTCAGAAAAAAATGGTTTCATGCAACAGCAGTGACTAGGAGAAAAGATGTGTGGCTTATCTTTGTGAAGTTGATGTGGTATATGCACCCCAATTTTTTTCGAAAGCTTAATTCGAAACTTCCGAGCCTTTTAGATTACCCATTGTTGCTCTTATTACAAAGAATACTACGACCTACAGAAGAAGAAGTTCAAACAGATGCAGTAGACCTGGAATTGCTTAAGAAAAATGGATATAGAATGATAACTTACATTTTTGAAGGCCTGGTGAACTCAACTGAATTTGAACAACAATCCGAATCAAATCGCATATCCAGGTCTGATATTCAAACAGAAAACTTGATGCAAACGGCGAAGAAAACTCTAACACCGGAAATGTTTGCATTTTCACTCAATACAATTGCATTGATTGAGCCAAGTTTTCTTGTTCCCGAAAATGATCCCTTATATTTCTTAATTGGATTAGAACCGTACTTACACAGGGGTAATGGTACAACAAAAAGCAACTCTGCCTTTACGCAATCAGTGCTAAGCATAATTAACGAAATTGTTTGCTATAACTGCAGAATAAGTATGAGTTTGTGTCAAAAAGTTGTTGATAATGTTTGCCTTTTGATTCTATATTCAAAGAACTCTGGGATAGTCGACTTTGCAACGAAGTGCTTGAGTTCTTTTGCATCTTTTTCTGTAGATAGCCGAGAAAAACTGAAGAGATTGACTAAGAGGCTTCTGCTGATACTTGGTAGAGAAAGTAACTTGGATGAAGAAAGAAAATTGAAATCCAGAGCCATTTTCGTACTTGGAAAAATTTTGAGGTATAACTCGGAAGAATTTCTAGACTCAAAACAATCTCCTCTCTTTAGTGTTGAGATATCTGAAGCTGAACCTACTCTAGTGGCCACTTTGTTAGAACTTTTTCGAAGGTATATTTTTATTGAAGATGAGAGCACTAGTATGAATAAAAATGCACTTGAAGCATGTGGATCTTTGCTACTGTGTGCTCAAGCATCTATTTATAATACACCGGAATGTTTGTTAAAATTAGATGAAATTATGCATAGAACTTTGAGCGCTGCAAGTAGTTGTAGTGAATTAAAAATACAAGCTGTGAAAGTTTTGGAAGATGTTCTTTGTACGGAAGATTCCAATTTTTCATCCATCTTCACGAAAAGGAACCAGAGTATATTGAGCTCCTCTGTTGGACACAAACAAAGAAACTTGCCTGCAAGAAGTCAAGTTGAAAATGGTGAAATGGACCACAGCAATGCCGTTTATATTCAGAGATATTGGAAGGAAATTCTTCTACTTTGTGCAGATCACGATCCGCAAGTTCGTATGAAGACTATCTGTCTCGTTGAAATCATTTTGAGAAAGGGTTTAGTCCATCCCCTCAGTGCTTTTAGTGCTCTTCTTGAATTAAATTTTGATCAAAGCAAAAAAATTCGGAAGTTCTCACTGAGAATATTAAAAGCTCAATACGAAAAACACACTGACTTTTTTTATCAGCAGCTGTCTGAAGCTATTGAGCAGCTCTTCCAATTTATTGCATTGAAACAATGTGAAAGTGAGCAAAATAATGAAAGAAGAAGTAGTATAAAGCCAGAATTCTTCGAGGAATTTCACTTCGAATGCTTTAAAAATATTTTAGGTGTAATGACTGGAAATCGAGGTGGATCCATGAAGGTACTTGAAGTAGTTGTCAAACTAATAAAGAAAAAGGTTTCCGAAGCTACAAATCTACAATGCATCAAATTTTTATCTTATTTGATTTCCTACATGACATTTACTTCCTATGAGGAACCTATCTATGCTATTTATCAGCTCCATAGGGTGATTGTTTTACATGCTGTAGAACTTACCAGAAAAATTGAAAAAGAACATAGTGAACCCAGACTTTCATTCTCAGAACGGTCCTTGAACACAAATTCAGTCATAGAGGTCCAAAAAGAGGCGATAAATTTATCGCTTTGCCTCCATGTCATTCTTCAATTAAAGCAGTATTTACAGGCAAAGTTCAAAATTAGCGAAGAGCAGCATCTTTCCTACACTCAGGCTGAAAAACAAAAAAAAAATGGACAGCTCCGAGTGAATGAGAATATCGGGCCTCTGACAATTACTGTGACGGAAGCGCCGTTAAATATTACGGAGGATGTATACCATGAACATTTATCCAATCTGATGGATTTTGTTCAACCCCTCAATTCTGCTATCAAAATGAAAATATCACGATATGTGTAACGAAAATATCTACGATGCATCCAAGAGTTGAATTCCTAGACTCTTTGCACTCCCTAGCACACTCAAACATATATTTTTAGCGGGGATGGAATTAAACTCCTTCCTTTGCCCCTTCACCTTTGCGATTTCATATATATGTTTGAGTGAAATATGTCCACTTTTCACATGATTCGGTTTCGAGCTCCCCGAAGCTTGCCCTATAGCTTGTAACAAGAGATAACTAGTAGGTGGAGTAGAGTAATCCCATTCGTAACTTTTATCTGTAAACGCCGTGATTCGAACAGGAATTGGGACACTTTGCTTAATATCTGCCGTTCGAGCATTGAAGTCTTTACAGAATGCCATAATATTCAAGCCGTGCGAACCTAGAGCTGGTCCGACAGGGGGCGATGCCTTAGCACTTCCAGCATTGATGACTAATGAGATCGTTGCCATAACTTTTTTCGACATCTTCAACTACTACTTCTAGTCAAACATCCAAAATTTTGTTTGACATCTACTGGCAGTGTTGAATGACGGTGTGGTAAAAATAGTGAAAAAAAAAAGGCCAAAAGGAAAAATTTTCTATTTTGCGCTCATATGATAGCAAGGGAAGCAACTAACTGATATAATCATATCAAAAATCAAGAATTCATAGTTTACGGGTACAGATGTTCAGGACTTCAAGGTTTTTAAAGGTTTTGTGAAATTGCGAGGGCGAGGAAAAAATACAACAGTTTAAAAGCACGGAGACTCAATTATCTAAGTAGGAGGAAGACTAAAAGTCGAAACTCGTTGATTACGATATAGCGTTGGTATTCCCCTTTCTCTCTGCAACTCAGATCTCGTATCCTACCACTATGGAATCTATTTCGTCCTGTACTTCCATAAAAAATGTTCTTTTACTAGATAGCGAAGGCAAACGCGTGGCTGTAAAATATTACGATTGTGACATGTGAGTGCATACTGAATACATGATATGATTCGTTATTCATTCTTTTTTTGTATAGGGAATCGACTGTTCAGCAGCTTGCCTTTGAAAGGTCGCTTTATCAGAAGACAATTAGATCTAGTGCACGTAACGATCCAGAAGTCGTGATGTTTGATGGAAATATCGTAGTGTATAAATTTATCTCAGATGTACATTTCTACGTTACTGCAGAAGATCATGAAAATGAACTCATTCTATTGAGCGTACTACAGGGCTTTTTTGAGTCTGTATCCTTACTTTTAAGAGGATTGGTAGAGAAAAGATCCGTTCTGGAAAATCTAGACTTAGTCCTCCTTGTTCTAGACGAATTAGTAGATGGAGGAGTAATACTCGAGACTGACTCAGGCGTGATTGCCAATCGTGTTTCAATGCGAGGTGCGGATAGCGAAACTCCTCTCACCGAGCAATCTTTTGCCCAAGCTATTGCCTCAGCACGGGAACAAATTTCGAGAAACCTGTTACGATGAATACACTCTTTCTATGACTCTACTCCTTTTTAGTTCATTACGAGTGCACAAAAAACACAATTGAAACATTTTCTTATATGAGAAAGGTATGCGGTGGTAGTAATACTTAAATTTTTACACGCTTAAATAATACACAAAACAACATAACTCGAGCGTGTTAATCCATACCTTCAAAGGATTTTTCTAAGAAATCCCACTTTTCCTGCAGAGATCCAGAGATAGGAGAGAATGAGGCAACATTTTCGTACTTTGACTTTGAATACTTTTCTACTACTGCTAATTTTGGCCCATTTTGGATTCGCTGATGATGCTTATTTAGCTCCTTTACACAACTTTTGATTTCTAGTGGAGAATAATATGAGCACTTCTGGAACCCTACAACACTCAACACTCTTTCTGAAGTGAAATGTGCCAAAACCAACGCAGATGAAGCAACCATGGAAGGACAGTAAGATAGAAAGCTGTAATCCAAGAGAGTTAGTTCTATAAAATACGTAGCTAGTGACTCCAAGTCAGAATCTGCGCCACAAAGACTGGTCAAATATTTAAGGAACTGCCTAGCTGTTGGCTGTGTTAACTCAAAACGAAGTGCATCAAGGATATCACGTTCCATTAATAAAATATCATCACGTGTGTAAGTGTTATCAGTGATGTAGCAGAAGTCATCAACTTGAGGTGCGTATATTTCCTCATATTTTGAGGCAACTAACATGCAGGTTATTCCTACAAGTTGGAGTCGATTTCTCTTGACCAGTTTTAAACCGAGATAACGGTCTAAATAGTTTAACGTGAGAAATAAAGTTTCCGAGGTCAAGCTGTACTCATCCGCAACTTCCACGAGCCAGTCGACTAAAATACTACGCATGCTTGGATTTATCTCCTTTTGAATGGTGGTCATATAGTCTCGAAATCTGGTAGTCTCAACTTTTGTCGTTCTGAGATATGAAATTATATCATTCGCATATTCTGTGCTCTTAGACATATTTTCAGGAAGCAAACGATCATATCCAGTACACGTAGCGAGAGCAAAGCAGGGTAAGTTTGAACGGATTATATTGTCCCTAGTATTAGTGAAAAACCATTCTGTGTCTGTATCCAAATTTTGTTCCAGAGAGGACTGTTCACTTGCTGTCGTCGAGTATCCCGATAATTCCTATTAAGAATCGTAAAATGAAATACGTTTCAAGGAAATGCCTACCTTTTTTCTTGTTCCTATAACCCTGCCAGATATATCATGATTTCTATTGGTAATATCTCCTAAAGGTTTCATTTCAAAATCTGGAGTTTTTCAAAAAGTGAATTGAAAGTATCGAACGAAGTGAGGGGTGCTTTAATTTTTTTATCGACCACTACTGAACTACTCGAACGTGCTCAATTTGAGCTCTGGGTTGCGATATACCTTCGAACTACAATAAATATCTTGCACTGCAGTACGCTTATCTCCTTCGTGTTTTCGACCTATTAATCCTGGAGTTTTTTTGAATTTTGAATTTATCGACTCTTTATTTAGGGTGTCATAGGGAAGGTGTATAATGATGTGTAGTTCTGTGCAGACCTCCAAATAGAGCGAGAACAAAAAAAATATGAATGGAACACAATGCTGGTCGCCGGCCTTGCAGCCCACCGGGTGAAGTCAATAGTTATCACTCCTTTTTCTGCTGATATCTTCACTTATCGAGAGATACTATATAGTATGAGTCATTGAACACATGCGCGATTCTCCAACTTTACTTGAGGTAGTTGCTGCCGAAAATTTTGTTGCAAGTTTATACTCGGCAATTTCCCAACTGCTCGATTTGGTACAAATATTGTTCAAACAAATTCCATGACTCATAAGCTTGGACTTTAGATTCTTACTTTTGGTCATCAGCAGCAAGATTTTACCTTTATTCGGAAACATCGCTGCGAAATTGCAGCTTTGCTGCACTTTTGTTTCGAGTTGAATTCCTTTTCTCGTCATAGCTCTTCAAGTGGGGAACGGTTATATGACATAAGGCGGATCTCATCTTCAAAGGTATTTGGGCTTTCGAAAAAACAGGTATCAATATCAGCAATTCATACAACTTTACCACTGTATCTTCAAAATATGAAAGAAAACTACTTCATGACCAAACGCAAACCGAAAGTTTTAAAATTACAGAGTAATGATAGCCAAGACAACTCTATGCAAGGGGTAAATCTAGCTTTCGCAAACTCCTGTGAACTCTTTATTCGTGATATTTTGCCTGCGGTATTTTTCCTGTTGGAAACAAGCAAATTAAGAATTTGGTTCAATTTTGTTATTGGTTCAAGGAAGACACACAACTTGACTTGCAGTTATTTTTTGTTTCATCTCGTGCGCTCAGAAAGTGCTCGGAGTACTCGCAGTTCTTATGATTTCCATATTCTTACTGCTCTCGCAGCCGCTACGAAATGTTGCGAATGGTACTTTTCAAGTGCTTCAACAATCACATATGATAAAAAAGCTCAATTACCTAAATGTGGTGAAGTTTCAAGTGCTTTAAAATCTATTCCAAAGCACCCAAAGGGTCTTTCCTTTCAGGACTTCAACCGTTGCTGTCCTCTTTGCTTGAATAAACGAGTAGGTCCGACCCTGTTGATAAGAAGCGGGTATGTTGAAGTACAATATTTAATTTATTCTTTTTATTGTATAAATCACAGATACGTCTTTTGTTTTTCTTGTATTTCAGAACATGTGTTGAAATATAATACTTGTCCGGTAACGAAAAAGTCTACGCTCAATTGTTCAGATGATCTCAGGATGCTCTATGAAGTACATTGCTAGTTCTTCGCTTGATTTCTTTTCTGATTATATAAATATGCCATAAGAACGGAGGGAAGGCAAAGGATAGCATAGCTACTTGCCAAGTTACGAACATGAACGTAAGTTAAAAGTGGGTGGCAAATGAGTACATGGTTTGCCAGAGAAAATATATCCTCACTTATGAGCGTTGCCAAAATGAACGAGATCAGAAGTAATAATCTGAAGGCTACGTACGCACATTGAATCCATACTGTTTAGACGTGAATCAGTACAAAATATTGTGCACATACACTCTACTTGTATTGTTGTAACATGTTTGAAGAGTCTGCAATTCGTAGTGTGAGGTATGGATGTAAATGTTCTAGTTATCAATAACACTGTATTTTAAAAAAGTATTAAGGAAAGGCACAACATCCGTCCTGCACAGTATGCACAGTATGCAGACGTGAGACCGAACTTCTATGCTTTTTGCTTTCCGACATCTACCACCACCGCAAACAAAAAATGGAAAAATAAGTCAAGTTACTGATAGAGAAAGGGATTTGACTTTTTCGAACTGGAAACCATATGCATATGACCATTTCTTTGCTTTTCTATTTTCAAACGGCAGCAAAGGCAAGCTAAAGTGGTATATTCTCGTGGATGGTAGCAAAGTTACTCGTTTCTCTTTTCAGCTTTTTCATTTTTCTCCAGCTCCTCCCTGTCTTTCACTCTTTTTTTTCGCCTTCTTTCTCCTTTTCAGCTGCCGTCTGTAAAAAGCTTTCTCCAAAAATTTCCTCAACTGTCAACGAGTCCACCCTTCGACCTTTCTCCTTTCGACCTTTGCCAAACGGCAAAAGGAAGACACTGCCGTGTTAACTTTGTCAAATATTCATTATATACACATATTATATTCGCTGAAGTCGGAGTAGTAACTGCAAACGACAAGACGGGAAAAAACTAAATAGCTGGCCAATAAACATTCTCTTCTTAGCACGCGTTTTATATACGTATTTTGCCTTGGGCTCCCTTTCTGAAATACGCTTCAATGCTGCAGAACATTCACTATATGTCGCGCAAACTAAAGTTCTACTGTTGTCGTTAGAGTTTATTATCTTACTGTGATCTCAACTCAATTTTGAGGTACTTTCGAACTTAACTGTTTTGTACTTGGGTGTGCAATTGAAAGTTTGGGCACAGTTTGGACCGTACTCAAAATATTTAGCATTTTTGCTGCAATAAACTTACTTTATATACTTTAAATATGCGTAAGAAAGTGAGTGATCGCGATCGCATCAACGATACCTGTGCTTTGAATTGGAGTAAAACGAATAGGAACTTTCCAAAAGTTGTTGAAAATGTTAGAAAAATGTCGGATGGGAAGGGTATCGATCAAAATCTCGTGGAAGAAGAGTTTAATGCGATCCGAGTTACCGATGCAAATTCAGCAGCACCTTGTAATTCTGTCGTTACTTCTGTTGACTTTTCGTATGAGAATGTTTCTCTGCTTCTTACTGCTGGTTTTGATAGAAAGTTGAGGATATTTGACATTGACGGAAAACGAAATTCACTAAAGTCTTCCTCTCTGTTTGAGGATTTACCTCTTCGCAAGGTTAAATTTACATCTTCTGGTCAAATATTGTTAAGTGGCAAGGCAAATTTCATTTATGTATATGATATAAATAAAAGTTCAGTCATGAGCCGTGTTGATGTTTTTGGCTCAGAAATACTGATCAAAGGTTTTGCAGAGTCACCTAATACTTCAGAAGTTCAGACTACTTCAATATATGGTATTGGAAGGACTTTATCTGTCTTCTCAAGTCGGGACTATCGAAAAGTTGCGACTCTCAATGTTAGCGAAGACATAGTTGGTGCTTCTTACTCTCACAGTGGACGAGAATTATTTTTAGCTGGGTCTGACGGTAAAGTTTGCACTTGGGACTTGAGGAAGATGAGGTGCATGGATAAAAAGAGTTTAGTCGGATCCAGAAAAGTAACAGCCCTCAACTACTCAGCTTTAGACCAGTTGGCAGTTGGTGATAGCGATGGAGTGGTAAATATTTTTCCTCGATGGAAAGAGCTTTTTAATGATTCATCTCAAAAGGAGTTGGTTGCAGGTGAGAAAATAATGAGCTTGAAGTCTGTAGTAGACGGTGTGAGCTATAATTGTGGTGGTAACTTACTAGCACTTTCATCAAGTGTGTGCAAGGATTCTTTAAGAATGGTCAAGCAGCCTTCGTGCACTATTTGCTCCCGATGGCCTACATCCAAGACTCCTGTCAATTTTGTGTTTTGTACTACTTTTAGTAGAGAAAGCAGGTATCTCGCTGTGGGCAATGCACGTGGCAGAGTGTTATTATATTCTCTCAGATAGCTCTTAGAATTATTTATATGTTTCTATGCAGAATTCAATTTATTGCAACGATGAAAATTCCTAGAAATCCCACTACTCCACATCATGTCACGAGGTAATCGAATCATCGAAGTCTTCTAGCTTCTCTTTCTGATTCCATCAGCGTGAGAATATCACCTGAAGAGAGAAAAGTTAAAAACAAAATTCTACACTGCTTTTCAACGTACCTTCACGAACGGGACCTTTCACGTTTCTCATGATTTGACGATTTTGATCGTCCAAAAACTTTACACGAACCTGAGTCACCTGAAAAACGGGTAAGTATCTGTCACATCACACATTTTATAGGCAAAGACCTGTCCTCTTGAGCCAGTTCGTCCAATAACTTTCATCACAATAGCCCTAGGTGGAATTTAAGTTAGATAAAAATCTTCAGCGCGAAGCTAGGTAAAGGGATCACTCGGCTTATTGCCGAAGGAATAATTACTACGAATGTACTTACAATTTAATAGGATCCTATTTACAACATATCAGTGCATCCAATAAACATAAACAAAAGACAAGAGTTTGCCGGTAAAGAAAAAATGCGTACCATTTCGAAGACGTGATAAGAATACAATCTATCGAATAGAGAATTATCCTAGTTTTCGTTCAAATGCGGAATAAATTGTTTGACGCCTAGCTATTGTGTGACAATTTCCGAAGCGCCTTAAGTGAGGGGAGGTGCGACTCGTTTTTCCTCTTCTCCGTTCCGATTCGCATTCCGGAATCGTATTTAGGGTTATAAAACGTTCCAAAAAAGCCAGTAATGCTTGGTTGTAGGCTTGTACCGTGATTTTCGACTCGGAATAAACTCACGCTCAGACGTCAGAAAAAGAATACGCGACCGACTAGGAACCGGTGCACGTGCAGAATCTCATCTATATTTACTTCAGTTGTCATCATCGATGGTATCATTAAAGTTGCAGAAGCGTCTTGCTGCCTCTATCTTAAACTGTGGGAAGCGTAAGATTTGGCTCGACCCTAATGAGGTACGTTGAGTGATTTTAGCAACTCTTTTCTTGTTCTGTTGAACCGAGCCGGTATAATTAACAGAAAGTTTCCTATTCTGATCATCTTGCTTTTAGATAACTGAAATTTCGAACGCGAATTCCAGACAGAATATTCGAAAACTTGTCAAAGATGGGCTTGTGATCCGCAAGCCAGAAAAGGTACGTGAACGCTATTCTTTCTTGCTCTCTTCTCTAATCAGTTTGCTTGTAGATCCACTCGCGGTCAAGGACTCGCAGGGAACAAGAAGCTAAAAGAAAAGGACGTCATACTGGATATGGTATATCTATTATTTCCTTACTATCTACTGAACATCTAAATCTTAAACTCAACAGGTAAAAGAAGAGGTACGAGAGAGGCACGTTTGCCTACTAAGGTGCTCTGGCTCCGCCGACACAGAGTCCTTCGTAGATTACTAAAGAAATATCGAGATGCTAAGAAAATTGATAAGCATATGTATCATTCCATGTATCTTAAATGTAAGGGGAATGTATTCAAGAACAAGAGAGTACTGATGGAGGCAATACACAAGACAAAGGCAGAGAAAAGTCGTGAAAAGTCGCTGGCAGACCAGTTTGAGGCCAGGCGCACTCACAACAAAGTAGTGAGATCTAGAAAAATTGCAGCTCGTGAAGAAAGAATTCTTACGGGAGCTGCCGCTGATTTGAAGTAGATAGATTTCTATTAGTATGTCGACAATAATATATCCTGAATATCCTTCAACAAATCTCCCACAACTCCTCTATCCGGGACACTTCCTGCCATGCCATAGATAGGAGCTTTCCCTCCTTTAATTCCTTCAGGCAAGCTAAGAACCTCATAAACTGAAAGCCTCAAATCCGCAACCAATCGTGGAACACACGATACGTTTGCGGCAGTGATACACAAATGCAGAGCTGGTGGCGCTTGCAACACAGATAGTTGCCAGCCTTTTGACTGTAAAATATCATTCACAATATAAATATTGATTTTATTCATATTACTCTTCCAGGCAACTATCATGTTTATATCTTCACCAATTACTTGCAAACCTGGAATAGAATTAATCTCTGTCCGAAGCATCACAGCAGCAGCATAAATTTCTTTAGCTACGGTCGTATATCCATCAATACCCATGTGAACAAGTGCAGCCCATGTTTGACTTATCAGTCCTCCTGAGCGTGAACCAGGCTGTGAAGGAGATATGTAAAGCCCTCCAGTCCAATCCATTACTGATGTGTATTGAAATTTACGCAATTCCCTCGATGAATATAAAACTACTGATGAACCTTTTTGAGCACAACCATATTTGTGAGTATCTACACTCATGGAAGTTACCCCAGCTAACTCAAAATCAAAAATAATAGTAGAAATCTCTGCTTTCAAAAAAGGTAAAACAAAACCACCTAAGCAAGCATCGACGTGAAGGCAGCAATCGTATGCTAGTGCAATCTCGCTAAGAGCTGCTATTGGATCTATCGCACCATGTGGGTAACTTGGAGCTGATGTGTAAATCAAAATAGTATTCTTATTTATCTTTTTTTTTACTTCGTCCACTCTCATCCTCCCTTCCTTGTCAACCCCTACTCTAATAAGTTGTATCTTGAAGTACTCAGCAGCCTTATACACAGCAGCATGTGCCGAAATAGCAATAATCCTGGAGAAATAACGATGTAAGCTGAATGAAGTACGAAAGAAAAAGCAAAAAGATCTTACATTTCTGGGAATGAAATTTTCTTACGTTTCTGCATATAATCACGGGTTACTCTAATAGCCGTTAAAATACTCTCTGTGCCACCAGAAGTAATAGCTCCGCAGACGTTTTTTTTATCCGGAGATCCACCGCCTAACAATTTCGCCGTCATAGAAACTATTTCAGCTTCCATTCTGCACACAGAAGGAAAAGCTTCGCTGTGCAGTGGATTAGCATGCGCAAACTGTGAATAAACAATATTGCACATTTCAAAATGATCACTATCAGCTATGTAAACGGTACCAGACATTTTGTTTGTTGCTACAGATATTACAGTATCTTTCTCCTTCAGTGCAGTTGCTTCTTTCAAAACTCTTGCAACAGGCCAGCCTGTCTTTGGAAGCTCTTCATTCTTTTTTAGTATGCAACTACGGCTGGAAGATATATCTTTCCGCAACTGTGAAAGCATTTTTTGCTTTTCTTTACTTATAAAGAAAGCTACGAACGGCATCGTTCGAAAGCAGCGAAATAACGTACTTTTTAACTTTTCATGTCGCAAGAAGTTAGCAATTTGAACGCTCGTGTGGAGAACAAACGAGGAGAATAATATGAAAACTCCAGAAAAAATAAGGAAATCAATCAAAGAATAACTTTGTAGTGACAAATGCCATAACTGGATAATCTCCATCAGTTGCCATTGAAGTGAGAGCATGTTGCAGATAGAGTTGTTGAGCTGAACAAACACGCTCCTTAGCTGCTTTCTATTTCGAACCGCCCAGTCTCCTTTCTTTCCTTGTGGGGTGTTTTTTCGCATTTTGGGGGGAGGGGAGGAAAACCGGAAACCCCTAAACTTCGGGCTCCGGAAAGAACCTAATGATAATGCATAAAAGTGGTTTAGCGTGTTGTAATTAACCGTCATTCACTAACGCTCACGATCAACTATTTCATGGACGTAAACAGATTGCAAAAGCTTGCCGGCGCTGTGCGCACGGGCGGAAAAGGATCAGTTCGAAGGTTTGCCCTTATTCTTTATTGCTTCGTTTCAACACGATTTTACTGTCTGTTCCTTTTCGAAGAAAAAAAAAGGTTGCCCATAAAACAACCTCAACAGATGATAAGCGACTTCAGAGCGTCTTAAAAAGACTCGGCGTTACGACTGTGCCCGGAATCGATGAAGTTAACATATTCTGTAACGATACCGTCACCCATTTCACAAGTCCTAAAGGTAATATTTCACCTTGTAATTCTACGCTCCAGAAACTTAAGCTATGTAGTTCAAGCTGCAACACCAGCAAATACTTATGTAATCAGTGGACAATCCCAAACTAAGAGTAAGTAAATTTAGAAGGTGCAAGTTTTTTCAGCTTACAACATTGGCTAGAGCTACAAGATTTACTTCCAAGTATTGCTAGTCAATTAGGTGCGAAAATATCTTCTCTTCTACCCTTCAAAAGTTGAACCTCAACCACGCTAAAGGTCCTGAAAGTTTTCAAACTTTAAAGAAGATGGCTGCTGAATTCAATTCGAACGAGGCGTAGTAGTTGGGCTATTCCCGCCCGACTGTCCTGATCTTCACATTATGTACTTAGCTATTTTAACTCGAGTTTTAATTCTAGTAACTAATTATTAATAATCGTACTTTAAAAACAAATACATTTAAAGTGCTGTTATAATTCATCTTGAAGTCAAAGTTTGTAAACTGGATCTATTCCCAAGATGAAGAAGCATCTGCGCATCACGGATGCAGTTGCATGGCAAAGAATTATTCGGCTTTCCTCATTATCATCACCTATCACTTTACAAGAACCATAAAAGTCATTGAATAGACTGGATAGCGTATATAGATAATCACAGATTCGAGAAGGCATCAAATCCTGTAGAGATGAATCAAGTGACTCAGCAAACTTAAGAATGTGCAAAGCTAGCGCCCTCTCTTCTTTCGCTTTAAAACGAAATTCTTGGGGTGTGACGTTCTGTACATCTATCTGCGTTTTGTCCAGTACCGCACTAACTCGGACATGTGCATATTGCAAATATATGGCAGTGTTACCTTTCAGATCCAGCATTCTATCGAAGGAAAATACATAATTTGTGGACAGATTGTTTTGGAGATCAGCGTATTTTATCGCACCTATACCCAGTTTTCTTGCAGTCTGTTTCATTTCTATCTCGCTAAGTCCAGATGTGCCCCTATTCTTCAACTCATCGTAGCATCGTGACTCAGCTTCACTTAGGAGCTCCTTCAGACGTATGACCTCACCAGAACGAGTGCGGAATCTTTTACCATCTTCCCCCATCACCAATCCAAAACCAACATGACTCAAACGAACATCTGACTTTTCACATCTTTCGAGCCAACCGGCTCGCTCCGTTGCATCAAAAATACCTGCAAAGTGTTTTTTCTGGCCACTATCCGTTACGTAAATTACCCAGTCCGCCTTTTCGTACTTGATTCTATGATTTATTGCCGCAAGGTCCGTAGATGCATAATTATAACCACCATCGCTCTTTCTGCATATAAGAGGTGTTCCTTCAAAACTGCTGAATATACACAAAGCACCTTCACTCTTCACAGCTATATTCTTCTGTTCTAATTCTTCGAGTATGCCTGATATCATTAAGTTGTAAAAACTTTCACCTCTTTCCGAGATTCTCACATTTAAAGCTTCGTATATAGTTTCAAATTCATTCCTACTCGTTTGACACACATTTTCCCATATTTCTAACATTTTTGGGTCGCCAGCTTGCAACTTCACAACAGCTGCCTGAGAACGAATCTTAAATTCAGTATCCTCGTCAAATCGTTTCTTTGCAAGCTTATAGCACGACTGAAGATCCCCAATAGTATCAACAAAATCATCGTGTTCATCATTTAAATATTCTATCAACATTCCAAACTGGGTACCCCAATCTCCAACATGATTTAAGCGTAAAGTTTCAATATTTTTATATTCTAGCATTCGACATATAGAATCACCGATGATAGTACTTCTAAGATGTCCCACATGCATTTCCTTTGCTATATTAGGAGATGAGAAATCAACAATAACGCGAGGATAGTTTACATTTTCAGCAGTGTTTACTCGTCGCTCTCGTGGCTCACAAATATTGAAGTTTTGCAGGATTTTTGAAGAAATGTATGAGTCTGAAATTTTGACATTGATGAAGCCAGGTCCAGCTATACTAGGGTTCTCAAAGAAGGGGTTCACGGGTAGCATGTTGATAATATTTTGAGCAACTTCTCGAGGACTTTTAACATCGCATCCTCCGACTTCACGCACAACAGAAAATAAATGCATGGCATCATTAAATTGATAGTCTCCAAGACCCGAGTTCGCGCATTCATTTAGCGATACCTCCTTAAAATTCTCAGGATATGCGGCTTGAACAGCCTGTGTGAAAAGAGATTTTAACGAGGCTTTCAAATTATCTTCTTCAAACTTGAATAAAGCTGACTTCCTTTCACTCAGGCTCTCTACAGACTGGACGCTTTTAATCGAATCAGAATGTAACCGGACCGTCTTTTTATTGAAGGTTCGACCTCTCATTCTCGAATAGTTTTGAAGGGAAACATTGTATTTAATTGGAGCTACCCCTGCAATCCTCAAAGCTCGTGTTTGTAATCGATGCGCCATTAATGAAGGTCTTGACTGAGGATATGGATAAGGTTGTGAGTCTACCCAAGCTACCCGAGAAACGTATGTATGAGAAGACGTTTGGTGAAACCGGCAAAAAAAAAGAGAAGTGTCTTTTTAAAGACCTCAACCTCATCTCAGGGAGAAACACTAAATGAAATATGTTTATAAAAAAAAGGTACAAAAACACTCTGAACAAAAACCCAGGATCGCTCGTCTCGCAGAACCTTACTGTTCAAATGGATTCCACGCAAGTTCTGTGCAAGAAGGATGCGTTTGTACTCAATTTTGAGTTTAAACAATATCGAGCTCGCGTTAATCATGTAGCAAGAGAGCGAAGTTTAAACCTTTCTTTCGGGCGTTCTCAAGGACCAGAACGAGGGAGAAATGCAGAAACAGTTACAGCAAAAGAAAGGTTCGTCCTTTAGCACTTAAACTTCATGTATCATAATGTACCATTTTTTAGAGTTAATCGACCAATATTGAATAATCCGTTTCCAATTTGGGGTACGGTCGGATTTGAGGTGAACACAATACGTCAGCTAGCTTCGAAGGTATTCTTTCTCCGAATAATAATTATATAATTTTTCAATTTTCCTCACTAGCAACTTGCCTTTATTGGATTAGCAACTCATAAAAGTCGCGGAAGCGGTGACACGAACTTGTCAGAAATTTCCGATTCTCCTCCGAAGAAAGACATCACAGTTGAGTCTTCTTATCGTGTTCTCTGTCTGATGAGTCATACTGGTGGAGGGCATAAAGCAAGCGCACAGGCTTTAAAAGATGGATTTGAGTGCATCTATGGTAATTTCTTTTTATCTTAATTCTTGACTATTAACGCAAATTATATCAGGGAATTCGTATGATGTGAATATTGTGGATTTATGGAGCTCACATTCTCCGTGGCCTTTATGTAACATGCCAAAAAGCTACTTTTTTTTGGTTAAAAACCCGTGGCTTTGGCGCTTAAATTTCCGATGCTCAGAACCAAAGATCGTTCATGAAACACTGTTCAGGGTGAGAAATAAACATATTAATTGATAGCATACAATCAAAGTTTACCTTCACAATATTTCTAGGGATACGCTGCGATTGTTAGCACGCAATTTTCTCGTGTTTTCATGGATTATAATCCTCACTTAATTGTAAGTGTACACCCACTGATGCAACATGTGCCCGTAAGAAACTATCATCAAAATTTATGTCACTTTGAATAATTTTCTTTATAAGTTGATGTCTTTGGAGCGACTCCGGGATAAAGTTGCAAAACCGATTCCATTTACAACTGTGGTCACAGATTTAACCCGGTGTCACCCGACTTGGTTTCACAAGGTTCTTTCTATCATATTTTTTTCGTAATATCATAACCATTTTTTTCTACTTAAGAGCGTATTGAAATGCTTTGTGGCGACAAAAATAGTGGTTTCGCAAGCATTAAGTTTAGGACTGAAAACAACACAAATTATATGTCATGGACTTCCTATCAGACCATCTTTCAGTATTCCTGCCGGAACAAGAGCATATTTGAGGGAGAAGTTAGGTATGCAAAAGGATGCTCGGACTGTGATGTTAATTGGAGGTGGTGAAGGCATGGGCAAAATAACAGAAATAGCTGAGGAATTATCGAAACGGTTTGCTCGAACTATATTCGCTAACTTTCTCATAACAAGTCTTTATTAGACTGTCTGAAACACATCAACTTGTTATCATATGTGGAAATAATAGATCTCTTGTTGAAAAATTGAGCGCCAAAATATGGCCATTCAGCGTCCATGTCAAGGTCCTTATTTTTCTAAAAATATAATAATGTAAAATTTTATGTGAATCCACGTAGGGATTCGTTCATAACATGTCGGAATATATGTCCTGTTGCGATTGTGTTATTACGAAAGCAGGTCCAGGCACTATAGCTGAGGCTCTAATATGCGGAATCCCAATCATTCTCAATGGTAACATCTTTATCAGTAGCTTCTGTAGATTATAACTTTTTTCCAGGATGTATACCATGCCAAGAAGAAGGTAATATACCTTTTGTACTTGAAAATAAAGTTGGGACGTATAGCGAGGATCCTGTAATTATTGCAAATACTGTCTCGGAATGGTTTGATAAAAATGATGGGACTTTGGAGGAAATGTCAGCTCGAGCTAAACTGCTTGGAAGGCCTGATGCAACTTTCAACATCGTGCGCGATCTTGCCGGTATGATCCTTTCATTTTATCACTGAAATACTCAAGTTCTTGTGAGGAAAGATCTCGTGCTTGAATAGTATCATGATATTTTTCTGCTCCACCTAAAGCTGAAATCTTATGTTAATGCCAATACCTGGAAACAAAACAACCTAAGTATAAACTCTAACCAGTAGCCACGACAAGTTTTTCCTGCTCAGTCAGACTTTTACGTCCATTTCATCGCGAAAATGTCAAAAAATGAGAAAAAAAAGGAAATTTCATCCAATATGCATCTGAAAACGGTGTCGTGGCTAATAGGGTTGTGACTCTTACACATACCATACCATAAGTTGATTTATCCACATCTCAAAAAAAAACTCCAACTGTTCTTAACATCTCACACAGGCTCACAATTACCTAGTCATTCGAACAATTTGTGCGCAAAGTTAACGTTGTCGAAAGTCTGCAGATTATACTTTTCATAAACTACGCCCGATATCTTGCGCGACGCAGCTTCACTTGTGAAGTTTTGAGAGCGTCATTTCGTCATTTCTTGAATTTTAAAAGGTTGTTTCTTATGAAACTTTTGCGGCCCATGGTGAGACTTCTTCTCCTTTCTTTACGGGTCTTCAATCTAACTAATATGTGCAGGGCGAGATATGCTGCAACGTTGGTTGCAACGTCAGTGCTTTTGTTCCTTCACGTACCACTTTACTATCGCACAGGAAAAGAATTCACGCGAGCGGAGAACAACTCAAAAGAAAGGCACTTACAACACGTACTTTTTACAGACTTCAGTCTGCTGTAGCTACGGCAGACAAAGAATGTACTGGAAACGTGCTTAATATTCTTCGCGAACGCGGCCTTCTTGATGCTTGTACCAGTGAGGGTTCGCTAAGTGAGGCTACTCAAAAACCTGTTCGAGTATACTGCGGTTTTGATCCTACTGCAGACTCTCTGCACTTAGGTAATCTTTTGGGAATCGTTGTACTATCATGGTTTCAGCGCTGTGGACACACACCTGTAGTCCTTCTTGGAGGTGCAACTGGAAGTATCGGTGATCCCTCCGGTAAATCGGTTGAACGACCATTGTTGGAAACGAAAATAATACAGTCAAACACATTAAAAATTGGACAGAACCTTGAAGAAGTTCTTGGTCGTGAAAGTAAATATCCACCCCCTCTTGTTATGAACAATCTTGATTGGTTCGCAGACATGAGCTTTCTCGATTTTTTGAGGAACGTTGGGAGATATGCAAGAGTTGGGACAATGATTACCCGTGATAGTGTGAAAACACGCCTGGACAGTGAATCTGGGATGAGTTTCACTGAATTTTCTTACCAGCTTCTTCAAGGATATGATTTCATGCACTTATTTCAGAACCACGAAGTTACCGTTCAAATAGGAGGAAGCGATCAATGGGGTAATATTGTCGCTGGTTCTGATCTTATCAGACGTACAGTTGCTAAGGACTCGGTGTTTGGTTTAACTTTTCCACTATTGTTGAAAGCAGACGGAAAAAAATTTGGAAAGAGTGAAGATGGCGCAATCTGGCTCTCGTCTGAGCGCTTGTCTCCTTTCAAATTTTACCAATATTTATTAAATACAAAAGATGAAGACGTTCTTCGGCTAATGAAGATGTTGACATTCTTACCTCTCAATGAAATAGAAACATACTCGAAGTTAATGAATAGCAAGAACTATGTACAAAACAGTGCTCAAGTTCGACTTGCAGAGGAAGTGACAAGATTTGTCCACGGCGAAGTTGGCTTACAGAAAGCAATCACTGCCACAAAGGGTCTTTTACCAGGATCAGATACAGAATTAGACATTGATGTACTTGAGTCGTTAATTGATGTCGTGCCGACTGCTATATGTGCTAGGACTGACATTATAGGAATCCCTATAGTCGATGTAGCAGTAAAAGTTGGGCTACGGAAGAGTAAGGCTGAAGTTAGGAGAATGATTGATGGTGGCGGAGTGCGGATAAATAACAAAAAGGTTCTAGATGTGTCAACCTGTATAAGCCCAGAGGAATTGATTGCCGGAAGAATGCTCCTCATTAGCATGGGAAAAAAGAACAAGTTCCTTATACAGGTTCAATCGTAACGTAGTTAATTGTGAAAGAATACATACAGGTTCAGAGATAATGCAAACCATTGTAAGTTTTTTTTATCTTGCGTACGTACGTGCTAGTAATTTCACATATGCACGTTAACTTGTTCTCCTCAACTATTTATGATGCACTTGATGTAAATGTCCACATTGTATCACGACCTTCCCCACGCTTCTCAACAGCCACACATAAAGAGGCTACACGCAAGAGTGCTGACCAAATCGGGGTCGGATCATACAAGTAGAAGTTTGGATATTTTGACTTCAAAGCTGAAGTTGCCAACTGTGCCTTATAGTGTGGAATCGAGCACTCAATATGATGTGCAACGTGAGTGCTCCCAATTCGATGGTGTAGAAAATCAAAAACAGCACCATAAGGACGGTCGATAGTCAAGAATGCGCCTTTAATATAGCTCCACTCCTCGGCTGCAAGATGCTGAACATCTGTGTCGGTATGTTGAAGCCATGTATAGAGGACCAGCCAAATATTCACAAATATATATGGTCCAAGGTAAAGTGAAACAAAGGGTTGCACACCACAACAATAAACCCAATAACCGAGAGAAAAGATTACTGCGAGCACACCCACATCAGAAACGAGGACCTTTTTTTTCCAACTTCCGGGGAAACAACTCTAGCTCTCCTGTATTTATCCAAGGTAAAAAATGATTTGTGATTCCACGTGCACTGCCACCAGTAGCACCAGTAATCAAATATGCTGGCCACCCAAATACTAAATGTGTGAGGAGTTGAATGAAAGTAAATAGACCTTCTCCTAATCCTTTTCGTGCATTCAGGTTTAAGTCACCCTTTACTTCACCCTTAACATATGGAACATGAGTTTCACCCTCTGTTAAATGATTGGTTCTACTGTGATGAACAGCGTGTGACCTTTGCCAAGAAAAATATGGTACTAATAAGAGTGAGTGCAAAGAATATCCAACGAAATCCTGGAGTATGCGATTCTCACTGAAAGCGTTATGTCCACATTCATGAGCGATCACCCAACATCCAGTTGCAATTGTCCCGGTTACGGCAGCATAGCTCAACCAAACTGGCAACCAACACAGTTCTAAAGGGATAAATGCAAAAGCAAGTGCTCCACAGAACGCAGTTAAAACTGTGGAAAGAACAGTATACGCAAGAGATTTCATCGTATCTTTTTTGAAACACTCGTCAGGTATGTTTGAAAGGACTTCAGATCTGCTCGGAAATTCATCCTTGGGTGGGAATACAATAGCTTTGCCCTGTAGCCCCGACAGCGGAAGAGAACTTTTATCCAAAATCGATGACGTTACACCAAAAAACTTTTTTTTTTCACGAGCCTTCCCTTTCGGTCTAAGAAGCCTAGATGATGCAGGTAATTTACCGCGTGATTTACTCAGATGTTGCACTTTCGAAGAATAGCATGAAGGTGATGCAGTATTCAACATCATTTTTACCTGTTTGTCGAAGTGACCAGACCACACGACCACAGGCAGAGAAAGAGAAAGTCGTTTGAAGCGTGGGAAACCTTAAACCTGATGTCGTTTTCTCTTTTTCCATCTGAGATAAAATTAATTTTTTTTTTTTGGTTTTGTGTATATTACGATCTATCACCTGATCACTGTCTATGGATGAGGGAGGAACTATCGTACGAACTATCAAGAAAAATCGAAAAGGAAGAATGATATCTATTGATTTTCCTGTGATTTTCCTGTGAATTTCCTGTGAACTCAAAAACCCTAAATAGCCCCTCCCCTCCTTTTTCATCGACCAAAAGTTTCCAAACTCCGCTACTTAATAGCTCCCCGCAACAAGTGCTTCGCACTCTTGCGTGAATTTTATTACCAAGCGTGATCTTGTTGAGACTGCGGAATTTGCGTGGACTGCTTGAGTGCGTGGATCGCGTAGGTTGCGGTGCGGTTGCGGGGGCTCGTTAACTTGTGGAAGTTTGGGGGATAAAATAATCATGGAGCTCAACGACGCTGCGAAGAACGGGGACGTAGAAACGGCTTGGGATTCGTCTGAAGTAGGAGCAGACGCTGAAATAGAGTACGTGCCGTTAATGCGGGTAGAAAATTCCTCCTCCACAAATATGGGGGGTATGCACATTATCCAGAATATACCCCCTTCGTTCGGTGAGGGTGCATTTGTCGATGAATCGCTGCTTGCTGTGAAGCTCACAATTTTATGGGTTGTTTTTTGTATTGTTTTGGATTTTGCAACGGATGGCGGCGGGATGGGAATCTTTTTAGGAATCCTTTCGGCGCCTTTCTTTGGCGGAGCTGTCCTCGGCGTTCGATTTTGTTGGCTTTATGGTCCGGGTATATTGAGTGGTTGGCTACGGGAGTTACGGGAGTTTTTTCGGAAAAGTTAATGATAGTATTATTGTACTTTTAAACCGTATTTGTTTCTATAAGTGTACACATGTGATCATTGAAGGCTCTCCATTTTGATTCCCTCTCTCGACCCTCCGTTGAATTATTGAATGACATTCTTTTTTCATGAAGGTCCTTCTGCCAATACAGTATTTTCTTAAGGGCTTGACACAGTTTTGTATTTTCACTCTTATACTTTTTTAATTCATCGGCTTCGACGATATTTTCAATCTCAGTATTTAAACTGGACTTCTGTTTGCTTATATCCTCTTTAAATTCATCCCAGTATCGCTTTAGAAATCCGGAATTTGTCCAATCAAAATCTACAGATAACTGCGCAGTGTGTGTATCTATTTCCTCAAGTACATCACGTAACTTTGTATTTTCTTCCTGAAGTTTTTCCTTTTGTACACGGTCCAGGATACTTTTAATCTCAACACTAACGGGGTTTAAATTATCTAAAAAGCGCCTCCACGTGGACGTTTCATTGCTGCCAAGCTTATACTTTTTCGATTCCTCGTATGTAAAGTATTCCCTGATTGTATTGAGCGTATCACACAACTCTGTTTTTTCCTTCTTTACTTTTTCCATTTTTTCATCTGCGTCTACATTTGCTTGAACAATCATATCAATTAAAGCATCTTTACCCAGTCCCAAGAATTTACTTCGTGACTTCGTATCGAGTGGGGTTCTCGATCTCTCGTCATTTTTCACGGGGGTAATTTCTTCCAATTCAGTTACGTGTTGAAGGGTCATTGTCTCTAAACTTTCACGAAGTTCGTTTCGACCCTTTTCTTGTTGTATAGCGTTCGCGTGTACATTTAATTGATGATGTGCGCATATTCGCATCTTAATCACATCCGCAAATCGTTCACGGTACGCTTCAAAGTCGTCGCTGGGTAAAGTACGAAGGTTGGTAACGAAGGCACTCTGTTCGTCCGGCGTAATATGTTTTATCCATAGACCACGGCAACTAAATCTTGGGTTGTCAAGGAGACACAGATACCCTTGTATACCAGTATCAAGAAACAAGTTGACGATGGGGAATATGGCTACCGGTCGATGAAATCTAAATAATGAAACACAAATACCCTAAACAGTTTTGTTGAAACATTTTTCTCGCCAGATATTTCGTCGTGTGCCTTTTGGATACGAATCTTTTCCAGAATAAATAACTTTACTATTCAAACGCGTACGATATTACTTCAAAACAAGTACTCGTACTTAAACGCGGTAAAAAGAAGTATCAATACTTTCTCTACCCCGTGAATCATCTTAATCAACGATAGCCGCCTTCGGCTCTACTTGTAAGTAAAGAAATAGATACCGATTTTAATCGTTCGTCGTCGTCGTCGTTTTTTTCCAAAAGTCGCGAAAAGTTCCCGAAGTTGCGGACGGGACCCTCTTGAAGCCGAGTGGAGCTCGTTTGTTGCGAGGGTATGTGGTTTTGTGGAACAGTCGGGATTTATGCTGAATGAATGCGTGAGTGTTAGCTAGTATTGTTTACTTTCTTTAGTCTTCCGAGGCTTCAGAGGCTTCAGAGTGTGCCTTGAAATGCTTCTTCATTTTTTTTTTCACTTGAAAATTCTAACTTCTAAAACTCTGACTTCAATAAAAAACGTGGTCGCGCATATTTCCAAGAAAAATGAAGCGTGCACAGATGCGGAAAAGATTCTCTGCTATCGTTTTGAACAGCATAGCCACGTTGACGCTTCAACTCGCTATCATCAGTGATGCATCGGTGTTAAATCTTCGCATATTTATGAATGAAATGGAATTTATGGCACTTTCTGTTGCTCGAGAAGTGGAAAACATCTATGCCGACAGGTGCAGTCGCCTCTCCTCTTGCGTATCTTTTCACGAGTGTAAATCTACATTTCGTGAAGCCACGGCGGAGTGCAGGACGGACTACGTCGCGGATTGCAAAGATGTTGAGAACAGCGGATGTGGAAAGACTTATGATTTTTATCAAACAAATGTACGGATCCCTTCACAGCTCTTGAATACACAAACAAGCCAACCAGAAGATCCGCATTTGAAAGAGGACATATGCTATTCTAACTCCATGACAGAAACGTTCAAGAATACTGCGGAAAATTTGGAGAAAACTTCGGATAGAATTTTGCAACCCCCGCAAACGTTCTTTGGTACTTCAAATGGGATGTTCAGGATATGGCCTGCACAACACTCTGAGGTTTGCGGCATCATGGATACGAGGATTCGACCGTGGTTTGTTGCTGCGTCTAGTGGACCAAAGGACGTCGTCATCGTCATCGACAAATCGGGATCAATGGCTGTTCAAAATCGATGGGATCTCGCGGTCAATGCGGCAAAGTCCGTAATCAATACGCTCACTATTGGAGACCATTTTAGCGTTGTGCTTTTCTCGATTACTGCAGAAACTCTTGGTTTCCCAACCCTCATGAGAGCGACGAAAGAAAATAAAGAAACAGTACTGCGAGCGTTGGAGGAATCGAGCTATGGCGGTCCGACAAACTTTGAGGCGGCATTTGACAAGGCATACGATTTGTTTCAATCCAGCAAAACAACTGAAATAAGTTCAAATTGTCACCGCGCAATTCTATTCTTATCTGATGGGGTACCAACAATAGGCAAAGCTGGCACTGATCTTTACACACATATAGCTGAGAAGAATATTTTTAGTGCGACGATTTTTTCGTACGCTCTTGGTGCGAATGCTGATACGGCTACTTCAAAAGCAATCGCGTGTACTTCTGGTGGTATATATGCCAACATTCCAGACGGTGGCGATCTGGTACAGCAGATGTCGGCATACTATAAGCTGTATGCAATTTTGCAAGGTGGTTCTGAAAATATGAATTTTACAACTTGGGTGGAGCCTTATTTATATTCATCCGGGGTCATGGGTACAACTGTATCGACACCCGTTTTTGATCGTTCTAGCAATCCGCCACTTTGGATAGGTGTTGTTGGTGTTGATTTTACAATTTCTGAACTTGAAGAAGCTGTTGGCGGTACAGATAGTTACCAAGCTGTCCTGGATGAGCTCGTTGCCGTTTCAACAGCAACATGTCCCAAGACAAATCTTGAGGAGCAAGCTTGTCTGATTGAAGCTCTGCGTCGTGACGACAGCTCCGAAGGTGGAATTTGTGGTTCTCCCGGTTCCTCGAGCTGCTCGTTTCAAACAGTGACTCCATTGTTGTGTTCTGGGGCTAACTTTCCATCTATGTTTTGGGAGAACGCATTTGTATATAATACGCCGGATTACATATCTCGAGGGTGTTGCGCAGGAGGTCCGGTCACGAATTTGGGAGTATGTTATGCTTCTCCATCCTCTGGAATTACCCTGACTGGTCTCCTTGGTCTCACTTCTGCGATTATCGTCGCTTTGGTGTTTGCGTAAGCGATGAGTGCTTTCATTCTAATCACGCGTACACGTGTTGTGGTCGCCTTCGTGCTTGTATAAGCTCGGTACATAAGCCTTTCACGTGTATTTTTTCATTAGGGGTTTGGGGCCGAAGAAGCTTCCCCAATTCTATAGCGAGAGTACTTCGAACACACATACTAAATGCGTTGGAACTATTTTTTTCAATATTATTTCGTGTATTTTTTAGTTTTATGGCATGTCTCCGTACGGTACAAGTCCATCAACGAACGCGTTAGTTTCGTCAAATGTTGCATCACTACCGAAATTTATTGTGCGACCCGACCTCGTACCTACGGACGAACCTCTGTACCAAGTACCGTTATCTTCTGCTGTCCCTGGTATGAAGTATATCCATTTACTTTCCCAGAACCCGTTCTTTCATATTTTCTATTGAAAAGAACATATCAATAATTTACTGTGCTCGACGGGTATCCCCATATTTTGATTTCAGCGACCCCAGGTCCAGCCGTGCCTTGACCTGTGCTTGGGTTAGTTGAAATGTCGTCAAATGAAAATGCTATATATTTCGTTTCTTTGACCGGGCTTAATGTTCTTGTCTGACTGTTTGGCGTTGCATTATTCCAAACTGTAGTCGGATTGAAACTGTACGCCGCGTATTTTGTGAGACTTGCTTCAGTATCACCAAACCAGACGTGATAGTTCGTAAAGGTCCAGTCTCGTCTGGCATCCCATATTTTCCATTTGCTTACGTTCGTTATGAAAGGGAACTCGTATATGATTTTGGTGTCAGTATTATTGTCAGAATTTCTCCAAGCTACGACGTTCGCTAAATCGTGCGTATTTGTGTTATTCGACAGCCTCTGTTTGATAGCACTATCGTTAGGTGGATTCGGCGTGTGTCAACTCGAGAGGTTCGTGGTAATATTCGTCGCAGTATCCCCATTTCCTTGGGGCGAAACTAATACTTCGATGCCTGAAAATACGACAGCTTCGTTGAGTTGAATGTTGTGTGAAGAGTGTGAAGCTCCGTTAATCTCAATCGCATATGCTTTTGTACCATAAGTAGTCTCGTTCCAATCCAGAACAATGTCCGTGTCGTTCGTCGAAAATGTATGACTTGCGACTTGCGAACTCGAATCGTAAAATGAAACCGTGTAATATGGGTCTGGATTAACAATATTTGTCAGCGTAGCGGTGGTCAAGTCGTCTTAAAGTTGTCTGGAAGTTGTCTGGAAGTTGTCTGTGCCGGAATATATTTTGGCCTTAAAAAATTGACAGTACTGCCTCAGTACCTTAGTACGAAGGGGGTGGTACTCTCATACCTTAAAACACCAGAGAACCCTAAATACTTTTGTTGAAACATTTTTCTCGCCAGATATTTTTGGTTTGCCGTCCTCCTTCTTTTTTTCGTTTGTCTTTTGGATACGAATCTTTTACCGAATAACTAACCTCACTTTTCAAGCGCGTACGACGGCACTTCAAAACAAATACTCGTACCTAAACGCGGTAAGAAGAAGTATCAACACTTCCTCTACCTCGTTAATTATCTTAATCAACAAAAGTCGCCTTCGGCTCCACTCGTAAGTAAAGAAATAGAAACCGATTTTTTTCGTCGTCGTTTTTCCCGAAGTCGCGAAAAGTTCCCGAAGTTGCGGACCTTAGTATAAGTCGCGGAGGTTGGGTCTTTTGGTTTGCGAGTGTGTGAGAACATGAGGGATTCGTAGATTTTGTTAACTCGGAGTTCGTGTGGTCGCGGGAGTTTGCGGGGAAGGGTTCATATCAATTTGGTTGTCCTCTATTTATTTTTTTATTTTTAGCAGGAAAGCCAGTTGACTTTTTGTGTGATTAAGTGCGGACCGCAAAAAATAAAGCTGCCAAAAGAAGCGAAAACCGGGTCACTCTCAATTCGTAAGATATGCCCGTCACTTCCTCTTCCCCTATCGATAGTATCACTGAGTCCCCGGACGTGGTCGCCTTACTCGACAAAGTCGCCTTACTCGATCTTGAACGAAAATGCGAGAAGATGAAAGTTTGCGTGACCGGGAGTACTTCCATGGTTGGCAGTCATATCGTTCGCAGGTTGCTTCGAGTTGGGCATGTGGTGCACGCCCCGGTGAGAGGCCCCTTAACCGAGGAAAAAGTTGCATTTCTCCACGCTATGCCGGGTGCGAAGGAGCGACTGAAACTTTTCGAGGTGACGTCGTTGCTCGACGAAGGCACGTACGATGAACCTGTAGCGGGGTGTGACGTGGTCCAACATGTCGCATCGCCGTTTTTTATGGTCGGTTCCTCCGAACAATTGGAGGAGAAACTCTTTGATCCCGCTCTGAAAGGCGTTGAGAACGTGCTCTCGTCGTGTAGCAAGTCGAGTACGGTTAAGAAGGTAATTCTTACGGGAACCGTGCTGACGACAGCGTGTGATTTTACTCCGTCATTTAAGAATCCGAATTGGACCGTATCGGAGAAAAATTGGGAGACTAACACTTCTAGGAAAGACTTTAGTTACGTGCACTCAAAGATTTTGCAGGAGAAACGTGCGCATGAGATTTCAGAGAAGCAATCTCAGTGGGAGCTCGTGGTTTTGCTCATTGGCGGTAGTTTTGGGCCGATGTGTTTCACCGAAGCCACCGGCGTTAACGCAATGTTTTTGAAGCAAGTTCGCATGGGACTTTTCTTTCCGGCGTGCCCGCCGCTCGGCTTTCCTATGCAGGACGTGCGCGATGTGGCGCTCATGCATTCTCTCGCGATGAGCTCGCTAAAGGTAAAGGGCCGATACATAATTCCGCAGCGCTTGGTCATGTTCTTCGAGTTCTGTAACGTCCTCAAAAGCGATAAACGCACCAAGAGAATCATGCTACCGCTGTTTGAGTTTCCCACCTTTTTTTTCAAGTCTCTGTTTAAGATTGCGGCACCCCTCCTAGGTATCGACAGTTTCGTTCCGCGCAAAATGTGGGGAGGGTCCGTCAAGTTTGACCTCAGCAAGGTGTACGCTGACTTCGACCTCGACAAACAAGGCTACGAACCGCTGCACATAAGAGAGTCCATGGTGGACATGGATCTCACGTTTCAAAAGTATGGCGTGAGTGCTTTCAGCCCGTCCCTCGCCCGCTACCGGTCGATGAAATCTAAATAATGAAACACAAATACCCTAAACAGTTTTGTTGAAACATTTTTCTCGCCAGATATTTCGTCGTGTGCCTTTTGGATACGAATCTTTTCCAGAATAAATAACTTTACTATTCAAACGCGTACGATATTACTTCAAAACAAGTACTCGTACTTAAACGCGGTAAAAAGAAGTATCAATACTTTCTCTACCCCGTGAATCATCTTAATCAACGATAGCCGCCTTCGGCTCTACTTGTAAGTAAAGAAATAGATACCGATTTTAATCGTTCGTCGTCGTCGTCGTTTTTTTCCAAAAGTCGCGAAAAGTTCCCGAAGTTGCGGACGGGACCCTCTTGAAGCCGAGTGGAGCTCGTTTGTTGCGAGGGTATGTGGTTTTGTGGAACAATCGGGGTCTATGCTGAATGAATGCGTGAGTGTTAGCTAGTATTGTTTACTTTCTTTAGTCTACCGAGGCTTCAGAGGCTTCAGAGTGTGCCTTGAAATGCTTCTTCATTTTTTTTTTCACTTGAAAATTCTAACTTCTAAAACTCTGACTTCAATAAAAAACGTGGTCGCGCATATTTCCAAGAAAAATGAAGCGTGCACAGATGCGGAAAAGATTCTCTGCTATCGTTTTGAACAGCATAGCCACGTTGGCGCTTCAACTCGCTATCATCAGTGATGCATCGGTGTTAAATCTTCGCATATTTATGAATGAAATGGAATTTATGGCACTTTCTGTTGCTCGAGAAGTGGAAAACATCTATGCCGACAGGTGCAGTCGCCTCTCCTCTTGCGTATCTTTTCACGAGTGTAAATCTGCATTTAATGAGGCCACGAAGGAGTGCAGGACGGACTACGTCGCGGACTGCAGAGATGTGGAGGGCAGCGGATGTGGAAAGACTTATGATTTTTATCAAACAAACGTACGGATCCCTTCACAGCTCTTGAACGCACAAACAAGCCAACCAGAAGATCCGCATTTGAAAGAGGACTTATGCTATTCTAACACCATGACAGAAACGTTCAGGAGTGCAGCTATAGATTTACAGAAAACTTCGGATAAAATTTTGCAACCCCCACAAACGTTCTTTGGCACTTCAAATGGGATGTTCAGGATATGGCCTGCACAGCACTCTGAGGTTTGCGGCATCATGGATACGAGGATTCGACCGTGGTTTGTTGCTGCGTCTAGTGGACCAAAGGACGTCGTCATCGTCATCGACAAATCGGGATCAATGGCTGTTCAAAATCGATGGAATCTCGCGATCAATGCGGCAAAGTCCGTAATCGATACACTCACTATTGGAGACCACTTTAGCGTTGTGCTTTTCTCAGATACTGCTGAAACTCTGGGTTTCCCAACCCTCATGAGAGCGACGGCAGAAAATAAAGAAGCGGTACTGAAAGCGTTGGATCAATCAATCCATATAGGTACGACAAATTATGGGGCGGCATTTGACAAGGCATTCGATTTGTTTGAATTGAGTGAAACGACTGAAATAAGTTCAAATTGTCACCGCGCAATTCTGTTCTTATCTGATGGTAAACCTACGGTTGCGGATGACAGCAAAACTGGAACTGAACTTTACACACATATAGCTGAGAAGAACATTTTCGATGCGACGATTTTTTCGTACGCTCTCGGTGAGAGTGCGGATAAGGAAGCTTTAAAAAATATCGCGTGTACTTCCGGTGGTATATATGCCAATATTCCGGACAACGGCGATCTGGTACAGCAGATGTCGGCATACTATAAGATGTATGCAATTTTGCAAGGTGGTTCTGAAAATATGAATTTTACAACTTGGGTGGAGCCTTATTTATATTCATCCGGGGTCATGGGTACAACTGTATCGACACCCGTTTTTGATCGTTCTAAAGATACGCCACTATGGATCGGTGTTGTTGGTGTCGACTTTACAATTTCTGAACTTGAAGAAGCTGTTGGCGGTACAGATAGTTACCAAGCTGTCCTGGATGAGCTCGTTGCTGCGTCAACTGCAACATGTCCAAACATAACCAAAAATTCTGAGCAACGAATTTGTCTGATTGAAGCGTTACGTCGTGATGACAGCTCCGAATGTCATTCGAGTGATTCTTCTTACTCCCCAAGCTGCTCGCTTCAAACAGTTACTCCAGAGTTGTGTTCAGAGGTAAGCCTTCCAAGTATGTTTTGGGAGAACGCAAATACGCAGGATTACAAATCTCGAGGGTGTTGTAGTGATGGAGCTGGAGTTTGTACCGAAGCTTCGGCAGAGAGCGATAATAAATCCTCCAGTTCTACCGGATTGCCTTCTGATATTCTTGGCATCGGTATAGGCTTATCACTCCCAGCCATAATTTTAGGATTTCTCAAATGCGTTGCTCCAAATGTTGGTCGTCGATGTCTAAAGGTTTGCGGTTGTGAAAACTGCGCAAAGTTTCTTTTCCCAGATGCGCGCGAAAATACAAAGCATATCTCTCAAAATACTGGCCAAATCGAATCAAACAAAGCAGAGTTAGTGGTTCAGAAAAATGAACTGGAGACGTTCATAAAAGCTCAAAGACTACCGCGGCTTGTCGATATCACACCAGATCTTTTAGAAGGTTCTGTGAACATAGATGATGAAGGTGATGTTCTCGGTCGAGGTGGATATGGTGTTGTGTATAGAGCCCATTACAAGAAAAAAATATCCGAGTACCCTTTCGAGCAAAGATTGCAAGTTGCGGTGAAATGCTTATTCTACGATCAATCTCAACAAAGTGTACCACATCTACCGAATGATGTTGCGAATCGTGTAAAGAAGGAAGCGAAAATTCTCTGCTCTTTGAATCACCCAAACATTATAAAAATTTATGGCGTCGTTTCGCATAAAGGTTGGCTTGTTATGGAATTATGTGGATTAGGATCAGTGAAATCATGTATACGAAATTCTCAAAGGTTACCACCAGAGCAATTACTTCGCATAGCAAATGACATTGCATGTGGTGTCAGCTACTTGCACGATCTTTCAATCTCAATCATTCATGGAGATTTAAAGTTAGATAACGTGCTTTTACGCGATGATGGATCAGCTGTTCTGTGCGATTTTGGGATGTCTGAGGCTAAAAATCGTTCCAAGACGATGACGAGAGCGGTACCGGAGAACGCAAAAGTCACCATGCAATGGACTGCTCCAGAATTGTTTCAAGGTCAACAAAAAACAGTATCGTCCGACATATATGCCCTGGGTGTTACACTTTATGAGTTATTCGAGGATAGAGAACCTTTTGAAGGATTTTCTGATGCACTCATCATGCACAATGTGATTAATGGAGCGCGACCAACACTCGCACACACACCAGTCGAAATACAAAATTTGATCACTGCCGCATGGGATCAATCGCCGAAACTCAGGCCAAGCGCGGCACAGATTGCATGCTTACTTGCAAAGTATTGAGCGCGATGACGACGATAAAAAAACACGATGTGCGCATTTTATATTTATCACTATATTTATCGTATACATATGCGGTGCTCAGTTATATCGAACAGCTAATTAATTCCTCTTCTTCGATCTCCTTTTCTTCAATGACGGTATCGACGCCGAACATTTCATTCCGTACTTTTTTTTCTATAATTTTCTGTCTTATGGTTTGAAACACGAACGCTCCAGCGCCGAGAGTAATCATTATACTCACCATCTTCACACCTGCACCCAACGGTAACGGTTGCGTGAACAACTCCACGAAATCGTCAATAATACGCCCGAGCGACAAAGGCTTTTACAAGAAAAGAAACGGAGACTTGAAGAGGAAGCTGGTGGTACGCCTCGTGACAACAGCAGGGTTGCTTCCTTGGCGGACAGGGTTGATGAAGACTTGGTCGTCGTTGAGGCTTTAAGTGTTGGTGGTGAGGAAAATACTTAAACTACCGTGTATTATTTCAATTTTATAATTTTCACCTAATCAAAATCGTCATTACTAAAAATAGCTATTCCGCGTAATTGAGACCTCGTCGCTTTACATATCCCCTCCGTCCCGTGACTGGCTACATAGTTCTGGACGCAACAAAAGATGGATAAACCTATGGGTGGACTTCCGTCGCTATATGAACCGACGTGGCGGTATGTTAAGCAAAGTCTTTTCCAGGCTTTTAAACTCATGATACTTGTCGATTGCCCATCGTCCACCACCAAACTACACACAGGATTACGGTTGCCTTGAATCGGTGGTTTAGGCGGTTCGAAATTGTGTGTATTTACATCGTAGAAGAGCATCATTTCGGTCGTTAAGTAGTCCAAGTCCCTGGGGTCGGCGTGTTTCAAATCGTTTTCGAACTTTTCCCAAAGTTTTAATTTTTCTCTATATTGAACGAGCTCGTCACGCATCTCGTCAACAGATTTAAGCACTTTAGCGATACAATCGGGGTCTTCGGGGTCGTAAATATCGTGCTCTTTAATGTCGAGGTCTTGGAGTAACTTGAGGTTACTGGAAACAGTTGAGCTTATGAAAAAGATACGGTCCATACATTTGGATTCTTTTAATTGGCGCAATAAGTTTGTGATCCAAAACGTTTTTCCTCGACCGACTGAACCTACAGCTAATACCTGGGTTGGTAAACTGATATGATTATCGGGCGTTTGAATGGTTGTCGGTGGGTTTCCAAGATTCTTAAACTTGAGTCCTGTAGATTTTAGTTTCATCTCACTTATAGTTGTACTACATTTTTATTCGTTATTAAGATATGAGTGTATCTTAGTAATGAATGTTTAAATTATAAACAATTTTATATCGAGCCGTAAATAAATCGATCTTCAATTGGCATAGGTAATCCTCCGTACTCCTTTCCTTCCTCGTTTAAAAAGTGTTCCGTGTAATCATTTTCGATTAACCAATCGAATACCTTTCTTCGTGTAAATATCCAACCTTTTTTCCCACCTGTCATCCTACTTCGTTCAAAAGGTAGGCGTTTGTCTTTTACGTACCTTCCCAAATCTTTTCCAAAATCATTAGCATTCGTTGTTATCTTCCCATAGTTAAACGTCCCAAGAAAATGTCGCATCAGTTGTTCCGTCCCAACTTTACTTTCCAATTTTGAATCGATATTTCGTTTTCCATCTTTACCATTACAAAACTTGTCCGGAAAATCGTCCCATATCATATAATCCAACCATTTAATAATCAAGGGGAGCGATTGGAGTCTTACCTTTTTATAATAAGCTGTCACGGGTCGTTCGTGTTTTAAATACTCAATATCCGTTTCCGTAGTCATCAGCAAATCGTACACGGCTTTCAAATTCTTCGGGTCTTTCTTCCATTTAAACCATTCTCTCACAAACTTTCTTCCTTCACCCGAACTGTGAATGTATTTACCAGTCGCCTCGAATAAAACGAAGCGTCTATCATCTTCAGGCACAGCAACTAAAAAGCCATTCCCTGCGAAGATGTACCCAGCCAAATGGTCGACATTATATGGTGAAATACCTTTTGGGTTTATCGTTAAACTCTTGTTTGTTATAAAAGCCTTCATGCGTTCACTTACTTTTCTTTGGATCGAAACTTCCATCTCGTCGACAAATATAAGTTTCTTTCCTTCGTGCTGGGTTGCGTGTGTCCCAAAAATATCATCGAGTGGATTCGAAGTCTCGAAATAATGTTTGCTTCCCATTATGTCTTCACCCACGAGTCCAAACAGTAAGTTTTTACCTATTCCAAACTTACCTTTAATTCCAATAGCTGTCTGTGGTTTATCCTCGGGATATTGTACAAGATACGCCAACCATTTCAAAATATACTCGTAACTGTTCTGTTCACTACCACTCAAATCCAAAAGTAGATCTATAAATGGTTGTGCGTCTCCTTCACCATTTGGAATGCTCTTCTTATTGATCTTTTTCTTGATGTCGAAATCCTCCCATTTATTATAGACATCTTTGGGACAGTTCTTCGGGTACACACCCATCGTTCTGTATGTACGCTTCTCTTCGTCGTCTAACCACCGTTTCACGAACGGGTATCGAACAATTTTTTCGTTGCCATTTTCGTCTTCTGTTTTTCGCACGTACATCAAATGTGACTCCTTCTCACGAAGATGTGTCCTATTATACAACTGAACATTTCCTGCCTCATCTGTATAAGGGTACACCAAAACATCGTCTAATCGACACGCGTACTTCTCAAAATCTTGCTTAGTCTCCGCATACGATTTTATCTTTGGTGCGTGTACTCGAGTTTCGCCCGAGAGAGTGTTCGATGTACCAGTAAATGGTTCGTTTTCATCGAGCACAAAAGCAAACGGTGGAAGTTGATCTTTTGTGCCTCGTATCAATAGCGTAGAGGTACATCTATCGCTAAAACTCTTTACAAAAATACTCCCCGTATCCTCGGCTTGGGAGACTTTCCAACAGTTGTTATTGTGTACATTCCCACAGCACGGACACTTCTTCCCATTTTCATCTGCTTTAAAACTATACTCAGTCGCCCATTCGATGTTATGAAATCCCTTATCTTCCAACGCCTTTTCTATATCCTTATCACCCGCAAACTCGTCACCAGAAAAGTCCCTCTTCCGACATATTTTGCTCTTCTCTTCAATCAAGCCCTTCCATTCCTCGGGCATCTTCGTCGGTTTCAATATGTCGCCATTTAGTCTCTTGTATTCACCGTCAACTGTTTTAGATCCAGCACCCACTATGTATCCACCCGTCGTCCGTGTATCCAAGTATCCGTCTATACCAGTCACTTGACTCCAAGTATCCATACACGGTTCGTACTCAAACACAACATGAAACCCTCCTCGTGGTGTCTCCGTCACGTAGACATTCTCACCAAAGTTTTCTTTTAAATTTTCTAACGTACATTTTTCCTTCTCTTGTGGACTTTTATACAAGTCAAAATCGAGGCAAAACAACCCCGTATTTTTTCCCATAAGTAGTCCGTAGTTTTCGCCTATTTTACACAGACTTCGTAGCTTTTCATAATTCGCGGGATCATTAAATCCCATCGCATTCTTCGCTGGTACCTTCTCACCTGGTACGAGCGGGAAAATTGGTTTTTGTAATTCGTTAATCATGGTGTATATAGTACACTAACATTTTAATTCTTTAAGTTGTTTCTCGTCTTGTAACACAATCGTCAATTTCAGCCTGGGTAATATTATATCTCTGTCTCACCCTGTCCGTACACGGTAACCCGCGTTTCCTCATATTTACCAACGTCATCTTACGGAGAATCTCTTCTTTGTGTTTGGCATAAAACTTCCTCTGTCGCTCGATAAACTTAGTGCTATCGAGGTGGTATCTATCTTTTACGGTTCGACCTGCCCTGTGTCTGTTGATACACGCGTCCGCATATTTTTCTTGAATTTTACCGAGCTCCTTTCGTAGTTCGGGTATAGTAATATCCTGGAACGTCTCCAGAACTTCAATTTGTGGAGACCCCGCTTCAATAATTTCATTAGAACTCACATTTCTTTTCTTCTTACAGTATGCTCGTAAATGCGTGAACGTGGTATTTAGATCTTTTGTGGTACATCCAATATAACAACGGTTTGTGTTTGGACTAAATAAATTGTAAATGATCCCTTCTCTATAGCTCATCGTATTAATACTTACCTATATTATTTTTCCTTTAAGCCATTTATCGTTTTCTTCTTTGACCTTCAGTTTCGGTATCCCCACGTTGTCGTACCCTGGAACGTTTTCGAGTTGACCCCCAAGACACTGGGATATAGTCTGGGATACTCTCTTCTGGAATAACGAAATTGCTGTCCTGAATATCTTCCTCTTCGATGGTCTCTCTCTCCTCACCACGGATTGATTCTGTAATGTCGATTAGAGGACGCACGTATTCTGCGTTCATAGACGGCGAGTGTAGCATCGTATATGAAATATCTTCTTTGGTTTTATTCGTCCCTACAAATAACCCCCAATCAAAAGTTGAAGCATACGAGTGTCTTAAGTAATTAATATTTTGACCCCTCTCTTTATTCACAACTCCTATTTGTTTCAATTTCTTACCGATAAGTTGGGACATGGTACCATACGCAGTTGGTTTCCTCGTGCGTATGTTTTTATTCTTTTCGAAGAGAAACGTTTCGTTCCCTGACTTCGTTAACCAGTCGTCAATCAGCTTCGCTTTTTCACCTCTCCAAAATATTTTAACACTCTTGTATTTTTTATACGTCTTGTACTTATTCAGGTGAAACGTCCAATCACCCGTCGTCGCGTCTTTAGTCATAAAGTTGTTCTTACCAAGTCCCCATTGATCACTGTCGATGTTTACCTTTGGGTTGACGAAGACTCGACCAAAATCGTCGCGCCCAACACTCTCTTCATAAAGTTGGAAAAAGACGTTCTCAATATCCAACCTACCTCCGTCTCTCAACCACTTTTGTTTTATATTCGCCCATGCCTCGATGGCAATATTCTTACGCGCCGCAATACCCGCATCGCGTAACTTAACGTACTTCTGTCTCTCTTCCTCGAGAATATCCATTTGGTCGGGATACAGCTTCTCTAAAGCGCCCTCATTTTCCCTATCTTTTTTAAAGTGGTGAGCAACAAAATACAAGGCGAAGCAATAATTGAGTTTGGTAGCTGCCGAAACGACAGTCAATTTCTTCCCCGTTTTCCCGTCGACATCTTTACGTATATTTTCAAGTAGATTTTTCATATCCTTGTAGCATTCACGAACGTCTGTTCTACAATCGAAACGAGAATACCGAGTGATGATTGTATTTATAGTACCACTGAAAGGTTTACCAATTTTTCCGACGTATATATTGACAGTACTTTCTTCGAATTTGTCATTTTTAGCATCGCCTGTTTTCACTCGTAATCTCCCTCTATCGTCCTTCTCGTGAAGATACGAATTGATCGTTACAACCGTCCATATTTCTCCTGGGTCAACGTTCACCTGTCGACCTCTGTTTTCTTCCATGACTCCTTGGAATTTGCGATAATTATCGGCATCATTCGAAATCAAAGTCTCTTCTGGCGGTAAGTCTCGAACGAAATCTTCCATCTCCTCGACCACCTGTTCGTTATGTCTCAGCATATCTGCGACAGCACGTCCACTCGAGGCAATATTCATGGTCACTCGTGTATCTTCACTTGCTCCCGAAGACGTCTGCGTCTCAACACAGAACTGGTCTGGTAAAGGTATTCCATTTTCGTCAACTCGAAACTCGATGGGAAGTTTTTCCCAGTTTGGTTCATTCCCACCCTTTCGTATTCTTGCTACGATCTCCGCAACTGTGAATCCATACTTCTTCCAATTTTGAGCAATAGGGAAACTACCTCTCTTTTCAACGTATCTCAGTACATCTTTCCTCCTCTCATTCAAAGCGTTTTGGGGGTCGCTCCTAAATTTTTTCATAGCAATCCCAGATTTTGTTAATTCTATAGTTGTCATTTATAGTACTCTAACAATTTAATTCTTTAAGTTCATTTATATTGAACGAAGTTCACTCATCATCGTCATCACTTTTACAGCCATCATCGACATCTTCGTCGACATTGCCACGAACGCAACACGTAATTATACATCGTATTTTCGTTCCAATTTTAGATGGTGTCAACATTGTATCCATATGTATTCTATTATAGTTTACATTTTCGTTGTATTTTTTGTCCTGAAAAATATGAATGTTTTTTTAAAGTTTTTTTCTTTTGGTCTCCTTTTGTGTACATTTGTTTTTGTAGAAAAACGGGGAGTTACAAATTTTAAACTCCCCAAAATTGAGAAATACATTGGTCTCCATTTGGTTTGAAATAGAAAAACGGGGAGTTTACATTTTAAACTCCCCGTCAAACTCCCCCGTCACTTTGGTCTCCATTTGGTTTAAAGTAGAAAAAAGGGGGAGTTTAAAGTGCTTTTTTCAAATTGGACAAAACTTTTCCAAAAAATAAAAAATAATTTTGGACTCTCAAACTCCCCGTTTTTCTATTTTAAACCAAGTGGAGACCAAAGTGACGGGGGAGTTACAATTTTGTAAGTCACCATTAACTCCACACTATTTTTCAAATACAAAACCAAACGTAAACCTTACCAATGTCGACTTTATGTCTCGATCGCAAACTTCACTCTTTTTTTGATTTGGGTTTGAAGAAAGGTTTGAACAAAACTGGTTTCATTTTGGTCAGGTTTCCTCTACAACCATACTTAGTATTTTTTCTTTAAGCAACTTTCTTTTTTACACTTGACACTAAACTTTTTGGTAAGGTATTGGTCTCGTTTTTCGAAAGTTTTTTCGAGCAATCGCTTACATTTCTGACCAAAAAGACCAAAGTTTTTTGGAAAGTTTTTGGAAAGCTTTTGGAAAGTTTTTGGAAAGTTTTTGGAAAGTTTTTTCGAGCAATCGCTTACATTTCTAACCAAAAAGACCAAAGTTTTTTGGAAAGTTTTTGGAAAGCTTTTTCGAGCAATCACTTACATTTCTAACCAAAAAGACCACAAAGTTTTTGGAGAGCTGTACCATCCATCACTTACGATACGTCATCTTCAGCGGAGGCGTGCCGGGTATGTTCAGGGTCATGACCCTCTTGTTTGCGGACTGTACCGTGGAACCCGTGACTGGAAGTCCTTTTTTGTCGTGACCGGATATGGCGTACGTGACGGAGCGGAGGAGACCGTTGTGATCTTTGTCGAGCGACACTTTCAAACGTTTCTCAATCCGCTCTATGCCAGTGTCAACGTTTTTCGTCGCGAGCGCAAGTACAAACGCGGCGGAAGCGAACGTTCGCAACGTTCTCGTCTTCTCAAATCTTTCGTCTTTTGCGTCGCGGTCTTCGCCTGATGTTTGCTCGTTTATTTATTTGCAAAGACCGGGGTTGGCGCTGTCATAACCACTGGTTGAGCGATAGTGATTTGTGACCCAACTGGAGTGACTCCCAATTTAATCCGTGCATCAACCTGAAGAAGAATCGAGAGTTAGTTAAATGGTGCGTACAGAGCGAAATACTCCACAAGAAAAGGATTCAATGCACGACTTGGCGAAGAACTGTAACACAACAAGCAACAATGACTTTACACTAAACAAGACGCACCTCTCTGTGAGCACGGCAGGTCGAGCATGGGCCACAACAATAATACACAGGGCAACACTCGACCTCTTCCGTTACGCCATACTTTGCAACTGCGGTATTGATCACGTCTGGCGCATAGCACGCATGACAGGGGATACCTGACAGCATCCAAACACTGCAGAGTATAGTCGAAAGGTAGCACACTGCGAACATGTTGCCTGTATTAGTTTTATTAGCCAACATACCAAGATTTATGGGCTCGCAGCTGTTAGTGAAGAAGGAAGGTATGTTAATCAATGTATGATCGATTTATATGACGACAGGGTAAAATACGCGTGTTGTAAGGTAAATGTAAGTAGACGATCTAAATTTAAAAAGACATAGGATATTTAGAACGTGAATGATTTGAAAGGGCCATAAAAAATAGAAAAAACTCGAATCAAAACCTACAAGAGACCAAGAAGACACGAGTTCGTATCGTCAAAACAGTTGAATAAGCCATTGTTAGGGGCATACGAATGCGTAACCACAGGTGCACCTATGGCTGTCTTTTGTGTGTCTGCCATATTTGCTTGATGTTAAAGTACCGTCGTACGCGTTTGAATAGTGAGGTTAGTTATTCTGGAAAAGATTCTAATTGTCGAAAAGACACACGACAAAAAGAAGGAGGAGGCCAAACCAAAAATATCTGGCGAAAAAAATGTTTCATAAAAATGTTTAGGGTATTTGTAAATTAGGGTTTAGTGGTTGAGTACTAAGGTAGTACTACCCCGTTTAGAAGGTCAAAACTCGCACCGTTTCGACGTTCAAAAAAGGTTTTTGAGTTCACGGGATTTTCACGGGATTTTCACAGGAAAATCAATAGATATCTTTTTGGAGTTTTCAGCTTGAGCTGAATTGAGTTGGACTCAGGAAGTCTCGGAAACTCGGAGGAAGGTCATAACCTCCGCTCGCGAAGTACCCGTTTAAAATAAAATAGAAATATGTTTGCATCAACGTTGAATGCATCTACTTTTGTCCGTCACAGTGAAGGTGCGTATTACATTAATCGTCATATTTACTTTTTGAAGTTCTAAACTCCACTTTACGCGTCAAATTTCTTACCTTCTTTGATCTTTTAGTGACAACGCGTAAGTCAAAGAATTGCTTCAAGAAAGGTATTTACTGTTTAATATATTACCTCAAATATTAATGGCATCAATTGTTTTACGAAAAAACGAATCATAGCTCCGCAAGCCAAGGCTTCCGAAACTTTCGCTTCGATTCAAAAGAAATCCGCTGCAATTTCTGCTACGATCGTGGCGACCATCGCCCCCGTCTTTCCTGCTCTGGCAATAGTAAGTTTTTCGTGTTTTTTCATTCAAGAACCAAGTTAATAAATATGTTTAGGTGGATGATCGCCTCAACGGTGACGGCACGGGTCTTCCGCTTGGTATCAATGATGGTGCCCTCGGGATAGTTCTTGGAGTTGTTCCTCTTGGGATTTTTGCTCTCTATTTTACTGCGGGAAAGCAAGATTCTGATATCATTGCTGGTGGTAAAGACGATGAAAGTGGATTGTCTTTGTAATGTGTAGCAAGCTCGAATGAAATATTATTTGTTACGAAACTAACTTGAAAGTTAAAGATCTATGTCTACTTGTGCACTTTTGTTTTCATTCAATCCTCTTTAGCACGTGAGCATATTATCAAAGTTCAAACAAAGTTTAAAGATTAAAGAAATCTTGGTTATCGTAGATTCTATAGGAGCTTGGAATACTCTTATGAAAGGCTCTGGCGATCAAAAACATGCACAAGTTCTGGTTAAATTACTACGTCATCAAGGAAGGGATTCCTTCTCGAAGAAATTTGTACTCAATATTACTACTGTTCATAACCAAATACAGCTGAGAACACTTCTAAAACACGCGATCCCTCATCAATTGAAGCCATGGGATCTTTTCTCAATCTATGACGCAGACAAAGTGTTATAACTGCATACACATCTTCATCAGTAACAATTTTCGATCCTCGAAAGGCGGCAGCTGCTCTTGCAGCACGCGTAGTTACTAAATCTCCTCTAAGACCGTCAACGTCAAGCTCAGCACAGACTTGCGAAATTTTCAAACGAATATCCATGGGCACCTCAACTTCCGGCAATAGTGCACGTGCAAGAGTAACCTTATTGATAACTTCAGCTTGTTTGTCATCATATTTACTGCGAAACTCCTTTGGAGAAGAATCAAATTCTGTACGTTCTTCAACGACTTGAACTCTTTCTTCGGGCAATTTTACCGTTTTAATCTGAGCGTGCATTCCAAACCGATCAAGAAGCTGAGGTCTAAGTTCACCTTCCTCAGGATTCCCAGAACCAATCAGAATAAACCTTGCTGGGTGACAAATGCTGATACCCTCGCGCTCAACAGTGTTCCAACCCGATGCTGCGGAGTCAAGGAGAACGTCGACTAGGTGATCATCAAGAAGATTGACTTCATCGACGTAAAGTATACCCCGATTAGCTTTAGCCAATAGTCCTGGTTCAAAAGCTTTAGTACCCTCTGTCAAGGCTTTTTCAATATCAATTGTTCCGCAGACACGGTCCTCAGTTGCACCAAGAGGTAAATCAACCATATTGATTCGGACTTTCGTAGTTGGAATATTTTCACCTGCTCTAAATGCAGAAAGAACGTCCGGAGACATCAAATTAGGGTCCGTCGGACTACTCATAAATGGGTCATCTTGAACCACCTCAATGAGTGGAAGCAGATCCACGAGAGAGCGAACGGTAGTTGACTTACCAGTTCCACGGTCTCCCATGACCATGATGCCTCCAATATTCGGATCAATAATATTCATCAGCGCAGCAAATTTCATCTCTTCCTGCCCAATGATCGCACTAAAAGGATATACTGGTCTTGCAGTTTCTTCCACTTTAACTTCTGGTACTCAATTTTTGTCAGAGTAAGAAAAACAAAGTTGATCGTAAAGCTTTACCTTCGGATCCTGATGCATATGTTCGGAATCCATGCTTACTTCGAACAAATCTAAAGTCAATTTGCTTATTATCGCTGATTATGATCATGACAAAAAAGTGAATACCTTTTTAACCTGTATGTACCACGAGTACTATTTCTTGCAATTTTAGAGGCTAGATATATATAGGTGTCAGTTCTTATAATACCAAAAAGTTCTAGATTATCAATGTAACAGTGCATCGAATATTGCGGCATGCAAATATCCATACAGGCAGCCGAGGAAAGTACGCTTCGCGAGCTAGAGTCTTCGATCAAAATTAAGGGATGTACACGAACTCCATTTCTTACGCACATTGTAAACTCTGAACCTTTATAGGAAGCGAGTTAACTGCGGAATTCATGGTGAAAAACTTGAGATTGCAGTATTTTGGAGATGAGTTTTAAACTTGAAGGTCCTTAATGAACTTAGTGAAGCCGTAAAGAGTCACACGGTTTTCCCAAGATGAAGAGTGCGTTCGAAATCTATCCAATTTCAGTTCCAATCCAATCGGAAAAGAAGAAAATTTGTTTTTTTATCGATTCTACGTCTTCTCTCTCTTTTAACTCTTTTCCTCTCACTTAGATTTATCCGCAAGATTAAGATCCTCGATTTTCGGCCAGAAAAATTAAAAGGTTCGGGTGAAAACCTTAAACAAAAAGAAAGCCCCCTTAAAAAAGGGTCCGTGTCGTGACGGACACCCTTGGCCCAAAAAAGGCTCAGTCTCTGGCTCCCTTTTTTCAGATTTTAATAACTCTCTTTTAAGCGCTACTCGTAGTCAACGCGAGTCTTCCGGAGAACTACTTCTTTGTCGACAACAAACACGTTTAGGGTGCAAGTAACTCAGGACAAAGCTGTTGGAACCGTGCATAGAGCAGCATTAAAAACATACCGTTAGCCACATTTCGGCTTACTCTTCGTTCATTTTCCGCAAAAATTCACGTTATAACGATCCTGTAAGTCAAATAATGAGCATATAAACCTGCATTATATTCAAGACATATACCATAAAAGTGTCAAATTTTTCGATTTCCTGCTTTCTTTTTATCTTCCTAAAATTCTCCCCTACTTTGTTCATTACATTTCCATTGAAGGAACCACTTTCAGCCTTCAACATGATCTTACTTTCTTTCCTTCTATCGGTATGTTTTTTTTCTATTTTTTTCGCTGAGCGCAAGCCATATCTGTTAGAATAAGTGTGTTTGTCTGGAAATGCAGGAAAATAATGAGGGATGTTGGTTGGCTGAGGTTCTGCAACTTTCAAGAACGACGTTTGGACCTAAACACAACTTCGTGAACATTTCTTCACTGCATGCTAGTGAGAACCTACCTTTGGGCGTCGACGTATAACAAATTTTTTTGGAAGTGGGATGGCAAATGGTTTGCTGTCAAGCGTATCGGCATAGAGGATGATCGATTTAAGGTCATCACCTAATGCTTGTAATCCCTGTAACACATCTAGAATATTTATTTGCGATCGTCCCTGTTCAACCTTGTGAGACACAAATTCAGTTTCTATAAAAATGCTTACCCCATATTCAGCATTCCCTATGGCAAGTTTTCCCACTTCTTCTATATAACTGCACTACCACGTAAGAGGTCCAAATGTGTACCGTAGAAAGTGTAATACCTCTGCATGATATCTCCAGCTGCAATAACGGAATTCAATCTCGTCGCATTAAAAGAACAGAATATCTGGAGAATTGTTAGTTTGGACTTCAAAATCTCACTCATACTTTACCTGGACAAAAGCAATTCTCTTAACTTTCTCGTTCAAATCAAAGTGTCTTTCTAACCGCATTCTGGTCGAATTTTTAGAAATAGACATTCTGAAAAGGAGAGATCACTGCACGTTTGCGAGCAGACCCTTGACTTGGTTCGGTCAATTTAATTTAAACTCTCGATCTCGATTTAGTCCCTCGCAGTTCAAAGTATACTAGATAAGTTTAAGTTTCTGGATGTCGGGAACTCTCCTTGCTACTTTAATGAGCGAATAAGAAGTGTTACTTGGCCAGTAGTTCAAAAAATTATTGCGAGTTGTGAAAATAAAAGTCGTATTTTTTTTATGTTTCTTCCTTGCTCGCGCCCTGGCGCCCTGACGCCCTGCCTTGTCGCTGTTGTGAAACGCTGTCGAGAACCTTGAAAAAAAATGGGAATATGGCAGAGCTTTTGCTAAAATTAATGGATATGTTGTAAGATGTTACTTTTCAGCATTTCCCGAAATTCAACTCTAACTCTAAATACTTTGCATTTACTTGTGGACGTTAATATGCTAGTAGCAATTATGTACTGTTTATCAACTATCAGCATTAACGAACTCAGAACTCAGAAATTATTTCAGGCAAAGCGGAGCATATAAAAGCTCCCGACTAAAATTCCTACTACTGCACCACACGTGACTTGTAGAGGAGAGTGTCCAAGCACTTCCTTCAGTTTTGTATCACTTATAGGCGAACCATGAAAAACGTCCGCCAAAATACGATTCAAAACTTCTGCCTGCTTACCTGCATGTCTACGTACACCTGCAGCATCATAAGCTACAATAAGGCTGAATGCAAGAGAAAGTGGGAAAAGGGGACTACCAAGACCATATTGAAGAGCAATAGCAGTTGTAAGACTAAAAACCAGACTTGTGTGTGATGAGGGCATTCCTCCACTATCAAACATAACTTTAAGTTCCCATCTACCTTTCCTATAGCAATTCGTGAATAACTTAGCCACCTGAGCCACTAACCAGCTCAGAAAGGAGGCCATAAAAATATGATTTGCCGAGAGTTCTGGTATAATTCTAGCAAAAGAAACTCCTACCAAAGCGAACAAATGTGTTGGAGAGGAATTTCTGACGCCGTTTTTTAAGGAACTATGCCTTCTCCTAGAATGTAATTGTGAGCATATGATATTGAGAGGAGTCCACAGGATGAGAAAGTAGAAAGCACTTTCGAATAGAAGTGTCCAATGAAAAAAAGATTTTATAGAAAGATAGATACCTCTTCGGCATATGATGTGCATATTTTGACTCTTCACACTGAGCGCATTTCGATGGACAATTCTTATACGTGATACATTTAGCAGTTTCAAATCTCGTCATCATTTTCACTTCTCTCTCTCTAAGCTTCTTCCGACCGAGAGAAGATTGCAAGAGGGAGATGCTTTTGTAAGAGAACAACATGAGCTTGTAAAGAAGAAAGATGAAGGAGGTTCGAAGGTTCGAACAAAGGCGCTCAAGACTCAATAGTTTTCTATTTGTATGTAGTAGTTCTCTTCGCGCACTTATAGGTAGACTAGATAATAAGTCGTGTGTTTATGAACTTGTCTTGCCCCAGTCCAATTTCAGGAAACAGGAGAAGAAGTTTGCGGGTATTGTGGGTAGGAGGTCTTGTTTTTTACATCGAGTACGCGTACGAAAAAAAAAACGAAGAGAGACAGCCACAGGACATTTTTTGAATTTTGGCTTATTGGGGAAATCCAAAGATATCATTTCGTGAAAAAATGTAGAAAAATGAAATCTGCCCTAAATTGATTTTGCAGGCAAGATTCCGAATTCACCGGGATTTTCTGGTGAAAAAGGAAAATATTATTACCTTTAAAGGTGCTCTTTTCCCATCTATTCCTATCACACTTTCATAGATACGTTTACCAAGACCTCATTATTGGAATATAGTTTACAACATGGCGTGCACGTTATCATCATCGGCTTTAATACCACTTAAGTTATCTACTTTTCGTCGTTCTGGCCCCCGAGCTATCAAGGTAAAAAGATCTATCCTCTCAAGCCTCGATTTCTCCGATTTATAAGAACAGTAACTTTTTCTTTACCTCTGAATTTAGTTTGGAGCTCCGAAAGAAAATGTTCTGAGATTTTTCTTCGTTGCAACAAGTTATTGTTGTGTACGACGTTGCTTAAGTTTGCGCACTCATCGCTCGTTTGATTTGTCTGTAAAGATTATTCTTTTCAAAGCATGATCTTGAAAGGGCGATCAGCAACAACAATTTATTTCTTTAAACTGTCGTGCCAAAATGTGTACTAACGTTCTACGAATAGGTTTCTTCCACTCCTGTTGCGAGCATTTCAAAGGTCGCAAAGAATGTGGAAAAGATCAGCGCAGCAGTTTCTCTCAGCACAGCCAGCTTTGTGGCTCCTTCTTTTGCAATGAGTGAAGCTATCAACGAAACAGCTGCCATCACACCTTCTTTAAAGAACACGTTGTTGTCTGTTGTTGCCGGGGGTGTAGTACTTGCAGCTATCGCTGCTGCTGTGATCGGTGTCTCATCTTTTGATAAGGTCACGAGAAAGTAAGGATAAGAAAGAACTTCTGTCTTCCACGGAAAAAAGACTTTTTGTTGGAGTACGAAGGAAGTGCTACTGATTAATTTGTTAATAATTGCGTAACTATGCACGTAATACAAGAGCCTTTATCTCTCACAATTTTGCTTACTTCGTCGCAATCACTACTATTCGTTTTTTTTCACCTGCATGTTGTCACCTGCGTGATCTAAACTCTCACTTTTTTTACGAAAGTATACAAACCTCTTTTTCACATCATGGGACGGATTATTGAGTGATGAGCGGCTAGTAAACGAAAATTTCACTGCATTTATTAGCTTTCGTCTATATGAAACGATGATAGCACTCGTCGAAGATCCTTTTACACAAATTACATAAATTATATGTTCCATTTTATGAACCACGTATCAACTCGCACCTTCTCATTTGCAGACCACTGAGCCTCAGAAGCAGATATTGATGCCATGATGACATAATTCTAAAGAATACGTTATTTAACAGTTATATATTCACTTAATCAGGCGAACTTGTGAAGTAGTAATTTTTGCAATGTTATGCAAGCCAGTTTCCGCGAAGGGTGTGAGCAACTCATACTTGTAAAAATTTAAATAAAAGTTGAGAGAATTGTCCGGTTTTTGAAGTACCTGATAATAAACCCTTCCTTTCTCTGTGAATTCCTCTTTGTCCAAAATTTCTTCCTCTTCTGCTGCAACACTAAATGAATCAGAGCATTTGCGAATGTGTTTTTTACTTCTATTTAAGGTACCTTCCAGTAATTGCTGGTGAAATAGCATTTATTACGTTACTGATTGTACCAACATCACCCATACTTGGGAACTTTTTTGATATAAGAAGTTTTGTAGTCGGTATGATGATAATTTGCAAAGTTCCCTGCGCTGGATCCGAAAAACCGACCTCGGTAGTAGCCTAAAGATTGTTGTTACAATGCCAGTTATAAAGAAGAGAACTCAAAACTTACTTCATCGCAGCGTGGCTGACAATAATTTCCACTTTTAGCGTTACTCACAGGCAACTCTTTCCAACGCGGTGGAAAGCTAACACTATATCTGTCGAGGGCTCCGGCACTAAAAAATAAAATATCTCGGAATGGGTGCATTGAATGACATACCGCAAGGCTGGCGTCTTTGAGGAGTCCGCAGAGAACTGGTAAAATCCTTCCTTTGGGATGGGGTAATTAACCTTAGATGCTTCAGAGAGTTGAAAAAAAACCTCTTCAAAAGACTCGGGCAAGTATGCGCCAACCTTAAGAGCAAAAATAAACTTGTTTAGAGAAAGTAACAAGCACAAGAAATACAAATTTACCATCTTTGAATCGCTAATTCCGAGAGAGCTCTAATAAAAAATTTATTTTATAAGTTAAAAAGTCATTCATAACAAAGTAAGACAAGTAATAATACCGGTGCGGCAAAACTGTCTTTGACATCTAAGATCGTAGATATACTGAGCAAATAGAACGAAGTTAACAAAGCTGTTCTTCTATTCTATTGAAATAGTTTCGGAACCCATTTAGATAGAGAAAAATATCGCTTATAACTTAAAAACCTGAGCACTTCTTTGTAAAGCCCCAAGTGAAGGTACCGAATTTTCTCGCTCAAACCGAACTGCTTTCACACCATGTGAATGTAATCTCATAAAGCACGAAGATGCACGTTTCACATGCGAAATTATAGGCGAACGGAAGTCCTTGCAAAAGAATGGTGAGGAAGATGAGACAGTTGTGATTTTCTTTGACTGTGAACGAGCTCCGTCCGTTTTTCCTTTTAGGGTACCGCCGCTCTTGAACACTAACCGAGTTGAGTACATAACGACCCCAATGCAAGCGTCAAATTATGAAAGATTTTTTACTTCCTCTTATTTCTGCGCGGATAGTTTATCTGGAAGTACTGTTGAATTTTCGTAAAAGTGGCAAAGAGGATTCGAGAAATTTTCGTTTAGGGACACGGTCGGGACTCATTTGTGTTGATATTATTCAGGGTAGTGAGGCTTTCTGTCTGTTCCTGTGTGCAGAGAAAGGTCCCCCCGGTATTATTTTACACATCAACTCTCGAATACTTCTCTACTACTACTCACACCCAAATATATGGTGAATTTACGCACATTCTACTCCGAAACTTAGAACATACAGAAAACTCATATCGCTTTTTTCGTAGCGACCTTGAGTTTGAAAAGCTTATTTTGAACTTCACACGACACCTTTTTAAAGAGCTTTGCCATGCACCAGGTATTCTTACTCAAATATGTGCTTGAGCTGTAGAAATCATCCACCTATTTCTCGCAGGAAGTTGAATTTATCGCTGAGGATATAGAAGTTGAAGTTACTCCGAACTTTACTTCACCTGCTCAACGCGAAGTGTGTCCTTTACGAAGTGATGAACTAAAAACACTAACGATTTTAATTCTCTCAGGCCAAAGTTTTATTATTCAAAAATGTAGGAACATAGTACACCTTAGACGTTCCATGCAATAACTTTTTTACGCTTATGCTAATCGCAGATTTCATCCTTCGAAGCTCAAAGTCGCAAACCTGTTCCGCTTTGGCTAGCTCTGAGCTTAAAGAAGCGGAGTAAATGTACAGTCACCATGCCAGACTGGTTAAAAACTGAAAAGTTAAACTCTATTTTGAAGGCTGAACATCGAGAGAAAGAGTTACAGGTATGCAGATTGTGCATTGAAAGAGAAAACATACTCATATTTTCGAAAAGAAAATTCATTTTCATTACATTGAAGTTGCACATTCTCTGTGCAAGCATGCCCGTGAAGATATGACGGACTGGAATCAGGTGTACGATCTTGTGGTAAGTTACTCAATATGAGCTAACATCGCGATTGATACTAATTGCTTCAATTCACCAGGAAAGTATAAGATCCGTTCGGAAGGATAAAATTCGCAAAATCTTCATGAAGCTTAGTGATAGGAGCATCGAGGACATAGAAAACATATCAGCTTCGGAAATTTGTTCTACTAAACCCCTGCTTTCTTGTAGTAAAAATGCTCTACTCGAAATTCAATAGATTCGCGTGGAAAGTTTTAGTCATTTTTTGTTCGCACTTTTCATATCCTTTTAGGTTTATAGCTACTAATCAGCTCCTTCTCTTTCAAGGTACAAACATGGACAAAATTTAAAAAATAGATGGCGATCCCACATCTAGACTATAAAATTGTAGAGTGCAAGTCGCGTTTTGAGATTCAGTTTGGTGGATAAGAATCGAATGAGCTGAGATAATTTGTAAGATCATCTTGGTATTATTAAAGTAAAGGAGGTATTGAGCTTATTTTTACTGTTCGACTTATAATGTAATCATTCTATTCATGATTTTTATGAAGATTTTAGCACTCCTTCAACTATCTTACTCAATTTCACCCCGAACTCGGTACGATCAAAATTGCGACATACATGATATTGTCCAGAAGATCCAATGGAACTAGCTAACTTCGGATCATTGCACAAGCGATACATAACCTCTGCAAACTCCTTTATAGGATAATACTAACTTTCTAGGAAATAGAATATAAAAAAAATACCTTCGAACTTGAGGAACATAAAAAACCCGTTTCTTCATTTTCAACTGTTTCTTTGGGACCGCCACTATCAACAGCAATGACTGGTGTACCTACACTCATAGCTTCAAGCGGAACTATCCCGAAATGTTCCTCCATCGGGGTGTACAACAAGCATAAAGATTCCATGAGTATTTTTCTTTTACGGTTAGAGCTTATTGAAGGGAGAAAAGTAACACTTTTTCTGTGAGATAAGCGTTTCGCTTCCCTTAAGAGAAAATCAACAAAAAGAAGTCAAAGATTAATGAATTACCTTGACAGTTCACTAATATGTTCCACATTCTCTACTAACCTAGAATCATACCCTCCGGCTACAAGTAGTCTAGTCTTACATAGATCGGATTCTTTATGCATACTCAGCATGTGAACATAAGCATGTATTGCCAGAAAAATGTCTTTCTTTCGCTCAAACCGATTAATTGTCAAAAAACTATTATTTTAACAGATAAACTCAGAAATGTATTGCAAAGGTAAATATTACGACTTATAATTTTGGTCAGATAAATTGACGGTATTGGCTACGCTCATAAGTTGTACCTTCAATTGCTTCTTAGCACACTGAAGCAGAAAAACGGAAAATTACCGATGGATACAATACATCTGGACAATCCAGCGACTCAACATTCAGGAAGGCGTTCAGAAACTTCTGCGCTGTAAACTTACTATTAACAAGAATTTTATGTGCCTAAAAAATATAATACAAAATTATGAAAAGATGATGTGTTATATAATTACTTACACACAGTGTTGAATATTTTTCCAACAGATCATAAGGAAATCTGTACAACATTCTAATAATAGAGTTTCTTGGTGCTAGTAGTGAATCAGGATAGTGACAATAAAATATTGTTCGGATGTTTGAGAGACACCTCACAATCAGCACTGGCAAAGAGACCTAAGTTCCAACAAATCAGTTATTATTGTTATTATTTCTTTATAAATAAGGAATGGAAAAACCTGATCCACAAATATGAGTTCGATTTGAGTCTTTCTTCTAGAGAATATCAATACTATCTGCAGTATACACGATTGAATAATTATAGGTAATGAAGAAAGAGTTCACCGATAGCCAAAAACAACGAAGGTTAGCGAAAAAGATGTGAAAAAAGCCAAAGAAATGACGTGGGATCCAGCTACCACTAACATGAATCCAGTCACATCTTTTACCACCTACACGCATTAAATAAACATAAAAAGGATGAGTCAATCATAAACTCACCGATATGTAGTGTGTCTTCAAAGCAACGTGCAAGATCATGATACGCAGTGTATAAATGAACCTATTGGAAGGTTAATATCATTTTCGTGGAAATTAATAACATACTTTGTGACCACATCTTTGAAGCTCTGTTGCAGCATCAAGTATTAGACGTTCAGCACCACCTATCCAAGAAAATTTATTGGCTCCGACGTAAATGAATTAGATCCAAGCACCTATTCCCAAATCAGGGTGAATGAATCCTAAAACTCGCTTTTCCTCCATTTCGACTTTCTTAACAAACAAATATAGTATTTATACTTTTTTAAAGGACACAGAAAATTACGAGTCAATACGTTGCTGTTTTATCCTTCTTCGGGAAAACTAACTCGAAAGTTCATTCTACTTGATACAAAAATAGGATATAATTCCTACTAGCCTTTTGAAACATCGGAGTACGACGAAACTTCTGTACTTACATTTTGTCAATCAATGGTGAAGTTCGCATTAAAAGAATTCAGGTTTCCAAAATTACAATTAGCTAGGTGAGTTCAAGATGCAGAACGTGACCTTTTCAAAAACGAATCGTAGGACTTTCCTTACTAGTCTAGTTGTATAGTAGCTGTAAGCAACTCTTGATACAAGTACCGAACTTGTTCGTATATGTGAAGTCTATCTGATTCTTTCCTCCTACGAAACACTATTTGCTGTCTTCTTATCTGCCAAGTTTAACCGTTTTCGACCAAGTTTCACCGCCCAATCCTTCGCGGACTTTAGAAAAAGAAGGAAAAAGGAAAAAGCCAGTCTGCCATGGTTGAAACCCTAAACTGCTTAGGAAAAAGTCAAGTAGTATTCTCGCAATACTTGGCATAATCAGCACTGCGATTCGAGGTGGGGAGTAAAACTATACGGTAACGTCTTGGTAGTGAAGAATATCGATTTCTCGAATCTTTAATACACATTTTACAACTAACTCTTCAAAATCTTCAGAAGTTCGACTTTAATCCACTTTTTCGGTGACCTCGGCATCTCGGCACCCCTCGCGCGGGTCATTTATATTGCATTCATCTATGCAATCTCGCTGAAAGAAAATATATGGTATGAAGAAGTGACACGAAACTTTGTGTTGGCATTTGCAACATGCTCACCCCTAACTTTAAGATCGATCGCGAGTTTCGTGGTCACGTTGAGGATGTACGCTCAATCGCCTCTCAGTCAGGAAGTTCAAGTTACTTCGCCACTGCTAGCAGAGACAAAACAATACGAATATGGAACCTAGATCATGATGAAACTTCGCTCCCAGAGCAGAAAGTTTTCAATGGGCATGACTCCTTCGTTACTTGCGTACACTGGGTTCCTGAAGGTTTTCTGGACTTTAAGGAAGAAATTCTTCTTTCGGGTAGCAGGGACCGGCGTGTTCTAGTCTGGAGTATTCCAAGGGGATTAGTTTTGAAAGAATTAAATGGACATGCGATGGATATTACTGCAGTTATTGTCCTAAAAAATGGAGACATAGTTACTGCCAGTCAAGACTCTCATATTTGTGTTTGGAGGAAGTTCAAGTTGCTCAAGGTATGTGGATTTTGATAACTTCTTACTTTTTTGCTTAAATTTTATTTGTCTTTTCTTAGACTCTTTCTGGTCACATTAGTTCGGTACTTTCTTTGGCGGCATTAACAGATTCTGAATTTCTTTCAGGTGGAGCGGATGGAACTATCCGTCACTGGTGTAGTGACCATAGTTGTTCAAATATACTTCAAGCTCACAGTGATTCAGTTCGTAGCTTATGTTATATTCCAAATCTTGGAATTTTGTCCGCATCCCATGATAATACGGCGAAGCTTTGGTCTACTCAATATAGACTTGAGCGCACTTTTCTTGGCCATACATCTCTTATATATTCCATTCATTTCTTTCATAACAGTGAAAAAAATTGTTTTGTAGTTACTTCAAGCGAGGACAGAAGTTGCAAAATTTGGAACATACATGGAGAATGTATACAGACCATTGTACATCCAGGATGTGTTTGGTCAATCTTAATGAAAGGTACAAGCTTACTAACAGCTTGCTCTGATGGCGTAGTAAGGAAGTTTATCTTGAATGAATCTTTACATGGTCCACGTACAATAGAAGTTTTCACGAGGCTTGAAGAAAAAGAGAATTCTCAAATAAAAATGAATCTTGCAGTTAGGGACTCTAAAGTCCTTAGTGAACCTGGATCTTTTGAAGGACAAGTTCAAGTTTGCACCGATGAAAGTGGTAAATCAAAAGCGTACATTTGGAAAATAGCTTCTCAGCAATGGGAGTTATTGGGCAAGGTCATCACAGAATCTCCCAAAAATGTTAGAAATCTCGAAAGAACTGATTATGTCTTTGACATTGATGTCCAAGACGGCGTGCCCCCGTTGAAATTAACTTTTCGTAGCGGTCAAGACCCAGCTAGTGTTGCGGAAGAATGGCTCCAGACTAATATGTTGCCATTCTCATATAAGGAGAAAATTATCGAATTTTTACTTCAAAATGTTCAGGAAAAAGATATTTCTTTTGGGAAGAAAGAAAGTGAGATTTTGCAACCTTTACAAAAGACAGCAGCCTACATACCGACACTTTCACACGTGTACTTTGATAAGATCAATTTCGAAGGAATTTTAGCTAAGCTTACAGAATTTGGATTGAATGAAGAAAAAAAAGGTATCTTGAAGGGATCCAGTATATGGAGTTCAGATGTGGAAAATAAAGAGAATGCACAAGTCCATGCAGTAATCACAGAGTTATTATCGATGAGGGTTGAATATTTGTTCCCAACTTTTGATCTTATTCGGAAAGCAATATTATTTCCAGAGTATGTAACTGAAATAATGAAATATGATATAGAACTTGAAGGAGCTTTTTTGCGTGCCATCAATCATCCGGCAACAACACAAAATGTACTCACTGCTATTCGGTTCGCGAATAACTGCTTTAGAACTGAGGAACTGCTTGAAAAAATAATTTTCTCGCACGTGAAGCGGATCTTTTCATGTCTTGCTTCAGTAGCTGATCAGCCAATGAAACCCGCTCTGTGTATATCAATTTGTACCTTTATTATGAACTTCTCAATCAGTATACTGCATGGAAAAATAGATAAAAAAGAGAACTGGAGCGAAATCTACATCTTATTTCTCGGGGTTATGCTGCAACTCCTTAGAAACACTTCAGCCGAGGATGACGGCAGTAAAATGAGACTAATCATAGCTCTTGGTAATTTCGTATATGATTCAAGTGTTAGAAGGAAGTTAGTGAGCTTGGAAATACAGGAATATGTTATAAAATATAAGGAACAGACGAGTGGATTGGAACTTCAAGGTGCTGCAGAAGAGACGTTGAATGAAATTTCGAAAGTGTAAATTGAGGTCTTTTGTTTCTGCTTTTTCTTTTTAAAATTTGATGATCATTGTGACGTACAGTAAAAGAACCACTTGTACTACCGGTACCAGGTATTTTATATCATACCCTTTTCAGATTTTCTAGACAACGAATTAAGATGATAGAATACCATGGCCAAGGAATCCCTCAATGAGGAAGGTGCCCATGAGAGTAAACATGGCAAACCGAGCATTCACAACTTCAGCAAACGGGACGAATCCTATGTCACCAAGAGGTGTTTTCATTTGGAAAAATTTCAAATCCGACATTGCTGGATCGACTGCATATGCACGTTTTCCCCTGAAACGATCATCAAATTTGTAACGGAATGCACCTTGCCCACACCATTTCTGGGCAATTTGATCGTTTCGTGATCCAGATTCCTGCAAATATTCATTTTGATCTATTAGAAACGAGGGCATCAAAGAAAGCAATATTACTGTGACAGCAATTACTGGCGTGACACCGTGAGTCACGTTAAATAATAGTTGTTCAGTCAATGACTTCTTCATCATTATTTCGTTTGTGAAACCTGAAAGTATACCTATCATCGCGCATCTACCATTTATTATTTCTGGTAAAACCCCATCGACGCCAAATAGGAGGAGATAGTCAACTGAAAGCAAAGTATTCAAAGGAGAAAAGAACACTCCCTCAAAAATATCTTCCACTTCCATTCCTTCTGTTCTTATAGTATCTTTTCCTGTTATTTTTACGCTAACACGATCTTTAGAGAGTGAATCAATTTCATACAGAGAATTAGTACTCTTGACTGGTTCATCTGCACTCTCTGTGCCAGTATCGAAGAGCGACTCGTCAGGGGCGGACTCGCCACTTTGAGGGACTTCACGATTCGAACCTCTCCCGGACTCTCTTTCTCGTCGACGATTGTTGGAAGCTGATATTACCAAACGACGATATCTATAAGAAGAGTGAACAACATTTATGCCATTATTAGGTAAAAAGGAAGGTTTGAACTGTGCGCTCATTTGCAAACGACTCACGCAAGGCCGACTCAGCTTTCCTGTTCTTTCCTCTCCCCACTGACAGACTGCTCACTGTGCCACTTGCTGATTTGCTTGGAAGGAAAGCACTTTTTCTTTACACTTTTTGCTTCAAAAAATACCCTAAAATCCGTGTTGCTTAAAGATTAAAAGATATCATATGGTCATACAAACAACATGTTCATCAGGTAAAAAGACTTCGAGATATTTTGTTTGAACTTTGAAGCGTGGTGAATTATAAAATTGCGCACAACACCTGAGAATTTGCAATTCACACGGTCGCAGTTTTTGCGGTAGGAGGTCAAGAAAACACGGCAACCTGGACAGAGATGAAACAAATGTAAAATAAATACGACCTTTAATGTCGAATAAAAAGTTATGTGTAATACATTGCTGAATCGCATGACGGAAAGATGGCTAAGATGAGGAAAGTAGACTCATATGTCATGCTTGGAGAATTACAGTTTTATAACTGTTTGAACTGTCCATGGTCACCTAATGTGTCGCCTGAGAAGACAAAAGAAGTTGAAGTCGTTAATGCCAGCTTACCGAGGGGAATACAATACATCTACGTGGGCGTGGAGAATATGTATGAGCTTGAAGTTACAGCTTGTGAGAATATCTTTGCAAGTTCCATGTTTCTTGGAATAATAACTCAAACTATTCTAGTTGCTACTAGAAAAAAAACGCGTGTGAATGACTTACTCCTGAGTGTTGATTCGTTATCGTTGAAAAACAAAGCAGAAAACAAATATATGATGATAGTTGCACAAAAGCAAATTAAGAGAACGGCGATTGGTTATCGAATGACTTTGCACCCTACGAAGCAATTTTTGATGCAAGTAGAGTCAAAAACTAATAATCTTGCGAATAAAGACGTACTTTCTTTGCTTCAATACTTAACCAGGGTGTCGAATACATCTGAGGCTGAAAGATTCATGCCCATCTCGTTGTCCGACAGAGTTGCTCAAGAAGGGCGTGAAAAGTACACGAGAATTTTTAATCTGTTGATACAACTTGATTCACCTAGTGTATGCAGCTTATACCCTAACTTGAAGGAACTGCACCATTTTGGTACAAAATTCATTTCATATTCTTTCCATGAAATTGTTTTGGGAGTCGCGAAAGAACATCTCATAAGGCACTTGCAAAAGTTGAAGGATTCAATGTTTAACTCTTACTGCAATCTGTTATGCATAAAGGAGCTCCACTTTTTTATGGAATTTCACCAATATCTTTATAATGACAGTCTATTCAAGATGGTAAACAAATCACAGGTCAAACCTTACGTGAGTCACATAACTTCAATTTCAAAAACGAGAAGTTCTGAAATGCACGATTGTATGATGCTACTGAGAGAAGCCCCTAAATTTCTATCTCCGCTGAGCTGCAGTGATGGAAAAGGTTCTTCTTTCATGGAGTTCAAAGGTTCAAGTTCGGATAATTGCGTTGCACGTGTTGAAAATTTTTTGCAAAAATCAACTCCTTTTAGAACCTCAAGCTATTTTATACCTGCAAACTTCAGTTTCTCTGAAACCTACGTTCAGAAACGGAAAGCAAATATAGACAAAAATACATTGCTAGATTCAAAACATCACATAAATGAACGGATCTCAGAGCGAGTTTGTAATATACTTAGCTGTCAGTTAATATCATTCACAAGGTGGGATATGATAGAGTCTATTGCAGATATCATAAAGGTCAACTATCATGATGTTCGTAATTCGAAAGAAAAAACAACTATCCCTCTGAGTCAGAATGAATTTATTGCAGCAGATTCTGAACCATCTTTAGTCACGTGGTCTGATATTGGAGGATTGGATGCCGCAAAGCAACTAATCCGAACCACTGTAAAATTGCCGACTATGTATGATAAGCTATTTGAAAATCAGAACAAAGGTTTGATACTATATGGCCCGCCCGGAACTGGCAAAACACTATTAGCCCGAGCAATTTCGAATGAGTGCGAGTTGAAATTCTTTATGATAAAAGGACCTGAAGTCATAGATATGTATGTGGGAGAAAGCGAACGACACTTACGACAAATCTTTCACGAAGCAAAAATATCGGCTCCTTCTATTATTTTTTTTGATGAGATAGATGCTTTGGCTACAAAGCGAGTTGAAAATGAGAACCTGAACAGTACTTCCAGAGTTGTGAGTCAATTGATACTAGAGATAGATGATGTTCTAAATTTCCAAAATATATTTATAATGGGTGCTACAAATCGTCCAGACAGAATAGATACAGCTCTTCTTCGTCCAGGGAGATTTGATAAACTCATTTACGTGGGAATTGATCCTTCAGTTGAGGGCAAGATTCAGATAATGGAGTCCCTTACTAGACGTATGAAGTTAGCTCCAGGAATAAATTTTTCTTCATTTGCTGAGACTCATGCATCAAGATATTCAGGTGCAGATTTGTACTCAGTGTGCGCAGATTCATGGCTGAGAGCTTCCAAAAGACGCATTCGAAGAAAGCAATGGTCTAGCGAGACAGAAGTGGTAGTCGAAATGGAAGATTTTGTTTCTTCTTTTGCAGATTTGAAGCCCTCTCTATCACAAGAGCTGATTGAGTACTATGAAGATTTAAATAGCTCTTTCATCTGAATTTGCCCATCAAATTATACAAGCGAGCATGCTAAAAGTACTATTTTTCTTTCTCTTTCTTTGCTATTCGTGCAAGATTTCTCAGGTCCGACTCCATTTTTTCCTTCTGCTTTACTAGCAGTTCCTTCTGAATATTAGCTCGAATCTCTACAGCTTGTCGAGCTTTATGTTCTGCTAAATATAAGGCCTGATTAAATTAAATGTTATATAATATAGTAGTCCAAGCAAAAAAAAAATGTATACCTCAGAAAGATTTGCAAATTTATCATTGATTTGTAATGAATTTAAATTTCTTCCATCGGCCGCTAATCGTTTGTCTAAAGGTATGGTATAGCCTTTCGGATTCTACAGTAATTGCTCTAAAATAAACAGATACAAAAAAGGGAAACATCCTACCTTCCAATTCGAAATCGAAGCTGGTATGATCCATTCTTCTGGAACACTGCTGCTCTTTTCTCGCTCAGGGCTATGATGTACGGTCTCGGGAATAGCTGTACCGGAGCTCTTAGGAACCTAAAAGAACTATAAAGGAAATGCACAAAAATAATATAGCTCTTACTTTTTTATGTCTAAACTTTGATGGCTCAAGAGGATCGATAGATACTTCTTGCATTCTTATGATTTTGGCACTTCCTTCACTACGGAATGCAGAATATTTGACATAAGAAGGTTCGTTGTTCCTCAAATCTTTCTTGCTCACAGCTAAGTTCTGTCCTGAGCCTAAGCGAAGCTCGATTCCTTTTATTGTTCTTTCTTTGGAGGCTTCAACACTTTTGTGCCCTGGTCTTGTCTAGAAAAAAACATAAGAAGCTGTTCTTTTCAAAATTAATCCAAAGCTTACATTATTTTCCAATGCTAGATCTGCGGAGATGGAGTCAGGTTCCAGAGAAAATCTTTCTTTCCTTTTCAACGGTTGTGTTGTATCTTCTCGAGGTAGTCTTTTAGAGAGAAAACCCGTTCCATGAGGTTGCTGGGAAACAAAAAACTCTGGGAAAGAACCCCCACCCATGAACCTTTTTACCCCGAACCTGGAACGATCCAGAGTGCGCGAACCGTAAGGTTCAACCACCATATTATCATGCATAATGGTTAAGGTTTTTACCAACTTCCGAAGGGTCAAATTACTTTCGTTCCCTTTCTCTTTCGAAGAAAACTTTTTGCATCTGTAGTTTACGCGCTCTACTCGTACAGAAGAAAATAAGTTCACAAAAAAAATTGAACTGCCAAAAAAAAAGTATGTGTATTTAGGGATTCAAAGATTCACACAAGATTCTGGGTGTTGGGGGTCGTTCACACGAAAAATACGAGAAAATAGGTATTTTTATGAATTGTGGTGTACTTGTTTTGAAGAAGAAAAGGAAAGTGAAAACGACTATTCATACACACACTTGCGATACCATAAGCTCAGACATTGTTCATCAGACCAAATTATACCATTTTTCTTTCTAGAATGTTGAGCTCTGCGTCATGTGCTACTGTCGCTGTTCGAGCACGAACAGCTAATTTAAATTCACGCCGATCTGGTAAGTTTGCGCCTATTTTGTAAATAAGCATATCGACTTTTTCGAAACTGAAGCGAGTTCTCTTAAGTGTAAGACCAATAGTATAGCTACTCACCATTAACTTCACGACATGTAGGTGTGCTTGTTACGAAAGGTTTGAAAAAAACATCGATACGCTCTCCGAGAGGCAAGTATGGCATACTTCGCGCAGCTTCAAATAACAACACTTTTGACGATGACTGGTTGAAAGCAGAAGTCCCCGTTCATCTTTTAACTTTATTTGGCTGGACCATTCCGTCTGCATCTCCTTGCCCCGCTTTTGAGAACAACAATTCGTTATTCTTTATGCTGTGCCAATCCGTGTCCGAGAACTTGAGTCACTTTCCCACTGGTCCAGCACTAGACGACAAGTTCTGGCTATATCTCATCACTTGGCATGTTGGATTATTCACCACAATGCTTTTGGGTCAAATTGGCTATCAAGGAAGAAAGCAGGGTTATTTCTGAGGGTCGGGAAGGCAAGAAAATATTTCTAGTACATTATAGTGCTACTTAGTATTTGGTGAAGTAATATACTGTGAACCCCACAAATATTGAACTCAAACAAAACTTTCTTCTCTTAAAATCGGCAAGAAATTTCAGGAATTGCTCGCTCAACCCTGTGTCATACTATGTTGTGCAGAATTTCTTTTCGAAAAAATTCTCAAATTGCTCAGCATACACGACTGGGTGCACTGTAGAAATAGGTTTTGGTGCAAACATACATTTTATTACGTGAGCCACTCTCTTTCCCGTTGTCCAACCTTGCAGAAAATCTATAATTCCAACATAAACTATATATAACTTGTCACCATCCCAAACTTTGAAGGAATTGTACATATCCTCGTGAATCGCGGTACTTTCGAAAGAAATTTTCTCATGCACTTTATCTATTTGTTTAATCGCCACTATCATAGAATAATCCATTAAGTCTTGCTCAACGAAAAACTGCAAGTCTCGTTTGATCGTAGTCATAATTTCTTTTTTCTGTTCAGTAGTGAGAATAATTGAGCTCGTAAAAGCCTCTCTTTTACCCTCAACGTAGCGAAGGCGATTCTTAGTTACTTTACCAATGGCCTCTAAAAACATCCAATCCAGCCTCCAAAATCTCTTGTGAACTTCGTCTACAGTTTTCCCGTTTCGTACTAAAGTCTTGTCATCTGCGGTACCCTTCAAGTCATAAATCAAATCCCAACTTTTTTCAGATATAGGAATGCAGTTACCCATGGCAATATATAATTTTCCGTCCACGCGTCTTGTAAATATACACAGAATTCGGCATAGTAGAGAATCCCTTGAAAGTACACACTCCGAATACAACTCACAAAAACTTCCACTCAATATGGTGTGTTTGTCAGATTTGGAGAGCTCCTTCACAAAAAAGTTTCCACACAACGAACGACTCAACAAACTTCCTCCCTTTCCTCCTCCTTCTCGAAGATTTTCAAAATCAAAATTTGAGAGTAGAAACTCATCCGAAACGCCAAATCCGCTCCTCACCTTAGTGAAAATGTCATCATAAAGAGTTTCAACTAATTCGTTGCCAATAATCATCACTGGAGGCAAGTTTCGAAAATTAAGTTGTCCAGTTTTTATTCGAAGAGAAGCTACAAGAATAAATGGAAAGTTTATTGCATCGCTGATGCCAACTTATTGCAAAACGGCGCATATACCGAATTCAGCTTAGATGTTTTAATATTGCGATATTACCGGCTCGTGGGGAGCCGCGGTTAGTTTTTACAGCTAATCAGGTCTTATATGACTTTCTGCTTAAAATAAGTTTAGGGTTCTTTTGAATTTTGAAAAGCTGAGTGAGTTTCTGAGATTCTGACTCAGAGACTTTCTTCTTGAGCACCTCTTCAGAAAAAGCAAGACTAGTATAAACAACCTGAAATAATCATGATCGCTTCAAGTCCATTTGTGGCACGCTTAGTGTATACAAAACCTCAATGTCCAGGTGCTACCATTGCGCGTGCCACGCATCCCTACAAGTTAAAGCTTTTGGGTGAGAGCTGTGAAATAAATGGTGAAGTTGCTGAACGCCCCCTCAAGCTTAGTAGCATAAATTTTAGGAGGGTGAATTTAGCCTCTAACCTATCAAATCACCAGATGAATAGCCAGAGGCGTCGGCTTAATACATTAATGAGAGTATCGGCGAGCTCATTAGACAAAGATGTCCATTACTATTTAAACAACGGATTGGGATCCATCGTATTGCTAGTTGCCACTGGGGTAGCACTAATTTTTGCAAACATAGCAAAAACAGCCCCACTCTATGAGCTTTTTTGGAGCAGTTATATAGGTCCCAAAGCTTTAAATTTATCTATGACCTTGCATCATTGGGTAAATGAAGGACTTATGGCACTATTCTTTTTCTCCGTTGGTCTAGAAATAAAAAGGGAGTTTATCCATGGAAGTTTATCAAGTTTGAAACAAGCCATTTTACCGTGCTTTGGTGCTGTTGGTGGAATGCTAGTTCCGATGCTATTTTATTTGGTTTTTAACCTCGCTTCATCTAATGGAGTAATGGCAGGCTGGGCTATACCTATGGCAACGGACATTGCCTTTGCTATGGGTATATATGGATTTTTTAAGAATAAGATGCCAACCGGTGTAGCTGCTTTTCTACTGACTTTGGCTACAGTTGACGACCTTGGAGCTATACTGGTCATCGCTATCTTCTTCTCAAAAACATTAATTAAAGAATATGTTTTCCTTGCTATAGCTGTATCCGGAGTGATGTTCTCTGCATGCAAAAGAAAGGTTACAAATACTAAAGTGTACATGTCGCTTTTCGTTTTATTATGGTATTTTTTGTTACAAGGTGGAATCAACGCTGATATTGCTGGCGTCATAACAGCTTTGGCTATACCAGGCAATTCATTGGCACCAATACATTCGAAGGCTCCCCCAGAACATGAAGGGCAAAGTGTTACTCTCTTAGATCATCTGATACACGCGTGGAGCCCGTGGACCACATTATTGGTGATGCCTCTCTTTGCACTGGCAAACACTGCTGTATTAATTGATCGTGCTGTATTCGGTTCAATAATGACTACACCTATTGGTCAAGGTATTTTTTTTGGCCTAATGCTTGGCAAGCCTATAGGTATCGCAGGTATTTCGTGGCTAGCTATTAATTTAAGAATTGCTAAATTCCCGGAAGGTATGAGTCTAAAACACTTAGGGATTGTGGGACTTTTGGGAGGAATAGGTTTCACGATGTCACTATTCTTGATCGAAATGGCACTTTCGGGTAATCTTGCTGCTATTAAAACTGCAAAGATGGCTATATTGAGCTCAAGTTTTGCATCAGCTTTACTTGGCTGTGCGTTCATGAAAGGCTTGCCGGAATACCACTATAAAAAAAAGTAAAAAGCTTAAACTTTTAGAGTACATGGTACCGAGGTAAGATTAAGGATGTTAGGAACGTAAGACTTGCGAATAATTTCTCAATCTATCGAAAACATTATCGGATACAAAAATTCCGTATTCATCTTGGTATGAGGGGAGATATTTCAAGTTTTCGTTATGCCAAATCCAGAATAGAGCTCCATTTCTATTCTGCAGAAGTGCAGTATGAACTTCGCTGTAAAAGCGACTAACTTTGGTTTGACGTTGATCTTCTGTAGTCACAAGTGAACCAATTATGTTGTTTCTATTTCCAAAACCTGTGGAACCGTATTCGCTTAGGACAAAAGGTTTTTGTAAAATGTTTAACGAGTCGCTTGAATGCTCTTCTATCCATGTCTTTGAAAAGTTGAAGCTATCATTTTTCACATGCTTTCTACTCCATGCCGAGAACAGATTCCAGTTATCTGTCCATAGATGGCTTGATGCGTAATCAATTTCTGTAAATATATGATCAGATATGAAATTCTGCCCAGTATCACTTGCCCACTTAGCCGGATTAACATAATTTTTCGTTGATGCATAGAAACCCTCTTCACCAACTGTAAGTAGGTGCCTTTTATCTAGTGATTTGACTGCCTTTGCTGCATTCCATATCCACTTTTGCAATATGCCCTCGCTACAAAGTCTGCATCTCGGCTCATTCTGTATGAAAAGATGAAGAAATTTAAAAGTAGTCAAAAATAAACTTACCATGAGTTCCCATGCCATGACTGTGCTTTCATCACAGTATCGAGTACCAGTAATTTTACTTTTTCGCAGAAGTATGTGCTCTACATGTCTGATGTACAAACTGAAATAATTCTGATCAGTGAAGAAGGAGCTTCTCCCGTACTGTTCTGAATGATCAGGAGATAACTCTAAAAATTTTCTACTCAGTAGAATTAAGGAACTAATTCCACCACTCTCTGGCCAAAAATCTGTAAAAGAAAGTATTAATTTGAGCCCGTGCGCCCGTGCTACGACTATTATCCAATCTAAAGCGCCAAGTAATCTCTCATCGTATACTCCATCTTCTAAAAATAAAGGATAATTTGAATTTATGCTATATAACCATGTTCGCACACATGTGAAGTTCAAAAGTATTGCTTGCTCAAACTGTTTCAATATTTCATTTTTTCCAAAGCTATCTGAATAAATCGCATGAAAGGATCCGTGCGGTAACTCTGCAGCTTGCTCGATGAGAAGATAGGTATTGAAACCAACTGGTTTCCATGTTTTATTGTTCTGTAGGAATTCCGTTCCTGAAACTTTTACAAATTCCGCTGGGTACACATTTGAAATGGAATGAGTAAAGACCCCACTTTTGGAAATCTGAAAATGAGCCAGAATGGCTAGAAATATGTTACTTGTGAATAAAAGATGCAATCGCATAGAAATGTTTCTCATGTGTTTTGCTTAGAACTTTTCAAATCAGGAGGAGAACGCATCAGAATATGATAACAGACTTTTTTTTAAGTAAATGTAAAACGCCAATTTTTCTCGTTTTCACAAACTTTGTACGGGGTAATTATTTTTTACTCCTCTCACTACTGCCAGCATTTAACTACATACCGGAAGCCTCGTAAAAGAAAGTATTCGTAGCTCTTTCGCAAATGTCTCTCGCATTTATTGACAGGAAATTTGACTATGCTCACTCCAAACTTAATTTTCCCATTTGATTGACAAAAACAAGGAAAAAGTTCGTAAAATATCACTTGATCAGGATGGATTAGAACAGAAGTCGGCATGGGGAAGATGAGGACGTCGCTCTTTTGTTTGCAAAGATACAACGCTTTGTTCGAGAAGATCCTAACAAAATTTATGTTAAAAATATAAGTTTAATTAAATCCTCGTGTGTTATTCTATGATCTAAGAACTCTCGAGCACTCATTGTATATGAACTATCTTGGCAGATTTCTAAGTAAAAGAAGCGCGGAAACTATAACGTCACAACTTCTGCAGTTATTGCATTTCAGATGGTCGTTCCCACTGCGATACACCAGTTTTTGAGTTGTAGTAATAAACATAGCCTTCTGGAGCAGTATGCTCTGACCACCCGTGAGAAGGTGCTTCTGACTTGTCAGAGTACCCATAACCAGGTTGCTTTTGACCTTCGAAGCCGCCTTGCGAGCCCCATGGAGCAGATCCTCCTCCGTAACTTGGAGCGTTGCCTCCATAACCGTATCCACTACCTGGACCACCACCTCGTGCATAACCGTATCCTTGAGAGGAACGTGGAGGTCCACGTTGTGGTGGTGGAGCTTGACCACGGGGAACTGCTGACTTCACTTCGACGCGCTTACCTAACATATCGTGATATCTATTCTGTAAAACTTGCTTCGCACTGTCCTCACGTTGAAAACTTACAAAACCAAAACCTCTAGATTGGTGATTGTGTGGATCCCTCATCACCAGTACCTTCACAATTATAGGAAGAATGTTCAGAAATCAAATAGACACTTATGCGAAGAATACTCACCTCAAGTACCGGTCCGAATTGGCTGAAAAAATTACGTACAACACCCTGATCAAATTCAGAATTTCGTCAGTACATTTGATATAGAGAACTTTCCACGCCGAATGAATTGAGAATTAACGCTAATGCGAAAGCAATAAGTGAGAAAAAGCTCGAAGAGATATAACGCGACATTTTTTTGGAGAGCCTCACCTCATCTACGGAACGATCAAGTCCACCAACAAATATTTTGGCCAGGGATGAACCCTCCATTCCAGCAGCGTCCCCCATGAAAAATCTATTACACTCCGAGAAAGCACGCACGCGGAAAAACGTAAGAGTCGCGTACGGAGGTGTTTCTTTCTAATTCTTACAATTCAAGGAAAGGAGGAAAAAAAACGAAAAAATTTTCTCTTGCTTTCCACGAAACCCTAGACTTGAGGAAAGATCTCTCTCAGCACTTCTGTTGTTAGCGACGGTCGTAGCACCTTGTAAGACACGTTCAGTGGTCACATCTAAAGCTTTCACTCGATTACCGTCATTGACACCTTAAATCAAGTTTCCTAAGCTTACAGCAATTTAAAAATGTCACTTCGAAGAGACGAAACCTATCACGCACGATAAGGCAAATCAAAATATTTATATTTCTTTCAATTCAATATAAACTTCACGATAGATGGCAGTCACTTAGGTTCATAATACCCGTATACATACAATCGTTTGTGACCTAGTAAACCGTGCGAAAAGCTTCAGCGAAAATTTTATGCACTCTTGCTGTAATTGCCTTTCCGTGTCTTTCTTTCCGGAACTTTTTCTGGCAAAGTCAAGGACGTCCAGGGCAAAAATAAATGTAAAATCAATCCGGAACGAGTGCAAAAGTTACACGTTTTCCGAAGATTCTTTAGATATACGCAAATCTTTAGAAAAGCTTGGTTTAATACTTGGAGAGAAAATTGATGAAGGTTCTTCTGCATTTATATACCTCGCAATTTCTACTGGACTGAGTGGTTTTGGAAAAAGTAGTTGGCAAGGAGAAAAAGGGAAAGTTCACGCAGTAAAGGTTGTAAAGCTTTCTGAAGGAAAAGAAGAGAGCAAACTTCTTGCATTTCATGAAGAATATTCGCTACTCTCAAGTCTAAGTCACAGAGGGATTGTAAAAGTTTATCATTATGATCGTTTATTTATGGTCATGGAATACTGTGGTGGTGGCAGTCTTTTTGAAGCTTTACATTGCACAAATATAAAAGCAAAAAATGTACTGAACCAAGAAACGGAGGGGGAACTTATCTCGATGATAGATGAGAACATGCCTATTCTCAATTTACCTATCTTAATGTTGGACATCGCTGAGGCATTGAGTTATATACATCAGCATGACTTAGCTCATCGTGATATAAAATCAGCCAATATACTTTTAACCTGGGATAAGAAACTTGAAAGAGTGAGGGCTAAGATAGCAGATTTTGGATCTGCTAACGCGGTTTCAGTCGTTCCAGTGAGAAAAAAGACAAATCCTCTTCGATCTCTTTTGGGATTACAGAGAGGATTCTATCCAGTCGGTTCCTTATTGTGGATGTCACCAGAAATGCTTGAACCACCATTTGAAGAGGAAGAAGTCTATGCCAGAGCAGATAAGGTAGATTCATATGCGCTTGCCATTGTTTTGTGGGAATGTATGGAATGGCGAATTCCCTGGTGTGGGACAGAAGTTCCATCACGTAAATTGGTAGTTAAAAAAGTTGTGAAAAGTAAGTCGATGCACTTACCTTTGCCGAGAAAAGCAACAAAAGATTTTGCAGAACTTATCACAGTTATGCTACACAAGGATCCAAGAAAGAGGCCCACCTCTGTAGAGATTTTTGAAAGATTAGAAGATATTGCTGGAATATGGGATACAGAACGAGCTTACCAACAAATATCATCCTATCTGCACATTAATAGGACCACAGAGGAATATATTTATAAGGTTCTCTCTGTTAATGCTTCTCACGAGTCTACCATACCTGTAGTTACGAGTAAAGAAAATGTTTACGATCATAATTCATAAATTTGATTGAGGCTGATAACGGCATAGAGATACAAGCTATGCTCAATGCTTTTAAACACGATTTCGGCTCCAATACTGTCGAATCTTTGCCTATCAAAGAGAAAAAGAAGAGGGAGGAAGTGCTAAGTTTGGAGCACGAAAAATGTGAGGAATAATTAAAGTCCCACACGTTTAGGTGAGGTTAGTGATATTGTTAGCAAATTACACATGCGTTCGCGGAAGCGTGCGAAGTTCTTTATTCCAAGGGTGTAAATACACAACAAGAAATATGTATAAGCTTGCAAGCCTTGAGTTGTAAGTACGTAAGCTAAACAAAAACTCAAGCAAGAATCCTGTGCTTGTAGCATGTATGAATGAAGCAAAAGAAAGTTGGGAGTTGGAAGAAAAATCGAATGCCTGAAACTAATGGGTCTGTCATAAAGAATAGAGATCCCATATTAGAATAAAAAAAACTGATTATTTCATGATGAATCACGTTGTGATACACTTATTTTTGATACTATTTCTTAACTATATTTTATTACTGATCCCCAGAGCGCTAATTTTTGCCGCATTAAAAGCACTAAGATAATCACTCCTGCGTATTCGTAGAATTCTGACAGGTCCATTTCTGTACGCACGAAAGTCTGGAATATATTCAAATTCCGGTTTTAAAGACAAAGCTTTTTGTCCTAGATAGCACCAAGGTCCAATATCTGATTCGAAATCATCGGAGCCAGCATAAACTACAACACGTCCCTGTAATACAAGTATGAAAAAATCAGCTGGTATTCCTTTGCTGTAAATGAGCCGGGACTCCGACTCGATTTTGGAATGAATACCAGGGGTAAAAAGTAGCTCATTCGCTTCTTTCGTTTTTTCTAAAGCATTGGCATCAAATTCATCGCAGGAATCATCATCCTGTTCCTCTAACGATGACATTTGCACTAGCTTGCGCAAAATTCCGGGCTCATATTTTGCAATTTTCTTGAACTCTGGAACATTCACAGAAAGAAAGGCAACAATGGCATTTATCTCACTCGGGGACAGTCGTTTTTCATAACCTTCCAGATGCTTATGTTCAAATAATTTCATAAAATTTGTCGGGTTTGGACGTCTTGCATTTCCGCGAGACTTCACTCTCGATTGGGTATCATTCACATCAATGTAGTTATCGGTTTCATCTATAATTTCATCCTTTATTACAGCTTCGATAACATCTTCAAGGGTGATTATACCAGTAATCTTTTTCGAGGATGAGTGATTGGATTCCATATTCGCTGGAGATATTACCTCAGAATGTTCAATTCCCTCCACGACTGATTCGGTAGCATCATATGCAAAAAGCATGTGCAGATAAGAAGCTTTAAATTCAAGAAATACTTTATCGAGAGTTGTGGAGTCACTGACAGTTTGTACGTACCCACTTTCACTATTACCATGAAAGGAGATTACTGCTGCTACTTCAATTTCATCATCTGGGTCAATCAGGATCAAATCTTTAGTAAACAAAATTCCAACAATATTATCACGAGAGAACTCATAAACTGGGATACGTGTAAAACCGCTTTTATATATGCTCATGAGTACAGTGAAAGTCAGTCGTGTATGAACGTTAACCATAAAAACTTTATCCAGGGTAGTCATCACATCTGATACACGTTTTTCTTTGTACTCGAGAGCTCCGGTGAGCATGTTGCCATCATGGGAAGATATGGCACCAAAATCCTCTCTAGCATCCGGATGTTCTACGTGAATTTTAACCAAGTGCTTCAGCTCATCCTGAGTATGGAAATTTCCTAAATCACGCCCCAGTATCCTATCAAGCAGCCTTGATATTGGCCACGCAAATGGAAAAAGTAGAAAAATGAAGCATTTAACAATCCAGATTGTGTGTGCCCCAATAGCAAGACCATGGCGTGAACATGCAGCCTGGGGTGCGATCTCACCAAAAATAACGATTGCCAAGGTTGAAGTAACTAATCCTATGGGTCCATCTGTTAAATCAGCTAATAAAATTGCTATGAATGCGTTTACTTAGAAAACACTTTAGAGAACATGATGATCTAGAAAATCTATATTATTACCTGCAGTATTTCCCAGCAGCAATGTGCAAAGAAGTAAGTTGCCTTTCGAACGTACTGGAAGAATGACTTTTGCATATTTACGCTCATCTGGGTCTCCAGCTTGGGCTATAATATCAAGTCCAATTACATCTAGTGACATTAAACCCAGCGTTAAGCCAGAAAAAAGAGCGGATAAAATCAAAAGTATTGCAGAGGAGAGTCCTGTGACCCACACTGGAAAAGTGGCAGGTGCAACAAACTCCCAACTTGCCGCCGTGTAACAAGTATCGAAGCAACTAACTCCCGTCTCATTCGTACAGGCTAAGACACAAGAAAAACGTTCTTGGGAAGATGACATCACTACTATCACGTCACAAAAGAAATGTAGGGATAAAGGATAGATTATTTCTAGCAACTCAACTTATAGGTATAACGTGCTCGAATTGAGGACAACATCAACGTTAAAGCACTTTGTGTTAGGGTCGAGAAATGTGGAAATCAGTAAAAAAAACAGAGGGACTCGAAAAAAATACGAACTTTGGTCTTATATAGAAAACTGCCTGTATGAGGGGTGTGCACAAACCGCACCAATTGTTCCAGGAATCGGAGTATAGGGAGTATAGGCGAGTAGCGCGTATTGAGTTCCGATTTTCCCAGTAGCGTAAAAAGCAGAAAACTCAAAACACGAAAAACGAGTTCGTAAAACACAATAAGACGGAGAAGACGTATGAAAGACGTATTCAAAAGTTAGGAAGTATATCATTATTTCTGTGATACAATTATTATCGCTACTATAATAGTATTCTGCTGCTGCTACTGGGTACTTTAATATTATATCCAAAACAACTGCATTCACGTTGGGCTGAAAATTTCGGTTGAAAATATAACTACATTTCAATCTATCCGGTTTGTTATGTCTCAAAGACCAAGCCAGTCGAAAATCTTGCAGCGTCAGAAGCAGATCGATTATGGAAAAAATACAGTCGGATATGAAAAGTATTTAAAGCTTGTTCCTAGGTCTAAGCGTGGTCCAACCGATCCCAAGACCCCTAATATTTATATTTCTAATTCTAAAAGAGCTTTCGATGGAATAGTCAAAAAATGGCGTCGCGAGCTTCATAGATATGATAGAGAAAATGTTGGGAACTTTCTGGTTAACAATTCTGAAGAATGTGCTATGGCATATAGTCCAGAGGCATCCCACGTGCGTAGAGTTTGTTGCGTATGTATCAGCCGCATTGAAAAAATAGAATATAATTCCTGTCAGAAAGTGCTAGGAGTTCCAGGCAAAGAAAGTTGGGAAAGTCTTGGAAGCGTTCAAATGATGATACTGTAGAATATCGCCTTGTTCTAGGCTTTTATCCGCTTTCTCTTCTTGAATTTGCAGTGAGTGATGTGCTCTTTGTTGCTCACTCTTTTTTGCTCGCGAACTACTTATTTAGTTTTGTTACACCCTTATGTAAACTTATTTAAATACTGGGTGTAATGAACTTCATTACTTTCTTCTTTCTAATTAAAACAACTTACTACATACGTTCAAATGGTCTCATATCTTGGAAGAAGACTTAGGATTTATTCTAAAAAATAGCAAACTTTACCTTTTCAATCTTATCTGCAATGACTGCAGGGTTTGCTTTCGAAAGAGCTTCGCGGCTATGCGACTTAAAATCAAAAGTACAGTTGTGCTTATTGTATTGCCTGTGAGAGGCACAGAAAGTATATTCACAGCGACACTTAAAACCAGAAATTCCTATTTTTTTGTTGCACTGAAAGCATCTACCCGGGTTTGAAGGTTTCTTATTCCCCCCAGCATTCAAATCATCATGTTCATTTTGATCTTGCGCTATTGAGTCACTATTGCCTTTTAATTCGTGAGGGGCGGGAATACTTTTTATTCTTAATTCTTCTGCCTTATAACATATTGAGCAGAAGAACATTTTTTCTGGGTTTCTGCAGTTTGAAATTGTAACTGTGAAGAAAAAATAGTTGTGTATAATAATCTTACCCATAAAATCCGCAACCTGAAACACAAAGTCTTGGAATGTCATCCGAAGCATCTCGTGCATTATCGTTTAGCATTGAAATTAATTCCGAATGATATGTTTGTTACTTCCTGTTCGACTGTTCAAGTTTTTTTTTTGGAGAAAAGTAACTTGTGGTTTGTGTGTAAATTGTTTCATTTACAAAAGACAGAAGTATTATGTATTATTTTTCCTGATCCGTGCTCTAGATTGTGATTTTTGAGAGAGAATTCTCTCTCTCAACTCTCACGTTTCACTTTTTTATTTACTCTTTTATTCACTTTTTATATATGACGTAAAAAATGAGCAAACTATTTTTGGGGGGTAAAGTAGAGAACAAGAATGTTACAAGACAATAAGTGTACAGTCAACAAGAGTCGATGAGTGCCTGCGTGGGAGAGAGTCGATGAGTGCCTGCGTGGGAGCGTGGCTGAGTGCAGAGTTTGCTTTGAGTTGGATTTATGTGCAGGCCACTCGAGAGGCAGGAGCCAACGCACACACACAATATGCGAACCAGAAGGTTTAAAGTCGTTAAACGCACGAGTGGACAAGCTAACAGGTGTTCAATTGAGTATAACGCAAGACAGCACTTCACGAACCGATTCCAAAACTGAAATTTGAATGACAAAGGATTACCAATAGAAAGACCGAAGTCTAGGAAAAAAGACGTAGGAAATCGAGATCAAAACCTGATAGAAACTCACAACTTTTGACCAACAAACTTCATATCATCTCACAAAAAACGCCTAGATTGCAAGCAGTTCTTTTGACAGATATCTTCCGATACTCGGAAATATATACGTGCTTAAAATTAAGTGTCAAAAATTCCTACGTTAAAAACCAATAAAGGCAGCTTTGAAAACATTGTTCACTCCTGGATTACTCAAATGGCTTGTTAAATTTTCAACTGGACCTACTCCAGTGTGATCATACTGGATAAAACAGCCGAGAGCTGCTACCATTGCGAGCCTCCCGTTCGCAATTTCTTTAGCTTTGAGCGCTTTCAATTCATCAGTGCTCTTTCCATAATTCATTGGATTAAAAATTCCGCCAGGATATCCAACATCACCCGCTGGAAGCTTGTTGCCTGGAAAAGCTGGATCCTCAGAAACAGAACCCGGATTCTTTATATCTTGCCAACGACGGATCTCGGCCCAGTTCATCATGAACATTTGAACAGTGAAAAGGGTGGTTGAACTAGCAAAATAACCGTTGTAGAAAGGTGCATCGTGCCAATTTGGCAGGTCAGAAACACCAAACATGGTAAGGAGTTCTGGCGCAGCCATACCAGCAACTCCTAGCATAGCCCAACGGGCGTGTTGCAATTCGGCTTGAACATACCAATCCAAATCTTTGCTATCTTCACCGAGATTAAGCGGATCGAATCCATAATCACCTGGAAGCATACCCTTGAGATGGGAGGGAGCAGCTGTTCCTGGCATCCATAATGGGCGCGATTCCGCTGAAGCTATTACGGAACTTCGAACAGTACGCTTAGTTGCGGAAATGTGTGTACTAATCCTGCAAATAAAATGGAGTGACTGTTAGTTATTATCGCAGATTAAAAATCGAGATTTGTCAATTTTGGTTATTCGCGAAAAGTGCGGGAATAGAAAAAACGCAAGTAGTGAGGGAAGAATAAGCGCAAAAAGTAACAAACAGTGAAATCTTGACAATCCGCTAAGAGACTACATAGCCTTACCGTTGCGTGCCGAACTGAGTCTTTAACATGGAGGCCATAGTAGTAATTCTTTCGTAACTTTATGCTCAGGATCGCGTATGGATTTCGTGCTTGGTTTTCGAAGTGGAAAGATTCCCGTTACCGTCTTCTTTTGAACAAAATAGCTCAATATTTACGAGATATTATTTCTACCCAGTAGTTTATATTTCCGAACAATATGAACCTGCAAAGTCGTAAAACGATAGAAAAAACAAGATTTCAGAATAAAATCTTCCTGAAATTTCTCTTGTTCACCACATACAACCTGCAGCTCAGAAAAGTGATTCGAATCAAAAAATCTTTTTTTTGGTCTTAAAAAAAACACCGAAAGAAATATGCCAATTGGAAATCATATGATAAAGCAATGAAAAACCGGGTCTCAAAAAAAATTCATTCTTTTGTTTAGAACCCTAAACTTAGAAACTCACCCACTCCGCAGACCGCTTGGTTGACTATTCCTCTTTCCGAACCTGAAGCTGTACTTGGAATATCCAAAAAAAGGTGTCGAAGGTAATGTATACAATTGAATGTGTAACTTACTTTTCATTTTGAAATAAGATAGTTCTTCAATTTTCCCCTTGCTCCAAAAGAAAACTGGTGTAAAAGTTCGAAAAAAAAATAAACCGGAAAGCAGCATTACGAGAAGTACAAATCTCATTAGAATACGTTACTGACATCTATTTGTTTTCAAACTGCCTTTTACTGCGCTGAAATTATCACTTTTTCGATACTTTTTGAACCTGCGGTGTGACTGACTTTCCACTGTTTCAGTCCTTGAATACTCAAGGACTACAGTTTTTGTCATGAAAGTGAACTCTTACAATTTACTCACACGAGAAGTCTGGTCAGACAATCTCGATGAAGAAGTAGCCATCATCAGAAAACTCGTCCAAGCATTTCCCTATATCGCGATGGATACAGAATTTCCGGGAGTGGTACGTTCTAATATTGAAGTTTTAATTTAGATCATATATATTTTTCTCCTAGGTTGCGAGACCAGTCGGGGCTTTTAAACAGCAGTCAGAATTTCATTATCAAACATTAAAATGTAATGTTGATATGCTGAAGTTGATTCAACTAGGATTGACTCTGACGGATGCAAACGGAAATTTACCCATCATTGATGGTAGGTACTGCTTATGGCAGTTCAACTTTGGAGAGTTCAATTTGAAGGATGACATGTACGCAAGAGACTCAATTGAGCTGTTGAAGCAAAGTGGGATTGATTTCCTGATTCTGAATGAAAGAGGAATAGATGTTACTCGCTTTGGCGAACTTTTCATGGTGAGTGGAGTAGTATTGAGCCGCGATGTGAAATGGTTGACATTCCACAGTGGATATGATTTTGGCTATTTAATTAAGCTTTTAACTTGCGTCTCTTTACCAGAGAATGAAGCCGACTTTTTCAAAATTTTAGAGACATACTTTCCATGCTTTTATGATATGAAATTTTTGATGAAATTCACGGAAAATTTGCACGGAGGTCTAAGTAAGCTTGCAGAGCATTTAGATGTAGAAAGGATAGGACCTCAGCATCAGGCGGGTAGTGATAGTTTGCTAACAGCCTGCACTTTCTTCAAGATGAGAGAGAGATATTTTGAAAAGATCAAGCTTGATAAATATGCGTGCATACTTTATGGTTTAGGACAAGATTCTCTTGAAGCTGAAAGAGAGTAAAGATATTTTGTTTTGACGACAAAGTCAATAAGAAAACTGTCGTACTATTTGTATAAGTGCGGTTTAGCACAGTTATTTATGCAGTTAGTGTGTTTGGTACAAATTGGTCGAAAAAATGGTTTTCTGAACACCAAGCATTCCACTTTTTTAAGGTCCCACCCCACGAACTGCCGAACTCTAATACACAATGTCAAACCAAACAGGAATGTGTATCCTCCTTATACCATACTAGATGGTGCTTATATATACTTCTTGTTCTTGCTTTTCTTCTTTTTTTTTTTGTTTTTTTTTTTTGACTTGCTTTCTTTACCTTATTAAACCATGAACCTGATGAGTTCATTGCGAATATGTCAAAGTAAACTAAAAGTGCAAAGTCTACACAAACAACCATCAATAATATACTCAGACCGGCTGTTTCTTTAGATGATCGGAGAGGATAGTTCGGCTTCATATCTCGAAGTGATAGAACGACTTTCTAAGTTTCTAAGTTGGAGTGTTTCCAACGGTATCCAAGTTCTCGATGCGGTAAGAGTTGATGCTCGCTGGGATGGCGTAAATAAGAAGTATACTTTGTGTATTGTGTCTACTCGCCATCTTCACTGCTTTGAAAAGCTTTTATCTATTCCAAAAACTGTATGTTTAGGTGCGAAGACATGTTCAATTTCAAAGGAGTTAGTTGCAGTAGGACTTGGAGGTGGTCTTGCTCTTAACTTCGCTATAGCACAAGAGTTGGCCCTCGGCCCTGATTCATGTTGGTTCGATTATCTTTGTATCTTACCTAGTAAAGGTGAGCAAAGTTTACCGATGTTCTGGTCGAAACAAGAACGGAAAAAATTAAAGGGAACATCTTTATATTCTCACATCATTATGGACGACCAGTCATTTGCAGATGATTATGAATTCGGTTTTAAACTTCTTCAAAAGTATATCAACTTTAAGTCTGATCGTGTTAACTTTGAGCTATACAAAAAAGCAGTGTCGATAGCAGCTTCTAGAGCATTTTATATTGACGAATATTTCGGTGAATGTCTGATTCCCTGGGCTGATCTTTTCAATCATTCAACACACAATATGCATGTGAAGGTGTACTGCTCAAAATCTTCGTCAAGGAACACTTTTGATATGGATGAGAATGAAGTACTTATACGTTCTGTACAATCGGTTCGGAAGTATCAAGAATTATTTAACACCTTCGGATTACAAAGTAATTCATCGCTTCTACATAAATACGGCTTTTGCGAACTCAGTAATAAGAATGGTTTTGTTTCAATTTATTCTCCTTTTGGAAAATTAAGGCGTGACAAAACTTCTCGAGCTTGGTCTGAAGTGTACGAAATATATAGTGACGGTAGGATTGAACATAATCTGGTGATTTCTATTGGCTATTACGTCTCTTTCTATAGGAACTTTGCATACAGCAACAAGAAAGAATTTGTTTCTGAATGTGTAAGTTCTGCAAAGACAATATTAAATCAGCAACTGAGTGAGTTTGAAGTAGCTGGTGGAGAAATTATAGAAGAGAGGAACATCAAAGCAAGAAGTGGCGGAGGCTTCATAGGAGCTGCTGCAGCAAATATGCTCCGAAATGAAGAAATTGGTACACTCAACAGCGCAATTCAAATGGTCGAGAGAGAAGGAAATAAGTTATGGGGAAAATATTACAGAGAATCTCGATAACTAATTTGTGGCAAGAATTACGAAGTTTGTTGATTACTTGAAACGCGTCGTACAAATGTATAAAATAACTAAAATATTCCGACGCCGAAGCCAAAGAGAGGGAATCCGGACGGAAAGAATGGTGATAGAGGTGGTGTAAGTGCACAGCAAGCTTTTGAAAAAAACACAAAAACGCAAGGGTTGATAACAAAAATACGAGTAAAAAAAAAATTGGATGGGAGTTAAAGAAAAGAAGGCGTAGGGGGGAAGAGAGACCGAGCGCCCGCGCGATGAGAACATTTGGCATGTGAAAGCACACTTAACACGCATTTACTCTTCTCGATCCGAAGTTGATCCAAGCAAATTCTACTGTTCTTTGACAATAATTTCACCTTCCTTTTATTTTTCTAAAGCTGCCACTCTTGATGCCTTGTTGATTACTTTTCATCACAATAGAGCTCCCAACTTTATGGTGAAAATTCGGGTACATTCTGTACATTAACATATTATTCTGACCTTCAGAAGCATCTCGAATTTTCTTCTGTGGACCTGAATGTGTACCACTTTGTTTACTATTACCTATTGCGTGGTGAAATTTTGGATCATAAAGGCCTACACGCCAGCCCAACTTCCATAATCGAATTGAAATTTCGTAGTCGAGTCCTATTCCAGGATTCCCTGCGCAAGAAAAATTTGTATTGAATCCTCCCACTTCAGTAAAAAGTGACCTTCGCACTATTAGAGGTGCTAAATTGACTTTATACATCCACATAAATGGCTTATTAATGCCAGGATCCAGCGTAGTCAGAGCTTGTGTTAATTTCATTCTATCTCGTTTCCAATCAGCACCGAACTTCTGGCCATTATTTTGCTTCAAGTCTGCCATTTGTTTTCTACCGTTATCAATTCGTCCACGATATCCTCCTAATATCCCCAAGGTAGGATATTTATTGAAAAAATACAACGCATTACGAACCCATGAATCATCTTTTGGAGCTGCATCATCATCTTGGATCAGCATGACAAGTTCAGAGGAGGCAAACATACCCAATCTATTATATCCACGAATTTCATGGACATTGTTAAACAGAGCTAATACCCAATCATAATTCCCAGGACCCCGAGAAGAATAGCGTGTAAATTCAGATAGCTCTGAAATGCTATCATTATTGATGATAAATTCAACTTGAAACTTCAAGCGAACTAGAGAGTTTAATAAAGGAATAATAATTTTGGGACGCCGGAAATATTGCATAACAATTGAAACAATAGGATATGACTGTATTTCTCCCTGACATGATTTTGTTGCTCCATGATATATTCCTGAATCATCTAAACCCGGAGATGCACAGTTTCCAACCACTTCCTTCGTTCGTGACGCTTCCGAGATAAGTGCCTCCCTCGCTTCAGAAATATCTTTTTTGGTTCTTCCAGGAAGAACGAAAGGCCATTCTGAATCGATATCAGCAATATCACCCCCAACACTTTGATTAGTACTTGCAAGAGGAAGAGGTCTTCCGAGAAAATCCGTTGAAGATACTAGAAGAATAGCTTTGAATCCACCTCTCCATAGTCTTTGAGAAAGTTCAGTTCCAACTTCTCTCGTTATTTTCTCACCTCTGCAACCACCCCACTCTTCAATACCACCCAATTTTATGACACTTTCCCGTCGCACAACAAAGGGAGCTAACTTAACACTCATGGAATACCTCATTGCTTCATCGTGTAACTCTTTGTTCTGCGGCGTTACTAAGGCGATACTCTTGTCCGATTGTATGATCTTTATTGCACTCGTTATCCACTCAATCCAATTTCTTTGTTCCGAATTTGTGACATTTTCAGGAGGCAAGTCATCGACAGAAAGCCAAACAACAACTTCTGCTTGACTACAACGCGTTAATTTATTAAATTGCTTCATTTCTCCAAGCTTATTCTTACTAATAAGAAACCAATCGTTCTCTCCTTCCATGAGTTTATGAGCGTTTAATAGTGTTTTCTCACCTGGCCATTGGCCATCAACTAAAACGAGCACCTCTGCTTTCCTTGTACCATTATTAGAACCTTTTATCTCAGCTGCTAATTTCTGTAACCTCCGTATGGTATTGACAATTTCTGCACTCTTTTCAATCAATAAAGCAAGAGCTATTGTTGGATGATCATCGTGGGTGATACGGCAACGTTTAATTCCATGCGCTGGAGCTCTAGTCCCTCTTGGCTTTGTGTCAACAAGTGATTGACGTGGCAGAAATACACGACGACAGGGAGGAAGTAAAGGTTGCATCATCAATTTACTTGTCTCCGCTATTTCTCTATTTTCTAGTACAGCAGCCATATTCTGGAGTCTCGTGGCAAACTTTGGAGCGTCTTCAAATCCGCCAAAAATTGTATTGTCACCAAAGTCTTTCTCGAACTGATTTGGATCTCTGAGCGAGAGCGTATCTGCCTCTGGTTTGATACTAAAACTGTTTCCACCAATAATTATGCTCGGTTTCGGAGACAAGAACCTTGCTTTCTGTGAATCTGAACTGAAACTTTTTTCACTCGCAAGACTAGAGAAATTCGAGGCTGTTGTCAGTAATTCTATTGATTCTCCTTCATTCGCTACTTCTCGCACAACACCCTGCTCTATTATTAAGGAATCGTATATTTTTCCATCCAATATCTTTGTAATTGAATGTGTATTTACAGTCTTTGCTATTAACGAGAAGCCTATGAGGCAGCAAAGAACGACAGTTAACAATGAACATGTTGTTGAAGTACTAGAACCACGGCTACGTTGACTCAATCCTGCCGTATTTGAAGCGACGGAATGCATCTCCCTTACTTATTCTTGTAGTAAAAACTGAGAGTTCAAGAACAGTATGATGAGGATTGGTCAGGGTTATCGGCACAAGACTTGATAAAGATACTTCGAGTATTCGATTTGGTGTCCTTAATTTATAACACTCTCTATGAAATCCACAAGGTACCAGGGCGGCGTCGAACTCTTAAATTAAATATGATTCATTGAAGAGGGAAAATTCTGAAGTGGGAAAAAGCAAAACAAATCCACTTCCCAAAAGAAAAAGTGAAAGCCCAAATAAGTGCACACACTTCGGCTACATAAAAAGAGGCATATGCATACTGGTAGTAAAATACCGTATGGATTTGATTTATCTGAAAAAAACAATAGTCGTGCTTGTACTTCGAAATCGTAGTACGGAATAGAGTCTAGAGACAAGCATGTGGCGCCAGAAATGATCAATATTGAAACAGAAGTGACTCTTATTTTACAAAAAAGTAAAGTAGGCGGAAAATACAAAGACTAATAATGAAACGGGCAACAAAATACCACGACTTCTAACAGCACCACTAAATTTTATCACAACCTACATCCATAATCACTTTCATTCAAGACTTTCACACAAGTTACAAAAGAGCTTTTCATGAAGAAATTTTTCTTTTTGCAACCCAATATCAAAATATGCACCATTTAAGTCCTGTTTGTTTTTCTTCACATTCACGTAAATGTCTGCACTGCATTGTTAAAATCTCCAATTTTACATGAGTTCAGTGTACTTAAAATCTTGTGCACGCTTTTGCAGTGCGATTTCTTTGAAGTACTTCTAATACAGTAATTCATAACTCTTGCAATCTTGATGCCTTACCCATGAAAGTTTCAACAATGAGGGAGAAAAATTATGTCTTCAGATTTTTGTTGATTTCAGAGAGTGTATCTCTAGGGCATAACAACCTGGTTTAGATTGGCCTATAACGTATGATATCACGAAAGTTGCAGAAATTATTTTGAAGGCACACCTAATCTTAACCACTTCGATGCCCAGCTCGCTTTTGGATCAATCAAGGAAATGACACTACCACAAAGAATTCAAATTTGGAAAGAGTTGAGTTAGCACGCCCATACCCGCTATATTCATTCGTAGTCGATTGAGAAACTAGCTCCGTATTATTCTTCAAATTCAACGTATCACAATTTTCGCAACCATCGGTTAGAAACTGGTAGTGATCAAATGGATGAAAGGTAATAGAAAAAGTTGAGCGAGAACGACTTACTTGATCAAAAGTTTTCACCAGCTTACATCTTAAGCATGCTCTGGTATGTTTATTGAATTCTTGAGGCGGTGGGGCAGCAGGAGACATTGTTAAAGGAGTATAATGTCCTTTGGCCTTTCCTTTCACTAGTAAACGCTCAAAAGTTCCACGGGAAGAAAGGAATTTAGAAACAACACAGAATTGAAGTCCAACAGCGAATTCCTTTATAGTACATATATTGAGTAGGATCTTATTCGAAAGACTCTCCAATTCTCCTCTCCAATTCTTGTATAAGCGAACTTACAAGTATTCCGAGGGACCGTTCTTATCCCTTGGTCGTATGCCCTCCTGCACTATACTTCCTTTCGGTCGCAATTCTGGGTAAAAAAATGGTTCATTTGGGGACTTCTTTGCTTTCTTCTTTTTGGGATTTAGGCATTTGGGAGGTCGTTCTATGGCCAGAACGACTGATGACTTGCACACAGTGCAGCAAACCAGGAATCTTCGGTAAAAACGATAGTCGGCATACTGCGTTTCGGAACACATTCAACTCTTACGTACAACTTTCGGGATAACGAGGATGGAATGTACAGGTTCAATATAGAAACTGTACTGTAGCTTCTACATGGTAAAGAAGGACGTGGACACTTCTTTTGTCCTATTCGCGGAGAGTTAAAAAAAAAGAGTGGCACAGATGCCGAAGAAAGGGAGTGTAAACGTTCATGTAGAAATAAGTAACCGCGTTGGAAGTTTCTGAACTTGCCAAGAAAACGATATGCAACTTGTGTATTACAGGTAGGCTGGGTTTGCAGGAGCACAAACGTTTAAGCTTCAGTAAATTCAGTTTCGTGGCTTTCAATATAAAAGATACATAGACTCAACTTCTCAACACCACACAAAGAGAAGAGTGATAGATACGTTTCAAGTTACCTCTAAAAAGCTGGAAAATTCACAAAACCTTTGAAGACCTTTCGACACTGAGGAGAATAAATTTATTCTTATTTTCACCTTAGTGATATATCTATAACCAAGCAAATTAAGATGACCATGCACTCGTACCCTGCATTTCTGGGACGTTCGCAAAGAAATCTTTTGGTGCTTTTGCCTTCAACTCATCACCAGCGTCAGTTCCAGCTGCAAGCACATCATCAGCGCTCCAAGATCCTTCCCTGGATGTTCGTAAAATTTCTGTACCGTCTAATGAAGCAATAAGACCATCAAACACTAAGTGTCCATTCACCATGCGCGCATTTGCAGCAATAGGAGTACGACATGAACCATCTAAAGCGCGTAAAAAGTTACGCTCACATTCCACAGCTAAGCGAGTCTCTTCGTGATTTAACTTCGAAAGATATTCTTGCATCTTATCATCGTTCGTGCGACAAGCGATTCCAATCGCTCCCTGGGCAACAGCAGGAAGCATATCTTCGAAGTCCAAAATTTTTGTTGCATGTTCAGTAAGATCCATTCGCTTCAAACCTGCCAAAGCCAGTAAGGTGCAGTCAACCACCTCCTCTTTTAGTTTGCGTATTCTGCTTTGCACATTACCGCGGAAATTCACACATTTAAGCTCGGGATACTTCCAAAGCAGTTGCGACTGACGTCTGAGACTTGCAGTTCCAACGAGAGCTCCTGTAGGAAGGGCAGATAAAGAATCATATTTGAGACATATGAACGCATCCCTAACATCCTCTCGCGGAAGCATACATGGTAAGATCGTTCCCTCTGGAAGATAAGTCGGGACATCTTTCATTGAATGTACCGCTATGTTAACACGCCCATCTAACAGCGCGTCATCAAGTTCACGAGTAAAAAGACCTTTACCGCCTATATCAGCAAGAGGTTTATCCAGGACTTTATCACCCGTTGTCTTGATGATCGCGATTTCCAAAGCTCCTTCTTCTGCAAGCTCCGGAAATTGTTTAGCGAGCAAGTCACGGGTCATATATGCTTGAGCAAGCGCGAGAGGAGATCCTCGCGTACCAATCCTGATTATAGGCTCATCTAGTTCAGCTTGAACTCGGACAGAGCTTCTGTATCTTCTTGTGGTAAATTGAGGCTTTCCGAAGTTAGAGTTTTTCCGCCTATTTAATGATGACATGCGCTGAGTAGCAAGCTGGGAGCACGTCATTTGCGCAATAAGTGAGCTTTTAGCATACAGCGTCATTTCGCTTGGATATCTGAAGGGTGGGTGGAGGACAGATAAACAAATTCAAAATGAAGTATCAAAATGAATTCAATCAGTTTAGATAACTCAACTGTGGATATGAGCGGTTGTTTTGGGGGTTGTCGGGGGATATCTATTTTAAGATCTGAAATCTTATTTTTTTGCATGATCATATGGCATATGCAACAAATTTTTTATGGCTGCTTTTTTTTTTTTGTGCTGTGATTTTTTTCTTTTGGGGGAAGTTTCTTTTGGCCGATTTTCTCCGCCGCTCGCCGCCTTTCACCGCAACCACAAAAGCAAAAAGGTATTAACGTGGGGACACTTGTGGAAACCAACAAAAAAAGTGAAAAAGTTTTATCTCTCATCCCGTTTATGAAGGAGGAGTGGCAAGGCTGGAGCATCTGGTGACCTGGACATTTGGGGGGAGGGCGGGAGGTGTACCGTAGGTGGAAATAACTCTTCGTAAAAGCTCAGAGAAGGAGCTCAATTCCACATCTTCGCTATACACACGTAGATAGATAGAATCAAAGACAAAATCAAGCGTCTGCACTAAGACGGGCGTGGAATATCTATTGTAAGCTCTTACATTGGATAGGAAAAGTTCGGCGTCAACAAAATCATAAATTTAGCGTACCTCCCAAAATTCACGGATCGGTGAATTTGAACTTTCATCTTGGATTAGGTTAATCTGAATAGAATGTTGATCGACCACTTTGAGGTCTCCTCACCGAATGTTAAATATACAGCTGACTACATTGAAAGCTCCTACAACTACCAGGACACCAAGTTATATAAAAATGCGGAAAAAAATACGTGGTTGGTTGAACCGATAGAACGTGGGTTTGTATTCCGCACCCACAGAAAAGTACCTAAACTTGGTATTATGCTTATTGGTTGGGGAGGTAATAATGGGTCCACCCTAACAGCTGGTTTGATTGCTAATAGAGAAAACATGAAATGGGAAACGAAGGATGGGTTTCATTCCCCAAACTATTGGGGAAGCCTTACACAATCTTCCACTTGCCAAATTGGTAAACTCAATGGACAAGATTATCATGTTCCTTTCAAGAATATTTTACCGATGGTTGAACCAAATGACTTACAAATTGATGGATGGGATATATCTTCGTTAAGTCTAGAAAAGTGTGTTCAACGCGCCAGAGTTCTGGATCTAGATTTACAACAGCAGTTAGTACCATATCTAAAAGACTTGCGACCCCGTCCAAGTATATTTGATCCAGGCTTCGTTGCTGCAAATCAGAAAGAACGAGCAGATAATATTATAGAAGGGGAAAAGCAAAATCAGATGGAACAAATTAGAGCTGATATACGTGATTTTAAAGAGAAGAGTGGTGTTGAAAAAGTAGTCGTGATGTGGACGGCAAACACTGAAAGATATTGTAAAGTTGAAGTCGGAATCCATGATACTGAGAAAAATTTGAGAGCTGCCATAAGAGCTGGAAATCCTGAAATCAGTCCAAGTACGCTATATGCCCTTGCCTGCCTCGACGAGGACGTTCCATTTATAAATGGGAGCCCTCAGAATACATTTGTTCCGGGTGTCCTCGAAGCTGCTTGCCGTTTGCGTGTCCTTATCGGAGGTGACGACTTCAAGACAGGTCAAACAAAAATGAAAAGTGTTCTGGTCGATTTTTTAATAGGTGCTGGTATTAAGCCTTTGAGTATTGCTTCTTATAATCATTTAGGAAACAATGATGGTAAGAATCTAATGGAACCTGGAGTATTTCGGTCGAAAGAAATTTCAAAATCGAATGTAGTAGATGATATTGTTGCCTCAAATCGAATATTGTACAAAGAAGGGGAAAGCCCAAATCATGTTGTTGTCATTAAGTATGTTCCAAGTGTAGATGATAGTAAGCGTGCCATGGACGAGTATGTCAGTGAAATATTTATGAACGGCCGGAACACAATATCAATGCATAACACGTGTGAAGATTCTCTTCTAGCAGCACCTCTTATCCTTGATCTCTGCTTGATAACTGAGTTGCTTTCTAGAATTGAACTTAAATATGACGATGAAGAGTCTTTTCGCAATTTTCATCCATGCGCTGCGTTACTCTCATATTTAACAAAGTCCCCTTTAGTACCTCCAGGAATGTCAGTTACAAACGCTCTATACAAACAACGAGCAATGTTAGAAAATGTCTTTCGGGCTGTGGTTGGTCTTGCACCTGTCAGTCACATGAATTTGGATCTCCTCATTGAGCAAAGTAATCAGGCCATTTACTCGCCGAAATAGTGTTTTGTATCGGGGTCATCTATCAAAGCGCTTTGACATATAATTATTAAAAGGAGAGAAATACTAAAAATATCCCTAATTACAAATTTATTTTAGAACAAGCTGCATGAATTTCATCTCTTGTCAACATGCGAATTATGACGTTTTGTGAATATAAATCCTTGTTTATTTCAAGCATCTCAATATTTTCAGGCATAAGTTGTGTTTTGTCCATGCTTTTTCTCAAAATTTTCAAGATGAGCTCTCGTCCCTCTTCACATTTCAGAGTTTCAACATACTCTGATTTTAGGAGAGCATGTGCACTTTGAGCATTATTACCTATCGCAGTTGCCTGATATAGAGGAATAAATATAATATAAATTTGACACATATCTCCTTTGATTCATTAGTGTCTCACCTTCCACGCTGTGTAGTTACCAGCAGGGTCACTCTGATAAAGTTGGAATCCGAACTCTTTATCCCTAATGATAATAACTTCACATTTCGCAGATGTCATGTAAATAAAATACTAACCAGCCACCGATCAGAAAGGAAACCCCGTAAGGCCTCAGGCCTCCGAATTGAGTATATCCTTGTTTTTGATCACAAACTGCCTGTACAAGCTGTTCCACTGGTATTGGCTCACCATACGTAAATAAATGTCGTTGTGCAACAACTCTAGAGTAGAAATTTTAGAACCGGACCTCGAAACTTATATAGATGAGCTCACCTTGCGTAGTTCACAAGAATATTTGCATCCGAGCTGATTCCAGCAACAGCTACAGCAATATGCTCATTTATATAATATGTTTTCTCCTTTTCACTGCTTTCTAGGAGCTTTAAAGAACAAAGATTTATCGAAGTAAATGGGTTGCTTTATGCAAATTTGAACCTTGGATAAAATTCTCCTTTCTGCAGCTATAGTAACTCCAGAACGTGTTTTCATTCCAACTGCCGCACCTGCCTGGCTGATGGCTTCCATTGCATATTCAACCTTTTCATTAAATATAATAATTCATAAATTTGATCTGTAGTTATATTAGTCACTTGAAATAATCTTCCTTCTGGGCTAAAAGTAGTCGTTCGGGAATCATATCTACATAACAACAAATAGTTGTGAATTCTAAATCACGGTTAGAACAACTCACCTTTTCGCCATTTTACCGCGTAGTGATCGGTTTCTTAAAGCAATTCAACACCCCCCAACTCCAATTTGTTTTAAAAGAAATGGACGAATGTGGAGTTTTTTTCAGGTGTGTGTGGGGGTCCCCCGGCCAAAAAATTCCAAAATTCCATAAACAAATAAATGATAAAAAACAACTTCAACTTTTTTTTCCTTTTTTCACTCGGGTCTTTTCAACTTTTCTCTTTTTGCTCTTTTTGTGATACTCTTTTCCTTGGTTCTTTAGCCAGTGAGCTGCACAGTAGGTATGTATATACTCTTCTTTTCACGAACTTTTTGAATTAATAAGGCAGAAACGATAGTTTATTAGTTTTCAAGCTAGAAGTGCAGGAATATACCTCATCTACGTATCGACAATTTTTCGCTTTGACGAGACAAATTCTACACTAACATAAATCTCGAAATTACTTTCTTTTTAAACAGACCTGTTTAAAAAGAAACCCTCATAAAAAGGCCTCATAGTGCAAGTACTTTCGTACTTTCGCTGTCGCAAGATCAAGATATAAACTTCGTTTAAAATCGTGATATCGTGAATCGTTCTTCTAGGTTTGAGAATTCCTCGTTAAACATTAAAACTATGGCAAGACAACAGTTCATGCTGGTGCAACCTTTCACCAAAGAATACGTTTCCGAGTCCTTAAGGGGGTGTAATCATATTTAGTTTGTGTTTGTGTTTGTGAAATCTTAAAGCAAGTATTGAAATGTCAGATGAAGAACTTAGTATTAGAACTTTTTGTTCTCTGGGCATAAAAAAATGGCTAGCCGAGAATGCGTTCAAGCTTGGATTGTGTGAAGCTACAACTGTTCAGAAAGCATGCATACCCCCTATTCTTAAGGGCTTAGATGTTATAGGAACATCTCAGACCGGTAGTGGAAAGACAGCAACATTTGCTCTTCCAATATTGCACATACTCTCGCAGGATTCTTATGGTATATTTGCATTATGCATGACCCCAACTCGTGAGCTTGCAGTTCAAATTTCTGAGCAATTCAGTGCTCTTTCAGCAGGTTTAACATTAAGATGCCAGGTAATAACTGGTGGAGAAGAAATCCAGGCTCAAACCAGATCGATTTTAAGACGACCTCATATTATAGTTGCCACTCCTGGTCGTTTGATGGATCACTTTTTAAACAGTCCTCAAGTTATTGGGTGTTTTCAAAATCTGAGATTTCTAGTCCTTGACGAAGCAGACCGTCTTCTAGAACCTTCTTTTGAATCAGAATTGCGGATTTTGTTCGAAAATATTCCTTCTAAACGCCAAACACTCTTATTTTCTGCAAGCATCACTCGTAATATTGCAGCATTACAGCATATCACCATGAATGATGCTTTTCATTTTGAGGCATTTGAAGGTTTGAAAGCTGTGAGCAGCTGTAGGCAAGAATACTGTTTTCTTCCAAGAGTAATGAGAGATGCATACTTACTTCATATATTACAACAGAGGGAAAATTGGGATATCCGAAGTTCTATAATTTTTACAAGTACAGTGCGTTCTTGCATGATATTATCTGGTATTCTTGATAAACTTGGAATCGTTACAGTGAGTCTACACTCGATGAAGAAACAAAAGGAGCGCAAAGATTCGTTTGCAAGATTTAAATCCGGTGAAGTAAGTATTCTGCTTGCTACCGATATCGCTTCCCGCGGTCTTGACATTCCAACCGTTGATATGGTGATAAATTATGAAGTACCCATCGCGTCAAAAGATTATATACATAGGATAGGCCGAACAGCAAGAGCTGGTCGAAGTGGACGTTCTATTACCTTAGTTACCCAACACGACGTAAAAATTGTACAAAAAATTGAAGATGCGATCGACTCAAAGATGAGATGCTTATCTCTTCCAGAAGAAGAAATAGTGAAAAACATGAATAGCGTGGGAAGTGCAAGGCGGAGTGTGAAAATCTCCTTACTTGAAAGAACTGGATTTGGTGAAAAAGTTAACAAAAATCATATGAAATAAAATTAGAGAATTGTCAAGAAGAACCAAAATTTGATTTAATTTTTTCCCCGGATGTAAGTGATTGTCTACCGAACATGAAACAAGAGCATCTTTAATTATGCCTCCCTCGACCTGAACTTCGCCCTCTGCCTGCTCCTCGTCCACCTCGTCCACCTCGTACACCGCTGAATCTCGCACCATTTCTTCCTCCTCCTCCTCCTCCTCCTCGTCTCGGCGCGGAAGTAACTCTTTTATGCCTGCGTAAACAAAACGATGTAAATTCAAATTAAGGTAGCTGAGAGTTTAGCTTACTTATCATTTTGTTGAAATCTTTGTAAGGGAATTAGTTTGTCTGGACTGATATGAAATTTTTGACCTTTTGAATTTGAGAGGAAGTGATCAGGTTATGAGTGAGAGAATTACCCTGAATATTAATTAAAGGAAAGAATATTTACCTAATTTGAAGGACTCTGCATTAATGCCATCGCAAAGTTTGATTGTGAATAACTGGATAAAGCGAAATCATTTCAAGTACATATACAAATTAGAAGACTTACTGAATTATCAATTGGGCCAAATATCTCTTCTACCTTTCCGACTTTACTTTTATTCTCCAGAAATATGGTCCCGTTAAAATATGGTATCTCAAAGGCACGTTTCAAATTGAATTTCGCACTGAAAAGTAATCCATGCATACCTTTGGATTCGTTAGCTTGCATATGATTTCTCCTTCACACGCATGCGAATAGGAACCGATTTCTGAAGCAACGACTTTTTAAAGCGATAAAAACAAGCATAAATGAAAGTTACCGACTAGCTCATCGGGGATGGCTTCTTCACGACCAGACGCACCACGACCAAACCCACGTCCTGAAGCGCCACGACCAGAAAACCCTCTACCGCGCGAAGTTGGTGTCGGCTGTCGCATAGTTCGTGAGGAATTAGGTCAAACTGTAAAAAAAAGGAGTGTCTTTTCTTTTTTAATTTACGTCTACCGTAGACTTCTATATATGATCATGATGAGTAACTACCGTATGATCATAAATTCTTGTGTTTTGTTTTCCTGCGTTCTTTTTTTTATTTTTTCAATTTTTTTGTCCTCATCAGCTGTCACCATTAATGGGTGATTTTTTTTGTCTCACTGTCTGTCCTCGGGGAAAGTGGTATAGTTTGAAAGTTTCGCATTTTCCGACTTCGCTGAATAATTTGAACTGTGCTTTTGCATATTCGGACACGGGACTTTTGCCTGGTAACAACTGTGTTCTTTGTAGTATGAGGTTTGGTAACAAATATTTTCCACTTGAATTCTAGTATTATCAACGACACATCTGCTCGTTGAATGAAAATAGCTATTTGTGACAACTTTGGACAAAAGAATAATAAAAAATGGTTTGAGCGGAGCCGAAAGTCTAAAAATTCCTAATAACATGGTTAAGTCTGACAGGACAACTTTGAAGTGTTTTGAAGATAAACAAAGCGAATCAAAGCAACTATGGGCTGATAAGTATAAGCCAACTCGAATCTCAGAGCTGATCGGGAATGGTAGGTGCGTAGCCGATCTGCGGCGATGGCTTCTTGAGTGGCAAAATAAACAAGGAAATAAAGAGAAGAAAAACAAGTGTAAAGCCGTGCTGATTAGTGGTCCTCCAGGTATAGGCAAGACTTCTTCCGCTATTATAGTTTGCACGCAACTTGGTTTTAGTGTCATGGAAGTAAACGCAAGCGATTCAAGAAATAAAGCCTCAAAGGATGTTCAAACAGGTTTATCTGGTTCAACTTCAAACCAAGTCAAAGAATTGGTCACTAATCGGGGTCTCAATTTTTTGAAAACAACGATTCATAAAAATCAAGTATTAATAATGGATGAAGTCGATGGAATGAGTGCAGGCGATCGTGGTGGAATATCTGACCTCATTGATACGATAAAACGCTCGAAAATTCCAATAATTTGTATCTGTAACGATCGTTATTCACAAAAGTTAAAGGCTTTGCAAAATCACTGTTTTGAACTCAACTTTCAGCGACCTACAAAGCAACAAATACATGGACGCTTGTCCCTCATTATGAAAGAAGAAAATTTTCACATGCAATCTAATGAGTTGGATACTGTAATTGAGTCATGTAATGGAGATATTCGACTGATTCTCAATCAGCTTCAATTGAGAAAGCTAAGAACAGGTTCACTCTCAATTTCTGGTGGAAAGCAACTGAAAGATATTAATTTGGGAGTACTTTCAATTGTAGATGTACTTATGGGATATGGTGCTTCAAGCCAAACCATTGACCGTCGTATAGCATTATGTTTCAACGAGCCTGATTTAGTTCCATTGTATATACAGGAAAACTTTCCCCAAATGAGGCCAACACACTGTTGCTCGGATCTTCAAAGGCTCATATTTTTAGGTGCAGCTTCCTGTGCGTTATCTGATGGTGACTTGGTCTATTCGCTGGTTCGATCAAAACAACTTTGGGAGCTTGCATCTTGCAGTAATCTCTTAGCGTGCATTATTCCTTCTTCAATCGTATCTGGAGTTCGTGAGACTTTCAACTTATTTCCAGGTGAACGTAATTTTCACCGATTTCCTGCTTGGCTCGGTAAGAATTCTTCAAGTTCTAAAATGCGGCGTCTACTGAATGAAATGCATGGTCATATGATAAGTAAAGGAGCACTTAAATCCAGCTCTAATGTACTCAGACAACATTATATTCCTTTACTTCGATCATATACAACGATACCACTTCTTTCAAAACATGTTGGGGGCTTGAACAATCGTGGAATACAAGATGCAGTGCGCTTTATGAGAGTATATGGAATTACAAGAGTTGACTGGGATTCATTGAATGAACTCCGTAAATTTAGTGGAAAAGGTCCCGCTTTTGAAGACAGTATTCAAATATCAGCATCAACCAAATCTTCCTTCACGCGTGAATGTAATAAGATCTTGGATCAGGTTCCTACAAAGCATGAACTAAAATTGCAGGATGGTTATTCAAGTGATGGGAATCAAGAATAAGACAGAAAACAAAGTGTTGAAATATGTTTTAGGACCCGTTTCAATATCCAAGCCTGTAGACAAAATATATTAAATTTACGCTCTATTGCGCTAGTCGATTTTGAATAGATTGCTTGTGACTCATGATGTTATCCAGAGCTGTAAGAATTTGGTGTTGTACTTTTGTCTTCTCGCTTGAGCATGATAATTTGAGGTCCATATAAAGCACCTTCAGAAATGCATAAGCAATAAGAACACTTTGGTTTCCCACGTTTTACCTGTAGTGATTTTACTTGTTTTTCCGAGATACTCAAGTCTTTTGAAAGAAGTTTTCGTAGTGAAACAATCTGAAAAAGAAGTTTCAAGTTTGCAACAAAAAGAGCAATGTAAAAAGCTGTGAAAAATTACCTCGTTCTCAGAATTTTTAGCAGTATTTGTGATGGAATCGACAACTTGCTCCACTCGTAATCTTTCGTTTTCGCATTGTTGTTCTTTGGAACGAATGTTATGTTGAATGGAGTATACTGTCTCTTTTCTGTACTCAAAAGTTAAGTAATGCTTGGTGAAATTTCAAAGGTGTACTTCTGAGAGATACTTTCTTTCAACATTTTATAATTTTCTTGAGTCGTAAGAGCTTCATTTTCAAGTCCTCTGTCAAAGATTAAGAAATATCTTGAAATCCAAGGCGATCTCTCACCTTATAGAATATGAAATATTTTTCAAAGTTTCGTGCAATAATAAAAGCATGTTACTCAACCCACTTTCAGCCTGTTAAAATATGATAAATGTACTATTTTCTGAAAAAATTGAACGTCCTACCCGAATTTTAGTACTCACTGAAAGGTCCTTGAGATTTCGTGTGAGCGGCCGTTGAAATTTAATATTAGCGGCAACGTTGCATCTGGGAACTTTCAACAATAAAATATTGTATCTACTGATCTGATCATCAATAGTTAAATCTATGTTTCTTTTGTCGTGCATCTCTTCAATTTCTACTGAGAGTTCAGATTCTTTCCCATGATATGCATTGATTAACTTTTGAACTTCAATCATCTGAGAATAAAAATCAGCAAACATATGAAAAATACTTTCTGAATACCTTTAATTCTTGATCTGTTCTTTCTACATGAACATTAATTCTTGTAAAATTTTCAGAGGCACGTGTTGATAACTTAATCTAAATAGTACATGTTAGAGTTATTTTTTACGTCTCAAATCTAAGAGTCCTTTCTACCTTCGTAGCTTTGCATGCTCGTTCGCTTCTAATTCGCAGGGTACCTATGTACGATAATTTTTCTGCGTTAGCCAAAATCTTGTTACTAAGAGTTGTTTTAGTAGACTCAAAAGATTTCTACAATGTAATACTCAAATCAAAGCCCAATCAAAGCTAGATAAATCCGGTATACCTTTGATGAATGCAACAACTTAGACTGAGGAACCAAGCTAGATATATGACTACGCAATTTTTGGTTATCCTAAAAGAACTCAGCTAAATCTTTTGGCAAATTATCCAATAAAAAGGTTACCTGTAAAATCTGCTCAACGTTCTTACGCATTGAGGCAAATTTCATGGAATAATTTGATCCAATACGATTGCATATTTCTGATGTGAAACCGGAACTTTCATCGCCAGACAAAAAAGTCTGAATTGTTGAGCTTTTTATTATTAATGAAAAATAGAATGTAACTTTGCCTACCTCATATAGTTCAATGCTACTTGTATTGAATTCACCGTTAAACTCCTACAATTTACAATTAATTCTGTACAATCAAATTTAAAAAAGTGTGCCTTATCTCTGCTCTGACACAGTGATACATAATCGCAAAGCTCTACCACCCAACTACTTATAACTGTTTGGAAAGGAGAAATACTTTTATCCACGAAAGGAAAAAAAGTATCCTTCGGAATTATGACAGGATAATTCAAGGATTTCAATATAAGCGGTAAATCTTCATCGGCTTTTTGACCAAACTTCAAATTTTGATCTAGTTGGTTCAGTAGAAAGTGAAACACGGCAATTGCACTTTTGAAGGAATAACTTCCGAAAGAATCTAACGAGTTGATTGTGCACCCTCTCTTTTTCAAAAAAGAACTAAATTTCCCCTTGCTGATGTCCAAATAATCCTCATCGTAGATAGGACGGGGATCAGAAATCCGCTTAGTAGCCCGCATGCGACTCCTTACTTTCTAGTGAAAAGCAGCACCTCTTGATAATTGATTTTTTTCGAAATCTTTTCTGACGACGAATATAAAGGAGCGTGAAGACTATGTTGTGTTATTGTTTTTAAATCTTTTCTGTGAGAATGGTGTGAATTTAGCTTTATGGAATTTTTGGTCGTTTTGTGCTTATAAAAAAAAGAGTCTCTTTGAAAACTCTAATCGGGCTTGAGTAACTGTATCATCCAATTCCACAAATCGTGCTGATCCTCAGTCTTGTTCTTTTCTGAACGTACAACCCTATAAAGATTAAACGATATCGAGGGACGGATCTATCGTGAGTGCGTAGACTTTGTTTGACCTTTACAAAGAAGAAAACAATACACCGTTTACGAAGTTACGACGACCGATTTTCCCTTTTTCCGCTCGGTGCGGTGAAAACAAAAATCCAAAAAATTTTGTAATTTTTTGAATTTTGAAAATATCGCCCTTAGGAATTCCGTCGTCCATAATCTCTTAAACACATGGCATAATAGAAATAACAATAAAACACAAATCAACAAAAATCATAGTAAACAAGCAAAACAGTAAACAGTCAAGTCAGTCAAAACAGTTACAACACATTTCGTCTTTCAACTTAATTTGACTTCACAAGAAGAAAACATAAAAAGTTGCGCGCAGCTTTGCCAATACTTCTGCGCTTTAACAACACTATTTAAAAACTAAGACAATCTTAAACCGATATTATCATGTCAGGTAAAGGTGCTAAAGGACTTTCAGGAAAAGGACTTTCGGGGAAAGGGGCGAAAGGAACGATGTCCGATAAAAAGGGGGACAAGAAAAAACCAACTTCCCGGTCTGTAAAAGCTGGCCTACAATTTCCAGTTGGACGTATCCACCGTTTTCTCAAGGTAATTGCCAGTGTTGTAGTTCTAGTTCTATTACGTTGCTAGCATCACGAACGATCTTGTCGAGTGATGATTTCAGAAACAAATCGCCTAAAAATTTCGACCGTTGACACAATTTTTAATTCCTGTTTTTACAGAATCGTGCTGCTTCTGGCGGCCGTGTAGGCGCAACTGCTGCAGTTTACTCAGCTGCCATTTTAGGTGCGCGCATATATGTGTATAAATTGTTTTATTTAAATGTTCCGTAGAGTATCTCACGGCAGAAGTTCTCGAACTTGCCGGGAATGCTTCTAAAGATTTGAAGGTACCGAGATAGCACCTCCTGACGTATTCCACTTATAATTTTTCGAAAGGTCAAACGTATCACCCCACGTCATTTGCAGCTTGCAATTCGTGGAGACGAGGAACTCGATACCCTTATCAAAGCTACAATCGCGGGTGGTGGTGTCATCCCACACATTCACAAGTCACTAATCAATAAATCTTCAAAGAAGAGTGATTAGATTCTCAAAGCATTACCTTTTTCTCAGTACGGAAGTTACATAACCATCACAAAGTGTTCCTTTTACTTTCTTTGCGTGAGCTGAGTTTATTTTATGTACTTAATAAATATACAAATACAAAAGTTTGCTAGTTCTATTCACCCTCTTCAACTAAGCTTGGTTATTAGTATATTGAATAGCAATAGCACGTTATCACCTCCTCTTCAGGCTCTTCCACTTTTTGCATAAACGAGTAAAAGCTCTAAAAAAAGTCTTGTTTGATTCCCACCACTACAATTTATAGAATGGCTATACATATTTTATCTCTGCAAACTTCTTCAAATCACTTATTTCCTCCATTTTCTTCGAAACTTTAGCTTGGACTGCACGGAGGTATATACTTCGTTAAAATATCTGTCCTCAACAAGACTTCGTAAAAGCTGAAGTACTTCAAGTGCAAGTTCTCTATGTTCGATTGAAATTCCGTTAACTTTAGGATCGATGCATATATAGCACGGGAATATGAGCTCATAAAGGATGCTGGGATGAGAAAACAACATTTCAACATCAATTCCAGCGATAATTCCAGCGAGACAACGTATGCTCACTTCACGAATGCAGTTACTTGCCACAATACAGTATCTGCCAACTCTTTGTAGAAATGTGATTCCTTTGTTTGCTCTCATTTCTGTACTCTTCTCGGTCAAGCTAGCATTCTTAGAAAGAAATAGCAATGTAATCGACGCGATATTCTTTGCATTCTGTCTTAAAACTTCCAGCTCTATTGATATGTCACTGCTCTTGAAGTTATTCTCGAATAGTAGCATCGAATTATTTACAGCAAGTTCTAAGTAAACATCATCATGCTGAAAAGAAAGATTTTCCGAATTCAATGAATAATCATCTCCACGCATTTTTAAGTATTGACCCAATATTCGCGTCGATGATGACTGAAGCCATTCATGCTCATGTTTTAAAAGTTGAACTATTAAGAAAATTGTCTTTTCTATTTTTATCTCTCGGTATTTAAAAAACTGAGGTGTTACTACCCATAATCTTTCGATAAATAATAAAAGATTGTATTGGAGCAACCATTTCTCATCTTTATTGAAATTTTGAATTTCTAATACAGAAAGAATTTGCGGCCAAATGCTTCTGATCGTACTTATTACCTTCTCTGGACAAATTTCTAATGCTACATTCATTACCTGGACTGAAAGTCGCTTCAACGTCATACTTTGCTCTTCTGTGAACCATTTCTGTAACCAAGTTAAAAAGATGTTAGCCTTTTCTTCACTAATACACGACAGAAGAGCAGCAATAGTTTCCCCTGCACCCCGTCGACATATACTGGAGGCATCAGTACCCAGTTGAACAATTAGAGGAACAAACATAACTTCTGCTGTATCTCTCAAGACACTTTTTGGAAATTTCAAAATCACGGCGTGCAGTGTATTGAGTACGGATGCTCTCCCGACAGGACACTCATACTTCAGATTTGCAATAAGCTGTTCTAAATAGTCCTGTAACCTTCTAGCTCCAAGTGGATAATCAAGTAAAAACTGGAGAAAAGTTTGAGCACACATTTTCCTTGAATGCTCGGAGGTTCCAGTTGCGACTAAACAGCAGATCCCATCCATTCCTGTATATATTTCTGACAGAAGTGGTCGACGTGACAAAATAGCACGCAATACAGAATGGCATACTGAAGTACTACTCTCGACTTCTATGTTATCAAAAGCGTAACCAAGAACCACACGGTACTGAGCATTTGACGGAGATACATTGGCATATCTTGACATTAGATTTGAGAGAAGTCGAAGGCAATCTTGAGCAAGTTGTGGATCACTACCTGATGCATTCAATAGAGCAAGGATCCGCCTAATTAATGAATCTGGATTGTGCTCAAACTTACTCAATCTCATATTCGTCAAGTCAGAAAGAATTTGTAAACATAGAAGAGGAATTTCATGATTCGCACAGTTCATCAAACGAAATAGTACAGGAACTATATCCTCTAATATATTAAAGTACTCCTTCCTTTCACCATCCGGAATGTTTTTTGTTGAGAAGTGCTTCAGTACACCTTTGATCAACCTCAAAGCAAACAAAACAATAACAGGATTATTATTTATAACAGTAGTATTGATTTCTTGCGTTGTAGATATATTTTCATCCGCAACAATATTATCAAAGGAAAGAAATTCAGCAGAAGAATCAATTGACAAAATGGATCTGGCCACTACAAGAATTTCTTTCCCTTCAAGATTTTTTCTGACTAAAATACCTTTATGAATAGAAAACAGAATCTGTTCAATCTTACGATTACTTTGAATATTTCCAAAGTCATGGAGACGTCTGGTGACCAATGAGAGCAATATTGGCATTGAAGCAGGGAAAGACGCTCTTACAGAAAGCAGCTCAATGGATTCAAGCGACCGTGAGTGACGAGCTTCTGGAATCTTTGCAGTAATTTTTGCGATCTCTCGTGCTTCAGAAACTTCACCAAAAATATCTGCATCTAGTATTGGTAACACTTCTGGGAGAAAAGCATCGACTTCTACATTTTGTGCCTCTAAAGTAGTTACTTTTAGAATATCATAAGTTATTGACCCGAGGACATGTAGTTGGAAACCATTTAGAAGTTGAGCACGCAGGATTCTGATAACGTACGGCACATAAGGAGCTCCAAAAACTCTAGCGACATTTGATAACGACACTCTTGCCGCATCCCTTATGCCTTGGGATCGATCAACTAAACTTACGCACAACAGCAATATAAGTCTTTGAAGGTGTATCTTCAATTCATGCTCTGGAAGAAAGCTGAGGATATGTGCACATGAAAGAACCAGCGCAGGAGATACTTCTTTTTTAATCGATCCGATCTCATTCTCACGATCCGGCAAAAACTTTATTAATTTTGGATAAAATTCTTTAAAAAGATCTCGAAATTTTTCTTGATCTTCGAGGTTCGAAAAGCGATCCAAATTTTCAAGAACAGAAGCAAATGCACGTAAATATGCACTATTTTGAAGGTAGCCACTGTAAAATTTACGAAATAGTTTGCGCAGAATATCTTTAAACGCAGGCCATGGTAGTTTCGATGAAATCTGACGAACTACAGATACAGCTGTTGCTGCAACATTTGATACAGGATCTGCCAGACACATTAAGACAATAGGTATATAATAGTCCAAAACAGTTGATAAACGGCACTCTGACGATGTAGAAGCACTCTCTAGCTGAGTTAGAGCACGAGTGCGTCGATGCGACTGTAGATGTGTAATATTTATGAAAAAGTCCGTCTCAGAATCACTTTTGGACAATACGCTCAAACCGGGAGCGCAATGAGGCTGTGTCTTTGCAAGATGACCAACGAGATGAATAGCAACTGATCTTTTACTTTTCTCGGAGCTATTCATTGACCTCTTGATTCCTGGTAATACTATTTCAGAATATACTAAGGTAAATGTATCTTTACACGAAGGGATCGAAAGAGCATCGATGAAATTTTGAACTGTTGACTGCGCAGCATGACAAATAGCGAAGTCAGACGAATCTAAGTCATGCAAAGCTTGAAAAAGAATTGCTTTCATATTTTGTTGAGAATTTGCACAAAACCAGTTCGTCGTCAATTTTTCATAAGCTTTAAGCCTCATTTCAAAATTAACCTCCTCTAAACTATTTTCCACAGTCGAATTCAGTTTCCGAAGAATCTTTGTCGACACCCAAAGAGAATCAAAATTCTTTGCTATTGCAGAAAGCGCATCAATTATTTCCGATCGCACACTGATACTTCGTACTTTGCTTAGAAATGGAATTATCAATGCCCAGAATTTATCGATATCTTTGGGATTTACAATTGCTGAAGAGTCCAAAAAAGCTGTAGAAAATCCCAAGAGTAATTTTGATAGCATACCTTCGTCTAGTCTCGGAAATGTAGCGAGTCTATCTAAAGATACAATAGTTGCATGAACTGCATTTTTACCTCCCAAGGTAAGACTCAAACGACTTACCAATGTGAAGGTATGTTCTAACTTCAAATTGAATCGGCTTCGCACCCATTTACCCGCACGATTTGGATTTTGAATAGGATGTAAAACAAGTATTTGAAGCGATTCAAACAGTTCTTTTGAATGTTTCATCAGGATCTGTTTAGCCATCTTTTTGTTTCCAACATTGTCAATTTCTGTATGACACGTAAGACTCTCAGCAATATCTAAACATAAGACACGACTTTGTTCAGAAGCGACTTCGGATTTTAAAGTCTCCCAAACAAACTTGAGGCTTGATGTGGATTCCTCAACACTCAGAAAGGTTAACAAGAGATGATGACTAGAAGCTAAAGATCTCACGAGCTGTAAAATAACCGGTGGTATTGATGCACTACACTCATTTGAAAGACGAAGCAGTAGCGGTTTCATGATGTAAACCAAATCATTGAAGTATACACGAAATTCAAATTGAGGATGCCTAATAAGTAAATCTGCCAGCACTCGTAAAGAATAGGTGCGAACATTTCTTGCATGTTTCCTTTCATCTCTATGTAATGTAGCATCTAAGATGCAATTTTTATTTTGATCCACTCTATCTGTATTATATGAAGTACAAGGTGATGCTGTTTTATTGACTTTTATAAACCTCTCATGTTCACAAATACCCGCCACAGTACAGATAAGCCTCATAGATATTGGCACAATAACTTGTATATATTCGAGTACATGCTCACCCAAGTAATACAACAAATCCTCCAAATTTCTAAAAAATATATTAATGGATTTCATTGACAACATTGAGAAGTCAAGGCACGTTTCAAGACAACTTTCTTCCCTGAAATCATTTTCAATTGCCAGATGAATCATATCATCTAAAACTAACTGATTATGAATTACAATTGAGAAAAACGTACGCATCAATGGAAGAACCTCTCTGGAATCTAGTTCTGCCATCCATGAGTATGAAGCCTTACGGATGGAAATATTTCTACTTGAACCTTTGCGCAAGCGTGGAAGCAAAATTTGAAGAACAAGAGGCACAATCTTCGATCGATGTTGTTTTTCTATCACAGTAATACCAAGCTTTTGCTCTGACACATGTCCTGGAAAACATAAGCTTGTGAGAGCTTGCTTAGTCGTTTTCGGAGTAGCAATTGCTTGTAGATGAACAATAATATCGCGTGTAAGATATGGGAAATCCCAATGTCCTAAACAACGGATTGCCAAACATGCTAACTGTGGATCATTTGATTGAAGCATCTCCAGCAGCTTACAATAAATCTCACTACACTCTTGAAATCCAAGAAAGCTATAACCTCCTCTAAGTGAATTATCAAAAGAATGAAGCCATTTTTGCATACCAGTCTTCCAAGCAAAACAATTAGTATTGATTTCCCACTTTGTGTATTTTAAGAACTCGGCTGAAATTCGATGATAAAAAACACTATCCGAGAACGAAAATTTGGAAAGAGTATCTAAGAGTAAATTAAGCCGAATCCACGGATTTAATCCATACTCTACCTGATTAATTTGAAGTGCTATAAATTCTTGCACTTCGATTTCATCTATTTGAACATCTAAGTTCGGAATTTTCGATTCGTTTTTATTTACTAGCTCCAAATTGCACTCCAGCTGTGTTTCTTCGAGATGAAAAATAAAGACTTCGCGAGCCTCTGCGTACATATTAAGAAGCATTCCCAGGGTCGATATTATGGATGGCCACAATGTAGAAAGCTTAATATTTAAAGCACCAATACATACACTCATTATTAGTTTTATAGATTGATGTGGAATAGTAGTGGAACTCAGAGATCGAGAGACAGCCTGAAGCATAACTTCATATTGCCTCAAGTTGGAGAGGAGCTTGGTACTTTTTCCTGGGTCTTGTGCATTCAAAATGCAAAATTTTGAAAGTATATCCTTCACTACCATCCATGATTTTTCTTTCTCATCCACCATTAAAACACTCAAATATTTGAGGTTAGCATATCGCACGTGGCGATTAGATGAAGTAAGTCCTCCAAAATTTTCTGGAATTGCTGCTTTCAAAAAGATCATACTAGTATTCAGCATATGCTTGGATTCAAGAAGCTCTGTAGCACATAGTAACGGTCCTGAATAAAGCCGTGAAATTTTAATTACCCTGAAAAACAAACGAGGATAGATGGTTTCAGCATACTGAGAAGTAACATTTGAAAGTTTATTTAGAGTCACAAGAGCTTGAAGTCCCGCTACTAGAATTGCAAAAGTAGGTTTGATTGCTTCATCTTCAGTAATCTTCTTTTCTTCTTGTAAAGTTTCTAACTTTGTGAGAGCGTAATCTAGTATGCTTTCAACAATGGAGTGGCATGCTTCAAACTCCACACAAAACGGTGCAACTCGTACAGCGCCCCATAGAACACTCAGAGGATAAACACAAGATTGGTGCGTTTGTAATATGTTGATAATTTTCACATGATTAATTTCATTTTCGACCAAAAAATCTCTGTCGACACAATTGCACTCCAATAATATTCGGCACGATTCAGAAGTAATTGCAATACCAACGTCTGATACTTCTTCTAAAAATTTGACCAAACAAACGGAGGTAAAAATTTTAAGCATATTCATTGCTGCAAGATTTTGGAGTCTTGCTCTCTGATTTAGACCTTTTAGATACTTTACAATTGAGTGGGAAGAGGCGATCGAAATCAACCTCACCCATTGAATCGCCCTTTCTGCCATTTTAAATGGTCCAGCACTTGATCCATACACAATATTGTGTGCATCACATATATTGAAAATGAGTTCGAATAGAGTTTGCTGTATCGAGTCATCTTGATTCATAACCTTTGAGATACAATAGAATTCGAGAGTAAGTTCAAAAACTTCAAAGATAGGCATAAAGTTTTCGACAGCAGATCCATTGTTGTGTTTCACCATCATCGAAACCAATTTCATGTGATAATTTATTTTATTTGCGTTACTTTTTTCACTCTGAAGGTTCGTTCGAATAGCAGAAAGTAAGGTGTCCCATAATATTCCAAGTCTTCCCCTCCGTCCAAAGCTGCAAACTTTTCGCAACATTTCATTTGCTACTTCGAATAAATGGGATTCAGCGAAGAGTTCTGTATCAGGATCAAATATCACAGTAAAAATTTTGGTGGAGGTGGAATGTAGACCATGAGCTGCGCCACGAACTGTCTCAGCAAGAAGTGCACCGGCGCTTTCGCATTTCACGCTACTCGCAGTGTTGAAATTAGATATTTCTAATTTATCTTTTCCAGTATCACCTTCAATTTCTCGTAGAATCTTTAAAATTCCAATCGAAATTTGGACTTGTGTGGCTCTCCTCAAGATCAAAGCAAGTCCTTGAACGGTGAAAGAACGGATATTTGCTGATTTGTGCATCCTTAAATTCTTCGTAATTCGCAATGTTCCTGAAATATCACGAGATAAATCCTCATGAAGTAACTTGCACAGGCGTGCAAAGCAAGTAAATAGTTGTTTAAGAATCTCAGGTTCATGCTCGACGCCTTCCTTTATTAAACTCTCAAATTTAATCATAGCTTCAGGAAAATATTTCAAAAATTCTCTACCAACATCCCGTGATATTGCTTCTAATAAGTCAAAAAGAGCCTCAAATGAGTTCTTGGATTGAATACAAAAACGCCTTAACAAGGATTGGACGAGAACATCTTGATGGAGCAATATTTGTGGAAGTGTCTCTGAAATTTCCCGAACTTCTGAAACATAGTCGATAAAATCTTTCCGAAAATTCAGCTCAGACCATTTCAGTAAAGCATCCTTGAAGAAGGAACAAGTCTTACACTTAGATTTCTTGACTTGATTCAACCTGTTAAGAGTGACTCTCACTTCCGAGATTTGTTCTGAAAAGTTTTGGGTCATGGTTATTTCTTTGAAGATGAAAAGATTTTCAAGAACTTTGGACCAATATGGAACGACAGTAGGCTTCGAAGAAGAATTCTGAACAGATTGGTATATTGTAACTGTTCTTTAGATTTATCTTTACAATGTGCGTGTAACTGGCCGAAGGCATGCGTACAGACTCTCATGGCCTAAGATTCGTGAGTTTTTTTGGAGCCGCAATTCTGTCTTTCTGTGTGCCTGCTTCGGATTTTCGGTTCAGGGGGATTTGTTGTCTTTAGGGTGTCAATTTTTTTATAATTTCTTTCCCAGGAAACCTTCCAAATTCCATAACTGGACAGTCCGAGAAAGTTGAAGACTGGTTAACGTGAACTTAAACGAACGCTTTGCTATCAACAATTTTGTCTGTGATTGATAATAAATTTCGTAGTATCCGAGATTCCACACTGATAGATTTTTAGATACGAGCTATTCATTCAGAAAAATATCTCCAATTTTCAATTTCCCCGCCTTGATTTCAAAAGAAGATGAACATTTTTCGTTTTGGTATGTTTCTGCTACTTTACCTTTTCAGGCAACAAACTTTGCTGAGCCTTTAAACTAACACTCTTTCTCACTACTTTCAGCCGGAGATATGACGCACTTACTAAGTATAATAGTGAGTATTTTTATGACCATACTTTGAGAAGAGTTTTCTAATGAACGCTGCACAGGTCCTCCTTCTTAAAATCCATGCAACAAAGAATTGTTCTGGAGTTTCTCTCAAAACACAAGAACTCTATGCGATCGTGTTTGTTACTAGATATCTCGATCTATTGTTTTCTTTCATTAGTTTGTATAACACGATAATGAAGTTGATTTTTATAGGTTCTAGCGCGTGCATCATTTGGTATATCCGTTTTCACAGGGTTGTCAGCCAAACTTATGATAGGGAGCAAGATACGTTCCGAGTAATATTTCTGATACTGCCTTGCCTCCTACTTGGAATATTCATAAATCATGAGTTCACAATAACCGAAATTTTATGGACTTTCTCCATCTACCTTGAAGCTGTCGCTATTCTACCGCAACTTGTTTTATTGCAACGTACAAAAAATGTTGATACGCTTACGGGAAATTATGTATTCTTACTCGGAGGGTATAGGGCGCTTTACCTATTAAACTGGATTTATCGCTTTCTCACAGAGCCGGGTTATCGGCAATGGATTGTTTGGATCAGTGGGACTATACAAACCGCAATATATTGCGATTTCTTTTACTACTATTTCCAGTCTTGGAGGCGAAATGAAAAATTGTCTTTACCCAGTTAGTTCTAAATTCAATCTTCCGCTGGAAAGTTGTTGAATCACGAAGATTGATACTTTATCAAGCGGTTATTATTAATATTAATTATTAATATAAAACTAAATTTATTTTATACTTCATAATTTGGGAAGCTACAATATCTTTAATTACATCGCGCAATAATATCCACACTCCTAGAACCATTGCTTTCAACTGCTTCACTGACTTTACCTTCAACAAATAAGTTTATCTGACATGTGTTAACAAATTACAAAACTTTCATGTAGATGAAAAATTGCTCTCACCGTTTCTGTAAACTTGTTCAAGTTCCTTACTGCGAAGAAAAATCGTGACCATTGAGGACAGTCAAAATTAGCGAGAGATACGTGGAGTAATCCACCCTGGATATTTAATTTTTGATACGGATAATTCAACAGTTAATTAGATATTACCCTCATGCTTTTCTGCCATGAAATCAAACCTTCTTCACTTTTATATTGCTCACTTTCACTTTGTGAAACTAGAAAGTACGTAAAAAATTTTCAAAATATTAATTCTTGAATCAGACCAGACATCATCAAATCAGACTTGCCCGAAACAGTTGTACTTGCTTCCTTCATGGCATTCAAATAAGTATCAGAGTGCATTTCCTTTTCTGCAAACCTTATACCTTAAATTTTGTAAGAAGTGCTTCCAGTGTGGGAATAACTTTAATCAAAACAGAAGACCCTGTGAGGCAAAATTTGGCAAATTCCAAGGGAGAAACTAAAGAATACCTGGAGGAATATCTACGAAGAAAAGATATACATTCTTTTTTCTATCAGCAGGTAAAAGCTGAAATGAACCAAAATCACTCTGCATTAATTGATTGTAGCAGAAATTCAAAATCGACTTAATTCCCTTACTATTTCTTTCTTATGATTTAACTTTTTCCATTTTCCTTGGTAAAGATTATGTAGAAGTAGAGCACATTTACTGGAAACAAAAACATCACATGGCCAATCTGCTCCACACCGTTCTGACCAAAGCATTTTGTATTCCCACGAAGATGGAACACTGAATCCATTTGCAACCCTCTGCGTTCCAAAATAATTTTGAGAGCGACATGGACCCTTAACAACTTTTTGATTAGAGTTGTTTGAATATCATGTGAAAAATAACCTTATACTCTTCTGGAGGTTGACACCATCCACCAGATGTAGCTAGCCACTTTGTCGGACAAGCTTGCTCGTAGTTCTGTAGAGGTGAAAAATTAATCATTGTTCTCAAAATGTTCAAAAAATCCGAAGTGGAGAATTTCAGTGCTGCTTCGTTTACCTTTTGAATGCACTCATCAACAGTGAGAGTAATTCCGATATTCACTTTCTATATAACTTCAAATTATAAAACTCGATCTCATAAGAAAAGCTGGTACATTTCTCCGTGAAACAATGCTTTCGTCAAGTTGTATTTGCCAGTATAGCATTACTCCGTAGCAACTGAATTGAGAAAATCCAGGGTCTCTCCCACTGAGCTGGAATGGAGTTATTGCAAAATAATTATGCCAAGTTCAAGAAACCTTAAAATCATTATTTCTTTGTGTGGGAATTTCTCCTGACTTTACAAATATCTAATTTAAGAAGGATATAAGATGATAGTTCAAATTAAAAATGAGTATACCGTAATATTACTTTCACTTCTATGTTCAATGCTATTCGTATGAATAGTCAATCTCGTTCCTTTACCGATATAGGCCGACATTACTCTGTAAATATGCAAAAAAAAATATCCTCTACAAAATCGAATTCACAGCAAATACAGTACCTATAATTTCCCGAATTAACTTCGACTGCTAAACATGTTCCACGTTGAGAAGCACAATCAAAGTCCTAGGATGTGATTAATCATAGCTAAAGAATAGATATAGATACCTTTTTACCTTCCAATTCTCAGAACTTTGATCCCATAAATTGAGTTGAATTGCGACACAGCGTGTTAAAGTCCAGAGAAAAATAAATACTAGCTCCTTTCCAGTTGTCATTGTCTTGACCTTACTTCAATTTGAAGAAAAACACTTTACTTCTAACGGCGTCACTCGTTTGTATCATCACAGAACAGCATAATCATCACTCTGTATTTAACATGACGTCTCTGCAAAATAGTATTAGTAGGGAGCGACTCAAGTGTCCAGAAAACTTCAATATTGGATTATCCAACTAAAAACTCAGGTAAAAATGAAAATGTTTACCTTTTCTCCGGTTAAATTGAACTTGACGTAATATATGTTAAATAACAGTACAGTAAAGGTGAATCTGTCGAGATAAGAGCTGACAAACGAAGAAGAAACACTAATAGAACAACAGTAAGAGTGCTTATTTCTTTAGTTCTCAAAGAGCTTTTAAGATGGATTGTACCTTTCTCTTTTGAAACGTCGACTATCGTATGCATAACTGTTTTAACAGTTTTATTTTTCTTCGTTTTCTTTCGATGCTGTCGTTCATTGTTTTTTCAAAACATTTATGTTTATATATTTAAATTTGAAGTGAGTAGGTTATAGAGCTGGGATGCCCGAGTGGTCTAAGGGGCCAGACTCAAGTAAAATTTGCTTCTTGACAAAAATTCAAGATTTCTGGTAGACAACGTCTGCGTGGGTTCGAACCCCACTTTCAGCATTTTTTTTTCGCTCCATTACCAGATTATGTGTTCCCGAAAATTGAGAGAAACAGGAAAATCTTGGAATGAGTGGTGGCGCGAAGTAATAAATAATGGTTTTTCTATTCCACGTAACTGCAAAGAATAATACCTTACTCATCTGCCTTGTCCTTGGTGTCGTCAGGCTAGTCAGTTTTCACATTCAACTATCTCACTCGAATTCCAAGGGAGATAGTAGTCATGGAATACCTGGTGCTCCCACTGAACTTTCTTGTAAGACAGAGAAGACGGAAAAACCTGGAATTGATGAACTCCCCATATTAATGCCATTTGATAGAAGTAGGATGGGAAAACGTGGTTATCTAAGGAAAGAGAACTTATTCATTCACAAGGCTAACTTTCTACGGTATCATTCCTCAACCGTCTTCAAATCAAGAAACTTTGCAGCGAATGCAACAGAAATTTGGTCGAAATACGCTTGGGATCGCTGTGCCTTGGTTGGTAACAGTGGGAGTCTACTTTCTGCTGATTTTGGAAAAGAAATAAATGAGCACGATATCGTAATCCGCTTCAACCAGGCTCCAACCAAAGGTTTCGAGAAATTTGTTGGAAATAGAACTACTTTTCGAGTTCTGAATGCACTTTGGACAAATATTTACGCAAAAAATGTGAAGTTGAACAAGGACGGTAGCTTGGATTCAAGAGTAAATATCCGCCTCGGGGAAATTAGAAGCATCCCCCTAGAAATGGATGCTACCTTGATAATATCACGCACTTCGGTAGAAAATTTTAATTTTGTCTATTCAGCCCTGCAGAAAAAGCGTATGGACGTTCGACTTCTGTTACTTGCTCCAAGAGTCGTGACTGCTGCGAAGTGGCTGTTAAATGAGTATCGCAGGCTCCTTTGCACCCATGGATACGGGCCTTATACGGGTGGTCACACACCATCCAGTGGATTTGTAGCAATATTTGTTCTACTCCAGTTATGCAAGGACATAGATCTCTACGGATTTGGAGACTCTGGGTTATCTGCAAGATATCATTATTATACAGGCGGGGGTCATCGGAATAGTGGAAATATAGTCCATAGTTGGGTTTTAGAGATGGAAATGATAGAAGCACTCCATAGAAACGATCTTTTGAAAATACATTAATTTGTACCTTAGGTAGGAAAAATATATAGTAAATATTTCAAATAATAGTTGTCTTTCGCTAAATGCCCTGAGGTGAGAGAGGGATCAAACATTAAAATTCCTCTCCAACAGGTGTGAGATCAATGTCAAATTCGGATTTTCCCTGAATTGTGTAATCAATTTATTTGAATGTGAAACTTGTATATTAATTGAGAATTTACCTTAGAGACCTTAGCAATCTCAACGATCTCCTCCAACAAGCTTCTGAAATTTCTCAGAGGCCACTGAGTTGGACCATCAACTGGAGAAGATTCAGGATTATCATGAACTTCCATAAAAATTCCATCGACTCCGACTGCAGCGCAAGTGCGTGCAATCGTAGGTATCATATTGCGCAGCCCTCCACTTGCTACACCACCCTCCCCAATTGCCCGTCCTGCTGGCTGTTGAAGCGAGTGTGTAATATCAGCCAACTATAAAAAAAAGTTAAAGGAAACAAAATTGTAAGGCTTGCGTGCACGCACCACTGGACAATTTGCATCTCTCATCCACACAAGATTTCTTGGATCAACGATTAAATCACTGTAACCAAACATGGTCCCACGTTCACACACGCAAACATTTGGATTTCCAGTGCCTCGAATTTTATCTGCTGAGTTCCTCATTACCTAAATCAAAGATGTGAATCGGAGAACGATATATAAAGAAAAACGCACTGAAGCTGCGCAGAATTGACCCTTCTTTATGCTGATGACATTTCCTGTCTTACCGGCAGCCACAAGTAAATCGGTTTGGCGGCATAAAAATGCAGGTATTTGTATTATATCTGCTACTCGTCTTCAAACGTAGATTAGGGATGAAATGTTGAATAAAATTTGGAAAGTACCCGACAGGTTCTGCTTGAAAACACTCATGAATATCAGTGATTATTGGAACATCAAAAGCTGTTTTAACAGCTTGGAGAACCTAAATTTTGGGGAACTCTCCAATAATGAACTCTTTAAATCCAGAATGAAGTACCTTTAAACCCTCATCGATTCCCGGTCCACGAAAGGATTTCGCGCTCGTTCGATTTGCTTTATCGAAACTTGACTTAAAAACTAGCTTGATTCCAACGCTATACCATTTTTTGTAATTATTTTGAGCATGGATTTTTCAGTTCCCTTACCTGTCAGTAACTTGCTTAATTTGACGACACATCTTAAAAATATGCTCCTCAGACTGAATCACGTTCGGACCCGCCATCAGGAAAAAGGGATCAGAACCCTAAGAAGGATAGAACTCATAACGGCAGAACAGTGGATTATAATATTTTACCTTGAGTTCTCGATAGAACGCGCTTTCTTTTTCACTCATTATTAAAGTTAAGAATGTTTTAGTGAGGTCTTCCAAAACTTTTTATGTCAAAAATCAGGAAGGTTCCCTCTCACTTTTAGGGTTTTTCGAAAGAGCTTAAGGCGAGAAGAGCGAAAAGGGAGTTGGGGGCGGTTGTCCTTTCACAGAAATTCCTCGTATGAACAGCGGGGTATTGTATTACATCTGAAACTTGTGCGTTAATAGTATCATATTGCACAATCGATATTAATACGTAGTTTACTTTCAAGTAATTACCTAATCTATCCTCGCGTTCTTGAGAGTGTACACCTGTACTCTATTCCGCAAACAAAGACAAAAAGAGGAAAATTACACACTCGAAAATTCAAAAAATAATCAGGAACTTTTCGTGAAATACTTGACGCGTTCAAAAAAATAATGGCGGATCTTACAACAAAAGAAATACAGGAAAATCTCGATATATTATGGCTGTTAATCGGAGCGTATCTTGTATTTTTTATGCAGGTATGAACGCGGGTCGCGGGGATTTCCTTTTCCTCAGTTTTTCTTTTTCCCCTTCTGAATTTAAAACCAAAAAAAATGGTGTCGATACACCTCTTTCCAATTTGAGAATTAATTAAAGACATATTTCTTTTTCGCCATTGATACCTTTTCCGTCGCGTGTAAGACAGTCACTAACGACATGTTTCTAACCAACTACAGTGTGGCTTTGCCCTGCTTGAAGCCGGTTCTGTTCGAGCAAAGAACACGAAGAATATTTTGCTAAAAAATGTTCTCGACGCTTGTTTGGGTGCCTTTATATGGTGGTTTATGGGATTTCCTATCGCTCTGGGGGACTCTTCTGGCAAATTCGCCGGGGGAAAGGTTAGTTTCAAGCATTTCAACTTTATTGCGTGCTAAAATTATGTTTTCTTTCAGGATTTTTTTATGATGGACTTGACGAAAGAATTAACTAATAATCCCACCTATTTTGCCACTTGGATGTTTCAATGGGCTTTTGCCGCGACCGCTGCTACAATCGTATCGGGAGCTGTTGCCGAGAGATGCAAATTTGTGGCATACCTAGTGTATACAACAGCTTTAACAGCTTTTATATATCCTGTTGTAGTTCATTGGGCTTGGTCATCGGAAGGTTGGCTTTCTGCATGGGTAAGTGAAGATGAAAAACCCTTCCTGAAGGCCAACGGGTTCATGGATTTCGCCGGATCTGGAGTTGTTCACATGACAGGTGGTGCGGCAGCACTCATGGGATCAATTTTTCTAGGTCCAAGAACCGGCCGCTTCACGCCAGCCGGATCTGTTGTTGATATGCCAGGTCACTCGACGGTCCTGGCAGCCTTGGGTACTTTTATTCTTTGGTTTGGATGGTATGGATTCAACCCTGTGAGTACTCTCGCATTTGAGTACATGGGTGACGCAGCTCGAGTCGCAGTTACGACTACGCTTGCTGCCGCAACAGGGGGATGCACAACTCTAGCAATCCACGTTGCCTTAAAGAATCCGCCAGACGTCTTCCCAGCTTTAAATGGAATCCTCGCTGGTCTTGTTTCTATTACGGGACCATGTCCTGTTGTTGAACCATGGGCTGCTGCTTTCATTGGGTTTGTGGGAGGATTTGTATACTACGGATCGAGCACGCTACTTAAGAAGTTGCAGATTGATGACCCCCTTGACGCAGCTCCCGTGCATTTCTTCTGCGGTATTTGGGGCGTTCTCTCAGTAGGTCTATTCGCTGAAAAGTCTTACACAAAGAGTGTATATGGAAAAGATGAGGATTCCTATGGTGCATTCATGGGTGGTGGTGGAAAGCAACTCGGAAACCAAATCATCGGTGTACTTGCAATTATAGGTTGGGTATGTTTCACGTGCTCTATCGTTTTCGGAAGCTTGAAGGCACTTAAGTTATTGCGCGTTAGTGCGGAAGATGAAGAAGTCGGTCTGGATTCTTCGCATCACGGTGGCGACGCATATAATTTTGAAGCTGGGCGAGGTAAGACTGTTTCGTAAATGTTCGAACAGTCCACCTGAGTTTGCTCATAAGTTATTCAATGGATTACAGAGTTTGCGAGGTGAAAGGTTTCGCAAAGATTGTGAGTAATAAACCATCTAAATCACATCAATCGGTATCATTTTCACTAGTGTACCCAGTTCAGGGGCAGGAGGCATCAAACTTCATAAAATGTGTAGTAGACTGCTTGAAAAAAGGTCCAAGTAGCATCCATAATGTAAATTTCAAAAACTGCTACGGCTTAACTGCATTAATACCTCTATGCACTGATCAATATTTTATCATTTTACTTAAATTTCATAATTTCCTACATATCAACCCAGAAAAGAAGTCGAAAGAGTTACCGTCTGGGCTCAGCTCATACCATTCTCCCCTTTCGCTCACTATTGAAATAAATTAGTAGAGCTAACAATGCTTCAGCGCTGTTTCCTACCAGCTAGGAGGCAGCCCGTCGAAGACAGGCCTTGAATTTGCAGAGCTATAGACTTTTGCGAATCAAACTCTCTAAAATTAACTTTTTGCCTCGAGTGCAGCCAGTGACTCAAGTATAGAGGCTGCTTTACTTTCTTAGTGCCCCAAAACATTTCATGATTCTCGTACCTCTAAAGCTTTGAAACCCTTGGTATCGAAGATCTCATAGTAATCTTCAAAATATTCTGAATAGTATGATTATTTGTTTCCTCAACCAAAGCATTTCTTGTTTTACCTAGTATCTTCGCTAATAATTTTTCCTTCCCTATCTTAAGAAAGATTAGTTTGTACATCAAAATCTCTCGAACGAAATACTTTCTCTAAGTTCAGTAAATTTGGGGGATCTGAGCAGAAGTGTTTAGCATAAAAAAGAACGGAAAAGAGTATCAATCCTACTCCATTTTTTTTCCTTGTATTTAAACCCTTCAATTACAGAACACAGCAGAGAGTTAATACATGCTGTTGGTGCCTTGATAAATGGATTTGTGTCCCATGCCGAAGTTGTTTTATTAATCATTAAAATGATACCATATTATTCAAATTCAATCCGATTCCATTCGTGACGTGATAAACGCCATCAGAGTAGCTTGAATGACATAGAATACCACCTATCTTGCATAAGATCATAAGATATACGATAAAATACCGAATTCTTTAAGCGAACCTTAATATTTTTATAGTAGATATCGTTTGGCCACTTTATTTTTAAATTTTCAATGAATCCTGAAGTGATGCCATTTTCCAGCAGCACAGAAGAAGCTTCCCTACTTATAGCCTGAAGAAGACATTTATGTCATGAGCATGAAATTGTCTTGCTCACTTTCTCCATATCTTACCTCGATTACAGCAAGACATATTACATATTGAATAAAAGGTAAATTCTTTGCTTCTCTGCAAAAAATTATTTCAATGTTCTCCAGTCTTCTTATCAAGATAGCAAAATATACCTGCAAGTGCAATTGAATGAAAAATATAATCCTCCAAGTGGTGATGACCACGAATTTTTACTTGAGAATATGTGAAGGGCAATGAACATATACAAAAAATCCAAACCCGCGTCCACGGCCCTCTTCCTGATAGTCTGAAACAAATACTACTTCAGGGGAGATGATACCATAGCTAAAATTAAAAAACAACACATAAGGAGCAATAAAAGAAGGCAAGTATCCTTACTCTCTCAAAAACGATTGCGTTGAATCTACGGCAAAGCTTGTTAAAAGTATTCTTCCAGTAGTAACAGTCTTAAGTTCGTTAAAATACAAAGACTCAACAAAACTAGCACTTGTGAAAGAAGTGCACGTCTCTTTTCCCACAATTGTCCTTCCATAAAATATGAGTTTACATGCTTAACACGTTGATATCGAACCTGACATTCGTTGGAATCTTAGAACGAATTTGTAAAAGAATAGATTCTGATTCCTGCTTTAAAAGGTTAAGAACATTTTACCCCAGTTCTAAATAAAATTGCCTCGGGAGATTTGCCGGTTATTCGGATTTCAGGAGTCGATGCCATTAAAGTGTAGCTACTGGTGTGAAAGTTTTAATATTTATGGAACTCAAAAAGTACATATACCGCTGGAAATACCCACTCACTCTAGTTTTGTTTATCTTTCGTGTTCTTCTTATTTTCAATATTTTAGAAGTTGACTCGACTAACCGGAGGGAAATATTCATAGATTCGTTGCTCGCTTGCGTTGGGGAAATTGTGAGCCGAGGCGACGAGGCGACAAACTCACGTACTTACACAATGTACAGGGAACAAAAAGTTACGGAGCTAGTGCGCTTTACTAGAAGGTTGTGGGAGGGAAAAAGCGCTAAAGGAGGGCCTGAGGTCTGCTCGGCTGGAGCATTGGGGGATGTCATCGTTTTTTTTGTATTTAGGGTTTTTGAGGTTGTTAGGAGCAGGACACTTGGTGAGAACAGAACCCCCACAGCCCATTCCCACTCCATCGCCTTCCGACTTCAAAAGCAAGCACAAATTCGTTTTTATTATTTTGAAAGTTACTTTGCATTCACACAGGATGTGCCAGGCTATGGATAGAGGCATTTCGAGTATTCAAACTTAGAATTAGAAACTTTTCTCCATATGCTGAAAAACATAATGCAGCTTTCACTCAACTCTCAGTTTAAGCTTTTGAGTTTTAGTCAAATACTATTGAACTCAGCAAACAGAAGAAAAAGACTTCAAGGAAATTTCCATTCCTCGAGTAAAGGAACTTCTCTGCATGACAATCGTTCTGAGAGGAGTTCTGCAGCTCCTTTGCAAAGGATTAGCAAACTTCTTGCTTGTAACGGTATTTGTAGCCGGCGTGAAGCAGAAATTTTGATTGCCAACGAGCAAGTTCTACTCAATGGTGATACTGTGGTTTTGCAAGGTTGGAAGGCTTCAGAAGAAGACATCATAGAAGTTACTCAAGCTGGACAAGCTTGGCTAGATAGAAAAGTTACACTTGTTTTGAATAAGCCTCGAGGATATGAGAGCATGTCTTCGTTGGAAGTCAAGGCGAGTGCCTTAGCTTTAATCTGCAAGGAAAATGAACACTTATCTGAGCACAAAAATGAAAGCGAAAGGAATTTTAAATGTGAACAGGAAGTTTTGAATACTTTGAGCACAGTTGGACGTCTCGACAAAGAGAGTCGCGGGCTTCTGATATTCACTGGAGATGGTTCCTTGGCTAGAAAGCTGATAAATGTCAGTTCAACTCCTAAAAGATACCTTGTCACTGTTGATGAAGACGTACATAATGGTCATATCGACTTTTTGAGAGGACAATTGTACATAGACGGTGAAGCTCTTTTGACGATGTCTGTTGATTATATTAGTCCTAGAGTGCTTGCATTCACGTTGACAGAGGGTAAAAATAGACAAATTCGACGCTGTTGTGCAATGGTTGGTCTACGTGTACTTGACCTTTGTAGGATTTCTATTGGGAGCTTTGAGCTAGGAAATTTACCTGAAGGTTCTTGGAGAAGATTGACGCAGAAGGAAATCGCAAATTTAAAAAGAACATAACGTCTCCTAATATTTCAATGAAAGGCATTCTGAACTAAAGACGTGATATGCTGTGCTTTCCGCATACCAATCCCAGGAACACTGGCAAAACCAAGAACGGAAGTGTTCAGTACAATCAGTAAGTCTGGGAAAATATTTATGAAAGTCGAAACATCTAATTTATTGAGACATGTTATTTCAGATAATGTCGAAAAAGTTATTGTGAGAAAGTCAAGATTATTGCACTCCCCAATTCCAGTTTCTTTGAGTAAAACTGTGATTGTTTCAACATATCTACCCAACTCTGCGTTATCCCAAGCAAGAATTAAAGATATAGCATTTAAACAACAGAATTTATTTACCGCTTCAATGCTATTCACATCTGGAGTATCGACATAGCATATTAAAATTAATCTTTCAAATTCAATATTAAAAGTGCAACTTGAGAGATATTGAGGATTAGCAACTAAGTTACGAAGCGAAAGGTAAAATATGCATGTTTTTCGATCAGGAAAAGAGCCTCCTTGAATGTCTGAAAATTGTAGTTCAGTCTGGTTCACATATTGAAGCACAATATGTCCTCTGAGTGCATTGTTCATCAATAGTTCAGGATTTGCTTCTATCATAGTGGTTTTATACTAGATTCAAGACCAATCCTAATTATCCTTCATTTTAAAAGTTTTATACCCGTTTAACTATCGGGCAAATGGACCTTCTTCGTACACTTAATTCCTAGAAGAGTAAATATGGTGAGACTGATCAGTTTAAAAAGAAATTCTGAGTGAAGAGTGTCGAGATGAAGTTATCATATATGAACGAACAATATATCTGTCAGGAGATGAATCCTTCAATAATTTATCTTTGGCACTTTGCGGAGGAACGAGTCGTTCAAAAAGCTGCCAACTACCATATAGTATTTTGGAGAACCCGTTCAAAACTGCTTCTTTTTTTTATTTTTTCGTTTTCCCACCATACAGCTGTCGCTCAGTCCGTACACCCTCTCGTCCGTACACCCTAAAAATTAAGAACAAGAACCGAGAGTGGTCGGAGTACTACTTGCGTCACGCACATACAGATGAAGCGTTCACATCACACATTAAAATTATGTGAATCCCTCATACCTCGAACCCTTCTATATACACCTACTTCTGATATTTGTAGATTTCAGACCTCTTACAATCGTTTGGTATCAAATTTTTCAACCACGAGAACAACTGCTTGGAAGAGCTCAATTTTTTTTGCTTCTGAGAAAGTGCTTACCCATACTGACAGTGCTGGAAACGCAAAGATGATTGATATAAGTGGTAAAGAAACGACAAGCAGGGTCGCCGTTGCTACTTCTCGTGTGTCATTAGGTGCAGCAGCTTTCGAGCTTGTCCTAAAAAATAAAGTAGAGAAAGGAGACGTTTTAGCAGTTGCCAAAATAGCAGGAATAAATGCAGCGAAACAAACACATCTTTTAATTCCTCTCTGCCATTCTATTATGCTTTCAGATATTGAGATACATCTACTTTTGAATCAAGAACTCCATGCAATTGATATTAGATCTACTGTAAAAACAATGGGACAAACCGGAGTAGAAATGGAAGCTTTAGTCGGTGCATCTGTGAGCAGTTTAGCAGTTTATGATATGTGCAAAGGTGTTTCGAAGGGTATTACTATAGAATATACTCGACTTGAGGAAAAGACGGGCGGTGCTAGTGGAGCATATAGTAGAAGTGTATAGGTGGACACTACGTTCTAACTACAACCTTGAAGTCCAGGAACAGAAAGCTATTAGAGAGAAGGGTGGTTTTTATGAACTTAGAGAAATTCTTTCCCGTGCTTAGTAATTGAAAACAACGAACACCTAAATTATTCACTTATCAAATCACTTTCACTATTTGCAATAGCACGAACTCCATATCCAATTCTTGATGGGATTTGCTTAGTGCCGCGTGCCACTTTTGTAGGAACTTGTTTAAGGCCGACAGCTATCTTTTGAATTAAGTCCATCTTAGTCGGTAGAGACTCCAGAGGTTTAAGTTCAGAAGGCGACAAAAACTTCTCATCCAATACAGCACCTGTAAAATCAATCTCTGCGCCCTCTTTTTTCCAATCTTTTGCCAATGATCTAAACTTCTTGAAGGTTGGTGCAACATTTTCATCGACGAATAACCAAGCATTCATTCCTTTAGAACACTCACTTATTGTCGAGAATTTCGTATTTTCACTCGCTTTTCGCATCAACGTGTTCTTAGCTATCATTAGCGTGGCGCCATCTGGAAGTTCTCGTCGGAATTTGATCATATTCTTCACCTAGAATGTAAAAAGTTAGTAATTTTCGCATTTGCTGGAGATTACGGATACGGAGAAGGACGGAAAAATCGAGTGACGTGAAATCTTAAAAAAGCGTTTCTTACCGATAAGCCTTTATAATTTACTGCGGCAACAACCATTGTTTCCTGGGCATTCAAGAGGTCCGTAAGACGCACAAGATCTGCGTTTTTTTTCTCTTTCGTAGCGGCCATTTGAATAACTAATTCGCGACGCGCTTTCCCTCCCCGGAAAGACGAATTTTGCAAAGTATTGCACTTGGACGTCGTGCGAGAGGATAATGTTGCACATCGAATCGGGGTCATTTCGACGCATGGCGAGTGCATATGAATTAATGAAGAAGAGTACATTACGATTCTATTTGGAATGCGGCGTCTTCTTGATAAATTGTGAAACCCTCAAGGATTAACCGGATAACCTAGGTCATGATGGCATTTTTTTATCCAAAAATTTGTTTTAGGGTTTTGTGCATTTCAACTCTGCACTGACTTTGTTTAATTATTAGTAGGAGATACGAGATACTCTGTTACCCGTATCATATTTACTTAAGTTGAGCGCAAGGTATGCATAGAGAAGAAGAAAAATTTGAGCACTGAACAAAGTCGAATATGGGAGGAAAGGAGTTCCACTCGGAAAGTTGGGTTGAGGGGATATGAATAATTTGTGATAGGCTTACCTGCCCTTCTCACGTCCCTTGATACTAAGTTATCTTAGTAAATACGAATAAACCTTAGATTTGACAGATATGATGTATTGATGAGCGTCCACAATTTAAGCGCTTCCAACTATTCTAAAGTGCCTATAAAAGAAATTTTTATTTATTGAAGTCACTACGGTACAAAGACAAATTTGCAAATTTGCAGTCAAAAAAACGGAGATATGTATAAAGAACAAATTCAAGAGTTAAAAGATCTTAAGTCCCGCGGCGCTAGTAAAGAACGTCTCACGGCTGCTGCTGAGAGTCTTAAGCAAATTAAAGCTAACGTGAAGAAAGAATCCTTACAGTTCTTGAAGGTTCATGAAATAGAGTATTATGAAAATATTGGGAAAAGCTGGGATTCTTACCCTAGTGCCATCCGCATACCTCGTGACTCTGAAGGATATGTTCATGCCTTTTTACATGATGATTGTTCAACGAATATGGAAGGAATATATCAATTTTTTTGCAAGTATGGTTTTGTTGTTTTTGAAAATGTTCTTAACGAGCAAGAATGTACCGTTACGTGTGCAGAAATATGGGATCAACTTGAGGAAAAGAATACTGGTCTTGATCGATATGTATCTGAAACATTTGAATTGATGTCAAGTAAAACTTACGGATTGGCTCCTCAGCCTGCTGTATTTAGTCACCAAATTTCAAAAAACAGAAGCAATCCTAAAGTTGTTTCAATTTTTCAAGCTATGCTGCAGTCACAAGATATTATCATTTCTCATGATAGATGGTGTTTGTATAGACCTACCCAAGAAAACAAAAATAAATTAGAGTACAAGCATTCATGGAAGACTCCAAGTAATCTGCATCTTGATTTGAATCCTTGGACATATAATTCTGGCTGTACTCCTATTAATGAATTAGAGTTTGAGCATATGCGAGATTTCAGCAAGGAGTTGAATGGAGTGTCTATCCTAACAAGCCCTAACATTCAAGGCGTCCTTTCTTTAACAGATAATCGTGAATATGATGGAGGAACTCTTCTAGTTCCCGGATTTCATCGTTTCTTTGCCAAATGGTGCAGTACACTATCATCAATGAAAGATCAGATAGCCAGAGGCAGTCAGCAAGAAGAAGAGAACAGGTTAATTTGGCGTGGCCGCGGAGCAGGAAGTTATAAATTTAGCTCTTTTGATCCCATACATTCACTGAAACAACGTATTACAATGCGCGCGGGTAGTCTTTTGATTTGGGATCAGCGTGTTGTGCACGGCTCATCTCCAAACCACAGCCATAAATTCCGAGTGGCTCAGTTTATTCGTGCCTTTCAGGAATCCAGCGTGAGTAGTAGCAGGTTTGAAGCCCGTTCAGCTTACTTAAAGAAGGAATTCGTTAGGAGGGAAGGAACAAGAGATACACCTGATTCGGGCATTAAAGTTCTTGGCATTAAGTAGATCATAGTGCAGTGATTTTTACAAGATCTCGTATTCTATATAGTCTTACTTTTTTTTCTTATCATCTTCTGATGCTCCTTGAAGGTTTGAGAGACTCGAGTTTTCCATGTCCTGTGTTGCATCAACTTCTGTAAAAATTTCGTTTCGAATAATTTCGTGCAATCTATTGAATAGCTGCCCTTTAACCTCATCAAATGCTTGCTCAAGACGGGATAGTTCTATTGTAGCATTTTTATTGTACATGAATAGGCCATAGTATAAGTCAAAGGAGTCATTGTAAGTGTTGTCAACAAGTGATCTTAACGACTCGAAGCCCTTTGTGCTAATGCTTGTGTCTGCAAGCTCCATGGTTCCAAGCATTCGTCCTACTGTATGTGTGATAAACTGTGATGAAGCAGCCTGTCTATCGTGCTCTTCACAGGACATTTCTACCATACGACAACCTTCATCTTCGAATAAATGAAGGAATTGCTCGCACCTATTTTTTCTACTTTTCTCTTCACCAACCCTTACCTTCTCATATACCAGAGGTAAATCTCTCCAGCTCCCTTTGCCACTATCGGGACCAAACATTGGATGCAAGCATAGAATGTCAAAATTTTGAGGTAGAAGTTTCAAGAATAGTTGCTTAGGGAATTGCTTTACAGAGAGTACATCACAGAAAAGAGTATTCCGCCGCAATCTCTGGAAAGGAAACTCTCGTAAAACCTTCTCTGTAGAAAGAATACTGGTGCTTAAGATCACGATATCCGGATGTTCCTCACAGAAATCATCTATATCGGGATAGAAGCAAGCGCCTAAATCTGCAGCGACTGCAGAGTAATCGCCTCGTGAAGTTGCAATAACAGTGTGACCCTTTGATATGATCCTTTTTGCCACGAACTGACCAAAATTTCCGAAACCTACGATACCTATTTTTAGAGCATTTTTTCTATCCGTTACAACTTTTGCTTTCGCTTCAAAGTCAAAAGGCTGCGCAGCATCAATAGCGCTTATGCTTAGTCCATCTTTTGATCTTTCGAGTTTGGGTTTGTGATACAACTTTGAACTTGTTTTCAAAAGTGTTTTCCTCGTATTGAAACTAAGTAAGTGGGCAGTTTTCTCGCGAATCATGACCACGCGAATAAGAAGCTTTCCAGAAAGTTCTAATTTTTCTACTCCTATTCCACGAAATCTCCTCAATGTATCACAGCGTACGCGAAACGGAAATAAATAACGCCTGTTCTGCGGTATTTGCGTGTTACTATCTTGAAGTTGTGTGAGGTCCGCGGAGGGCACGGGAGAAAGCAAAATAAATAAGATATGAGTTAATATTTATGGAAAAAAAAATTGATTTTACCCCTTTTTTTTCAAACACCACTTTTTTTGACTTTTTCTGCTTTGCTGCATTGTAGGAGCCAGCGAGGCTACGTCATAGGTAGTCCGAGGTACAGAGGCACAATAAAGAGGTGCAGTATAGAGAGGATATAGAGAGAGAGAGAGAGAGAGAGATGTACCAAATAAATTTAACATCGTAAAATCGAACGGCGAGACACACAACTCCCACGTGAGGAAACGGGCAAATGCAAAAAAAATGTTGAACTAGAAAACCGAAAACTGACTTGGATTCGTTTTAACAAAGATGTTTACGAGTAAGAAAAAGTGCAACGAAGTGTATCTCCCTATCGAGGGAGATATCATCCTTGGTATAGTTGCGGAGAAGTCAAGTTCGCATTTGTTGATTGACTGTAAGGCCAAGAAACTTGCTAAGTTGTTGGTTATGAACTCTGCAAGGGACCTTTTGCTCAAGTCAGATCGGATACAAATTGGAACGGTTTTGTGTTGTCGTGTACAGACAATTGGATATAAATGCACTTCATTTACAGTTTCATGTTCGCAGAGTGCTGCTACACACGCTTTACTACAAAAAGGGTTTATCTTTCAAGTTTTACCTTTAGTGGCTCGAATGTTGCTTCATAGTAAAGATGTTTTGACGAAATCAATAAATATCAGTCATCCTCTTGAAATTGCTGTTGGCTACAATGGTTTAATATGGTTTCACTCAAGACCTTCTGTCACTGAAATGCAGTTTCTATTGCTAATAAGTAAATATTATGCTCAGTAAGTACCATTGTACCAATGGCACAAAACAACATACAACAAAAGTTTAAAGACTCAGTACGTTCAGATTTTTAAAATATTTACAAGTATACAAGACAAAGCGCAACTACTCTTCCTGTTTACTATGAAACAAGGTCATCGACGCATCTAATTTTATTTTGTTTGAATCTTTGGTGTCTTTCATTCTCCCGTTGTGTGAACTTCGAACAAGACCAATATTCTGCTCTATCAGCTGCTTATCGTGCACAAATTTCACGTCCTTCGCTTTGTTCACTCTATTTTCGAAGAACCTATTTGTTCGACGACTACGTATGGCATCTAACTTACCAAGCGCACTTAAAGTGGAATTAATTATTTCGCGATTATACTTTAATGGACGATTCCTTCGACGCTCAAACTGAAATACCGTATCATTGCACAAGTCTTTACCTTGCAAAGCACGATATACTTTTGTCCACTTCACTTTTCTAGGATTCCGCTTCATTTTAAAGTTCTTATGACACTTAGTGCGACAAAATTTAAACAGTTTCGAGTCGTTTCGAACGAAACATATTCCATGGCCTGGATATATTGTCGAGCTACAGAACCAGCACTTTTCGAGTCGCATGTTTTGACCTTACCGATACTAATAAAAAAATAAGGCTGAATATGAGCCGAACACCGAACTGAAGAAAGGCAAAACCACAATCCACAAAAGAGAACGGGATTTCCGTATAAATTTTTTCGGTGTGTATTTAGGGTATTTATTCTTTAATCTAATAAAACCTTGCACAGTGTCTGTCTTTTAAAAAACCTCAGAACCCCAGGAGAAAGTCCACAGAAACACTGAAAGTTACTCTTTAATCGAAGGAATCGGAACAATCTCGGTGCTCATGGTGGAAAATTCGATTATTCTAGGTTCTGAATCGGTAAAAAAACGCGATGAAGATTCAGATGACGGTAGTCCTATGAAAATTAGAAATGGAATTCTTTGATCAAGATTTGTATAGTTTACTACTCCCCGTTCTGGGGAATCGAAAAGGGCGCCGTATTACAAGAGGCTCGCTGCTTTAACGATTCTCAACTAGATGCACGAAGATGTCAGCAGGTACTTGAATCATTCTAAATGGATCTTTTCTATATCTGGAGTTTTAGGTCATCACAAAACTTCTGTACTTATGTAATCAGGGGGATACTTTCACAAAGGTATACACATTTTAAACTGATAAAAAGCTGAAGTCACTCTTTCAAACCCAGACTGAAGCTACTGAAGTATTCTTCTCCGTTACAAAACTATTTCAGTCGAAGGACAGTAACCTTCGTAGAATGGTTTATCTGATCATCAAGGAAGTATGTCCAAGCTCTGATGAGGTAAGCTAATACTTCCCCCCTACTCAAGATAGCACAAGTTCTAAAGTCTTACTTCACATAGGTCATCATTGTGACATCTTCATTAATGAAAGATATGAATAGTAAAGTCGATCTATACAGATCCAATGCCATTCGCGTTCTTTGCAGTATTACAGATGCAGGACTTCTTGGGCAAATTGAGAGATATCTCAAGCAGGCAGTTGTGGATAAAAATTCGGTCGTGTCTTCTGCTGCTCTTGTCTCAGGACTACATCTTCTTAAGGTATCTACTATTCAGTTTTTACTAATGTACAAGTACTCAATAGCTTTATTTTAAAGATCAATGCGGATATTGTGCGAAGATGGAGTAATGAAATTCAGGAGGCAATTAATTCAAGCCATCCTATGGTCCAGTTCCATGCTCTAAGTTTACTGCACCAAATTCGTCAAAGTGATCGGTTAGCTGTCAGTAAACTTGTCACTCAGCTGACTAAAAGTAATATTCGATCGCCACTTGCGCAGTGTTCGATAATTCGCTATGTATCCCAGGTAGGAACAACTCTCAATACATGGAAATTTTTATGAAAAATGCTCTCAGGTTATCTCTCAAACAGTTCCATCAGATAACGCCCCAAGACCATTCTTTGATTTTCTTGAAGGCTGCTTAAGGAACAAATCAGAAATGGTTATTTTTGAAGCTGCAAGGTGAGCAGATAATGTGAGCAGAAAGTATTCATAGTCTAATTTTTTTCCTAGAGCAATTATAAACTTGAAGGAAGTTACCTCTAGAGAGCTACAGCCTGCTGTTTCAGTGCTTCAACTATTTTTATCATCATCAAAGCCTGTTCTTCGATTTGGGGCAGTGCGAGCAATCAATCAAATAGCTCTGAAAAATCCACTTTCTGTAACTAACTGTAATCTTGATATGGAAAACCTGATTTCTGATCAAAATCGGTCGATTGCAACTTTGGCAATAACCACGTTATTAAAAACAGGAAATGAATCATCCATAGAGAGGCTCATGAAGCAAATTTCTGTATTTGTATCTGATATTCAGGTGAATAAAAACTCGTCGTAGAGATCTTCCCTAACATTTCTGTGTTTTAGGATGAATTCAAAATTGTTGTGGTTCAAGCAATTCAAACTCTTTGCTTGAAATTCCCACATAAACACCGTACTCTTGTGAACTTTTTGTCAAATATTCTTCGAGAAGAGGGTGGATTTGCATTCAAGAAGGCGATTGTCGATTCGATCTTTTGTATCATAAAAAATATTCCGGATGCAAAGGATCCAGGTTTAACCCACTTAAGTGAATTCATAGAAGACTGTGAATTCACTTACCTTTCTTCTCAAATATTGCATCTTCTTGGGAGTGAAGGTCCGCAAACCACAGATCCAAGTAAATATATCCGGTATATTTACAACAGAGTAGTTTTGGAAAATGCTGCTATTCGAGCGTCAGCTATTTCTGCACTGTCGAAATTTGGAGCCGAGTGTCCTTTACTCAGGTCTCGTGTTCTGACTCTGTTGTATCGTTGCTTGCATGATAGTGATGATGAAGTTCGCGATCGAGCTACCCTATATGTTCAAAATTTGGAAAAGCTTAGCCTGCACGAAGTCGATAACAGTAATAGTCATAAAGTCACTGACTTTGCTTTACAAGATCTAGAGAGTTCCCTTTATTCTTACATCTCTGGATGTACAGTTTCTCCATACTCCATTTCAAATGTACGGAGTGCATCTCAAAAAAGTAAAACAGAGCATGGAATCAGTAAAATCTTGTCGAAAGCCGGCCATGACAGCAGTTTTTCAGAAGATGTCTCATCTTCATTTGAGCAGTCCAACCTCCTGTCTAATCCTTTATTTTCTGTGTATGGATCAGTTTTTAAAGTATGTTCTTCAAATTCAAGAATTTCTCCTCTCAATTATTTTATGTTTCAGAGCTCGAAACCGATCAGTTTAACAGAAGCAGAAACTGAATATAAGGTAAATTTGAGCAATATAAAATTTATTAGCACTCATGTTCTCTCTCAGGTCACTTGCATCGTACATTTGTTTCAAAGTCATGTAGTCTTTGAGTTCAAATGTACAAACACAATAGAAGAACAAGTACTTGAAGACATTTCAGTATCGATGGAAATGATCGAAGGCGTTGATTTTCTGGCAGAAAATAGTACTATCTCATTGGACAGAATGCCTTTAGGCGATGAAGGCTCCACTTTCGTTATTTTTGACAGAAAAGAAGTAAAGCAACGTTTTTTAGTTTTAAAAAAATTCTTCAACTTCTTTTTGTAGGGAGTTTTTGAGCAAGCAAAGTTTTCTTGTATTCTTAGGTTCACATCGAAAGAAATAGATCCTGCAACTGGCGAACCTGAGGAAGAGGGATATGACGATGAGTACACGCTTGAGGATGTTGATTTGAAATTGACAGATTATTTAAGACCGACCAATATTTCCAATTTTAAAAAGGTGAAAACTTCGTGGAAAATGAAAAATTAGTTGTTTAGTTTCTAAATATTTTGCTGTAGGCTTGGGACTCTCTCTCCGAAGAGTGTGAATGTTCTAGCGATTATGATATAGGAAAACGTGAAGGGCTACAGCAAGCTGTAGAAATGGTTATCAATATCATAGGATGTCAGCCTTGTGAGGGAACTGAAGCAGTTCCGCCTAACTCCCGCTCTCATTCAACTCTCCTTTCTGGAGTGTGTATTGGGGAAAGCCAGGTTCTTATAAGAACGAACTTTGGACTTGACGAATTGAACAATGTTACTATGAAAATAACGGCAAGATCAGAACGACTTGATATTTCAGAGTTGGTTCATGCGATCATTTCTAATTCTTGAAGGGGTTTTTTATTATTATTTGAAAACAGACTGAAAACTTTACTTCAAGTTTTTTGCGTTCCTTGATTCTGTTTCTCCAAATGTGTTTTATCTCCTTCTGTCTATAAAATAGAAATACGATAAATAGTGCAATGGTAATGAACAATTTTTCTACCTCTCTGTATTTCAGTAAGTATACTTTCAGAGGCTCAACATACTCTTCAAAACCAAGAGTACTCATTGCCCATAAAAGATCTTCTCCATTAATAGTCTTCCTTTTCTCTCTTTGACACTTGTCACTCGCTCTATATGAGAATAATTTAGTTAGCTCAAATATTGTTCATTTAACATTACTCGCTGGTGATGAAACTAATGAATTCCGACACACATTCTTGAACGGTCTCTTTAGCATCTTTTGCTATCTTCGCATTTGCTGGCAGTGCCTTTTTCATAATTCTGCTGATATTTGCAATTGGTAAGAACCGATCTTGCTCCCGTACTGCGGCGCACTTAAAATCGTCCTCATCAATTTCGACCTCGCCTTCATTGTATGCAGGCATTCGAAACCAGGGGCGGAACTCCGTTTCTTAGGTGTGCAGAAACTTTACGGCGAAAAAAGTCTCCACGATTTTTACTTTGTGTGGCATACCTAGCTGTTACTGGCCCTTTCTACACTTTTTTGTACCTGCCTTTTGTATTTTCTTTTTCTGGTGTTTTTTGTAACTCTCTATTTTAGTTTATATTTTAAAAAAGTGCTCACATTGTTCTACTGTAAATATCCCGGTGCTCAACTGAGCGCGTGGGTTCAAATCCCACCTTTCGCAATATAACGCGAAAGTCCCATAGTTGGTCTATTGGGCCGGATTTAAGCGTGAACTTATATTTTTTGCGCACGTACGGTTTGTTTGAATTGTAAATACACTCAATATATAAAAAGGTGATGAAAGTAATGAATTCCGACATTCAACTTCATTCGCTCAATTGGCTCTATAATACTTCTATTCTAATATTAAGCTCAACTTTGCTGGTATATTGATACAGTATGTACTTTGTTCATTGATTTATTTGAGATTTTAGCTTCGAAAATATGGATACGATAGTTAATAGCTGTATGCGTTCACCCATACAACAAGTCATACAGCGATCAATCTCACTGAGTTGCCTTAGAAATTCCGTTCTGAAAAAAGAAGATATGTGTAGTTGGGAGACATACGCCATCATGGCTTCGACTATGTCTGATAGTGTCAACCCTTCAATTATCTTTCGTTCAACCAGTACTATGACTGCCTCCTTGAAAGGAAGTGTAAGTAAAGAGTCACAGAGGTTTCCCATATTTACTGGTAAAGGTTTACCAGTAACGGCATAGACTAAATCCTCATCAATTACATCTTTACTAGCAAGATGTGCGCTTTGTAAAATATTTAAGGATTTTCGCATATCCCCGCAGCCAACTCTACATACTGCCAGTATTCCTTCTTCAGTGATTTTTAAATTTTCTGCAGAGGAAACCAGCTGAATTTTGTTTCTAATATCTTCAAATTGAAGTGCCTCAAGACGAAACTTCGTACACCGGGACTGAAGAGCCGGAATTATTTTCGAAGGAAAATTGCATATCAAACAAAAACGCGTATATTTTGTGTATCTCTCTATAATTCTCCGAAGAGCAAACTGAGCATCTTTGGTCATTGAGTCACTCTCGTCAAGAATCACTAGTTTGAAGCCAAATGAAGAAGCCCTTAACGTACTTGCAAAGGCTTGGATTTCCTCACGGACTACGTCAATACCTCGTTCATCTGAAGCGTTCAATTCTAGAGCCATTTGAGTGAATGAAGTTGAATAAAGTTCACGAGCCAAGGCAAGAATTATACTTGTCTTTCCTGTACCTGGTGGACCATATAATAGTAAATGCGGTAACTTCTTGTCGTGTGTTAATTGACGAATAGTTGCAACTATATCGGCATGAGCCGCAATTTCGTCCAGTGATTTTGGTCGATACTTCTCTACCCACATTTGATTTGACATGGAAACTTTATCTGAAACTATTACGTTTTTTGTATCGTGTCCTTTTTCGGGAGGCATTAACAGCTGAGCCGGGATCCAATTCAAAAATCTGGAAAATATTGGACTTAGAAATCTATCTATTGCTGCAACAAATGAATCAAATCCGACCGGACAGATGAATGGATTTTGTGCAGGACAGATGCAGACAGGAAACGAACAGAAGCAGTCCAATTTGGCTTGGAATAATGCAGACACACAAATAATACGTTCTCAAGTTTTAAAAAAGTTTCCTGAATAGCACAACGCAGAAAATTGCAGAAAGGTGAAGAATATATTGAATACGTGACTGGCAGAATATAGGAGAATAGCACAAAAATAATAATAAGCAGGGGCGGTGCTAGCGATATGTACCTGAATTCCTCAAATTTTTCAAAATTCCTATATGACCTGTAATAATTTATTCGTGCACAAAAAGTGTGGCGTTGGCATTATTTCCTTGAATGGTGATTAATTTTATGGCCATATTATGGCCATACTCGCGTAGCTTTTCTTTTCGTTACTCGTACTTTTTTCTAAAACCTGAATTTCTTGCGTTTGAAAAAAAATGGATAAAACTTTTCTTTTCTCGCTTTGTTGCTTTCTCCTCCTTCTTTTTTTGAAAGTTTTGATAAGCAAAGAGAAAAGATTTTTTTCGAAAAGGCCCAGAGTTTTTTTTTGGCATCATGCAATGAAAAAAATGAAAAAAAGAAAAAATCTTGCCCATAATCATTATAAGATTTGATTTTACCCCGAGGCAGCTTTGCCAGCGCCATAAGTAAATCCTCAGAACTATAAAGACATGTATTCGTTCAGTACTTTTTCCTCTTTTACGGGAAAATCCCTCACTGGTCCGTCAAACGGAACATGCTCAAAGGTTCATGTTCTCGTTAAATTATTCCTCATTTACTTATATGTATTCTCCAGCATACTGCTCGCGCGTCGTGGATGCCAGGGTCGAAGCTTCCATCTTACTTAGATGGATCAAAACCGGGGTACGATATATCCTATCCTTCTATTTTTTTCATTTCGTTCTGCATGTGCTCTTATACTAAATGTACTGTCTTTGTTATTCCTTAAATAGTGACTATGGATTTGATCCATTGGGACTTGGGGAAGTGCCAGCGAACTTGGAACGTTTTCGAGAGGCCGAACTTCTGAATGCTCGCTGGGCGATGCTTGGTGTTGCTGGTTGCTGGGGTGTTGAAGCAGGAGGTTTTGGTACCTGGCAAGAGGCTCCACTGGCAGCCCAACAATCTTGGGGAGGGATTGATCTACCGATTTCTAACATGTCTACATTGGTTGGATTCGAAATTTTGCTGATGGCTTTTGCAGAACAACAGAGAATTTCAGAGACAGATGTATCTAAACGAATGTATCCAGGAGGTTCCTTCGATCCAGCTGGGTTATCAAAGGGCGATGGCTTCGAATCTTTAAAACGCAAAGAGATCGCAAATGGAAGACTTGCTATGGTAGCTTTTCTTGGGATCTTGGCTCAGAATCAAGCATACCCAGATGGTCTTGGACCAGTACAAGCGCTCTTGAACCATGTGGCAGATCCTTGGCATGTGAATGCAGCTTCGAACTCCCTCGCTGTTCCGTGGATTTAGTCCAGCTTAAATTCTTCTCATTGCAATGTTAAAATGGCTTATTCAAACGATATTGAGCATTCAATTATCCTCATAAGTAGAGAATTTTGTTCTGTGAAAATACCGCGTACGTGTGCATCTTCACTGGCATCTTCAACAAAAACTATTAGTGCTTTACTAACCCGTTACGAGTACTCATCTCTAAAATATCTTCTGATAATTCTGTTACGTTCAATTCTGCTGCCTTTTCTTTTCTTGGGTCATGTATTCCTGTAAGCAAGATAAATCTTACAACGATCTAAATTTAGTGCTATTTTCCGAATACCTCATCACTCCTGCACGCACCTTCCTACTCAACACACTAGTTTAGTGAGCTTCAAAAGACCCGAGTAGAAATTCTGGATTGTTCATGCATGGAAAATTTTTCAAGTTCAAGAGGACAAAATACGAATTCTTTCTTTAATTAGAAAACACTAGCTCAAGTTTTTGTGAATTACCTCCGACTGTTTCACGAAAGTATTCAGCTTATTTGACATGCAAAGTCCTCTTATACGTGAAAGTGTGAAGCATCTCCCGCAATGAAAAAGGATACATCAGTGAAATAACTTCAGAAGTATCATCAATAAGACTAAAATAAAACTTTGTAACTAATCTCTAAAGAAGTTGGATGAAATGGAAATTCTTTGTTTGTCGCTATCAGGACACTTCTTTTTCATACTCTTAGAAAAACTCTCTTGTTCGAAATCAATCAATTTCAAATCACGTGCATGTGATGTATCTAAACCATGTCTCCTTACAGTACTTGCTTTGATATTTTCAGTGTTTCTTGTTTCAGTACTAAGTGAGGTATGTATCTCCCTATGATTCGCAGTATAACTCGTTTTCTTTTCTTCATCAGAATGGTCAAATTTACGGGAGATCCCACAAAAAACTTCTATTTGAGTATTTCTCGAACGTCCAGCAATATTTAAAGGGATAAGCATAAAGTTTTTAACCTCAGTACTCTTTCTAAGATTTGAAAAGCGTGGCATAGATTGATTATTCTCGTATATTTCAGCGAGTCGTCGATCCCTAAAGCTAGGGTGCGCAAGTTCGAGTTGAATTCGTCGCGATTTCCACTTACAACCATTGTACATAAAAAGACAGCGGATCTGTGCTTCTTGGCTCGAAAAATTGATTTCGAAGTGTGCAAAACCTCTACAAAAGCTTTGATAGTTCAGTTCTTTGCAACGTGCTATCTGGACATTTTTAATTTGACCAAAAGGTTTGAATAGCTCCTTCAAATCCTGTTCACTCACTGTTTGATGCAGGCCAGAAATGTACAGTCGAACCCCCTTCATAAGTACTTGATATTTCGCATTTTTTTTGCTACTCTTGTTTCAAAATAAGTCGTGCATTCATTCATACTGTTGTACTTGTTAGACATTATGTCATTCAAATTAAAGCTACGATACGTATGGAAAGCAAAGAATGGATATTTACTTGCGAGGAACTACTAACTTTATAAAGTGAGAGATAAGGTATTTTTCTACATAGATATATCATATGATATTTATCATGATATCTGTTCACTTTTTTTTTATATGACATACTTATCTCATATGTTCATATGATTTTTTGTTTTTTGTTTTTATTTTGATTTTTGATCCCAATAAGCAAACTCTCACGCGTGTCACGTCTCATGCTCTCATCGTACCTACGCAATTCGTTTTCCTAAATACACACTTTAATGAAGCCTCTCAGTATCACATTTCGATTCGGTATAAAACCTTAAGCATCATCGTGTGAACCTAAACATAGAAAGGACAGACGACAGAGCAACAACCACAAAGAGACTCGTACAACTTGCACAACTATAGTTTTTTAGAATCTTCACCCTTTATGTATTCATCTCATGAGTTGAACGAATTTTCTCCTTCTCGTTTAGACGGGATAGACATAAACGCAGAGAAATGGTATCGTTGGTCCTACTGCGAATTCTTGAAGGATGCTGGAATGAGGATTAATGTGTAAGTCTTTTTTCTTTTTTCACTCAAAGTTTGCGCTAAAGTTTTTCAAATTCAGCCCTCAGTTAACAATTGCAACAGCAGTAGTGTTCTGCCATAAGTTCTTTGCAAACCACTCTCATAAACAACCGGAAAATGAGCGCTTTGTAATGCATTCCCAATTAGTCTTCTGCGTTTTATTCTACTTTACCTGCAGGTAATTGCGACAGCTTGTTTGTTTCTAGCCGGGAAAGTTGAAGAGACTCCCAAAGCACTTCGAGATGTAGTTAAAACTGCTTTGTTCATTAAATATCAAGATGACCCAAAGCGCTACAATAAATTAATCAATGACCGAGTATGTTCATAACCTTTTATTATTGCCATGCCTTGAAATATTCCCTAGATATTCATGGAACAACAAAGAGATGTGATTCTTTGTGCTGAGCGATCATTATTGCACACACTTGGGTTTCATTTTCACGCTGAACATCCATACAAGCACTTACTACGTATTGTGAAACAAATGAGTGAAGAAAAAGTCATTCCAGAAAAAAATGCAAGAGATCTAGCTCAAGTTGCCTGGAACTTTGCAAATGATAGGTATGGATTGATGTTTGATAATTACTGGGCTCGACTGATGAAATTATGAAGTTTGCGTACTCTACTTTGCCTTCAATATACCTCCCTTGAAGTTGCGCACTCCGTACTTTTTCTAGGTAATACAACAATTTTCCTTACTACTTCACAATTTACCCTGCATTTTTCTCTTTTAAGCTTCGAAATTTTTAAGTGCAAAAATTTCTGTAGAGAAGGAATGGTGGGAAACATGTACTGTACGCCAAAGTGTTCGTGAAGATATAAGTAACCAAATTTTAGATCTTTACGAACAAACAGGTGGTTCGACTATTTCAACTATAGCTAGTAGATTTTGAAGGCTTTTAGATTTCATACTGATGAAAAATGAAGTGCGCAGTGATTCAATACTCGGAGTTCGTAGAACTAATTAGTGTTGAATTTTTTCCAATACTTTGTGTCATATTTGAACGTGCCTCGAATTTTGTAGCAATAACTAAAATTCAAACGTTATGTTCTTATTAAAAGAAATGTTGCTGGTATGGTTCCCATCGAAAGATGTTATGGAACGGTCATATTATAAATTGTGATCGTAGCTAGAGTTTATCGCAAATATCCATGATCATCTTCCGGTACGTGATCATTATTATAACTCTTCATGAGAGAAAGGGAAAAAGGAGGTATTCCAAGTAGAACAGCTTTAGTTGTGTTGCGTCAAGTGTCAAAAACAATTTTCGTTAAAAAAATAGAGTCACCTTCCAAATGAGCATATAAAATTTATGCAACGAAGCAGAAGAGCTTAAGTCAACTTTGGCAGCGTTGAGTAGAATCACAGATCCTCCAATAGCATGACCAAAAATCTATACAAACTTTAAACTTATTGACAACAAATACTCCTGAGGTATTTGTACCGTAATATAAAAGTTCACATCTGTTGTGCAGAACTTTGAGAACATAGCACCGCTATATTATGCTTAAATTATATACTTTTGGAAACTAACGCCGATTTACCATGAATACGCAAGTGTTAACAGCAAAAGACATATCTGAAATGTTGATGAGATCTTATTTTTTTACTTTAGTTTTTTTTTTAACAAAGAGTCAACTTCACACCCCAAATTGAACGCTAAGCGTTTGAATTCCCTCTTGTGCATCACCCATTATATCTGGTATGTCCTGTTACCACTGAAATCAAAATTCTGATTTAGTAAATCAAACAAAAATTATACTTTGAATAGTGCGATGACTATAGAATAAATGCACATAAAAAATATCGAGAAAATGAGATTCCTTCTTAGCTCAATTCCAAGGAAGCCACTATAGTCAAAAGAAAAAATAAAGATAAGTAAGATTCTGGAGTAATAGTAGCAAAGAATACCTTCCAAGCGCATGGCAGTAAAAACCTATTTGCACAATCAATGCCCTCACAATTAGTATGCAACTGGTGGCAAGAAATGGATTCTCCTTTTTGCAATATTTTTTATAAAACTGTTTGGAATATTATTTAGTTCGTTCAGTACCTTCCAACGAAGCATTCTGATATCAACAGAATACATCACGCCGAAAGCGAGGCTATTTTGTGAAACACAATTACGTTTCTTTTGAATCCTTTGGAAAGTCAATTACCTTGAAACTAGAGTACAAATAAGAGGTGTGGAATCACTGTAGACCCCTTCATCAATCCAAGGTAAATAAATTCTTTAAAAAGAAAAAAATTTACCAAGCAACATAGAAATCAAAACAGAAAAAGCAATAATAAAGAGTGCAGTGCTTGCATTGAACTCTCCACTAGCAAGAGGTAGATAAGGCTTGTTGACCTGTTACAGTAAATGAAGATATTCTCTTTTTCAACATTTACGATACCATATCAATCTTTCTATCATAAACTTGATTTAAGCCAACAATGGCTATGTTCATGCAAAGAGCAGAGCATACAGCCTTTAAAACTTTTTGTTTTATTTTCTTCCTAGTTCTCTTGTAAAAACAATACCTTCCCAAACATATCAAAAAAGATCACATTCGGAGCTGATACTGCCATTAATGATACAGAAGCAACACTAACCTATCACAATAAGCAGTTGGAATGTCCATTTTACCTCTTTGTTGCAGCTTACCATAGTTCCGAAAACAGTGTGCGGACGCGAAAATCTCACAAGAGCTGGAGCAGAAGGCTCATGAGAAATACTGTCAAGATCTATCGTAAGTGGAGATAAGAGATCATGTTTAATCAATACCCCGCACTTGTATTCTTAATATTGTGCCTCACCAACATTTTTTTGCCGCGATTCCGATTATCACTTTCTCCGAATCTCTTCCACGTTGACCGGTCTTCATGCGTTGAATCCAAAACAGTTACGAATCTCATTTGTAAACTTTGACTCATAGTTAGCATTTTTGTGACCGCGCAGCGTCTGAAAGTACAAAGTTCATATGTAGATATTATGATATGATATATATGCAACGCGCACTACCTTTATTCGCTCTTTCACGTAAAAAATCTTTTTATTCAAGTAATAAATAAGGAGTCAACTTTGGTTCTTTATTGTTTTCATTGCCACTGAAAAAATTTACCTGTTTTATTCCTTTGAACTCTCGTACACACTGCAGCAACAAAACAACAGCTTATAGATCCTCATATTATATATGTCTCTGCTACGTGTCTCTGTAAACTATTTCTCTCTTCCTAGCTTATAAGTCACTGCGACTGTCAAGCGAAGAGAAGGAAAAGTACAGATATTCTATTAGGCTCCTTAGAGATAAGGCAAGTTTGAACAAGGCTCAGCTGCCCTATCTGAAGCTCATATCTGTTGCAAGTACACATCGTTCACTTGTTGAATTGGACTTTAGTGGAATTAGTACAAAAAGACGGATAAAACTTACCACTCTTTTGCAAAACACGAAAAGATGTTTGAAAATGAAGAGAACATTAGTGCATTTCTAGGCTACCTCAGTTCAATGCTATGCTTAGTCCTTTCATGTAAGTTCCGAATCTCTGAAGATAAGAAAGATACGCATAATTTATATTTTTTGTAGGTACTGGCGCAGCCTATGGTTCCGCTCAAGCAGGTTTGGGATTGTGCCGTGCGGGAAGTAAAAATCCAAACATGATCATTAAAGGTATCATTCCGGTGGCTATGGCGGGTGTTCGGGGTATCTATGGTTTGGTCCTTTCCATAATTATATTAAGTGGAATTCATCCTGAAAAAGGCTACAAAGAATATAACGGGATGATGCATTTAGGAGGCGGACTATGCTGTGGACTATCTCAATTTGCAAGTGGTATTGCTGTTGGAGTCGTTGGAGAAAGTGCTACTCAAGCTGTAGTTCGTCAATCAAAGTTATTCGCTCCCATGGTATTAATTCTTATCTTTACTGAGGCACTTGCTCTGTATGGTTTAATTGTTGGCATGATAATGGCCCAGCAAGGGCAAAGGACTGTCGAGACAAGCATGTAGCATTCAGAAAATTGCTTTTCTATTTTGTAAGAAGTCTTTTAATTCTCTTGCACCATATTAGCTATCATTTTATCTACCTCATAAGTTCATTTTCCACATCTACCTTCAACCAGCGCATCAAAGCTCCAAAGTGCAGTATTCGTCGTGATAATTTGAACAAAATAGGAGTCGCTATGAGACTTAATGCTGTCGAACCAAGTAGCAATAAATATAATTTTCTGTGAACTAACCCGACTGCAGAAGCTCTGCTCAGCAGCACAAATGAAAACTCACCCACTTGTGCAAGAGACATCCCAACCGTAAAGCTCGTTCTGAAGTCATAACCAAAAGCACGTACAACCAGTGCAATTAAAGAACATTTGAAAACTATTACTATTAGTAAAGTTGCAAAAAGAACATCTAAATGGACCCAAAGAAAATAAGGATTCATGATCATCCCTATTGAGGTCAGAAACAGAGCAGCAAAAAGGTTTCTTATCGGCTCAATTTTTGTGAGAGCTTGTTCTGAGAAAGTGGTTGATGAAACCATGACACCTGCAATAAATGCCCCCAACTCTATACTCAACCCAATATGATCACTTAACCAAGCTATTAACAGGCAAAATGCAATCAAAACTAGCTGAAAAAGCTCACTGCTGAACGTGAATACAACCCTCAAGAAACGAAAAATTACATAGCGACTGATAAAAATACACAATACCAAAAAGAAAACCATAGTAATGACTGTCTGGATCAAGGAAATTACTCCTTCCGCAACTCCGTGACTCCCTCCTAAGACAGGGAGTAGAGCAAACAATAATCCTATTGTACAATCCTGTAGAATTAATGTGCCCAAGATTATTTGCCCGTGTAGAGCGGACATTTCATCTCTTTCCATCAGACACTTGACAACAACTGTTGTTGATGACATGGAAAGAAACCCACCAATAAATATACCTTCCTTGGTAGGTGCTCCTGAAAAGTCACTCAATACTCCACATAAAAGCATTGCTAATATAACTTCTATGCTTCCTCCAAGTATAGAAACATTTTGAACATGTTTTAGTTTAGAAATAGAAAATTCTACTCCGAGGGAAAAGAGGAGAAAAACCACACCAAACTGCGCAAGAGTCTCCACCTGAACCAGTTCGACAACAAGGCCGAAGCCTCCAGGTCCGATTAATGAACCTGAGAGTAAGAATCCTGTGATGAGCTGCTGTCCAAGAGCACCAAAAATAGCAGCTCCAGTGGTGGCAGCACAAATTATTATTACGATATCAGTGATAAGCCTGTGATCTTGCTGTAACTCCATCGTGCCATTCTTAGGATTTGAGATGACAAACTCATTGTCTGCCGAATCAATAAGTCGTTCCACAAAGAAGTCATGCTCAGGAGTTTTGTTAAAAACAGAGTAAGCCAAGACTTTATTCAGAATTTTGGCCGTAGCAACTCGGAAATTTCCGAAGATGCTATTTTCTTCAGTCTTTCCGGAAGTGTCATCTATGCCATTTTTTTTTGCCGAATCTAAAGGAGACGGAGAGGACTTTGATCGACTAACTCGCACGACAGTTTCAAGAGTAGCTCCCTGCAGAGCAATTGTTCGATTAAAACTTCTACCAGCACCTTCCGAAGCCACCCCTTTTGACTCTGTGCCATCCTTTTCGTTGAACTCCTTAGCTAGAGCCTTTTCAAATTGTGCAGCCAAAGTTTTCTCAAAGCCCTTTCCGGAACTGCTAGTTTTAGCATTCAATTCTTTCTCCTGAATTAGATCGGTCGAAATATCGTAGAAAATATCTGTTTCAAAGCAGTTCGCCCTAAGAAGCGATAAAGAGAGAAAAGTTACTGTAAAAATCACGAGTGAACGAAAGACACCTTTCATCTTTCTCCAAGACTGTCGTCGTTGCCTTTCTCTCTTGCTCTAAAAACTTTCGCCCTGAGGTAAAGACATTCTTCAAATCTCTTCAGCTCCAAAAGATTTGAAAAAATTAACGTAGGTTCCCGATGTGTATTATGAGACTTTTCTTCTATGTAAGGGTACAAGGTTGAATTGCATTTCACTTAACCGAATTTTGCAGCACTTTAAAAATAAAATAAAAGCGAAACCTCCCATATGTTACATGATGATGGCTACCCTTTGCTAATAATAAACATTCACAGACTCATGGTTAAAAAGTGATGGGGGACCAAATAAAATAAAATTCCTTTAAAATCTTATTTAAAAAAAAGACAGCTCAAAATGTCAAAATTTTTACAGGTAATCCATATCATGATTTTTACGCAATAATTCTTTTACATAACATACGAGAAAATTCAAATTCTTGATTCTGATGTTTTCGAGAGGGTGCGCTGACAGAAACATTACACAAAGATTTATTTTAAATTACCCAATCCGCTCTTTTTTTAAAAAGATAAATATTTCTAATCCCCAAACAGTGGTAAAATTAATTTTATTTTCTATTTTTCAAATAATAAGACATTATTGAAATGCTTGATATCGGGAAAATAAAAATAAAAAGACTTGGTTTCTAGCTTTTTTATAAAAAAAAACTTATGTAATTATTGTATGAGTAAATTTGGTTTAAATTTACAGAAAGATAATTATAATTTATTTTAGAATTATTGCGGGTATAATAAGGGAAGATTCTTCTAATTGATAAGAAAATGCTGAACTTTTTTATATAGGCGCTTATGTTTCTTTGTCGAAATAAAAAAATGCGGCAACTATGTATCTTATACCACCATTAATTGGGAATCCACTATGTTCTAAATCTCCCCGGAAAAGAAGAATTTCTCCAATTTTAGGGCAGATCGTTATTCCCAAATTTGGGAACATAGTTCCTCCACCTCCACTGAAGTCAGAGTTTGAGTTGAGTGCGATAGTAACACTGATTTCACTCTGGTCCCTATGAATCGGGAGATGATCACATCCCTTGGATGCATCATACTTTACAATGAATGCGTCATGCACACAAAGACGTTTTCTAAACATGCTAGTAGTGAGTATTTGTTTAGCCAGCGGAATTAAATCAGAGAATACGAATAAATTCCACTCATCCACAAGCTCAGGAATAAGATGAACAGGTAAATCAGTTGTTGGGACCGAAATATGTCTGTTTGTACACCATCCTCCTTGTAAAGAAGCAAACTTTTCCGCTAGGACAATCCAATGCTCGCAAGTTCTCTTAGAAATATTGTGAGATGGCAACAGCCAAATGGCTCCAGCAGCCAATGTTATCCAGGTCTTTGAAAATGAAGGCTCGAACTTGTGCCAAAGATTTGAGGGACTCCTCGAAAGCCGTGTTAAGTAAGCTTCGTCTTTCCGCTTCTGCTTCTTTAAGGATTGAGAAAATCCACTGGCAAAGTGCTCTACACGCCAAATGTCGTGAGCTTTCGACCATTTTCCCAAGGCCAACTGGATCATACCCATGATATGGAAGAGCTCCTCATCTCTTCCCCATCTTTTAATGCCAAATTTCACTAGATTTAGAGAGTCTCTGAACCTGTATTCGTCAAAAGCAAAATGTGACATTGAAACTATATCTTCACGCGAGAACTCGAAGCCACCATTTTCCCACAAGCATTTGCAACATTTGCACGTAATTCCGTAGTGATAAATTAACTGATTCTTCCGTGAACAAATATCAAGCTGTGTGGGTATGTATGAAACCGTAAGTATATCATCTGGAAAAATGTTTTGTATAGCTACATATTTCACCCGCAAACCAAGCTTACTTCGATGGGTAGTCTCAAGCTGAATATTAGGACAGCAACTATGATTTAGTAAGGAAACAAGTGCACCGCAATAAAGAGAAGAATTCAGTCGTTCAATACTTTTTTCTATACAGCACAAATCTGTAGCTTTTTTCATTATTCCACGTTTGCTGTAGCTGTCCTTCAAAGTTAGTCTGACGCGCGCATTCATAGATATTCTGGAATTCGAGTCCGTTATGCCAGCTGTATTATCAGATGGGTCGACTTCGATAGCACGGACACAAACTTGAATTCCAGTAACTAACTTTAAGAAAAACTCCTGTTCCAAGAATTTTTGGATAGCATTACTGAATTCTCCAAGTTTGGAAAGCCAGCTCTCTTCTAAAAGAGGCCGGAACTCAAAGGTACGAGTGCGAAGCTGTCGGATACTGTTCTGATATAACATAAGATGATTAATTCCGTTTTCTTTTTCAAATTTATCACTCATCGGAATTTCTAACTTGTCTGTTGAATATCGAGAAGATAAAATAGCTATTTCTCTGTCAATTTCGGTTGGGGAAGCAGACACTTTGGATATTGATTTTGCTAAAATTATAGTAGCGAGTTGGCATGCATCTTGTTCCAAGAAATATTGCTCAGTTCTAAGACTACCAAGAACTTCAACGCACGTGAAATTATGCCAACCAACGTCAGAATTGGAACCTTCTGATCCCTTTAACGCAAAATTGAAGCAAACGTTCGAGCAAAAAAGCGCATTACACCTCGGAGTGAGGTTGCATTTGCGAAAACTTTGCAAATCTTTCACATAGAAAACTTTGTAACAATTCGAACAGGAAACAGGATCTAATTCTGTGCGTGCGTTGTCCTTCAGTAGTAAGGCAGTTGGAACTTCTGTACATACTACCTCACCTTTCTTGAACTTTCTTCTAGAGTACAGACCTCGGATATTTTCCTTCCTATATTCGCAACGGAGGAAAGAAGATTCCGGTTGCATGTGTTCGTTGTTTTTATCGATATCTCTTCTTTTAAATCAACGTTTCAGTGTTGGTTTGAAAACAATTGCTTTTTGGTCTTTCCTTTCGTGCAATAATTCGAACATATTAAGATATCGGGGCACTTGAAAGTGAGATAGAAGATTTGGAGTAACAGGCGAAGTGTAATTTAAAGGTAAGACAGATATGAATTTTCAGGAAAAAAGGAGGTTACTCGTACTGCCGGGAAACTTTTTCAAATAAACTCTAAGGAAAATATTACTGGATTTTTTGATTGTTGTTTCTGACTCTTTTGTAGCTTCACTTCACCAAATGAAAAGGTTTGAACATCTTTGTGTAGAAAATTTGACCAGGGCACCTGTGTCTACTCTTGATTAACCCGTATTGATTTCACCCATTCCAAAATAAAAATAGCTATGAGTAAACCGTACTGAGGTATCATAAATACACGTGGAATAAAATTGAAAAAGCTCAACTCTCACACCGAATATATGATATCGTTATCGATCATGATTTGATTTCGTGCATGCAATTTTTGTAACATCACCTGAATATCGCGTCTGGTGGGCTTCTCGTTAAACCAAGAGCGAGATTCATCCTCTATCTCTTCTATCGTAACTTGGCTTTTTAGACTCATGAAATTTGGAAGCTTGGTTTGGAATATTTTGAAGTTCATTGCCATAATATCAGAATCAGAATTTAACTCATCCTTAGCTTGGAGAGCATGCAAATTAGTATCTTCAGCCTCAATCACGAACCTCATAACTTCTATAGCTGCTAACGCATCCGTAATATCAATAGACTTTGAAAGTCTCATCTTTGCGTGAGCTGTAGCTAGCCTAATTATTGTTTCTAGGGTCCGAGCAGTTACCGGAAGTGCTCGTCTACTACGCATACCTTCGGCCTTGTCGATTCTCCACCTTGAGTATTGTTCTGCTATTTTATTTTCTGCCTCGGGCGTTAAAGTAGGTTTCGTGCTCATTTTCATATAATAAAGGTATTTTTGTAAAAATTGTTTTGGAACCTTGTCTGAATCAGAAGCACTTGACACATTTTCTACTTTACTCAAGGAATGTTTGTTTTGACAGGAACTATTAATATTTGCATCAGAAGTAATGATAGACAAATTAGTCCTCTGTCCATTATAATCCATATTCGCATGCATACTGAGTACATGCGATGAAATTATACGATCAACATTAGAGTCTGACTGGTCAAGGACTATAAATAACAAATCAAATCTTGATAGGAGAGAGTCTGGAAGATTTATATTCTGAGTCACTGGTTGACTGTGATCATAGTTTCCATATATGGGGTTCGCAGCGGCTATGACACTACACCGCGCATTCAGAGAAGCATGGATTCCTGCTTTTGCTATTGTTACAGTTTGTTGTTCCATAACTTCGTGGATTGCAACTCGATCTGCGTCACTCATCTTATCGAACTCATCAATACATACGACACCTCGATCAGCTAATACCATCGCCCCTGCTTCTAATCTACGCTCACCCGTCTCTTGATCAGTGGTCACAGCAGCAGTAAGTCCAACGCCTGAAGATCCTCTTCCAGTGGTGCTTACAGCCCGCGGCGCAATATTCATGATAGACCGTAAAAGTTGTGATTTTGCAACTGATGGGTCACCAACCATTAAACAATTGATATCTCCGCGAAGGTGAGTTCCATTTTTTAGATTTTTCTCAGTTCCTCCTAGAAGAAGTAGGATCAGGGCACGTTTGATGTTGTCGTGTCCACATATAGAAGGTGCTAAAGATCTGCCAAGCAAATTCAGGAGAGATTTTGGTTCATATTTCTTCGGAAGATTCTTTATTTTTGTCAGATCCTCGCGGGATAGACTAGGAATGTAAACTTCTTTTGCAAGTTGTTGAATATCCTTTGCGACCAAAATGGTTCGAAAAATTCCACCTGAGCCTAAGCCTGATCTTGTTGGAACAATTTTGTAAATTCCAACTACTTTGACTCTATCTCCAGGCTTACAGTTATCAACCAGGTTACGGTCAAGGATAACTTCAACAGAACGTGGTAGCTGTCCTGAAGGGGCATTCTCCGGCATTTCCTGTACTGTAATAATTTGGTAATCAAGATATTCACAAAGTCCGTACTCTGTAGTAAGAATATTTCCAGCTTCATCTCTTGTTGGAATTATTGTGGAAGTAGGTAATCCAGTTAGTGTTGTAACGTCTCGATACTCCCGGGAAATGAACTTTGAATTATGCTCGCAAAAATGCTTGCTCGTAACAAGCTTAGGTCTAACTGCAGTACATTTGGTAACGATTCCTTCAACACTAACCAACCCATCTAAAAAATTGGAAAGAAGACCTCGCGGAGAAACTGCGTGTATACCAAATGAACCACTGAAAGTGACTTCGAAATATTCTAAAACCTTGGGATGATCTATTTGAACTTTGTCTTTTATAGCATCCTTGAGAATTTCAATAAGTACACCAGGATTTGTCATTAACTTTCGTGAAAGTCGGGAATTTTTTGAACGCAAATCATCCAAGTTAAGATCGAAACTAGTGTACTCGTTTTGAATAAATTTTTGAATTAGCTACATCAAAGTAAAAATGTCAACACTGAAAGTTTCAGAAAGATAAGAATTTACGCACCTCCTCATCAATGAACGCGTCAAATTCATCTTTCCATCGTTGCTTGGTTTCTATGCTCATTGCAAGCAGAATATAATAAGTGTCGTCAAAACGATTTTTGAATTTCGAGCCGTTCTCTTTCACGTTTTGCCTTTTGGCTTTTTTTGAAAGTGGATGTAAAAAAAATTAGAAATTTAAGGACTCAATTATTTCATATGCATATGGCATTTTTTCCCCAATATTTTAGTGCCAAATGTGTGTAAAGCGGAAAAGCGACATACGGAAAAGCGACATACCGTGTTAGGTCGACCACCACAGGTGCTGTTTAACAATATCTGCACTATTTAACGCGAAATAATACACATAGTTTCACATTAATATGAAAAGTGCAAGACACCTGGTCGGTGGGTTTAAAATTTATCAAAGAACAGAAGAAGAGTATACTAAGAATACTGTAAAATTAGAGAAAGAAAGAGGGGATTTATGAAATCCGTTTGAACGGAGATAAAAACACAAGAATCCAAACGATGCAGTTTCATGATTCCAATCCTTCCTGCCGTTTTGATAGGTTTGTCTGTTCTCTCAGTAAATTTTTTATTCAGAGTATTTTCTCTAGTTCTCTTGGTTTACTTACAAAAAAGTTTGTAGAGTTACTGATGGGATCGAATGTACTTGACTTGAATGAAGCAGCTGTATTTCTTGATGTACAAAAACGAAGAATTTATGACATCACGAACGTGCTCGAGGGGCTTGGAATAGTTACAAAAAAATCCAAAAATTACGTGGTATGTAAACGTGAGAATGTTGGAGGACTTCGATATCCTGCTCAAAGGAGTGTACGATCTTATTTTAGAAGGATAGAGAACTGAACTAAATTTTATGATTAACAGGTTACAAAGTTGTGTCCAAGAGAGCAAAGTGAGTTTGAGAAAATCTTAGATAATCAAGTAGAAAGAATGAGAGAGATGCTTGAAAGTGTATTTTTGTCTCCTGTCTTGCAGGTATTTGTATATTCTATTCTATACCAAGAAGAGAAGATTCTAAGTTTTGCTTGAATTTTAGAGGAGCTTGTTTATTGCAGAGAAAGACGTCAACTTTATTCCAGATTTTTCTGAAAAGATTTTAATCGCAATTAGAGCACCACATGGCGCCACACTTGTAGTTCCAGATCCAAGTGGAAGTGTCAGTTCAAAGAGTGTAAAGCGCCAATATGAAATTTTTCTGAAGTCTAACACTGGTAGTGTTGAAGTTTTCTTACTTTCATCACATAAAAGTCAGTATGAGGGCGCTTTGCACAGATCTGAGATAAATATTGCAGAAGGTGAGTTGCTACAGAACGAACAATGCTCAAGTAGTGTAGCTTTAGGTCTCAATTGGAAATTTAATTGTGCAGGTTCGTTGCGAGGACTTCCCATTCCTAAATCCAGCATCCCCCAACAAGACTGGTTTGCTCATGAAAGGGACATAAGAATTAATTTGTCTGAGATGTATACTCGTTAATAGCAAAAATTGTAGGAGAGGTGTATCGATGCACTGGAGACTAAGTTTTTAGCATAGATTTCCACCTTCATTCTCTTTTAATCTCGCAATTCACTTCAGACGTGTGATGTTTTCGTACAGAGTCGAAGTAAAAATTTGAAGGGACAAAAGGCAAAAGAAACGAAGGGAGCAAAAAAGTGGGAAATACTTGATTTCAGTTTCATTATACCATATTTTATGAACGAAACTTATGCACTCATTAAGTCGAATGCGTTAAGTAAATTGGCATTTCAATTTTATCAAGCTTCATACGGAGCAAAGATTACGCAAGAGTTGTGTCCACCAAAACCAAAAGAGTTGCTTATAGCTGCAGTCACTTTGTGTTCCTTTTTGACATTAGCGCATGTATCAATACCTGTGACAACTTCCTCGCATTCATTCTGATTAATACTCGGATGTAACCAGCCTGTTTTAATGGCCATAATGGAAGCAATTGCTTCCATACCCCCTGCTGCCCCGAGACAGTGGCCTATCATAGACTTGGTGGCGTTCATCTTAACATTTGTCATGTCTTTAAATACTTTTCTGACAGCAGCAATCTCTGCGACGTCACCAACAAGGGTGCTCGTTGCATGAGCATTGATGTAGTTGATATCTTCAACCGATATACCGGCATCTTTGATAGCAAGTTCAATACAAGTGGATACTCCTAGACCATCAGCACGAGGGTCGGTCATGTGGTGTGCGTCGCACGTAATTGCACCTCCCATATATTCTGCGTGAATGCGAGCGCCGCGGGCCAGAGCATGTTCGAGACTTTCCATCACTAATAAACCTGCCCCTTCTCCCATGACAAAACCATCTCGAGCCTTATCCCACGGTCGACTTGCGCCTTCTGGATCGATATTATTTTGCGATAAAGCCCTGCAGGCTACAAAACCACCCAAGCCGACTGGAATTATTGGTGCTTCCGATCCACCAGCAATAATTATATCCGCGTCACCACTTCTTATGTGGTTGGCTGCGGCATGATAGGCATAGTTGGCCGTTGCACAAGCAGTTGAAATACTGTAATTTGGACCCATGAAGCCCTTTTCAATTGCGAGCATTGCTCCGCCCATGTTTGTAATGGCATATGGAATGAAAAATGGAGTGATCTTCTTCGGTCCCTTCTCGACCAAAGCTTTCACACCGTCCTGGAAAACCGTGAGCCCACCCATACCTGAGCCACAGAGAACTCCAACACGTTGCTTATCAACTTTGGCTAAAGCTTCGCCAGCCAGACCAGCATCTTCAAGTGCCTTATTTCCACTTACTAAAGCATATCTTAAACAATCATCCAAACGACGATCGTTTTTCTTGTCGATATACCCCTCGTTGTCGAAGTTCCGGATTTGAGCTGCAAATTTAGTTGGAAAATCGGAAGTGTCAAACCGGTCAATTGGGGCTACACCGGACGTTCCTTCCAAAAGCTTATCGTAAAACGAATTATAGTCATTTCCAAAAACAGAGCAAAGCCCCATTCCAGTAATGACGATGCGTTTTTTGGGGTCGGTCTCGCGCGCCATAGCGCTGCATCCAAAGAGCACACGAGATCTATCAACTCGCTGATTTCGAACTTGCTTCAATTTTTTTCTATCGCACGAAGTTGAAGCATGACTAAAGCGAATAGTGGATGAGATAGAAGTAAACATTTGAACGATTTGAGCGATAACTTCAGGAAGTGAAGTGCACTTTGATATTCGATTTCGTTGGGATGCCTCGAAAAGTCCAAAGAGTCACGTAGAATTAACGATGAGTTGTTGTACGTTATCTTTTTCGTTATCTGCCTTTTTCTTTTTTCTTTTCTCCCATTCATACATCATCAGTATGATGTAGGCAATTCCAGCAAAAAAAAAGGATTTTGGGGTTTATTAGCCCTTGTTCAAGGTTACCCTAAACGCTACAACAGATGGGTCAAAGGAACCTCTGTGTCCTCACTCGTCTCACCAGCATTGGCGGAAAGGAAACCTGGAAACGTTCCAACGTCTTACTTTTTCACGTATTTTTTGCACAACACAACACGCACTGTATTTCGGTAATTTAAATACTTGACTTCAACTTCTGTGACGCATCAAAAGGCGATAAAAGTAATGAGTGGTACACAAATTTCTCCGGACTTCTGCAAAAAGCATCCACTACAAAATAATTGGACGTTATGGTTTGACAACCCGAACGGGTGAGCATCTTTTGACCTATTTTCCGCTCCAATTCACACATTTATCTTTCCGATTACTTTATCGCAGGAGCCGAAAACAGACCACATGGGGCCAAACTCTTCGTAGCGTCTATACTTTCGATTCGATCGAGGATTTTTGGTGCCTTTACAACAAAATTCTAAGCCCGAGTAAGTTAATAATGGGAACAGACTTTCATCTTTTCAAAGAGGGCATTGAACCGAAATGGGAGGATGAGAATTGTGCAAGTGGGGGAAAATGGACATATCTATTCCCCAAAAGTAGATCTGTGGGAGAGCTGGACGAATACTGGCTGAAACTATTATTAGCTATGATCGGAGAACAGTTCAGCGAGCCTAATGAAATTTGTGGTGCAGTCATAAGTATCCGTCAGAAACAACATCGCATTGCTTTGTGGACGAAAACTTCCTCGAATGAAGCTCATCAACTAGCAGTTGGACGATCGTTTAAAACTATACTGGGGCTTGCAGAGAATGACAAAATTCTCTATATGGTACATGATGATGCAATTAGACTTGAGCGTAAAGCAAAAGAGCGCTACACCGTCTAAAGTTTGTGTAAAAGTAAAAGCTAAACTTTTTAGGGATTGTCTGGAGTGAAGAGCAAAAAGTACAGATTTTCGTGATTGTTGTAAAAGTTTTCTTATCAATGTATCTATTGAGTGATTGATGGTAAAGCATTAAGAACTCAAAACCTTTCCCCGAACCTCAAAAAACATGTTCCTTTTGATTGGTTATCGTCGTGAACCCACTCTGCACGCACTGGACCCAGTTTCAAGCCAACCCCAAAGCACGAACCTTGCCCAGCGCGACAATAATATTCAGTAGGGTTTCCGATCACCGATTTGCTCGACCCTAAGTCTGAGCACTTCTCCCAGAACAGAAACGAGTGAGTGTTCATATAAGGAACTGGTAACCGCAGCTCAAGAGCAATCTCCATAAAGCTTCTACTCACTCCAAGCTCACCAACTCCATAACCCCGGCAGGAGTGGGGACCACCCAGTGTAAATGCATCGTATACCGCACAATCACCTATGATATGCCCACCCTTTGCGTGCATTACTAATACTGGCGGGGGAATATCGTTTCTTTTCTTTGTTTGCAGGAGTTGTATGAAGCGAGAGGCTTCAAGCGAACTTCGATTGTAAATTGGAAACGACGATCCAATGCCTAGTGACTGCTCAACTTGTAAAATATCACGAGAACCAATTGGTGTATTTTTAACGAACTTCGTCGTATCTCTCGTTAAGTTTCCTTGCAAGCACACCAGCTTATCACAGCCACTGCCTGAATGAGTCGTGGGAGGACCATCCATGGTTACGGAACCATCCGCTACTTGCTTTGATCCATTTGGACAAGTTGCACCTGACTCATCTCTTGCCGTGATCTCTTCAAGTACTGCACTTGTAGTGCAACGAGATTGACGCGAATAATTTTGCGTAAATGAAGCCTTCATACCTGCTCTATCAACCCAGACGCTAGGTACATTATCCAATAGTGGTCCGCCAGCAAAGACTGGCGAAATTTTCCTAGAGTTGAAAATTGCAGTTCGAAAAGACGATTTTTCTGCATCGAGTTCGCCCTTGCAATATGGATGATTATATTCAATTTTGAATCCCAAATCGTCCTGAGGCTGAAAAAAATTTGCTGTCGAAACAGACCCAAAAAGCTGTCGTCCCCAGCCGTCCAAATTCCTGTGTTCAAAGAGAACTGAGCCTCCTGGACGAACGGAAACAAAATCCGGTCGGCCACCATCACCTGGGGCTATACTCCACTCCAATTCAGTTTCCGCTGTTCGAACGGGTCTTTCACGAAGCATAATATCAACTTGAACCTTTGAGGGATCATTTTCGTCCGGTCGCGGAACGACTTGAACGTTATCAAAGAGTTGTAACAAGAATATATCACGCAGTGCTGACTTCGCATCCTCTACATTATAGAGTTCTCCAGCTCTAAAATTATGCTCGCGTGAGATCACTTGTGGATTTGTCACTCCTTTATTATTCAACATCGGTTGCATATTTTCATCAAGAAAACAATGTTGAACCTTTGTGATCTCTCCTTCAATGACATGAGCAACAACATCGCCATTCTCCATGCCATCAAAGTGCGAAATCGTTCCAAAAGTCAAACCTTTGCTCGTATAATAACCCTCCACGATATTTTTCGCTGCTGCAAGTACTCTTACGGTGCAATTTTGACTATTTCTCGCAGCATCTAAAACTTCTAACTCTACTTCGCGTGGAAGCACACTACTTCCAGAAACTCTGAACGTTTGCACTTGGGGCCAGATCTTTTCCCGAAATACAAATTCAACTGCATATCCATCCTTTGAGGGCGTTACATTTGCATCTACATTCGCAAATAAACCAGTACCAAGTAGCTGTTCTAGGTCATCTGATAAATCTTTCTTCGACAATTGTGCTCCTTTCCTTGCATTCAGACCTTGAAACAGTTCAGACTAAGATGAAAAAAATACAGTTAAAAAAGCTTGAAAAAATAAAAAGGGTCTCACCTTGCTTGGAATACCCGGTCCAGTCGGTAAATTTGTAGCTAATACTGATTCAACGATGAAATCATCTTTGTTACTGGTTTTCTTCCTCTTTCTTCTTACCATATCTTCCTCTTCTTCCTCTTCTTCTTCCTCTTCTTCGTCCTCTTCTTCGTCCTCTTCCTCGTCCTCTTCTTCATCCTCTTCTTCGTCCTCGTTACTCTCTTCGGCGTAGGCTGCGAATACTTTCGTGAAGCCACCGCCATCTCCTCCTCCACCTCCTCCTCCTCCACCTCCATCTAAACCATAATTATCACCGGAGTTACCGCCTCCGCTCGCTAGCAATAAGGTGAAAGCTACATTGCTGGTGGCCAGCCCAAGCGTTACGGCTCCAATTCTTCTGGGTTTTAAAGCCTTCCCTAGTAGTTCCGAAATACTTCCCACCCCAAACTTCACGACTTTCGACGGAAAACTTTTTGCGTCGGGTTTGGAGAACGACAAGCTTTCCATTCTGTCTTTCAAAGAGGATATTCCCGTTTGAACAAGGGTCGTTTTTTGCCGGCGTTTTTTTGAAGGTCGTGAAAATTCAAAGCCGAACGCACTCGACGAAGCGAAAGTCACTTCTCTAGTAATTGACAACATTTGAGGGGAAGATATAACCGTCTGTGTGGGCTCGTACAAGTTCGATGAATGCGAATAAATTTCAGGACCGTAAAGACGTGAAAACCACGTTTCACTTTTCTCTTTTTTTTGTGTGTGATTAGTTTATAAACCTCTGTGACCCGCTGCATGTTTAAGTATTTGGTTATTTTGGTAGAAAGAAAAGGTTTAGGGTGTTACATCCAAAATCTCCCTGCCATGCAATGATGATAGACTTCCAGGGCCAAATTTTGCTGAGGTAAAAATTTTCGGCTGCCCTTCCATCATCAGCACTATACCAGGGGATATACGAGAACTCTTCAGTCAAAAATTTTTATCTTGAGGTAAACTTTACTTTTAAGAAAAATTCAATAGCAATATGTTTGATTCAAGTATTCTATGATTTTCGCACTTTCGAATAATTGGATACCCGTATTTTCATCTTCTATGAATGGAACTTGAAAAGTTTTTGCTTTCCTCAGCAGTTCAGTCCTACGAGGACTTCCTCTAGAGCATGGGCGCAAAACATAAGGCAGCTCCATTTCACACAGTTTTTCTCTGACAAGTGAGCAAAAAGGCGAAGCTTCGTATGCCCACAACTCTAACGGCTTCACGGGATATCTGCATGGCATCTTAGAATGAGATATACTCGAGGAGGATTCAGTATTTCTGGATCGCATGGCGATATCAGCAGTTCCCCGATTTGCTACTAAAGGAGAGGGAGCAGAGCCGTCTAGATAAACATCATATAAATAATCTAAAATATCTTCAGCGCCAATAATAGAAACCCTAGAGCGAGAGTCATGCAAGAAAGGTAGTATCTCTTCCCCGAGTGGAACATTTTGAAGCTTTGCTGCCAACGTTCTGTGACGATAAGCTCCGTATGGGCATGGTCTACATTCAAATGCTAAATCAAGCATACACAGCGCTTCACGAACTCTTCGGCATTCTCCGTCCGTTTCAACATCATACAAGACTAAATTGGGTGAATCTTGGAAACCTCGTTCAGATTCAACTTGAGATTGAGTCATTCTCATTGACCCTAAACGGTAAGCTTCGTCTAATTCATATTCACCTGCGCGAACAAAAGAGTAGATTTCAGACTTTTTCTTTCGAACCCAAGGCCTCCAACCATTCACAAACAAGCTTGATGCTAATCGTAGTATACCGCAGCGTACTGTTCCTAATAAATCATCTATCTGTTCTGGAAGAAAAGAATATTTTTTGGGTTGTACGTCATTGTAGTAGTTCCATCCTTTTACTTTGAACTTTCTTACACCAAAATCTGATAATTTTGGGCGCCACATGGCGTGAGCGCCATAAGGAACTCGGTCTGGGAGGATAATCCTAGAAACTGGCCCAGAGGAAATATCTTGAGCATTTAGTATTATGCATTCGCTACGAGAACGACCCAAAGTTTCTGTATTCTCATCGTGAACATAAAGTACAAGCCAACCATCATCTTCAGATCCCTTTAACTTAGTTGCTCGTGGCACAAACTGTGACTCCATACCAAACCTTCCAGGACCGTGCTCATACACTTGTTTATCACCTGTTTCAAAGTCAAATTTTACCACAGCGTCGAATTTGAGCTGTGCATCATCCCTCAGGATTTCCGTTTTAATTCGTCCAGCGTAAGCGTACCGATTCTTTACACCTGTAAATTCATCATTAATACGGGGAACTTCCACTATATCTTTATAGAGGTATCTTTCCTTTACTGAGCCATCAACGAGATTGATTCGCCATTCATGGACTCTTGGTAAGTTCAAATCTTCTTCTAGGGTGCGCGTGATCCAATCCCGAGTATCTCTAGCTTTTAGTGCATTGTGGAAGAAGCCATCTTCTCGTACACCAGTTATAACTATTTCTTCCTGACCGTTAGCATTTGTTTCTTCCCAGGAGTTGATAAAGTGATAAACCATCTGCGCACAACTACAATCAAACCACTTCGCAAGAGGAACATTCGAATCGCGCGAAAATACACCAAATCTTGCATTTTTATCATTATTGTATTGAAGGGGATGGCGACCGAAAAATTGGCGTATAGGCTTTATATCCAAGCTACCTTCAAACAAAATAGTATACTTCTCAGTAACGCAAAAATCATGCATGAAAACACATCCTGCAAATGGGAAGCTCCACATCGGAGTTAGGTCCTTAATTTTTCCATTTTGATCCAAGGATCCAATAGAACAGTGTGGAGGATAGACAGGATTGAATCCAAAAAAGACTAGGTCTCCCGTCAAAGGTGCAACTTTTGGGTGCGCCGTAAATGGTATGTATGGAGGAAGTTGGTTTTCAAAATTGCAAGCTCCCAGAGTTGTGAGCCTCTCAGGATCTAGTTCCCACGGTGGCATTGTATCTTGTAAGGCTAAAGTACGGCCAGCAAAATGCACAAGAGCAGTATTTGCTGAATCTTTCAAGAAAGCTCCTCCAGAAACCAAATTTGCTACTGCATTGAGTAAGAAAGTGCTGCCTTCCGCATTCATCAGTGGCCGAAATAGCCGTGCCCCAACCTCCGATTCATCCTTCCAACTTTTAGTTCGTATAAATCGATTGCGATAGCACAACCTTGAGTTTACATCGAAATCTAACGCATAGATCATCCCGTCACCTTCAAACCAATGATGCCAGCCATTTGAAACATTGAAATCCTTTTGATCTGGGCCTTTTCCCCACACCTTGTAATTTTGTGCCTCTAGTTTTGGATTTGGTCCAACATATGCAAATTGTCCTTCCGGGAAATCATCAGGTACGGATCCAATTATTCTCAATCCGTCATTATCTGACTCAGAATTCCTGTCCAAGCTTGAAAAGCTTGTGTACTCCTCTCGGAGTGGCAAAAAATTCCCACTCAAAAATGCAGCTCCGTGTTCTCCGTAATCCTCTATAGGAAAATGAAGGCTATTATCGTGCTCAGGAAAAGTAGATATCGGGCTACTATGATCGTGCGTCACATACTCCACCACCTTCCTCGATTGGATCCGAAAGAAATTATAATCCATATCTACTACTTTCACGCTATTGACTGTTTCTCCACGCGGGATATGTCTATCCCGATGTACGGGGCTGATATTTGCTCGCCATCTTACACGTGAACTTATGGCATGAATACTCATGTTATTTATACTCCAGTGTCGAATAAGCAATACTATGTTACGGAAGTATTGCTCTTGGGATAGTGAAGGTAAGCGGACAAGGTGGGTGGGAATAGATTCCTTAGTCCTTGTTTCGAACTATCGAACAGATGAATCTTCCGAAGTTTTCGGCAGATCGCAGGCAATAATTTCTAATACGATTGTATTAGTACTCGGACGGACTACTCGTATCGACCTATCGATTTACCTTTCTCCTTCTCCGACTCTCGTTTTTTTTTTACAGATTCAGACAGCAAGCTGGAGAAAAATTTTCCAAACCAAGAATTCCCATGCCCACGAAGGGATAAAAGCATGATTTTTACGCCATATCATATGATACGAGTAAATGATTGATCACCAACCAACAGTTTTTTTTTTCTAAAAAACTGTATTCCAAATTTGCTAGTTAAATAAGGCGGCGTGTTCGTTATAAACCCTTCCCTTGTATCGCAAGATCCGTGCCGCGTGCCATTCGCTTACGGGCGTGTTGTATTGATACCATTAATAATCTGACACCATCAACAGAGAAGTTTAACTTGCATCAATACATTATTTACAACAAGGAAAGTTAATAAATACTTTACGTTTTCGTCGTAGAAAGGAAAGCCCTGCCCTGCTTCGTGAGTTTTTTTTGAACCACTTTGCGTCAACACATTTGGCGATAAAACAATAGCGTGTTGTGTTTTACAGAAAAGGGCTTAGAAAGTGCATTTAGTAGCTATGCAGGTTGGACGAAAACTATCTATGAACATACCGAGCGTCTCAAGTTGGAGCAACTTGAGCGAAATCTCAGATGCCTCTGTTGAAGATATTGAGAATCGCACTGAAGATGAAATATCTTCGCTAACGAAAAGTATACTCAACTCTGCACACAGCGATTTTCGAACGACGATATTAAATGGAAAGCTAGGTAGTGACTTGATTTCAAAGAGTCTAGGTGATTCTTCATTTGATGTACGTCATGCAGCACTTTCTTACGCTTGTGCTTCCTTAAGCTCGGACGAGGTTTCTGAATCTGACAAGGAAAAAATATTCGTATCATTCTCGAAATATTTTGAAGAAAACGCGGATACTTGTTCTGTTCGTGAATCTGATTTATTACGAGCCGGTTTGGCTTGTTTGTTTTGTTATTTTTCCGGGTGTTATTCAGAGAAGGATCCCAAGAGACAAGCCGCATTCCACAAAATAGTTCTTGTTATGGATACCCTCCGAGATGAAGGTTGTATTCTGGTGGGAAAATCTCTTGCAATTTTAGTTAGAAGTGTATCATATGAGACAGCGTCAGAGCTGTGTGAACTTTCGATGCGTAGTTCACTCGACTGTTCAAAGAGTTTGCAGAGGCGTCGCTCTGCAGCTGCCATTACCTCAGCAATAATAAAAGGTTTAGGCCAAACATGTGCACTTCGAATGACAATGGTTGATAATTTAAGGAATATTTTCAACGATGAAAATGGCGAGATAGCTCAACTCGCGTGTGGATTTAATTTATATTCCTCGGTATGCATGATTGCAGGACGTTCTTTTGAGCCTTTCATGTTTGAATTTTCACCTTTGATATTCTGTGCATTTTCAAATGCAAGTGCAGAAGTAAGAGACTCTGCACGTATTGCTCAGGCATCAATTGCATCCTCATTGCATAACAATACAATAACATTCATTACCCCTGCTCTTGTCCAAGGTCTGACTCACAAAAGCTGGCAAAACAAAGTTCGTTCTTTGGTATTCATGGGTGATTTATCCACACGTGCTCCTGGTTTCTTTAAGAGGTCAATTCCAGATATTTTTGGTCCGCTCCTAGAATGCGTCTTCGATACTCACCCAAAGGTCAGTGCATCTGCTTTGAGTATTTTAAGACCAATATGTGAAAGTGTCACAAATGCCGAGCTCCTTGGAATGTTAGATCTCATTTTGCTTGCAATACAATATCCTCAAAACAAGACTGAGGAGTGTTTAGACAAACTTATGGAAACTACGTTTGTCAACTCCATGGACGCACCTTCCTTAGCTATAATCCTTCCCATTATACTTCGCGGTTTGCGCGAACGTGCAAAAGAACTCAAGCAGAAGGCGGCAACCACATGTGGAAACATTTGTGCATTGGTTGATGACACCAGAGATTTGCTACCTTTTATATCAATTTTGCTTCCGGAACTGAATAAGTGCGAGGAACATTCTCACCCAGATCTCAGAAAGTGTGCTGTTAAGGCGAAGGAGAGTTTACTAAAAGGCTTGGATGACCAGAATTTGAAAGGAGGTAAATCCTCTTCTTCGTACATATGTGATGCTCTTGAAGCATCTTCGATTAAAATCGATCCAGTTGTTTTAACTCACGTGGCTCGTGTGGGGGGTTGGATGTTAACTGTTGCTCCACTTCGAATGCCCCCAAATATTTTGTCTCAAGATATCTGCCGTGAATTATTCTCTATTCTTGAAGATTCGCTCGATTATGCTTTGATAGAAAAAGTAGCAGAAGATGCAGTCTTGGCATACAAAGGATTGGAGGCATCGTCTCTGAATGATGCTGCGCCAAAAGACTACATTGTCGAGCTCGAAGGAATAATACTAGCGTTTGCAGGTCGAGTACTACTGCAACGCACAGATTTTGTGCTTGAACGTGGGCATACGTATGGCATAGTTGGACAAAATGGAACTGGAAAGACGACGCTACTTAATCGGGTGGCTAAGAAAGATATTTCCAACTTTCCACAAGATGTAAGCGTTTATTATATTCAGCATGAAATTCTATCTGAAAAGCAGGAAACTGTTCTTGATTTCATGCTGAGTTCAGTTCCGGATTCTGTCTCTCGCGAAATAATTCAAAAGACTTTGTTCAATGTTGGTTTTGATGAAACTAAAATGAATGGTAGCATCCAGTCTCTCAGTGGCGGATGGAGAATGAAGCTAGCAATAGCACGCGCCATGCTTTGGGATGCTGACGTACTTCTACTCGATGAACCTACGAACCATTTGGATGCAGATGCCGTTGCATGGTTAATAGACTATTTGAAAAGTTTGACTGGAACGACTATTTGCCTTGTATCCCATGATTATGATTTTTTGAGCGAAGTTTTATCAGATGTCATTCATATTTCCGAAAAGAGCTTAGTATATTATCCCATGAAATTTCGCGAATTTCAGTCACTCAAGCCTGAGATTGTTGCTGCTCTTCCTTCGCCAAGCAATGCAATTATGAAAGAAGGTAGCATAAATTCAAAAAATGAAAGCACATCTACGAAGCAGGAGATCAATTTTGCTATCGATAATATAGATGCATCTCACATTAAACCGGTTATTTTTCCGGTGCCAGGAAATCTGGAGGGTGTTAAGAGTAGGTCTAAAGTAGTCATGTATATGAAAGAAGTTTCATTCAGGTATCCTGGGGCTGAGAGTCCCATTTTGAAGTCAGCAACTGTGAAAATAACTCAAAATTCTAGAGTTGCTATTATTGGCATGAATGGTGCGGGTAAAACCACTCTAATGAAGCTTTTGATAGGAGAACTTAAGGCTGACGAAGGGATTGGGGAGGTTTGGGTTCACCATAATTTACGTTTGGCTTACATTGCTCAACATTCCATGCACCATCTTGAAGAGTCTGTCAACAACACGCCTTTAGAATATTTACAAAATCGCTTTTACCAAGGTCGAGATCGGGAGATTGCAAAGCGTTCTTCTCACAATTTGTCAAAAGAAGAATTTGCTATTTCCCGGGAGCGGGGTAATATATGCGAGGTCGTTGGCCGTCAAGAACGTGGGAAACACTTGTTCTACGAGTGTAGAAGGTCTGGAAGAGATGATCATGATACAGATTGGGAAATGCTTACCTCACTTGAGCGTAAAGACGAGTATGTCATGAAAATGGTGAGAAATTTCGACGAAAAGTTAAAAGCAATGCAAAGTGGTATGGATTTACGCCCACTGACCAAAGAAGAAGTTAGAATGCATCTAGAGAATTTCGGTATCGATGAAGATCTCGCCATGGGTAAGATCAAAAGAATGAGTGGAGGTCAGAAAAGTCGTCTTGTACTCGCAGCGGCTATGTGGATAAATCCACACGTAATAGCATTGGATGAGCCTACAAATTACCTAGATAATGACACGCTTGCCGCTCTTACAAATGCATTAGCTCTGTTTAAAGGTGGAGTTATCATGATTTCTCATAACGATGCCTTTGTGAATAAGCTTTGCAACGAAACTTGGCTCGTTGGTAATGGAGTCGTTAACATACAAGCAATAGCTGGAAAAGCAAAGGGTATGTCTGTGGCCGATAGAAGAGCGTTGAAAAAGGGACTGGATGCGGAAGAAGCTGACTTGAAAGAGGTCCAGAACAACTCGAAAAAAACTGCAGCCGAGCGGAAAGCTGAGAAGGAAAGAATAAAAAAATCCAAAGCTCCAATTAAATTCAAATGAGTTATTTTATTAACCTCTTCTTAGGACATCTATCGGTAGTATTCGTCAAAGATTTTGGTTTCTTTCCATTTCCTTTTACCTTCTATCAAATGTTTATCTAATAAATTTGAGGAAGCTTTTATTTATGTAAAAATGCTTCGTTTGTGTCCATTTTTGAGAAACGTTTCAATAGTTCATGTTTTCATCCAGTCAGTCACGAACAAAGTTCTGCTAGTCTTAAAATATCCTCACTAGTAATATTATCATTAATGGATAACACAGTATTTTCATATACCGTGACAAAATTTGGAGAAATCTTATCTAATCTTGTACGCATATATACCCACTCTTTGCTTCTGAAGTCCCAAGAACATTCAACTATTTTACCATCTAACTTCATAAGATCAGTCGTGTAAGAGCTGATTTTATCATTTATTCTTATCAATTTTCCCTCCTTCCCTCCAACATATAACATAGGCTCCATAGCATTGCTCGCTATTTCCTCAAATTTCAGGAAAAAATCGACCGAGTTCATTTTAGGAAACTTCCACTTCAACAGAGTATCGACAGTGTTTGGTTCATACTTTGAACTTTGGGGTTGAAATATTAAGCCATCTGATTCATGACAAAGATTTGGAATAAAACTTTCAAGTAAAGCTCTTGTAGAAGATAATGGATAAAACTTCTTTTGCCTAATAGTAAATAGCTCGCGTTCAATATCGTAGTAATTTGATTTTTGCATCTTACTAAAAAAGCGTTTTCTTGGTTCAATTACCTCCGAATTGAGCATCTGAAATCGATAGAGAAATGGTTTGTCAGCAAGAAGCTCCCCATTAAAAGCCATGCAATCATAAGCTAAGTATCTTCTTATCATCAGCTTTGATTCAGGATCGAAGTCCAGCACCATTTCACCATCAAGTAGAGTAATGTGATGCGTCTTATTAATATCTTGACCAGAAAGTGGGAACCGCATCTGAATGCGTCGAATAGCAAATTTCCTATCGATCAAGTATGTACCATCTCGCAAAATAAGTAATAAATATCGTACGCCATCAGCTTTCCACGTAACACTGTATTTTTGTTCTCTAATCATATGGATATTCGCATTACTCAGACTGACAGGTTGAGAACCTGGGAAAGAAAGTTTATTTTTTGTAGCTCCTGCTGAACTTTTACCATTGAAGCATACCCATATGCATAGTTTTTGAACTTCCAATACTTGTTCATCACAAACTTCTTCTCCAAGTACGTCGTCTAATTCTGCCAAAGAGGTTTTTAACTTCGAAAATTTAATTCCTGAATAACGTAAGGGAACCGGATATGTATATTTTTCTGGAGAGAAGTGAGCCTGCACTCGTGAAAATTTTTGTGCACAAAATAAATCTGTAGTCTTACTGACTGATACTGGGGGTGCAAATGCCGAATGTTTCCATGACGGTATATCTGGGAAAACTAGAGAATCCCGCTTAATTTCAAGATAACTTTCATAAAGTTTCGCTAAATATTTATGCTTGTAGATACCAGGAGGTCGACATTCTGAAAAAATTAGAATATGCTTGTTCAGATCTGGCCACTGTTCAGAACGCTGTAAATAATGAACAATCATGCTCCCAGTCCTATTGAAACCATGCGTACAGTGTACTAAAATACCAGATTTGTAATCATTAGAATACCCCTCCAATCCTATGATTGCTCGATGGCTTTGAACAGTGTAGATGAATTTACTTATTGCGCACGAGTCTGGCGGACCATCTCTACCCCGGCACTGTATTTTAACATAACGAATATCTTCTCGCTCAAAAACAACAGGGTCATAATATCGACTCGTATTTGTCAAATCGATTACCATGGTAATTTTCATGCCAACACTCTCTGCCAATTTCAAGGATTGGTGGGGACTATAACGTTGATTTTGAGGAATATGAGAGTCATAAGCACTACTTAAAGGAGTTTTTGATGCAACGAAGAATCCGATGGGCTTGCTTTGAGGAGGGCAATCTAACCAACCAAGGGGAGGTTTTTGCTCGATTGTGCTAACTTGATCTGCCATAGAATTGCGTTCTGCGATGCTCACAAGAGGTTGGAAAGTATTATGTAACAATCCTAAATCCTTCATCTGTTTTCTTCTCTTTTCTCTCTCCCCCAAGATTTTCTCCATTTTAAATCACTTGCGGTATGACGAATATTTACCACCGTTTCCAGGAAGCAAGTAAATGTGAGTAAATTAAGATTTCGAGAGATTTCTACACACTCTGCTCAAAATTGAATCGGTTACACAAAACGAAACGGCAGTCAAATTTACTTTCGTTACATAGCACCGAGAAATTAGGAACGGGCAGCATAAAGTTAGCTCTAGGTTAATTGCATGCAATTCTTGTACCTATACTCCCGAAACTCTACTACTGTTTGTACCTTTATACAAAAGAAACTTATTCTCTGTTTCTATCTATGAGTGAAAGTTTTGGTTCTAAAACGTTTTCTCTTCGTTTCACGGTCTGAGCATCCGACGGTTGTTGCCTATTTCATTCAACTTTTGCCACCGAAAGTCACACGAAGAAGTCGACTTGCGAATGGTTTTCACTTGTAGTAATGAAAGAAAGGAACGATACGATGACACAGGATGGTGAAAGACGGAATTGAAAAGGTCAAACTGGGAATCAAAATCAAAATCAAATGTTTTAGACGTGAAGAAAAATGCCATAATAAGACGTGAGATTTTGAGATTTTGACCCTGTGACCCCCCCACTGTGGAGAGAAAAAATATTGGTGACAACTTTGATCATTTTTGTTCATTGCCCAGCACGTCAGCAGACAACAGCAGTCTCCCAACTGCCCAAACAGCTTGCAAAGAAAGGGAGGCGGCACAAAAAATACAAAAAAGCAGAAAAAGATGACTGCGCGCGAACGTGTGTTATCATTCGTATATTATCAGTTCCATGCAATAACGCCGTTGGAACACCACACTTTATACGCGCGCTAGTAGGGGTTTTCTGTTCTTGCTTCGCCAAAAATTTTATGAAAACAAAGAAGTTGTGACGCAGACCTTAATATTTCATAAGTTTTGAGAAAAAATGGATACAGGCGGTATCTCACAACAATTTCCAAGCAACCTATCTGCATTTGGTTTTGATATGAAATATCCGATACATTTTGCTAGTTCTCCAGGAAGAATGGACGTGATGGGTGGTATAGCAGATTATTCTGGCTCCAGAGTAATCCAAATGCCTATTGAATCTCATACCAGTGTTTATATCCAAAGAAAATGGAAAACCAAGAAAGTAGGTAAAGGTGTATTTGCAATAACATCCATCAGTGAATCTGGACAACATAAGAAAAGATTCGTAAAAATTCCAACGTGTACCTTTTTCGTGAACAAGCCAGAAGCAGCGCTTCATAAATATGAGAATTTGAACCGTATTTTCTCTCGGATGAAGAACTGGTGTGCCTATATTGTCGGGCCTATTCTTATATGTGCGAAAGAAAATAATATTCAGCTTTCAACCAGGGATAATTTTGTTATCTATATAACTTCGTCTATTCCAGAGGGAAAAGGGGTTTCATCATCTGCAGCTGTAGAAATTGCTTCGAGCTTGGCATTTTTATCTCTGTTCGGACATTCCCCAAGTGCAAAGAAAGTTCGGAAATATGCTCCTCTTTATTCTTTTTTTGCAGAGAATGCTATTGCTGGTGTGCCTTGTGGAATAATGGACCAGTTAGCTTGTTTCCATGGTAAAGTAAAGCATCTAACTCCTTTCACTTGTTCCTTACCTTCTGTGATGGGCAAACAAATAGGGTATTCTAAGAAATATTTAAGATTATGGGGAATAGATAGTACTGTGCGGCACTTCAATGGTGGTAGTAATTATGCTCGAGTCAGAGCAGCGGCATTTATGGGACGTCATATTATTATGAAAGAATCTCTACTCTCTAGAACTTTTGAAACCCTTTGCTCTATGAATAGAGTGTACAACTCCGGGCAAGTGAATATTCTGCATGACTTTATTGAAATGAACTTACCCGAGGCAATCACAGGAAATGAGTTCATTGAAATCTATGGTATAGATCATGGGGATGAGATAACACTACCAATATCTCGAGATTCAGTATATTACGTAAGAGCTTCGGTTGATCTTGCTCTTCGTGAAGATAAACGAGCAAGAAAATTTGAGCAAATGCTGCATGGCGATTTAGTTCAAGTGGATGGGTATTCACTAGGTGCGCTAATGCGTGCGTCCCACATAAGTTACTCTCGCTGTTCAATGGGTTCTCCCACGACAGAAATTTTGATCGATTTATTGGACATTCCTCACATTTTTGGTGCAAGAATCAGTGGTGGTGGCTGTGGCGGGCTCGTCATTTGTCTTACAAATGATACTAAAGAGGCAGAAGAAGCAGTAATGGAAACAGTGGAGAAGTTTTCGACGCTTCTAAAAATGAGTGTGGGCCAAATTAGACTTTTCAAAGAAAGCTCTGATGGGGCAAACATATCCAAGTCGTTCTTTCAATTTCTATGAGGCCTTAGTTGTAAATATTTCGAAATGGAATAAAATGCGTAAAGGATGCAAAACATGGTATTCTCGTGTTCAAACTAAAAAACACTCAACTCAATCAAAACTGTAAATTTTGCATTAGTTTAGACTAAAAACAAGAAAATTCTGTCTTTTAACAATTTTTAAACAAAGTTCACAAAAAGAAGAAAAATAGGAATACTAAATTTGTAAACTAACTGTGTTGCAATCAAGTGTGTTATATAAAAGTCTCAACATTGCCTACTATAGTCTTATCCTCGATTATCTAATAACCAAGGATTAAAGATAGTATATGTTTCCACGTGTCTTTACAGTTACTAAATAGAGAGACTCACTTTACTCATTTTTAAAATGACAAACACGTAAAAGTTGCTTTGTTTCGCATTGCCTTTTTGAAGTTTTCTAGAAGTCAGGGGTGGTGCATATGTGAACTTCAAGTAAGCATGAAAGTTAAGATTTAATGTAATAATTATATAGTTTTAGGGTAGCCTTTTACGTGATAGCACATCAGAAGTAGCTAAGTTACGTACGAGTTCTAAGGTGAGTTCCACTTTTACTGCTTTGAAGTACAACACTATAATACGTCCTTAACATCTTTTCGTTCTTAAAATCTTAAAGAGAAGAAATATCCTTGAGGCACAGATCTACAGATCAGATTTGGAAGGTTTTTTCTTTGTTTTAGCCCACCCGTCTAGCTCTAATTTATTCACACCAGGGAACAGAACCATTTTGAAGCAGCGTTATATTTTGTTGAGCGAAAATAAGTTAGAGCCAAAAAAAAGAAAGCAGGCTTTTAAAATTGAAGGTGGGATTGTGAGTAAATTTCACTTTGCAAAACAACCACAAAGTAAAATCAACATTACGTGATGTTGTAAATTGATCATCAATCGAACGGACTAAATACGTTCCCGAAACTCGAAACTCTCCTTACGATTACCAGGTTGTAACCTAGAAAAAAGAAACAAATTTATCTGCTTTCAACTATTTCGAATTTTCCATATATTTCAAGAGCGCTGACTTAAGTCGAACAGTGTGCTCAGGCAGACCTACTGAAACTCGAATACATCCAGACAATTCAGGAGGACTACTGTAGTATCTCACGATGACTCCGTCAGATTCAAGAAAGTTTTTCAACTCTTCTGCACGACCACTTATTACCCTTCAAGATTTTTCAAATATATGTAAGCTTGACAAAAAGATTATTACCTGCATAGTATGAAATTTGACTGAGACTCGTAAGGTTCAAGGAAAGAAAACTTTGACATCATCTCGAACATGTTTTCACGCTCACTCACAAGAGCGTTTTTCACATCCTGGTTGGATGCAAAGTTAGATAGAATACACTAAATACGATTTTTAGAGAAAACCTCTAGGTAATCCGGGTTTGATAAAGCAGCACATGCAGCGAGTTCGGCAACAACTGAAACGTTGTATGGCTGTTTCATCCGCCACAGAAATTCTATAAGATGAAGCGGGAAAACGCCATATCCAACTCGTAAACCTATTATTAGCGAAAGATAAGATACCGGTGGACAAAAAATTTCTGAAATTCTCTGTACCAGCAAGAGCAGCACGTTTACTGAAAGTGCGAAGAACAATGAGATTTTGCCGTTTTGGAACTTCTCCAACTAAACTATGCTCAACACCGTAGAACTCAATATATGCTTCATCTAAGACCACAAGACATGGTAGCTCTAAAAGTTCCTCGATTTCTTCACGACTTATAACTGAGCCATCTGGATTATTTGGTGAAGTTATCATCAAAATTTTTGCATTATTCTTGAAGACAGCCTCCTTTATAGATTTCACATCTATACCAAAACTAGGGGCAGGCTTTCGAGGAACATTTACAGTAACTCCATCTAAAAAGCAAATCTATAAAATTAATGGAAAACAAATTTTAAAACATACTGTTAATACTGCAATCGAATTCATACATCCCAAATGTAGGTGGTGTATTAATGAGGACATCCTTTGGTTCAAGAATAGCTCTCAGGACTAAGTCAATCAGCTTTTCGAAGGCAGAAGATGAAAATGGTGAATATTAGAGTAGTAGAAAAATATTTCCTCACCTCATCAGCGCCACAACCAATCATTATATTCTCTATGGGAATTCTACATTCTTGAGCCTAAAGTCATTACTTTCAGCTTAAATATTTGACATAAAGCACTTTACCAGCAGCCCCCTGAGTTTTCTTGACTCTGGGTCAGGATAGATATGAGGAAATTCGATATTTTTGAGGGCAGAGAAGACCTCTGCAAATTCGATAAGTATACCGCGTGACGCCACATTAAATACATTCACCTGGCGGTGGACCGTACGGATTTTCGTTCGCATCTAACTTAACAATATCGGAAGTTGGCCTATTAAGTTTTTCTTTCGAAGAAGTTAGTTTGGCAAAAAATTAGTAGAAGAGTGCAGCATACCTGAGAGAACATCAAACGGTACAATTGACTTATACGGGGCCAGTTCCAGTATATGCTTCCGTATAAATTCTTTCGCATCGAGACTTCTTGTTGTTTTGGGATCCTTTATCGCACTGGGAACAGATAACTTGCAAGGCTCTCGCCTTCTGAAAGATTTAGCCCCAATCTTACTGCAACTCGTACGTCTATGTGAAATATGCCTCAAGGAAAGCGACATGAGTAATGTTGGGAATCAGGTAAGTGTTTCAAAAGCTACTTTCTCTTCCAGAATCCTGGTCTAGAGTTCCAAGACCCGCAGGAGAAAAATGCGAGCTGAAGAGGGGATTTTTTTTCACGGGTTCCCCTTCTCCTTTTTTTTCTGATTTTTACTGACGCCGGTTTCTGCCCACTTTGCTGGGGGGGGCCCCTTTTTCGGCCCCATCCTGTGGTCAAAAAATATATCGGAGAAACCTTCCCTACAAAACCGGTGTATAATTCTATAATAACAGAGATACGGTCAGTATACAATTAGGTTCATTATAAACATTTTCCTCCCTTCTCGTACCTCCCTTTGAAACACCTCCCCGGTATGTCTTTTTCTTTAATCTTTTGTGCGCTTTCTAAGAATTACAGCAGTTTCTGACCGAAGTGATATACTATTGACTATTGAATGTTGAAAGCGTTGCCTTTTGTTTTTGGGACTTACAGATGAGTATTCCCACATTCTTCAATAGAATTATAAAAGAGGTCACAAACGGCGTGAAGGTACATATAGTAATTTTATACAAGGATGGATGAAATGAATTTCAATACTTTACAAGGTGGACTTCTCTACTGAACAACTTTCGGAAGCCCACCTTCAGAAACTAGCCACGGTGTGTTCTGTTTTAAAAATAATAGACAATTCATTTCAACATTGTACAGTTATGGGAGCAAAAATTACTTGCTTTGGATTCAGTTAGGACTAACCTAATCGCAGGGGACGGAGAAACTTCTGTACGATACATCAACCTACTTCTCTTTTTTCTCATTCACTTTCACTTTTCAGGAGGAAAGGTATTTTTTTACATAAAACTTTTTCATAAATCAACTCTGCAACATAATCAAGGCAAAATACGTTGCTGGCCAACGAAGATAAGGTGAGCGAAAGTTACTGGAGTTCTTATTCCCTTTAGTAACATTTGCTTGTTAGGTGAATGGAGCTCTTAATGTTGATATTATAACATGTGATATGCTTCTTACTCTCTCAGATAGCTCAGTACCATGAAAATGCTAGAAATATGCATTCAGTAAGTGATGATATTTCGGACAGCGATGATAATTCAAATGGTTAGATAGATAACATACTGTATTTTTCAAAGTCATAATACTTTATTCAAGATGATGCTGCTGAGTTACAAGATGATATCTCAAATTTAATTTTGGCTCAGTTTGAGAAGGTGACACGTTCAAAATCAAAGTGGAAGTGTGTTTTAAAGGAGGGCATGATGAACATTAATGGGAATGATTACACTTTTAGTAAAGCTACCGGAGAATTTCATTGGTAATTATCTATTTGTAAAAAGAATTGGACACATTTATCGTTCACTCATATTCTAATTCAACATGTTCCCTTTCTTCTTTGATTTTCTTCTGCTTCTGAAAATATTATTCTTATTAAAAATTGTTAAAGTTTTCCAAAAAGTTACATACTGAGGCACTCCTATGTTGTAAATGACCTTCTTTTCCTTGAATCTGTTCCTTTCGATATCAAATCAGTCACATCTTCATGCGTAGACATTAATGGTACTACCTGTTCAATGATTTCTCCTTCATATTTTGAGGAAGAAAAACTATAAATATCATCATAAAGACCAGATTTCAATCGCTTCTGCAAATGTGTTTAAATATGAATCTAGTCACTTTAATAATATGTGTACCAATAACTCTTGTTCAATTGAGCTATCAATCCGAGCGGCCATTTGTGCCTTTAGTTCAAATTAAGAATTTTTAATATTAGAAATTCATATGGAATACCTTTCCCTCTGAACGTTCTTCTTTTTTCTTCTCTTTTTTTGGAATAGAAACAATTTTCCCCCTATCATATTAGTTTTAGAATCATTGACGAAAGCTGTCACAACAAATTACTTTGTATTCTTTGCAAGATTACGTCCTCGTATCAAGTATTGAGTAATTTTAGTAAGCCTTTGCTTGTTCTTATGCACAAGAAATTTAGGCCTGCAATAAATTGGTCAGCATGAAACGAGCTTCTTGAAAAAGGAGACCAATATTCCAAAGCCTTAGAAACCTGATGGAACGCTTCATCATAGTTTTCATTCAAACGCACAAGCTGCCACATAGCTGCTGGCGTGTGTGCTCTCTCTACGCTTTTGAGACAAAGAAACAAAATACCTAAAAAATCGAATTTACACGCTTTTGTTCGAAACTTTATTGTCAGCCAGAATCGTTACCATTTTGTTCTAATATCGTAGAGTAATTACTATTTGCCAACGGGCAAGAACTTCTATTGCATAGTCCAGTCACATTATATGCATTCCTACAAAATGTAGGGGCTTGTTCCTCTTTAATTTTATAGCTACAATGCCCATGGTTGATTATCTTGTTATTGTAAGTTTATGTATATGTCAATAGTTTTATCAGTTTTAAGTCCTACCTGCCAAACGACTTCGTCACTTTGCATGAGTTAGTTATCCACGGTTTGCTGTTTCTCAGGTAGAAGAAAAGTTTTAAATTAAGCAAATGATGAAGGCTAGTGGAATGGTGAGGGTGCTTTCAGATAAATATACAGAACGAGAGAAGAAGAGCGTCCGCGGCGATTCTTTTATTCCAGGTCTTACCAAGACTCATTTCTTTTGTGGCTGAAAAGTCGGAAAAAATTAAAAAAAAGAAATTTTTCCACAATCGCACGATGTGACAATTTTGATGAATATCAAGTCGATGTATTATTGCTAAAATCCTAAAAAGTGGTACTGCTATAACATACTTTTGATCACATATTTGTACACATGGAATATCTATGGAGAGTTTTATACGAAAAAGAACAACCAAAACAAACTGCAATGATGTGATAGGTTCGACACTTTTGTTCGCCAAAATCATTTCTTACTAGTCAGATATAGTTTTCGACTTCTTAGGAAGTAATATCAAGCACACATTGAAAGTACAGAGTGCAATTTGAGAAACCATAACACAGAAAAACTCAGAGAAGGGGTATCCCTCTCGGATGTTTGTGATTATAAAGAAATGATAGATCAAGTATGGCTGCCATACATATCTAATACCAAGGGTAAGATTGTAGCAAGAATTACAGAGGATATTGGCAAATGACCCCCTCCTCAGTTGCCTTCTCAGAATTAGAAAGAATGTATTCAACTCTACAATTCCATCTCTGCATGTCTCTATAGAGTGCTCAGGATATCTAAGTGGATGTAACAGGATGCAAAAGGTCAATACATGGTGCAAAACTATGAAACTTGCCATACTTGGTATGGAATCTGGAAATATGAGGATCCAAATTGTATCTAAAATTATATATATGACAAAAATCTTCGTCACCACATAAGTATTCACCAAATCTAAAAGTCCAGCCACGCAAAGTGAGGCTAAAATTCCTACTATGGGAACATTTATATAATCATGTACTTTATAAGACCAAGGTCGTACGAGGACTCCAGATTTGTTCATTTCAGGGAAGGAAGTTCGTGAAGTTTGAGCCTAATCCTGTAGATTCTAAAAATATTCTACTCGTTGCGTGGCTTATCTTTTAGTAGTTTCAAATATAGATTTTCTTTGCTTCAAGCAAACCGAATTTGGGACCGCTATTGTCGTTTTTGTGCAGCAGGTGTAACACAGAACTATACAGTTATTGTTCAAGCATTAGCAGCATTCAATAGAAATTCTGTCTTTGTAATGAAATAATTTACACAATAAAGCACAGTTTTAGTAACGCTGTTCAAAAGACCTCAAAACTGCACTCTATTCTTGAATTATTGAAACTTAAATAATCCAAGTAAGAGTATTTATACGATACGGCTGCGTACAAGTGTACTTATCTCTATAATATTGAACGTGCGTCGCGTGGTATATTTTATAAATTCCCCAGCTAATGATATACATAATAGATATGGAAAAAAGAAAGCAAAAAAGCAAAAAACTGTTGTTAAAAAAAGGAAGAGGAAGAAACTTACCAACAAAACATCAAGAACTAAAAATCGGTAATCGCGACAGTCGTTCTACATTGTTCAAGCACAATCGAAAGATACAGTAAACACGACAGAATTATTAATAAAGATTCAGTAAGCTGACAATTCGGTAAATGCATGATTCTTTTACACATTAGTGCATTTAAGCGTCCTTCAACAAATAATAGATAACTCTTCCCGTCGAGAAGACCTAGTGAAAATGTCAAATCACACTTTGAACGATGTAGAAGAAGGAAAAGATTACTCTTTTCCTCTTCAGGTACTCTAATTATCATCGCATTTATTACGGTTTGAGTTGAATGAATCTCAGGAAGAAGCAATACTACAGTTATGGGAAGAAACAGACGCTTTTCACCAGCAGCTAAAATTAAGTGAAGGGCGCCCTGAGTACGTAACTTCCCTCTTTTCCCGCATACTTTGATTTCTACGAATAGTTTCGTCTTTTACGATGGACCACCTTTTGCTACGGGTCTCCCTCATTATGGCCACATATTAGCTGGAACTATCAAGGTGAGAGAAAATATGAAAGCAACAAAACTTTCTGTATCTTAAAATTTTTGAAGGATGTTATAACACGATATGCTTCTGCAACTGGTTTTCATGTCATACGTCGATTCGGATGGGATTGCCATGGCTTGCCTGTGGAATACGAGATTGATAAGAAATTAGGTATGATCTCTAGGCACAACATTTATTCATTCTAAGAAAGATAACTTCAGGAATCAAGAGCAAGTCAGATGTACTCAACATGGGAATTGGAGTCTACAATGAAGAGTGCAGAAAGATAGTGATGAGATATGCTCGCGAATGGGAGCAAACAATAACTCGGTCAGGTCGTTGGATTGATTTCCGTCATGATTATAAAACTTTAGATTTGAATTTCATGGTGAGTCTTGTTTGAAATTAATCTCTTATTTCGTTTTAAACTTTAATCTGAAAGGAGAGCGTGTGGTGGGTTTTTAAAACATTATTTGACAAGAATCTGGTAAAGTGTACTTCATTTAAACAATTTGATGTATTCATACTTGGATTAGGTCTATCGCGGCTTCAAAGTTATGCCATACTCAACGGCCTGTAACACACCTATTTCTAATTTTGAGGCGGGTCTTGACTACAGAGATGTTTCAGATCCTGCAGTCTTGGTATACTTAGCAACTCATTGACCATTTCACCATTTAATTTTTTGATTTAAATATATCAGGTATCCTTTCCTGTGATGGATTGCGATTTCAAAAGTTCCTTTGTTGCATGGACTACTACCCCATGGACTCTGCCAAGCAATTTGGCTTTGTGTCTAAATCCTCAGTTAATCTATGTTTATTTAAAAGATCCTCTTGGCACGGTTTTAATTGTTGCAAAATCCTGTATTTCTGTGATTCCAGGTGCTATGAATAAAAAGAAGAAACTTTCAGATGGTTGGGAAATATGCAAGGAAGTAGCTGGTGAAGAGTTGAAGGATTTGAGATATGAGCCTTTGTTTACGATCTTTGAAGCTGAGATGAAGGATACTGCATTTCGTGTTTGTATTGATGATTATGTAACAGAGGGCTCGGGGACTGGTGTAGTGCATCAAGCTCCTGCATACGGCGAAGATGACTATCGTGTTTGCCTTGCTCACGGGATTATTTCAAAAGGAGGCACGCTACCGGATCCAGTCGACGATAATGGTTGCTTTTGTTCTCCAATACCTGAAGAATTGATCGGGAGAAATGTGAAAGATGCAGATAAGGATATTATCAAAATTTTGAAAGAAATGAATAGACTTGTTGATAGTTCTCGCATAGTTCATTCGTACCCATTTTGTTGGCGTTCACACACACCATTAATTTACAAGGCAGTAGCATCCTATTTTGTTAAAGTAGAAGATTTGAAGGAAAAACTGCTTGAGAACAATAAACAAACACACTGGGTTCCTTCACATGTCAAGGAAAAGCGCTTCCATAACTGGCTTGAAAATGTACATGATTGGTCGATCTCTCGGAACAGATTTTGGGGAACTCCTATTCCTGTATGGACTTCACCTGATGGTGAAGAAATTCGTGTAATTGGTTCTGTTGAAGAACTCGAGCGCTTGTCTGGTGAGAAAGTGAGTGATCTTCACAGACACTTCATCGATCATTTGGAAATTCCCTCTTCGCGAGGTACTGACTATCCAAGCCTTCGTAGAGTAGAGGACGTTTTTGATTGCTGGTTTGAGAGTGGAAGCATGCCTTATGCTCAGCAACATTATCCATTTGAGAACAATCAATATTTTGAGACGAACTTCCCGGCTGACTTTGTTGCTGAAGGCCTTGATCAGACACGCGGTTGGTTCTACACATTGATGGTACTTTCAACTGCTCTTTTTGATCGCCCAGCATTCAAAAATCTTATTTGTAATGGTCTTGTCTTAGCATCTGATGGAAAAAAAATGTCTAAGTCCTTGAAGAATTATCCTGACCCGTCCAAGATATTGAATGAGTATGGTGCTGATGCCTTACGCTTATATTTGATCAATAGTCCTGTTGTTCGCGCTGAGCCACTTCGTTTCAAAGAAGAAGGGGTGTTCTCAATTTTGAAGAATGTCTTTTTGCCATGGTATAACGCTTATCGCTTTTTAGTCCAAAATGTTCGTCGTGTCGAGAAAGAAAAGCAGACATTGTTCATCCCTGATATTGAAAGTGACACAAAGCTAAATGTGCTCGACCGTTGGATTATATCGGAGTCTAATACTCTTGTCGGATTTATTCGAGCTGAAATGGAGGGGTATAGGTTGTATACAGTTGTTCCACGCTTGATTAATTTCATCGAACAACTTACGAATATCTACGTTCGATTCAATCGAGGGAGATTAAAAGGAAAAGATGGAGAGTCCGATTGTCAGGCCGCTCTTTCAGTGCTCTTTTATGTATTGGTTCTATTATGTAGAGCAATGTCTCCATTCACACCTTTCTTTGTTGAGAAAATGTATCAAAATTTGAGGCACTGCCTTGAGAGTTCTCAAAATAGTATACATTTCGAATCATTTCCGGAAATGCAGGAAGGTGCTCATGATGTAAGAATTGAAGCTTCGGTTAAATGCATGCAGAATATTATTGAACTTGGTCGAACTGTACGTGAGCGAAAGAAAATGCCTTTAAAACTACCTTTGTCCTCGATGACTATTGTTCACAAGGATGCAGTATTATTGCAAGATATTTTCAGTAGCCTAAAGAGCTATATCACTTCCGAATTGAATGTTCGAGACATCAGTGTATCTTCGGATCCTCTTCAATACGCTGACTTACGTGCAGAACCTAATTTTACTCTGTTAGGCAAACGGTTGGGTAAAAAAATGGGAAGCATTTCAAAAATAATTAAGAACATGAGTACGGAAACTGTGATGGCCTTCCAAACTGATGGAGCAATCAGCCTTGAGGATGAAATGATAGATATAAGCGAAGTTGTACTGCGTTATGAATTCAAAAATCTGGCGAATTCGAATAATATAGAAGCTATATTGGGAGAAGATGGGTTAATGATTCTAATGGATATGGAAGTTCATGAGGAACTGGTGGATGCTTGCATTGCGCGAGAAATAGTGAACCGAATACAGAAATTAAGAAAGCAAATTAGTTTGAAATTTGATGATGATGTCAGAATATACTATCAAATAATTCCCGGTCAGAGCAAAAAATTAAGTGATGATCTAATGCGAGTACTATCTGTATTTAAGACATATTTTGATGAAAATTTGGGAACCATTCCAGAAGTGGAGAGTGAAAAAAGTACTTCAAAAGTTCTGTTGACGCAGGACTCAGTCACATTGAGTTCGGGTATAAGTTTTGAATTGAAGTTGTGTAAGCCTGTTGTAAAGATAGACTCCGAACTTCTTCTTCAAACTTGTAACCATGATTTTGATCTATACACAAGTTTTAAAGCGCTCATACTTTCTAGAGATTACTCTAACTTACGGAGCGACTTTCAAAAGAGTAATAACATCTTAACGTTGGAGTGTGATGGACAAAAGATAAATGTGCAAATTGGTGTGGAGTTACAATTCTGAAAGAAAACTAACAAAGCAAATTATTAAATAAGCAGCTGCCTTGAAGTCGCTCACTACTCATCGACTAATTCTTCGGTAAAATGCAGAACAGTTCTGAAAGCTGTGAAGTTGTCTCCGTTCACAACTGGCATAATTTCAGTCTTGATTGAAGGTTAATAATAAAAGTTTCACTAAACACATAAGTTACCTCAGCTTCCTTATCAATTTGTTTAAATCCCAGCTTCGACTTACTAAGATATTTGTACTGTTCAGCTGCATCACATTTCTCATGAATGCCATAAACATGGGAGATATCTGAGACTTTAACTAGTGCATTCCAATCTATCGTTTTCCAGAGTTCCAGCTCTTTGAAATTTCCAGACCTCTCCAGGTGGAACTTGAAGCCTTGTGTTATGAGGCATAACTTTCCTGAAGGGGACAATTTTCAAACTTTATATTACCACGTGCTTTTCAGAATTTCAAAAATACCTTTCTCGATGATAACTTTCAACCCTTCGCTCGCGTGACTTCTTCTCAGCTTTTTTCTCAGATCAGGAACTAGTTCCGGATCGAAATATAGTAAAATATGATCCTCCATTCGGGCAATTTTTTTTACAAATACGAACGAGAGTTTAGCAACTGGAATAAAAATATCATAGGAATACGACGAGTATTTACGTGGTGCTGATGAGATCGGTTTTGTCGAGCATATATGTTGTGGTATTACAAAATAGTCAAGTTTTTGTTCTTCCTTTGTTCATTCAACCGCATAGGGCACAGCAATATTAACACAGGGTATTCACAGCTTCCCCAGCAAAAACTTCGGTCATTTAGGGTATTTAACTCAACGCTCTTTGTTGAAAAACGTTTTTTCTGCAGAGGATGAGTCTATCGCTCGACCTCTTGCCCTACTCTTACGAAAGTTATTCGAATTCTTAGAGGCGTGTAGAGTTCAAGTAGAAAATAAGAAACTACAACTCTGGGTATCATGGGAGTCATATTCGTATTTCTATGCGGTTCGATATCTTAATCTTGCCCGCTCTCAAAAAACCAAACGTCGAGTCGAGTGGGCTTTTTTGTCAGCAAAATTGACGTTCAGCTTTAGATTCAGTTTTCAAGCGTGATGAATACGTACCACATCTCCATGAGTTCGAACGTCATGTCACAAAGTCGCCAATTCGTCGAATTATTCTCATTCTGCAATTCGAGCAAACGATTTAGAAATAGAATAGATCCAACCAGGTTTCAGATCCAACCTCGGAGAAAAATGGTTAAAAATTCAGTAAATTCAGAGGATTTCTCCGATTCAGGAAAAGTTGGAAAAAATGCATACACAGGAGGAGTTGAATCTACAAGATGGCAATATAATGGAAATGAACTCGAGGTGAATCAGCTTGAAATTGAAGAAGATGATATTGGTCTGAAGAAGATCGGTGTTGGTGCGGGGTTAGTCCAATACTTAATATGTCGACTTCCAGGAATGCGTAGGAAGAAACTTCCAAAGATTGTTTCAAATGCAGTTGACAATTTAAGCATCTGGGCATTGGCGACTTGTGGGTTTTTATGGACAAGTTCAACATGCATGGTTTTTTCATTGCTACCTGTATTTTTGCACTCCGAACTTGGATTCAGCAACACTCGAATAGGTGCTGTAGAAGGTTTTGCACTTGTTGTATCAAATTTTAGCAGAGTCTTTAGCGGTGTCTTGTCAGATATGTTGAAATCTCGTGTCAAAGTGATTGCTGTTGGTAGTGTCATGACAGCTATGATGAAATTAGTGCTCGCAAGTGCATTATCTGTGCAATGGGTTGTGATGGCAAAGCTTCTCGACAGATTTGGGAAAGGGATCCGAGCTGCTCCAACTGATGCATTAATTGCTGATCTATCTCCGCGTCCAAAACGTAGCAGTTCTTATGGTTTACACCAAAGTATGACAACATTGGGTGGAGTTTTAGGATCGATTGCGGCCGTTGTTTGCATGAAATTATCACAAAACAACTTCCGTGCAACATTCACTGCCGCTTCAGTTCCTTCTATTTTTGCCATAGTTATTTTATTATCTTATGTGAAAAATCCTCAGAGAGCAATGAAAAAACCAAATTATACTCCTCGCCCTGGCCGAGGTCGTGGTTTACCGAGCTGGAGGCGTCACGCTCGTGGACCACTTGCAATGCCGCATCTTCGTGCAAGATGGAGGCGTATAGAGTGCCGTGATACGAGTAGGGATGTTGCATGGCATCATAGACAGCGAGCCTGGAAAAATGTTCGAGAGTGGTTACTACAAATTCAAAAACGAGCAGTTGTTGTGGCTCCTTTTTTAGATCAAGTCGTTGAAGGTTTAGACGATGGAGAATTTTCTCCAAGGAGCACAGTTCAGCTAAAACGAACACCTTCTGGAACAATGATAAAAAAGGTCGATAGAGAAGCTCAGCAACATAAGGATACTCAAGCGCTCGGCTCAGAAGATCTGCAGGAGCGAGCCTATATTTGGGCTGATGACCCGTGGGCCGACGAAGAAAAGAGCCGAGCAACTTCGAGTGGAGATAGAACAAAAAATGTGAAAAAAAGTAGTGACATGATAGTTGGCTGGGGGGAGTGGAGCTGGAGTTGGTCTGAAGCTGTTCAGCTTCCCAGGGAATTCTGGCGAGCTCTCTTTGTTTTCTCTATTCTAAAGGTAGCTCGCTTTAGTGAAGCTTTCGTAACTTTGCATGCTCGAGCAATCGGGATGCAAGTTGCATACTTGCCAATACTTATGTTTGCAACAAATATAGTTCAGTCAATTCTTACGTATCCATTGGGAGTCATAGCGGACAAAGGCGATTTAAATGGAGCATCCGGTAGAAAATTCATGCTCCTTGGCGGTTTTGCAGTCATGGTACTTGCAGATATTGTACTAGTACTTGCTAAAGTTCCATGGCATGTTTTTGTTGGCTATCTAATTGTTGGTGTTCATATGTCAATGACGCAAGGAAATATGAAAGCTGTTCTTTCTGCAACCATGCCACCGAATGTTCGTGGAACAGGTTTTGCCATTTCAGCTTTATCCCAGGGTTTAGCACTTGGACTTGGGAACTATATGGCAGGTTTTCTTTGTGATTTGCTCGGAAGTAGCGGGGCATTCTGGGGAGGCATGTGCTGGAGTATATTTGCACTCGGTTCTGGCTGGCTTTTACTATAGCACTGGTGAACTATCACATTAAAAAAAACTCGTCTTTTCACTTTCGTAACAGGCGCCTTGCGAAGGCCTAAGAGAACTTGTAACTTTGCTTTGAATGAAAATGAATGAGTATACCTTCGATCCAATCAAACCAACCGATGGATTCAAAATGACGATGAGTGGAAAAGTTGATAATAGAAATGACGTTCGACTCTTTTCTCGTACGAAGGAGTTCAGTAACGTTCCATCTTCTAAGATTGATGTGAGACGCGTAGGAATGCCTCCGGCGATGTATACCCCACCACTAGCCAATGACTTTAAAGCCAGATTCGCTGCTTCTGTCCCCTAATTGTCACGTAAAAATAGTGATTCAAAATATATTTGATTTGACAAACCAGAATTTCTAAAAATATTTTCACAGTCGTAACACATATTGAACATGTTCCAGATAGTGCCTTTTCCGTAATCTTAGAAGTAATAGAATAATAATAATTTAGGTTTATAATCAATATTTCGAGTGAGCAGTAATACCTCGGCAGGATCTAGCATTGGCTCGTTAGTGTTTAGTTCTGTGCAAAGGAAATTGTAAATTCTCGCAAGACCATCACCACAGCACACATGTTCGACTTCACACTCCTATCAGTGAACAAAAATGATGATTACATCAGAATTTCTTTTGGGGGGTTTCCAAATTAAAATGAATGCCGCACCCCGATTTCATCCTCAACATATTTTAGAAGCTAATAGGTATTACTCGTTAACGTGAATTTTGGAAAAATATGTGAGTCTCTTACCTTACATTGCAAACCGCCCACGGGTGCAAAACGACCATGAGAACCCTACAAAAATTTAAATAAATGCTTCACTTGATTGTTAGCTACTTTCACCTCTGATGAGTACACCTCGTACTGGGAGAGTGAATTGTTCCAATACAAGAGAGCTTCCTAATTAATTAATGATAAATTTCATTACTTAACAAACAATAGATGAAACTTACTCCTAGGCCTGTTCCAGGTCCTATCAGAGCTATTGGTCCTGTCGGACTTTGAAGAAGACATTAATTTGAAATTATAGAAAAGATGTAAAATACTTTTTTGAACAATTATTCAGACGTAAAAGATCCGATTCCTCAAGCTCGTGAATCCCGTATCCAATCGCCTCGAAATCGTTCATAACACGCACACTTTTTATATCAAAAGTTTCCTCTAAACTTGCACCGTCTATTTTCCATGTCAAGTTCGTCATCTGAAATCTTACATGAGTTGCAAATAAAATTAGTTCAAAACAGAATACCTGGCACGAGTTGGCTTTGACAGGACCTGCAACAGCCAAGCAAGCTCGATCAATGCCTGAAATTCCCGATGACTACAAAAGACATGAATACTATTCAATTTCAGCAATGATATCTTACATTTAAGAGCTCTGTGACACACAGTTCAAATGTTGGAAACTTCTTGCACTTATATTCCTATAGCCACTTTTCAAAATGAACAAATTCAAGATTACAAATATTTTACCTGCTCTATTAAAAGCACATCCTTGCTACCGTCAGAACTAAAGTTCCATATCTGCATTATATTTATACGAGTGTGAGCATGTTATCCAAAGGACTAGATTAAATAAAACCTGAAAACGAGCGTTTGTGCCTCCGATATCTGCTGCTAGAATAGTCGAACTTGAATTCTCTTCAACCGACACATGAGATGAAGCCATCTAAAGCATTCATAAGAAAGATAGGATTAGAGTTGTCCGAAAATTATGAGTTGCGCTTTCACCAGTACACGTGCTTTAGCCCGTGGTAACTTTGAGTGACTTTTACCCTTTTTAAAGTGGGATTTTTTTAAGTTCAAAAGTGTTCAACGATACATGTAGTACCTTTTTTATTGATGGGTGAACTGTATATCTCGTTCTTTGATATGTAGTCAGAACTATTTTCTCTCTTGTGATGCTACCGCAGAAGTCTGTGGCTCTTATCATTTGTGTCACGAAGGGTCCAACAAGGTAGCAGTAAGGTTACACTTTTGACGATTTTAACTTTTGAATTGTTCTTCTTGACTTCTTGTTATTAATAGTTATATTTAGTTATGTACCTGTAGGTACCCGCGGTACCCTGTTAAATCAAGTATAGCACCAACATTTTGTCGAACTCGCGGTATATACTTTTTTTTTTAAGTACTCGTAAATAAAAAATAGAAATTGTTCTTCGTGTTCCTTGTGTGACTGTGAAATTTTTCATATTTCATTTCTTTTCTAGAACATTTCTACCTGTCTTCTATATCGTTGGCACATGACTACTGAATGTATGTAGCTTACCTTGATGAGTCATAGGTAATTCCATATTGAAAGAGGATGATACATTTTACTCTTCCGGAAAATGGAGGATATTTTTTGTAAGCTAGTATCGCACCACCCTGAAATTTAAGGAAGCCCCTACAATTCATGAGTTCGTATTTGGATCTTTGTAGAAAAGGCCACGATAATGGAATCACTCCAGGAACACAAGAATAAAAACGTTTTCGTGGGATAGCAATGCTGACCTTTCTTTCTCACGGAAGCGCAGTCGTTTTAACGTGTTTTATCATACTTTACTGTTTTTCTAACCGTAATATTTTTTGTACCACGTGTGTTTCAAAGCCTTGCAGAAGAATAGGTAAGAATGGTGACAATTCTCAAAGCAGAAACCAACGTTTGCTAGACTTTGCTACGAAAGAAGTGAAGAGCTTTCGTTCATATAATGCCTTTCCAGGTTCATTGAATTACTATAACGGCTTACGCTTTTATATTCATATTAATTCAGACTCTATTGAACTAGCGGAAGGCTTACAGTGTGTAAAGCAACGCTTTCCTGAATATTTTGTACCAGATGCGGGTGAAGACTTTCAAGCTGCAGTCAAGCTACTTTTTGTTCAATCTTCACTGGATCAGAAAGCACGTCGTCGCATCAAAGTTACTGTTTCAGATACAAATCTGATTACAATATATTTCTCAGAAAGAATAGAAGCATTTCTTGCACTAGGACGTTTGATGGTTGCAGCAAGAAATGCACCTTTTGGTCCTGTCAAAAGTAAGCAAGCATTAATCACTGCTGGAATGGAATTCGAAATTAATGTTACAGTTGAAGAACTGGGTTTCAAATTAGATACTAGTTCAGGAGGGGTGCCTCAAATGGAGAGGTTGCAAGATTTAACTGTTTCCCTCTCGCTCTATGGATACGGAACACTATTTATTTACATGGAAGATACATTTGTAGTAGAAAATGAGCCTTTTTTTGGTTATATGCAGAAGCGCTTCACTTATGAAGATTTTGTTATACTTGGTAAGACTGCAAAATCACTAGGAATAGAAATTGTTCCATCCATCTTGCTCATTGACGATATAAAGTCTCTCATCAATTGGCCATTTTATTCGTCAATGCTCAAAGCTCCTCCGAATAATGAAGCAAAATATGAGTTACTTCATCGTGTTCTACTTGCTGTGTCCGAACCGCTAGAATCGAGACGCATTCACATAAGTATTGGTGAGAAAACCCACGCATATTATGTACAAAAAGTTTATGCAAAGTGCTCTAAATATTTGGAACATATGCAAATTGACAGAGAATGTTTCAATATTGAGATTGAATCATATAGCAAGCATTTGAAAAGAATTGTTGATATCTCTAGAAGCTTAAAAATTGTCCCAGTCTTCTATACAGACTCAATTGAAATATGTTACAAAGAGCAGAGTATTAATCGAGTGAAATTTTCTGAAGATTGCAATGTGGATATAGATACTGAGGCATTCATTCAATTAAATGAAGCTTTAGGTGATGGTGAAATTGAGTTTATATATAGAAATTATGCTTTAGAAGAAAGTGCATTCGATAAGAAAATAGTACTATTGAGCTCTCTCCTGGATAATGATGCATTTCTCAAACAGAAAAGAAATTGGAGTATTTCCATTAGCCTGTGGTCATGGAACAGATTTTGGGTTGCTTTATACTGGTCAATGAACATGATGGAATCAGGATTCAACGTAGCATCGAAAAATAATGTAAAGCACGTTTACATTACTGCGTGGTCGCACGATGGTTCAGAGATATCAATGGCTTCAGTCGAAGCTGCACTGGCTTTCTTTAGTGAGCTTGTACATGCAAAGAATGCGCAAAATTCTCGAAGTGATATCATGCAACGGGTAGACGAGTCATTTAAAGTTTTGTTTCGCAGACCAGCTTCGTTCTCGGACATGTTGATTGCTTGTGCTCTCGATCAACCATCAGAAACCCCAGTCGGGTGGGGTACCACAAATCTTGCGAAATGGTTGACATGGGAAGATCCTTTGACAGCACATCTAAATCCACAGCTTGCAGAAACGAATATGATTACACATTATAGAATACTTACCGATAATCTCGATACTAAAATATCTCATTTTCTGAGACAGTTGAGAATACTAGGATCCGAGTTTGATGGAATAGAATATCACCCTTTGTCATTTCCTGCAGCAGTAGCACGCTTCCTCCACAGAAAGCTCACTTTTTATAAAATGTTTTCTATCTCTTACTCCAAAAATGACAAGAAGCAAATGGCAAAATTAATAGGAAGAAGGATTGATGGGACAAAGTTATCGGAAGTCAGCGTTTTAGAAGATTTGTTACTATGTTTAAGTTCACTGCATTCACTACATCATAGAATATGGATGTTAGAGTTTGACCCTCTTGGTTGGGCGAAGATTGAAAGTAGGTATGGTGTACTTAAAATTCGAATAGAATCAACAGGAAAATTGATTTATTCATATCTTCAAGATGAAAGTACGGCAGTGCGCGAAATGAAGAGCTATTTTTTTCAAAAGGCTAAAATTCATACAGTTGAAGTATTTGCTTTACCTCTTTTAACTTGGAACCAAGCAGCATTTCTTGGCCCTGGAGAATAAGAAATTATTAAAGCCATACAGAACTTATTGAACTCGTTATGAATTCATCTTCTGTCTTCCAAAATATTTTACGCTGCTTTAAATTTGCATCATAGCTTCTTGTAATGGTTTTGATATCATCATAATCACAAGAAGAACATATATTTTTTACTTCACGCAATATAACTTCACCATGGTTGAGCAAAGCAGGAAAAGTGGAAATTTTGTTCAAGATTACCAGGGATTTCCGAATGTCATACTGACTTCCCTTTCTCAAAAGATTCATGAAAGCATGAAGTAACTTCCTGTGCCAAATTATAATCTTTTTTACTTTGATTTGTGAATAAATCATCTCACCCTTTCTTTGAGTGGATGACGTGTTGTAACTTTCTTGAACAAGATGAACATAATCATCGTTGGAAGAAATATGTATAATTTTTCTGAACGATTCATCTAAGAAATATCCGTAATGTTCAGCTTCGAAATCAGTACAACATTCTATTTTCTTCTCTATATCCTCCATTACTATATCAAAATATTGGAAAAAGTCGAAGTGCGGTACAGTTTGCCTCAAACTCTCAAAAAAATTTGCAGTAAACATGGCATCTGATATAGAATTACTGCAGCGAGGCAAAACTAAATTTTGCATGAGATTGCAAATACTCTCTGTTCTCTGAAGAACATCACTCGGAAAAATATTTCTCAGAGAACGCAGTGCTATTCTTGTATCACAACTGTCTTTCTTCTGATTGAACATTTCCAGCTTTAGACGACTAATACACTCACCAATTTTCTCTGAAGTAAATATATGTTTTGAGCCAAGGTTGAAGGAACTTGAACTTGAATCCATATTCTGGGATGTTAATTTTGATATAATGTCGCTGTAACACCTTTCTGGAATATGTATATGATGTAATGAAAGGTTCCAGAATAATTCACATAACTTTATATTCAATGAGTGCCAATTTGACTTTTCCTGAGAAGCAGAAAACAAATTGCTTGTATTCATTTCTAAGTTAAAAGTCTCTACAAACTCAGAAATTTGGAAGTGTTTCCTATGAATTTTGAAAACTACATCTGGACTTAAATAGTATGATTCCTTCAGTTTCAGGACACTCGGAATACATGCTTTATACTCGCTTTCTGTGTAGGCAACTTGTAGAAAGTTTACGAATTGTGCAAAAATCTCGCGAGAATAATCCAGTGCCCTCACCAGCAAGTGTAATTTTTCAAATTTAGAACAGAAAATTAAGCACTGAAGATTTCTAGCCAAAAGAACTAGGTAGGGATTTACTAGTGAGTCCGAGCCATGCTTCTCAAAAGCATGCCTGAGTCTCTGAATACTTTTGACCTTGGAATTTGAAAATACATTACAAGCATTTGAAACCTGGTTCTGTAGCTCTTTACCACCAGCCAATGATTCTACTTGTTCCTTGCTCAGGTTTTCGAGCAGTTGATTTCCAGCCATGGCTAACAATATTTCCTTCAAGATGAGGAGTTCTGCAGTTTGATAATCTCTGATAGCGTTCAAAACGTAATGAAGAAGAGCCTGAATATCAAGCACTACGTACTTAAAGCTTGCATATCCACAAAACTTTGATAACGCAGCAAACCAAGAACAAGCATTCAATCCATCTTCTTTCATTTTTTCATTTTTTCCAAAAAATGCAGTTAATATCAAATACACAAGAATGTCAAAGCTTAAATATGACATGTATTTCAAAGAATCAACCGCTGGAACGACCATATTTGGATAAGCCTGCACTTGATTAACTATGACACTTAGCGTCGTTATTGGATTGCTATGAGCAATCTTGCCAATTTTCTTCCCACTATCCTTTGCATTTTCTTTGGAAAGTCGTCGTAGAGCTCTCTGTGTTTTTAGTTGTTCTAAAAAATGTACATTCGGATTATTTGATATTACCCATAAGTTATAGACCCGATAGCGAGCTTGATGTGGCATATTGTTTAGAGCTGACCATATCTCATCAGCTACTGCTGGATTATTCGGAAAGTACGAAAGACTGGGGCAAAAGCAAAATCCAAAAGCTTTTATTAGTAAGTCAATTTCTGTGTTTAATTCTAGATTTTGAGTAGCCAAACGGAAATATCTTAGTACATAGATATAAAGAACCATATCAGCTGCTAGAATATGTGACCCCAAGCAAAGTAATAACTCCAGAAGCTTATAATGCCATGAATTAGAATTCTTCACACAAGAAACACTTAATGAATAGTTAAACTCCTCTGTACAAGATGATGCTTCAAGTAAAGAAGAAATCATACTCAAGAGCGATATTTTGATGTCAGATCGAAATTGAAAGCGCTGAAGACGTAACCCAAGATGTCTTAAAATAAATCTTGTGAAAACCAATTCCTCATAACTTAAATATAAACGTAGCAAACTGATCTCTTCGTTTACTAAGTATTGAATTAATGCCACATTCCATGTTTGAGCAGTATCTTCGCACATATTTTGCAAAGAAAAATTCAGCTTAAACCACTTTTCAAAATTTTTTGACGTACTTGAGCTGTAAAAATCCAAGGAATGAGAAGAAATTAATTGGGCGAGAACAAATTCTGATGTCAAGTCAAACTGCGAAATAGTAGTGCTATTCATCCAGACTTGTCGCGATAATTTGCTCTTTTCTTCAAGACCCAGGCGAAACTGCACAGCATAATACAACTCATAATCACAAAACTTCAACGGTTCATTCAAAGCTTTCTTGTAAGATATTCTGAATGCTTTTGACAGCGATGAAAGTAATAAGAAAAACAGATTGCTGCAAACTTTCTCGAAACTGCCAAATACAAGAATCAAGGATTTCATAAAGTATACCTCCATGTCATTGTCCGACAGGTGAAAAAGAAACAAATGTACCATTCCGCTTGATGCTATTTTTCTACAGTGAATTCGCCTAATATTTTCTCTGTAATTTTGAAGAATTAGTAGCTGTTTTGACAAGCGCAAACAACCTTCAATATTTTTTGCTCCATCATAATTCTCTCTCGGATTTGCAGCATTGTCAACAGGAAAGCAATGAAATAGTGCATGAATGCAGGGCTCTCTTTGAATTGTGCTATAATCGTTTGCAAAGGCATCTAACCACACTATATCTGACGCAATTGAGTCGTACAAATATTCCGTTTTACAAAACTTTTCGTGATACTTTTCTTTAAACTCCTTGCTGGACTGCATCCTACAAAACGCAAGAAGGATGATACATAGCCCTTAACTTCCCCAAGTTTATCGTAGATACTTCGTTTTTTTTTCTCAAAAAAGGAACGGATATTCTCTTCCAATCCCTTTTCCTGAAGAACAATTCCCAAGAAGTATAGGATCAAAATGCTTCAAATATTCGGGGAAAAGGTAAGACGGTAAGGATCTTCGTCGATCGTGCGATCGACTCGCTTTCGTTAGACGTAATTTTGTTTCTTCTTGTTTCTTCATAAAAACACACAACACCAGGTAACAGCCAACGGACGATAATTTAAATCAGGTTGACTAACAATAATATTTCATATTTGTTTTTACGAAGACACCTCTGAATTGTTTGAGGTTCAGGTTTGCGAAGTGCACAAGAAAAGCGACTATTTATAGGACCTTGTACTTACAAATACATCCACGCCTTTCGTATGTATATAAACGCCTCCCGTGTAGAAAAGTACTGCGTCGGATCCTTCTTCTTTTTCCCCAGCAGCGGATTATCATATCATATTTAGGATAGATAATAAGTTTTACAACTAAAAGTGCCGCAACGGACAAGTTTAGGGTGCGAGTGACAACCCGTAAACCCGTACAAAGGCCAAAACGACTAAACACGACACTTACAGACAGTCACTCAACGGAAAACCAGTATCCCAAAGAGAGTCAGACTGTCCCGAGTGTGCCGGAGAGTCGGCAGATTTTGTGCTTTCCATTGGATTTTACAAGTTTTAATCAATCAGTCTTTGGATTTAAGAGGACTTTACAAATATTTTCAATAATTAGTCAAATAAAGTTGAAAGCGGATATGCAAGATCCCGACGCATTCGATCTCGGTGGATTCGAATTCAGTGCTTCTTCTCATAATGCAAAGGAAGGAGGTTTCACTTCAAAATTAGCAACTAAAACGGGAACAACTATTAGCGGTGTGATCTATGCAGATGGTGTAGTCCTTGGGGCAGATACAAGATCGACGAATGGAGAGACTGTGGCTGATAAGAACTGTGAGAAAATCCATTACATCGCACCAAATATTTACTGCTGTGGTGCAGGCACTGCTGCAGACACAGAAGCTGTCACGGGTACATATTATGTCTATTTTTCCATCTTTCAACTAATTCTCATTCTCAAAGGAATGGTTTCTTCTGCACTCTTCCTCCATCGTAAATCAACACTTAGGGAGAGTCGTGTTGTATCCGCGCAAAGTATCTTGAAAAGTCATCTTTTCAAATATCAAGGCCATGTAGGCGCTGCATTAGTCCTTGGTGGCTTCGATATTCACGGCCCTCAACTTTTCACAGTTTATCCTCACGGTTCCTCTGACTGTTTGCCGTATGCTACAATGGGTAGCGGCTCTTTGGCTGCGATGTCCATATTTGAAAGCGACTATAAAGATGGCATGAGCGAAGATGAAGCAAAATTACTTGTTGCCAGGTCTATACGTGCAGGTATATTCAATGATTTGGGATCTGGGTCAAATATAGATCTATGTGTCTTAAGCAGAGCAGGCACGAAGTATTTACGGAACTTCGAAATACCACAGGAACGCACTTACATTCGTGCGGAGGGATATAAGTTCAAAACTGGTACAACTGTTATAAACAAAAGGAATTTTCAAACCGCCACTTCCACAACGACGGAACCGAAGAAAATTCTTTGATTTTTTTCCACGTATGGAATAGAAAAATTTGCAGAGGAAGAGTTATTGCTCGTAGCTCAGTGTGTGATTTTAGATATAGTTCTTTCTAGCTAGTTTGTAAAAAGATCATAAGCCTGCCTCATTTCGTAAGAAAGTGAAAAACATCTTCAAAACCTTCTCCAGTAAGGCAAGAGATATCAATTAGTGAGAGTTTTGCGTGGAACTCCTCAACTACCAAACCAATTGATCTACCAAGCTCTGAAGCAGAATTAGAAACTTTGTCAAAAGCTGCCTGAAACTTTTCAAAATCAGATAACCACGTTCTAATCTGCTTCGAATTGGTTATATCGACCTTATTCAGTAAAAGAATAAGTCGAACTCGGGATTTATACAGAACACTAATCGCCTGCAAAATATTACTGACAAAAACTTGTGGATTATTATTCGAACGAGAGGTATCAAGGATGTAGAAGAGAAATGTTTCGAACCGGCTTGCAATTGCTTCGGTGATTATTGTCCCCGAAGCTGACCATGTAAAAATTTCTATCTGTCCAGGAGTATCAACAACGATAAAATCTATTTCATTCCGACGCCTTTCACAAAGTGATATAACTTGGTCAAATCTTGTTGCAAAAAGATTGGCAGCTGTTAATATGGCTCCATTTGGTCCGAGACTGTAATCTTTCATCACCTTTTTAAAGTTGATAGTATCGCGAATATCTATATTTGGAACGTATGGAATTTTAGTCGTGGCTGGATCGATATTCAAAATGTAGGTTCGCATTTTCTTCGCGTGTGATGCTGAATTGAACCTTTGAATAAAACTAGTTTTCCCAGATCCAGCCATACCTACAACTATAATTGCAACTGTTTTTCTCTCATAAGTTTCCGACATCGTGCTCAACCTTCTTATGCTGTTTAAGCCTGTATTAGACTCTCTTCATTAAAAATACACTTCAAAGTTATCAGGAACACGTATTATAGGAGAATGCCTCACACCAGTATCTTTAGACGTATCTTTAGACTCTAGTTCTTTACTCAACTTCTTTGTATTTTGCAGTTTCTTGCCTTATGATACGTTCACAAAAAATATTCTTCGAGTCATGATATATATAATACGTACCACAGGTAGTGTGTACATATGTAAACGATTTCTTCTGCTTCTGAGTTTTTTACATTTTTGAAATAGGTGTCACCACTCCGGCAGTCTCACTGTATCCCCTTCGAGGTGTCCCGGGCCGACTTCCAAGGGTAAAAATTTGAAGAAAAATTTTCACCTTTCCTATATTTTGGTGTACCCAGAATCCCCAAAGGAAACTTGAAGTATGAAGGAGGTGACGGATATACAGTTTGCAAATGTTGATAAGTTCGCAGTCTGCATGATAGCATCGTGGTACATATCTAATATTGGAGTATTATTGCTGAACAAATACCTGTTGAGCCTCTGGGGCTTCAAGTATCCAATTTTCCTCACTATGCTGCACATGCTTTCCTGCTTAATCCTTAGCGTTGTTATCCGTTTGACAGGATTAGTTCCTCGTCAGCACATCCGAAGCAGACGGCATCTGTTCAAAGTTTTTGTTCTTTCTATCGTCTTTGTTGTATCAGTAGTTGGAGGGAATATCTCACTCAGGTTCATACCTGTATCTTTTAATCAGGCAATTGGTGCAACTACTCCTTTTTTTACAGCGTTGGTGAGTTTATTGATTTTATATTGTAACTTGAACTGATTTTTATGCGCAACGAAGCTTTCTTTGTGTATATTGAGGAAAAAGGAGACAGCAGAGGTTTGCTCAATATGTTTTCTTTTCTTCTCGCTAATAAAAATTGCAAAAGGTGTATATAACGTTGGTACCTGTAGTAATTGGTATTGTTCTTGCAAGTAATAGCGAACCACTTTTCCACCTTTGGGGATTTCTTGCATGTTTTACGGCTACATTTGCGCGTGCCCTAAAATCAGTGTTACAAGGCTTGCTTCTAACAAACGAAAATGAAAGATTGGATTCTTTGAATCTTCTCTTATTTATGTCGCCAAGTGCATTAGGTAAATCTATCTAAGGTTTCTACAACTTAGCAAAAATTTAAGTCTTTTTCACAGCAATACTAAGCATATCTAGTAAAATAATGGAACCATTGGCATTCGAAACGATGTTATCTAATTGCAAGTCTAGCCGTATCTTCGGATTCGTGCTTGTCGTGAACTGTAGTATTGCTTTCTTAGTGAATCTTAGCAACTTCATGGTTACAAAATGTACAAGTCCTCTAACTTTACAGGTGTTAGGAAATGCGAAGGTGCTACTTTAAAGATATTCACTAGGTCAAAACTTAACTCGTTCAACGTTAATGTAGGGAGCTGTAGCTGTAGTTGTATCTATTTTACTTTTCCGCAATCCAGTGAGTAGTACGGGTATGATTGGATATACTATCACAGTCTTTGGGTAAGTCCTTCGCTGTGGTCCTTTGCCTCCTTACGAGCTTTTACAGAGTTGTTTTCTATTCTGAAGCGAAAAAAAGAAGCGGAAAAATTTAGACTAGCTCTAAAAAACAAAGGAATTGTACGTATCTCTTTTGTAGACAGGAGCAATATTTTAATAATGATCCAATGTTCCTCAAATAGCATAACTAAATATCATCATCTTTGAGGGTGAAGAATCTGTGTTCTAGAATGTCCTCAGCTTTTTTGCGACTAAAGCGGCTTGGGGAAAGCATATTCGCTATGATTTCATTTCCCTGCCCCATTTCCGCCATCGAGAACTTGCAATTCTCCTGTAGAGAAATTACAGACATCTTTTCTCCACAATATAAAATCGTACCCACATTCCTCAAGTTCCAAGTTGAACTTATCTAGTGCATTCGGATCCCTAAGACATGGTACCAGCAGTTGTAATATAACTAGACCAATAGCAAAAATATCAAACTTTTCTGGCATATATTCTGACCATAATTTTTCTAAATTATCACTTTCGGGAGTATTGGCGCTAGACGGCAGCAGGTATTTATCGTCAGGTTTCGAATATCTAGGATCAGCCGGTCCAACTCCAGGTTTATAACTTATTGACTGACCCAAGCATAGGGCAGCACCGCCTAAATCTATGAACTTAACTCCGTTCCTTGTTAAGATAATATTTTCTGGTTTCACATCGCGGTGCACGATTCCTATGGCATGAATTTTAGATAAACAAACCAACAAATCCGTGCTAACCCGTCGATATAAATCAACTGGAGAAGAACTATTGTAAGAAGTGTAAGAGCGGCGAAGAAGATCCAAACTTTTAGTCTCGTCTAATTTTAGAGCATCTTGGAGAGTATTTTCTGCTTCATATGCCCACATTAACCATAAGCCTGTGGGAAGCGATCCATCGTAGAGATTTCCTGAGTTGCGCTCATCTATTTCACAACACCCGTGGAATCGTGCACAGGATCCTTTTGCATTTCTATGTATATATTCGTTTATTTCTAATTCAGAATCGAGAAGCTCATCTGCTTCCATGACACTTGATTTTGAAGTTTTCAAAACAACTTTTTGTCCTTTCCACTCTCCAAGAAAAACTTTACCGAAATTCCCTTCTCCAATCAAACCGTTCCGATATACTCTGATATTCTTTGGGTCTACACCAACAGTTCTTCTTATTACTCTTGGGCCACTATTTTTCTTTTCTTTCTTCTGTTCCCAATAGCTAGACACTTCATCCAGTTCTGGATTACTGACAGGTTTAGCTCTACTCAAGTTCAATATTATGACATTCTTGTCAGGAGATTCACTTATCCGTTCTAGAATATTATCAAAAAGTATGTTTGGACCGCAATCATACGCACAGTCATCAACTTCAATGCTTATCAGAATATCACCCTTATCTATCTTTTTAGTTTTCGAAGCATTTCCGCCTTCTATAACTTCTGCTACTAGCGCTCCTCTAGAATTCTCAATACTTTCAAGAATTATGCCTAACGGTCTACTCATCTCAACACTGAAGTTGTTGGCATCATATCTAAGAGCTGCGTAAATAAAATTTCCTTTGGACATTTTGTCGTGGGTAGCAAATTTCCTTTCACAATTTGCCCGCATCTTGAGGGAGCCTAATAAAGCACGAGTAAAAAGTGAACTCGCAAGCATTTTTATCAATCGGTAGTGAATTTTACTTTCTCAATCGCAATAGAATGCAAGCGAATGTGAATCCATTGACAGCCGGTAGTAACACTACACAAAAACACGACGTTACTTACACTGGGCACTATCGGCATTTGAGCCTTGGAAGAAACAAAATCAAAAACCCTAAATAAATTGCCTCATAGAAAAAGATAATTTTGGGACGGACAAGACAAGTTAAAAGAAGAGCATACTAGCGGGAAGAAAATATTTTGTTTGAAGAACTTCAGTGCAACCACGAGAGCAAAAAGCAGTATAAGCAGTCCAACACACCAGCAGACGTATATTCATATTTCTGTTTTTCAGCGAAATATACAAATATTCGTGGACACAGTTTTATTTAGCCCACGGTAAAAAAAATCCAAAAGAGAACACTGCTTCTTCTTTCGCGTCTTCTGATGGATTCAGGAAGAGAAGATGAGGGCATGGTGAAGTTGCGCTTCTGTCCTAACAGCAATGATTTACTGTATCCCAAGGAAGATCGAGAAAGGCAAAAGTTAGTTTATGTCTGTAGAAACTGCGACTATTTGATAGATGCCGACAGTGACTGTGTATATCGTAACTCAATCGCCCATACATCAGATGAAGTTACGACTGTAATTCAAGATGTTCGCACGGACCCGACTCTCCCGAGATCTAACGATGCTCGTTGTTCTAAATGTGGTCACAGAGAGGCAGTATTTTTCTCGTTAACAACAACAGATGGTATGTCCTTATTTTTTCAGTGTGTTTCGTGTGCATACAAGTGGAAGGATACAGGAAGTGCCGTTGAAGAAAGCTAAGGGTGAGTGAACTTCTTACAATCTTGTGAAGATCACTCCTTTTGTTACTACTGCGTATCGCGCATGGTTAGAATTCATATTATTTTTCTAGTAGGAAAGAGCCATTTTAGCACACAACTATCTAGCTTCAAATTGAACCACTGTGAAAATATTAAAGCAACTTAGAAGAACCTATTGGTTACACACGGAAGTCCACCTACCTTGCTTCGTTCTCTTTTTGAAAAGGATACGATACCCGCATTCTCTGCATATTACAATGTCGCCAGGGCGTAAAACAACTTCAGAACCGCAATCTGCACCAAAGTAAGTTTGAAAACTGAAAGAATTGAAAAAAAGATACCTCCACAGTTATATGCGATTCCAGGAATCCTATGGGTTGAATGATCTTCGTTCATTTCTTGCGCTTGCTCGTTCAGCAATTTTTTTCCGATTCACGCTGTTAGAATGTATCCCACTGTATGCGTGGGAGTGGAAGGAATCGTTCGGGTGGTCTCTGTGCAAAAAATTGCTGCAGCTGAAGACCTGAAGTAAAATCGAAGTCGAAAGTGAGTGTTCCTTGGTTGGGTGAACAATTCAGCTTCGATCAAGCTTGAAAGCAATTCAGATTTTCAGTATATATTCACTTTTAATTTCCATGCACAGCTCGTACCCTCTGATTTTTTATTTTGGCCGACAAATCTCACCGTTTTCAAGCAAGGGGGTCAAGAAAAGGAGAAGAACCCTAAACACACAAACACTTTAGATACCACATTTTATCTTCATATGTCATTAATCCAAATCGGAAAAGTCGACAAAGAACACCAGCCCGAAAATGTTAGTTCTAAGCTCAGGAAGTATCCAACTTGCACGCAAATCTGCGAATAATGTGCAGCGTAGCAAGCGCGTATCGGTAGAAGCCTCCCACCGTAACACTTCCCGCGGAGAGGAAGTTCAGAAAAGAAATTCCGCCTGCGTCTCCACGATTATGTCTGGTAAGTTCTTGTCGGAGTCAAATTCTCGTACAAACCATGCCTATTATGGCCGCGCCGAATTTCTAAAGTGGAATTCGGCGTGAGCTCAATTGTGGCCTGTTCGAACTTTGGACTTTTACTTGGATTCTCCTCACGATTTAAATCCAAAGCGCTCAATCTAACGACACTTTTACTGTAGGTTTGTCAATTGCTTGCTTACCATCCGAAGCCTCGGATGGATTGTCGTCGTTGTCTTCTCAGGTAATCTGTGAAGTTCATGGCTCACTATTTATAATTCTAAATTCCTCTATTTTACTACAGATATTGGAAATTTCTGACGCTGCTACACCATTTTTGTATGTTGGATTTCTTGCCTCTTCTCTTGCTTTCACCATTGGAACAGTAAGTCGCATTTTCTTCTCTAGTAGCTTCAATTTACGTTTTATGAACCACAGTACCTTGCATTGACGAAGATTAAGTTGATCTAGTCAAAATTGTTAGGAGATAGTTCTTTTAAATGAGTGCAAAAGCTACACTTTTGTTTTTTTATTCTTCCTTGTTTCCTATCAGATCTAGGATGAACTCGAAGCTTCAAACGCTGTTAAGTATCATAATCAACGCGCACACCCTTCAAAATTTCCATCGATATCTACTTTAACCTCAGTAGGAACTACTTCTCTTCCATTCGATTGCGTCGCGTGCTACTAGACAGAAGACTGGAGTGGAGATAAATGTAAGAAGTATGACTGGTGTGAAGATCAATGTACAACATGAAATAGCTTCTAAAGGAATTATTTTAAAACTTCGTAATTGAATATGAGACTTCTCTTCATAATTCTATCTACCCTCGTACATGCACTTGTTTTAAACATGTTCTTCTCAGTGAACTCAAGGCTCTGAAGTATACATCTGGATTCCTGAAGCAGAAACAGCCAAGTTTGTTGGATGGTCAATTATCGCATCAATCAAACCATAACTAACTGCATCTGCAGCAGACATAAAAAAATCACGGTCAGTATCCTCCATTACTTTCTCAAGAGGTTTATTTGTAAACTCTGCAAGATATCCGTTCAGCGTGGATTTGTGATGCATAATTTCATTCGCTTGAATTTCAATATCAGCAGCTTGTCCTTGTGCACCTCCTAAGGGTTGATGTATCATAATTCGGCTATTTGGAAGACTAAATCGTTTCCCCTTTTGACCCGATGCCAAAAGAAATGCGCCCATTGAAGCTGCAAGACCAACGCAAACTGTTGAAACATCAGGTCTAATATGTCTCATCGTGTCAAAAACAGCCATGCCTGCAGTCACTGACCCACCTGGAGAGTTAATATATAGCGTAATATCCTTTTTTGGATCGATGCTGTCTAACCACAACAACTGAGCAACTATTAAATTACAGCTATCATCGTCAACAGCTCCGCCCAAGCGTATAATTCGCTGAGTCATAAGTTGGCTGGCAACCCCTTGAAACCTTTCCATAACTTGAGCCGGTGGTCCTCTCCCTTGCTGCGCATAAGCACCACTCCCAGAACGTACTAGATTACGATAATTATATTCAGTTGGCGTGAAGCGAGGGAATGGCTTCAAAGTACACACACCTCTGTTGTTTTTTCTGAGGCTGCAGTTGTTTTGCTCCCCCGAGCAACTTATGAGTGGATTCAGGACTCTACGAGGCGACGCGATCGAAGCAACGCTCATGTTGGTTGATTCAAGAATGCTGTGAAATCAATTTTGGCCAAAAACTGATTTTTCCTCGTCAGAACCTGTTCAAGGAAGAAGAACACTGCCCCGTGGTTTCGCGCAGCCTACAGATTTTTGGGAGTTTGACGATCCCTTGTTTTTTTTCCTTCTTTTCTTTTAGAAGTTGTTTTACCCGCGGGTAGTCTGATCCATTGGGTGAAATTCCATTCCCCCTAAAAAGACAAAATCCGTTTCCCCTAATAGTGGCCCCCTGACAAAAAAAACGATTACTGAAAAAAAACGAAAGTACAAAACGAAAAGAGAAGTTCTACGCGTAGTGTCGTTCTTTCGAAGTGTGCAATATTACAATAGAAATAGCAAGGAAGCTAATCTTCAAATGCTACTATGCCAGAGTCTCATTAAGAGATTAGAGTCTGCGACTGAAATCAAGAGAAAGTCTTTCAGTACAAGTTCGATTCCCTCACTTTAAACTTTTATGTTATGATTTACTCTCGGGAATAAAAACCTGAAGCATAATTTCGTGCTGTTGATATGTATTGCTTTCAGCTCATTTTCCTGGCCCTGTGCTCTTTGATGATTGCTTCCTTTCAACTTGATGTTCGAAAAATTGGTGAGCTCGGTATCCTCTCCCGAGACTTTAGTCAAAAGCCTTTCTGGCAGTCTTCTGAAGAAATTCAAGATCGACTTAGCTCTGAAGGGCAGTTTCATATGAGTGATTCTGTAGTTGACACCTCTCTTGAGGAAGAAATTGAGACCTTAGAGGAGAAAAATAGCAAAAGACAAAGTTCTTCTTCTGGACCAATGAAGTTAAAGTTACAGCACAATGATAGTGAAATTATTGTAAGGCAGAAAGCTCTCCGCCGATGGCCACCTCCGCACTGCAAAGGATCATACCCTGCTTATCCTCCCAAAGTGAAGAATATTGAGTACGAAAAGAGCACCGAGAGTTCTCGCAGAAGACTTTTATCTGAAGCTCCAACAGAGTTGCTTTTGGATAAAAATCCCCCAGATGTGAAGTTTCAAGCAGAAATTTATAACTACATAAGAAATTTCATGGCATCTCCCACTCCTTGCTCTTACAGAAATTGTCCAGAAATCATTGATGACTCGGGAGAAGGAAAATTGCCCATATACCCGTGGCCTTGCATCTTCAGAACCCGCAACGAACAATGCTCCTTCAAGGAGGAAGGAAAATATAAGTTGCCACCAGCTTTGGAAAAAGATTCTCTAGGAAGTTGTGCATTCATCGGTACTGGTGATCAGCTTCTTCAGGCCAAGTTTGGTGACGAAATAGATGCTCATGATACTGTTATTCGTTATAATACTCCAATTAAAGGTTATGAGAAGAATGTTGGGACAAAAACTACTTTGATGTTTGTGAAAGGACACTACAAGACTTCTGCTAAGCCAAAACTCGGCTATTTTGACGCTAAGGTACCTCTTCCCAAAGGATCGAACGTGTATGCTATCGACACTGACGTTGGTATGCGACCAATGAGAACGTTAAGGAACGAACTTGTGAACATTTGGCTGAAAAGAAACAAAATTAAGGATGGCAAACCTGCGGCTGGACTCATGAGGACTCAGATGCTTATAAAATCCGGTTTATGTACCTCGGTGGATCTCTATGGATTTTCGACGAAGGGGAGCGTTCGAAGTGGGAAGTACTTTGATAAAAAAGCTATCGTAACAAAGGGTCATACGATTGATTGGGACGGCTGGATCTTGTCAGCTATGATGGACTTAGGTTACATTTGTGTGTATGGTTCCTAGAACCGTAGAATTAGATGAAGATCGTAGTAGAGAAAGTAGACCCGGTCCTGGAGATGAGGAAAAGATCTGGTTTACGGCTGGGTTGCAATATGTTGCAATATAATAAAAAGCATTATCTAAGGGTCACACCTAACTCTTCTACCATTTTGGTTCTCACGGAATCTTGCAGCTCATTCACCTCTTCATCAGTAAGAGAACGCTCCATGGATCGATATACTATTCTAAAACAATTTGATGTCTTCCCTGTTTTTGAATTGTGAAACTCATCGATAAGCTTAACTTCTTCTACAAGATTTCCAGCAACCCCACGGACTAGTTCGCACAAATTATTCTCAGTAAAATTTGTCACTTTTTCTGGCAACCAAAACGAAACGTCTTTCAAGCAAGGTGGATATTTAGAATAGCTTTTAAACTTTTTCATGCCAACACCGCCAGCTCGGAACATTTGAGCTTTGAACTGATTGCTAAATCGAGGATCATCTGACCAGAAAAGTCGAATATCTGGGATGTCAAAAAGAACCATTGCCAAACGCTCTAGACCAAGCCCAAATGCCCAAGCCTTTTTCCCTGCATTACCGGAGTCTTCTAATATAGACTGCTGCATGACACCACATCCGAGGACCTCTAACCACTCACCGTTGAAAAAGATTTCCAACTCGTAGGAAGGCTCTGTAAAAGGAAAGTATGCATCGACCCAGCGCATCTCTACTTCACCAAAAAGATGTTGCGCCAATCCTTCTAAAGTTTCTTTTAATTCTTTGCTGACAACTTCAACTTCGCTCAAATGGTCTGAATTAAGTTCTGCTGCATCAAAAACGCGCACTCCTTCCATTTGGTGAAAAACTGGAAAGTGTGTAGCATCAATGGTGTCACGGCGATAAACGTCCCCTGTGACTAGAAACTGTTTTTCTCCACCTTTCAGTTTTTCATGTTGATGCGCAGAAGTGTGACAACGTAACACGCTATCGGCATTGACATAGTATGTATCATTTACTGACCGGGAGATGTGATCTTTAGGTACTAACACAGAATCAAAGTTCTCGAAAGTTGATACTATCGGATGGATGTCATCGAATCTTTTGAACGAACTATTTCCAAACTTGGAGTCAAAATAGTCGCCAATTACATTTTTTAATATTCCAAGGGGATGATCAGGTCGTTGGTGCAAGTTTATTCCAAGTCTTTGATATATATAATCCGAGACATTATTGTGTGGGTCCCCTGTGATGACGTCTATAAAAAAGACAGGGATAGAAAAGATTAGTAAACTAAGAGAATATACTTCGTGTAGTAATCAGACGATTTACCTTCTCTTTTTATTGCCGAAAGTGCTTTAAAATGCGCGCGTCCAGAGTTCTTTCGAGTTGTTATATTTGAGCAAGTTTCCTTAAATACTCCGCGTCTTCCGGTACGAAGATAAGAAGGAGCTGAAATTCTGCCACCACTGGGTTCCCCGCAAAAAGATGTGCGACACAGAAACTTTTAGATTGAAGCAGAAAGAAAATAGAAATATCCTCACCCTCGCAAGCGACTACCCATCATAAATCTTAGATGTGTGTTCGTCGTATTCACGCTACATTTAAACATTTGATAGCTACTTTCTATGTATGAAGATACACCGATACCTTTGGGGCCTAAACCCAAGACGAAGTCTAGGGTGTCAAAAAAATTCAGCCCCCGAATAATTTTCCTTTTCCTTTTCTTTTTTTCAATTCCGCCGGCCGAATCACTTCAAAGTCGAAAACGTCAATTGGGCGGCGGCAATTTCGCACTTTTCTTGCTTTGTTGTACTGTCTCTTCTTTGCAGTTGTGACGGATTGACCAAAGATATAGGCAACTCACGTGATTAACGTACGTCTGCAAATTACACTGCCTCTCAACGGTAGTTATTCTGATACGGTTTTGTATTAGCTTAAAGCGTGATTCTTGCATTCTGTTAATTCTTCTCCCCTTTCGCGTCCCTACACTCCGATACATAATGACTGAATTCATGATAAAGCCATCTGATGAATCTCAAGTCTATGATGCATCAACATGGCCACTGCTACTGAAGAATTACGATCGCTTGATGGTAATTGAATTATTATCAAATCTATCATAATATTTAAGTATTATTTTTTTCTAGGTTCGCACAGGACACTATACCCCAATTCCCTGTGGTTATTCACCCTTGAAACGTCCTATTTCGGAATACATTCGCTATGGAGTTATTAATTTGGATAAACCAGCTAATCCTTCCTCGCACGAGGTTGTTGCTTGGCTAAAGCGTATTCTGAGAGTAGAAAAAACCGGTCACAGTGGGACATTGGATCCAAAAGTAACAGGTTCTCTCATAGTTTGCATCGATCGTGCAACACGTCTTGTGAAGGCACAGCAAGGTGCTGGAAAAGAATATGTTTGCATCTGCCGTTTGCATGCCTCTCCTAAAGATGGGAAGACCTCAGTAGAACGTGCAATTGAAACCTTGACTGGTGCGCTTTTTCAACGCCCTCCACTGATTTCTGCAGTGAAGCGCCAACTTCGAATTAGAACTATATACGCAAGTAAACTACTTGATTATGATGCAGAACGTAACCTTTGTGTTTTCTGGGTGTCATGCGAAGCTGGAACTTATATTCGGACTTTATGTGTTCATTTGGGTCTCATACTTGGCGTTGGTGGTCATATGCAGGAGCTCCGTAGGGTACGTTCAGGCGTATGCGATGAAAATGATAATTTGGTGACGATGCATGATGTTCTCGATGCACAGTGGTGCCGAGATAATCTACAGAAAGAAGATTATCTTCGACGCGTGGTTATGCCTCTTGAAGTCTTATTGACCAATTTTAAACGCCTTGTAGTTAAAGATTCGGCCGTGAACGCAATTTGCTATGGTGCAAAACTAATGATTCCAGGTCTACTGAGGTACGAGAGTGGAGTTGAAGTCGGAGAAGAGTGCATCTTGATAACAACAAAAGGCGAGGCTATTGCTACTGCAACAGCCCAAATGAATACTGCTATAATGGCTACATGTGATCATGGCTGTGTGGCAAAGGTTAAGCGTGTTGTAATGGAACGAGACACCTATCCACGGCGTTGGGGCCTTGGGCCAACAGCTGTTGCAAAAAAAAAGTCAGTTGCTGATGGGACCATGGACAAATTCGGTAACAAAAGTAAGGGTGTGCAAGATGATATGAAAAATTCTAATGAAGAAGCTCCAAATGAAGGTAAGAAAAAAAAGAAGAAAAAGGACGAAAAAGAAAAAAAGTGATGTTGGCCAAGCAGACTATATAATAGAGCCTGGTTCAAAATGAGCAGACACTGAAGCTTTGCCTCTAAAAACTAGCCTAACTTTGTCCAACTTATTTATAACACTATGCATCAGCTTAATACTCCTAGTATTAAATGATCATTTATGAGAAACAAATACAACTACCAGTATGCTAGGGAAATCTTTCGTGAGTGAACTTTAGTGGAAAAAAATAAAAATACCCCTGTCGTGTTGTCCGCCTTCCGTAAAACATACCATTCCAACCGCTTCAACTATTGCAAGTTTGCTGAATGTTAGAAGTATCACTTACGCTCAGAAAACCGCCATAGTTTCAATTCATGATCTATGTCATTCTTTAAAAAGAAAGAAACTATAGAATTCCTGTTTCTACTAATGTTGACTGCCACAGCTAAGTTAGATGATTCTTCATGAATTCTTTTCACCGGAATAGAACATAAAAGTTGTTGAGAATTCGAATCCCACAAATAAAGGTGTCCGTTTTCCGAACCACACACAATCAATTCAGCTTCCTTGATTTTCACGTAGGAACTAGGCAAGCAAAATTCTCTGTTCATATGGGATCTATATTTCTTCACACTTCTACCTGAATTTATATCAATCAACATAATAGAATCAGACAAAGTACCAAGCAATATGTATGATGGATTGGGTGTGCAACAAAGGAATGATATGGGTATTGCTTTATCTTCTGAAACTGAAAGAGACTTAAGGCAAGCTCCACTATGTTTATCCCAAAAGCGACAACTTCCGTCATAGCTTCCAGTTATGATTATGCTCCCATCCGCACTGAAACAAATACTAGAAATGGGGTCGGCGTGAGCTGGTATAATTAGCATACATTTCCCATTTTTAATATCCCATAAACGTAAAGTTTCATCCGAAGAACCACTTGCGAGCACGTTACTACTCGGTAAATTAAAAGCACAGCAAGTGACAGAACATTCATGACCTGCCAGTAAACGAATGCATTTGCCTGTCAAAGAGTCCCAAAGCATGAGAAAAGTATCATCTGATGCAGTAGCAATAATTTTATCGTCACTACTCCAGGTAAAGTCGCACAAGCCTCCGGAATGACCTACAAGAATTTGAGCCAATATACCTGTTTTCGTGGACCAGATTCGACAAGTTTTATCCCCAGATACACTTGCGACTCTTCACAAGGCGTATCGAACGCATGAAGTCAGTATTGTTTCGAACATATAGTTCATTTACTTACCTGGAGCCATCGTTGGAAAATTTTGCTGACGCTATCGTTTTTTCATGCCCTCTACAGGCGAAGTCGAACTCAACACTCCGTGAAGGAGCAGATTTTGACAACAACATCATTCTATAGAAAATTTGATCTGAAATCTTCTTGTAACATATCTATCGAGACTGCAGGGAGTGGGTTCTAATATTTGAGATACCATATGGTCAATGACGAATTGTTGCCGGCTGCGGGAGAAAAAGAGTGCACGCAGATAAAAATCTTCCATTTTTTTGGTTTGAAACCGCTTTTTTTTCCAAAGGGACCCACCCCCCTTTTCATTTTAAGATGCATTTTGACATTTTTGTTTCGCACGTGACGTGTGAAACCAAGGAGTCCTTTCACAATTTCAAACTAGGTTTTGATTCATCACCGATTTAAGTTCGATTGAAATTCATCTTCGCGCTCAGATAAAAAACAATCGCATACTTGAGGGATTTAGATGATTTGAATGAGACATATTGGGTTCTGATGCGAAAAGCTTTGTGCTTGAAAGATTTGCAGAATCTTGGCATCTCTGATGAAGTTGGGCATTTTGAATTGGAATCTCATCAGACATATCTCAGACATTCGCGAAATAGTTCTAGATATGGGCGGAGTAAAAAGAAATCAATGTCAGTGATACGACGAACCGACTTCATCAGAAAATATAGCCCAGAAATTGCAAAAAAATAAAGTTTTAACTCTGTGCACCATCCGGGAGTCGAACCCGGGTCTCGAGCTTGGAAGGCTCATATCCTAACCGTTGGACTAATGGAGCGTGCTCACAATTCGTTTCAAATAACGTAAAAATACACAAACGTTTTTCTCCTACTCAAACACGAGTGTTTTATTCGTGCTTTTTTGTAAACTCCAATGTCCTGAAGGGCTGAAGGGCTTAAACATATTGAACTTGAATTCAAATTTGCACTCTCGTCATTGAACGTTTTCGTCGTTCCCCGTTAACGTTTTCTGTCGTTCCCCGTTACGTTTTCTGTCTGTCGTGCCCAGAAAACCCGTTCCGCATTATTACAAACCCTAAATATTCGAACGCAATCATTTAGACATTTTTTGCACGAAGCCTTTATTATCCTGTTCGTCTGTGTACCCGACCCAGCACGTTTGGAACCTTTACTCCAAGATTTATTTTCCCGCACTGACTTCGACTTCACTGGACGTTTTTGCGCACATCTTCCCAAGATTCATTCCTCACTAATAAATAAAGAAAGTATTGTCGCATTCTTACACCAGCTATGGAAACTGAAATGCAGTTTCGGGAGTTACAGGTATGTTGAAGTTTAACTATGACTTTCGTGTTTAACGGCTCATTTCTCAGACATATGCGAGACAAATCGTGGCGAAATTAGAAGACTACAGAGAAAGAGATAAGATAAGGGATGCCGAACTTGCATTAATGAAAGAAAAGCTCTCAATAGTGATATCTTCTTTTGAAGCAGAGAAAGCAAAGATTATTGCGGAATATACTCTTAAATTTCACGAGAACAAAACGAAACTTGCTGAACATGAATATGCCTTGGCATCTTTAAAGACCTCGTATGACGAATCTCAGCGAGCTAGACTGTATAATGAAGACAGAAAAAATGAAATACAGGATGATTTAATGGTGACCATGAGAGAGAATGATATTTTAAAGGCTAATAACGAAGAGTTGCAGGAGACTGTAGTAGAACTCTACGAGGATACAAAATTTTTGAGGAAAACTCTTCAAAATGCGTATAATACCATGGAAATGGCATATCATAGCCGTGCGAGAGGCTATTCTAATGTGTCAGGCAAACAAAACTCAACCTTCAATAAGAATCTCAACGCAGAGGATAGAGCCACCTCTCGAGAAATATTGGAGGCGTTACGGAAAGAAATAGTCCAGAAGAATGGAGAGGTTGATGAATTAACTCAGTTACTTGGGGAAAAACAGGGCGAGATAGTTGTGTTGAAGGCAGAGAATGTGAGCTTGAGCAGAGGTGAAAACACTGAAGTTCTCGCAAAAGTGAAACCGACCAAAATTGGAAATAGTCTTACATCCTCGAGAATTTGCAAAAGAGACTCCAGCCAAAACGATATGATTTTGAAGGCTAAGACACCCGGATCGATGAGAAGGAAAGTATCTGATACCGAAATTTTCACACAGAAGTCTTCAAGTCAAAAAATGAATGCAGAGCCAGGAGGAAAGGATTTGAGGAAAGGCAAGCAAGTAGAAACTTTAGTACAGCGAGAAGTGAATAAGTCAAAGAAGAGACGGAGACTTCTGAACCAATCAACCATAGAAGACGTACAGCGAGTGTAGTATACATTTAATTCAGTATTAGCTGTATGATATATTTCATTGAGTAAGAAAGTACTTCTATTATAATATTGGAAAAAGTTATCAGTGCTCTATGAAAAGGAGCAAAGAAAAAAAATGTGTTCATGAAGAATTTAAAGCTCGTCATGGTCGTCAACATCCCCAGACTCTGAGTCCTCCTCATTCTGCTGATACGCTTGAGAAACAATTGGGTTGCAGATCCCCTCAATTTCTTTAAGTTTTTCTTCGTATTCTTCCGTGTCTGCTTCTTGATTCTCATCTAACCACTCAAGAACTTCCTTCACAGCGTCTTGAATGGTAGACTTGTCCGACTCTTCAAGCTTATCGCCCAATTTATCGCTGTCTGAGACAGTATTTTTCATGTTGTAGGCGTAAGTCTCCAAACTATTCCTCGAATCGATTCGCTCTTTAATTTTTTTGTCCTCCTCTGCAAATTCTTCAGCTTCTTCGACCATACGTTCAATTTCTTCTTGAGAAAGTCTCCCTTTATCGTTTGTTATAGTAATTTTCTCTGATTTACCAGTTCCTTTATCTTCCGCACCGACATTAAGAATCCCATTCGCATCAATTTCAAACGTAACCTCGATTTGTGGAACACCCCTGGGTGCAGGGGGAATTGACGTGAGTTCAAATTTACCAAGTAAATGATTATCCTTGGTCATGGCTCTTTCACCCTCAAAAACCTGTATCATCACAGTTTGCTGATTATCTTGATATGTTGTAAAAGTTTGAGATTTTTTTGTCGGTATGACAGTATTACGTGGGATCAACTTCGTCATAACGCCACCAACTGTTTCAATACCTTGTGTCAGAGGTGCTACATCAAGGAGAAGTATGTCCTTCGTTTCATCACCCCCTTCGCCAGATAAAATCCCGCCTTGGACTGCAGCACCATATGCAACAGCTTCATCTGGGTTCACTCCCTTGCTCGGTTCCTTGCCATCAAAGTACTCTTTCAACAGTTCCTGAACTTTGGGGATTCTTGTCGAGCCACCAACTAAAACAATTTCATCGATTTGACTTTTCTTCATACCAGCATCCTCCATTGCCTTCTTGACAGGCCCCATCGTTTTGAGGAAGAGGTCATTATTTAACTCTTCAAACCTGGCTCTGGTGAGAGGCTCAGAAAAATCAATACCGTCATAGAGAGATTCTATCTCAACTCTGACTTGGTGTTGGTTGGACAGGGAGCGCTTCGCGCGCTCAGCCTCGCGGCGAAGCTTCTGTACAGCTTTCTTGTCATTCGAAACGTCTTTACTATGCTTTCTCTTTATGAGCTTAATAAAATATTCCATGATTCTTTGGTCAAAATCTTCACCTGCATAGGTTTACGAATTAGATGGATGTCATGATTTTACATAGTATTGAACTTACCCCCGAGGTGCGTATCTCCATTTGTTGAAATAACTTCAAATACACCGTTATCAATAGTTAAAATGGAAACATCGAATGTGCCTCCACCAAGGTCAAAAACAAGAATATTCTTCTCGCCTTTCTTGTCAAGACCATAGGCGATGGCCGCCGCAGTAGGTTCATTGATAATTCTTGCAACGTTGAGTCCCGCGATTGTCCCCGCATCTTTTGTTGCTTGACGCTGTGCATCATTGAAATATGCTAAGAAAGAAAAGTAAGCTCAGTCTATATCGAGAACGAAAAAAGAAAATACCAGGTACGGTTACAACAGCATTTTTAATTTGCTTCCCGAGGTATCCCTCTGCCGTTTCTTTCATTTTAACAAGAACCATGGCTGAAATTTCTTCAGCTTGAAAGACCTTCTTCCCCTCCTTCAAGTCAACTTCGATGCAAGGTTTGCTCTCTTTGTTGACAACTTTGAAAGGGAACATTTTCAGATCGCGCTGAACATCTTTGTCAGAATATCTGGTCAAGTTAAAAGAAAAAGAATGAGTCAGCAAAAAGGAAAGAGATGTTTGAGTAGACTCTTACTTTCTCCCAATCAATCTTTTAGCGTCAAAAACGGTTCGTGTTGGATTGGAGGTGGCTTGATTTTTTGCAGCATCTCCGATCAGACGCTCAGTATCCGTAAATGCAACGTAAGATGGAGTAATCCTATTGCCTTGGTCATTTGCAATTATTTCAACTTTCCCGTTAACGTATGCTCCGACGCAAGAGTACGTGGTACCCAGATCGATTCCGATCACGGTACCGAGCTTTTCACCGGAGTCGTCGGCGAACGCTGATAATAAAAGCAGCACAAAAGAGACTGGAAACAAAATAAAAGTCAGCATTACTAAGAAGAATTGAATTGCCATAAACTATACCGAGTGTGAACTGAGTGAAACGCAACATTGTGAGTAAACGTGAGTGTTAAAGTGGCGAGTTGGGAGAAACTCCGACCAAAAAAATTTTCTTTTCAAGAGCGATAGAGCGTCGAATGAGCGAGTGAAACAATGACAGCCTGGGAACCAATCACTTTTCCGTAAAACAAAATTTAGGGTTTAGCGCACGTATCGATTTTTTTTACAAAATCTTTTTTGAAGCTTTCCCACGAGCCAGGCTAGACCAAAAGTGCCTTTGCGCTTCTGAAAAGGTGGAATAACGCCATATTCTTCTCGCAGGTTCTGTTGTATTAAGATAATCCCTGAGCGTAACCGGTGCTGAAAATATGCTTGCATCTGCTGGATTCAATACCGCTATTTCGAGTGCGAGGGTAATTCGCGCATTTCTTTTTTCTCCACTGTTCTTATGTGATTATTTTCGTATAGTTCAACCTTGCGCACTCGCGTCAATCGCGTACAAACGCTAGTTACAGGTAGGGCACTAGGAATATGTTTGCGAAATGCTAAAAATAATTCGAATGGTGTTCACAATTCCTCCCCCTTTCCTTTTGATAGAAGTCGCCCTTATGTTCAACCGTGTTTTTCTAAACTCTTTCTCGCAGAAACACTAGCAGGAAGTATAAACCAATTCAAGCAAGTGCTGATAAAGCCCAAGTTATAAAGCCCATTAATGGCGACCCATTCATCGGAATGCTGGAGACACCGGTTACGTCTGCTCCTATCGTATCCAACTTTTTATCGAATCTTCCAGCATACAGAACTGGGGTATCGCCATTATTAAGAGGAGTTGAAGTTGGCCTTGCGCACGGTTTCTTTGTAGCTGGACCTTTCATTAAACTTGGACCACTTCGAGCATCTGATGCCGCCGAAGTAGCTGGTTGCCTATCTGGTGCTGGTCTCATTCTTATTCTTACAGCGTGCTTAAGCATCTATGGTGCCACAGCTTTTCAACGTGATGATGTTGTCGGCGTGAAAACTTTGAGTGGACGAGCTATCAATCGTGATCCGTTGCAAACTTCTGACGGTTGGGCTTCCTTCACCTCAGGATGGCTTGTGGGGGGATTATCTGGCGTCGCATGGTGTTATATCCTGACCCAAGTGCTTCCGTATTACTCTTGATTTCAGTACTGAACCTTAGAAATGAGGTACTAGTTGTAAATATGTCCACCACTAGTATCATCATTCCTTTCAAACTACAAATATGTATATTCTTACATACCAATAATTTCCTATTTTCCCGGCAATGATAATATTGAGCTCTCGAAAGATCCTTTGATTTGAGTCTTTGGAAATCAATCGGAGCAGTGATATTGAGCATTTTCAAGCATTTTTCACAGAATAGCCACGTGCTCCTTGAAGTTCCTAAAACCAAGTAAGCGGGACAAAAAAAAGCAGGACAAAAGCGGGAAGAGCGAATAAATGCCGAGAGAGAACATGGTATGAACAAAAAAATGTTGGCATTTGGCGCCACCGCGGATCGAACGCGGGACCTTTAGATCTTCAGTCTAACGCTCTCCCAACTGAGCTATGGCACCGCTTTACAACTAGTGTTCTAGTTCGCATTCGGGTCGTAAGGCATATTTACAAACTAAATACATCTTTTATTCTATAATTTAGGGTATTTTTTTGGTATCAGCTAACAAGCATTTCGCAAAAGATACGAGTATGCATTCATTAAACTTTTCGTCAATCGTTATCTCAAAAGTACTTATTTACCCGTTTTGATAATTTAAAGAACACATAAACACACAAACTGGAAAGTAGCAGTGCACATTCGTGCATACTACATGAGTGAAGCGGAAATACGTAAGTATATCATATTGAAGTTCCAAGAAGGGAACCGATCCTCACTTTCATACTTAATTTTTCGGTAATTGTTGTTCTCAGCTGAGCTCGAATAGTAAGCTTTGAACGGTCTTAAAAGTATATTCCTTCAGCATGACAAAAATTAAAGAAGCCCCTGTTTTTTATCCTACACGAAAGGATATGTTAGGCTCCTTCGAAAAGTACATAGGGAAAATAGAGTCCGAACTTGCACAGCACGGGATTGCAAGAATAGTTCCACCACGAAGTTGGCAACCACGGCAAAGTGGATACAAAAGCCTGCAATTTGTTTCGGAACAACCGATTAAACAGCATGTAGTAGGAAGCAAGGGCTTTTTTCGAACAGTTCTTGTAGAATGCAAGCCGACGTCGATTCAGAAAGAGTTTAAAGTTAGAGCAGGAGCAGCTGAAAATCAACCATCACAAGCAGCATTGAAAGATAACTCACTTTTAGAACGCGAGTTTTGGAAAAATATAACAACTTCTCCTCCTGTGTATTGCGCCGATATACCTGGAACACTGTTTGATAGAAATATAAAGGGATGGCAAATGTCAGATTTAAATACTATCTTAACACGTACTTTGAGGAAGAATGGTTCAAATATACCAGGTGTAAGTTCTGCATACCTATATTTTGGAATGTGGCGTTCTTTATTTGCGTGGCACACGGAAGATGCTGACCTTTACAGCTTGAACTATCTTCATTTTGGGGCACCAAAGTTTTGGTATTCAATTGCTCCATGTCATAGGGAACGTTTTGAAACATTATTACGTGGGAGATTCCCTGAACTATCTAGCTCATGCCCAGAATTTTTACGGCATAAGGAGTTTCTTGTGTCTCCTACGATTCTCCATCAGAATGGCATACCATTCTATCGATCCATGCAGTATCCGGGCGAATTTATCGTTACTTATCCGGGAAGCTATCATAGTGGATTTAATTGTGGATTTAATTGCGCAGAAAGTACGAATTTTGCTACTCGCGCATGGATACCTATCGGTAGAAGGGCAAATATTTGCAAATGTGTCAGTGATTCAGTTCGCATTGATATGTCTTTATTTAAGTTTGAGGACAGAAAAATCCCACAACAATCAGAAGAGCGTAAAACACGGTCTGGGAACCTGAATTATACTACGAAAAAAAAAAAACGAAAGAGTATCTCTTCGAATCATTCAACGAAACAATGTGTATCTACCATTAAGCTAAAGAAATCGATACTGAAAGGAGCTCTAAAAAGAGTGGCTTGCTCCAGGAAAAGACTCAGATACTCAAAATTGCTTGCGTTATTGGAGCAGGATCTAAGCCTTACTCCAGGATCTCTTAAGAATATGAAAGATGAGTTGATTGTTATAAAAGATTTATATCGCTGCTGATGTCCGGGGGAACCAAATAAATTTCTGTCTAGTTGCATGACTTGTGTTTATTATATTTGTTAATTAGAACAGAATTCATGTATTGGAAATCTATATATTATAACAAAAGTGAACATCGTAGCGATCACTTGGGGCAAACTTTGACAAATACTTAATGAAGTAAAAATCATGCTCTTTATTCTGAACGAGTGAAAGCGTATTAAATGATGCCTGTACTGATATTAATTGCTCTTCATTTGATGTTGTATCATACACCTCAGCAGTTGCGGCGATATCCTCAACTTCAGGTGAAGTTGGTATGAAGCACTCAAAGCCTCCAAAATTACCAGACATCCATGCACGATGCTCATTTATTGAATCCGCTTTAACAAAACATAACGTGGATTGAAGTTGAGAAACTTTCGAATCCGAATCATGGTGTGCGATCGTATAGTCCTGACCTCGCCTAAAATTTCGGACGGCAGATTTTGATTCAGAAACTATCTGACCTGTGACAGCAAGTAACCAGCGATTGTACGCACTTGATTTGAATAAAAACTCTTCAAGATCAAAAAAAGTTGAACACACCTCCACATCGTTGAGGAAGTATTTTCCTCTGTTTTCTAACTTCAAATAACGATGCTTGTGGGGAGGGCCAACAACTTTCCAGTTTCTTGTCGATTTCCTGCTACTTCCTGCACTTTTACCAGTCCTCATTTTCGCAAAGAGAAAAGCATTAATATTCTCAGATATGGCTGGTTTCAAAAAACATCGAAGTTGCACACACTTATCTGATAAAAAGTTCTTTCGAATGGCCGAAATATTTTCTTTTGTAAGATACTCTGCGCTAATCCATCCAGAAAGAAATGATATATCCTTTGAACTGAGTTCGTATATATTAGAAAGCTCATAAATTGATCTTGATATCCTATTTGTAGGATTGAAGATTTTGTCTGCTTTGTTACTCAACTGTTCTCTACTTGCATGCTTTGTCAGCATGAATTTAGAATCTGTAAGATGAAACCAACCAGAAATGCTAATACGAGGTTTGTTCTCTCCGAAAATTTCTTGAATTGCGTGGAAACTCTCTCCAGGTTTGACTTCAAAAAATACAAATTTATTCCAGTTTGGCAATATAAATTTACTAGGATATGTTCTTGGAAGTGGTTCGCCCTCTTCTTTATCAAATAACTCCAGCGCACCTCCATCTGTTTCTGTCCAAGTTTCTTCCGGATCTGTCAAGTACAAAATGAAAGAAATCGCTCTTGTACCAATCACATCATCATGGCAGAGAAGATGTCCACCCTGACAATAAATATTACACGAGCAATCAACTCTATCACTCAAAATACCACAACCAGATATATCACTAAGTAACTTACGAAATTCACTCGAATAGATTGATGAACGGAGTGCCAGTAGTTCCGGGGTTTGTTTGAGCTTACTAGAAAATCCACAAAGATCACATGTTTGATAAACTTTAAATAAATCTGTCTCTTTAAATGCTGCGTTCAACTGCTCTTTTACTTCCTTCAGAACGCCCCTTAATCGAAAGTCATTACAGGCAGGATAAATAGACAAATGACAGTATGGAAATGAACTTTGATACTTTTGTTTAAGATTTTTTCTAGCAACATGCTCGAATATGGAAGCTAAAAATATATTGTTGAACGCTCCCTCTTTAAGCCTCTTTTGATTGACGAAATCGTTCGAATTTCTAGCAGTCATCCTCGATTTTTGTAACCTGGAAGTTGAATTTGATAAATCACCAAAACGAGAACCGGGAGTAAATATTTTCTTTGAACACAAGTAGAAAAGAAGTTACATGTTGTATTAATGTACCGGGAAAAGCTCGATTCTTTCACTTTTCACACATTGCCGCGCTTTACATATTCCTTTGCTATTCTATCCTCTAATCAAGAAAGAAGAAACAAAGTGTTAAGTGAATGGCGTTTTCAAATTTCCTCGATTCCGTAAGGGCGGCTAGACTGGATGCCTGGGTCGAAGGGACGAAGGCCTGGTCTCCTCCTTTTTGGCAAACAGTCAAAGACTCAAAGAGTCAAAGTTTCTCACTTTCGTCTTGTTTTACGCGTATTCTTAGAAAAAGTTCGCGGCCACGAGTATAGTCGCGATACGCTACCATACACAAGAAGACTATACACAACAGAACCTTCAACAAAAGCTTATTGAAAGCATATACACACGGATACTGTGTGTAAATTTTTCATTACAAGGACAGGATATCAATCATAGGAAAATTTAGAGAATTGGAAAAAAACTCGCACTAGCTTTTCCTTCCTTTCGATTATCATTGATATTCGTATATTCAGGCGAGCTTTCTAATTACAAGATTCGTATTCTTCTGCCGCTGTTAGCACAAAGTCAGACTTCAGGGGACATCATTTTTTATTTTGTTCTTGTCTTCAATTACACTCCTCAAGAAATTAAGTTACTGACATTGAAATCGGCAATAGCCAAGGAGACAAATAAAAAAGTTAAAACGGTGAAACACATATAGCCTCCAATCACCGTATCCAGGAATACGATTAAACTCTCATAATAGAGCACGACAACCTGCGATAAGTTTGAATCAGATACCCTTGTTTTCCTATGATATCTAGCCATACACCAGCTCGTACAGCGAATCTCTTGAGAGTGATACTTGCTTTCTTTGGGAGCTATGCACACAGTATAAAAATGATAGTCCGGCCACACTCAGTAGAATGTTTCACAGAACACCCTGGCGAGTCGCATGACTTGGTGACGGGTTCTTTTTTTGTCGAAAGTTTGAATGGATTTAATGGGAAAGAATCGAGCTTTGATTTGACGGTCACGGATCCGCACTCAAAAGAGATTTACAACGCAATCGGTGAAACAGAACATAAGTTTGAGTATCAAGCAAATACAGCTGGTGTTTACACGGTATGTTTTACGAATATGGGAGATAGAAGTGAACAACTTACTTATTTTAGTCACACTGGGCATCATTGGGATCATGGAAAAGCCACGAAAAAACATTTAGACCCAGTTTTAGAGGCTCTTCAAAACTTAGATGCTCAAGTTGCACAAGTTTCGGAAGATTCGAAATACCACAAACATAGAGCAGTGCGCCACGCGCGTACAACCACCAGTACTCAAAGCAGAGTCAAGTTAATGGCATTACTAGAAAGTGCAGTTATGATTCTAGCTGCAGTTTTTCAGTTATTTTTTGTGAAACGACTTTTTAGAAAACGAGAAAGCTTTGATTATGGTAGAGTTGATCGTAATAGATATAGTATTTAATCTATTTAGTGGGCGAGCCGTTGAATTTCATTATCGCATTTTCTCATTTCTTTATTCAGGAAGTTCCTGGCAGAGAATATATGCCTTAAAGTTCTGACCTCCTGTAGTTCTCATAGTAATTGAATTCAGTAGTTTTATGTTCTTTAGTCCCAGGCGACACCATTCCTCAAAGCGGCGATAAGTCACTAAAAATTTAAAAGAGCTACTATTCAATCTTCCTGCAAGCGCACTCAGTGTACTTTCATTGAACACACGATCATACATATAAATATGAGAATAATTGAAACATTTCCATTTTGTTGCATCTGCATGAACCAAAACACAGCTCCGGAGCAACTCACGGGCACTTGAGTTAAGTAGATTATTCCTTTCCAAAAGAAGTTCATCTCGTATACTTGCAGCTAAAGAAGCTCTCGATTCAACATATTCGATCCCAACTGAATGCGAATATCTTCCTCCCAATTTTGCATGAAAAACTACTTTTCCGTAACCACTACCAATATCAATAAACGTATTCACTTGGGATTCGGGAGAAGGAGACTCCGAAGATGGCTTGGCTACACTTCTTCCTACATTTTTTTGGGGTGTTGATACTGCAAATGATGCAGGTGAATCCTTTCGATCAATACGAGCAAGGTAACAAAATAAACGTTCTATGGATCCCTCAGTCATTTCCCCATAACCCTCAGAAGCTGAGTTGTCTATCTCAGTACTTGATACTGATTGTGAACTTGAAGCAGCTTCTGAAATATTTAAACTCGGGTAAGAAGATTTCGTATAGTGTTGAACAGAGACTCTGTTTCGTGGTCCTGAGACACGCCAGTCGCTTGTGAGGCCCCAGTCCAAGTATGTTTTCTTATCAACAAATCGGTAAATATTCTGTCATTGCATGATAAATTTAGAATGGAAATTCAGATCAAAGGCGAATAGAGCGCGTACCTTAATTAAAGGATCTACAATTACTTTGGTAACTGGAGCATCAAGGAATTCGGAAAATGGTTTAATATACGAATTGGAAAGTAGTGTCAAGGGCTCCTCATCACAATCCCGTTTGATTCTCTTGGAGAATCCCTTTATGCTGTGCGTATACTGTTCAAAGCTCAAATTAGAGTGGGCACGCTTCCGTAGTCCTTTCATTTTGGGTCTGTATCGTATCTGTGCCGATCTACCTTTTTTTGGCGGGAAAGTTTTTGAAGAATTAGTAACCCGAAGCCCTAAATTAATTTGTAAAACAAGGAGGCAGAAGTGGCACTTTTGAAAAAGAAATCAATTCAACTCGAATTCATACATTGTTCAAACATTACATTTCCGTACATTTGTACGTCTATCGTCTTCTTAGGACTAACTTCCACAAAGTAATAATGTTTCGTCGCGCTAGTTACTTAGCCTCCTCAGCGCTTACTCAAGCGAGCAAATATAATTCCGCACCCGCCGTTATTGGTAATGTAGCCACCAACCTTACTTTTGCGCAGTCCACATTTGGTCGCCCGGTAATATGTCGCAAATTTTCTGCGGCGTCAACTTCGGTGAACGGCCGTGTCACCCAAGTTATTGGAGCGGTTGTCGATGTACAGTTTGACGGTGATCTCCCTCCGATCCTGAGCGCGCTTGAAGTCGAAGGACACGAAATTCGATTAGTTCTCGAAGTAGCGCAGCACCTCGGAGAAAATACAGTTCGTACCATTGCGATGGATACAACGGAGGGTCTTGTGCGTGGTCAGAGTGTTTTGAGTACCGGTAGTCCGATTCAGGTATGCCTTATGAGATTGAGTAACTTTGGTGAGCTTACGATATATATATTTTTAGATTCCCGTTGGAAGACCGACTTTGGGACGGATCATGAATGTGATCGGAGAACCAATTGACGAGTGTGGACCCATTGGTAAGACGATGAGTATCTATTCAAACTACCTCTAAATCATCGATATACTCATTAGATTCACAATCAACGCTCGGAATTCATCGCGAAGCTCCCCCTTTCGTGGATCAAAGTACTGAGATGGAAATGTTGACAACTGGAATCAAGGTATTGTTTTAAAACTTTTTGCGCAATTATAAAGTTAACACCCCTCTTCAGGTTGTAGATCTATTAGCGCCATATCAGAAAGGAGGGAAAATTGGTTTGTTCGGAGGAGCCGGTGTCGGCAAAACAGTTTTTATCATGGAACTCATTAATAATATTGCCAAGGGCCACGGTGCGTTCAACTTTTCTTGACAACGACTTTCGTATAACTTTTGTTACTCAGGTGGTTTCTCTGTTTTTGCTGGAGTTGGCGAACGCACGCGAGAAGGAAACGATCTTTACCACGAAATGATCGAAGGAGGTGTCATAAAGCTCGGTAACGAAGCAAGTGATTCCAAGTGTACTTTAGTATATGGTCAAATGAACGAACCGCCAGGTGCAAGAGCTAGAGTTGGGCTCACAGGTCTTACTGTCGCAGAATATTTTCGGGATTTTGAAGGGCAAGATGTCTTACTCTTTGTGGATAACATCTTTCGGTTCACTCAGGCTAACTCAGAAGTGTCTGCATTGTTAGGACGTATTCCATCTGCTGTAGGTTATCAACCAACTCTTGCCACCGATCTTGGTGGATTACAAGAAAGGATTACGACGACCATGAAGGGGTCGATTACTTCAGTACAGGCTATTTACGTCCCTGCTGACGATCTCACAGATCCTGCTCCTGCCACTACTTTTGCACACTTAGATGCGACGACAGTTCTCTCAAGATCCATTGCGGAGATAGGCATCTATCCAGCAGTTGACCCGCTTGATTCTACCTCCAGAATGCTCTCTCCCCTGTCTCTTGGTGAAGAGCATTACGATACTGCGCGTGGGGTTCAAAAAGTTCTTCAAGACTACAAAAATTTACAGGATATCATTGCTATTCTAGGTATGGATGAACTTTCTGAGGATGATAAAATGACAGTTTCGCGAGCGAGAAAAGTTATGCGATTTTTATCTCAACCATTTCATGTTGCTGAAGTTTTCACTGGAAGTCCCGGAAAGTATGTTGAGTTGAAAGATACTGTCTCTGGCTTTAAAGGATTACTAGAAGGTCAGTACGATGATCTTCCTGAAATGGCTTTTTACATGGTTGGGGACATCAACGAAGCAATTGCAAAAGCTGACGAGTTGGCGAAGCAAGTGGCTTAGTTTCATGTTTCAAAATGTTCTTAATGAATTTTTACCTGGAATACTTGAATAATAATTAGTATACTACCGTATGATCAAGTAAATTCGCTAATCATCATTCAAATACTAACTAGGATAACTCTTCATCTCAACTTCCTCTTCTCCAAGGCGATGTGCTTCGTATAGTAGAACTGACCAAATAATACCAAAAGACTGAGCATATAAACAAATAATAATCTTGATATCCACTTAGGGTAAGGCGAATACGCGGAGCAATACATGGCTTGAAGAAGGTTCAGTACAAATTGAAGTATTTGTAGCTGTGTTAAATATTTTCCCCACCATAAATATTTTTTCCTCACATGCTTATTCTTTCCCAACAGAGCAGCAGATAAGTAATAAGTATACATACAAACATGAACCCAAGAATTCAAGGCAGCACTAAAGTAAGCATCGCCACCTGGAGCTTTTCTTGTTATCATCCACCATATGAATGAAATTGTGGCATGATGGTAAACATGTAGAAAAGAAATTTGCTTGATGTTTCCTTTCAAAAGCATGATAAAGGTATCAACAAACTCGTATATCTTGCTGATATAAAAAATGTATATATATTTTGCCATCTCCACTTCGCTCTGCTTGTATTCATTGCCCCACAGGTGATACTTATTTTTCCTGGCCTCTAAGATACATCCACAGCACATGTATAGACTCAATAAAATTAGGAAAATATTGTGAATAATTACGAAGAAGTGCACCCAACCCGGACTTCCGTTCTGCAAGTCTTGTTTTCTCTGAGTTCTCCTTATCCGAGCGCGACCAAATCCAATGATAACAATGTAAAATAAAAGGTTTGAGATCAAGAATGTAGGACTTTCCACGGCTATATAGTCTTTTGTTGCGGGACTGATTGGATCCACATCCCAACCTATACTTTTCAGTGTATACAAAATATTTCTCGATACAAGTAAGTCCCACTGTCTCCAAATCTCAGAAACTCTAATAAAGATCGGCGAAAGCATAGACATTCTTGTTTTCATGTGAGCCGTAATCCAAGAATTATATTATTTAGAAGTTCACGAAGTCGAAGTGGATAAGAATCTACTGAGAACGATAGCTGGGTTGAAGAAGAGTGTCGGGTTGTCGGCAGACCCCCTGAGTTAGGATTCACCACAAAAAACACAAAAAGTCCTCCACACCTTAAATTCAAGTTTCTCTCTTTTTTTCATTTCATATTTCATAGATAGATGAGTGAACAAATTTTCTTGTCTTTTCAGATTGGTAAACATTCAAAGAAAGAGAGACACTAGCTGACAGTACGTAAATACAAGGAGTTGATGAGAGCCGCCGTCTATAATAATGCGAGCGCAAACTTCTCCTGCCGCAGAAATTTTGCGCCCACTATCCTGAATAGTTATAATAATAAAAAAAATTCTACAAGCTCTCTATTTTACAAGCGCAAGACATTATCTCCTAATGCGAGCCAAAAAGATAGTATGCGCACAGTTGAAAACATTCATGGATGCAGGATTAATCAGTTAGATCCCTCCAATTTTCGTCTCGAGTTCTTAGCGAGCTTTGAAGGTTCTTCTCACAGTGTCTGGTACGATCTCATCTGTTTTACATGACTTTACTGAAGTTTCATGCAGGGTACCTTCTAAGAATGTTGCAGAAGATATTCGTAGGAAATTTAGCAGAGAATGGTGGGCACTTTGCCGGGAAGAGGTATATCGAAATACTTTTTATTTGCTTCAAGTAATAATCATGCGAAGAAGAAATCTCCGAATTTTTCAGCTTTAATGGAGGGCAGTGGAGAGGTCCTTGTCAAAGCCCGTGATATGAAAAATAGGAGGTGAATCCTTACTAAAAACATAACTCATTTTTCTCTATTTCTAACTGGAACCATCATAATAGCCCTTTGCACTATGCGTGTGGTATTGGTAATTTAACGAACGTGGAAAGCCTGCTAGCAAATGAAGCGGAAGTTGATGCGCATGTAATTTTTAAAACTTATTATACTATTCATAGTCAATTCAGTCTAAAACAGGATTGTGAAGGCTATACTTCCCTCCATATTGCTGCGGGATATTTGAATACTGAAACTGTTGAAATACTTCTCAGAGCAGGGGCAGATCCAGAGGTTGAAGATGATTCAGGGCGATCTGTGAGATATCTATTTTCATCCTAAAGGAGCCCTATCTAAAAACTGACATAGGCTCTCAACTTAGTTGAAACACTGAAAGCGGCCACCCCAGCTTCAACAACTACTTACACAAAGCGCTCAAGGCTGGAAACGCTCTCCACCCTGCTACGAAATTATACATTTGAAGAGGTAGTGCCTTCTAACATAATCGACTCTAGAATTTCGGATAACGGAGGAGTTGAATATCTTGTTGAATGGATGGATGGTAATCATTTTTTATTCATTCAAATATCATTTTAAGGTTGATTTTCGTTCTCAAGGATACCAAGAAAGTTGGGTCAGTGAACTTGATATTTCAGATGATCTTATTAGAGACTACAATGACGGCTTCGAATTTGCAAACTGTAAGAAAATATTTTGCTCGGGCAAACGAAATGAACTCTTAGTTCAGGTAAGTCTATGGTACTATGCTTCTCTAAACAAATTATAACGAAGTTCTTGTAGTGGAAGGACACTATCCCTCCAACATGGGAACCAAAAATGAATGTTCAAGTAGCTGAGAAAGTATGATCAAAATTTAAGTTTATGCACATGAATATTCAATGTATCATGCGCTGAGAATGAATCCAAAATAGCAGAGGATATTTCCAGAACCCACCATAAAATAGGGATTATCAGTTTACGAACTGTTCATGTTCAAATGATATAGATTGCATACTTTATTTATTTCAGAACAGAGCCTGATGTTGTGAACCTTTTAATTCGAAACAAGCACTAAAATGTATCATATAAAGCGTTACAGTATAATCAATCGCTATACATGAGGCTGAAACGATAATTTTGGAGTAATCTTCTCGTCCATGAAAACTTCTCGTCTAAAGATATGAACATTAATGTAGATATGTGCCTGTAGGTGTGTATACATATCTGTTTGTATCACTACCGCAACTTTTAACTTTTTGTGGCTTGATTGAGTTCTTTAAAGGATTTCTTTAAATTTTTCTTAGCCAATCGTGCAACTCTTCTTCCTTCTTTCACAGCATGTTTTCTCTCTAACTTTTCAGATCTATCTTCACCCTTCCTTCTAATATTCCATCTCCAGTTCTCAGGAATGGCTGTGTTGAAAAGAAAGACATCATTCTGAGTAGATTGTTCCTTAATGCTTACACTCGGGTGAGTCTTTATGTTATCATCTTTAATAATTGAAGGTGAGTTCAAAAAAGTTTCCTTCAACATATGCAGGTTTTCCTCGCCAAGTCTTGTTTTATCGTACTTCACTTCGGGCGACTTTAAATCGACTGTTGAAATTATTTCTTCGGTAATCATTTTTGAAATAGTTTTAAGGACTTGGGTTTGACCACTATTTGCTTGAACATTTTTTGCTGTTCTTCTCGATTCCTCGCTATGAACTCTGCCACTTGGGAGTAACATACAATTGTCATCATTTTCATCCTTGTTTAGCGAGGCTGTTCGATCTAATTGAAATGTGCACGTTGATGACATTGAAATTCTTTCTGACAGAAGGATTGGCTTATCTGTAACGTCAGAAAGCACTTTTTCTCCTTGCATAGCTTCCAAGAAGAAGGTATCTTCTAAATCTCCTGTTTCTTGTTCCCCTCCATCACTTAGTTCTATTGTCTCAATAGTTTCTATAACTTCTAAAATTTCACTTTCCATACAGCGATCTGTAAATATATGTGGATTTGAAACATCGTGCGAAGCATTCGACGAAAGGGATTGCTTTCTTGTAGAGATAGGACTAACTTTGACGAGAGAGTCTAACTCAACTGAGCGTAAATGTTGAGTGTAATCATATCCGTCATCAAACAAGCACAAATCTAATATCTCCTTCCGGTTTTGTTGCTCTGGAATCGGCCCAGAACTTTCCGAAACGGTTTTTCTTGCACCAGTTTCGCTACCATTTTCTTCAGGTTTCTGGATACTACCTTGGCTAGCATATTTTTCATCAATAAAGTCATTATGGCCAGCAGAAATTGAATACGTATTTGAGTGTTTCTTTTGAATAAAAGGTGTTTTCTTTCTCGGCATTTTAGAAGCCAAAGGGAATCCACAACAAGGGAGACAATCAAATTTGATTACGCACCTTCCTGACTCGAATAGTATAACAGTATACCGAAGTACGATTCAAGTGCTTGTTGCATTCCCTCCCTCTCCTTTATTAGAGAAAATATCGGGACGTCAAGAAGGGGTTTGGATTGCCTAGGAGTAGGTTACTCCGCTTTCAAGAATTTTTTTATATATGATTATGCTCTTCAATGTAATGAAACAAGTACACCACAATTCACTATCATGAAAACTTTGCGAGGTTTGCTTTCATTTATCTACTTCTTTCTTTGGTTGCATGCGTGCAACTTACTCGTCTCATGCTTCTTTGAATTTTCAGAACTTACGTCTTCTTACGAGTCCCGGAAAAAACAGTGAGGTATACCCTGCCACTCCAACTTGCTGCGGGCTGCCGTTAAAACAGTAAACCAGGCTACCAGGGCTGGAAGCGCACTGCTGAACCAAAAAAAAAGAGAGAGCTTCAAACTTATAAAATTGGGGCACTCAGCTGGCGAGCTGGGTGAGCAGGGTGTTAGCGCTTCTCACGACACCGTTTTCACAGGGGACACGTTACACAAAAAAAGGGAAAAAAGGAACAGGAACTGATAACCCACAGTATTCTCCAATCGTGAGCCTCCTGAAGATCTGAATCTAAAAAAATATATAGAGAAAAAAGGGTGACTTCGACAAAACTGCACCAGGTATATACGAGGTTCTAATGCTATGTGTTACAAAGCTTCTTTAGAAGCAGCAGATTACCGCTACCATCACACTTGTACGTCTTTGCTAATAATAACTTCTCCTCGTCCCCTACAACTCGCAGCAATAGAGGAACAATTTCCAGTATAATTAATACAATAGAACTCAAAGTTGCAAAATGAATGCACAAGACAGAAAATGTCAGACGAATTGACGAACCTCGAATTGAAACCTGAAGTACTCTTAAGCTCAATACAAGGGGAAATTAATTAACTTTAGAAACTACAATGTTGTGTCAGTCCGGTTATAAAATATATCCTCTTCTAAATTTTTTATGGTGCTTCGTTCGGTTCATCTTGGTTTTCACATTCATCATTCGAGCAGACTCCAGAATGTGGCTCGGTCTTATTTCGTCTAACTGACTAAAACCTTGCTCTTCAACTATTAAACGGGACTTTTCTGTCAACTCTCCAATAAACATTTTCACAACGGAGCTCAAAATTATTAAACCATTCGGATTCAGAGACACGCCGGTCAAACTATAAAATAATTTTTTCAATGCGGGTTTACCAATATGAGAACGCCTGTAGCATTCGTAGCGCTCCATTTGAGCTGTAGAAAAGTGGAATGTCATTTGTAATACCTCCCTCAAAACAAGCCTGATACAAAACAACGGGAAATAAGATATATGATATAGGCCTTAATACTGCTGAGCGGTCAGAGGTGGCAGGCTGCGCGGTATCACTTAGACACAAAATCTCAATTGCTAGAATGACGAAATTTTCCATTTTTTTGAAAAATCTGAAATCTGCACTGCGACTCTGCGAGACTGCCTCTCTGCCAGCTGCCAGACTGCGTGATTCATTGAAATGTGATAAATACTTATAGGCGAGAATGAAAACAAAGTCGAGAATACACGAATTTTTAACTTTATTTCAAAAGACCGCAGAGTATTGTGTGTGTTTTCACACTTGCACCTTTGCTCATCACCTTACAAGAAACTAAAAGGAGCCTAGCTACGACATCACATGCCAATACTATAATCTACTCGTCAAGCGGTTTACTATTCCACTAAACGCAAGGGGGAAAAACTTCAGTACGTCTGGAGACGATATCTCACGTTCATTTTTTTCATTTGAACGCACAGAGTAATGGAGGGTTGTGCTGCTGGAGACGATGAAATTGATATTACTGTCATCGAGAACGCGTTCAGGATTTATAATCAAGAGAAATTACTCCTGGGTTCTTATCTCTATTCTTCATTCTCTAAACCACTTCCGCTTTATCCTGAGCCGGATATAAACAAAAGCCATTGGGATCACGTCCGAGAAGAAATGCGTTGGCTAGCGGGTGATTACATACGAGAGAGGAAGTGGAGGTATATGCTTCCTCAAAAGTGCACCCTATAATCGATAATCTAATTTTCAATCAGGCAAAAAACCGCGCGAAAATTTATTTTCGACTCGAATAAATCAAGGATGGAAAACGTTCACAACACAGAGCAGCACGGCAAGACTTCCAAAAAAGACGTGGCAGGAGGGATATCAGGCGAAGTCCTTTCATACTGGAAAAAAATTCATAAAGTATTCTAAACTATATGTGAAGTTGTTGCAAGTTTCACTAACACACGTTCTCATAGGTTGTCGAGTGGCGGCGAAAGAATTTAACGGAAATAATGCAGAGAAGGGAATTGGACAAACAACTCGGTAATTCGTACTTTTTTGAAAAGATTATTTGTCTTTATTTCCGGTTCTCATCTAGACGCACTTCTTTTTCAAACAGAGAAATATTCTAGAATGTTATCAGGAAAACTGAACGAATTCAAAGACTCCCGTGGATCCGAACACCAAAACAATTTCAAGCAGCTTCAAGTAGGAAAAGATGACGAAAATTTTAGCGATTCTGCAAGTTATCATCCCACAGATTCGGAGACATCTGATGATGAAGAATACATGAGAGAGGAAATGGCATACGATCGTAAAAATGACCTTGACTACATGGCAGAAGTTCGAGATCTTCAATTTGATGCTCACATTCCGATTGAAAAGCTTTTAAGACTTCACAGTGAAATACAGGTACACTCAAACGTATGCAAAGAAGAAAATACAAACTCACTTCTCGCTGAATTCATATCTTCCGGAGACAAGATTGATTGCTTTAATTCGTATTTTAGTCTTTCTCCTTTCCTTCTAAAACATTCGTTACGGGAATACCAGGAAACTGGGCTCAAATGGTTGGCAAGTTGCTATGAAAACTCCATGAATGGAATACTAGCTGATGAGATGGGTCTTGGCAAAACCATTCAAACAATTAGCCTTCTTGCATATCTTGCTTGTAATCGTGGATCATGGGGACCTCATTTAATTATCGTTCCGACTTCTGTGATATTGAACTGGGAAGTTGAGTTCAAAAAATGGTGTCCAGCATTTAAGATATTGACTTATTTCGGATCACAGAAAGAACGGAAGATGAAGCGTTGTGGGTGGAGTAAACCAAACAGTTTTCACATCTGTATTACAACTTACAGATTGGTCGTACAAGATCAAATTATATTTCGCCGAAAAAAATGGGGCTACATGATTTTAGATGAGGCACATCTCATAAAAAATTGGAGATCACAACGCTGGCAAACACTTTTACATTTTAATAGCAATCGAAGACTACTTTTGACTGGGACTCCGCTACAGAATAATCTTATGGAATTATGGTCACTTATGCACTTTTTGATGCCGACTTTATTCCAATCACATTCCGAATTCAAGAGCTGGTTTTCGAATCCCCTGATGGAAATGGTAGATGACGGTGATTTAGTTGATCAAAATGTGATAGCTCGCTTGCATGATGTGCTTCGACCATTTATTTTGAGGAGATTGAAGAAAGATGTGGAAAGAAATCTTCCAGAGAAAAAGGAACATGTAATTAACTGTCAACTTTCAAGACGTCAAAGAAGACTTTATGAAGAATATATTTCATCATCTGATACATCTACTATTCTTAGTTCTGGTAATCTGCTTGGAGTCATAAACTGTTTAATGCAGCTTAGAAAAGTATGCAATCATCCAGATCTATTTGCAGGCCGCGCTATTATAAGCTCTTTCGATCTACTTCCTTGTATTTACCTGAGTGTTCCTGCTTTACTTTGCTCCTTATTAAATAGAGATAGTGCAAGAATAGAGTACCTTAACAACTTTGATTGTTTTGGGTATATTAGTACAATAGAACATTCTCATTCCAAGGATCTTAAGAATGTGACCCAGAGCGAATGTATTTCAAAGAGTGAAAAGGAAAAACCGATGAAAGGTGTTTCTTCGATGACTAAATGCGTGTTGGAAAATATTGTGAATAATGCCTGTCTGGAGGACAGGAAAGGATTGGAAGTACACTCCCATGATGAATCTTTAATATGTCGCGTCATGAAAAAATATCCTCTCATCTCCATGCGTGCATTCTTTTGTGCAAAAAATGAAGCAATTGTCTGTCATGATACTGCCAATTTGATTTCCTCCATCCACAAACGAGCTGTATGGATTGAAGAAAATTTTTGTCACTTTTTTTGTGTTATCCCGCATGTTCGGGCATCAACACCCAAAGTCTTTACTGGATCAAACTGTGGATTTTTTAGCCAATCTTTGCGAAACAGATATCTTTGTGATGTCTTGTCCTATTTTGCGGGAAAATTTCGATATATTGTGGTGCGACAGCAACTATTCTTCCATGATAAACGATTGATACAATATGACTGTGGTAAATTGCAGAAACTTGCGCACCTGTTGAGAGCGCTCCGGATTGGCGGACATAAAGTTCTAATTTTTACACAGATGACAAAGATGCTAGATATTTTAGAATCATTCCTGAATTTATATGGATATTCATACTGTAGACTTGACGGAAGTACGAAACCAGAGCAACGTCAACTTCTTGTTCAAAGGTTTAACACGGACGCAAGACTTTTTGTGTTTATTTTATCCACACGATCCGGAGGCTTCGGCATCAATCTTACGGGGGCGGACACTGTAATATTCTACGATACTGATTGGAATCCTGCTATAGATAGTCAAGCTCAGGATAGATGCCATAGAATAGGACAAAAAAGAGAGGTGAACATATATCGTCTCATTTGTGAAGGAACCGTAGAGGAGAACATAATGAAAAAGGCAATGCGAAAACGTGAACTTGATCGTGTTGCAATACAATCAGCAATGTTTGATAATTTCAATGGCAAAAAAGGTATGAGATTTTTAATCAATATATATTTTCGAATCTATATAAAAGCTTTTATAGAGTCCGTGGTAGCGAGAGAAAATACAGGGTTATCTGAGGTTAGATTAGGAGTTAAAGCGAACGAGGTTTTATTTCATGTTTCATTTCATTATTGGAGTATATAATATCTTTGAACAGGATTTTCGAGTAGATTGCAAAGTCCCTTTCATGGGAGAGCAATTAAAGCTCATAGACACATATGCCCTGGTGAGTGAATTAGTAGTAATATTCATAGTATTTATATATTTTCCCTAGTCTTTTCTTGAGTACAATAATGATGGCTTTCCTGGTAAATATATTAGTGAAGACAACACTAAGGATGACACACAGTTGGCACAATTAAAATCAGCAGAGGAAGATAAAATGGATGAAACAGATATTCACGACGAAGTTCAGCTTTGTGTAAGGGATTGGGTTGAAGAGGAAGCTCTCACTATCTACAAACAACATTGAGAACTCTTCTCATAGCTGTACAACAACTCACAAGTGTAAAAGGATCTGAAGATAAAGTGTGTGTGTGTATGTGTGTGTGTGTGTGTGTGGTACAAAGCTTGTCATAATCAATCTATAATTCTATTCTAAGTTCGCTTGATAAAATCACGCCAGGCAAGTTTTGTTTCGCTAGCATATTTTTCACTCATATTTTTTGCAAGATCTAAACTTTCTTCCGTATCTATATTAACTGGGCAAAAAGAGTAGCAGTACCAAAATTGCAATCGAAATACCAAAGGTAATAACGGGCTCAATACCGTATCAACAAATCGCCGATATGGAAGTAGTGGTGTTAAAATTTTGATTGCTTCACTATTGAGCCTACCCAAACCTTGAATCGCTGCCGTTCGAACTATTCTTTTTCTATAAAATCTTTTTAGCAAATGTGGTATTTCCTGTCGACTTTTGATATCTTTTAATAGTAGAGATAAAACATAACCATCTTCAAATGCAAGGCCACATCCTTGGCCAATATTTGGCATTGTTGCGTGGCATGAATCCCCTAACAACGTGATGCAATCCTTAGACCAGTCTTTAAATATACTTGGTGCCCTATCCCATAGATCTCTCTGAAGAATTTCTTCAGAACTTGTCGCACTAATTAGATCACGTACAGTGGGGTTCCAATCTTTAAATACCTCTAGTAAATATTCCTTTGATCTATCGACATCATCTGTACCAGCATCTGATTTAATGAAAGCATACCACTGAATTCTGCCTTGTTTATCTGGGCAGGCTACGAAATAGTTATCAGGACCTATATATGCGCAATACCCTATTTTTAGAAATTCGATCGAAGCAAAAAGAGGAAGGCCACTAAATAATTTGAACCCAGTGAAGCTTGCGGTACTTGAAGCAAATTCGGAACCGAATGATTCATCAAATAAAATTGAACGTGTCTGACTCCAGATACCGTCAGCTCCAATGAGAATATCCCCTACCAAGTGAGTTTCGTCATCAAGATGGACAATCACCTCTCCTGAGGAGTTTATTTCGTACGACTTCAACGTTGAAGACATGCGCAATATGTTTTCTTTCCCTGATACTTCGGCTAATTCTTTCAACAACTCGAGCTGTAAGTCAGAACGATCGATGCACACTGAAAACGGCAGTCGTAAATCAGAGGGCAGTTCGTTGATAGCTTCAAATTTAAACATCCATTCGGAAGTCAAACCATCACGTATTCCACTTTCTGTTCCCCAAAACGGTCGAGCTACGTTATTAATATTTTCATAGAGATTTTCACTGACAATTTTCACTGTTCCAATACCATTCGAGGCGAGTTGAATAGGTCCACCAAAAGGTCTATACCTAGCTGTTTTCTCTATGATCGTAACGTTCAGCCCCGCTTTCAAAAAACATATTGCTGCAAATAACCCCCCAAGACCGCCGCCCGCGATGATTATTCTCAAAGGGTTTTCTTTGTCTACGCCTGAGCTAAGAGAATTTACTTGCAGATAGTGACATCTGTTTGAAGGTCTAATTCCAGCGTAAGTTTTGAAGGGCTTGGCTTTCCCAGGTAAAAATTGTTGTAGGGGTGCAGGCATTTTTTCAAACGTTATTTTATCAGCTTTCTAGCTTCAGTCGAGTAGAGGAGAGATGGTGGAGGCACGGAGCACAGGCGGCGAACTGTATCTCCTTGTATCGTGTACCTGAATTACTATTTTTAAGCTTTATCGGGCTGTATATACCACAGTCACCTACTTGCCTATACACGTCACACCTACTGTTGGTATGGCATAGCTTTTTTGTTGTATACGGAGAGTATCAGTACCTCACAGCAGTATATACCACACTTACCACAGTATCACACTGTTTTAAGTACAAGGTACAGTTTTTATTTGTAATTTTTTATTTGAGGTTTTGAAGAAGGATCTTTGCCTTGTGCTTCAATGTTGAGACAGGATTTGATTAAAGTGCTTATTTGAAGAGCGCGTTGCAGAGCTAAAGCGTCATATACGCAAGCTCTTTGAAGAAAAAAGGAAGTGCAAGGAAGGATACGTCGTGTAGGGCATACAAGGAAGCATAAAATTTCCTCCTTTTTCTTCTCAAAAGCTACAAGCGCCTTCCTCTGCGTCCACCCTTTCTACGTGTACTATCGGTAGGAATAGGCGTGACATCTTCTATTCTTCCGATCTTTAATCCTGAGCGCGAAAGGGCTCTGAGCGCTGATTGACCGCCTGGTCCTGGACTCTTTGTTTTGTTTCCACCCGTTGCTCTCATTTTAATATGTAAAGCAGTCAACCCCAGTTCCTAAAAAGCAAATGAGTAAAATATGTATAAATAGCATAAAAACTGTAAGTACCTTGCATCTAACAGCTACATCTTGCGCAGCAAGCATAGCAGCATATGGCGAGGACTCATCCCTATCGGCTTTCACTTTCATGCCACCAGTAACTCGGCAAATTGTTTCTTTTCCAGACAAGTCAGTAACATGCTGCAAGAATGGAGAATTAGGGCTTTAAATCTACATCCAAGCAACTGGAAAGGTATTCGAAATTATGACTTACCACGAATGTATCATTAAATGAGGCGAAAATGTGGGCCACGCCGAAAACGTTCTCACCCTCTCTTGCTTGGGGTCCAGCTCCCGGGGGCGCTATCAAGGATGCCTATTAAAATGTGTTGAGTTGCTTGGAGGGGAATTTTCTTTTGATAGCGCTTATCACGAATCGAAATTATGATAGATATCGAGACTCAGACTTACCATACTATGCTTTCAAATTGTTGTGTTAGTGAACGGATCCTAAAAGTTTGGAAGCGCGGATCACTGTTATATGAGCGATTGTGGGGATCCTGCGAGCGCTTTTTTTAAAGTTATTCTTGGGATGTGTGTGGGATTCTCAAACCTTAAATAAATAAATATGAGACGGAAAAGGTGTCCCGCTTCCTCATAAGAGCTACGAAAATTAACAAAGGATTTTATTAGAAGCACGCTTACAACTTCAAAATGGTATGTCTCCGGGATAATCATCATTGATTATGCTAGGCTCTACGGAAGTATTTCGATCTTCAAAAATTGCGCACAAGCTCGCATCTACTCTTTTACGCTTCTTTTTTCTCGAATCTTACGCGTGTTTCTCTGTTTGATCGATTCAAATATAGAGTCATTTACTGGCGAACTTTTGTCTAAGTGTATCTAACAACAAGTTAATTTTACCACAGTCTAGTAAATTTTGGGGTGGAGGCAGTGACTCAAGTGATGACGATTCTTCGAACAGTTCCAGTTATTCCTCCTCTTCAAACGATTCTTCACAAGAGAGCAGTGATAATGGCCCTTCTAAGTAAGATTGCGTATATTATCGATATTTTGTCTCACTATTCGGTCAGGTATTTACAAGATGACTCGTCTGAGAGTTCCGAAGATGAGCGCAGGTTTATACGAAGTACTAAGGTGATAAGTTGAAGTTGTTGCAGGACAGTTGTATCTCACTAAAGATTTAAATAGGACAAGCGCTATGCAGATATGCGAAAGCTTTCAGAAAGCATAATTGAGAAATTAAATCATGGCGACTGGGTCTCAATTGTAGTTTTATACGAGAATTTTAACAAACAGCTAGAGAAAACACGACGTATTGGAGCTTCGGCTAGAGTTCCCAAATTCTACTACAGGACTTTAGGGACTCTCGAGGAGAATATTATAGTGGCACATGAAAATAACGTTGCGAAGAGCATGTCATCTTCCAACGCAAAGGCATTTACTTCACTGCGTCAACGTCTTAAAAAATATTTGAAACACATAGACTCCGAGATGTGCCAATTTCGTACTTCTCCAGATAGTTCAGAGGAAGAGTTACACTCAGAGGCCTTAGGCCGGACTGAAAAAAATTTAGAGCGCGAAGCTTCTGAAAAAAAGGTTGACTTTTTCAAGGCCGATGCGAAAGATATAAGCTTTGAGATGGTAGATGAAAAGATGAAAGAAATTGTATTGTTGCGAGGAAAGAAGGGTACAAATCGTAGCGAGGCTGTTGAGATGTTAACTAAACTGATATCATATGCAAAATGTATACCACAGGAGGTTGAAATACTTATGAATACAGTAAGTGCTCAGTTTGATATAGCTGGAAGTATGGCGGTGCACATGGCAGTACCAGTATGGAAAGATTGTGTAAAAAATGTCCTTAGGATTGTTGCATTACTCCGAGACAGTCCACAAATTAGTCTTGCAGATCACACCGATGTTGATTGTAGGCCATCAGGAGATGAAATTATCAAAGGTGCACCCATTATTTTTCAAGGATCAATTTGTGGTTATACTGAGCGTCTCGATGATGAATTTTTTAAATCGCTTCAATGCATAGACCCGCACTCAAAAGAGTACGTATCTCGACTGAAAGATGAAAGTCTGCTGTTAGCTTTGATTGATAATGTCATGAAGTTCTCTCAAGGCAGTGATGACATTTCTTCTGTGGTCAAAATGAACCTCAGATACTTGGAGCATGTTTACTACAAGCCCGATGAAGTCTATGAGACTATATGTAGTTTGATTCCCTCCGAAAGTCAACTTCCACTTTCACAAGAAGAATCAGTAGTTTCGAACTATTGCAAGAGTAATGAGCCTCATAAGAGTAAGCGCACGATGAAGATTTATGCACTTACTAGTTTCTTGTTGAAGCATGGAGATGAACGAGCCAGGGCTCGCGCTATATTGTGTGAAATCTTCAATGAAGCTTCTGTTGGGAACTTTTCAAATGCTCATGATAAATTACTTATGTCTCAGCTTCAAGGTAGTATATCTCATGCAGATATAAGCACTCAAATATTGTTCAATCGAACTATGGCACAGTTGGGTATTTCCGCGTTTTGTAAGGGCCATTTCTCTGCTTCTCATGCTTGCTTGAATGAACTCTTTTCGGGGGGGAAGGTCAGAGAACTTCTAGCGCAAGGGCTCAACTTGAACCGCTTTCATGATAGAACCATTGAGCAAGAAAAGATCGAAAAAAGAAGACAGTTACCTTTTCACATGCATTTAAATCTCGAGCTATTGGAGAGTATTTTTCTGGTATGTTGCATATTCATTGAAGTTCCAAAACTGACTGGAAGCAAAATTTATCTTGGTCGGATACATAGCAAGTCTTTCACACGGCTAATTGATATTTATGAGCAGCAAACTTTCAACGGACCGGCCGAAAACGTGCGTGAAACGCTGATGTCGGCAACATCATCACTTGTAATTGGAGATTGGCGGCAAGCAATGAAGTTAATTTTGAGTTTGGAAAGCTGGAAATTCCTATCATTGAACAAAGATGATGCTTTGAATTATGTAATCCAACGTCTCAAAGAGGAAGGGCTTCGTATTTTTTTACTGCAGTACGCAGCACAATATGCATCTGCAAGTTTCCAAGTCTTGAGTGAGATGTTTGAACTGTCTTTTTCATCGGTCTATTCAGTTATTTGCTCTATGATCTCGTGCGACAATTTATTGGGGAGTTGTGACCTTTCTTCCAGATGCATTTTGGTAACACATGAGGACCTCAATAGTCTGCAAGAAATATGCACTTCATTTGTGGATAAGTTATCGTACATGAACGAATCCAATGACTTAGCTCTCAACTCCCACCTCGGCGCAAATATCGTTGAGTATCAACAAGAAGAGGAATATGCAGTGAGCAGATCTAGAAGGTACAGTCGCAATTTTCCATTAGATCCAGACGAAAGCAATGCTAAAGTTGGTCGTGGCAAACAGCGTGGAATGTCAAAATTTTCTCGCAGTAGTGTCGATATTTCCAGCGAGGGAAATTATAGAGGAAAAGCAAGGAATTTGAAGGCAACTGAGTTTGCTCAGCGAAGTGGAAAATTTGCTCAACGCAAACGAGAAGATTATCATGATCGTTCTGATAGGTTGGTTCCCTTATTTTCGAGTACCTCAACGAATCTTTTATGGCAGCATAAATGAAGGTTTTCTTAATTCAGTGTGAAAAGTGATCAGTCCTAAATTCGCAGAGAATAACAGGCAGTAATTTTGATAAATTGTTGTGGGCTAATTGTTGAAATGCAACAAAGGAAGAATTTTTAAACACTCGAAGCATGTCCCCCCATCATATATAGACAAACAAAAAAATCCACATCATCATATTTTCAAAAAATACTAATGACACCATCAACTATCCTATACTTTTGATCTTGCGCAATGCACTCAGATAGCCACATAAGATTTCTGACCTCTTGCTCTCTGAGTTTCAAATATGCATAGAAGATACCATAGTGAAACTGTTGCGCAAACATAGAGCTACACTTCATAACTTCTGTTTCGTAGAATACCTAACACTCGTGACTTTAATAATAATAGAACCGAAAAACAACGCAATATTACCTTGTCTATATTCATTTCTTCACTTGTGGACTTCTGCAAAATATTTTGGTATGTACTATTGACTATAACGGATACAACTTGCTCAAAATCTCTGCATAGGGCGAGGTCTCGTTGACCTTCGGGATGCATATGACCAAAATCAGAGAATAATTTTTGTCGATCATCCCGAGAAAGTTCAGTTCCGATAGAATTAATTGTAATATTCACTGCACGTCGATCGGCTTCAAAACATAAGATCTCCTTAAAATAGCAGTCAGATTATGAAGATTTTGCATGGAAGTAAAGTTACCTTCATGACCTCCGCAGTCAATCCGCCGAGCATCTGTGATAGTCTGAAAAAATCTTTTAAATATGCCTACATCACAGCATTAATTCTTTAACGAATTAAAGAGAAAATAGGAGACCTTATACAAAGAGTTTCGCAAAATTTCTATATTTACTTCATCAAGATTCTCATCACGGAAACATTCACCAAAATACGCAGAAATCGGTGTATCTACAAGGACAATTCGGTGAAGTTCTCTACACCACCGCGCTTAAAAGGTTTCCGCCATCAAATCGCAAAAATTCCGTACCTTAAATTGCTCACTGCCCCAAGGGATGCAATGGAGTCAAACATTCCAAGTGGGTGACATTTATCTAGTAATTCCTTTCATAAAAGTTCAGAGGGGCTGGGAGACTTAGAAAAAAGTTAAATTTACCGTTACTTCTCTTTCATGCATTGCACCTGTGACCATCAATACAATATTGTCTATCATGTATCCATATTTTAAATATTGCAGAAACGTGGATAGTGGTTCTGCTGCCTTCACCAGACTTGAACCAATTGAAAAGTTGAAAGTAAAAACTCACTTGAGACTCGAAAAAACTAAAATCTTGGACTATCTTTTTCAAACAACACCGTACAATTAAAGATGGATGTGTTGGGGATGCTTCATTTTGTAGTAAAGAACCATAATCTGTACTAGTCTGCCCATCAAAGTTATTTGCTCAAAGTTTGATCTTGAAATTGGTATTACCAGGTAAAGTTTTATGTCCTCCACTGTTTCACATTGTTGCAAATTCGAGTAGTCTTCCGTACGAAGGAATCCTCCCACACATCCTCGCACAGTAGCCTCAAGAAAACCATCTTTCGTGTTGAACATTTTTACTGTCCTTAAACTAAACTCTAATTTATCCTACCTACAATCATCACGGATGATTGTTTAGGGTGTATGTTTCTGGATGTTTCTGGGCTTTTTTTAAAAATAAAAAGAGACACAGCCTCTAACCTCGCTTCATGCAAAGTGTGTGTTCGTCGTACAAGCAGAAAAAGCGCTTAACAAGATAAGTAGATTATAACAAGCAGCTGAAGGCATGACAAGGAAAAATGGAAAATAATTAGTTACAAGCTCACAACACTTCAACATACTTAAAATAACTAGCGTGCCCGTCATCCGTTAAAGTTATTTCAACAAAAAGGTGTTAGTACAACACAAACAAGTATGAGACTACTCAAATACTCAAATCGATTGTTCTGGGATAATCTGCAGTTTTGCAGTCTATTTCTATTTGAGAAAGTATATGCATAATTTCGCCAGAAATACTTTGGAGTCTTTGAACGCACCCTGAGTATTCTGTGACTCTGATCAATTTAAGTTCATGCAAAACCGAAATCTGAAGTATTTTCCGAAGCTCGTTTCGAACTATTGTTCTTCTCGCGAGGTCCAAAGACAGCCTGCTTCTATGATGGAAAACTATAAGCTCACCATGGAATTAGCAAATTTAAGTGAACGTCGAAAAGAAAAGATAACGGATAACTGCATTCACTTGAGTTTTCTGCAACAAAATTTAGTCACATTATTCTCCGGCTGCGGAGCCATTGTTCATCCCAAAAGAGCCGATTTTGTTGCGAACACAAATGAACTACTAGATAGAGTAAACCTTAAATTTTTGTTATTTAAAATGAAAGCGCATCCGTGCGGGAAAGAGCTGCTGCTCAAGCGTCCAAGGATATCTCAAACTATACTGGACGAGGCGTGGTTATGTGAAGGCCATACATTTGGGGGGGCATATGCTCAATTTATGGGAACTCGTTCCTTTTATCCAGCAGAACGTCCGACTGTAAGATTTATTGCCAGCTCAGATTTAGGTTATGTAGCGCTGAGAATGCGCGAATCTCATGATTTCTGGCATGTATTATTTGGATGTTCCACTAGTGTCATCTCAGAGTTGCAGCTAAAGCTGATAGAGTTTCGCTACACAAATTCGCCTTCAGCTGGATTATCATATTTCTTAGCACCAGTTCGTTTGGGTTTACGTGACCGAAGATACTTCTCAAACTTCTCTGTTTCGCATGCGCACGTACCAATTGATGCAAATAAGTTGATATTTTCCACTCTTGAGGAACGACTCCGTGTTCCGCTAAACTCTCTAAGGAAGGAGCTACTCGTTGATATTTGATGAGAGAGGGTCCGCTGCGTCGATTCACATGTTCCTTTTTTGTATAATTTTAAAGAACAAAGCGTTTTTCATGCTCTAAGTTCTTAATAGCACTTGATGCGAATATGGGTGATTGTGAGATATTGTGGACTTGGCTTCTCCAAAAAGTTGGACTATGAATATGTGTGGAAGTACTTAAGTTATGGTATAAGTCAAAGAAGAGGATAAGATAGCCTGTGAATGACTTAATGAGTATACAACTAATGAGTATACAACTTCAAAGAATAATATACGAAATTATCAATACCACATTCTAAAAGAAATCTTGCAGCACGGATTAGATGTTCTATGCTAACGTGTTGTGTTCACTTCTTCCCGGCTTTTTTATCTACAAGTTAGATTTTTTCACTACTAGTCTATTTTTTATTTTCTCTTCGAAGCAAGTTTGGAGTAAGGAAGTACGGTTCGTACTAATGAAAGCTGCTGCTTACCAAGCTCAATAACATGGCTCAAACGGTTCTTACGTGAGGAAGATTTCGGCCCGTTCAAGTGTGCTTTTCCTGGGCGTCGGTGTAAAACCTAGTCACGCGTTTTTTTTAGATAAGAAATTTGCGATTTCACAGGGGAACTTACCTTGCCACTAGGGGTTACTTTATACCGTTTCGATGCTGATTTACGAGTCTTCGTTTTGCTAGCGTTTACTTCGAATGTATATTTTTCTGCATTTAAGATGTTTTTCAAGTTCGGGAAGGAAAGTTCGCTTTCACTCTTGACGTAATTGCGTTGCGTCAACGACTGACCGCTCTTTTTTTGGGCCAAAATTCCTTTAGGTTTCGCTTGAAGCGCAATAGTGTTGAGAAGTGATGATATCATCGGCATTGGAATCTTATTAGATCACTAACAAAATGGAATGAATTTTATAAAACACGCAACTTTGGAACTCGCGTTTACAGAAGGGAAGTGTGAGGTCAACTTTCAGTTTTTCTTTTTTTTAGTACGGATAGGATCCCCAACTGCCCAACAGCTGCAACATCGTTTTTTTTTCTATTGATTAGGGTTTCATAGTAGGCGATCTCCGGACAATTTTTGATTTTTTGATCTTAGAAAAGATCTTTTTCTACCACCCGTCACTTATCCCTTTCTTCTTGACGAGCGCCTGTTTACAGTCGTAAGAGTTAATAAGTGGAATATTCTATCCGATTATCGTACCATATTACTACCTCGTAAATAATCATCCAATTATTGACATAATTTTATAGAGATGTCTTTCGCAACTACGCAGCAAATAAAGCAGGTCGGGTAAGTCACGCACTTTTTTCTTTACTTCCTGATTCAAGCGCTAAAACAATTTTCGATATTTTCTCGAACTCTTCGAATGAAATACCAACTTTCAATATTGATTCATATTTCTTTCTAAATTCGTGGTAAAATACGCTTACCATGATGTATTTGTCTTTGTTGTAGCTCCAAACTCCTTTCGGGTACGAACGTCACTTCGAAAAAAAGCACAGTTTCGCAAAAATCTAGATCGAGGATTTTGACTACTGTAAGAGCTTCCGGGAAAGCTCTCGATGGTCGCAAACTTCGCGTTGCTGTCATCGGTGGTGGTCCAGCAGGTGCATGTGCCGCGGAAACTTTAGCCAAGGGCGGCTGTGAGACTTTTCTTGTCGAACGTAAGATGGATAACTGCAAACCATGTGGTGGCGCAATCCCCCTGTGTATGGTAGGAGAGTTTGACTTGCCAGAAGAGATCATAGATCGTAAAGTTACAAAGATGAAGATGATTTCTCCTTCGAACCGCGCGGTTGATGTCGGTCAGACTTTGAATGATAAAGAATACATTGGTATGTGTCGTCGTGAAGTTATGGATGACTTTTTGCGGAAACGGGCGAAAGCTTTAGGAGCAAATCTTATTAATGGCCTATTCATGAAAATTGACGACCCCGGGGTGAATAGTGGACCAATTACTTTACACTATAATGACTATGAAGGTGATTCGAAAACCGGAATTCCGAAAACGATTGAGGTAGATGCCGTTATTGGAGCTGATGGTGCGAATTCAAGAGTTGCGAAGTGCATCGATGCTGGCGAGTATGACTACGCCATCGCTTTTCAAGAGCGTATCAAGATACCAGATGCTAAGATGGATTATTACAAAAATCTTGCGGAAATGTATGTTGGAGATGACGTCAGCCCAGATTTCTATGGCTGGGTTTTTCCCAAGTATGACCACGTTGCTGTGGGTACAGGGACTGTTGTGAATAAGACAGCCATCAAGCAGTATCAGACTGCCATGCGAAACCGAGCTGAGGATAAGTGTGCTGGTGGGAAAATTATCAGAGTCGAAGCGCATCCAATTCCAGAACACCCTCGTCCGAACCGTGTTCGAGGGCGAGTAGCACTCGTCGGAGATGCGGCTGGGTATGTCACCAAGTGCTCTGGTGAGGGCATTTACTTCGCTGCAAAGAGTGGACGAATGGCTGCAGAAGCTATCGTTGAACAATCCATGAATGGTACCAAGGAAATCGATGAATCTGATCTCCGTGTTTATTTAGACAAATGGGACAGGAAGTATTGGGCAACCTACAAGGTCCTCGATATTTTACAGAAAGTATTTTACCGATCGAACCCTGCACGAGAAGCCTTTGTTGAGATGTGCGCGGATGAGTACGTGCAAAAGATGACTTTTGATTCATATCTCTACAAGACTGTGGTTCCAGGTAACCCACTTGATGATGGAAAGCTTCTTGTTAACACTATTGGAAGTCTTGTTCGGGCCACGGCGTTGCGAAACGCCTCAAAATCTGGAGTTGCTAGCATCTAAATCACTCTTAGTGAATACAAGCTTAATATTTCATCTCACCATTAATTTTCTTTTCTTTTCTAAGACAATGCCATACCCACAAATATGAGAAAGGGCTCCCGCACAAGACCATAAGTTCCACTCACCCCTGCTTGTACTATAAAAATTTGCCCTTTTATAATACTTGAATTTCTACAAGCCTCCAATATACACTAACTTGAGCCGGTTCAAGCGGTGCTCGGAGCTTTCACAAGGTTCCTTTGTTAATGATCTATATACGGTACCTAGGTACCTAGGTACCAGAATAAAAATATATTTCTAGTAATCTTCTTTAGATCAAGCTTTCACCAGTTTCTTCGAAAATATTCCTAGCCGAAAAGATCGCAGATTTTCTTTCTTTCTTTCTCGAACTGAGCCTTTCAAAGAAGGGCCTTAACTACTTGTGAACTTCGATAGAAAAAATAGGTTGAAGTTAACTAGCTTCTTCAATTCGCGGAGCTGATCAGTTTGATATCTTGAACGCTGCAAATTATCTAAGTATAAAGTATTCGAGGAGATAGTAATTCATACCCCTTCTATCGTTCGTATTGAAAACTCTAACTTTTTTTCAGAATGTCTATACTTTGAAGTAAAGGAGGCCTATAAATTCCCAAATAAGCTCAAGACAAAAAGGAAGAAAATTCTAGTCAAACATTTTTTAACAGCTCCATATTCTCAGGAAACACGAGTCGTGCCGCGAGCTCTTCGATTTCTGAATTTTCCACGAGTTTCATGTCGTCGGCTTGGCGTAGTGCAAATATAAGAAATGCTAAAAATTAAAGTTAGGGGAGTAGTACTTATGTTTAGGGTGTAATCTATTATTGGGAAAAGAGATTTTGGCCTGGATTCTGAAGGAAAATCCTCTTTACTTTTCGAGGATATAACTTTTACCTTTCCTTCACCATAGGTCTGTGTAGATACAAATAAGAGTGGAACTTGCTTGCTTGTCTATTTAAAACGCAATTCTCGTTTTTAAAGATCACAAGCCTTCAACGTCGTTCCTCGAAGTTCAGGGCTGTATAATAGAGAATATAATTAGACCAAGACTTCCCAGCTGAACGAGAGATTTATTCGATTGATACCAACCGAGGTTGTATGACTAACACGATCGATGAATATGATGTACTGGTTTACCCAGGATTTCTTCGCAGAAACGTAGCAAAATGGAATGAAGACGGTAGTTTTGCACCCCTTGTACGCGCCCGCGGGTATAAGGGCGATACTTTCATTTTACAGCTAAAAACGAACGAAGTGGACTGTGATATAACTGAAATTGAAGCAAACCTCGGTCTGAATGGGAAAAGATTGAATTCTACGCGGAAACCAAACATATGACATACTTTAGCTTGTTGCACTGTTTAGTTCGAATTCATTCTTGTTATAACGAGGTGCTTTACGTACCCTGCTTTGGTTATACTCACTATTCATTTGAATTTGGTCGACATTTAATTGAACTATACTAGTAGTTTGAACACACTAATACTATCAGAATACTTCTCAGTTTACGACTATAAAAAAGTTTCGTCACTTCTTTGTGCACTATGTTTATAGTTCTTAATCAAAACAATCAAACCTTTCACTTGTTTAGAAGTGAATCAATATCGGGGACTATGTCCTTATTTTCAAACTTTGGCGAGTATCTCTTAAATGGCACTCCTTCTTTATCAATTAAAAATTTTTCAAAGTTCCAAGAAACATCATTTCGACGCACTGGCGACCATTGTATAGGTTTATCATTAGGTTGTGTTTTATAGATAAAATCCGAACCCGTTCCTCCACGATCATCGCATGGATAGGGAATAGAGTCTTTCAAAAACGTCCATAAGGCCTCTTGCTCGTCGCCATTCACAACTGATTTTGTCATTAGTTGAAACTTGGGAGCATAACCGTCACCAGGTCTTACATACTTTAACGTGTTGAGGAGTTCAAAATCCTTTTCATAACACTGATGTCCAAATTGGTTACAAGGAAATCCAAGTATGATAAGATCTTCTCCATATTTTTCTGCCAGGGTGTTCAATTGAATAAAATCCCTAACAGTTGTGCCTCACATAGTAGCTACATTGTTTATAAGGACAACTTTCCCTCTAAATTTAGAATAGGATATTTCTGCACCTTCCGTAGGATTCTCACGCGTACCGCCTCCGAGAGTTTTTCCCGAGAAATCGTGAAACGTAGTAGCTTGGATAGAAACCTAGATAGTTTTGAAGTTATCAAAATATGAAAAAAGAAAAGTTTCCAGACAAGAGTAACAGTACCGTGGTATTTTTCTTCATGCAACTAGACTGGGCTCGGTGTCTCCATTTTCGAATGGAAGGATGGGACGGTGTCACTGCGTGCTTCTGAATAAGCGCCATCATTTATGATCCTTGGTCTTCAACTGTCTTAATCTGCTTCAAAAGAGAATAGCACAAAACCCTAAATAATATTTTTGAAGGGTTTGGGACGTGAGGCTGATGAAAATTGGAGTGAGGAAGAAGTTCGTGCACACAAACTGACCACACTTCCCCTCAGCGTTCCGAACTTTATTAAGATTATTGATTCAGATGTCGGGACAAATTGCAGTTGGACTCAAAAAGGGTCACAAGGTGGACAAGCGCGAGACTCTCCTCAAGCCAGGAGCGCGTAAAGGGGTATACTTCTTTTTGGGGTTTTTTCTTTTTCACCGCTAATTTTTGTTTTGTGCAGCGCTGCGGTAAGCGAGTAAAACTAATCCGTGATCTCGTGCGGGATGTTGCCGGAACAGCGCCGTATGAAAAAAGAATGATGGAATTGCTTAAGACGGGACGCGATAAGAGAGCTTTAAAACTATCGAAAAGAAAGGTGAGCGAAATTCTATCAAACATTTCTGTGGGACTTTCTACAAGAAAAGTAAACTTGTGTGTACTTATGAGATGCTGACTTTTTACTCTTTAGCTTGGTACGCATGTTCGCGGAAAAAAGAAACGTGAAGAAATTGGTAATCTCATTCGTAAGATGTCTGCGAAACGTGCATAAGATAGCATAAATTGAATAGCATGTGTAGTAATACTTCTGTGAAGATTAGGCAGTGTCAACCGTCTATATTTAAGAAGAGTATAATGAGTATCTACGAGTTGTCGCTCAATGAAGTTGAAGGATAGGAATAGAACCTTTCAATGCAAGTAAAGATAATCATTAAATCTGGAGAGAAGAAGAATAGTATCGCGGAAATTTTACCAACTTTCTCCCGAGGAAATAAAATTCCTTTAGGTCACGAACTCTTTCATTTCAACTAAATCAAAGGAGGGATCACGAGAGATATTCGTGTTCGTGTTGTATTTTTACATCGTGAAAGATATCTATCTTAAACCAGTTGGAGTGGCTATACTTCGACTTCTTGCTCTTTTTCTCCCTTCCATACCACAACTTCTGCACACGAAAATGTCAAAATCCAAGCAGAATAGAATGCACCATATGATAGCACCAAAAAATTAAAAACTAAAAAAGCGAGTTCTCCTTTTCGACATTTCGAGCTCGAAGCGTGAGAGAGTGAGACTATAACGCCAACTTCCTTTGACGAATAGTCTCCTAGAGACACTTATTTCTAATCAGTCAATGTTAGGTACGAACGGACTTGCGTAGACCTAAGGTATAATTACATATGTCACACGACTTGAGCTCCCGCTCAATGGGAAATACTCCAAAAATAATTATTCGAGATGCCACTAGCGATTTTGTGAAATTTACGCTTTCAAATACCTGCTTAAGTGTGGCTAATGCTGTTCGACGAGTCGCGATAGCTGAAGTACCGACCGTAGCAATCGATCTTGTCGAGATTGTTGAAAATTCTAGTGTTCTTTGTGATGAGTTCATCGCACATCGTCTTGGATTGGTACCACTCGTCAGCGACTCTGCCTCGGACTATATGCTTCCTTCCGAATACGTTGGTGAAGATGAAGCAAAAATAAATGTGCACTTAAATCTGGCAGTCAAGTGTTCCTCCGACCACACTTTAGATGTCACCACAAATCATTTAATTTGCGCAGACGCAAAATTTTTACCGGTGAACTTTCATCCAATAGACTCTGACTCGAACAAACAGGAACCTCCCGGAGTTCTCATAGTTAAACTTCGAAAAAATCAGGAGTTAGTAGTTAAGTGCATAGCGCGGAAAGGAATAGGCAAAGATCACGCAAAGTGGTCTCCGGTAGCGACTGCAGTCTACAAATGCGAACCAGAATTATATCTGAATGAAGAACTGACAAATAAATTGACAGGTATTTTGTTAACTTCATAATCAAATCTCTTTTATAAACATTTTTGAACACAAGATCGTGAAAAACTTGAGCTTGTCAACAGTTGTCCAATTCCAATTTTGAGATTGAATCAGCATACGAAATCTCTCGAAATTGAAAGGAACGATTCTTACGCATATGATGATGAGTGCATAAAAAAGGTACGAGCTTGAAATTTTTTACACGAGTTTTACACAAGTACAATAGGCTGAGGAGTTTGGGAAAGGCAAAATTGTCGAGATAAAAGCCAAGGAAGACACGTTCAACTTTTTTCTTGAAGGAACTGGGGTTTTGAGACCGGGACGTATTGTACTTCATACGTTCAAAATTCTACTTTCGAAACTAGATAGTATCAAGGTAATTTATTTTCTTATGAAGTGAGAAGAAATAATTAAGTTTTGCAGGTGGGTTTGGAATTGATTGAGAGAGAAAGTTAGTTTGTTTAGTTGAATCACAAAAAATACTCTTTCCTCTTTCCAAAAAGCAAATACTCTGTTGTTGCGGTCAAAACTTACACATTTCTACCACTAAGCGCAAAAGTTTTTAAAAGCAATGTTTCTTCATCCCTCTTGTACTCACTTTCTCTGAGATTACAATTGGCATCATCTTGTAAATGTGCATCATACCGCGTTTGACCGTGCCGAAAAAAAAAAGGGAACAGTGCAAATCTTTTCAAAAACTCTCCTTCTAAATAGTTACCTCCATACAGAAAGAGTGCAAAAAGATATAATAGTTGTAATGAGGAAATTATTCCTTTTCTATACGAGATCAGGAAAACACAAGCCAGATGTTCATAGAAACACCACTGAATTGAATCGCGGGAAGCATGAAGTCCCTCTTGGAGTAGTTCAGCACTGATTGAATCAAAAAATATATTCAACACTTCATAATTTTTAGAACCAGGAGTGAACACAGTGTTCAGCAAAATTCGATCATTTTGGCACGATTTCGTACTCAATAGCAAAAGACAAGCTTTTACACTCCACATCTCCGCATTTGAAAGGAAATCCATCTGCTGTATGACAAAGAATTTGATTCGCGCTGTCCATTTGTATTGAGCAAGTAATCCAAGAAATCTCTGTGGAAGTGAGGACGAATCTTTCAAATATACCGCTGCTGCTGTGAACAACTTCAGGATTCTTTTCTCTGCTCTAAAATTAATCTTTTGGAATTCCGAAAGTATTATGTCAGAACTAGAATCTAAACGTATTTGCAATTTATTTGCTCGTTGAAGTTCTACACGAAGGCAGTCCAACCACATTATCAACTTTTTGGAGCATTGTCTCAAGGCACGTTGATAAATACTGATATGGAAAGAATTTCCAGAGCAAAGTCGCTCTCGCATACTTGCATAAGACCATAAGCCAGTCGAATTTGGATGGTAGCGTAAAGCGAGTGAAATAGCCCTAGATGACGTCGCTTTGCTACCGTGAGTATGGCAGAAGAAGAGGAAACTGAACCATACTCTCAGTGAATTCGAATTCTTCTGTATACAGCGCTGATAGAGGCGAAAGATTTTCCGTGTGCTCGCTCTCTGTGTACTGGAATTCGAAGAAGACTTCGAAAGATCTTTTCGCACGAAAGCAAGAAGACATTTTTCAAATTCAATATATTTCAAATATTCTTCTACCTTCACGTTTGCACACTGTAGTTTTTCCTCGAAGTGCGCCCGTTGCTTTGCAATAACTTTTAAATCAGTACCACTTAACAAGTTTTCTTTTTCTAAAATTTCAAAATCTGAGACTACTATCTCGTAGAAGTCCATGAATTAACAGCAGTTGCAGTTACAAAATGTGAAAGAGCGACTAACTTATAGCGAGAGTTATATTGATTTTTTGATTTCGAACAAAAAGGCTTTGAAATTACCCTTGAACTTTTTTTACTAAAGCTGCAGAGCTGCGTTCTAATACTATTTAATTGAGACGAAGTTTCATGGAGAACGAATCAAAATACTTCCACAAGAGATAACTACACAGTGATAACCTAACGATTCCGATACTGCGTAAACAAATTGACACGGAAGGCAGTTCTTCTAAATATGCGGCTCCTAGACGAATTTTACACTGTGTCTACATTTTTTTTTTGATATACGGAAGGCTGGCTGGCCGGCAGCTGGCTGCGTGGCTGTTTTTTTTTTGGAAGTATGCCATCCTCATCTATATCTATAGGTCATATGGGTTTTTTCCAACCCCCTTTCGATCCCCATTTTTTCTACATACAATCCACTTTTGGATCCTCGATACGACGAGTGACAAGTTTCTATCTTTCAAATATAAGAAATCTCTCAATAAAAGAAGACTGATTTTATTGCCCATTCCAAAACTTAACGTTGCGAATTTTTGTTTCGATAGATATGCTAGCTTTATCTACTTACCAAAATGTGACTAGTTTTCTCACGAAGTCGCCAACTCTTGAGAGAAGACTTCTAGCCCAACGTTTTGGACAGGGTAAGCATGTTTTATTTTACTTTTTCAAGCTGACGAATTTTGTACTATTTCCAGTTGGGATCAAAGGCATTCATAGAAAGAGATTCAGCCTAGTGGAAAATTCGGCTTCTCCGGCAAGTGCGAATCCAGGGACTTCCTATGACGAACATAGACCCAAGACCCCACCCCCCGATCTACCATCCCTTCTTCTTGATAGTAGAATCGTTTATATTGGAATGCCTGTGCGACAGTGTTCATGCAATTATCATCATACTGACTTTTTTTCGTGTAGCTCGTACCTGCTGTCACGGAGCTGATCGTATCTGAGTTACTTTACATGCAGTATACAGATCCTGGAAAAGCGTGCTATCTTTACATAAATTCAACTGGGTGTACGCGCGCAGATGGAGAGGTAGTTGGATTTGAGACTGAGGCTACTGCGATATATGATACAATGAAATATATCGGAAACGAAGTAAGCTGACTTATTTTTTACTATTTTAAATTAATTATTTGTCATCTAGGTATATACAGTTGGGACTGGAGTAGCTATCGGTCAGGCATGCGTTCTCCTGTCTGCAGGACAAAAAGGAAAACGCTTCATGACTCCACACGCCACTGCGATGCTTCACCAACCAAAAGTTCCATCAACAGGGCAGCAACAGACTACTGAGCTACAAATTAAATGGAAAGAAGTCTTAGATCAGAAAAAATCTATGCTTAAGATTCTGGCGGAAACTACTGGGCAAACTGCTGAAAAAATAGATAAGGTAAAGCTCTGTCAGTTGTTCTAGACCTTCTAACATTCTTTTCTAATTTTTTCCAGGATATTCAACGTCCACTATACCTCACAGCGCAAGCGGCGATTGAATATGGACTTGTTGATAAAATCGTTGATAAGTCTGCCAAGGCAATTGATGAAGTGTTGAACACTGAGTCTTGGGATAAAGCAGCAGGATTAGTTAAAATGTAGTATTAGTCTTAGTTCTTGTGGGGATTTTTTGAGAGTAGTTCGCACACACACTATTCACTTTATTACTATCATTGTGTTAGGTAGATATACCTTTTTCAGATTTTTTTCTTATTTTCAAACGTCCTCGAGGAAATTTCATCGTTGTATAATCCAGTATTCACCATTCATTTGGACTACGAAACAAATTTGTGACTTGTGAGTAAATTGTTTGATTACAAAGACAGAAGTTCTATTATATTTTTTCCTGATCTGTGCTCCAAATTTCCCCGCCCCCACTTGTTTAATAAGTTTTTTCATTATTTTTTCGGAAGTGATAGGAACTGGAACTGTTGGTGTCGTTTCTTTTCCAACTGAAAGAAAGTCTTCGAAGTTTGACTGGTTTGCAGAAAATTTGAAAAAGTATAGGCTGTGTATAGCCACGTTTTATTCCATAGAGAGGAGTAAAATAACTTTTTTGGTTGTTTCAAACTTTCATTTTTTTTCGACCGAGGACCGACCGATCTGGAGTTAACTGGACATTACACTGGACAAAAGGACAACTGCGTCTCTGCGTGGTTAGCTGGATTCCTGATTGCGTGCTGGGTGGTCCAGGCGTCCAGCAGAAAACAACAACACACAACTATAACTCGCCGCTACTATACCTCAATATAATACCATTCAGTACGGGTGCATTCAAGTAAATTCACTTTGGATAGCAGATTCGAAACTCTAATACCTACCAATGGACCAAAGCTTCACGCCCCGGAAGAACGATAAACATCATAAAAAATGGTTCATTTATGAGTTAGAGATTTACGTGAAATTCTCTACGTGAACGCGCAAATCAGTATTTCTCCCGAGCAAAAATGGCGAATCCTCTCGGAAACAGACTAGCGCTTCATATCATGAGGGACCTTTTTGGAGAAGTCGCCGAAAATGTCTGCACAACTTTAATGCATCACGGGGAAGCTACTTTGGATGAGATACTTTCCAAGACTATGCCTGTTGAAAAGAATAAAATTCAACGGATTATTTATGTCCTTTTGAAACAACGCTGTATCAGATTCTCCTCGAACCAGGTAAAAGGGAAACAAGAAACAAAATACACCTTTCATTCCAGCGATGTGTTTAAGTTTATGAGACAACCAATCATACTCAAAAATTTGAACTCGGGTTTGGAAATAAATGAGCGAAAAATGTTAGTATACTTATTACTGCATGGTTCGGTTTCATGTCAAAGAAATTCAACTGTCTTTGCAAGTTTAAAAAAATCTATCGATGAGATTTCCATAAATAAACATCTAGAAGATATGGCCTCAAAAACAATTATATTTCCCTCTTTTCCAACAACGAACGGGATTCAATATAAAGTATGGTACATAAACAACGACAAAAGTTTTGTAACTGAGTCTTGTATTAGTAACTGTTTAAAACCGCAAATTACAGAAGCGCTAGATGAAAACAAAATAGAAATGGATAGGACAATAAAGCATAAAAATGTGCATCTCAGTCCTAAGGTTACGAGGACCTTTGAATCAGACAAAAGAATGATACAGATCGTTATTGAATCAGTAGTTCACCAGCGATTTGGCCTACTCGCAAAGCGTATTTTTCGCTTACTTTTTATCAACCGTCGTCTTGATCAAAAAGAAATATCGGAAATGGCAATGCTCCCAATAAAGCAAACTCGTGAAATCTTGTATAAACTTTTCAAAAGTGAATACATTAAAATTCAAGAAGTTTCTCGAACCTCTGATCATGCTCCTTCACGGACACTGTATTTTTGGTATGTTGATCTTGATTGCATCAGGCATAAGATTTGTCAAAATTGTTTCCAAGCCTATCTGAATATATCAAAAATTCTTTCCAAGAAATACGCCAATGTTGAACGAGGGTCAAATATGTCTTCAGAAGAAATCTTATTTCAGTACTGTTCCGACCGCGGTAGAATGATACAGGGGGCTTCCTTTAGTATTAAATATCTAGCACGCATTGCTTCTTTGTTTGCAGCTATGGACCTAATAATGGATAATGAGAAGTGTTGAGCTCCAAGTTTTTATGTGAGTCAGCTTATAATATTGTTACTGTGACGTCGATATTTGTAATTATGATCTAATAAAGCGCCCACAGCACAGACGGTTGCGTGATATTTCCTGTCACTAATTTCGCTTTGCAACCAGCTACCATCAAAATGTTGCGTGCTTATCAAAAATTTAGTAGCCTGTTGGATATCTTCATCTAACTCAGAAATTCCAACACCTTTCAGTGCCTGTACAAATTCCCCAGTAATTTCAACATCTCTCACCCTAATGAAATTTGGCAAATTGAATTTCATGAAAGATATCTCAATAAGCCACTCTTCTGGAATCAGACTATACTGACACCATTCACTTTTAGTGAATATTTTGTGGGTCACAAAATAGCTATGCTCGCGAAATATATTGTTTTCTGACTTGGAAAAGCTTAAGCTTGCATTCTTAGTGTGACAACGAATATCTAAGTCAACTTCAGATCCATTTTCGATGTGAACCCCGTTTTCACGAAAGAAAAATGACCACACCATATCGTCATTCAACTCTTTGTCTTTTGTTTTATGAAGGGTGTTTGTTTTATTGTTTTGTTTATTTATGCTAAGGAGTGTACTCGAATGCAATCTATTTATTTTTGCATAAATCTGTTTTCGTAACTTTGCATGATTCCTTGATAGCTTATATAATACAAAAATCCCTTCGAGGAGGTATTTGATGTCTTCAGGCCCTGCACCAAATTGCAAGCAAGAACTCAATATTTGCCATTTTTCGACCCCAATGTTCAAATTACTTTCGCAGATACCTACTATGTCATCATCACACGATATTTCCATAAAAAAATACAACGTGACTAATATATCACTTCCCCATTCATTAAAAAAAACATCATCATTTATCTTTGAAGCAATGAAAGAAAGGCCATTTAAGATAGCTCGTCTGCGCGAGCTGAACGCAAGTGAGAAGTCAGAACTCTTGGATGTGTTTGAGTTCTTTACTGGGGAGGAACATCGTGGAATTTTGCAGAAGTTAAGCACAGATGATATCCAAGAGAAAACTCTAGCATCAGCACCAAAGAGATTGCATGAACGTATAATCCTGTTTTTTAATGACATCATCGAGTTCTTGTCATCCACTTCTATTGATCTAACACTCCATATACAATTGAATATTTGCTCAATCACACTCTCTTCAAAATTTGAATCTATCAGCTTAGGAAGCTCAATGAAGAATGTTTCATATTCATTTCTTGTCCATGACTTGTGACAAATTTCAGAATACGTTCTACCGGCTATTTTTTCTAAATCCCCAAAGTGAACTGGTGTCGTTTTTAGGAAAAGTTCCACCATTGGTAAATATTCTAAATTAATTATCAAAGTGTCTAGTACGAACTGGCTGAGCTCTTGATCGAGATTTTGAATCGTTGTCTTCGTAAATTCACTGCACAACAAGATACACTTCTCAATTATCTTTGGAAAATTGTGTTGTAGATTATTGCAACAATATTTAAGCGTAGCACTTCGAACCTTTTCGTTCAAATGATCATTCGTGTAGAGTAGCTGCAAGGGTTCGCATCTGTGCGCGCCATCGTCATTTTTCAATTGTTTCAAGGACTCATGAAGCGAGCATTCGAACTGTTCCTGCCATATTTCAAAGAATAGAAAAGAGATTTCTTTCATTATTTTTCTGCGCAAGCAATTGACATAGTTTTGTAACAACCTTTTCCTTAGAGCAGTATCATTTGTCTCATGAACGCTCAAAACTTCTTGAGGTACAAAAGGTAAAACTTCATCAAGGAAAATCTTCAAAAAACTCTCAAAAGTTTTCTGAATCGAATTTTGTGTGTATTCCTTCAATCCTCCCATGCAAATTGCTAGGAAATAATATTTGACAATTCTCTCCTTGGATCTTGAGATTTCAAAGAAGATTTGTGCAATTTTTGTAGGTTTTGCACCAAACACAAGTCCAAATTCAATGCACGCATCAAGGCATAAGAAAGTATTGGAATTAAGAGCTGGCAATTTTTCATAGGCATAAGAAACTCTCTCTGAGAGGAATAGTTCATCAAATGCACAATGATACATTTTGGATTTTATAACTCTACTGAAGAGTATCATATCATACACCAATTTTCCCAAGAAATGTTCATGACAACATGAAAAATGAAACAGTCCTCGAAGCAGAAATCTGCAATCAGTCATTGTTTTGATAAGTAATGTGCGTACTCTATGATAATCTTGAGCATTATCATGGAATGGATAAGAAGAATCGGTGCATAGAATATCTATTAGTTCCCTTAGACTCGATTCATGGATATTCTGACTTTTTGAATATACAAGCACACTACAATTCTTGCAAAATTCGTCATATAATTTGGCATTATTTGCAGTAAAATAATCCAGCGAAGTAAGCTCTCTGAGTCTCAGGAGAATCAGATTTTCCTCAAATTTAGAAGATTTTGGCTCCCTCAAATTATTTACGATGAAAAATCTTTTCTTTTCGTGATGGAAATTTTCAGCCATAAGATATTGTAAAAGAAGGGTACGAAATCCATCATCGATTTTCCTTTCATCACATACATGTATTACAGTTGAAGCAGAACCAGTCGCGTCATTGTGCATCTTCTTCGACTCAAAAGTGCTTTTCGAAGTAAAGCTAGGTGTATCAATTAGCTCAAGACCATTTATAAACAAATTGCTTGGGTACTGAATCACAATGTATCGAATAATATGACTGAATTTATTGTCACAGCAGGTGTTATGAAATATAAAACTCTTGATCTGCTTGACTTGTTCTTCAAACGTGGAATAATTCCTGGGTATAAATGATATACATGTTCCAAGAAAATTTATTAAGTCCTTTGGGACACAAACATTTTCGAAATCTATTTCCTTGATATTTGTATTGGCATTCAAACCAAGTATTGATAAAGCTTTGCGCAAAAGCACACCAGTCATACTGCTCTTGTCAGGAGAATGCGTCTTCCTGTCCGAGCAAAAACTTGTTGGGAAATACGTGCCATTTTCTACCTCCATTCGACTGTTTTTTATCGAATCTTTCAAAAGGTCTAAAAGACTTTGAATTGTTTGAGCCTGATCAAAGACTAGAGTAACTCTTAACTCCGATCCATACACTATTCGGGAAGGAACTTTAGCAGCAGTTGATAGTTCAGTCTCGGGCAAAAGAAAGAAGCTACCATCTAATTGTGACGTTATTTCTGAGCTTGCCATGAAATATTTCCTAAGTATTGCATGTTTCATTTCGAGTTTAGAATACCTTAAAAAAATATTGGTTGTGAATTCTGAGAAGAAATTCTCTGGATCAGGAATAGAATATACTTCCAATGATTCATGTTTTCCGTTCCCGTACTCATTCAATATTTGATATTCTTCGTCACTTGGTTTAGACATGTTCAGGATTTTATTCACAATATGAGTTTTACCCGCCCCACTTCTACCAACTAATACTGTAATATTTTTTCCTCCCATGTGCTCTTTGAACTCCGTGGCTTTTTGTCTCATTTCATGGAATTTTTCACTAAAGATATTGTGTGTGTGAGCAGGAGAGCACGCAATGTTTTTACTAAGATTGAGCTGCAGCAAAGAAATGGATGCGCGTGTTAACTCAATTTCCCGTAACTTCTCTTTCATTTTCTTCGATTGAAAGTTTAAAGAAAATGAGTTATTGCGAGCTGACATTCCACATTACTCGATACTCTTGATGCACTTCATTTTCCCTTCTGATATCAAGTATCTTGTCATTTCGTCGACGAGAGCTCGCAAAGACGGAATCGCACTTTAACGTGCGATTTGTTGATATACTTATTTTTTAAGTTTTATGCATATTTGGAATTTTGGTGCAATTCAAATTATTTTGGTACCTGGTACTGTACTGTATATTAGCTATTTACGTTATTACTATTTTGGCAAGGATGAAATACTGCAGAAGTTATCATTTTACGTCACATATACTACTTGTACCTACGAAAACAAAAAAATAAAGAGAATGAAAGCTAACTTTGAACAATCTGCTAATAGTTCGACCACTAGACTTCATGAGCGGTTGTACGGCACAGGCTCTCTAAGTGAACGAAAAAATTACGGTTTACTGAAAATGAAAGCACAAAAACGTCATAAATCTATTAAAAGAAAGCACTGTGGAGACGGTGGAAGTTTTACACTTGCGTGCAGCACGACTTATAAAGTAATTGAAGAGTTGCTGAGTATTCCTATCAGGTTTTAGTACTATTGATTTATTGTCTGACCTCTTACGATATTTTGGAAGTAAATTGAGACTAACGCCCGCAAAAAACGGTTTCTGTAACGAAGTTTTTGAGGCAAGCGTCCAAAAAACAAAATTAATCCACGTATTTCAATATTGTTATCCAGGTGGAATGCGAAGACTGCACGAGAGCTATTGTTAAAGTATACAGTAATGCTTCGAAAATTCGTATGGAACCTGATGAGAGGTAAGAATAAAATATTGGAGCACTTTTGAAATATTGCATAAGCATTCTAATCAAAGAGGAAAGTTTGATGTATTACTCAGTAATATTGGGATTTCACCAAATGTAATAGCAATATCTGAGTCAGGTATAGCTCATGAGTTTATTATTGGTAATTCCATGGCAGAGAATGATATCCATTTCGATGATAAATTTTCAAAAAAACTGGCACAAATGTAAATTTCAGAATATAATTAAGAAAATGGATTAATTTTTTTGAAGTGTTAGCAAGCTCCATAGAGAGAATCGAATCAATTACGAAGGTATTTTTCGATATAAATATGCAACGCTCGGATCATATTTGTACCAGGATCGGAGAGATGCTTGGTCTGGAAATGGCTAGATCTTATGTTGCAGGAGATCGAGGGTTCGGCACAGGTGAAAGATTTTTTTTTTAATACTTCAGCCCATTTAGTTAAAGTAATAATTCAAAATCGGCAGGAACTTCCGTCCTTTGTAAACTACGAGGTTGGACATAAATTTACATTTTTTTTGATTTCATAAATTGTAATTAGATTCTTAGAGAGGAAGTTAGAAAAAATCGAGCTATTATAGAGGTTAAAATAAAATGACTATTTGGATGAAGGAATAAGCTTTCGAAAATTATAGGAAGCGGATTTTCCAATTTCTTTAACACATGGTGATCTGAAGCCTTCAAACATTATGATTTTAGCGGATAATTCGGTAAATCACATAACAAGCTAATGTAGAATACCGTTACTCACTCTCTGAATTAGCTCAAACTTATCGATCTCGAACTTTCTGGTTTCAATTATCGAGGATTTGACCTGATGAAATTATATAGAGCAGATCGCGCAGTCTTTTCTGTGAGAACTCTTCTTCAACACCATATTCCTATTGACTTCCCATGTAATGAGCAGGAAGAATCCTTCTTCAAATTTCTATATGAATATCATGCTGAGTTCAATCTCTTGAATAATAAAACGAAAAAAAACATTAGAGGTTTGATATACTTTAGCACCCTTTCATAATCTTTTCGGGAAATTTCTAGTTGATGTAGAGACAACTGTGCTCTTCTCAGCCACTCGGGCTTGGTTGCCCATGCAGAGAGAACAGCCAGGCATTTCCGTCCGAGCTCCAACAGCGCCAAAAATACTATAGTAGCCTTCGTTTGTTAGCTGCTCTTCATCCATTTTTGTCGGAGGAGCAATCCACAATCTAGTTGGGAGCCCTTCCTGTTGATTTTTTTCAAGTAAATTACCTGCAGCGCGGAAATGGCCGATATTTGTCATACATGATCCAATAAAGACTTCGTCAATTTTATCACCCATGACATCACTTAAAATGCGAGCATCATCTGGATCATTGGGTGCACAAAGTATAGGTTCTTTTATTTCATTCATATCGATATCAATCGTTGCGGCATACTCCGCACTGGTATCTGCTTCAAGAAGAGTGGGATTCATGAGCCAGCTTTCCATTGCTTTGATTCGACGTTCAATTGTTCGCCGGTCACCGTAGGAATTGCCAATCATCCACTTCAGCATCACGATATTCGAATTTAGGTATTCGATTATTGGTTCTTTATTCAGCTTAATCGTGCAACCAGCAGCAGAGCGCTCCGCGCTTGCATCTGAAAGTTCGAAAGCTTGCTCGCATTTTAAATTTTCCAATCCTTCAATTTCTAGGATTCTTCCACTAAATATATTCTTTTTTCCCTCTTTCGCAACTGTAAGTAAACCCTGGCGTATTGCATGAAGGGGAATAGCGTGAACCAAATCACGAAGCGTTATACCAGGTTGCATGGTTCCCTTAAATCGAACTCTCACACTTTCAGGCATATCTAATGGAATCACTCCAGTAGCTGCACCAAATGCGACTAAACCTGATCCGGCTGGGAACGATATTCCAATAGGAAATCGAGTATGCGAATCTCCACCAGTACCAACGGTATCTGGAAGAAGCATTCGATTCAACCAGCTATGAATCACGCCGTCCCCAGGGCGGAGTGATACACCACCACGATTGCGGATAAAGTCCGGAAGAGAGTGGTGAGTTAAAATATCAACAGGTTTGGGATATGCTGCAGTATGACAAAAGGACTGCATCACTAAATCTGCACTAAACCCAAGACAAGCTAGATCTTTGAGTTCGTCTCTTGTCATCGGACCTGTTGTGTCTTGACTTCCAACTGTGGTCATTTTTGGCTCGCAATACGTACCAGGTGAAACTCCTGTGTCTAAACCACACGCCTTCCCAACCATTTTTTGGGCAAGAGTAAACCCTTGAGCAACGTGTGTGGCTACACTAGGTCGACGAAACACTGCTGAAGGTGCCAAACCTAATGATGTACGGGCTCGATCTGTGAGTCCTCGCCCGATTATCAGTGGAATTCTTCCTCCAGCTTGAACCTCATCGAATAAAACTTCAGTCTTGATGACAAAGTTACTCAATTCTTCTCCGGTTTCATGAGATTTTACGATCCCTGTATACGGATATATATCAATTATATTACCCATTTGAATTCCTGATACATCCATCTCAAGCGGTAACGCACCACTATCTTCCATTGTGTTGAAGAATATGGGTGCTATTTTTGAACCTAAACAAACACCTCCTGTTCTTTTGTTGGGAACAAATGGTATATCCTTACCCATATACCAAAGTATTGAATTCGTCGCTGATTTACGAGAAGAACCAGTGCCCACGACATCACCAACATATGCCAGTGGAAAGCCCTTTTCCTTCAACTCAAGAATTTGCTGTGGAGCATTATCAATCCCATCCCTCGGATTTTTCAACATAGCAAGTGCATGAAGAGGAATATCCGGTCGACTCCAAGCATCAGGAGCTGGAGAAAGATCGTCAGTATTAGTTTCACCAGATACTTTGAAAACTGTAACTGTAATTTTCTCTGGAACCTTATCTCTGCTCATGAACCACTCCGCGTCCGCCCAAGACTTCAAAACTTGCGCAGCGTATGGATTTCCATTTCTTGCTTTCTCTTCAACATCATGGAATGAGTCAAACATCAACAAGGTATGAGATAATGCTATAACGGCCATCGGTGCAAGTGAGTCATCATCTAACGACGATATTAAAGGCGCAATGTTATATCCTCCCTGCATTGTTCCAAGTATTTGAACAGCCTTTTTACGATCTATCAGTGGGCTGGAAACTTTTCCCTCAAGCAAAGATGCTAACCAAGTTGCCTTAACGTATGCTGCCTCGTCTACACCGGGCGGAACTCTGTTTTCAAACAGATCTAACAAGAATTCAGCGTGATTGTTAGGTGGAGACTCCAAGAGTTGGGTTAATGAAGCAACTTGTGTTGCTCCGAGTGGCTTTGGAGCAATTTTAAGAGCGGCCCTCTCTTGAACATGCACTTCATAATCATGAATGAAGGTATTCGCTGTATCAGTTGTCAACGGTCGAATGGGGAAAGCAGAAGGATTTCTATGGAACGGTGGTTTGTTCTCATAGCTGGTACCACGGGTGTACTTCTTCCCAGTGAGAACGCCAGAAGAAACATCGTTTGTTACAACCGGATCACCCAATAGGAAACTGCACAAGTTCGAGCGTGCTGAGGCATATCGGCGATTGCGTCCCCGAAGGAACGTTGAAAGCATGGATGGATAATGCAGATATCTAAGTATTGAGACGTATAGTAGTGTGCTAAACGCAGTAACTCTTTTTTCGTTGTTTTCTCTTGTTTTCTCACACACGGTTTGCAGAGGGAGGAATGCAGTTTGAGAGTTTGTCGATGAACGTCTTATGGCAAAGGCATACATATTCCTTTCTGCCTATATGGGCCCAAAACAGGGCCCAGTTCCCGGTGTTCCCTTTTTCAGATTTTCAGATTTTTTTCAAATGTCCAAGCAGACAAGGAACTGGGCTGGTGAAACTTGCCCCATAAGAAAATAGCGCATAACAGAGACGTTTTCTTAGGATAAAGATTAGTTCTTCGAACTCAGAGCTAATCTGCGGGTTCGATGGGAAAGAAAATCACTGAAAACGACAGAGTATTTTAACCCCGCCCGCGCTTTAAGAGTCATCTTACATATATTCTATAATCACATTATAACTGTATATCTGACTGAAAGTATTGAAGTATTGTTATGCGCACACACTATGAAATCCTTGAAGTTACCAGCAGTGCTTCACGAGCAGAGATCCGTAGAGCTTTTAGGAGAAAGCTCCTGTGCTATCATCCTGACAAAAGAATTTCTTATGAAAACAATGCATTCAGCGAAATTCAAGTAGCATGGAATGTGTTAAAGAATGTGGAACTTCGGAGTTTATATGATGAGTCACTTCGACTAAAGCAGTGTCATGAGAACGATGTCATACACGAAGAGATAAAAGTGTCAGATATGGAATATGTACCAGTAGATGAATATACTAAAGGTTTCACGTATAAGTGTAGATGCAGTGGAGAATATCAACTTGAGTATGCTGACGCTGAATTATTGCAGTCGGGGCAAGTGAAGAACATGGTGATTTCTTGCAACTATTGTAGTAGTTGTCTACAGGTTTCACTGTAAAGCTTCGCGCAAAATATTTCACAGAAAAAAATTGAGCAAAACCTACCTATTCTAACGCCTCTCTGCACACCATTTATTCCTCGTATCTATTCAGCACTACACTTAACACTAACACGAAATTCTTCCAACTTTTTCTTAAATTGGTACATATTATGTTCAGCTAACAGTATCAAAGCGGAAATTTCGTGAACTCCTAATAAGTGATGAATATATGAGCGAGAATGATGCTTGCATGTATTACACGAACACTTTTCACAAATTGGAGAAAAGTCTCTATGAAAGTTTTTCGCCCATAAGTTGAGCTTTTCGTGATCATCGTTTTGGTTTTCCTCATTTCCCAAGTTTCTGCTGGAGAATGTTACTGCATGTCCAGAAGCTGATAATGAGTAAGGCCAATCTGTAAAGTAAACTTCATCCTCAAAAATATTTATTTGTAGAGGTCTAGGTATCCTAAATTGACTAAGTGAGATCATTTGCGCGGATGGGAGAGCGTCCAAGAACGCTTCCACGGAAAAATGATCGTATATTTCCAAAATAACATCGAACTTGTAGCCTGAAAAGCGAAATGCAATGAACTTTTGTAGTGCTGTCTTAATTGTACAAACTCGAGAAACTTCGATATTATGAACGGTCCTTCGCTTTTCAAATGTACCTTGGATATATTCAGTGGGATTATCATTTTCAACCATTTCGTCCTTCTGCAATAAAGTGAATATTCATTTGCTATCCTTTCTTTCAATTTGCAAAACACGGCCTCGTTCGCGGGCGCGAGTGCTTTTTGAAGATTACCTCGCCAACTAAATTTATCGAGTTAAGTGTGGAGAATAAAATTCCTTGCAATATGCATACGAGAGACGGATGTAGTCATATCATGTGAAAATGCTGGATTAAACGAAAAGAATGAAAGAGAGGTATGGTACCATATATATTTATTTAGGGTTATATAAATGATTGCACACAAACCTCCCTTTTTTGCTTCAAAGTTTGCGCCGGAGATGTTAGTTATTTCGATTCAACCAGCCATTTCTCATTGTAACTTTAGATGTAAGCGTCTCAATAATTTTCAACGACACTCTTCCAGACAGTTGATCAGGGCTTGTAAGCCTTGCACAAACTTAAACTCAGTTGAGGAACACGAGTTGCCGGAAAATCTATTCAACATAGTCAAATCATTTCAGCTCGTGAGAATATAGCTTTCTATCTTTTTTCTTCGTGTTGAACCCGTATTTCAAGGTAAAGGACCCAACTCAACGTTATAAGCAGCTCCTCTTCTACGCCCAGAAGTTGAAGGGGTTCCCCGAGGTTTTCAAATCCTATTTACGTAAAAGTTTTCTTGAAGGCCTATTTTTCCTGAAGGAACAAAAAATTGATCAAAATAAAGTTCCAGGTTGCACCTCCCAGGTAAGTTGTGTAAGTATAATAAGCAACATCTGCGTGAAATTAAATTATCAGGTTTGGATTCTCTCGGAATTTAAAGAGGGAAAATTTTACTTTCTGGCTGATTCGGATTCACAACTGACTAAAGGTCTGGCTGGGTTGCTCGTTGAGGGGTTACGAGGTTCTAGTAAGGAAGAGATCTTGAACGTACCTCCTGAGTTTATTGAGAAACTTGGTTTGAAACAAACTCTTACGCCTTCACGGACGAATGGATTTCTCAATATGCTTAAATTAGTTAAGCAGAGGGTATCTGAGCAGAGCTCTGAAAATTCGAAAAACACATAGTGAGTTTAAACTAAGAGTTTTTGTTCAATATTCTGAGGTGTACTTGTTTTACTTTTCACTTGAAAACTCTGCGTCAATCACATCATCAGCAGCAGAACCAGGATCTGAACTGGTCTTTTCTTCTGATCCTGCAGAGGGTTGCGGAGATCCCTGATATATCGCTTGCCCCATCTCCATGACCTCTTTTTGAAGGGCTTCTTGGGCCTCCTTCATCTGCGCAATATCGCCACCTTCAACTGCTGACTTCAACTCGGTCAGCTTTTGATTTACTTTCTCTTTGACATCCTCTGGAACTTTATCACCAAGTTCAGTGAGCTGTTTCTCAGTCTGATATGCCATCGAATCCGCACTGTTTCGGACATCAACATCTTCGCGCTTTTTCTTATCCTCTTCGGAAAATTTTTCAGCTTCATTCACCATGCGGTCCACTTCGTCTGAAGATAAAGTCGAAGCTCCTGTGATTTTAATATCTTGCTTTTTTCCAGTGCCTTTATCACAAGCTTCGACAGAAAGAATTCCATTCGCATCTATATCGAACTTGACTTCAATCTGCGGAACTCCACGGGGAGCGGATGGTATTCCATCCAAACGAAAGTTGCCAAGACTTTTATTATCTTTCACAAACTCTCTTTCACCTTGCAAAACGTTAATTTCTACACTGGTTTGGCCATCAGCAGCGGTGGAGAAAACTTCAGATTTCGAAGTAGGTAATGTTGTGTTTCGAGGAATGAGCTTCGTCATAACACCCCCAAGTGTTTCAAGTCCAAGTGAAAGCGGAGTGACGTCAAGAAGAACTATGTCAGAAACTTCACCAGCGAGCACGCCACCTTGAACTGCAGCCCCTAAGGCAACAACTTCGTCTGGATTCACACTCATATTTGGATCTTTTCCAGTCAATTTTTTTACCAACTCACGAACTGCCGGTATGCGGGTAGAACCTCCTACCAAGATAACCTCATTCACTTCAGAGAGACTCAATTTTGCGTCTTTTAACGCTTGCTCAACAGGTTGCTGGCAACGAGTGATGAGGTCTTCACACAATTGTTCGAACTTACTTCTCGATAGTTGGGTATCGATGTGCTTTGGACCGTCAGCAGTCGCGGTGATGAATGGAAGAGAAATCGAAGCACTAGCAGTAGTAGAAAGTTCCATCTTTGCCTTCTCAGCGGCTTCGGTCAAGCGCTGCAAGGCCTGTTTGTCTTTGATGAGATCGATTCCTTCAGATTTCTTAAAATCTCCTGCAAGCCACTCAACAATTCGTTTATCAAAATCATCACCGCCAAGGTGCGTATCGCCCGAAGTTGAGAGAACCTCAAACACGCCATCGCCAACTTCAAGGATGGAAACATCAAAGGTACCTCCTCCGAGATCAAAAATTAAAATGGTTTCATTGGCTTTTCTCTCAAAACCATATGCAAGCGAAGCAGCAGTCGGTTCATTGATGATACGCAAAACATCAATACCAGCAATCTGCCCGGCATCTTTTGTGGCTTGTCTCTGACTATCGTTGAAATACGCAGGAACTGTAATCACAGCCTTAGTCACTGAGTCTCCAAGAAAGGATGAAGCATCGTCGCAAAGTTTGCGCAAGACCTGGGCCGAGATCTCTTCCGCTGCAAATTGCTTACCCAAAGCTGGGCAGTCTAATTTCACGTTTCCAGCGCTGTTCACAACAGTGTATGGTATTTCTTTGGCCTCATTCGAAATTTCATCGTGGCGTCTACCAATGAAACGCTTTACAGAGTAAAAAGTGTTCTCTGGGTTTACAACTCCCTGGCGCTTTGCGATTTGACCTACTAACCGATCACCGGCCTTAGTATAGGCAACTACGGAAGGAGTCGTTCTCCCTCCCTCGGCGTTCGTGACAATAGTAGGAGCACCGCCCTCCATAGCAGCAACCTAGAAATAAAATGAATGAATTTTAACGATGATAGTAAAAGTAAAACAAAACAAATTGGTGGAAAGAAAAAGAAAAAGGGGAGAATTTGCAGTCGAATTTGCCAACTTTAAAATTAACGCACCGCTGAGTTTGTCGTCCCGAGATCGATTCCAACTACTTTTTCCGCACGAACTACCGTATTCCTTCTCGTTACTTTTGAATCGGAGAAACTTAATCGCGCTTTTAAGGCTCGCGTACTGCCTTGGAACTGACTTTCACGAAAATTCAAGGCGGATTTCTTCGGACTAAGGAACAGAGCCTTTCGCCCATGTCCTAAAGAATGCGAACCGCGCACAGATGCACAAATTTTACTTGGTTTGATAGCACTCATGGTACTCATATTTTTCAACGTTATGTTTACGTCTCGCAACAATGAGGAATCGAAGAGTTTCGAAGTGATTTTCTTTTCTTTTTTTGGCGGCGTTCTTCGATGACGTACATTTCTGTACATTTCTTACATTTAGGGTTTGGAATGAAATCCCATGTTGATAATTATTCAGAGCCTTGATATCAACATCCCAAGCTTTCGGGGCCCTTACAAAGAGTGAAGAATAGAGGCCCCACACCTAATGCATGTGAAGCGCTTCCTCATTTAGGATTGATGGTCTTATATCTTTTGTGCAACCAAAGCAGAATGATCTTCCTTTAAATAGCAAGTCCTTGTAGTAAAACTGTGTCACTGTAGAATAGACGAGAAAAAAAATAGCTTAAAATACAAAATAAAAGCTTAGAAGAATGGGTGGATCAAACAATACGAGTCGTGCCTGTAATATCAACGAAAAAAATGCATATGATAGATCTGTATTGCACAAGGCTGCATATTATAGCGGTTCTGCAACTTTACTCGAAAATTTAATCACGCAAGGAGCTGATGTAAATGCACGGGATAAGGGGGCGTGGACACCCTTACACTTAGCAGCAAAAAATGGTCACGTAGAGGCTTTACAAATTTTATTGGAAAATGGGGCAAACATGCATGTCAAGGATATTAAGCACGGGTGGACACCATTGCACATCGCAATCGTTTCCAAGCAGTACGAATCTGCAAAATTTTTGATAAGAGCCGGTAGCTCCGTAAGTGAATGCGATAAGTGGGGGAACTCAGCACAAAAACTTTTTGAGCTTAGTGGTATATAAGAGTAAACAGTTGAAGTTGTTGTCGTCGAAAGACTTCTGTTAACAAAGCCGATCGCAAATATTTTTGGTCGATTCTTTGTGTTCACTCATCTAGTTTGACAAGACTTTCGCAAAAGTTTCAACATCAAACCTTCTAAGATCTGTATAAGTTTGGCCGCAGCCTAAGAATATTATCGGTATATTATTTGAATATACCATAGATATAGCTGCCCCAATTTTGTCCCCAACAGTATCGAACTTGGATAATATAATGCCATCAACTGCAGTATGTTTGCGCTCATCTATTAAATCAAGAAGTCGCTGGTTAAAAGTCTTCAGTTGCTCAGAAGCCTCATTCCCAACTAAAGCTTCTCCTACAAAGAGTGTTAAATTTGGTTTATTTAGATTGATCAACTTCGACAGAGCTCTCATCAAAGGTTCATTATCTTGCATGCGTCCAGCAGTATCAATCAATAGCACATCCATTTTCAGACGATTGGCATGTTTAACAGCTTCGTAAGCAACAACTGCAGGATCTTTTTCATAACCACGCTCATAAAGAGGTATACCTAACCTCTGGCAATGTGTTCTGAGCTGCTCTACAGCTCCGGCCCGGAAAGTGTCACAAGCTGCAACCATTGGCGAAAGTTCGTTCTTCTGAATCCAGTAAGCGACTTTAGACAAGCTCGTACTTTTTCCGACACCATTAACTCCTACAAAAAGTATGATATAAACTTGTTTCTTAAAGCGCGACTCTTGTATTTCTCTCAGAACATCTACCTGCCGTAGTGGAGACAGTATCTGTACTAGATTATCAACAACCACTTGGTCCAGAATTTTAGAAACTTGAGATAACGACGTAATTGTATTATTCAATAATTGAATTGAAGCACTTTTGCAAATGTTTTCAGCAATTGTTTCAGCAACATTTTTATTTACCAACTTTAGTTTAAACTCTTCTATAACAGGCTTGAAATCTGATTCCGATAATTTAACTTTACCTATCAACTTCTTCGCAAGTTTTCCTTGAAGAATTTCGGTTACCCAAATGCTAGGGCTGTTATCTTTTCCTTTGCTCATCTCAGAGTTTTCGAAATCTATTCCATACTCGCGAGAAAATTTCCCTTTTGAACGGTCACTCGAGAAGTCAAGCCTATTCTGAGTTAAGTCATCAACTCCAGTACCAGAAGAGTTAATATTAACTCTATCTTTATGTGCTTCATCTGCAAATTGATTTATGCACCTCAAGCGAATCTTTTCAAAAATCCCGTCAAATACACTAGCAAAAGTAGAAGTAGATTGGCTATTTTCTAATAAAACATCCACACAGGCACATCGAACTTGAACAAGAAAGTCATGGAGATACGGGACGGTCAAGGATTTTTGATTTGAAACCAGAAATACCAGTTCAAGCTCGTCATAAGTTATCCAACTAAATGAGAGAGAGCTTGAGACCGGAGCGTAACTTGAAAGTTGATCTCCACTTTTCTTCCTTAGAAGACGGTCTTTAATAAAAACATTAAACGAAAATTGTTTATCACTTTCTTCGTTGGTAGTCCAACGGAATAAAATTTCACCACCTCGGTGCAAAATGAAGAAAGTTTCTATCACCATCTATCCTACTTAGTGAATCACTACGTGTCAAGTATCAAATTCAACACGGGTGCATGTATTCATTTTATTTAGGGTTTGTGTTTAAAGGAAAACAGACAGTGAGCACAACTACTAGTAGTCTTTCTTTTGACCTTACAAAATGTACATTTATGGATACATGGATACAAACTTAAATATCAACTTTTTCCTTTTGTAAATTATCTCCAATTTCCTGAGCGCGATCGTACAAACTCACCATTTGTGCTAATTTCGATGCTTCTGGAACTAAACTTGAAAAAAATTGAGGAGAACCGATTCGCCACGTCCAATTTCCATCTGCTACACCAGGTGTGTTCATCCGAGCTTCGTTTCCAAGACTTAGGATATCTTGCATGGGGATTATGCAAGTTTTACTAACAGAAGCCATTGCGCAGCCGACGAGATCCCACGCACAATTTGATGAGGTCACGTGTGCATAATTTTTCAATTTCTTCCGGATAAACTCACTTTGATTCAAATACCATCCCTGTGAGGTTTCATTATCATGGGTTCCAGTATAACACACAGAATTTTCATAATGATTATGTGGCAGATGTGGGTTTTTCCCGTCGGAACCCCACGCAAACTGCAGAATCACCATCCCGGGAGCATTTATACTTTCTCTTAGTTCAGTAACGTCCGCAGTTATAACACCCAGATCCTCTGCTATGATAGTAGAGTTACCGACGGCTGACTTAATGCCGTGAAAGAATTCTATACCTGGTCCATTGTACCATGCGCCGGTTTTCGCCGTTTTTTCGCCAGCTTGCACTGCCCAATAAGCTGAAAATGCCCTGAAATGGTCTATTCGAATTTCATCATGAAGTTCAAGCGCCCTTTTTATTCTACTGCACCACCACGCATATTTTTCCTCTTTATGCATTGTCCAGCTGTATAACGGATTGCCCCACAGCTGACCATCATCACTAAACGCATCTGGTGGAGTGCCGGCAATCATTTTTGGCTTCTTATCAGGGCCCAGTTGAAATAAATGTGGATGTGCCCAGACGTCTGCTGAGTGTCCCCCCACATAAATGGGCATATCTCCAATGATAGAGATTCCCTTCGAATTCGCGTATTTTTTCAATGAAAGCCATTGTCTGTGCCAAAAGAATTGAACAGCACAGAATTCATCCAGCTGATATGAATATTTTTCACTGACTTGCAATAACTCACTTTTCTCTCTATCACGTAAACCAACAGGCCAGTCCCACCAGTCAATCCCACGTAGCTCTGGGATTTTCTCAATCACGTCGAACAAAGCTGCATCTTTCAGCCACAACTTTACATCAGGGCGCTCACAAAATACCTCATATTCACGTCGTAATTTGTCACTGTTATTTCTATTTAATATATTTCTTGCTGCCTTGTAAAGTAAGGGCTCAATAACTTCTGAAGCACTTTGAAAGTTAACATGATTGTTTTGTACAGAGCTTGTTGGAAGATCAGTGGAGCTCAATAAGCCATCATTTACGAGTAAATCCAAAGAAATCATTAAGGTATTACCACAACGTGCGTCACGACCACTGTATGGAGACCAAAAATCATCTCGTATACCCGGTATGGGACGACCTGGTGGAACCAGTGGTAGAACTTGCCAAACTTGCATTTTCGCACTTTCAAGCCAGTCTATAAAAGCATATGCTTCAGGTCCAAGATCACCGGTTGAATAGGGTCCCGGGAGTGAAGTTGGATGCAATAATATCCCACAACGACGCGGATGTCGCGAAGGCGGGAATTTAGTTCCATAACTTTTATCTGCCGGCACGTCTACTTGTAGTGCCTTTAATTTTCGTAACCGATGAGAAGGCTTCACGTGTTTCCTTACGTTTATTGCGAAGCCTTTATAACAAATGAAAGATAAAGACATGATGCCGTATGTGCGATAAAATATGCGCCGTGCGTTTTCGTGGTTTACGTGTATTCTTGCGTAAAGGAAAGAGTAAACGCTGCTAAAGAAGCAAGGAGAGAGGTACGAAAATTTTTTTAATTTTTACGCGCTCTGAAAAAATATATAAATATTTCTGTATCACCCACCAACAGTATATAGATATCAGAAAGCATTTTTAAATCTTCAAAAGTTATAACAGTACAGCACATTTCAATCACTTCCAACTTTTGAAGCAATGTCTAATGAACATGATGAGTGAGTTTATTCTAACATAGTTTTCTTAAACGTTTTAAACTAAAATTCTGTCGTGAAGTTATGACTACCTATTCAAAATTGTTTTGATAGGGGATTCTGGAGTAGGCAAATCGAACATTCTATCTAGATTCACTAGAAACGAATTTTCAGTTGAATCAAAGTCAACAATTGGTGTAGAATTTGCAACTAGGAGTATAGAGGTACAATTACATCTTCGATCAAACTAAGCTAAGTAAGCAATATAATTAGATCGAGAAAAAAGTAGTGAAAGCTCAAATATGGGACACAGCTGGACAGGAGCGGTATAGAGCAATTACGAGCGCATATTACAGGGGAGCTGTGGGCGCGCTTCTCGTTTATGACGTTACAAAGAAAGGTACGGCAATTACCAAGGAAATCAAACTTATATCATATTCATTAGAAACTTTTGCTGATGTTGAAAAATGGCTGGCAGAATTGCGGGATCACGCTGACTCTAAAATTGTTATAATGCTGACTGGAAACAAGTGTGATCTTCAGCATTTACGTTCTGTGACTACCCAGGATGCCGAAATATATGCTGCAAAAGAAGGTACTTTTTCAAATGTTTCAATCTCGATTCACACTGTAATACTTTATAGACTTACTATTTTTGGAAACATCAGCTCTCAATTCTGTAAACATCGACGCAGCTTTTCAAAAAGTTCTGAGTGTTATTCATGAGGTGAAAAGGTTTTATGGAGGGATTTTTCATGTTTTTATTGAGCAATTTGGCTGCAGCGTTCACAGACACTAGAACCAATACAGAACAAGCAAGCTTCGGAAAATTTGGTTGAAATTGAGAAGTCGAAAGCCGTAGCGAGAGAAAAATGCTGCAGTTAAAACGATTTGCTTCTTGTGCCTGACATGTATAAATGTAACCACCTAAGATACTTTTGTCTCCACTTTATCGGAGAGTTTATGAGTTCCTAAACATTATGAACAAAAGTGGATAATGAACTAAGGTGATATTATGATCCTGTACGTATCTAGGTACCAACTGTAGTATTTTCATTTCATAAGAAGACTCGAGGTTCACTATCATACAAATATTCTGACATTCGGTACCTTCGCCACAAGTAGAACATAACTTAGAATATCCAGTTGTAAATGTAAAAGGAAAGTTCTAGCTCGCCTCATAAGTAAATATCATCACCACAGTTGCTTTGAGTAACTGTGTAGATCATGAACTCCACCTTCAAGCTGAGCAGAGTTCGTGCGAGTCTCTACACGCATGTCACCAGAGTTACGCAAAATGTTGGCTTTTTCTAAGCTGTTTGCACCAAGATCCTGAAATCCCTGTTTAACAGCGTGCGTGAGATAAGGAACCATGCGTAGAACCGATCCTTTGTCTTTTACTGTGCCCGAAACACCTTGCGCTATCTTTAAGTGTGCGCTGCTACTTAAATAGCGCGAATCGCTTCCTTTCAACATTGCTTCTAAACTTCCCATCCCTCTGTATTTCTTCAATCGAACTCCATCTTGAAAAAAGTATTCACCTGGTGCCTCAGTAGTTCCAGCGAACATCGATCCACACATGACAGCACTAGCTCCAAGTGCCAAAGCTTTCACAATGTGGCCACTATTTTGAATACCACCATCTGCAATAACTGGAATATTACATTTAGACGCCAAATTCGCCACCTTAAACACAGCTGTAGCTTGTCCCCTTCCTACTGCACATACTTCCTGCGTTGTACAAATACTACCTGAACCCATTCCGACGCGAAGACTGTCTGCACCAGCTTTGATTAAATGAGCAGCTTGGACCTGTGTTACGACATTTCCGGCAATAATATCTACTTCTGGAATTACCTTCTTCAGATACTGAAGCATTTCTAGCTGATAGACAGAGTCACCCTGAGAAGAGTCCAGAATGATGGCATCAACACCAGCTTCAGCCAAGGCAATTGCACGTTCACGGTCACTTTCGCGCGTTCCGATGGCAGCGCCGCATAGTAACTTTCCTGATCGATCAGTAGATGGTACACCAGGTGAGGGGTTGATTAATTTCTTTTTCAATGTAGAGCCAGTAACTACTGCAATGAGCTCTCCTGAGTCATTCAGGATAGGAAGTTTTCCTTTCTTACTCTCAATCAAAACTTTTTCAAAACTTTCGGAATCCTCCATTAACTCAGCAGTTACTAAATCGCAAACGCTAGTCATGACACTACCGAGTTCCAACGATCGGTCTTTCAGTAATTCATGGTCGGTTGCAGTAACCAACCCCAATAACTTCGAGCCAATACAGTCCGCTTCACAAATACAAGCAAAAGTATGTTTTGATCTTTCTCGTATTTGATCAAATTCAAACAGAGTAGAACTGGGCTGAAGAATCAAGGGGTCAGTAAGAAAATCCGCTCTGTGCTTTTTCACACATCTTGCATGGAAGACTTGCTCTTCTATCTTTGAGTTGTAGTGTAAAAATCCAATCCCTCCGAGCTTTGCCATAGCAATTGCCATATTCGATTCAGTCACAGTGTCCATGGGCGAACTCACAATCGGTGTTCGTATTGCAATATTCTTCGTTACGTTTGTTCCCAGTTTCACCTCATCCGCGGCGAAATTTATGTATCCGGGATGGAAGATGATATCATCATAAGTGTAACAGGTTCCTTGATCGAGAAGTTGTGGGACCCGAAGTCCGTCAACCAGGTCAAGTTCCATATCATGAATTGACGGGGGGAGCATGTTGATATTGCACACGAAGGTAAAACGCGATAACTGTCTAGTAGGTTGCGATATGCTTTTTTTTTCCTGAATGACTAAGCGTATCTAATCGCGTAAAAGAGTCAAATGATTTGAAAACTTCGCGCTTTTCTACTTTTCTGCCTGAATTTTCAATAATGGATTAATGGGCGAATCCTCTACCAACTCTGCCTTGGCCTTTTGCCTTTGAACAATAATGTTTTTGTACAAATGTACTTCTACAATGTTTTTTTTTGTGAAGTTCACGGATCAGCTCTTGGTGATACTTGACTTCTAATACTTTCCAACTTTCCTCTCCACTCTCCTGTGTTCTCGTAGTCCTGAAGCTCCTAACACTTTTGTGGCGAAATTGGACATTTGGACTTTTTTTGAACTTTTTTTTTCGCATATATGGCTTGGGCCTGTGCATGTGGGCAAAACCGTGGAGCCATACTCATCTCTTTTCTCTCGAACTCTTTTGTCTTCTACCAATATTTCAAAGGCTTTCAAAATTGTACATATACTTCAGAAAATTCGTGTGTATCTCATTCTACTTCAATCAACTATCCCCTGTGAAAACGGTGTCTTGGCTAACACTGGAGATATAGGATTGTGACTCTAATACCCTGGACCTCCTCCCCGGCCCAGTCCGACTTCCGGCTCAAATTTTTTGTCTTGGGGACTTAGGAAAATATACCTGGTGAAATCAGCATCAAGAAAATGTACCTGGTAGTATAAATAGTTCCGTCCATTCAAGAACAGTGGCTCAAGGTCGATCAAAGCTCAACACTCATCCTCCGAGGTCTTCAACTGTTACGGCATTTAAACATGTCGGTATGTATTTTTTCCCAATCAATATGAATCTAATCCACATTTTCAGAGCCTCGAGTTATATAGAAGATCCTCAATTGGTATGGCGTTAACTGATGCTTTAGATGAAATGGTGACTGCGAGAGAGCTGACACCAACTATTGCAATGAGAATATTACTTGAATTTGATAGATGTATAGTGAAGGAACTCGAATTATTAAAACAAAAAACTACTTTTGGGGCTCATTTACACACGTACAGATTTTGTGATAACGTGTGGACATTTATATTAGAAAATGTAAAGTTTAAGGCGACAAATTACAGTGGTATAGTTGAAGAGATACATGCCGACAAAGTGAAAGTAGTTGCTTGTGATTCAAAAATTCTAGAAAGAAAATGATTTTGTATCAGAACTAGAAAGCTAAACAAAAGTTATATTCTTATCGTCATCAAGATTCCAAATATTCAAGTCGCGATATTCTAGCAAACAAGCGTCCAAATCCTTGTGATGGCATTTTCTTTTAGCACGTGAAGAATAAAAAAAGTTTGAAATGTTTGAAATACCTCTTTTTTGTAACCTTTGTTAACTGTTAAAGAAAGAGCTTGGTCGTACGTGATGTCCGAAGAATCTCTTCGCTCTACCCATTCCCTTATGATCTATACAAAATCATCAACTTTTTAGTAGGAGAAACTCAAAACTTACCATGTGTATGGATGTCACTGGGTCCATTATAGATTTTTCTGCACGCGAGTTTTCAAGACTAATCTGTATGAATAGGTCAGTTTCATACATAAAATTCCTTTGGGCTGGCTCGAACCTTAGACATTTTCATCAACCTCAGCGATTCATCTACATCGGTCTGCTCAACCTTAACAAAAAAGGCTGAATGTCAGCAGGATACATGCAATACAGTACTTACTTTATCGCTCCATCGTAGGCGTGCAATTGCTTCAGATAGACGAAGAATTGATAATAGAGTTCGAGCAGTTGAATAACCCTTATAAAAAAAATTAATACTTGAGCAGTATACGAGAATTGTTTGGTGTTCACCATAGAATTTTCACCAGCTTCTTTTTCTTCTGCTCTCAACTCTGCATACTGTCCAGATATATAGTCAGTCAGTTTAATAGGAATATGGGGCTTGAATTTGCGCGAATATGAAATATATGACTGTAGTTCTGTAGAAGATATGGGAGTGAATGATAATTCCTAAGATTTTAGCGTTAAGTAAGATATCATACGAAACTCTGGGATACGTACCGGAGGCATTCCTTCTCGATGCACATGCAAAACATGATGCGCCAGTGCCGTGTCGGAATCCGAATCAGGTCTATCGAGAAGCAACCACATAAGATCAAAGCGACTCAAAAGAGCTGCAGGAAGATTCATATTCTCTTGAGGGGTAAAAGATGTATTATATCTACCAAATGCAGGATTTGCAGCAGCAAGAACAGCGGTACGTGCATTCAAAGTCGTAGTTATTCCAGCCTGAAATAAAATAGTTAAAAAAAATATGAGGTGTAAAAGAAACAGGTTACCTTAGCAATGCTTACGGTTTGCTGTTCCATTACTTCATGAATGGCAGTGCGGTCGCTCTCATCCATTTTATCAAACTCATCTATACAGCATATCCCATTATCGGCTAATACAAGTGCCCCTCCTTCTAATATCATTTCGCCAGTGAGTGGGTCTTTTTGAACAAAAGCTGTCAAACCAACACCACTACTTCCTCTACCTGTTGTGAATATGCCCCTAGAACAAAATACGTAAGATTTGCGATATGCACCTAATAATGATTTACCTAGGTGCGATTTTGACAATGTGTTTCAATAATTGTGACTTTGCAACGCCAGGGTCTCCCATGAGACAAATATGTATGTCACCCCGTACTTTCACTCCATCATCTAAAACTCGCATAACACCGCCGCACAACAGAAGAAGAAGCGCTTTTTTTACGTCAAGATGTCCATATATTTCCGGAGCGATAGATTTAGCTAATCTACTGTAAAACTCAGGCTCATTCCGGTACATCTTCAGTCTATCCAGATTTGCGTCACTCAGTGAATAATCACCGTAACGAATTTTACTTTGTTGTACTCGCATAGCTTCGATGAAAGTATTTGTTACAAGACCAGCCTGCATTGCCTATTCCACAGAATTTTTACACCATGCAACTATTCAAATAAAACAGCACCTTATAGCCTGTAAAAGGTTTTGGGAGGAAGATACCAGATATCTCAATTACATTGCCTGGACTATGAATATGATGTAAGAATATGTGGTCGTATTGTACATTTTATTAGAGATACTCACCCAACACAGCGAGTTAAAGCACCCTTGATTTGGACTTGCAGGGAGCGAGGAATGCGACCAACAGGTACATCCTCTGAGAGCTCTTGAACCTTGATTTCCTGAATTAAGAATTCACAAACATGAAATGCGTAGCATCCTTGAAATTTAGTACTTGATATTTCACAAATTTTGATTCTCGAGTCTCAAGAAAAAGCTTCCCTAAAAATCATATATAAACTTCAATTCATATAGTTTAAACGGATACCTTTCATGGAGCATCTTCTTGAGGGGCACTCACTATCAGGTGTGAAGTTTTCTTGCATAATTTCCTACAAAGAAGTGTAAGAAAAGTTATTAAGTTGTGGAAAGGCGCAGCTGACTTTATAAATTTTGTATCCACATTCATCACACATAAAACATGCAACTTCCATCATTGGTTTTACATCTCCAACACTGGTACAAATAGCCTGGGAAAAAGAGCTCAAACTAACTTAGAAGTAATGAATTGTGTAGTTTTAATGACCTGAAAGCGAACAAGATGTCCAATATGAGAAGCTCGGATATTACGAAGTCCTTCATTTTTAATTAATGTACCAGGATTCAGCAGTATTTGATACTGTTTTCTTGCGATCTCAGTTGCAAAGCGCTTATTTTGCATACTCTGTTTATTTTGAAAATCCTGTTTTTAATTGAATTCCACAAACTTTCATTCAAAATATCACCTCTTCTGATGCGACTTGTGGTCGATAATTTGAGGTGTTCACATCGCTCGGGCTCTCTCGCACTTCATTAATTATTTCTGACAGCAGTTGAAGATATCTTTTTGAATTCTTCAACAAACCATCCAAGATATTTTTCTTTTCTTCATCTGAAAGATCGTTGGACTGACGTAATAAAAAGTGAAATCAAAGATAGAATGAAAACATATGAACTTACCTTGGCAATATCCTCCAGATCAATCACTACGGTCTTCAATTCTTGCTCTTGATAGGAGTGCTGCAAAAAAATGTTTATTTATTTCATTTTTGAATAGTTTCAAACTCACCAGTTTTTCTAAATATTTGAACTGGTTTCCCTCTGTAAAATTCGTGATGAACCTCAACAAAAGTTCTGTTCAACATTCATGGATTAAATTCTGACACGAAATTTATTTTGTTGCAAACATACGCTTTTGTAACCGAAAATCGGGATCGGGTACGCCCATCCCGATTGTTTTTTTCTGGGAGCTTGATGAGTGTTTTTGAAAAATCACAAAAAATCACAGAATCAACGGCAGGATAGTGTCTATGCGTAAGTCAATACTGAATGAAAGAAAATATTATCCACGCAAAAGCGCAGCTAATACAACTTCTTACGATAACTTGATGTCTCCGTTCCTTTCGAATAAGTGTGGAACGGTCGGTGGCTTTTGCGTTCACACTCTATTGCGTATGGTTCTTTCGTTATAGTTTACTTTGACGTGTAGTCTGCACTTTTGTCCTCTTGTTCATAATTCTTTATTCGAATTAATACGAGTTCGTATCACATATGTTTTTCTGACTTTTTCATTTCATTTTTTCATGTTTTTTCATTTTCACGTGTATGTATCCACGGGGTCGTATAGTATTGATACGCGTACGTGCGTAAGGAGAATTCGAACCTTTCGCTTTTTTCTTGTGCTTAAATAGCTTAACAACAAGGGACTTTGACACGGCGGGAGAGGACATAAAGAATATACGAACTACCAACGAACCAAGTGGTTACTTTTTACAAAGTTAACTTAATGTTTTACTGCATTTGACCATTTATCGGTTGAAAAACAAAACCGAAAAGCACTGGTACGAGCTGTAGAGTTCAACTTCATGCGCTCGCATTCAAAAGTATAATAGAATCATTTGTGTTGAACGTATTCAAAACTTGCAGAGACTGGTCGAGGAAGCCTCGCTCTTTGAATGAGTAGCTCGTGAAGCGGTGAAGGAGAAGATGCAGCTTTCTACGCAAATGTCAGGTTCAAATTTGTCCACCAAAAGACAAAATTTTCAAGCACACACCCACACCCTCTCTCGTTTTGCAGTGAAAGCTAATCCACAACCTACTAAAAAAAATCGATCAATTGTTAGAACAATCACGAGTGAGAGCATTTCTGGTTCTCGAGATGAGGATTTTTCGAAGCTTCCTCAAGAGTCACAGACATCCAGGCGTGATGCCCTTGACTTGAATAAAAAAATTGCCGATGATACTCTATTACCTCCGTCAATGCGAGAGCCAGGTGCAAAGAAAATGGGAGCTACGAACGAAAGTAATATCATTCTTAGTGATAATATAGGCTTACCTAGTACGAGAAGTGCTTCGAACAAGAAGCACGCTGATTTGGAGGAACTGAAAGCCAAAGTTCTGTCACAAAAGATTTTCAAGACAGACTCAGGTAAAACATCAACAAACATCAACAACAACAACAAACAACAAAGTAAATTCTTTCTCATGGATAAGAAGGGCGTACCCGGATTAGATAAAAATAAAGGTATACAAAGTAATATTGGCGCTCTCACGCAATCTATTAGACAAAGTGATAATGGAGATGGTGGTGTAGGAGGTGGTGGCGATGGACACAATGGTGGTAACTCAGATGATGATGAAAGTGATTTCGATCCGGACGCATTTTCAATAGCTGAAACGCGAATTTTGTGGATTGATAGAGTGTATAGAGATGCATATGATATTGTGTTGCGGACGAAACAACGAATGATAAATATTTGGATCACTCGAGATCCTTCAAAAACAACTCGCCTATTACTATTCTCAGTTTCTGGAGTATCACTTTTTGTTCTTTCACTGATCCTATATCCAGAGAATCCACTCGATTTTAATGATTCTGGAATTTTTAGCTCGGTTTTTGGACGGAATCCTCGGTGGCTGCTAAATCGAGAACTTGGACCCTTACAACCTACATTGTTAAGTACAACTTTTGCGTGTGCCGCTGCATTTGCTAAAGTTCGTCTTGGGGCTAATTTAAAACCTCTCTCTAACTTTATGCATGGTGTTCTAGGACTTCCGATGGGTTTCATGCTAGTGTTTCGATGGAACAATGCTCACGAACGCTGGTGGTATGGGAGAACTTGTTTGGGAAATATTTTGTTTTATTGCAAAAATTTGGGTGGTACCTTCTGTACGTGGGTAGCTCCAGACGATCCAATCTTGGCAGCCCGAGCACTTGCGTTGATAAACACTCTTAAAGAGTGTGTAGCGGACAGACTCAATGGAACATCAATTACAGATGCTTCTGTTGTACAAAGATTAACGACACCATTAGATTCAGATGATTTAGAAGGTCTTTTTGGGGCATCAAACAAGGTTTTATTCTGCTTAGAAGCTCTTCGAGGTTGTGTGCAGGAAGCTTTTAGACGTGGATACATGCCTCCTGCAATCGCTTCCACCGTTCATGCCGAGGTTGCATCTATAATGGATAACTATGGATCTTGTGAAAAGGTGGTAAACCAGCCTCCACCTGGTTGTATTATTACGCATTTAAAGTGCACACTTATGGTTTATGTATGTTCCCTTCCATTTATTCTTGTGCACGAAGTTGGTGTTTTTGGTGTCGTGCCAGTCACCACATTATTATCATTGGCTTTATTTGGGATTGAAGCTGCTGCTGAGCAGATCGAGCAACCTTTTGGTAATCGTCCTTACGATTTACCGGTTCGTGCGCTCATGCGTGATAATTCTCGAGATTTAGATCAGACTTCTAAGCGTGTGCTAGGATTCACTGGTTTTGTGAATGGCAGACGAGATCTTGAAATTGATAAAATAGTTTCAGCTCCAAACAGTCTTGCATTAAATCTTGAAGAAGAAGGAAATTCGACAAATAACGTTCAAAGTGAAATCGGAGGGAAGAATAAAAAGATATATGATGAGGAGATTAGGACGAGAGAAGTGCTTGACCAATTAGACCCCTTTTTTGAGGATAGAGGGAAGGTGGTGAATTCAAAAACTAAGGCTTCAAACGCCCGTGACTGGACCGAGTCTTCCCTTGCACTTGGAAAAAATTGCAATTCGTCAAGTGACGTGTTTTTTACCGACAATCTCCGCACCTCTGCATCTTCTAATACCGGGATAAGTAAAGATCTTCAAACATTGAATGTTTCTTCTGAAGATTCCGGAGCTAGCACACTTACTGGATCAGGAAACACAGATTCTTCAAACACTCCCATGAAACCAACTCTCGACTGGAAACGGGAGGCAGATGATGAGTCAACGAAGAGTCATGCAATGAATAGTCATAACTTAGACTCTTTTTCAATTTCTCCAGACTCCCGAGTGCTTATCAATGAAAGTTCGGGTATTATTTACGAAAAGATTAAGGCGAATGGAGGAACACGGAAGCTTCCAACATGGAAGACACAGGCACCTATCGAAATTATGGACCAAGTTGATGAAAGATCTGTACCAGATTCGCCAAAATATCATACCTCTAGAATGCGGAAAGCAAACCTTGACTGTGATGAATATGATCACAAGATAAACAGTGTTCAAACGCCGGGACGAAATGCTAGTGTCGATAGGATGAGTTTCACAAGTCCTGCTGGTAACAACTACAGTATTGGTGATATTCAGTTGACTCCTCACCCAAAAGTTTCTCGGATAATCAGATCTTCTCCTGAGGGGGAAACTGATATTCGTGACATTCCTCATCGAGACTCATTTGGCCTTAAAAAGCTAGGGCTTGATCTGGATGAAAAGTTTGTTTCGATATCTCACAAAAGGAATGTCAGAAAATGATGAGTTTTTTTTACTATTACAAAATAATTATTTTGCACGTTCTTCTCGTCATGCCCTGCTTCAGCACTTTGGCTTACTTAACCAACCAAACTCTCTTAGAAACTATACTAAAAACTGTGAAAGATTTCCCCCTTAATTAATGAAAATCTTCTATTTACTGATACCAATCGATTCTTGCACATTACTTACTCCATCACTCCCTAAGAATTGAGTAAATACCGAAGAAACAAATCCAAGGTTACGGGTGAGAGAATATTTGAGCGCTGGTGGTAGTGGCTCGAAGACTATTGCGGGATTAAAAAGCTGCTTACTTTTATTTATAACTTTTCTCACTCGTTTCTCAAAAGCAGGAGGATAGTCAAACCACGGATGGTTTCTAATCATATTCGTTTCACGGCGAGTTCGCGATACAAAACTTCGACCTTCGTCACGGTCTGTGAAATTTTGTCCGTCTCTCTGGGTTTCAGGGGTGGGTTTATCTTCCCCGCGATTACGTGCCATTTTTCGTGTTTCGCTTACTTAAAAGAATCCTACAACGGCGTTGAAAATACCTTCAATGCTCCGAGGAGGAAATTGTTATCGCGCTTTTAGGCAGAGTTACTCCGAAGCGTAATAGCTCAAGAGCTAACGAAGTATGTACACTTTCGGTTTTGAATCCCTTGTGTAAAAAAAGAGCACCCAGCACCGTGTCTGCATGCATGCTTGTTGAGATTTTACTTGAAAGCGAGTATATGATATACGGTACTTTATTTTTTGCCAGTGATGCCAAACCAATATTTTTTTGTAAATACGACACGACAAAACGTTTTGTGAACGACTGTTTTTAAAACTGCTCCCCTCTCTCCTACATACTTCGTTTTTTTTTTCAAAAGTCCTATCTCTTCCCACCGCGCCTCATCAATATCTAGAACGAGTCGTTCCCAACGTGCGGAAGACTTTTATAAGAAACTTCTGATAAAGCACACACCATCCACGGCACTTTCAGAAGTTTGAAATACGCGCGAACAGTGCTACGAATCACTACATATCTAAAGGAGCTAAATACTTATTTTGAAGTGTGGGGTTACTTTTTCGACAGACGTCTTCAAATGTACATTTTGGAAACTATCACTGCTGCTGAACTTCAAGATCTACTAGGAAGTAAAAAGTCGCATCATGGGTTAAAAGTTATTGATGCGCGATGGGATGACACGAAATTAAGGACATCTATCCGTGAAGAGTACGATAAAGAACATATACCGTTCGCAATCTTTTACAATCACGAGTTAGTGAGCGATCTTTCGCAACAGACTCCTCAAGCTTTCCCAAAGTTGACCGATTTTGTACGTTACATGAACAAAGTAAGCATTTCTGTTGAAGATGATGTTATAATATATGGCACTGATCACGCTAGTTTCAGTGCAGAGTATTGTGCTTTTGTATTCAAACAATTTGGACATGCGGGGAAGGTGCGTATCCTTCAAGGTGGGATCGAGGAATGGAAAAAATCTGGTTTTTGCACGGAAGACTCTCGTAAAGATCTCGGTATGAACGATAGTTATTTCAACACCTACACACCGCGTGAGCATACAAATTCATCGGTATACCAAGTTAATGTTTCTGAAGTTTTGAGAGGTTTAGACTCTGACAAAATTCAGATTGTTGACTGTCGAGAGCCTCAAATTTTTCACGGAGAGACTTTAGATATCTCTTACTATAGCTCGAATGAAATATTAGTAGAATTTACTGGCCACCGCCGCGGCCATATTCCTGGTGCAAGAAACGTCCCATTTTCTCTTATTTCTTCCGCGAAAGATTCGGATACCTTGAGACAGATTTTCTTAGATTCTGGAGTAGACCTATCTCGGAGGATTCTACTTATTGCACGGGGTGGGATAAGTCCGGCTCCTTTTATATTATTCAAGCTGAGAAAGTTAGGCGTTGCATGTGAAGTTATACGCGACGGAATGTGTTGCTGGTGCACTGCTCAAGGAAGTTCATATCCTCTGATTTCATCAAATGATTTGCACTACAGTGAGAGAAAGCCAATTATAGTATGGGCTTTACCCAATAGTCACACAGATACTCTCAAATGCTGTTTCAAAATGCACCCCGAGATTCAAATGTACAAATCCAGAATATCCTCGCATTCAGATTCAAGCACGTATGTTGAACAGAGTGTTAGGAATTCGCTGAGAAAAGCAGCATATACTTCTATCCTAGAAATACTGAGCATAAACGCAGGGGTGAAGGTAAATGTTATCATGGAACTATGTCATGATTACAACGATGCGGAAATGGAAGATGCTTGGTTGAAGAGTTTCAATCACATAATTCTTGTCCGGGATCCTGAAGCAACTTCTGCATCGAAATGGAGAACTAGTGTGAGTGGAGTCGAAGTTGGTGAAAACAGTAACGCTCTTTCTTACAAAAACTCATTTGAGATCCTTGCAAGATTGAAACGAATCAGTGCTAGATCATTAGTTTTAGACTCCGATCTAGACTTGGTCCAAAGTCCGAAATCGGCAATAGAGCATGTCTGTGACTTTGCTGGAGTTGCATATAAAAAATCCATGTTCAATTGGGATTTCATCCAGATGGATGTTGAGTCTGCGGTGAACAACCTAGTAGACTTGGCTCAAGTTTCAATTGAAGAGCAAATTGATGATAAATATATTTCTCCAGGAATATCTGCAAGTACCATAGAAGTAAAATCATATTACGAAGCAGTAGTTTGGAACTCTATTTCGATGAGGAAGAGCTGGCCAATTTGTCGTCAAGGTCCATCTTTACAAAATAATTTTAATGTGCTCGTCTGTGACTCATCATATGATGGTAACCTGGACCCGTTACCATGTGTGACTGCTTCGTTTTTTTCAGACTCTACGATTTTTGCTTTTCACCACGATGAATTCGAAATTGCGGAAAAAAAATGCCCATATGTGTTTGATTTGCCTTTAGTGGTATGTGGTGAAGTAGGAGCTGTGTTACAGATGCTACAAAGAATGGATGCTAAAATTTCAAAAGGATTTATTTGTGTAGTTCGTGTTCTCATAATTACGGATAGAATACCGGCGATGAAATCATTAACATATCCAGTCTCTATAATTCGGTCTCAGGAGGATGTCGTGTCAAGTATCTTCATGCAAGACATAATCAAATCAGTCCTATCTGACATTGAGTCATCGAAGGTGGAGTCTGAAGTCAGTTTCGCTGAAGGCAATGAAAGTATCGATATCAATTTTCCGAATGTGCACTGGCGAGACTTATCGAAGCTAATTCAACGTTGCGAAGAAGTGGACAATATTGCGGTCACGGATGTGGAAGGTTCGTACAAGTTGACGGAAATTTATGCAAGGTCTCTGAAAGTAGACGAGATATTGACCAGATATGGGTGCACTTCTGGTGATCACGTAGCAATTTATCTTGAATCTTCTGCATCTTCAACATGGGCAGCCCTTGGCTCCTTATTACGCGAGTGTATCTTTGCAGATGTACCTACTTGGTATAGATCGACCGATCTCGACCGGGTTCTAGGTATTATTAAACCCAAAGTAATCTTGACTTCAGATGCTCTTTCAAAGAATATTTCTGATACAGAAAAGGCGAGTGTCGTTGTACTATCCGAAGAAATGGAAGATTTCGGATGTGTCAACAGTATCATTAAAGAAATTCATCCAACTCTAAATGCACATAATAAACCAGATTCAGGAGGTTTTTGTGTGCTTACTAGTGGTACCACTGGGATATCTAAAGTCGTATGCTGTCCGCAGGCTTCTCTCACTGATTCGCAGCCAATTTTCGAAAAGATTTTAAGAGATGGCGATCGGGTCGGGAGTTTCTGGGTATATTATTATTTTTTAATCCCTATTCTTTCTGGTTGCACTTTTGCCATCATACCGTCCGATTTCTTTCTGAAACCAAAAGAACTATGCGAATACGTGGAACAGAAGCAGATCACGGTACTTTTTTTGACTCCTTCTATTTTGGAGAGTTGTTTGATAAATGTATCAGATGAAACTTTTCGGCAGTCTTTTAATTCTGTGCACACCCTCATGTTGACGGGAGAACGTTTCCGAGACCAGATCAAAGATTTATTTCTGGCAAAAGTACCCGCTTGTAAGATAGTTAATATATACAGCACAAACGAAAGTGGTGATCTCGCTGTTTATAAAGATGGTTGCTTTCAAATTCGAGAAGGTACGAGAACAAGAATACTTGACGACTCGGGGCGAGCTGTTTTACGCGGCAATATCGGCCATCTTTTCGTGCAGAAACAAGGTTTACTCACTGGTTACTGGACGGAGCATGGTAAGACCTCCATAAAAACCGATTGGTATGATACTGGGGATTTAGTTCGCTGGCATGGAGGAAATAAAATTACATTTGAAAGCAGAGCAAATGGCGCACACGTTAAAATCCGTGGATTCAAAGTCTCTCCTCGGATGGTTCAAGATTTATTGCTCCAGCATAAATCGATCAAAATAGCGAAAGTTTCCGTTTTTGGTGAGGAAGATGGAATAGAAATCAGTCTTGTCGCTGCCGTAGCTTTGAACGCGAATGAATCAATATCAGAGAATGAGATTCGTGAGTGGATGCAGGCGCGAGCTCCGCATTATATGATTCCAAGTGCTTTTTATTATTTAGATGATGGGATTCACACTGCTATATCTGGTAAGGATTCGAAACTTGATGTCAATAGTTTGAAACGAATTTCGGACTTTGCTTCAAATGACCTGACTGTTGCTGAATCAGAGTTGGCAAACATCTGGAAGACGGTATTAGGTCAACCACAGCTTAATTTGAAAGGAAGCGATAGTTTCTTTGACCTCGGTGGAAGCTTAAAATTTGTCGAACTAGCTGATGCTATATCAAAATATCGAAATCAAGAAGTTCAGGTAGGTGAGATTCTGTCTAAACCAACCTTATCAGGAATGGCAAGTCTCTCTTCAGTGGATGCTAGGGAATTTAATGCAGTAAACGAGGCAGAAAAATACACTTTCAGCTCATTGGCTCGTGAAAAAAGCGAAGAAACTAGAAGAATTATTTTTGACTCGTGGAATGCGAAAAGTAAAAAAAACATCTTATTAACGGGTGTTACGGGTTACGTTGGTGCATATCTGCTGCGCGATTTCATTTTAGATGATTTCGTCGATTGTATCTACTGCGTCATTAGAGCCAAGGACAAGCAGGAGGCAAATAAAAGGGTTCTCAGTATGAGTTCTCGTCGTGGAATTTCTTTTGGTGATGGATATTCAAAGAAGGTAATACTTGTTTGTGGTGATGTTGCAAAGCCATTGCTTGGTATCTCTAGTAGTGAATATGAATTTTTGGTGTCTCGTGTCGATGTCGTTGTCAATGCGGGAGCAGAAGTTAATATGTTGAAGGCATATTCTGCACTGGCTGCAGTAAATGTCGGTGGCACAGTAAATGTGCTAGAATTTGCAGCACGAGCTTGCGCTAAGCACGTGTTCACATCAACAATGCTACCCCTCCCTGGTGAAGAGGCAACAGGCTATCGTAAGAGTAAAGAGGTGGCAGAATTGTTGTGTTTGCGTGCTCAAACTGAATTAGGTGTCCCAAGTGCGGTTCTCCAACTTGGTGATATAGGCATTTCTACGGATGAAGGAAGTTTTGCCCCTGATGACGATTATATTGTGATATTCTTACGAGCCTGCGTTTCATTAAATTTATTTCCGCACACGGATTGGGCCTTTAGTGTTATGAGTGTTAATGATTGCTCTATAATGCTAACGAAACTTTCATTAGAAGGAAAGGTTGAAAGTTTTGATGGAAATGCCCGAGAAGTGAAAGGTAAATTAATAAGATTTGATCAACTGTATACGTGGATATCGAAGGATATACCTCTTCACATGTGTAGTCTAGGAGGATGGACCAATGCCGCAAGAAGTGGAGCTGCGGATGGCATTGATGAGCTTAAAAGAGCTCTACTTTTGCTCGAATCCATGGAGGTTGAGCTTGCTGCGGAGGGGATGCGGCTCGAAAGCGGCGAAAAGTCAGGTGAAATAAATTTATGCGTAGATGAACGATGGGGTCAGAGTTTGTCAAATGCATTACAACTTGAATCTTTGCTTATAAATAGAGACAGTGCGACCAAGAGGTCAGCCCGAACAGTTGCTTATGCGGCCCTTTCCCAAGGAGAAAATCTTGTTCCAATTAACATTAGTCTACAAGATATGACGAGTACTTCGATTGAGATAAAAGTTACACATTGTGGGCTTTGTGGTTCGGATGACCACCTTATTTCAGGAGACTATGGAGACTATGCCGTATGGCCGCAAGTATGCGGCCATGAAATTGTTGGTATTGTGACTCAAGTTGGCAACGCTGTCACACATTTGAAACCAGGGCAGCGCTGTGGGGTAGGTTGGCAATGTTCATCGTGTCATGATTGTGAGTGGTGCTTGAGAGGAAACGAACAACTTTGCAGTGAAGTTGTGTGCACTTGCTGCGAGGGTAATCGAGGAGGCTTTGCAAACCTAGTACGCATTAAGGACGCTTCATTTGCCTTCAATATACCTAAAAATTTGGACTCGGCAGAAGTAGCTCCGTTACTTTGTGGAGGGCAGACGGTTTGGACTCCGCTGAAGGAACAAACTAAGCCTGGGGATCGTGTAGGAATTTTAGGTCTCGGTGGCCTTGGACATATGGCAATTAAATTTGCAAAAGCGATGGGATGTGAAGTTACAGCGATTTCTTCTTCTGAGTCAAAAAAGAGAAAATCAATTGAACATGGAGCAAGACACTACGTGTTACACACAGATAGAGACGCTATGGCGCGTAGAAAAGGATCTCTGGACTTCATTCTCGTCACCATCGCAACAAACCAAAGAGTAGACTTCGAAAAATTCTTCCACTTGTTACGACCACGTGGCACTATTTGTTTTGTCGGTATGTGTCCGCCAATAACAGCAGATGTATTTTCCATGGGGTTTACAATGTGCAACATAACGACCAGTAATACGGGGGGGCGCAAAGATATGATAGAAATGTTAGATTTTTGTTCGCGGAATGGAATCGGAGCTTCGGTGAAGAAAAGACCACTCTCAAAAATCAATGACGCAATTGCTGAGATGAGAAGGGGTGAGTCTTCGATTCGACATGTTTTAGTGAACGATATATAATATTAATACCTAAGGCAACATGTAGGTATAGTATGTAATAAATTTATTACAGATGTTAGTTACAGAGGAACCTATACATAGAAGGCATTCTAGCTCATTCCTTTATTCAACATTCCAAGACCTTTTTTTTTTTTTTTTTTCTTCGTTTGACTCGTTGAACTTGTTGCTTTAAGTTTAGGTTGATTTTCACGCTCATCTGCAAGTCTATTGGCATTGATAATACCTTCTTTAGTAGGATCTTCAATCGCATCAAATAAAAAAGTTAGAGCATTACGTTCTGTCTTTGATAATCCTGGATGCCAGAATCGAATGATGAGTACATAACGATCCGTTTTCTCTGATAAATTTTTGGTACTGTGGATGAAACTTGTGTCTGCAATAACTCCAGAACCATTTTTCCAAAAATGTTGCTCATTCCCAACACGCATCCAGCATTCTCCTTCTGGTACATCTAGTCCCAAATGAGACGTCAATATAAAGTTAGTATTGTCTGAGTGAGGTTCAATGCCAGTCTGCGGTGACTGACGTGCAAAAAATACTTCAACTGATGGAACTTTGAATCTTTTTACTAGTTCCGTTGTCCTCGGAAATAATGACGAGTTTGTGACATCCCATACACAGCGGTCCTGTAACACGAGCGTACGCCAGTCTGGTCCGTATGCAATCGCCTCTTCTCTAGCTGCTGGTGCCCAGATGTAATTGCCTTGTTTTTCTATGTCAGTATTAGTCACAGCTCCTTGTAACTCTCCCAGTATGACTTCGTAATCTTTCTCAAGTTTTTTCATCCAAAGAAAATCAGGGCTATCGGTATCATGGAAAGGGCGTGCTTCGAGACCGGATATATAGGAGGATGCTCTTTGTATGCCAAAGTTAGCATGATCTCTATAATATTCTTCATCTGCGGCTAGAAAATTCAAGCTTTCGATTACTCTCTTGGTCTCGACTGAGCCGTAACGCTCTCTAATAGCGCTGGAAACTGAAGTTAAAAGGTCACAATCTTCTTGTTGCGCACGGCAAATATAGTTTCCTCGGTTATGGCTCGTACTTCTTGTTCTTAGGACGAGTAATACGTTCTTTTTTTGTATATTTTTGAGGTGCCACGTTGAACTTCTTGGCTCAAGTATGCTTTGCGTAGAAGCTTGCATGTGGATTTGAACTTGAGGTGCAATCTTGCTCAGTTTCAGAAGAACGAGCAACAGAAGATTTCCCGGAATCCTAGCAACAGCTACAGCTCTATTTAAGAACTTGCGATGCGTATTTATCGAGAGATCGATCTATATATTTCAGTATGCTGCTGCTGTACACCGTGTACAAAAAAACCCGTGTAAAGTATCAGCGTTTAAAGTATGGTCCATATGATAGGTTCATTAGTTTGCCTTTTCCACATTTTTTCGACCTTCACACACCTTTTGGTCTAACCGGTCTTCCTCTGATAAGGTCCGCAGTGATCAATATTATGGATCATATGGCATACGTACCCATAGGTACTTATAAGGCACTCGTACAAGTGATCCAAAAAAAAACAAAACAACGGAGTGACAACTAAAAACAAATTAAATAAAAAACAAATAAGCTCGTATGATGTCATAAGTGATATTGGAGGTTCCCTGGTTCCGCGGTAGTTTACGAATAAAGCTATTCAAGTATTCATACGAGTAGAGGCATCAGGAGGTGAAAAGGAAGATTGAGTCTTCCACACTGTGAAAAAGTTGTCCTTTCAAGAAAGGAACTCAGTAAGAGTAATACTTTTATAAGTAACAGGTTGCACAACGAACGTATAGGTATATGCAATACAAAGGAACGGTTGGACTCTTCCAAGTTATAAACCGGTGTTTTAATGAACTTCGACTCAATATCGAACTCTAATACCACCGGAGACGTTCCAGATGAATGGTATCGCGATGAGAGTCACGTCGGTTATTCGTTACTCGGATTAAAACTGGAAAAACAGAAAAGGGTGGACTCTCTCGACGAGCTTTTACATAAAATAGACAGGAGTGATAGTTGGAGACAGCTCGTAGACAAAAAGCTCGGTTCTGGCATATATCTATCGGCAAATGAAGTAAAGTTTATTCGTAATTTATGCACGGGTGTGTTTATGAATGATATCGATGTAAATACGCAAATACATACATCTAAAGTCGAAATTGGTCGGGCTAACGAGCCTAAACGCCGCTTTCTAGCTTCAAAATGGGAATCCAAACGTGTCATTAATATTTTGAGATCTATTCGTAAAAGAAAACCTGAGTTATCAAGGCTGCACCAGATAGCTCCTAAGCTAGGATTACTTTGGAATGGCATTGAACATTCAGTACATTCAGAAAGAGGAGCACTTAGAGCTCCCCGTGTCAAACTTGGGGGTCATGAAGATTCATACAATGCACCTCTTGAATACCTTGGCAATACAGGTGATATATCTAATTTAGGTACACTGCGCTGTGTACCCGTGTTCAAACACTTCCTCAACGAGCAGTTTGGTAGATGCCTGGATCTTTATATGTGCCCTAGGGCTAAAAGGTCAAAAATGGATATGAATGTATCTGACTTACTACAAGACTTTCAGACACACGATGTGAAGCCTCTCTTCCCTTCAAAGCTTATGATGAAGTTTGCTGGACATGAAAAGGCAATAACATCAATGAGTGTACATCCGTCTGGAAATTTATTAGCATCCTCTGCGTTTGATAGCACAGTACGAATCTGGAGCTTATCTACGGGGAGATGCCTTCATATGATCAAAACAGTGGCACCAGTGTCTAGTGTGACATGGTGCCCCCAGAGAGATAAATCCTTGATTTCTTTCCACGTATTTGATACTGTGTATTTTGTAGACTTGATGGATGCTTTGAAATCTCGATTCAATGACGGTCCAATAGAAATTAATACCGAAAGAATGACGGCAAGTTCTTCTATTGAGCTCCCGAGTAAAGTTCCTTGTGGCTGGTTCGACTTAAATAAAGGAGTATACAATGTTACAAATCCGTATTATCTAACTAATGCATCTTGGCACCATAAGGGTGATTTCCTTTGCGTATATGGATCAAATATAAATGAGATATGTGTCCACCAGATTTCAAAAAGAACATCACAAAAATTATCCATAGAAGGGAACAATAGTATCTCGAGAATCATTTTCCACCCTTGCAAACCATGCCTTTTGGTCGCTTCTGTGAAGTTCATTGTAGTATATGATCTCAAAAGTCAGCAAATTTTACGTAAATTTGTATTTGAGTCAACTCGTGTAAACACTTTGGATGTGCATCCACAAGGTGACTACATTTTGGTAGGTTGTGCTAACGGTAAATTATATTGGTACAATATTGAGCAGTCGAGTAATGCAGAACGTACACTATCTTTCAACTATGGTGTGATATCAGTAGAGTTTCATAAGACTCAACCATTTTTCTCTATTGAATTGAATGACTCTTCAGTTCAGATTTTTAGTTTTTTTGTAGCAGATTTTTTGTCAAGGGTGGCAATAAAACCGCTGAAAACAATCAAAGATAGTCGCACAAAAGTATTCTCCGCATGTCGCAATTGTGTACTGCATCCTGCGCAACCGTGGTTGTTTAGTGTAGGAGGTACTTTTGATGACGAAGTATTTCTTTTCACTGAATACTAAAGAAAAATATAGTTACTGGTGCTGTTATTAACGAAACAAAACAGAACAAGAAAACAAAAGTGCTGGATATGATTGAGTATTTTTTATTCGCCACAAACAATGCGCACACTTAATGAAAAAGGAAGAACTCTAGCGAAGCTTTGATTTCAAGTTTCAGTTACCCCCATCAATTAATTTTTTGAAGTTGTCTCCGAATTTTTTAAGACCCTCTGCTGCTTCCTGGGCTGGCATCCGCGTCTCTTCCTCCGGTGGAATAACATAAACGTCCTTTTCTGAAGGTTTAAACATAGAGTTGGGATTCTTTTTGTCCAAGACACTGAATCCATACTCAAGTTCTCTCGCACTCTTCAACATAGGCATTTTTCTGACCATTTCTTCCAGCTGAACCTGCTCTTTGTACAAAGCTTGGCCAATATTGTTTGTCAGTGATTTCAGAGCCATCTGCAAGAAGTAATGAGAAAAATGATAATAGAAAAGAGAAAGACACACATCTTTCGATAAATTACTGTCTAAACCTTTCACTAAGGTATTAGCAGTTGAACCTCCCGTGACTACGTTGAGAGGAAACCACGTTTTCAACCCTTTTTTTGACCGGACATAAATTACAAATTGTTCATTATCTGGATCAATCGGCGGTAAGAATTGTTCTCTGCATTTGCATAAAGTCATTCTTTCGAAAGTTTAAGTCAAAATTATTCTTACACAGAACCTCCTTGCTTTGGGTTCGAACCTCTTCGATTTTGTTGCTTTCCTTTTGCGAATACCTGACAAAAATATCACATATGAAACTCAACAACTCATAGGTGACGAAAGAACCTGAAAGTGGAGACGCTTGGGAGGTGTTTTCTGCTGCTTGAGGCAACTTTTCCAGCTATTGTGTGGCGCAAAGCGGGAACTAACATGAATGTGGATCGTTTGATACATAGTACTCTTGTGATTGAAGTTCTGAATAATTTTTATTAGTTAGTGAAGTGCGTATAAATTGTTTCGTTACAAAGACAGAATTTTCTACGGGCATTTGAAAAGTAAAAAAAAATTGTTTACTTTTCACATCATTTTTTACGATTGCACACCAACACGGTAAACTTCTAGTCAACTGCGTGTTCTAAATAACTCATTCCAACAAGGAAATATAGCACAAAAATACTGCTATAATACTCTTCAGAACCGGCTTTGCGTGGTTCTCATATTCTAACCACACTATAGGTGTTCAAGAGAGCCTTATTAAGTCCTTCATTCGTATACACGGCTTCAGTACCGCGATAAATCTTGGCACATCCGTTTTTTATGAATTTTATAAGTTCTAATAACCAAGTGAATAGGTACACCTTTCACACATTTTAAAGGTGAGTATGTAAAACACAGATAATGTGTCCTTCCTCCTTCACCGTGCCAGTCAATTTATCATGATTCCATATTATAGAGTTTTGAGTTTAGAAAGATATTCATGACCGATCCTACAACTTTTTTATTTGGTGAAAGTGACGCTCCTTCGGGACAAGTTTCTCGTGAAAGCGAGTCGGAGAACAAAATATACAGTGAGGTGAGGCAATTACGTTATTTTTCGATCGTCTGCGAACAATCCCTATAGTTGTATGGTAATATTTCCACCAAAAGTGAGAAGGTACGATTTTTTAAACCTTGAAGTAAGAAAGAACTAATAAAAAATAATAAAGGATAATATAGTAGGGTCGAAAGGCTCAGGGCTTATTCCATTACCAAAGGCACCTCCAGGAAAACCCAAGGTTCAAGATAGTATTCCACCTGCTCAGCTGCCAGATGGAAGATGGAACACGTTCAATGGGCAACCACCACTTGCTCGCTTCAACTCAAGAGGTCAGCGCATTCTACCTGGTGGGTCTGGGGGATCACGATTTATTCCGCCAGAAGAGTACAAAGAGTTCTTACATTTAGGACACGGGGGTATCTTTGACCTAGATCTAAATAATGTAGACATGCTGCCATGGAGAGTTCGCGGAGTAGAACAAGATGCATACTTTAACTATGGTTTTAACGAGAGAAACTGGCGGGAATATACCACTGAGATCAGGAGAGCACGGATTGATGCTCATCTAAAAAACCAAATTGAAATAGTCTCAGGAGTGAATTTTGATTCTGAGTTGCCCGACGAAGTCCGTCAAGCACTGACAAACTCTAGCATAACTGATCAAGAAAACTCGAAAATAGCTCAAAGAGCCTTTCCTGACAATGAACTATCTCAAATCAATTCAGTCCCAGGTATTCAAAACAGCGAGGAATTAGCAGTTCTGAACCATATGCCTGAGTCAGAGCATTATGGGAAATACAATGGAATATTTTCGACAAATTATTCTGAATATATAACTAGTGATACGATTAATTTACCTCAAATCCAAGATGAAGCGAGGAGGCTGCAAGAACAGTATACCAAAGATGCAATATTTTTAGAAGCAGCTTCTCAAAAGATGCACCGCGAGTTGAGACAAAAAATAAAAGTTTTAAAAAACATATTGACTAGTCAAAGTATGTAACCCTAAATACGAATCGAGCATTTTTAAAAAGATACAACATCCAACATAATGAAAGCCGTTTCACATTCGGTTAGCTTTTTTATGTCGGCAGAAGTAAAGCAACACTTATATACCGTACTTTCAGTACGAGTTGTACCAGGTACCCGGTATAAAAGCATAATTGCATAAAGACAAATAAATATAAAAATTGAGTTTTTGATTAAAAAACTTCGCACGGACAAAAAAATGACTGCTGGATATTACAAGTTAATGATGGCGGCTACATTAACATTGGCGACGAGTTCACAAGGCCTCTTGACTACTGCATCTAAGTCAAATGGAGAATACAGATACAATTTCGCCACTGTACCATTTTTAGCTGAAGTATTGAAACTGGTTGGTTTTCTTTTCTTGAGAAGTTTTTTTATTCTTTTCCTAGGTTGTTTCAAGTTTACTACTACACCGTCAGTTTTTGATAGATCCGAAAGGCACGCACATAACGCGCGATTGGAAGAGTGCTCTTTTATATCCTATACCGAGCATCATTTACTTGATTCATAACAATGTCCAGTTTTTGACCCTTCAATATGTAGATCCTTCTACTTACCAAATCCTAGGAAATTTGAAAATAGTTACTACTGGTCTACTTTTTCGAATTATACTAAAGCGTCACCTCAATAGACTACAGTGGATAGCATTAGCTCTGCTGATGATAGGCGCTACAATAAGCCAAATCAGTTGTGATAAAGGCACTACTTTAGCGGCGCCATTGATGGGTTATGTTCTTGGGATTATTTCTGCATGTCTCAGTGCTTTAGCAGGTGTCTACACTGAGAAGCTCATGAAAATGAATAATGATAATTTGTATTGGCAGAATATTCAACTCTATGGTTTTGGTGTGATTTTCAATGGTTTAAGATTATTTTTTGATGATGTTAATGTTGGATATTCGAATGGAATATCTTTATGGCCGAGAGTTGTGACTCGTGGATATAACATCATAACTTGGTTTGTAGTTTTTAATCTTGCATTCACTGGACTTCTAGTGAGCTGGATTATGAAATATGCCGATACAATTGTTAAAGTATACAGTACCTCAATGGCGATGCTCGTTACTATGTTGTTTAGTATAATCTTATTCGACATATCTCCAAATTTACAGCTATTACTTGGTATTCTCACTTCCTCGATATCATTACGTTTGTACTATTTTGATACAGCGGAGTTACATCCAGATATTACTAATAAAAATTCAAAGCTTCGTGATCGAATTTGATGGAGTAAAATACTGTGGGCACTTAGGTGACTCTTAACTTTGCTTCTCTTGGCATTTTTCATACTCATTTATGAGGCTCTCTAATACCTCCTTTGAGTCATCAAACTCAGTAAAATTTTCCTGTGCACTTGATTATATGATGTAGGGAAAAATGATAAAGCATACTCGAAACATATCATATTTCTCATATTGATCAAGGAACGCTTTTCTACGCATAAGCTTGTCGTAGTGACTTAGGCAGCTTTTAAATAGGTGACGAATACTAGAGCAAAATATTTCATTGTAAAAGTTGTAAAAGAACACAAAAATTCTACCATGTGTTATTTGCCAGCATCATTCCACTCACACGATGTGATGTTTGGACGTACGGTGACTTTCTGGACACGACAACCTAGCAGAAGAATGTTGTTCATCGTGCGCAAATATGTAAAAATACAATAAACCTGGATATTTGCTGGACCCCAATCAATAAAATTTATCAGTCTCTTCTCCCGAATTCTTTGTAGACTCTTATGAACCTAAAATAAGAAATATAAGCAAGGTCTTTCCCAAAAACTCTTCTGAATTAATCAAACTAAAATAAGCAAAAAAAATTTGGTCGCAAAGCGAAAATGATTTGTATACTCCCACGACAGAAATATTAAACTAAATTCTTCATAAATAGTTTTCAAGCATTACCTGAAATGCATCTACATTTCCCTGAATCACGTTTAAGATTGATATATATTTACTCTGTATTCAGAAAGTTTAGTTGTATGACAGTCATGAAAAATATATAGAGGAAACCTCTTCAAATTCTTGTTCTCTGATATTTGATGATACCATAATATTTTTTGCCTGCAATAATCGTCTCATGACATCTAGCACCGTGGTCTTGCGTGTCCTATAAATGCTCTAAGAAATGATGTTAATCGTAGACAAAGTTGTTCTCACGCGTTCAACCCGTGTGCATACGAGCTCAGCGGAGTGTACCCTGTCATCAAAAAATGACATCGTGGTGTAGGTACCAGTGACTAAGGTTTTAAAAATAAAAATCTTTCATGGAAGCAATATTAAAAAAACTTTCCGCAACTAAACTGACCAGGTCATTATTCATGTATCCAGGATATCTCAGCGTAGTCGTGCTCGCCGCCATTACAGAAGAGACCAGGGAGTTCGTGTGCGAAAATGTAGGATTATCAATTTTCATTTTTTCCTCCGCAATTCGATTTAATGCAGTATTATCGAGAACAACCACGCTGTCACTGTTCAAAATCAATCTTTTCAAAGTTAAAAGAGAATTGTAGGGTTGCACAACTACATCTACAAAGCATTCAACACGGAGAGTCTATATTGATAAGAGTAATATTACCGCTAATTTCATTCTGATTGGGGAAAATACTGTATGTTTGAACCAGTTTTTTGCCATATCGATCACCGAGGGCCTAAAAAAATGTTCAATTTGAACAAAAGAACTATCTTCTATGAACCTCAAGGATATAAGAACCCAGCCCTGAACCTGTACCGCCAGCTATTGAGTGGCACATCACGAATCCTTCCAGGCTGTCGCTACCATCTGCTTCTCTATCTATCATATCCATAATCTCATTCTGAGGAATAACGAAAGTACGTGAGTTTCAGAAAGTTACAAAAAGGAAATATACCTCTACACTTGCTCCCTGTGAATATCCGCTTGCCCAATTATTACCTGCTCCTCCACCTTGCTGCGACACGTACATATTTTCATTATTAAAAAGCCTCTTATGATCCGAATTCTTTATCCCATTTATCACACGTGGTTCAAGATCTAGTAACTGAAAAATATTTTAAAGTAAGAAACTTTCCTAGAGGAAAAAACTAACCAGAGCACGCGGAATGTAGTGGTTGTCATCAGCCTGATAGAAAAATACATCTTTCCTATCTATCCCCGGAGAAGATTCAGCGACTTCATTGAAGGAGCCCGATTTGCTGATTCCATGCTCAGAGCACAACTTTATACGCGATTCTTCAGTTTAATAATTTAAGAAAAAGAAGATTAAAACGGTCTACCTTGCTCCAAAATTCGGTGCCGATCTGATTTCCACACTGTCCAACCTGTAAAGTAATTATCTCTCTAAAACAATGAATTTTAGAGTGAAACGTGATAAGACGGAATTTAAAGAAAATAAGATAGGTGTTAAACCTTGGCATTGTATAAACTTTGTGTACGTTTGCGCTGAGTTAAGTTCGACACTTCCTCTTTTTTGAAAAAATTTCCCGTCTTTCGATTGAAACCTCTACTCCCTCAACCAGTGTAGTACTATATACGCTAAACATGTTCGTAGGTATGCCACTTGGAGTTCTACACCCCCATATGATATTGACAAAAAATTAAAAAGAGAACCATATAAAAATTCTAAAAACAAGAAAAAACTTTGTTTTATGTCTGAACAAGAAAAAACTTTGTTTTATGTCTGAAAATAAAATGCCAGATTGAACGGATTCATTAAGGGAAAGTCAGAGGGATATAAAGAATTATAGATGTTTGGAACTCAAGATCTCAAGTTGGAATATTGAATTTATGGAATAATTTATAAGAAAGTTTCTCGCATCTTTGTTTGATATCATAGTATCTCGAAAAACGTTAACACTGAATAAGGAGTAAAAGTTTTACATTTCGTTTGATTGAATGTATCGCTGCTCGCCACGAGTGAATACTATTGGCGCTACCGGTGGTTGCCGAGACTCACCACGAAGACATAGACATTTCTGGTCCAGAAGAAGCTGTTGCAATAATGAGTCAGAAAGGCGAGTTACTCTGATAAAAGAAATACTTGCGGTCGAAATCAATTCTGATAACTTTGAGCAGTTCGGACAGGTATACCGATATACATTTTTTACTTCTCTTCCTTTTCACATGATATTTGAAGGTTGTATCGTGGCAATACGATGGAAAAGGTTTCTCAACAGACGTACGCAGCCTCTTTTTTAAAGTTCCTTAACTCACGCAGGCACGATTTTGTACAGGAACTTCAACTGGAGATAAATCGTGGGACTCCGAGATATTATATATTCAGAAAAGAAGAAAGAACGCTAAACTTCCATAAAATTACGTATCACGAGCAAGTCACGCAGTGCTTAGCATCGGTTCAAAATTCTCCGTGGTAAAAATCAAAAGAAAGGAACAAGAGAAACTATTACTAAATATCTGATTATTGCAGGTACATAGTCGTTGCTAAAGCTAACTTTCGCATAGATAATCCTCCATCACTGAATGATCTTGTGGCTTTCAAAGTTACTGGTATTACAATTAATGACAATTCCTTTTAATTTCTTATTTCTAACTCAAGGGGGAACTATTGTAAAGCTTAATATGGGGACTTGGCATGCGGGACCACTCTTTCAGGTAAATGTGGTTACTTTCATTAAAATGAATAGGAAAAGGAAACTGATTATTTACTGTAGGATATTGATACGATGGATTTCTTTAGTTTAGAGCTGAGTGATACGAATATTATCGATCATAATACATATGATTACTCACCTCAATATATTTCTTTTGAGATAGTAGATAAATGAAAAATAAAGAAAAAAGGAGACTTTTTTAGTCATGTAAAGTAGCTCTAAAAAAAGTCAATATTGAATCCTAAGCGTCGCTTGGAGCTCACCAATAGACATTTTGGAATATTCATGCATTTATTCACGCATTTTTCAACTTAGTTCTGACGCTGTAGATAACTTTTTGCTCCTGTGAGTGGTGCTAGCAATAATATCCCAATTCCACACGCACAAATTAGGGAAAGGAAAAAGGCATCCCACCCATATTGTTGCACAAGAAGCGAAAGAGGCACACCAGCATTTGCAGCACCTAGATAAGCTATCCATCCTAGAAAGCCCTCACTAGCACCTACCGAACGTCGCCCGACGATTTCAGCTCCACATAAGCCAATGAGCATTTGAGGACCATACAGGAAAAAGCCAATCATAAATACGATCAGTGCTTGCAAAAACGGCATACCTGCAGGGATGGCCCTGAATGATAATAGCATGAAAGCCACTCCGACAAGGTATCCGATCACAATTTGGATACGCTTGCCGACAGCTCCACCATTCGAACTCGCTATATACCAATCACTTATTCTACCCGCCAATAGACTTCCAACAAGGCCACCGAGCTCAAGCCCAGATACACGTACTGCTGCTGCACCAGCATCTATAACACCCTTCTCTTTTATTAAATAAAAAACTGACCAAGATGTAATTCCTTGTCTAACAATATAAACACAAAAATATGTGAACGCAAGTCCCCATATAAAAGGATTTGAAAGGACATTGTGAAGTAAATTCTCCCATAAATTAATTTTTTGTTCCACTTGTTGATTTTTTTCCTCCTCGTCGTTTCTTATATTTTCAACAGGCTCAAAGCCTTTGGCTTCTGGAGAGTCTTTAAGAGTGAGAATAATCACAGCACCAACAAATACTGCAACAAAACCGGGTGCCCAGAGCCCCCAGCTCCACCCATATGTACGAGCAGCGGTCCCAGCCAAGATAGGTGCAGTAAAGCCTCCCAAATTATGGGCAATATTCCACATACCCCAATAAGTTCCTCTTTCCTTGGAGGCAAACCAGGAGGTGAGGATTTTTGCACAGCTTGGTGCACCAAAACCTTGCAAAATACCATTCATAGCCCATAGCACACAAAACACGGGCAATATTGAACTAGCACCAAACATAATGTTCACAAAACCTGTGGCAACTAAACCACCGCCAAGCATAATGCTCGGGGATAAAGCGTCCCCAACTACCCCACTAATAAATTTACTACATCCGTAACAGAGGGGAAAAATGGAGGTAATCACTCCAATTGAAGTGATATCCAATCCGAGGCTTGCCGTAGCAACCATTGCCGGAGCAGTAAATGTAAGGCTATTCCTTGTTAAATAGTAACAAGAGTAGCCAATAAGTATGCTCAGGAAGACACCCATTCTCACACGTAAGAACTGCGGACTATATTCCTTTAGTTCGAGTGAACTTTCATCATCAGCTGCAGTGACGAACACATGACCTTTGCCATAACAAGTCGCACTGCAGATATTTTGTCGCTCGTTCATTGTTTTCACACAAGTGTAATCTATCTCTCGTGTGAGTAACTTCTTATACACTTTGTTGAAATTTTGAGTGATCAGACTTGGAGAGCTACGCTCACATCGACAAAGAGCTGTAACACGTTTACGTTTATGATAGCGGGAGCTAGTTGTTTTTCCAAAGTACGATTCAGTACTACAAGCGTAGTGACAATTCTTACTCATGATCGCTGAAAATCGGCTTTTGCCTACACTCGAATGACCGTTTTTTGTGCGAAATGGTGTAATTTGTTTCATGCGGGATGCCCTCCCTCCTCCCTTTACCCTCAACGCATTAGCATTTAGGGTCTTTTTTTTTAAAGTGTTACCCAGCAGTGTAGAGAACAAGCACGACACCATTTTCACCTGGGTTGGGAAAGAAATCAAAGCTAAAATTAAAAATTAATCCTGATTTTTTCTTCCTCGGCTTCTTTGAAAAGTCAAAATTTCCCTCGCTTTTCCTCTGTTGACGCAAGTAGATAAGTAGGATTCGGGGAAGTGTGTTCCGCGCGCTGCACGTGAGAAAAAGCATTGAAAGTTCGAAATCATACCTCACTAAGTTAGAAATAATGTTGACGTGTTCTATGTCGGGGATGAAAATAGCAGCGCTGAGAGACTTAGACTATTCAGCGTCCTCTCATAAAAAAGCATCGAGGCGTCAGCATATCCAAAATGGAAAGCTGAAATTTAAACGTAGCGTGACGACAAGAGTTTCACAAAACGATGCTTTGTCCGAATTAGAGGAAGGCCAGATACCGGGGATCGCTGGATATGGGGCCATATCTTCAAAGCCCACCACTCCTCTCTTGGATACAATTAATTTTCCAAGCCATCTCAAGAACTTGAGCGCAGATCAGTTGGAACAGGTCGCGAAAGAACTCAGAGCGGACTTGATTTATAACGTGTCTCAAACTGGTGGTCATTTGGGATCAAGTCTCGGTGTCATAGAGCTCACAGTCGCGTTAAATTACGTTTTTGATCAACCAACTGATAAGATCATATGGGATGTCGGTCATCAAGCTTATCCTCACAAGATTCTCACTGGACGCAGAGATCGCATGAATACGATAAGACAAACGGATGGTTTATCCCCGTTCACAAAACGAAGCGAGAGTCCATTTGACTGTTTTGGCGCAGGTCACAGTAGTACATCAATATCTGCTGGTTTGGGTATGGCAGTAGCTCGTGATATGCAGGGCAAATCGAACCAAGTTATTGCTGTCATTGGAGACGGTGCGATAACAGGTGGGATGGCTTATGAAGCGATGAACAATGCAGGCTATCTTGATACAAACATGATCATTATATTAAATGACAATCAACAAGTATCGTTACCGACACAGTACAATAGTTTAAATCAAGATCCAGTGGGAGCTTTATCTTCAACTTTTGCTAGGTTGCAGTCCTCGAAACCTCTTCGCGAGCTCCGAGAGTCTGCGAAAGCGATAACAAAGCAAATGCCAACTCCCGTGCAGGAAGTCACTGCGAAGGTTGACGAATATGCCAGAGGTATGATTAGTGGTTCAGGTGCTACCTTATTCGAGGAGCTTGGGTTGTATTACATCGGAACTGTGGACGGACATAATCTTAATGATTTAGTTGCAATTTTGCAAGAAGTTAAGGAAACAAAGAGTGTCGGTCCTGTCCTTATTCATGTGGTGACAGAAAAAGGTCGCGGATATTCGTTCGCTGAATCAGCTCAAGATAAATATCACGGAGTATCGAAATTCGACTTAGCTTCGGGCGAGCAAAAGAAGGCGAGTACAACTATTCCAACTTATACTCAAGTCTTCGCAGACGCAATGGTAGGTGAAGCTATGCTTGATGACAGTATCGTGGCAGTACATGCTGCAATGGGAGGGGGAACAGGAATAAACCATTTCGAAAAATATTTTGCAGAGCGTACATTTGACGTTGGTATTGCAGAACAACATGCCGTTACTTTCGCTGCCGGCTTAGCTGCGGAAGGATTGAAACCCATGTGCACAATTTATTCAACTTTTTTACAGCGAGGATTTGATCAGGTTGTTCATGATGTTGCACTCCAGAAGTTACCTGTGCGTTTTGCCATGGATCGTGCCGGTTTAGTAGGTGCTGATGGTCCTACGCACGCAGGTGCATATGATATCACCTTTATGGCTTGTCTCCCTGACATGGTAGTGATGGCACCCAGGAATGAAGCAGAACTATGCCATATGATAGCTACTTCTTTTGCGATTGACGATTGTCCATCTTGTTTTCGGTATCCACGCGGCCCTGGTATTGGTCTGGATTTAGAATTGGAAGGAGTTAAAGTCGGCAATCCAGGGTATAAAGGTGTTCCTTTGGAAGTTGGAAAAGGCCAGGTGTTGCGCGAGGGCACACACGCATGTTTGTTAGGATATGGAACCCCAACGAACAACTGTTTAAAAGCAGCCAAACTGCTTGAAGAGTACGGCATTAGCGTAACAGTTGCTGATGCAAGATTTTGCAAACCTTTGGACGAAAAGTTGATTCGTCGCTTGGCAAAAGAACATCCAATTTTGGTCACTGTAGAGGAAGGCTCGGTAGGAGGTTTCGCCTCACACGTGCTTCAATTTCTGGCTCTTGATGGATTATTGGATGGTAACTTGAAAGTGCGGCCACTGTTACTCCCCGATGTTCCCATTGAGCATGGTTCTGATCAATTTCAACTCGAGCAAGCGGGTTTGACTCCAGCTCATATCGCATCAACTGTTTTATCTCTCCAAGGGAAGACGGCGGAATCTTTACAAATTCTAGCAAAATAAGTAGAGATTGAATGAAGTTTTTTCTGACCTGCTTAAAGAACTACTTTTTGAAACTTATATTCTGATCAATATACTTGCTGCCCCAACCTATTCCGTACCCCCAGCCGAAGCCTATGCCTATTCCGCACCCTCCTCCAAAGCCTAACCCAAGAACGCTTAAGTTGCTTCCTTTCAAAGAAAATGTAAGTTGAGGAAAAGAAAAGTCAAGCTCGAAAAGATACCTCCGAAACCCCAACCCAGACCGAAACCACAACCAATGCCGGCACCTGTAATAAAAATGTTCCTGAACGTAAAGAAGTAAAGAAATCTAAAACTCAAACCTAGTCCGACGCCATTGCCTACGATTTTTCTGTCTGAAACTCCCATTACAACAAAAAGCTCGAGAGAGTTGCAATCTTGTAAAATTCGCTAAACAAGCTGCTTGAATTAACAAGCTGCAAAATTGGCAAGAAAAAAATTGAATGCGAGTCTTGGTTTTTATTTCCCGCTCAGCGCCCACGGTGCACTGATGGGCCGCGGGGGAGGAGGTCCAGGGTGTTTTCACAGGAGATATTGAAAAATGAAAATTCTAAAAGCTAAAAAAAACTGTTACGTGTCGCTCCGTATATATCCTCGCGAAATTTATTTTTTTCAAATACTGGGTATCATATGATATGATATTGACTGAGGATGAGAATAGGTGAACATCTGAACATGGGAACAAAGCTGAAAGTTTTTGTAGCAGTTCCACTCATCTGTTCGTTAAAAGAAATGAAGTTCGTTAGATTTATTTTTAAAGCACGTCAAGAATTGTTTCGAATACCGAAAAAACGTAAAGAATGCGAATGTTCATGAGTAGTTATACCTCTCTTGGTGTTTTTGAAACCATCCTTTGAAGCTTAGAAAGACACAGTCCCTCTTCCGCAAAATGCTTCCTTCCGCGGAGCCAGAGTTTTTCAAATTCTTTATGGACATAAAAAAGATTGGGATATTTAAAACTCTAAAACACAACTTAAAATTAATTCCGATGAGTTTTGGATCATGTGAGCAATACAGGGAGAGCTTTTATCCTGCGCTATTGGAAGAAACTGTAGAAAGCATTGAGGCTGTTTTGTTTGAAAATATCGGTTAGTTCATCTTGTAAATTTTCAAAAGAATTTCAATAAATATTTTGGTATAGCTCAAGATTTACAGCATCTTTGCAAAGTAATAAAAGTGCGAAGGGAGAATGCCATTTTTACAATATACATTCAGATCGAGGACGAAGCTAAATTGAAAGACTTTCAAACAGGAATGATAATCCTGATCTCAAATGGAAAATTCTGTACTACATTTCATAAAATAAAGAGCGAGTCTTATTGCACTGGCATAATAACATCTTCTGATCCTTTGAAATGTCAAGTTACAGTTGTAGTTTCTCAAGAGCACGGGGAGGAATCTTTGATTAGTCATTTTAGCAACTTGTTATCCGAAAATGCCTATTTTTGTGTTTGGGCAGTGTTATCGGAAAAGTTTACTTCAGGATTTTACTGCTACATGGCTCTTCATGCTTTCGAAGAAATACATGAGGTATGATTTGTTATCTTAATCTTGAGATCCTTCAAATCTATCAATATTCTTATATAAGGTTTTGAAAAAAGCAATCCTAAGTCCACATAAACTTTATTATGAGCAAAATATTGCTCTTAAGGAAATCGGTCACTATTTGGACAGTTGTTCCTATGCCCAAAGTTTTGATCTACTGTACAATGAGATTCAGAAAAAGACCATTAAATGGGCGATTGACCGCTCAATGGGTACTATAGATGAGGATATTCTAGCAGAACCATTCACTATTGTACGAGGACCACCTGGCACAGGCAAAACACATACTTTGGTAAACTCTTTGAACCTCTATTTTTTACTTTTACTTTTACTTTTTAAATTTTAGTTTGGTATTCTGAATACTCTACATTTAATTCTTTTCCAGAGATATTATGGAAGTGTTACTGCTCTCATAGAAGGAAGAAATGTGGGAAGGTCAACGAATTCACAGCACGGGAAATTGAAGAATCATGATGCGTGCAGAGATATTGAAAAAATATTCGTGAAACCTCGTATTCTAGTATGTGCCCCAAGTAATGCTGCGGTTGACAACATTTGTGAGAAAGTTTTGAAAGTGGGCTTTAAGCAGACAAATAATATGCCTTATCGACCAGGTATTATTCGATTGGGAGCATTTGATGCTCTCATTTCAGATGATATAAAATCTATTCTTATTCAAACAAAAATTAAAGCCCTTCTTTCCTTATCAGAAATAGAATGGAATAAACTTTACTCTCAATTTTATTTCAATGTGCTTGCAATAAACCAGCAGATTGAGAACATCAATCTTACGGGAACAATTACTCATAGCATAGACATGTATATCCAGTCTATTGAAATTCGTGATCGTTGTATAGCTGAATTAGCTCGACTTGAACTTGTGAACACCAAGCGTACTCCGGGGCTAAATCCAGGTAGGAAAAATGAGAGTACAGAACTATATATAGAGCTAGAGACATCATTTTTGGATGAAGCAGAGATAGTTTTTACAACTTTAACATTATGTGGACGTCATACTTTGAAGAAGAACTCGAAAGTATTCGATGTATTGTTGATAGATGAGGCAGCACAGGCGAATGAACTTGCTACTTTGATACCGCTAACTCTTGGAGTGAAGCACTGTATCCTAATTGGGGATAACTTTCAACTTCCATCAACTATAATTTCTGAACGTGCTAAAACTGCGAAATTTGGCAGATCTCTCTTTCAGAGGCTGCTTGAAAATGACTTTGATTTCATCTCTCTTTCCATTCAGTACAGAATGTTGCCTGAAATTCGCCATTTCCCTTCTCGTTTCTTTTATGATGGAATTCTGACTGATGATCCGTCCATGTCGAACAAGGGAGTAATGAATAAGATGTGGCCGAGCGAGCCTTATCTACTTTTTGATACTGGAGATACCTTTGAAACACGTAGTAATCGAGGTTCTGTTGTCAACTTATTTGAAGTTTCTTTGATTTTCTCTCTGCTAAAATGTTTCACATCTATGAATCCGGGAAGAACTCTACAGAGTATTGCTGTTATAACCCCATATAAGGAACAAAAAGATCTTATAGAACAGACTTTGAGAAAAACTTTTGGAAGAAGTACTTCAGTCCCGTGTGTCAGTACAATTGATGGTTTTCAGGGCAAAGAATGCGAGTTCGTTATCATATCATGTGTACGTGCAACAAACAATATTGGATTCCTTTCAGACGCTCAGCGTCTCAATGTAGCTATTACTCGTGCAAAGAAGCGATGCTGGATCTTGGGCAATTTAAATTCGTTGTGTAGAGATAAGATTTGGAGACATGTTGTAGAGGATGCTGTCTCGAGATTTAGCATAATTCAAGGTCGTGAGTCCCATGCAGTTTTACAGAGCTTTTCCACCCCCTCAAACGCTTTTTAGAAACGCACATCTCAATAAAGTACTAGGTACAAAAAAGTCTCTGTATTAATGGCAAACAAAATCCAACGCATACTTGTTTTTGCTTATATTCCAACTCTCCATATGGTGTAAATCTGACACTTGACCTAAAACGTGTGTCAAGCTTGATAGTGGTAGTGCCGAGAGAACTTCGCATCGAGTGAGGCAGATTCTATGAAGCCAACTAAGAGTAATTGTCAAGTGTTTACTCCCAGCCAGACAAGATTGAAGCACTTCCAAAAGTAACACAAGGTGTTCTTGAGATAACATTTTGATAACATTTCCTACACTTCTCTGCGGAATACTATACAAAATCGATTGCAATACGCGAAAGTCTAATTTGAGCCCGAGTGCAGTTGATACAGCTTCATAATATGAACCTGTTGCTATCATCTCAATCACATTGTTGCATTTACTCTGTTTAGCTACTTCAAACAAAGCTTTCCGAAAATTCTCTTCTGCAAATAAATATAGACCATTTGAGGTAGAAGCAGCCCAGCATTGCTTCACTGGGGAGCACTTGGCTGAAAATATGAGTTGAGAAGTGCTGCTGCATAAATTTTCCATTTGAATCCAATTCCCCGCAGCGAAACGTCTTAAGAGTGTGTAACCCTTACTTTCGAACGTATACATATGAAAATAAGAGCAAGCCAAAAGTAGTTCACCATCCATATTATAAGCGAGTGTGTGTATATTTGTATCATAATGATCTTCTTGAGTTCCATTTATGTCTTGGGATGCATCAAATGAAGAAATTATTTCCATTGTCCTCGAGCAAATAATAGAGACGTTCCCATCAATACTTGAAACGGCCAAATGTGAATTGTAAGAATTCAAATCGAGACAGGTAACATCACTTAAAAGTGAAATCACTTCCGTTTCTTTTTTTCTCCCATCATAAATATCCCAAAATCGAATACTTTTGTCCCATGAACCAGAAATTAATGTAGAGTTTGAGTGGTTGAAATGTAGACCTGAGACTGGTGCTACATGCCCAACAAACACATCAAGAAGCCTTCCTGATTTTAGCGACCATAGAAATATCTTACTGGTGTCACACGTCCCGGCACATATCATATCGCCGCTACTATCGACAGCGAGGCAACTATATTGTCCAGATTCATCCCCAACAAGAATTCTGAAGTTACGATGACGAATAAGGTCAAAAGCTCGAACTGTTCCATCAAGACTTGCAGAAATGACGATATGATTTGCAGTTGTAAAAGTAACTGCCGTTACTGGCATTAAATGGTCAGAGAATGTCGAAACGCAATCTCCAGAATTATGATTCCAAACCTTCACATTACAATCTGCCGACCCAGTAGCAATCAAAGAACCATCTCTCGAAAAAGCACAAGTTCGGATATTTTGCTGATGGCCCTCATAGGTGAATATCATCAACTCCTTCTTCCATTCCCATAGAGATATTCGTCCATTTCGGTCAGAACCAAACAATATGACTTCACCATTGCCACTAAAATTGCAAGAACTTAGGCTAAGATGATCGAGTGCAATTTTCTGAAGCTGCATGTGGAGGTGAATATCATAAAGTAGGAAAAAGCTGCCAAAACCAACAACTAAAAGTGCGTTCTTTCTATTGAAGCATGAAGATGATGCGAGCGAAACGGAATTTAATTTTTTAACTTCTTCCATTCTCCATTTTCCCTTTATTTTTTGCCACGTTCCCAACGTTCCGTTCCTTGTAACACAATAGGTAGTTGACATGTCATTACTCATATGGGTGTCTATTATATATTCCTTTTGGCCAATCAGAACTTCAGCTTTATCCTCGCCAGCTTGATTTCGCAGTTCAAAAATTCTACAAGTGTAATCTTCACAGCCTAAAACAATGCAACTATCATCTGAACTCCAGCTTAGGCTACGATTATTTTCTGTATGAAAAAACGGAATTGCAAAAGTTTTGAATAGACTGACTTTCTGAAAACTCAACCCAACAAGTTGCAATGACCAAATGTCAACTTTACCTTGTTTGACTACAGCAAAAAACTTAGATCCGGTGCTAAATTTAGCATCAAGAACACGCTCCCTGGTGCTTATTTTCGTGATCGTCGTTTTCTTTTGAAGGTTCAGAATAAAAATACTACCAAGGAAATCCACAATCAAGAGGAATTTACCACAAGAGCTCGTGGACAAAATTGAAATATTTGTAGAGTTCGAAGTTTGCAACACTTCTGAGCGTAAATTCACGTGATCATATATGGAAATATACTTTCCTACACTGAAATAAAGCAGGCCATTGTTCAACAAGATGTTACCACCACTGTACTTTGCTCCTATAATCTTTTCAACACGTTGAATCATTTACTCGTTTTTTTGTGTCCTTTTCTTTTGCTCTCTTTCTTCGAGGTTATGTCAATGGGCAGATACAAGGTTTCTACTTTAAAGTCGAAAATTGATCGGATTGGGGCGCATTGAGTGCTGAAATTTTAGTAAGTAAAACAAATAGCGTTGAGATGTGTTTGTGCCGTTTTTTACCTCACAGAAAAGGTATGTTGAGGGGAGGAGATAACAGACAATTTTTTCTAATAAGATATTCGAAGGATGAAATTTTTAGAATTTTTCATGGTTCGGTTTACACACCCCCGATTTCGGAATTTTGAGAAATTTCGAAATTTAGACGAAAATTTCATATTTTGGGGTCATTTTTTTTGGTTTACACCGTGGCCTCATATTTTCCAGAAAAAACAAAAATAAAATAAACTGAAAGAACTGCACAGTACATCGATCGTTTCACTTTGCTTGCATCAAAACGCATACGAATATTTGACATCCTCCCTCAATTCTCGCAACGGAATGGATGAAGCGCATCTACTCAGTCTTACTTCCAATATCGGGATAAGACAGAATAATGTATACGTAAAAGATTCCCAATGTCTCGGTATTTTATTTGAATTTTTGTTGTACGAAACCTTCTCATCAAGTTTTTGCTCGAAGAAACTCTACAAGATCTAATACGGTTTCTACGTCGCGATTCAACGAGTGAGAGATATGTGATGCTTCAGCTCTCAGCATGGAATATCATGCATAAAGATCTCATTCCACTTATACTTACTTACAGTCAGGAACGGAATCTGGTCTACCACGCAGGTGAGTTCACAAAATCGTTCATTTGTCAATATGTTCTCACCTTTCTTTGAAGTGAAACTGATAGCATTCTTGACATTGCCCACTGAAAAGAGTGCAACTAATGTGCAGGAGCAAAATAGGGCCCATCTCAACGACTTGAATGCTCTCATCGAAAATGAGAACATATTTGCGATAGTCTTAGGTTTAATACTAGAACCACTGAAGCAACTAGAGTCAAGTGGAGGAGCAAATTTCAAAACTAACGAGTCAAAATCTCTTCAGCTGATTTTAACATTTTATCGGAACTTGTTCATAATCGCAGAGGAAGAGAATAATACGCGAGTTAAGAAGATACTTTCCTCTTGTCTCTTCAAATACAACTTTTTGGATGTTTTGCTAGTGTTGGTGCAGAATCATAAGAAAATTCTTGGTCATGAAGACACAGCTTTAGCGGTTGAGATTTTACAATTGTTATTTCGTGGCATTCCGCCAGACAAATTAGCAGAAGAGCTCAGCAATGCACAAAATAAGGATCAAGACATTTTTACTCATGATAGCTTGAAATTTCCTTATCAAACGAAAAAGCATATACCCAGGTTCAATGGAAAATTTGAACCAAAAAGTGTGCGTCGTGTGGTCGAAATGAGCGGAAAAATAAAAAAATCACACATTCACCCTGTTCTTTGCCCAGAAAAGTCCTATTTTATTGACAAAAGTATACCTCAATTTTGGGTTGCATTATTAGATTCCACTTATTTTGGAGCGTTTATATTTCATGCGTGGAGAGATATCGTGAGAACTAGTGGAGATGTTGAACAAAGAGCTACAGAATGGCAAACTAGAAGTTATAATCTCTTGCGATTCTCAACTTTTGGTTTACGTATCCTCTCCAAGTTCTTTCATAAGAATGCCTTGAAAGACAAGATAAGCATTAAATGCGTCGCTGATATTTTTGATTCTTCTTTTGTTCACTGGCTGAGAATGGAATGGATAGCTCTAGAAAACAAAAAAGATTACTATGGAGCTAACATAGTTTGTTGCATGCTAGTAGAAATAACGTCAATTGTCTATAATATTTCTGTTCATGGAACTTCAGCTGAAAAGGATGCTAGCAAATTTCTCATTCGTGAATTATACTTTAAATCAAAGACTGAAAGTCTCTTGGAACAAGTTTGTATTTCATTGAAGAGCTTTAAGAGCAAATATCCTTCAGCATACTTATTTTCTCTGATCAATTTGCTGAGTTCTTCTCTGACTATTATGAAGACGCATCAAAGTCAGTATGAAGGCATTCGTAAGTACGGGAATATTCATGATAATTCAATAATCTACTACCACATGAGACTACTAAAGGGTAGAAATAAAAATGAATCACTTCTAGGTTCAGTTTATATCTATCTACAGAGTTTAGTGAGTGCAAATTGTGTAGAAAGGCTGTTCTCATTTAGGCACCTTGATTGTTTGCACGACTATTGTGTGATGTCGCGAAGAGAACCGGAACATATTTCTGAATATGCCCTGCTATTGCAACAAGAATGTCACTTTGTGTTGAATTGCTTCCACTTAGCAGTTACAAGACCAGCAGAACATCTCAATGAAAAAAAGAGATTATTTTTAGAGGTGTTATTTTCTTAAAGTGTTGTGATTTGATATTATCTTGAGGGACTTTCCTTTATCTATTTTGAAAAGGTCTAGAGAGGCTTAAAAACTTGAATTGCCTCCATGTAACCTTTGGTATATACCAGTATTTAAGAGATATTTTTCTTTCAGGATCTCGGTATATAAGCACTCTCTGTATTCCTGCAATGTTTTCCCCTTGAGGTCAACTAAAGATAATTTATTTTGACAGAAGGACTTAGATTTGCGGTTGAAATTTTGTGTCAAATCTGTTTCTACGATCTTATTCTCTTCGGCTGTATCCATGAAACGACGAAAAATAATATCTCTGAGACCACTGCTAGCAGTTATTCTCTTTTGCGGATCACATGCCAGTAGTCCATTTAGTAGTCTTACCAATGGTTTCTTGTGCATGAGTTTCTATTCATAAATATGAAAGCTTCTTGCAAGTACAGGACTTTTTTTTACCTTCGAAAAATGATCAAATTTAGCACCAGATATCATATCCGTGAGAATTGCACCACTCATATTCTTCAAATCCCATGACATAGAGTACAAAGTTGTTTTCTGGAAAAAAATTGAGGGATAGTACTTCAAGGATATTAAATTGCATTTTACTTTCAATATGATTCTGATCTGGTGTGCGGTTGAGGTTCCAGGAAATAAAACACGCCTAGATAAAAAGTATGAACTCTTTCGATTGATTTGAGGGATTTGATTGCAATGTACCTTTGAAATAGCTCTCCAGTAATGCAACCCACGGACCAGATATCTACAGCTTTTGAGTATGCTTTGCATTTCATTAAAATCTCAGGAGCTCGATACCTATTCTTTTTGGTGATTTTTTATGAGAAGATTTTTTCACTGGGTCGCATACCATCTCGTTGCTACGTACGATGTTAAATCGCATGCATATCTTTGTGTTTGTTTACAGAATATTCCACGCGCTAGGCCGAAATCGGCAAGTTTAATTTGACAGTCTTGGTTTATTAATATATTGCTAGGCTTTTTTTTGAAGAGGTTTTTTAAAAAGCAGTCCGAAGTGAATCTTTCTACCTTTATGTCTCTATGGATTATATCTTTACTATGAATGTATTGTAAGGTGATCAGGATCTGATATAGCACATAGTAATTATGTACTGTTTTCAGCTGGTTTGACCTACACACTTCAATTTTCGTGTAATGTAAAATAGGTTTCCATTTGTAACTTTGAAAGTCCAACCTGCGTGTAAATCAGCCTCCATGTGCTCAAAAACCATGTATATATCAGAGTCGATTCCACATCTAAAAATATTAAGTAGTCTAGAGAATTTATTGCAAGTTAGACTTAAAAACAGTGGAATGAATGTCGTACTTGGTAATATTCTTATGTTTATCCAGAATTTTTAAGCAGAACATTTCTCGAGTTGTACGCTGGTATTTAAAACTGTTAGAAGAGCACGCTATCCTTCTCATATAACTGGCCACCTTTGCATCTCTTTGATTGCGAAAAGCCTCAGTAATCCTTTTAATTGCAATTTTTTTGCCATTGCTCTTATCTATTGATTGCCAAACCGTTCCATATGCCTTTCGAAGGAATAAAAAAGGTTTTGTTCGGTCAAGAAAGTCAATACCCCTTGTCCTATTTTTTTGTGAATTGTGTATTTTTGGGTTATATGACTTTCTATTTCTCTACAGTATTTGTGTAAAGTTACGTGTATTTCAAAAGTAACGAATGCTAAACCTCATGATGATAAAATGATGATATTGCTCATGCTTTGATTTTTAATGCATATAGTTGACAACGATAATGGCGTTTATAATTAAAGCTTTTTTTAGAAAAAAGCGATTATTTTTTACCTCCACTACCACAAAAACATCAAACTGTCAAAAATAAACTGCCTTCGTCAGAAAGAAATTGTTTGCAAAATTTACCCGTAAAAACATTCAACCATATGATCTCTTTACGAGCTTTTTTTTTCTCTTAACCACAGCACAGTATACTATAGCCATATGTTTTCTAAGTGGTCTATAATAACATGCCCTGAAAAAGTTTATTCAATTCATCAACCTCAAGCATACCATAGCCTTTTAACACTTCTCGTGGGTACACTTGAAGAAGTATATTGAAGAATTGAACATGTGCTTCCACTATATTTGAAAAGATTGGTTTGAGTAGTAAAGCTTGAGTCTCTGTTCCCCGGATATAAATCTTCAGAGAATTCATCATATCAATGAAGGAAGTTTCAAGCGAGCTGTTCACACTGCAAATAACTTCTGCAACTCTTTTCTCAGATCCAAAAGCTGAAGTGGACAATTTTTTACCATCCCCTTCGGAGAATTCAAAAGCTGTTACTTTCGTGATAAAACGAAGCATTGGCTCAACAGTTGATTTTGTAACAGTCATGATGAAGGCTTCACATCCAATTTTTAATTTTTTTTCGAGTTCTTTCTTTGAATTCACGGTAGACTCCAGGACGTGGGGTCGTCCTTCAGAGGCAAGAACAAAAAAAGCATTGTCTTGAGACAGTGCAAACAACGATAATTCTCCTGCAAATATACGCTGCATATGACCTCGCATATGGCTAAAATCAAGTTCCTTTACTTCTATTGTGTATTCTGCATCGAATGGAGCAATTTGTTCCCTTAGAATAAGAAGATGTTTAATCAGAAATAGCTGCCCATCCGATGCTCCAGAAGTCCGAGATATTATCTTACTTGCAAGTATAATATTATCTGTGCATAAACTGATAGCTTCTTGTGCCAGCCCTGAAAAGGTCGTTGATTCAATACATCGGTATAGACTACTTAAACATTTCAAAGTTTTCTCAAGCGGAGGGTACCAAAGAGCACTTTGACTAGACAAATTGAGGGAGTTCTTCTTGGTCAAGTTATTGCAAAACATGAGCTTTTTCGGATAATCAATATCCATCGAAGATGGGATGTAGTTACCAACTTCGTCACGCAAAAATGTTTGTGCTCGGTATATCATTCGTTCCTGTATATCAGCCAGCATATGGTACAATATAGGAGAAAGTGCTAAAAGCGTTTCTTCATCGTCAGCAAGTATTCCTTCTAGAATTTCGCCCTTGATGATTTCAGCTAGTTTTGCAAGCTCATGTACATTTCCTGGAGTATTTTCGTAAAATAAGTCAAAAAAATTATTTCTGAAGAAGTAAATTACCTATATGGATGTATATCGGCCTCAATACATCGTAAATAAGGCCGCCAAAAGAGTTCATGAGAGGAACCAAAGCATCACTACGTTGATTCATCGCAAATAACTGTTTGAAAAGTCTGATTTCCGCCATAGCAAGATCCATTAGATATGTAATTCCTGTACGAGTAAGGCTTTGCACATCTTGAGCAGCTTTCACAACAATTTCATGCATTTTTAGTCGAACCGCGCCAGATAACAGCCTTGAACGCTCTTCGCAGTATAAATTATGACAGTCTTTCATCAGTAATTTATATTCTGCTTTCTGGGTTCGTTTTTCAATCTCACCGATCAAAAACTTCAAATCTTGTGAAAAAGTGGCATATTTCACATAAAATATAGAGGTTACTACATGTTCTTCTGAAGTTTCGAACCAAGTTTCAATTTCTTTGATAACTTTTTTATGGAGAACTTCGGAATTCTGCACACCTTGCCCCTGTTGCACTTTCATGCAGCTTTTTGATATAGAAATATTTATTTCATTTAAAAGTGCAATAAAGCGAAACCGTATTGAAGCAAGAGCCCTGCTACGAAGCTGCTGTAACTTCAGACTATAGTTATTTCCACCAGCATATTGTTGATGTTCCCCAATAAATTCTATGCAGGAGTCTAGATGTTCAAGCAGATGGATAAAATCGACTAAAGAGCTTTTATCCAGCGTAGACGTGTCTACAAGAAGATTCGATTCTGAAAGTGAGCCAGTAACATTATCAATCTCATCAAAAAATACAAGCTTTGACATAATTGCTTTGGCGAACTGACACAGATATTCTATTTCACGCATGAGTCTCTGGCAATCATTTCTTAACGTCTCTCCTCTTTTCTCAATACCATCATGGATAGCTACTACGATAGAGACGCTTCTACACCCATCGTAAATTTTTGTCAAAAGGCAGTCACAGCTTGAACATAATTTGGTCAATTTGTGAGCATAGGAACGATATCTTTCGTCAGCCTCGTGGGCAAGTGTTGCGTCGATTGTACTGTACCATGCGTGAAAATTCTGAGCATCATGCACAACAGTAACTGGATTATCCAATAGTGCATGTCGTTCAGAGCTGGATAGTTGTGGGTCGAGAGGAGCGTTGAGCGTATCGTGCCCGAGATTCGTCCTGTTCTTATTACATTTCTTCAAATTATTGTCTCGTCCACAGGAAGTTGTCAAAAAAGCAAGAATACTTAGTTGCTGCTTCGTGAGCGTTGTAGTGTGTTCCCACCCGTGCGTTACAGTATATCCTATCTTGATCGTGACATGCGATTTATCAGTACTTGAGATGTGCAAAGACGGAACCTCTGTGCGTTGTTCCATACTTCGTTTGAGTGAGCTATCCGGGGGTTTGTGAAAACTCTTATTCATAATTTAGGGTTTAAATAAGATTCAAAAGACATACAAGGGTAATATAAGATGATGGAGAGAATATGATATGATGCATAGGCCATATGGCCATATGGCATATATGGCCATATGGCATATAGCATATGTACGAGGTGTTTATCCGCGAAAAAAAAATGTTCGAGTCAAACCCCTTAACCACTCGGGCACGTCTGCGACTGTTGTTCGCAGACGGCAGGATTCGAACCTGCGCAGGCGAAGCCTATTTGATTTCTAAACTTTCACTTGAGCTTGTCGAATTTAACGTACAAAAAATGAGAAAAAATGCCCCCCCCCGCGAAAATAATATTTTTTTTGTTTGCGATGGGAAGAGTTACATATGATATGCATGATGCGTAAGCACGAAAAAAGTAAAAGTTTTTACGTAATTCATCGGTATATGGCCGTATATTATTTACAAGGTGGCCATATATACTCTCTTCTTATCTATATTTCTTCCTTTCTTCTCTTAATAGTAGGCTGTGGAACATCCGTCGTCCTCGAAAACAGTCCAAAAATAATTCTGAACTGAACTTATTACCGTGTTACTGTGTTTGTATCCAACAGCTTTTAGGGCAGCCTCAAGAGCAAATAGATTAATGAAACTTCACGCTAATGTTACATCCTCGTTCCAAGGTCGAAGCAGTATATTGACGGTATGTCAGTCACATATTCACGTTTGATTCGAGTAATTGACTTAGCGAATACCTGTAGTTGAGGAACGTACCTCGGGCGTTGAAAAAGTTGACATTGAGAACTTCTATGTCCTTGAAAACTGGAATCGTAGGTCGGTTTCATTATCACTCACAATATAAGATGTGAAACTGATGAAAATTTTTAGGACTCCCAAATGTAGGAAAGAGTACTTTGTTTAACGCTTTAACGGAGAATGCTGCAGCACAAGTAACTTGTTAGCTTTTTTATGCCCCAAAACTGACAATATAAATAGACTGCCAACTTTCCATTTTGCACAATTGAACCCAATGTTGGAATAGTTGCGGTACCTGACGAGCGACTTAAAGTGCTTTCTCAAATTTCTTCATCTGAAAATATAATACCTGCTTTTGTTGAGATAGTAGATATAGCTGGTTTAGTAAAAGTTGGAAAGTTTCACTTTAAGATGAAAATATTAAAAAGTAGAATAGGGTGCTTCAGAGGGCCAGGGACTAGGGAACAAATTTCTCTCAAATATACGTGAATGTGACGCGATTATTCATACTGTTCGATGCTTTGATGATGACGAGGTTTTTATTTTGTCAGATACCGCAGAAATAACAAAAATTATAATCTTATCATAGGTGATACATGTTGATGGGCGCGTGAATCCTGTAGAAGATGTAGCAACAATCAATTTTGAGTTAGCTCTGTCTGATTTGCTGCAAGTTGAAAGGAGAATCGATAGATTAAAGAAGGGGAAAGCTAAGGTTCGATCTTCAAGGCATTTGAAAACTACAATTTTATGTCCTTCAATAGAGTCCCACAGAAAAAGCACAAGAAGCAGCAGAACTTGAAGTGCTTGAAAGGGTATCTCTATCACTAGAAAGTGGAATTCCAGTTCGTGTTCTCAAACTCTGTGAGGTAATCGTAAATTAATGGTTGACCGAGGATGATAATGCTTTTTAATGATAAAGGATGAAAGTGTGTTGCTGTCTACTCTCAATTTACTGACTCAAAAACCGTGTATATATGCTGCAAATGTTTGTGAAAGTGACTTGCGCACGAAGGTGAAATTCATCAAAAGATCTTATAATGTATGAATATATTCTTTGTGAAGGGAAGTGGAAATATTTACGTAGAGAATTTGCTTGATCTTGCAAATAGTGAAGGCTCTGCTGTTTGTATTGTGTCTGCAAAGGTAAAAAGTTTTTTCTACTCGAAAACTTACTTTTATTTGATTTCATTGTAAAGATCGAATCCGAACTTGTACAAATGGAACTTGAAGAACGGGAATTCTTCCTTGAAGAGTTAGGAGTAAAAGAAGTGGGTCTTCCTGCTCTTGTACGATTTTTAAAGTTTGTTTTGTATCTCTACTAATTAGAATATATAGGTCAGAGCTGTGTACAAGCAACTAAAGCTTCAAACATATTTTACAACGGGTGAAAAAGAAACACGAGCCTGGACCACGAAGGTTTTTAAACTGCTACATATTTTTTTCATCTCAAATGTGAAACCAAGATTGGCGCCACTGCTCCACAAGCTGCGGGTGTTATACACACTGACTTCGAACGCGGATTTATCAAGTAAGAGGATTTAATTCAGGCAATCTTTTTCAAATTACATTCTTTACAAAGGGCGGAAACTGTCTCATACCAAGACTATGTTGTTAGTGAAGGTTTTGCAAAGGCCAAGGTACGCATAAAAATATCGTGAAACTTTTGATTATAAACTTTGAAATCAAGGAAAAGGGACTTTGGAGACTCGAGGGAAAGGAGTACGTTGTCAAGGAAGGAGATATCATGGTTTTCAAATTTAATGTATGAGAATCAAAATTGCAAAATACTTCTCATAAACAAAAAAATTCTTGGTATCAGATACTCGTACTACCGGGTACTCAAGTTCAAAGAATTTGGTTCTTAGAGACCCGAAACAATTACACAAAGTGAGAAGTATCCTGATTCAAGACACATGTATTCATATAGAAATGATGATTTCTCGCCACATTTGCAAGCCTGGATCTTCATCTGCATCATCATATAAAACTGAATGAGTAAAGCTAAGAGGGTCAAAGTTTGTAATTGTACCTCCAAAAAATTCATTGTCGTGAGACCATAAAATTTTAACTCGCTTCCCAACTGCACGAGCTTGCAAAAGCGCTATCGCAGCTCCTTGATGACCTTGATGGGCCAGTCGTGTTGATAAAATTAACGGACAAGAGTCATATAAAGATCTAGAAGGTTCTTTTGTAACTTGCTGTTCTTTCCTCATAGGATTTGTCTGAAGTCGTAGCGATGTTTGTAAATTTTTAGTTTTTGCATCTAAGACTCTTTTATTAGCTTTTATACAAACTTTACAATTCCCACAAGGCTGTGCTTTCTTTAAAGATGGCGTCGTCCCTTGCTCAAATATGTCAAAATAATCCAAATTTTGAGCTCGAAACTTTGACAATGCTTGATCAATGGACACAATGTAATTTTCTTTTTGAGAAGAACATATTAGCTGGCTTCGTGCACGTCCATATGAAGAAAAGAACTCTTGGCATTCGGTCTCTTTTGAAGATATCAAAATTTGATCACTCCCCATAATTACGAACTGATGATCGCTCGTAATCGGAGTGTATGAGTCTTTAATTGAGTCGCACTTTAAAATAGTTGCTCCTTTTGATCGAACAGAAATAACTGGCCAGAGCACTTTTGGTGACATATTTCCGTATAGGCTATATGAGGCGAACATAATCTTCTCTCCTTCTGACTCATTCGAATCATTAGTTGGACTATTGTTATCATTCTGATTTTCACAGTAGATTTGTGGTTCGTCTGATTCAGATACATCACTTGACGAGCCTAAACGTTCTTGCACTACTGGCTTATGTGTTCTGAGCATACCATTTACTACAAAATCCAAAAGTTCAAAACCTTGCTTTTTCAAACGCATTAGAAACTTTTTGCAAATTGTTGAATTTGGAATATCGTCTCCATAGCGCAAAAAGTCGCCGAGTTTTATATATGGGTAAAGTTTAGGCGAAGAACTTATTCCTGAGATCCCATATCGTCCTTTCCAGAATAACTGGGGTGAAACATTCCAAGCACAGCAGGGCCATGCAGATGTGTCCCGGAATCCTGGACATTCTGCTACAAATGGTCTTCCGATTGAAGCCATCATAAATTTAGAAATATAAGGTTCATTCAATTGTTGACCAATCCAAAAAAATATAGGTACTGCACAAGAATTCCCAAGAACTGATAAACGCTTTTGAGTCTGGATTTTGCAGTCAAATTTACTTGCAGCTGGCTTATCTGGATTGATAATAGGGTAACATGATTCAGTCCACCCTTCGGGGAACCCGAATAACCTCTCAGCATCCCTAACATCAAGCATCGTGCAACTTTTTTTTGTATCATTGATATTATTGTACGCATTACGTACAATACAAGTTCGCCTTCCATTAGCAGTCGTTAAACAGTGCAGAATATTTAGGTACGGAGGATGACGTTTTTCTCCAAGATCCACACAAGCTACAGTATTTGAGTCAATACTGGGTTGTTGACACGAGCAAGTGTAACATTCATTAGATTTACTTGGAAACATATTTGAGCACTGTCCTTGGCAATGGATGTCCTGGGACAATAGTATATCCCTTGGATCTCCATGAATTGAAGCAACAATAAAAACACGCGAACGACTATGAGGAATTCCAAATGATGCCAAGTCGACGACTCGATACGCCCAACGGTAATCGAGCTGTTCGAGCTCTCTAGTTATGTATGCAATACCAGGTTGTTGTGGGGGAGTCTGATTCCAATGCCAATTAAGTAGCCCGGGTACATTTTCAAAAATGACCCATGGCACCTTCTTGCTTCGGAGTAAACGAAAAACATGTGAAACAAGACTAGAGCGTAGTCCCTTTTCAATCCCTGCTCGATTCTGATTCTCAGTTGATAAGTCTTGACAAGGGAAACCTGCCACGACGATATCTGTTTCTTCAGGAAGACTTTGAAGTGTAACTATATCTAAAACTATTGCGGTTGCAGGGAAATTTTTTTTAAGCACCTGGATACAATGCGGATTATTCTCCACCTGAAGAATAATTTCATGGCCCGCATTAACTAATCTGTGTATAAGGTTAGCGAATTTGAGTATGGAAGATATTTCTCACCCCAAATCTATACCGCCTATACCGGAAAATAAAGAAACAACTTTCATTCCTTTTTCCTTGGAGTTTTCATATTTTCTTGGAGTAATTTTTCATTTTACTGAAATTCCGAGTGAGTGGTGAATAGATGAATGGTTACCTTCGATAGAGTTTAGGACAAGAACTCACACGCGACTTTGTCCTTATTTTGGCGCTTTATTTCTTCACAGCTTTAATGAAATTCTCTCTTCGAAGTACTATCAAATATGAACCATTTTTTTATACTTCCTTGCTTTTTTTTTAACGATACTTGGACCTATACGCAATAATTCGTACCACACCCTTGGGGAGTCTAAAAACCTGGATAAAAAACCCTAAATTACACAATAGAGCATGGTAAACCTGAAAGTGGAATGGATGTAGGTACCACATGGTACTATATATTCATCTATCAAAACATGCAAACAACAAAAGAATATATTCGAAGATCCTTTCGCAGGAAAAAAATTTTATTGACCCGTACAAAAAAATTCGCACAAATAACAATGTATTGAATCATATGCATTAAAATGAGGAAAGATGGATATCACTAAATATATCACTAAAAATCCACATAATGAGCAGACCAAGACTTCATATTTTGCATATTGTATTCGTTTCGCACGAAGTGATCACCTATTAGTACATTGAAAAAAATCTGTATTTTTGAGTATCTTAGGAACTGAACATTCAGTCAGTATTGTCGTGATGTATCTGTGAAAATATTGTTAGCTTGTGACTAATCAGTATTTAAAATTAAGGTTTAAACCTTAAAACCAAATATTCGTGGCACATAATTATATTTAATTCTCTTTGGTTGAAGATGCTGGTAAGTCAATAGAAAAAGATGTGGAAACGTCGTTCCAAAATATGCGCCATCAATAGTTCCCTGAAACTTATTCCGTGGAAAATATAAATCCTATTATAGTTTTGAAATAAATCAAACAAAATGTACACATTAAATATATACGTACCTGGCAGCTTGGACAAAATATTTTTAAAGTAGCTGTGCGAAAAATATCGGATGTACCGACTGGAAGGCATGACTGGTTGTTGCACGCAATGCGAGGGCACCTTCCAAAATGGCTTTGTTTAAACTTTTCTAACATCGATATCATACCACGACTGCTCAATATGTATCGAGCATGAATGAGGCCATAGAGAAGTTCCGCCGCAGATTCCACAAGTTCATGTTGCTGTTCAGTCAGCTTGCTACCATTAGGACTTTCGATGTCCAATATCATATCGAGGGCGTAGTCATAGTAAGGGATCACCGAGCTAAGACCACTTAAATTAAAGTCGTCTTGAATGTACTCTTCGTCAACTTCGCAAAAAAACTCATTTCCTTTTAAGGCGCAGAACCATGATATCCAGCTTTGCTCATTTTCATCCGATGAATATGACGTCGAATTATCCTCTAAAGAGCTTTGATGACGCTCATCAAGCGGGTTACACGTATTCAAGCTCATTTCCCGACTTAGAATGAGATCGAGATATTCGTTTACTTAGGAAGAGGCTACTGCGCTCGCGTTCACGAGGATATTTTTTCTTGAAAGAATGCCTTTCATATACTTTGTTGCGACTAGCTTGCCAGCTACTTACGTCGGTGAATATAAGGTTCGACTGGATATCATTTTCTTCAAGACAAGTGCACAAGTCGGCTTCGTGACTTGCTTTTTGCCTTTTTCTCATTTGGCATTTTTTTTTGTCTTTTCGCTTTCAGCCCTGCATGCCACTCAACTTAAGAACGGTTAGATTTTTTTTTTCAAAAACAAGGGTATAGCATATGATCATATCAGATGCTCCCCCCATATGTTATATAAGATGATATGGTATCCCGAAGGAAAAAAAGAAAAAAAAGAAAAATTCTGAACTGGGCGTCCCAGGGGATACGAGTCGTATGCATAGAGAGTTCGTCACACACACACGCAGCAGTGTGCAAAGCGCGTACTACAGCGAATGCGCAAAAAAATTATAATTTCGATTCGGTGGACACCTGGACTTCAAAAAGGAGAAGGTATGCGAATACGAGCAGTATTTGGATAATTAAATAAAATGTGAACGTGGGTGCGCTGCACGCATAGCTTTCAAAAGAAACAAGACCTCTATATACAGTACCAGTACTGCTGTGTATGCATGCAACAATAAGAAAAAACACATTGATTATATACAAAGAAAATTCTTCAAAAATTACCAACGACCGAGTGCCATCCCAACTACTCCAACAAGCCCAGCTGCTGCTGAAGCAACATTCGCAGCCAATTGCGTTTCTTCATAGAACTTCGCCCCTTTCTTACCAACGTTCACAACAAGCTCGTGCGTGGTCTCGTTTGGTTCAAGATTGGATCGGAGCATCAACTCATATAAGCTAACTACTTTCTCATAATCACCACATATGTCAGCAGCATAAATTAGGGCATTGTAAGTATGAATAGTCTCTGATATATTTTCAGAAGCCATGAGATTTCTCACATCCAGTGCAGCTCTTAAATCATGCTTTACAGCATGCCCAAGGATAAGACCAACGAAAGAATAGTCATCTGGAAAAATACCTTCCTTTCGCATAAGATTGTACAAGCAGCGAGCACGAAATGTTTCACCACTTCTTCCGTAAGCTGTAATTAGAGTACTGAACGTGATAGATGTAGTTGGTACACCACGAGCACGCATAGAGTGGAATATACTTTCAGCGGTAGACCATTCTCCACATTTCCCACACGCACTTAACACTACATTATAATGGATTTCATTTGGTACGAATTCTTCCTTGTTATTCACCATGTTAAATTGTTCCAACTTTCTCAGAAGATTCACTGCGCTGCTCGACATTAAAGACTTTTCATATCCATTTAACATGGTCGTGTGAGCTCGTGCATTCGGTAGAAATCCATAGCCACCTTCAGATCTATCGATCCTCATTCTATTGTATATTTGCTCTGCATCTTTGACCTTTCCGGAATTTATGTATGCTTGCATTATTGCAGTACAGGTTTGAATATTTTTTGGACATTTTGAAGAGTGAAAAATATCAAGAGCTTCCTGGTATGCTCTACAGGATGTGAAAGCACAGATTATATCAACGAAGAGGCGACCATCCAACTTCTCAAATTTCAGAGCAGAGTGCGTAGCCGAACGAACTCCATCGATATTATTTGCCGCTCCGAAAGCACTCACCAGAGCACTAATGACAGGTAGATCTGGTTCAATATCATTTTCTCTCATCCTTGGAATTAGCAATAAAGCCTAATTTAAGTGAAAAAAGAACAAAGTTAGTACAGTAATATAAAGAAATTGAAATAAGGTATGAAAAGAACTTACTCTTTGCGCACCATTTTTCCCACCACGTACACCTGTCCGAATAAGCGCACTGTATGTAAAAACATTCGGAATAAGTCCGTTACTTATCATATCATCGAAAATATCAAAAGCTAAAACCCAACTATCACCTCTGACGTTCTGACCAATTGCTTGAATATAGGCCGTATATGTGAATGCGGTTGGTCTTACTAATTTACTATCACATGAAGTTTGACTCCACCCGAAAGCAAAATCAGCTTCGCTTAAGTATCCTCGCTTACCTGCAACTGTTATTACGGTAGTTACAATGTGAGCATTTGGAAGCTTGGCCGAGTTTTCGACAAGTTTCCGAAACGCTAAGAAAACTACCTGAAAGAACTCATCATCTTTTCCGAACACCCGGAATTTTTCATTAAGTTTTCGTACAGCTACTTCATGATTAGTTGCAGCATTAAGAGAATATTCTTGCACTAAAAAGTTTGCGTAAGATTCGTGTTCAGTTGTAATTTCAGACAATAAGTCAGATACGGGCCCACGTTTTTTTAAGAACGCTGAAAACTTCGCTTTCTGTTTTCTCTTGCATCGCCTGTATAGTATCATTTTCTTTGAAGAATTTACAGGGTAATAAAGAGCATGACAGCACGTCACCATTTTTGTGAATACTTATTAGGTGCACCTTGGCATATTGCCGTCTTCCTATCTGTTTGCTTCATCCATTTTTGACGTAGTCACAAATAAAAACGAGCTCGGCTAGAAAAGTCGAAACCCTAAATCATACAAGAAGTAAGTACTTTTCCCGGACTCAGAGGAACAATAACAGCTCGACGAACGGCTCTAAAGAAAAGTTACCCATTTGCTTTGCTGTAATCTAGATACTGAAAGAACTATTTAATTACTAAGGTATCGGCTGGAACAACAGTAAGTTTTCCCCGCCAGTTTTTTCTTATGCTCGAACTTTGAACTGTATTTAATTTCAAGAGCAAGCGAAAGAAGAAGGGCTAATGGGTAGAGATGATGCCCAAACCTAGCCACTTTTATGCGCGCCTAAAGAGTTCGACAAATATTGTTTTCGGTCGCGCACATTTTCTTCAGTCTTTCAAAACAAAATATACATATAGAAATCTATATGGGAATGCGGACCTATTTGAAAAGACCACATTGAAGATAATCCGCGACAAATATGAGCAAGGTACGGCCTTGACAGCTGTTACTGCATATGATTATTCTAGCGCTATACATGTAAGTTTTCATTTCTGCACTTCATAACAATATACTTACTTTTTATTTCAGGTGGATCAAGCAGACATAGATATTCTGCTTGTTGGTGACTCTGCTTCCATGGTTATTCATGGTCACGATACAACACTACCAATTACACTTGAGGAAATGCTAGTACATTGTCGATCTGTTTCACGTGGTGCTAAAAAAGCTTTCTTGGTTGGCGACATTCCCTTTGGAAGTTATGAAAGTGATGACGAACATTTGTTGAAAGCAGCTATTAGGATACTGAAAGAAGGAGGAATGCATGCGGTCAAGTTAGAAGGTGGTGGTAATCTTCGTGTTTCGTCTGTTCGTAAATTAAATCAAGCCGGTATTGCTGTTATGGGTCATATCGGCTTAACTCCGCAATCTGTAAGTCTCTTTGGTGGATTCCGACCTCAAGGAAATAATGCGAGGGCCGCAGTGAGGCTGGTTGAGCAGGCTATTGAGTTGCAAGATGCTGGTTGTTTTTCAATTGTGCTAGAGTGCTTGCCTGATTGTGTGTCTGCAGCTATCACTTCTTCCGTCAATATTCCTACGATTGGGATAGGAGCAGGTTCCAGCACTAATGGTCAAATTTTAGTTTATCATGATCTCCTTGGATTTCTGCAACATCCCCACCACGCAAAAGTTACACCAAAATTTTGCAAGCAATATGCGCAAGTTGGTAAAGTTATTAATGACGCAATGCTACACTTTAAAAACGATGTTGCTACTGGTGTATTTCCAGGAGCATTATTTTCTCCTTATATTCTGAAACTTCACGAGAGAGAAATATTTGTTGAGTTGCTCAAGAAGTCTGGATATTACGAAGCTGCAAGCAGTGTGGAAGCTTTTCAGTCTTCATAATTTATTGATGAACCATTAGATTAGAACCCGACCGTTTAGGTTGTGAAGGATGATACAGTTTTTTCACATTGTTGTACAAAAAAGAGGAACCTACCCCTGTAGGTACTGGTAGTATATGATAGACAATTCTATTTCTCGTATTTTTATGTACTGGTACCAGTACGAATTATCCTCCTCCTATTTTGAAATTCTCCACCCAAACAAAAAGAAGGTGTGGTGGTATGGTGGACGTGCAAACCTTCAAACCTTCGAACAAAATTTTTGTAGAAATGAAGTTTTGAGTAGTTGTGATGTTTCACTGTTGGTTCTCCACAGGCAGTGAGGCAGAGCTTCTTTTCTGGTTCTCACCAAAAAAATAGCAAAAAGGTAAAAGCAAATATGGTGTATCCATACCTGTAGCAAAATATAAAAAAAACTCGCGAACAAAATGAATAAACACGTCAACTGAACTTAATACTGCTGGGCCTTGACTCAGCCGTTCATTTAAGATAGTCAGTTGCAGCAGATATATAAGGTATATAAGTGTCATACAGTTACCGATACGATACTTAGTCAACTGTGAGGGATGAGAGACACCAGTTTTGAAGAGGGCTTCTTTAATAAAGCATCCGTTGGCGAGAAGTCTCCACAAATTTCAATTTATAATACAAACGTAGTATGGAACAAAGTGTGTGCTATGTTTTTGAGCTTGACGAAACACGCTTCAGAACAATTTAACGCAACACTGCCGCTCCTTGAACTCACAACGGCAAACACGCACATAGAGCAAATATGGCAACAAATAGAGCTCCAGATTTTAAGTATATTAAATCTTATTAAACCTAACCTAAAACTGAGCAGTTCAATAACACAAAATTTTGGAAGAACTGAAAGTGTAGCATGGAAGCAGAGAATGAGGAACGATTCTACAATTGGACGAAAGCTTCATGATCCGGTTTTTCCGAGTGCAGAAGTCCCACGAATCAACCATAATGAGCACCTTGTTCCAGGAAATATTTTGGCTGTAGAGAAAGCGCTGGTTAAGAAGCAGTTTCTTAGTCAGTTTACAGGAGAAGAAAATAAGGTTCATAAATCAATAAAATCTCCAATAGCAGTGTTGTCCTCTTTTCAGCTCGTACAAGAAAGACTATCGAAGGAAATCGATAAGCTTGAAACTCGTGCGACAACTAAAGAATCTTGGTCTTTTGTCGGGGAAGCCTCTGGAAAACAGCGTCCTTTGAATAGTGCATTGGAAAGCGATCTCGAATTTAATCAAGTCTCGCAACCGCGCCCTAATATCAGTATTGAAGCGACGCATACATTAGAGAATTTGATTAAGCAACGAATATTATTGAACAAATGGGATGACGTAGAAGCTACCGATGTCATCCAAATAAGTACGAAGAATAATACTCAGTTGAGCGATGCCAAAGCAAAGGTAGGACTTGGAGAAATATATGCAAAATCGTACATGAATCAAAGGTCAAACAAAAATGAAGAAGTGCTAAACACAGCTGACTCGAAAGATGACGACCTAATATGCTCTGCTCGCAATTTATTTGACAATGTCTTTCTTAAGTTGACTTCTCTAACAGATTTATCTATGAATACTGAGAAGAGGTCTGATCAAATACTCTCTGAGAGAAAAAGTTCAAATAGTCATACAACCAAGAGGACACCGGAAGAAATTTTTATGGTGCGGGATAATCGGAAGCAGCCAATGAAGAAAAGGTCCAAATTGGAGAAAATTCCTTTGCCAAAGTTGGCGCAAGTTGACAGTATTCATCCAGAAAGAGCACAAACAGTAAAAATTTCTGCAGAAAGTGCGAACTTAAATCAAAACTATGATAGTAAGAAAAGCAAACATTCTATTTTTGATAAATCAAGCAAGGTTTTTAACTCACTGGAAATGTTGAAAACGAGTGTGTCACATAAGCAGAAGGCTCTTGATTCACAAAGGAATGTGAACAGAAAAAAATTGTAGAACTAGGCAAGTAGTATTGTAAGATCGCCCTTACTCAGAAGTACACCATATATGCAGTTGTTGGCAAACAAGTCGACACATCATGTTAAAGTTTACATACTATTATAACTGTAAGGCTTCAATGGAATCTAACCTAAAATCTACTCGCAGTGAGAGAATTCTTTTGACCTCAGATCTATTGATACGCCAAGTCAACAATCCTGAGCGATCGCCCCAATAGTCCATTATTTCGTCGAATGTCTCGAAGCTCAGTACCATTCCAATTTGATTCAGACGTGAAAAAATATCACGCATTTGGCACTGCATCAAACTTGTTAAGTTTGCAACTAATTTCCGGATTTCTCGTTCAAAATGAAGACCTCCAAGATGATTGAACCGCAATCGCGTCATGACAATCATCTCAATGCGTCTTGAAAGATCTTCAAGGATTTGATGCACAACTTTGCTAAAGTTTGAGGATGACATTATGGGAACTAAATTTTCAGTGATTTTCTGAAAAACTACAATGATTTGCCCAATCCAATTGTTGTGATTATCTTCATACTTATCATGAGCAAGTTCGTATGAAGTTGCAGTTAAGATCTGAAGACACGTACCAAATATATCAACAAAAGCATTTGAAACAATGTCAACCATTTTAGAACAAAGATTTTTAAATTGTAACGAAGACTCCTTAAGGTTTCTGGTACAATTTAATATGTACTCTTCTTCCTTGATTTTACCATGCATTTCTCCAGAAATAAGCAATTCATCTAACTTCAGTATTACTTCGCTCATAGCATCTATATCATTCAATGATCGAATAAAAGCGTGAAATTCTAATTTCGCCTGGGTATTTCCAGCAGAAACATGGTGAAATTCGATTGCATCAACGAGTTGATCCGTTTTTATGCAACTTGCCTGCCTTGTTATTCTACCTGAGAGCTCAGGAAACACGTGGCAAGTAAAAGCAGAGTTCACTGAGTCTAGAACAGAGCTAACACATTCATATGAAACTGTTTGTATCGCTCGTTTAATGCTACGCTCCGAAATGTATAGAACATCGTCAACGATTGAGCTCGTAAGAAAATTCCCATACTCCTCGACATTGAACGCGATGTAAATACTTTTTTTTATGTAAAGAAATTCGAGTGAGCAATAAATTTCATAAATTTTCTCAAAATCTTTCAATTTATTCTCATACAGCTTGTCAGGATTAAGACGAAATATTGTATTGTCGCAAATTTCGGTAATTTTCGAACAATATATTCTTCGGTACTGCTCATACTGAGCACATAGTCCAGACAACTCTTCCAGAAAGATATCAATGTCATGAGCAGGTAAGGCACAACTTCTCTCCATGATCTCTGCTTGAAGTACATCGCGATCAAATTTCCTTCGATTTAGATACATCATCAAAATTTTTTGAAGAACTTTACTGCATTCTTCGTGGCATAAGAGAACATATTCAGAGACCAAATTCTCATACAAAATTGAAGTCAAGCTTCTACATTTCTTGTCTAATATTTCAAGAGTATTATCAAATAGGCACGTGATTGAATTCAGAAAACATCTACGAAAAACATCTTCAGGCCCTTCACATACTGTGATAATATTCTCGTAGTTCTTCCATACATGAATCTGGGTATATTTGGATAAGTATTGAACAACTTTTTCAGCGCCACCAATCTTAGAGGCAATTTCAATGTAGTTGAAGAAGAAGTCACCTTCACTGAAGGTAGCATCATTCAAAATGAGCTCTATTTTCTTGTTTAATATTGATTCCACATCGTTCTTAATGACTGAGAGTTCGTTCTCGAAAGAATTTTGCGATGGAATGAAGTTTTGAATGGAGATTTCTCGGAGGCTGCTGAATTCCACCGACTGCTGTAATGCTCCAGCCAAGTCTCCAGCAATAAGACTAACTTTTAGCTTTCTTAGAATTTCTTGTTTACTCAGTGCTCCTTGAATGCAATGCTTTGTTTTTTTGGCTCTCTCTTTCGCTAGATTCAACTTTCGAGCAACAAGTACGGAAGAAAGTGCAACTTCACTTCTTTCAGAAGAGGTAGATCTTAATCGGCTCGTAGATCCTCCGACCGAGACGAGGAGTTCTATATTGATATTTTTCAAGGTTTCATTTGCACGGAATCTCGAATCTAGTAATCGCGAGAGAGTTTCTGCATTCTGATTTTGTTCTTTCCGATTTATCTGTAGTGTCTTCGTAACTTGTGTGGTGAAATCAAACTCTGTCATTTCTTGAAGAACTTCTCGTACAGAAAAATAATTTGCAAGTTTATGAGAACAGACTTCCCACGCGCGCGCACGTAATAATTGCGTGCCAATAAGTGGAGTGCTTACTTCTTCGTCAACTTGATCACTGGTCTTGCACCTCGAGATTATGTAGTTCAGACACCGTGTAATAAAGCGACTACCGGAAACCTCGAAGTATATTTATTCGGGTTGCTTTGAAAGTCATGACTCGCACAGCATTGCTATTTAGAGAGGTCCACCTTTTCCTTTTTAGCTTTTTTTTGTGGTTGGGTGTGCGCTTGTTTTTTTTTAATGCATGCTTCCTGATAGGAAGTTCTCGATTTTAGAGTTGTTATACGACAGTACGAGTACTATAGTAGCTTATTGTGTCTGAGAGTTTTGTACGTATTTAGTGAAAACGTTGTCGTGGCTATATACCCGCGGGCGCCACCACACAGTATTCGTATGTATAACGAGGGAAGTTCAAAAATAGTAAAACAGACAATAAACGGACAAAAAAACAGGTATGGACCGTCTATATATGGGTGTATAGGCGTAGAAAAAGAAAAAAAAAGGTTGAAACACTGCAAATTCTATGGAAAAACAATTTGCACGATAACATTGACTTAAGTGAAAAGGTATATTGTATGAACTTGATTTCCCATTTTTTAGAAATATGAAAGTTTTATTTATTTCTGTATGCCAACTAATCCTCGGCCTTCCACAGAAGGTTGGTAAGCCTGCCCATTTTTTTTCTTGAGACCAGAAACTTTGCCGACAAGTTTTCTTATTCTGCGTTGCTCGTTACTTTGTCCTCTAGATTTTACCTCACCTGGGTCCATCTTCAGCCTTGGCCTTTTGGTATATTCAGGGATAGAGCTATCTGGAATCTCCGCATGATGCCTGTATCCCTTTTCGCCATATTTTGGACCAGAGCGAGCGGGAACACTCACATCGTCCATCGACTCTAAAAGTTTTGAGGAACGTTTAGTTCTCCTCGTAGCTAACTCCTCGTTATCCGAGTCATAGGCATCATATACTTGTCCACTTCGATGAATGTACTTATATTCTGCCGATAGCTCGTATACTGGTCGACTCCATTTCTCGATTAACTTTTTACAAATAGCGCGGTTACTTCCTGTCTCTTGAGGAATAGTCGTCAAGAACACCAATATTTTTGCTAAACCCGATCTTTTCAATTCCTCTTTTCTATCAAAATCGTCAGTTTCGACGGGTAAAATATCAATGAGACGTATGAGACTGCTGCGAAGATTGATATTTGGTAAGTTTCCATCCGGCATAAGATTAAGCCACATGCACAGAACTTTCAACAATCCGTTTTTCAGTAACAACTCTTGAAGCTCAGTTTGTCTCAACTTTACTTCTACCTCTGGTAACATCTTCAATTTATGTACAGCAGGAAGCTTCCGAGCATAGGCCTCCAAATCCTGTTCAGCTGCAACTTCCATTTTAGATAAGAAATCAATCACTTCAGTTTTCATAGTTTCTTCTCTGCGGCGTTCTTTTCTTTTCTTCTTAGCTTTGGACCCGAAGAAATTACTATCGTCATCAGATTCCTCAGCCTCACTATCATAAATTTCTTCATCTGGTCTATTATCTCGATCAAAATGTGGTACTCCAGCATCATCTATGAAATTTATTCCGGTATCCTTCTTACCATAACAATCTTCTTGATGAATTCTCTCATTCAAATTTGCATCACTTTTCTTGGTTTTCTGTCCAGTATCCAATCGCTCCATATCGAGATTCTCTAGCTCAATATTCGTGTCATCACCAAATAATCTAGTCATCATTGACTTTGGCATTTCTTCGTCTTCCATTTGGTTTTCTTCAATTATTTGTTTGAATAAAAAAATATCTCACGCCCCGCGCGTTGTTGCGCTACCGAGATAGAGATAATTTACAGATGAGTATTCGAATTTAGATTCTTAGTAAAAGAAAAGAGTATAAAGTCCACACAACATATATGGCATAAATACCCAAGCGAGAGGCTGAGAGACCTGTTTCCTGAATTAAATGGTACCAGGAGGACGAGCTCGTATCATACGATACAATACGTATTTGCTAAATATTTTGGTGGCCATGATCATGTTTTGCATACAATAATTTAATTGACATACAGTCTGACAGTATGATTCATATGGATTTTTTTGTTTTTGTTTTTTTATTTCGGTTCCTTGATTCCATACGTACGCTATTGTGGTCATCAACTAGACTACGAGTATTATACCTCGGAACCTCGCAAAACAGTTGTAGAGTTAACCGTAAGACTAATAACCGGCTCCTTTCTTTTCTACCATTCCACTGCTACAATTATGGCCATCCGTCACGCGTACGAAAACAGGTATTCATCGCAATTCTAGATTATGAGTTATGTTCATATTTTACTTACTTTTGTAGTAATGACATTGGTGTTTTTGGAACATTAACGAATGCATATTGCATAACTGCGATAGGGGGGTCCGAAAACTTCTATAGGTGAAATTTCATGCATTGTTTTACCCCTCACTCACTTAAATTTCTACAATTAAGCATATTTGAAGGCGAACTTTCTCGAGAAATACCAGTGATTAAAAGTAGTATAGCGGGAACTCGGTTGGTAGGTAGAATGTGTGTAGGTGAGATTTTGCAAACTTCTTGCAGTAGACCTGCTTGAATTAGTTAATAGGAAATAAAAAGGGGTTACTGCTTCCAAACTCCACCACAGACCAAGGTAGACTACCTTAAGGCCAGCGCTTGATTATATTTGAATGATTTTGTATTAGAGTTACTGCATATTCGCAATTCTCTTCCAGATTCTGTGCTTGTCCAAAGAGTTGAGGAGAGACTTTCTGGTAACTTCTACTTCAACTTTGTCTCAACAGAACCACTTTTATGTATAAATACAGCTCTCGGAAATTGTATTTCATGCAATGACTATACAGCCCTTTTACATCCGGATATTGACCGTGAAACAGAAGAGTTAATTTGCGATGTTCTTGGCGTAGAAGCTTTCAGGGAGGTATGATTTTCTTTATTTGCGAACATTTTGCAACCTTTAGGCTTTGTTAGACTATTGCAGGAAATGCTCTAGTTGGAAGTTATTGCAAATTCTCGAGCCAAGGTGGATTGGTACACCCACACACAAGCCTGCAAGAACTTGACGAACTTTCGTCTCTTTTACAAGTCCGAATTTTTTTCTCTATTTTTTTCACATTATATATTATTTTGAAGGTGCCCCTCGCAGCAGGCACAGTCAATCGAGGGAGTGATATTATTTCTGCTGGGTTGATTGCGAATGATTGGACTGCCTTTTGCGGGCTAGATACTACTTCGACAGAACTAAATGTACGCATTTTTACACATAATGATTAGATATTGAGAGGTAACAAATAGGTGATAGAGGAAATTCTAAAAATTCGGAGTATTGAAAATAATAAGTCCTTTGAGAGCACTCGTGCTGCTATCATTGACACTTTGGTCTAGTTTGAATATTCTTTTTAATATAAAATCTATGAATGAGGTCGTTCTTGTATACTGATCCCGACTTTCATCTATTTTAGGAGTACCTGTGGATGATTTTTCGACATAAATATCTCAAATGAAAGTGGAGTTATTTCTTCACCTTATCGATCAATCCATAGTCCTTCGCTTCTTGTGGATCGAAATATCTAGGTCTATTTATATCCTTTTCGACTTCTTCGATCGATTTTCCGGTAGATAGAGATAGTATTTTTAGCTGATCATGTGTGATAAGAATAGAGGGCCAGAGTCGCTAGAACAGTAGTACCGTTTGAGACTTTGTATTTCTAGTTTCATTACGCTGAATTTCTAACTCAGAGGCCTATTGTTTTAATAGTGAGAATGACACACATAATATCGTAGGATAGACCATACCTGCCCTCGAAAAGAGTTTATGGGTTGTTTAATCATTATGCTAGCAGATGGAAGTGCGGCTCTGTGCCCCTGTGAAGATTGCATAAATGAATAGCTGATAAATACCTTCAACTTTTACCTTTTTACCAGCTGAGAGCAACATTGCAGCTTCACCCCAAGCTGTACCGATAGCAATAGTGTGTACAGGAGGTTTGACATATTGAATGGTATCATAAATTGCAAAGGCTTCGGAATCGTACCCATATTTTTGACCCTCCTAATAATAAACACTTCAACACTTCAATACAAGCACAGTTTCATACATACTTTTGATGTCCCCGTTGAATTTATGTACAAATGGATCGGTTTATTGTTATCTTCGTATTGAAGATATAACAATTCAGCAAGAATAAGTTCAGTCACCGAAGGTACTAATGTCATGCCCTACATGGAAGAAATTTAGATTTTGGCAATAATGATGAAGGGCATAATTACCAAGTAAACTATGCGTTCTTTAAAAATATATGATGGCAAGTCCGGAGGTAACTGACTAGATGCGTCTCCTTGTAAACTTGGAATCACCTTTAGAACAAAAACTAAACCTGAAAAATGGCAAATTAAAAATAAGCATTACCGCTTTGATCTCATGACATATTCGAGGACACTTTACTTTGGATCTTGCAGCTGAAATTCCGAAAAGTTTATTACCCTTACTCGTAAACTGTGTTTGGCAAGTTTGCGGATTCTTAAATTGAATTTTAGTATTGCGTTCTTTAATGAAAGGTTTCAACTTACTGCGAGCATGATAGCAAAGATCAACTCCTTGCGCACTACCAAATATTACGATCGCGTACTCCTTGTGAGAAGTTGTGACCTGATATGATGAAAATCAAAGAAGGAGACCAGAGATCTTTTATTTTACACTTTCTGAGGACTAACAGGAGTGTGGGGGGAGGCATAAAAAGATGAACCCTAATTCGCTAATTCGCTACCGTTTTCAGAGCTTTTACATGTTTTACAAAAAAGTTTTGAAAAAAAATAAACACTAAAAAAGAAGAAAGAGGCGAGACATTTTCAGCACGCGAAAGAATGCAAGAGTAAGCTACTGACCCAGAATAATTAATTGCTATCCAGTCAATGATTTGCAACTCGAAAGAGCACGCTTAGATCGTTATATTTGTTGTTTGTTGTACTAGAAAGTCTTCAGCACTTCACCTCTTAAAAAAATGGGTGCGTTCAACTTTAGAAATAAATTCTGTATAGTTTTCTGATGTAGTTTCATTTAAAGGACTTCGAGAGGGCTTTCGAGAGTTGTGGGACGACATGTTTTCTTATCGTACTCTAAAAGTGGTTAAAATAAGTGACAAGCGTTTAGCATATGTTCATAAGTCTTTAATGGCTTTGATTTTAGTCTATGCGGGAGTTTCTATGATTGGTGGTCACACTTATATGCTACTAGAAACACCTGGAATGTACATCTCTACTGATGTTTCCGATACAAAAAGAATGCTTGATTTTAATCAGGCGGCGTCAACATACTGTAACAAAACTATCACGGATTATGCCGGTGATCCACCTTTTATGGATTCTTTCCACGATAATATTTGCAAGAACTTCAGTACTTCTGAAATAGTGAGTGTTTCTGCAAATTCTATATTTGTGGGTACACACGTAAAGGAGACAAACTTTCAGCGAGAGTGCAACACCAGCACGGATTTGTGCTCCACTTTGCCACAATATGATACATCAAAGAACTATTTTGCCACAAATCCTGAAAACGTTACATTTCAGTTCAAGACCACTCTAGATACAAGTTGGTTTACAAGTGCTCCCTCTTTAATCTATATCAAAGATAATCAGACGAATACCATACTCACCGTCGACTCGGAATCTGCTGTTGTTAGTGAGAGGTACCCGTCTTTTAGTGTTGACGAACTACTTGAGCTCGCAGGAGTGAAACTGGATGATAGAAACGAGTTAGTGGTACGAACTGATTCTTTTGTTCCACCGTTCCCGCTTTATCGACTGACCGGAATACGACTCAGTATTGATTGGACTTTCAGTAATTTTCGTCCCATGTCTAGTTTACAACCTTTTGATTATCGTATTCTCGCAGATGTCTCAGTTTCATCCAGCAGTAAAGGATATCTTGTGAACACTGTGGAAACAGTACATTTTTCTGGGGAGCCAGACGATGTTACTTCGAGTGGCACAATCTTGGAATTTCGAGGGGTCGAAATCGAATTCAGATCTAATGGTCTGCTTGGGAAAGCTGATTTTTATACCACAATGATGGCTCTAATGTCGTGTTTCATCATGGTTTCGGTTGCTACAACAGTAGTAGACATTATAGGAGCTTTCATTTACGATTCTTTCAAAAATGACAAAATAGAAGATGACGGTGAAAGGCAGCACTTGGAGCACATGATTTTGAATCTCGAGACAGTAGGTGTGCCGTTCAATCACGATGATTTACAAGTCCTTCCCAACGTATCAATAAAGGAATTTTTGCAGCTCTTGCAACGCGATATTGTGAAGCTGAATTCTCTCGCTTTGCATATCAGTAGAGACCTCACAGAAGCTGGCTTCAATCGTCATGCTTCCTCAAAAAAGTCTTTCAGTGACGCTGGTACAAATAAGCAAGTTCGATACAAGTGTTACTTAATTGGTCCGGACAAATCTGAAATTTATCTGACTGGTGGGCCCCAAACAATTGGACGTGGAAACGGTAACTGTATCTCAAAGCGAATTTCTCACAAGCAGTTAAGTATACTGGCAAACACATATAATGGTACTGCTATACTTCGAGGGCTTCACACCAAAAATATGTCTGGTATTGCTATTTCTGGCGGGGCATGGCAGCCAATAAGTGGAAACGATGAGGTAGAGTTAGAAGATGGTGATATGATAGCGTTGCTTTTAGATGAGAAAAATCAGGAGACATCTGTCGAGGGAGTGTTTGTGTACAGGTCAGAATCTCTTGTTGGGAAAAAAGCGAAGAGCGGCTGGCTTGATTGGGTCCTTTAGCTGTTAAAACCTTTGTAAAACATTTCTTTCGAACCATTATTGTATGCACAAGTATATTTATGCATAAATTGTACATAATAGAGGTTTTCCACGGGTGCGTCCTAGTCCTTCGGAAGAGTTGTTAACATGTAAGGTAAATTTTTTTTTTTCAGGTGCGTGTGTGGAAAGTTGTGACCCCAAAGCCCCCGCCATTTTCCCCCAAAAAATTTACTCACAACCCCATCAACAAGGAAAATATCTTTTTATTTTGCCTTTGACCTTGATCAAGCCTGTAACCACACTGAAAGCCACTTCTATACTTCGCTTGCATGTCCAGATTTCACCATATGCTTTCAAAATCTTCTCGCCCTGTTATCACAGCGACTATCGTGCGATGTGGCGTCGGACGGTCTATTTCAAGACAAAACACTCGTGAATTCCGTTACGACAAATTTTATGCGATCCGTGACGGCAATAGTGGCGAGCTCAACCTGGGCGAGGCAATTGTGGAAGCAACGAGTACACATCCCATCCCTGTTGATGTTCATTACTCGTTTGCGCGTGCCCCGCATTTTCAGCAAACTCTTGAGGATGCAATTAATGACCAAATTAACATCGAATACAACGTGTCCTACATCTATCATAGCATGTATGCATTCTTCTCGAGAGATAATGTGGCACTTGACGGATTTGCTCAACACTTCAAGAAAGAATCGCTTGAAGAACGCTCGCATGCCGAGTTACTAATGGACTATCAGACCAAAAGGGGGGGTAAAGTATCTCTCCAGGCTATTATGCCACCTCAGCTTGAGTTTGAGCATGCCCAGAAGGGCTGTGGGCTTTATGCACTAGAGTTGGCGCTCTCGTTGGAAAAATTGAACTATGATAAATTACTTGAGTTACACAAAATTGCTGACGAGTGCGGGGATGCGGCAGCGTGCGACTTTATCGAAGGTGAGCTATTAAAGGATCAAATTGACTCAGTAAAAGAGAATGCTGAGATGGTTGCAAGTTTGACTAGAATGGGTGCTGATGGACCTCATGGTGGATTGGCAACTTGGCATTTTGATAAAATGCTAAAAAAATGAGAAAAGTTGTAAATCAAATTTGTTGTATCGTTTCTTGTGTAAGTTTTATACTTTTCCTTACCTAGAGAAGGTCACCTTTCATTCAATTTCTTATCCGAAAGACTTTGTATCTTCATGCAGACTATCACTCTGTCAGCTGCTTAGCAGCTCAGGTCAGCTCCAGCTTGTTGGCTCTTGGTCGTTGGCTGATTTTAATATTTTGAAAATATGACGGGGCCCCACCGTACGTAGTACTACGCGACTACGGCGCATATACAAAAACCACGCGCGCTATATACTTTTACTCTTCATAAAAATTTTCAGTTATGCACAGAAAAACAATAACTTTAGCACATAAACCTTGAACGAAAGAAGTAAGACTCCAGAACACATGACGAAACTATTAACCGCGGTTCTGTATGTATTTGCAGTTCTCCTGCTCCCTGGTCTCATGGAGGGTACTGAAGGGAGCGAGAATGTTTCTCTGGGAAAATACAGAAAATCTGGCATTCAAGCACCAGAAGTCTCTCCCAATCCCTACGGCCGACTTCTTGTGTATACCTGGGGAATTGGCGGTGCTCGTGTTGCACGTCCTTCGAACCCAAGCGCAACTCCTCCAAATATCGTAGAAATTCCTTCAAAATTTTCGTCACAAGATATTATACATATATCTTTTTCGGGTCACTCAGCTTTCTTACTTCGTTCAGGTGAACTTCTAACTGCAGGAAGAAATGATAGCGCTGGTGGGGGTGGCAGGGGTTCTCCACCAATTGATGACTCTGGACAACTCGGCCGTGATGGAGACATAAACAGTGCTCTTCCTGTTACCTTGCCAGATAACGCTAAAGTTACAGCGACATCTTGTGGTCGCTATCACACAGTCGCACTGACATCAACTGGCGAAGTCCTCACCTTTGGCCTGAATGATCGAGGACAGTTGGGCCGCTCAGGTATTCTTGGCTCGACAACTCGCTCGTGTGGGTGTGACAGCGGAGGTAATTGCAACTGCAGCAATGATTCAACTTCAAATAGTAAACCTGGAAGTGCCTGTATAGGCGGTTCAACGTGTCGTTCAGGTATAGCAACAAAAGTATTGTTTGATGGTAAAATACTCGGTTTTGATGACAAATGCAAGGCGAAAGCTGAGTGTCAATTAAATACGAGAGCAGTTGCTGTTGCAGCTGGAAGATATTCTTCTGCGGCAGTTTTTGAGGACGGAACTTTAGTAGTATGGGGACTCATCGCCTGCGGAACTGCTTCGGAACTTTTAGAGAAGAATGAATATACTGAATCCAGCGATATTCGTTCTAAACTGCTACATGACCCAAATTTTGCTGCTTCGCCTAGAAATATACGTTTAGATCCTCCTCCCAAAGAAGGCGTAAAGATATTGGACGTTGCTTTAGGTTACGTCCATTTAGTAGTTCTGACTAGCGATGGTTCGGTATACACGTGTGCAACAGGATTTGATGGCTACGCTAGTATTGTTAAGCAGAAAAATGAGCTTACCTCGGGATTAGGAAGGAAGATCGATTCGGTCGAAGAAGCTCTTAAGCTCCAAAAAGTTTTATTTCACTCCAGTTCAAATGAATTCATCGAAGTTTCCACTGGCAGGTGCCACGTACTAGCGCGCAATAAAGCAGGAGAGGTGTATAGTTGGGGTTGTTCCCGTAAGTCTCTTGGTCGAACTAATGGTGAACAAGAGGAACCCGGTCGCGTCAAAGGTGCAATAGAGGATGAATATATTAGTAGCGTTGCATCTGGAGAATATTTTTCATTAGTGTCCAGTCTTACTGGTAAAGTATATGGTTGGGGTTCAAGCTCAAATGGCCAATTAGGCCAAATATCCTCACGAGATGAAGAAATACCATTTCCTATCGATGATATAAAAGGAAAGGTTGTAAGAGTAAGCGCTGGGTATCAACATGCAGGAGCAATTGTCGGAATATAAAGTGAATAAACGAGAGAACATCAAAAAGATATTTCCATTTTACTTCTTCAAGAACATTTTTGTATCTGCTACTAGTTTTCCAAACTTGTGATGCTTCACACATTTGAGTAATTCTCTTGTAGGTCAATCGAACTTTGGAACAGATGGTGGCCTAATAGGACGCACACCACCAGCATTCAAAACAATTTCTTCTGCTTTTGGGTCACAGTATTTCGAAATCTTGTCGTACTCTTGCTTGACCTAGAGGAAAATCATCATTAGTCTCGCTAAAAGTTGAAACAAGCAAGTATGTAAAAGACCTTTACCCAAATATGCTCTGATAATTCGACAGGAAGATCTGCCTCTTCACCTAAGTTTTCAGCCCACTTTCCAGAGTTCGAAACATCTATTTCTTCTCCTAGTGAAAGGCCCACTCCCTGGATAGAAAGTCATTAACATGTTTGAAAAAATAAGATTATACCGTGTAGTTGACAATCCTTTTTTCTCCAATGTCCTTTTCTGAGCTTGATGGTGGTGGCATTATATCATATGTTGCCTTTAAAAAACATTGAGGCAGACTTCGACTTATTGTACAATATTTACCATTGCCAATGGATAAAAGTGAGTTTTCGCAGCTGATTTCTTCGTACCAAGCTTTTTCATCATTTCAATAGCCTGAGGATCGAACTTGTCAGGAATTAACGTTCCGTCAGCCTTCCGTCGGTCCCTCCCTCCAGCAGGCGCAATCCAAATTAAAAACCCGCCTTCTTGTAATTTCTTTTGCATCTCCTGCAATTAAAAATAGCATAAACTGAGAGAATACTTCGTCACAAGTTCTTTAAATACCTTAATAGTTGTCAAATTCTGCTTCATTTTTGTTGCCTTCAGCTCAGGAATGTCATTCTACATGAAAGGTAAGGGATAAAGGTAAAATATTTACATATATTAGACCATATGCTTTTTAGAGTTAACACACAAAAGATTCTTCCCCATGCTGAACGGTTTTGCAAGAAGATCGGTAATAACACGGTCACCAGCCACATAGGTAACCTACAATTATATTCCAAGTTTTGCTCAATTTATAGAAAAAGCTTAAAAAGCAAGCTCACTAACCTTTTCGCCCAGTCCAGGATGGGAAACTTCCGTAAGTAATGGAATGAATGCCGCGTCTCCCTTATTGGATTCAGTCAGGTTAAACACTTAAACGGACCAGCAAGTTTCTTTATCATACCTCACTTTGATGATTAGCAAATAAAATTACATTTTCGCCTTCCTGCAAAAAGAGAAAATAAGAAAATAAGATTCTATGCGATTCAAGTATGCAATACATTGATCTGATTCTGTATCTTCGTCCATTGTTCCGGATACATCACAATGGAGCGGTCGAAATCGATGAGGGATCCAATATACATATTAGCCATCTAGCGTAATACCAACTCAAAATTTCTCCTGAGAACATTATTATTTTTTCACCTGATAGTAATCGTAGGGCTCACGAATTGCCTTGTGATACGAGGGGAATTCGTAAGGAGTTCCTACGAACTGTTCGATATAAGCTTTCACCATATCCTGGAAACTTAACTAAGGAAGAGAAAAACTACTCTTGAAGCTTTCTTCACCTTGAAAATGAATGTCACTGCTTTCGACGCTTTCTTCTCATCTTTGAGTGCTATACATAGCTGAGACTACAGTTCAATATTAAAATTAAGTATATATTCGCGCATTCAAAATATTGAACCTTATAGCTATTCAACAGACCATCAAATACAACTTGAATCTTCTCTGGAAAGATGTTGACGAGCAATCGCAGGCCAACCTCACCGGGAAGAACATCCACAACGAGCTTTGCTAATTTCACCTTTGTCTGCGATGCAAAAATTTAAGAACACTTTCGGATCATTCGCGTAATCACTAACTTCTTTTGGCATGAAGCCGACCTTCAACATGGTGCTTGAGGGACAGGTGCGTAAGTGAATACTTTTCCTCCTCAAAACTCCAGTCTTCATCCTCCCACGAAGGGCAGTACCATTTATACACTATGAACGCCAATCTTAACTAAAAATAACACCATTGTTTTCTATTACCGCCGATCTAGAATATGTCAAAAGACTGTTATGGGCCAACATTTCTGCACCAAGTGAGCAGGGTGTAAAATATATGTTCAAGTTGTCTTTTTGTTGTCTGAAAGTTGTCTGTAAAAATATGTAGCTCAAATTGTCTTGAACTTATCTTGTATCTCCTGTGGGTGTGGAGGAAAAAAAATGGTGTTGGGTTTTGTTTAAGGTGTGATAAAAAGGGTAAGGTTTTACTTACCTTTTTTCTCTCAGCGTTCGCATTTTTACGTAAGGAGAGTTCTTCTTAGGCAAGTTTTCGCCTTCTGAAACGTTCGAAGGGATGGTATATATTATATTAAAATTACGTCTGTGTGTTTATTCGATTTTGCTCAATTTTTGAAGGTTTCCGAGTGCCGGATGTACGTGAATGAGTTCCCAGAGGTTGATGATGTGGTGATGGTTCAGGTACTTCTTTTTCTGGTATTTACAGAAGAATGCTCATTTATGCGTCCTAATTTGTAGGTGAAACGTGTTGCAGAAATGGGCGCTTATGTGCAACTTCTTGAGTACAACAACATTGAAGGAATGATACTACTCTCGGAGCTTACACGACGCAGAATAAGGTCGGTGACTAAACTTATAAAGGCAATGACATATTTGTATATTTTGGTTGTTGCGCTCATAACTCTTTTCTCAAAACAGGTAGGGAGGATTGAGCCTGTCATGGTACTCAGAGTAGATAAAGAGAAAGGATACATTGACTTATCGAAAAGGTATGAATCTTTTTCAAGTCAATAAATAGTGAAAATGTTTGAGCAGACGTGTATCCCCTGAGGATATTCAAGCTTGTGAAGACAGGTACAGTAAAAGCAAAATGGTGCATTCGATTATGCGGCATGTCTCTGAAACTACGTGCACTGATTTACATAGTTTATATGTTGTACGTTTTCTCCCTTCTTTTAGTGCTTCTTTTGAAATCAATATGAAAATTGTAGAGTCTTGGTTGGCCTCTCTATGTAAAGCACGGGCATGCTTTCAACGCGTTCAAAATAATGGTTACTGATCACAACTTGATTTTTTCGGATTCTTCTCTTAATAATGAAGTTATAAATGAGTCTGTCAAACACGCATTAATAAAAGATATATGTCGTCGAATGACTCCACAACCATTGAAAATTCGAGCAGATATGGAACTTACTTGCTTTAGTAGTGATGGTATTGAGTGTATTAAGGATGCCATGCGAGCTGCGGAGAGCAGTTCGACCAAAGAGTGCAAAGTGAAAGTCTCATTAATTGCCTCGCCCCTCTATGTGGTCACAACCCAGACACTCGATAAGGAATCTGGAATGGCCACTATTGAGGCAGCAATCCACGAAGCTACGGTACGACAACATATTTGCAAACGCCAATTTTTCATGATTCTGTTCCAGGTTCGTATCAACACGAGGAAGGGGAAGTTGGTTTTGAAGGAGCCACCACGCGTTGTGAGTGAAAGGGATGACAGATTACTTGCAGAATCTATGAACGAAATCAACAAAGATTCGAGCGAATCTGAAGACTTGAGTGACGATTAATCAATATTTGAATAATTCTCCTAGAAGTGAGGTGGAAAAATGGGGACAGCTGAACCACTGAATTCTAGATTTTAGGTTTCCGTAGTTTGTGTTAAGCAAGTAAATTTTACTGCGAAAGTGTTCTCTTCAATTGTATTGAAACTAAATCAACTGATTCGATTAAATTACTCTAAGGTCAATAACTATGCACGCAATATTATCTTGACTACGATTTCTCAAGGCACGTTGGACAAGCGCATCCGCTACCTCTGTCATAGAGAGCATTGGATTGCTTTTTAGTTTTGAACACACAAAAGTAACTGCTTGGGATCCATTCATAACGTCCCAAATTCCATCCGTTGCAATGATAATGAATTCATCATCGGTGGATCTATTAAGTTCATGAACATGCGGCAAAGCAACGACTGGAGGTGCATGAAGAGTTGAAGTTGTCGCCTGTACATTTCCATCATATCGAAATTCCTCTAAAAGCTCGGAACGTCCACCTTTAAATTCGTAGTCTCCAAAAGCACGACTGACTGCCAATATTCCACAGACTCGCTCCTGAGTGACCCAACCGCCCGCCATTGCAATACGCTCAATTTCATTTCTTCCACTTTTCGTTCTTGGTGTTGGACGGTGTTCCTCTGTCAATGAAATCGGTTTACCCTTTCTGCCAATGACAGCACTACTATCACCCACATTTGCACAAACGATTTTGTGTTCATCTATGAAACATATTGTTGCTGTGCTTCCACTCCAACATTCAGGATCACCTAAGGTCGCGATATGATCAATTAATGCACTATCTGTCAATCTAAATATATCTTGAAGGCTTTGTGGGCTTAAAACCTGAGCTATTTCACTGATCGTTATTTCACTTTTCATGAACGGAATATTGTTACTTTGTCTTTTCATTTTTATTTTCAGCATATCAAATAGCTTTCGCTTGAGAAACAGAGCACTAGATGAACCACCATGTCCATCGAAAATACTAGCGTACATGATTCCGGCTTTCAAATTTTCCTTAACAAACCATGCATCTTCCATAGTCTCACGAGGGCCCATAGTCTCAGCAACCCCCCATTTCAAAACGGGACTCGAGATCATAGATCTCGGAGTTTCGTGAATACAAAGCGGACTATTAACACAAAATCTCTCTTTCATTGAAAAATTGCTTTTAGTGCATGACGACCTTCTGAAATCTAGGGGTAGAGAGGCTGGGCTGTACTTTCGATGTAGATTCGTGCACCTCATGTACTTCCTGAAAATTTTAAGGTTTACACAATATCTTGGCTTGGCTGGAAAGAGCTAAAATGATTGGTGCGTATCAAAACAACTAAACAAAAACAAATGAGAAGAAGATGAACTTTGTTATATGGCGCACGACTAATTTCTTACTCGTTCTCGGACAGATACTTTTCCAACGACACAAATAGTTCCGTAATTAAAGAAGAGTCCGAATTTTGTTCGTACATACACCCTTTTAATTAAATTTGAGCGGGAGAGGCAGCTATGCATAGCTGACAGCTATAGCTGAGCAGGAAAAGCCAAATAAATTTCAAAATATGAATATATATATGCATAAAAAAAATTCAGGAAGTGGGTTCGTTTAATTAATGACGCGTGGTATATACCTGCTCACAGCCAGTTAGCCATAGCATCTGCGCTTCAAGCTAAAACTTTCGCATTTTGTACCTTAAAGTGCACTGCACGTCACCTATCACACGTAATACGATAAGGATACATTTTCATTTTATTTTGGTAACTTGATAAATAGCGCGCTCAATGCATTTAACAAAACTTTTATGAACTCAGTTCAAGTTTGAAGTTCCAATAAGTATAATATGGATATACATAGAAATGACAGAAACATATTTTTGAAACGAGCAAAATATTGATTTGGAATCCGTGTGCTTGTTTTTTTGTCTATAAACATACATTTGAGATGATTACCATCTTGGAGGACATCTAACATACAATAGACGGGAAAGTGTTTTAGATCAATGAAATCTACTGTATTTGAAAATGCGGAGACTCCAGACTATATTCCGGTAAAGCGCCGTAGAAATTTTCCTTACCCCTCATCAACAAGGGACAACAATGTAGAAAGGGATAATTCATTTACTTCATACAAGGAAATAGGATCATCGCTCCTTCTCAAATCGCTGGAGGGAAGTAGAAAATCACAAACCAGCACTAATTCTCAGAAAATAGCTGAAACTGAGGCCACCTTGTTAAAAGCTGTGTTGGTAATTTATTTGAAATGTTTTATAAACCAAGCCTCTTAATTTATTCACCAGACAAAGAAAGGCTTACGCTCTGCCACTGAACTGGCCAGTGGTTTAAAGTATGAAAGCTCCATGCAAACCGGTTGGACAGGTCAGGACAAAAACAATCTTCCATTATACTTGAGTTGAACTTTCAATTCTCCTTACATTTTTTTCTAGACTCTTCTTCTTTTGAGGAAAAAAAATGCCACGGAATTCGGAGCAAACTATGTATGAGTGTAGAGGGTAAGTATTGTTGTCGTTAACTAATTCGTTTCATAAACAAAATTGTAGGCAATTTGGTTCCCATGCCATCTTGTTCTTTCTTAACCATGGGTTTACCCAATAAAATTCTACATACACTTCGACAAAAGGTAAATAATGGAATTTTTGCATCATGAGAATATATGGATTTTTTTTATTCATAGGGCATTATGAAACCTACAGCAATACAGATGCAGGGCATACCACTTATTTTAAGTGGACGTGATATGATTGGGATAGGTAATTAACTTAAATTTAATTTTCTGAGGGCATAAGGTTCAATTTTTGCTCAGCTTCAACTGGCTCTGGGAAAACACTGGCCTTTGTTCTTCCTATTTTGACCTCCGTTATGGTAAAGATTTCAATATTCTAATCTAATGATTGACTCAGTTACATTATTTTTCCTTGAAATTGAAATGTAGATCGAACAACTACGAATGCCGCTTGTACGTGGAGAGGGCCCTCTGAGCTTAATAATTTGCCCGTCGCGGGAGCTTGCGCGCCAGACACACGAAGTTTTACTGTTGTACTCTCAAAAGAGGCCGAAAGAAGTACTTTTTGAATAGCAACATATGAAATTATCTAAATATTTCAGCAGAAAAAAAGCGAATCAATATCCGTTATTTTATGTATAGGGGGTTTAAATGTTCAGGAGGTCATGAGGGAACCAGGTTTTGAAGGAGTTCATGTGCTCACTGCAACTCCTGGTCGTTTGAGAGATATGTTATCGAGAAGGGATTTAAATCTAGATATCTGCAGGTATTAACACATAATTCAGCGTAACTTTTTATATTCAAGAATTATCATGTTCTTCTATAGGCTTATTTGCCTAGATGAAGCTGATAGGATGGTAGATTTGGGTTTCGAAGATGAAATTCAAGAAATTTTTAGCTACTTCAAGACGCAACGTCAAACAATTCTGTTTAGTGCAACCATGCCTTTCAAGATTAAAAAATTTGCGGAATCTAATCTGGTTAATCCGGTAACAATCAATATTGGCAGAGCAGGGGCTGCGAACTTAGATGTAATTCAAGACGTAGAGTGTGTAGAAGATGGGGAAAAACTCACACACATTCTGAAAAGCTTGACAAAATCTGCTCCACCGGTTATTATATTTTGTGAAAATAAACGGGATGTAGATAAAGTTCATGAGTATCTGTTACTCAAAGGTATTGACGCGGTCTCAATACATGGTGGAAAAGATCAAAGTGAAAGGAATAAAAGCATAGAGCAGTTCAAGGTTTGAAATTTTATATTTAGATGTATTATATCATGACTTCTATTTGATTTTCAGCATTTTCTTAAAGATGTTCTTGTTGCCACTGATGTAATTTCGAAAGGCCTTGACTTCCCCGCAATAAATCATGTCATCAACTTCGACATGCCAGCTGAAATTGAAAATTACGTTCATCGAATTGGTCGGACGGGTAAGAAAATATGAGTATCTCAAAATGTCAGGAATAATTTGTTTGTTGTAGGGCGTGGCGGTAAAACTGGCACTGCAACAACACTGATCACTCCTAATCAGTCCGAAGTGGTGTTGAAAGACTTGCAACATTTACTGGTTGAAGCTAAACAAAAGGTGCCAGAATTTCTCAGTTTTGCGACGGAAAAACTTCTAGAAGAAGACAAAGAACTCGTAGCACTAACAGGAGTGCGTGGATGTGCATACTGTGGAGGTCTCGGTCATCGAATAGGTAATACACATGTGTTTGACCCTACATTCCTATTTACAATTTTGAAATAGGTGCTTGTCCAAAACTGGACAGTCTCAATGCAAAAGTTGCTTTTAAAAAAAACTCTTCATTCGGGAGTTCGGAATGTTTTGGAGGAGAACTCTGATTATGATTTTAATATTCACATCGTCTGGTAAAAGTATTGACTGAAATCCGAAATCCTATTTTTTTTACCTAAAATATGAAAGCTTGTGTCATAATTTTCCCTCTTTTCTGCGATAGAATTAATATGACTATCTAGAAGCCCTCGAATTATTTTTATCAAGTTCAATCAAACTGCCGAAATATAATGTAACTGCCTTCAGTTTACCTTTTACAAAATTGAAGTCAATCTGGACAAATAAATCAGCAGAAGAAAAATCGAAGAAAGTGTAGTTATGTCATTACCTCCCAAGGTATTCGTATTCGGTTCTGAATTAGTCCGAGGTCCGTATTTTTAGGGAGAAAATATATGACATTTGGTGTGATTTCCAGTGCTTTTTCCAATATTTCAAACCCATTCAACTTTCCTACATACATATTTTCGAGCTTAAAACTTTCGTTTTCAGTGTAGTAGTTGGGGCCGCCCCATGGTGGCGATAGAAAAATCAAATCTGGTTTTAAAACAGGACACAGTGCCAGGAAATCAGCACATACAAAATCCACCTTATTCCCTAGGAAGTACTTATCTGTGTTGAATTTCACCTGAATAGAGTTCAGTACAATTCGATATTAAGACAAGTTCAAACCATCTTTACACGAGAAATGTTAATTTCACAGGAAATGACGTGAGCTCCAGCAGAAGCAAATTCAGCACTATTACTGCCTGAGCCTGAAAAGGCGTCAACGACTAGTAACGGTATTTCCTGAGTTTGGAGATTCTGAAGAATGCATCTCCTTGCCTGAAGAACAGCAATGGCATTTGGCGTGACTGAATACCATGACTCATAATCCAAGCGTATCCCCTCTCTCCAACTCGTGAACAAGTTATAACGCTGAATCCAGTATTTTTGATGTGGTACTTCCGTAAAATCACTCATTCCCTCTTATTAAACTAAAGATATATTTCTTTAAGTTCCTTGCATATTCCACCAGGGTCTAATACTATTTTGCTTTCAAAGTATTACGGTGTCTGGCTGTCATCCTGTTTGCATTTATTTTCTATTCATCACTGAGAACCGCACTATGACGTACAGAAAAAAGAATTTATTGAGAAGTTCGTGAACGGATTTCGCGGAGGTGCATTAAAACATAAATTTGTTGAATGTCTTCATGAGTTTATTTCTTTTATGTATGTATACCAGTACCTAGGTACCAGGTATCATATGAATACCAGTTGTTTATAAAGTCCTCGTTTAGGTTAGGGTTTGGGTCAAAAGGGGTTGGAGCTTCAAGAAAAAGCATTTTGGAAGTGGTGGGTATGCCTCCTCAGTCACAAGGTCTACAGAAACATTTTATTTTATAGAAGTATTCTTCACGCTGTCGTCTATTTAAACGGAAAATTGAGAAAATAACTAAACTCTTGCGTGGTGTAACCCTCTTGTACTACTCTTTCACTATGAATCATTGCAAATCATGTTTCGAATTTTGCTGCAATCTGCCTTGTTTTCGAAGTTCTTGAATCAGCTTTTCCTGTGAAATTTGCCGAAGAGCATCTATATCCTCTTCATATTCAAGATAATGAAAATTTAATGATATACTTGATAGACGCGTTATTGCGTCTTTTACTTCAGTGCTGCTTTGAAATGGATGTAGCTCACTCCAAATCATCATTCTGTCGTATGCTCGCGCTGCTTCCCCTTCTTCATCAAAACATCCCAGTGAGGTTGGCTGTGAACAAGTTATTAAAAGAACAATTCATGTATATTAATTATTTGAACTCATTTCACCTTTCCTTGTCGACGAAATTGTGCCTCCCAGCGCTGCGTGGGGAAAGTTTGATGAACCCCTCGGTACTAGAACACCAAATTTGTCAAAAATCAAATAAAACTTAAATGAAAAAAAACCTTTGAAGTATAAGTTCTTCCCTTAGATGCGCCGCGTTGCTTTGATACCTTACAAGGAACTTGTGAATTTGCTCCAGCACCCCTGTTTTCGACCTTGAGTTGGTGTAAGTCCGAGCTTTCATCTATCATTGGATCAGATGGCCAAGATATAATCATATTAGAACCGTAATATCCATATAAAATCTTCCAATCGGAATGTGAATCTATGCTCTTCTTTTGAAGTTAGTATGGCCATAAATAAGATTTAAAAAAGCAACTTAAAGAGTTAAAGACTTAAAGTATACCTTCTTTGAAATAATTGAAGGTAGATTTGTAAAAGCTTCAGGACTCATCTCTGAACAAGGTGCAGACACCTCTTTCTTGCGAGTACAAGATCTTTTCTTGTCTTTCAGCGAAACTTCATTATCAAGTCAAGAAAATGACTCCTGAAAATGATACCTCAGACTCTATATTGTATTAACGTTCATAGCGTCGTTATACATCGCAGTGAAATTGAACGTACTGAAAATATGCTTTGCGTTTTTCAATAAATGTAACGCAGTGTTGCTTTTTTGAGAGGCTAACAGTAAAAAAACCTGAGAACCTGAGAGATTACCCTAAACTATAAACTTCTTAGGAAGTACAAAGAATGTAGGTGAAGAAAAATACTCTCTCGTGCCACGGTGCCAAAACCTGTATGTGACACATTTTTTAATTACACTTTTACACATGAAGACACAAACAATGATCCGCAACTACAATTTTTTTCTTGTTACGACAATCACAAATTGAGCCCTCACGGATACCGAAACCAAAACATGCACGTATCCAGTATTTTCTGGTCCGCTCGGCAACTATAACCATAGTCAAGTTGAAAATGAGGAATTTAAAGGATCTAAATTTGAAGCGGTGGAGACTGTTATCTTTTCATAATGGAATGAGTAACTATCAAGAATACTTGAGTAATCAAGGTCAGATAAGAATGAACTCCGCGAAATTTTTCAAGGTTCGTTACACGCAAGGAAAATGTTCTTCCAGATAACGATTTTAGAAGGCAAATGTGAAAGTATTCGCAGCTCCTGCTGAGATTTATATGGCCGTTCTTGAATCAAAGTTTCTCCCTTTCGACGAGCAGGTCATACAGGAGTATTCACAATTGAGTAGAAAATTGGATGAGAATAATACCATAGTAACGGTGAGATTTAAATACGATGTCCAGTCGATTTTTAAGGTATTTTAATGTATGTCTTATGAGCTGATATTTAACAATAAATCAAAGAAAAATTCTGGCCATTGTTTTCTACGTACGATTTATCCAAGGGAAGACGGTTCCTATCTGATATCGTTTCAGTTCAGTAAGACAAACATGGTTGAAATCTTTATTTCTTCAATATTCATCTTTTTGACTGATATTCTATGTGTTCAGGTTTACAGCTCAACCAGAGGTATCGAAGGCTTCCAACTTTTATATGAACTTTCTCCCTCCGTGATATACTGTAATGGTAAAATAAATGTTATTTCGGTGGTATCATGTTATATTGCGATTGATGGAACGGAAGCATATCAAATTCATGGTAATTCAAATTTTCGTAGTCTGTGTAAGTTACTGAGTTATATTTTCAGATGATCTCCCAATGAATTTTTTAGGAGTGCTTTCTTCTCGTCTCCAAAATTTTAATATGAAGGTGACTTTTGAGCCATTCTTTAGATATCATAAATAGTTGAAGTTAAAGTTTTCTATTTCTCACAAGATCGAGAAAGCTCGCTGGCAATATGGATTACATCGTATAATTACCGAAACTAAATCGGTAATAAATCAAAGCTCTGCGAAGGTAAGGTAAATGTACTAAATAATCACATAATGTATTTTTTTCCAGGGGACCTTACCTACTCATTTTTGGAGTGTCCCAAGTGCAAGCGATTTTTCCATTCGAGGTAGGAACTATCTACAAGATCGGAAAAAAATTCCTGCCAAAGAACCATTCGGAGAACTTATTGCCGTCGATTGGTTATTCGACGACCGAAAAATATCTGATGTCTGTTCACTTCCGCATGGCACATTCAAATCTTCTCTTGAGGTATATTCTTTATCAGTTTGACCTGTACGAGAATCTCACATTACTTTAAGAAATATTGCAATGCCAAATCTATCATATTTGCAATTAATCTTCAAGTTCCAGCTGGTCCTCGCCACTTTTCTCTTGTCTTTTATTATAAGATTGAAGCGGAAGTGATGGAGGTAACCCCAAATTAAAATGAAAGACTCAAAGATTTAAGCTATTTCTAAGGGAGCTATGATTCAAAATTTTGTCTCCTGTGACGATAAGTATCGGAACTCTCGATTCAAGCTCATTCCGAATGTTTCAACGGTAAGACTTTTTAGCAGATGATCTTTTATATTCTAAAAGTATTATTACTCACTGTTTACAATAATAAGGGCCCCTGGATTGTGCAGAGCTCAGTCGGACGTAAACCTCTCATAGTTGGAGGCGCACTGCGGGTAATTTAATAACTGAATAATTTTTTGAATTTTAACAATTTATCTTTAGGTGGAATATCACAAGGAAGCTCAATATTTTGAAGTAGATATCGATATAGGGAGCAGCGCTATTGCATGCAGTATCGTGAGATTTGTTTTAGGGTAAAGGTCATTTGGACTCACTCCATTCTCTAAATACTTTTTTGTAGTTATGTGCGTTTGCTTGTGGTAGATCTATGTTTTCTTATAGAAGCTCAGTCAGAAGAGGAATTACCGGTGAGTAGAACTCATCTTCTAATATCGTATTGATTGAATATTCTAAATTTAAAACAGGAAAAGTTACTTGGATCTGTAAGAATAATACACTTGGAACCTAACTCGGCGATTCGGTGCCCGAACTGAATATGATTGTGCCTTCTCTACATGCTTCAAACATCACGCAAACGTACAAGTTCCTCAACAACACCTTTATCTGCTAGCGTGGATATATCACCCAAAGAATCATCTTTGCACGCAATTTTGCGTAGAATCCTTCTAAGTATTTTACCGCTTCGAGTTTTAGGCAAGCTAGGTGCCCAATGTATTGTGTCAGGGGCTGCAAACGGACCTATCGTGCTTCGTACACATGCTATAAGTTCTTTTTTAAGCTCCATAGTATACTCAACACCATCAAGTATTGTAACATATGCGTAAATCCCCTGTCCCTTTATGGCGTGCTCGATTCCTACCACTGCAGCTTCCGTACATAGAGAATGTGAAACCAGGGCACTTTCAACCTCAGCAGAACCTATTCTGTGACCGGAAACATTAATGACATCATCAACACGTCCTGTAATCCAATAATAACCATCTTTATCTCTTCGCGCTCCGTCACCCGTGAAATAATAACCAGGGAAAGGCTTAAAATATGCAGTTTCGTAACGAGGATGGTCGCCATATATCGTTCGCATCATGGACGGCCACGGAGATTTGATACAAAGGAGTCCTTCGCATTCTCCTAAAAGTTCTTTTCCCTGCTCATTCAAAATTACAGGTTCGACACCAAAAAAAGGCAAAGCCGCAGAGCCCGGTTTTGAAGGAAAAGCTGCAGGTAATGGGGTAATAAGATGCCCTCCTGTTTCAGTTTGCCACCAGGTATCAACTATAGGACACTTACCGTTTCCAACAACTTTATGATACCATTTCCATGCTTCTGGATTTATCGGCTCTCCTACAGTCCCGAGTAAGCGAAGGCTCGATCGAGAGTACTTTTTAACGTAGTCATCACCTTCTCGTTGAAGAGATCGTATCAGGGTTGGTGCTGTATAGAAAACTTGAACCCCAAATTTATCCACTATTTCCCAACAACGCCCTGGGTCGGGATAATTCGGAACTCCTTCAAAAACTAGGGACGTTGCACCATTGAGAAGCGGACCGTATGTTACATATGTATGTCCGGTTATCCATCCGCAGTCAGCTGTACACCAAAATAAATCTCCAGGTTTTAAATCGAATACATATTTTGTGGTCGTAGCAGCATAAACCATATAGCCGCCCGTTGTATGGACTACACCCTTCGGTTTTCCAGTGGAGCCGGATGTGTACAGCATGAAAAGGGCATCTTCTGCGTCAACCCACTCAGTCTCACACGTCGAACTCATTTTCTCGACAGTTTCCTTCCACCAGAAATCCCGCTCTAGAATAAAATTTGACTCCGAAAATGGTACCGCTCGTTCATTTGCGACGCACAAACAATGCGTGATCCTACATCCGTCCCCACCTAATCCTATCGCACTATCGACAATAGATTTGAGATCAAGTAACTTGGTGCCTCGTAGAACTGCGTTGCACGTCAAAATAATTTTGGCTTCAGAATCAATTATGCGTTGTGCCAAAGACTCGGCAGAGAAACCAGCAAAGACAACTCCATGGACCGCTCCGATTCTCGCGCATGCGAGCATAGAAATTGGCAATTCTGGGATCATCGGCATATAAATAATGACGCGGTCACCTTTTTTAACTCCAATATTTCTGAGCCAGTTAGCAAGTTTGTTCACCTCGGAACAGACTTCTGAGTAGGACATCGTCTTATTCTCATCCAGCCCATTACCTTCCCAGACAAATGCAGCAGTATCACCTCGACCTTTGGAGATTTGTGCGTCCAAACAGTTCCAAGCTATGTTAGTTTGTGCCCCCGAAAAAAATGAGGTAGAAATTGGCCCTTTCGTTGTGTCGAAATTCCCTTGAACTATATTTGCAGGATCCCACTCCTTCTTCCAGTAAAATTCTGAAGCGATGGCAGACCAAAAGGCAGAAGGATCTGTAATTGATTCTTTATACATTCGATCATATTGATCGCGAGCTTGTACGAATGATTCTTTCTTATATTCCTAGGGTAATTTTGTTGAATGTGTGTAAGAAAAAAGTAAAACAAGAACAGAAGGAAAGAGTTTACCTCGCTTGGCCAGAGAAACTCGGCAGCATAATCCGTTTGCTTCGCGTCATTCATTTTTGAATAAATTATAAGCGTGCGGAGTGATGTTTATAATGTTTGTAGTTGAATCTTTTATAAAAACTCCAATCCACAAAGAGTCAAAGACTGTGAAAGATAATTGAAATATTTTTCTCGCACTCGTTGAAAAATGGGGTCGTAAAGTTAAATTGTCGGGTAAAAAACAGAATGGCCATATTTTTTTTGTTACAGGAAACTATCATAGGCACGTGGACAGCTGAGAGAGTAAGGGCAGGTGCAGTCTGAAAGGATAGGGGATACAAAAAAAAATATTGGCACGTCGACTATTGGAACACCACGCGGATAAACATATCAAACTATCTCAAATTCAGAAATTCCAAAGTGTCGATTTAATATATGCATAGTTTTTACCATGTGTAAGAATGTGAGAATGTGACTTACCAGCAGTACGTACAGTATGTATACTCAAATTGTTTCAGTACCTGTATGGTACATGTGACCATAAATATAACAAGACGTTCCAATCAGAAAAAAAAAACAAGAAAACAGTCCATAGAATCATCTGCCGTTTGTTCTCAGTCAGCAATTCATAGCCTTTCTTGAGTGGTACGCGAGAATTTTTTGCGCGCTCATCTCTACTTCTCTACTTGTCCCATCACTTACTTTTCCCGAACATCTTCTCACTCAGTGTGCGGATAGAATAGTATCATACAAAGAATATAAATTTTCTTTCCCGGTATCCAGCCGCCGCCGCTTCACGGGAAGTAAGTCTTTTGCAATCTTCAGTGCAAAACGATAACGACTTCCTTTACTTTGAAGTCATACTACTCCTCACAAGAATTATACGATAGCTAGATGGAAAGCAAAATGGAAAGCAAAATTACAACAGGTAAGAACCTCTTGTGGAAGTATATTTATAAACAACTAAATTTATTTTTAGGACTCAAACAGCTGGTCAGTGACCATGTTAACTCTTTCGATCAGTTCATAGATCAAGGGTTACGTGATATGTCGACAGAACTACAGCATGTAAAGATAAAGATGTCGGATGAAGAAAATGGAAAGGGTGCATATTTACAAGTATGGTTCGAAAATTTCTATTTAGAAAAGCCTGAGAAAGTCAGGAGGGATGCTAGTTTTCAAGGAAGCCTATTTGAGCCTAGAACATTTCCAGGTGAATGCAGAGAGACTGGGGAAACCTATTGTGGCAATCTCATGTCCACAGTTTGTCATAAGATAGTTGGATCTTGCCGTGATCATCCGGTACATAAGAACATAATTAAAATATGCAGCTTCCCTATTATGGTAGCTAGTCACGCCTGCCACTTGGAATCACTAGATAAAATTGGACTTATCAAACATGGAGAAGAAGATACTGAATCTGGTGGATACTTTATTGTAAACGGAATTGAGCGAATCATCCGACTTCTAATTCAGCAACGTAGGCATTATGTGTTAGGTCTAGTACGAAGTTCTTTTTTGCGAAGGGGGGCATTGTTCAGCAAATTTGCTACCTCTATTCGTTGTGTTGATAAGACAGAAATATCTAGTACTATAAGATTGCATTATATGAAAACTGGGAGTGCTAGATTAGGTCTCACTATAGAACGTCAGGAATTTTATATTCCTGTAGGAATAATTATTCGAGCCATCACGGACTCTTCTGAAAAAGAAATTTTCATGAATTCAGATTATAGATGTAACTCTGAGAATTGCCTCATAAATGATTGTATCATCAATTGCCTTCATGAGGCTACTGATGCAGACATTCTATCTAAAATGGATGCACTTCGTTACATTGGCAAATATTTTAGAAACCTCTTACGCGGACAAAAATTTGTAAGTGATGTTGAATTAGGAGAATTTTTTATTGCAAGATATATTTTCACTCACTTGAAGAGGCAGAGTGAAAAAGCAAATCTATTACTTTTTATGCTGCAGAAGTTAACGGCTTTAGTTCAAGGCCTATGTAAGCCCGATAATCCGGATACATTAGCCCATCAAGAAATCATGTTACCTGGTTCATTACTTCAGGGCTTACTCTATGAAAAGATGGAACATGTGCTTGAGCAAATCCGTCTGAAATTTCAAGCCCTCTTTGATGTGTCATACACTGATAAAGTGGAAGCTTTGGAACCAAATTCAATACAAAATTCAATACTGCAAGTTATCCAAAAATATGATATAGGACGACACTTTGAGTACTTTTTAGCCACAGGAAATTTGGTGAGCAAAAGTGGTCTTGGCTTGAGTCAATCAAGCGGCTTCACAATTGTCGCAGACAAGTTAAATTACTTGAGATTTTTGTCTCATTTTCGATCTGTTCATCGAGGAGCATACTTTACTGAACTTCGAACAACTACGATTCGCAAACTTTTGCCAGAGTCTTGGGGTTTTTTATGTCCAATACATACTCCAGATGGATCGCCATGCGGGCTTCTAAATCATTTGGCAGGTGAATGCAAAATTGTAGTAGCCAAAACAAGAGATACGGATTTTGATCTAGTTCGCAAGACTGTAAAGAAAAGTTTAGGGCTCAATTTCGAATTCACGAATGACTCGAATCGTGAGAATCTTGAAAGTCTTCTTCCTGTACTTCTCGATGGTTTACTTATCGGATCGTTACATGAGAGAGATGCAGCAAATGCTGTAAGGGTTCTTCGGCGGGCAAAAGTTGACAGTTCTTCTTACATTCCAAGAGATTTAGAAATAGCTCATGTTACTTTTCGAAAGGGAGGGGTTTATCCTGGAATCTATATATTCTCATCTTCTTCTCGACTTGTTCGCCCCGTATTGCAGACATCTGGAGGAAACGTGGAATTGATTGGTACCTTAGAGCAATCTTTCATGTCAATTAAAACACAGGATGGTGAAAATAGAGACTTTTGTAAGTCTTTTAAATACTCTCACGAAGAAATATACCCCGATTCTTTTCTCAGTGCTGTTGCAAGTTTAACTCCGTGGTCGGATTATAATCAGAGCCCAAGAAATATGTACCAATGTCAGATGGGGAAGCAAACAATGGGGGTTCCGATGCATTCTTTTCCATTCCGCTCGGATTCAAAGTTATATAGACTCCATACACCACAGCGACCAATTGCACTCACAAAAACTTATGATAAATACGGTATAGATAATTATCCTCTCGGAACAAATGCAGTAGTTGCAGTTCTATCTTATACGGGATATGATATGGAGGATGCTATGATAATGAACAAGTTTTCAATGGAACGTGGCTTAGCTCATGCTACGTTGTATAAGACAGAAGGCCTAACCTTGAAGGACAAAAATGATACTTTCACTGTTTCCGGTCCCTTAAATCAGACGAAGTTCGACGCTTCCCCATTGCCAGGAAGTATATTGCAGAAGGGAGATTCCTTCATATCAGTATCTAACAGAATTTCTGGGAAGTTAAAAAAGACCATGTTGAAGGGCGAGGATAAAGGCATAGTTGATCGAGTGAAGATTTCTGCTTCTCAAGAGCAAAGTTCATATGAGAAACTGGATGTTACTCTGCGCTTCAACCGGAATCCAATAATTGGTGATAAATTTAGCAGTAGACATGGGCAAAAAGGAGTTTTGAGTTATTTGTGGCCAGAAGAAGATCTCCCATTCATCGAAAGAAATGGTATAAAGCCAGACATCATAATAAATCCTCATGCATTTCCATCTCGTATGACAATTGGAATGCTCATGGAAAGCCTTGCGTCAAAAGAAGGTGCACTGTCGGGAAATTTTGTTGATGCTTCACCATTCAAGGCCCTTAAGGAAGAGCATTTAACAATTCCACTGAATAATCACTACGAAAGGCTGAAAGATATGGGTTATAAGTTCACTGGAACTGAAACTATGATAAATGGATTTACTGGATGCACTTTTGAAGTCGATATTTTCATAGGTCTTGTATATTACCAACGCCTTCGACACATGGTATCTGACAAATTTCAAGTGCGTTCGGAAGGTCCAAACAATCCATTGACAAAACAGCCTATCAAAGGTAGAAAAATGGGAGGTGGGATTCGATTTGGAGAAATGGAGAGGGACTCATTGTTGTCACATGGTGTTGCAAATTTGATTCAAGATCGATTACTCGCTAGTTCAGATAAGCACTCGTTTAAAATATGCTCTTCCTGTGGAAGTATGATATCACACTTACAAAAAGTAGCACTGCGTAACGAAGAATGCTCTAATGATATTTGCATAACATGTAGATCGACTTCAAATATTGTGAATGTGCATGTTCCGTATGTTTATAAATATCTGATATCAGAACTTGCAGCCATGAATATCAGATTATGTGCGGACTTAAATGATTAGAGAGGTAACTTCGGTATTGAATTATTGAATTACATAGGTATTGAATTATATATGCATTGGATAAAGATTGGAGTTAGTGCCCCCATCTTTTTCCTTAACTACTTCAGACTCATGTTACACATCGTTTGGGGACTTGGACGCACGATTTATTTTTTTACGAGGAGTGACCCAATTCGTATACTGTAGCACACACAGGAGAGACGGTCTTTTACTCGTACCAGTACCAGTACTTGTAAAAACCTTAAACGTCAAACATTTTAGCAGACTTCTAAAATAATAAATCAATACATATTTGACATAGCTTGTAGTAATGAGTGTATCAACGCGGAAAGAATACTCGAGCATATTCTACAACAACTTAGGAATTACTCGGGAGAATCTATACGATTTCTCGGGGGAACTTCAAATTTCTAAGACATCTTTTTACCCGATTGCTTGCGCAAATTTCAGCGGAATCATAGCAGAAGTTCTGATTTGGAATTTACACGAAACAAAGTGCGGGTATATAGTCAAAGTATACTCGGGATCAGGTAAAATTATATCAGGATACTACTGGAGAACTTCTTTCAATTTACTTTCTTTCGATTGGGTACAAAATGATACCTTGTTATTCGTTTTTGAAAACGGGCAAGTGTTCAGTTATGGAAGTGGAAGACACCACATTCCCAGAAAAGTATTACATCTTTCGAATTTATCGATTTATGGTGTTGCGTTCTATAACAAAGGTTTCGTGGCAACAACAAGGCGAGGTTCTCTCGTGAAAGTATCTTGTGGGGACAAAATTGTGAAGTTTGTGAAAATGACTTTAAACACACAAGAAAATGTACAATGCCTAGCTATTAAAGAATGCGTTACGGGTACAGGGAAAGATGATTTGTATATTGCAACAGATTCTGGAGTATCATATTTTAGACATATAACTTGTATGACTCAGATTCACAGAAAACTAATTCATAGCATTCGTTTAAGTCATGTACAAAATTTTTTAGCAGTGTATCAAAGAAATGGTATTTTATCAGTATTTGACGAAAATCTAGGAAAGATTTTATACCAAGTGAATTTAAAAATTCTTGATCCCCCAATACAAATTGCATGGGTCGCATCAGCCGCCGTAGCTCTTACGTGGAGTGAAAAAACTATTTTGGTTGGAAATGAGTGTAAGATATTGGAAATACATGGACGTACATCTATTTTTCAGGATTGTGATGGTATGCGCATGATTTCTAATTATTATCATGATTTTCTCCGTCCGTTACAAGGATCATGTGACCTCCATTTCTATGCTGAGGAGACCAGTACTACGGAGGTTTTCGTATATGATCTTTTAAGAACATTATCAGCTGATGATAGTAAGCCCTTTCAGACGAAGAAAAGTGAGGATTTAATCTCGATAAATGACCATTTTGCTATGGCACAGTTTGTGTTTGACCGAGATGAACAGAAAAGATACATTGAGAAAGCTGTTCTAGGTTCAACTATGCTGTGTCAGACAAATTTATTTCATGTAAAAAAAGCTGTGGTAAAATGCTGCTCCTTGTTACGTAAACTCAACCATTTACGACATCCTTCTATTGGTATGCCATTTACTGCAGTACAGTATAAATTGATATGTAAGCAGCTTTTGTTGAGGCGATTATTAATTTTTGGAAGCCATGCACTAGCCATGAGAATGTTTGAGAGTGATTCCCTTAAAAGAAGCCAAATACTGTTGGATTTGATTCGTTCGCCTTCAAATGGAAAAGGGCACTCGGAAAAGTTGTTCCTCCTGTGGAAGAAGTTTCCAGATATATTATTGTGTGACTTAATCGAACGTCCCAAAATTACAAATCGTCAAAAATATCAGATTGTTCAACTAGATCACAGAGCTCATCTACAAGTAGATTTATCTTCTGATGAATTTATGATTGAAGCCATGAGTAAGGCTATTTGTTCCAAGGACATTGATGCACAATACTTCACTATTTTCAAGTTTCTTTTGAATAAGTCTGGATCTAGCCTGGAATATTTTCTGCAGCAAAATTTTTTTTTCAATATTCTCTACTATAGATATAATGTAAGAAGCTTGCTTATACCATCATTAAAGCAGAAGTTCAGAGATGAAGTAAACAAGGCTGAATTTCATGAATATTTTGGAACAGTGTTCAAGGCTAATATGTCCCAGAGTACTTTGAATGTGAAGGGAAGTGACAACAAATTTTTAAACTCATTGAAGGATCAAAATTTTGGTATTCTTCAGAGTTACATGGAACTGTTTGAGGACGGTATAATTTCTGTCCGGACAGTGAGCCTTAGAAAGTTAATTATTTTACTTGTGTTGCTAGGACGAGTGAATTTAGTTACAAAATTTTGCGATAAATATATGTTTTCTGAACGACATTACACCTTCCTTAAGGTGAAAAGTGCATGCAAAACAAAATCATGGGACTCTCTATATGATATGGACGCAAAAAGCATTAATATCCTTTCTTTCATCGCACTCCTGAAAAAGTATAGGGCTCCTGAAAATAGAATATCTTTTTACGAAGCACAGACGAAAACAGAAAATACTCCCAAACTCTTAGAGGGTACATTGTTAGAAGCTCAAAAAGCTGCATCTGTTCTGTCTGAATCTCGGCACAACCTGACCTCCAAGGCAACAGAATACATGCGGGCATTCAACTATTACACATGACATAAGATTACTGTTTTGAACGAGAACAATGCTAGTTTGTTCGAGATAAAATATAGGAAAACGTCATTCATACAGTATGATGTAAAGTTTATTAATGTACATAAACATCTGCTGGCCTCAAAAAGGATCTAACAGACTTTCAGAAATGCATAACAATCACACATGGTTGAAACTTTCCTATTTTGGACCATCTCCTTCCCCTAGATGAGTCGGAAAACTTGAACTTCTACTAAAATATTCGTCGAACATTTCAAGCGCATTTAAAAATGCCTGATCCATATTGAAGTACTTGTAGCTTGCTAATCTTCCTACAAAGCAAACTTTACTTTCTCTCGCGGCCATCTCTTTATACTTTCCGTATAGACTCCGGTTTTCTGGATTGGGAACTGGATAGTATGGTTCTCCTTCATCACAGCTGTACTCCTTAAATATAACAGTACCTTTTCTTCTGTGAACATCTTTAGGTTGATTTGGTTTGTGCTTATATTCCACTACTCGAGTATAATCTACCTCTTCACCCGGATAGTTCAACTGTAAACAATTTTGATAGTAGCCGTCCTCAGGTTCATGATATTCTTCCTCAAATTTAAGTGACCTATATTCGAGCTTTGGTAAACCGAGAGAAGAATAATAAGAATCTATTGGACCAGTAAAAACTAAAAGATTCGACTCAGGTAGATCACCACGGACATCAAAGTAGTCTATACAAAGACGAATTGTGATATTTGGATCTTCTAAAACCATATTCTCAAAAATTTTTGTGTATCCTTCTTTTGGTAAAGCTTGAAATGGGTCTGTGAAATAACGATCATCAGTATTAGTACGAACAGGGATTCTAGCAAGCACACTTGCGTCGAGTTCTTTTGGCCACTTATTCCACTGTTTTTTTGTATAGTGTTTAAAGATAGCATTATAAAGTTCTTCACCACTTCGAGCTAGAGCACTTTCTTCGCCGTTTTTAGGCTGCTCTGCCGGAACTCTTCTCGAATTCAACCATTCTTCCATTTCTATTTCGTTGCTAACATCAGCGCCGAATAGTACATTGATTGTATCTTGACTTGGTGGTATTGGAACCATTCTATATCCAGCACCTATTTTAATGTTACCCTTCACTCTGTGTTCATATGGAGTCCAGTCGCTAAAGTTGTTTACATATTTCCAAACACGAGAAAACTTAGTGTGGAATAGGTGCACTCCATATTGTGAAATCCTGATACCATGTCTGTTGATGAAATCGTAGCAGTTACCGCCGATATGTTTTCGTTTATCAATTATCAAACTTTTCAGATTGTATCTTCGAGAGGCTTGTTCAGCAAAAACGCAACCAGAGATCCCTGCTCCAACGATGATCAGGTCAAAGTTTTGAGGTAACCCCTTCAAGCCTGTAAACCAATTTGGACATGATTGATTCCCCAATTGTACACTCAAATCCATGATATGCCAGCTATTACTCGTATTAATCTTTGGTTTTCCCTGCGGACTCTTCGCAACGCTTTTTCTTCTGACGTAAATTCCGTGCACACGAGGGTAGGAGGTTGCACACGGGGAGCCTGGAAAAATCTGAATTTTTGTAAAGCAGACGCAAAAAAAATGAAAAAAAAATGAAAAAATCAAGAATGAGAGAGCCGAAAAGAAGGCAGGGGGTCATGCCCATTCGGGCTCTCGGCCTTTCTGCCAGTCTTGAATTGAGGGCGATACTTGAAAAGAATTTTCGTCCGATTTGGGCTCTCCAATATTCACAAACTTCTCTTACGATTATTACTGTATTCGTGACATTTAGAAGACAGACATATCATCATCTTTATCATTGATTGAAACGAGACGATCTCGAAATCAGATAGCAAATATGGCTTCTTCAAAGAAGAAAATTTCTTACTTCTATGATCCGGAAGTCGGAAACTTTTACTATGGACAGGTACTTACTTCTCACGATTTTATTTTAACCGAATCACAACTTCCACAATCGTATACGATTACATGGAATGTTTTTTTATTAATATCATAAAGCAGTATCTACTCGTACCATATTTCAATAAACTTACTTTCTTTCTTCGAAAATGTAGGGACATCCGATGAAACCTCACAGAATGCGCATGACACATAACTTACTATTGCACTATGGCTTATATAAAGAAATGGAGGTATTGTTTTTTCCCTTAATCATCAGAATATGACATCTTTTGCACAGGTTTTCAGACCAGAGCTCGCTAATGCTGAAGACATGACACAATTCCATAGCGATGAATATATTGAATTTTTACGCATGATTACACCAGATAACCAACATGAACATATGCGCCAACTGAAAAGGTTTAATGTCGCTGAGGATTGCCCGGTCTTTGACGGCCTTTTCAACTTCACTCAGATATATACGGGGGGTTCTATCGGTGGTGCCGTAAGGTTAAATCACAAGCTGGCAGATACAGTAATAAACTGGGCAGGAGGTTTACATCACGCAAAGAAGGCAGAAGCAAGTGGATTTTGTTACGTAAATGACATCGTGTTAGCGATTCTTGAGCTACTCAAGGTTCACAGTCGAGTTCTTTACATCGATATTGATATCCATCATGGTGATGGTGTTGAGGAAGCATTCTATACAACTGACCGTGTAATGACTGCATCTTTCCATAAATTCGGTGAGTATTTTCCTGGAACTGGTCACTTACAAGATGTTGGTCAACATCAAGGTAAATATTATAGTGTAAACGTACCATTGAAAGACGGTATTGATGATGAAACTTATGATCATCTCTTTAAACCGATCATGGAAAAGATAATGGAAGTTTTTGCTCCAGATGCTATTGTATTCCAATCTGGTGCTGACAGTCTATCGGGAGACAGGCTAGGATGTTTTAACTTGTCTATTCGAGGGCATGCGGAGTGCTTGAAATACATGAGTACGTTCAATGTACCTCTACTAGTCCTTGGTGGAGGTGGATACACCATTCGTAATGTGGCACGCTGCTGGACGTACGAGACTGGCTGTTTACTAGGCCGTGAACTAGAAGATGTGCTGCCTGCTAATGATTATAGTGAGTATTTTGGACCAACAAACACACTTCATATAACCCCTAGCAATATGGAAAATCAGAATACACGTGAATATATCGATGGCATACGTGATCGTATTCTAGAGAATCTATCAAAACTTCCTGCCAGACCAGGTGCACCATTTTATCAAGTTCCACCAGACTTGGTGAGTGCACAAACGCAAGACATGAATATAGAGCCAGATTTGTCAGAAGGGGAAGATAGAGGAGGAATCTATCTAGATTATGGTAAGAATGAAGATGATTTTCGTGTTACAAAGAATGTCTCCGAGCCAGTCGGCACAAATCCGCAAGGAAAGGAAGACGCAGAGAAAGATATGAACGAAAATAAAGAGAAGTCACAGGAACTCCCGGACAAAGATGATATATAAGTAAGATATTCGTAAAAGGGTTCCATTCAGTAATTCACTACTTTGTTTCGTCAAGCAGATTCATGTAATAATCAGCTTCCGATTCGTCTAAAACAGCAAATTCTTTATTTTCATATGCAACTGCAATCGAACAGTTTGAGGTAGATATATTTTCGTTCGCTTGTTGTGCTTCTCCAAGTGCTTTGATTGCATGCTTAATTAACTATTCTGAATGTCATATTTAGTAATAAATAACTTGAAATTTCGCACCTCTACACGACTGCATTCTTTCAAGGTGTCTATATACTTTTCTAAATAAGTTTTCGAGGCTTGTGAGCGAGAGCCTTATCATAAAATAACTCAGATTTAATTCAGTTTTCAATCGAAGTAGCTATTTTATACCTAATGCAAAGCAATCATATTCGTACAAGTTACCAGAGGGACACACGTGAAATATAGATGTCCCAGAATTATCTAAGCCGGCCAATATCAAACCAACACCATATGGTCGTCGAGATGATCTTTGTGTTTGACCCTATTAAATTTTGTAAAGTTCTTTCTTGTTATATACATATGATATATAAGTTCTCACCTGCAGTTTTCTTGAAATAGTATCTGCAAGCTGGGAAAGTGGAGGAGAAGATCCATATATAAACTTCGATTTTGTGCATTCAGCACGTAACTGTTCAGTCAAGAGAACTGCGTCGGATGCGAGCCCTGAAACTGCAATACCAATATTATTATCTATTTTGAATATCTTTTTCTGTTGTTTCGATTGGTTCGGAAGTTCTCGATTTAAGGTCACCAGCACTACGGTTGTCGCGTTCTTCAACGAAAATTAGATTTCTTCGTTCACACATGCCTTTAACTGACTTACCTTACATCCAACCACGGCACCGCCCTGTTTCACAGCTTCCAGAGCATCTGATAAGGAGAAAGTAAAACAAAAAGGATGCTTTTTAATTTAGACGCACACTCGATCTGGTGCAGACGCCCCTGCGGACTCCACGTCAGCACATCCTTCAAAACGAAGATTAATGTTCCCTATAGCTGCTAAAAAATGTATATTACCTGGTCATACTGGTTACGGAACATGAATACTTTTGTGCTTATTGAATCGTGCGAGAAAGAGCGTTCGAATTGATCAAAAGTAAGATGCGTGAAAGTCAAAGAAAATCATGAAAGGGTGAAAACAAGAATGCAAGAAATAGCCATCATGGAAAACATGCTGGAAAAAAATGTTGGATATACGCCAAAACGCAAAAAAAATTTGGTGATCCCCGGAGTCGACGACGACCAATTGAAATGCATCCAAAAAACCTTATTCGCTTGACGAACGAATACGAAATAGTAAGAAACAAAAAAAACAGATCGACCCTCAATAATATTCACGCACCACGCGCTAACATAGAAGAAGTAAATTAAAGCATGCCTAAGGATTTTACCGAGGATTCTGAGCATGGTCCGCTCTCCGTTTTGGTTAGCGCAATAAAAACAAATTCGCAAGTCCTTATTAATTGCAGAAATAATAGAAAATTATTAGGTAGAGTTAAAGCTTTCGATCGCCATTTGAACTTATTGCTCGAAAATGTGAAAGAAGTTTGGACAGATCGAAATAGCCAGAAAGAATCTAAAACGCCTCCAAGCAATAAAGATCGTTTCATTAGCAAACTCTTTCTTCGGGGAGATTCGATCATTTTAGTTTTGAAGAACCCAAAATGAGTGCCTTATGACTACGAGTCGCGTACATATATTTTTTTGAAAAGATTTTCCTTATTCTTCTCGTACTCTTGTGTCTGCTGAAGCTTGGTCAACAGAGTTGCAGAAACAGATAATAAAAAAATGAACCCATGGTATTTGCATGGTTACAAAATGCACTTGTGTGAGTACTCGTATTTGTATTGCATAAAGTAGGAATGAAAATGTACTCGCGTGGCGGCCTAGTTTTATTATTTTATGACTTAACCAATCCATCGATGAAAGCACCACACATGAGAGATATTCGTGGCAATTGAAAGGATGCTATGTGCGTAAAGCAACTTGAAGAACCACGAATCAATAAAGTACTGTTTAGAACGATCTCAGCTTTGTCATTTTGAAGTGAATCCATATGATTATGAACAGAACTCATTATCCCTTTAACGCGCACTAGTGGAGCCTCTCGCTCGAGAATTCTGGAGTCTGCTGTTGCAATTATCGTGTTAGGAACATTTCTTTTGTCGATTTTTGATGACGTCGGAAGCATAATTAATTCTGAACTCGGCTCCATCACTGTTAAGTGATCAGGAGAAATTCGATTGTAATCACATATCATAACTATCCCTGCACTTCGCTTCTCCTTATTTAGCACTCTTTCAATACTTTCAATATGTATTTGTGCTAAAAAAAGTTTACTATGTCTATCAATCTTTAGCTCTTCACACTTGACGCTAAAAACAAAACTCTGTTTGAAAGTTAGAATGTCCCAACCTGTAATACTAGTAAGTGATGCACATAAAAAAAAGCTTCCAACAGTGGCAAGGGAATTAATCTTCCCAGAAAAAGTCGAGTCCGAAAATACGGTAATCTTGTCAAGTTTTTCGGCACACCATATGCAGATATTTGATGAGGAAGTCAAAAGCATTGAGCTATCTTGACTAAATGCTCCAACTTCTACTACTTGCTCATTGAAATATTTACTTGTTGTTTCACAGCTCCATGAACTGGAAGTTCCACTTTTTTTTGACCACAATTTGATACTGTCCTTACCAGCAGTAAATGCTCGGTAGGAACCACGATATTTACTAATGCCTATAGTACGTATCGCAGGCTGGTGTGGAGATTCACAGCAGCCAACTAACTGATAACATACATGTCTTTTCATTGTAATTTGCTCCCATACTTTGAGTGTCTCGATGCTATTGATACTAGTACCAATCTTGTTTTTACTATCCACTGTGAATAATATCATGCCATCTTCAGAAAAACTCGCGATGGTAACTCTGTATTTAAAAGTTGTTGCAGGGCTATCATCTGCACCTTTGAATACTTCGCCAGTTATTTCTAAACAAGTTATGTGCTTATCAGCTTTATAGTCAAAAACTTGAATTACAGAGCCTGTATTTACCATCAATAAATTTTCCTGCTGAAAAGGGATAGCATACATAGCATTTATAGAGCGAACACTGCGACAGCTCCTATTATAAGTATCGTTTGTTATACCTCTTAGTATTTCTTCTAGACTCAAATTTGGCAAACTCAGAAGATATGCTGAGTTATCTACACCACAAAGAACAAACTGGGATACATCCGTGTTCAGACGAATTATAGTAGATATTGATGTACCTATTCGAGGTAAAAAGGATTTTCGACCTTCTGAGATGGACCAAACGACAAAAACTTCTTCACTTGCGCATGACAATAAGCTCACCCCATCCAGTGTAAATTTTAAAGCAACGATAGCCGTAGAATGCCAGTGAAGTGTATTGTGAGGAAAGTCTTCTCTAATTTCTCCACTTCCAGTTTTTCTTAAATTTTTATGGGGAACAAAACCCCCATCTTTTCTTATCGTCAATCCATAGTAGCAAGTAATTCGTCCTGTAGTATCCCCAACTGCAACAATTTTCTCATTTGGACATATTGCAACAGAGGTTACAGTTTTGGAATGACTTATACGAATAAAATCCGAAACTCTGCTGTTTTGCTTCCCTTTAAAAACATACCATAGAATTAAAGAGCTACGCTCAAATGCACATTGTAATGCACCATTAGGGCTACATACTAACTTTGGCGCTCGTGCAGCCTTCAATACCTTTTCTATTATCTTCCTCTTTGTGATTGAGAGTGCCCAAACTCTGCCTCCTCCACCTTGCTTTTGCGTTGAAAAGAATATCAAATCGTTTCTTGTAGAGCCTTCGGGACAAGACATAGACTCAATAGGGCCCGGCACTTCAATAAATGTGTAGACTCCGTGTTGAAAATCCCAGAACCCAATTCTACTGTCAAGAGAAGAAGTTATTAAAAAATTACTATCTTGTGGGTGGAAAATACAGGATGTAATTTCTTTCGTATGTCCGGTAATACTCTCGATATATTTCCCACTTTCTCTGTTATAAACTTTCACTACTTTATCACATAGAAGTAGTAGTAGCTTATCATCAGGAGAAAGGATTCCTTCCCTCTTTGAAAAATATCCTGCCGTTGAGTGTTTAAAGTCCATTCTGTCAAGCCGCCAGACTAAGAATTCTTCGTCTCTGGGATTTGGTCAGATCTATTTGCAAGTATGTCAAACAAAGTGTAGTTGACGGAACATTCGCACTCACACACAGCCGCGCTTTTAAGAGTGTATCGAGCAACTCCTCAGTTGTAATGCCCTGAACCTAGTATAAGGTTCTAACTATGCTCGCCCAATCGAAAAGAAGAAAAAGTTTCTTGTCCATCAAATCCACAACCATGGGGCATTTAGGGGCAAAGGGGACTGGGCTACTCGGCCTTTCTGCCTTTTGCATCGGAGAAAAAAATAAAAAAGGACTGTGGGTCCATCTGTCTGTCCTGTCCATTTTTATTTTTTTTGTATTTTATCCTCCACTCAAAGAACGCCAACTCACAACAAGCAGAGCATTTGTGACAACATAGGACAGCTATGCCATAGGCGAGAGAACGATCGCACTCACACGCACGCACATTTCACACGAAAATGCAGCCTCTTCTGTCGAAAAATAATGACAACGACGACGACGACGACGACGACGACGACGACGACGACGACGAGAAAAGAAGAAGAAAACAAAGAAGAAGAGAGAAGAAGAAGAAGAAGAAGAAAGAGATGAAGAAGGAAGAGAAGAGGAAGAAGAAAGAGATGAAGAAAAGAGAAAAGAAAACGACGACGATTCAGAAGAAGAAGACCACCGCTGAGGAAGAAGAAGAAGAAGAAGAAGAAGAAGAAGAAGAAGAAGAAGAAGAAGAAGAAGAAGAAGAGAAACACCACCGACAACAGAAACGGAGACGCTACGACCACCACCACCACCACCGCCACCGAAAAGGGTCGTCTTTGCCCGTCGTGGTCGGCGGGGCGAAGAGGAAGAGAATTGACGTTTCTGATGTTGAGGAGGCGTTAGAAGTAGAATTAGAAGAAGAAGAAGAAGAAGAAGAAGAAGAAGAAGAAGAAGAAGAGGAAGAGGAAAAGGAAAAGGAGGGAAATGAGGAGGAGAAACCAGTATTGACGAAAACGTACGACATTACGGCGTGGAAAGAAGAAATCGCCAAGCACAAAAGAAGCAGCAGACAAACGACGACGCGGAGAAGGAAAAACGACGACGACGACGACGGCGCTTTGGGTGGTACTAGTGCTCGAAGTGACACCACCAGAGCTGAGCTAGCTATTGCTGATAATACTGACAAAAGTGGTGGCGGCGGTGAAAATGCTATTAACGACGGTACTCACAAGAACAAGCGGTTTTTGCTGCGAGTACCGCTTTGGGCGCAAAAATCAGCGCTCGCGCAGAGCGCGGTTTCCAAAGCGTTTAAAAGAGAAACTATTATTAGTACGAGTGATGACGAGAAAGACCAACGCGAAGAAGCGTCCCCAGTACCACCATCAGCAGCAACAGGAGGAGGAGGAGCATCGAAAGCATCATCATTTGAACAGGCGTTGAGAGCAAACAGAGCGACGCAAGCGCGCGCGAAGGAAATGTTGGAAAGCATAGATGCGTTGATTGAACGAGACGCTTTGAAAATTGAAGAAATCAAGGAACTTTGGCAAAGTCGCAAACACCAACAGACGCAATCAGAAGATGAAGAAGAAGAAGAAGAAGAAGAAGAAGAAGAAAAAGCGAAAGAGGAGCAGAAAAATAATTTTGCCGCTGCCGACGCCTCTTCTTCTCTCGCAGATGGTGATGGAGGTGGTGGTGATAGTGATGGAAAGAACGCTTTTTCGAGACAAAGACCAAGAAGGAGAAATGACGACTGCGACGAAGAGTTGGAAGCAATCGCGAATAACGTCGGGAAAATTCTTCGAAGAAAAATGGGCCGTCCTCCGTCGAAGAAGAGTAATAAAGATAACATTAGCGCCACCGACAACGACGAAATCAATAATCATTGGTCGTCCCCGTCGGCGTCGGCGTATTTTCAGGTGGTTGGAATCGCAAGCGAGCTTGAAAACGATGACGACGATAAATTATCTCCAAAAGCTCTTCTTCCAAACGATATAAACAACGGTAACAACGATTCGGCTTTCGCGAGAAACGTCGAGCGTAAGATTCCCTTGCACTTCAACGATGCCTCTAGTAACGGTTTCAAACCTTGGTCGGAGAAAGACGATTTGGCTTTAACAGAAGGCGTTCGCTTGTATCTGCTCGAGAAGAGACGTCTGAGGAAACAAGTCGACTTGGAAGAGTTGGCTGGGGAGAAAATAATCCCAGTTGAAGACATTTTAACAGACGTTTCGAGAGGATGGCAAAGCGTTTGGGAGAACTGTTCTTCTCGCCGTTCTTCATCGACAACGACGCCAACATCGATCGATGACTGGTCCGCGGTTCGAAACCTGTGCGTTTTTAAGAAGAAAACTGGCGCCGATGATGGTAATAATAAAGAAAGAGAAGAAGACGATGACGACGATGTGGATCACAATAAGCTGGCGCTGTCGAGAACGCCTGACGATTTGCGTTTACGATGGATACACGCGGTTGATCCGAGGATAGCATCGACGATAGATTCTTCTTCGGAAAAAAAGACGGCGACTTCCTCCTCGAACGCGGCGCTGTGGAGCGAAGAGGAAGACACGTTTCTCGCTTCTCTCGTCGAGGAAGATGCATTAGAAGAAGAAACTGGTGGTTTAATAGAAAAACGCAAGTGGTTTCGAGTAGCGAACAATTTGAACGTGCACATGAAACAACGCTCGAGGAGTGGAACAACAAAACAGGGCGACGATGTTGACGACGACGCGGGGGAGGAGAAGAAAGAGGAGAATTTACGGCGAGAATTGTTGCTACGATCGCCGTTTCAGTGTCTCCATCGATACCAGACTATCTTGAACAAAAATATAACCCGCTCCAAATGGACGAGCGAAGACGATTGCGCTCTCCAGACTTTTGTCCAAGAGTGCGGCCAAGCCAGATGGAACGAGTGCGCGAGATTCTTACCAGAATATGGTCACACTGCCACGCAGTGCAAGCATCGCTTTTTAAAGTTGATGCAAAACAATTCAGAGAAGGAGTACAAAAAAGGTAAGTGGACGAAAGAGGAAGACGAAGAGTTGAAGGCGATTGTTTTGGGGGAACAAAAAGACGGAGAAGAAGAAGATGAGGAGGATCAGGAGGAGGAGAGAGAGAAAGAGAAAAACAATAATAATGCTGAGAGTAATGCGATTCCGTGGTCTCTCGTCGCGAAGAAAATGAGCACGAACAGAAGAGACAAGCAATGTCGAGAACGATGGACGAACATTTTACAACCTTCTCTTTTGAACGAACAGTTCGGAACCGCGACTGGGATGAAGAGAAAATTCACTCCGAAAGAAGACGCGATGTTGTTAGTTTTGCACGCGAATTTTATCGATAAGAAGGAGAGGCGGAAAGACTGGTCCGTCTTTGAATCGACCGAGGTTCTCCCGGGAAGATCGGTGAAACAGTGTAAGCAACGCGTGGCAACGTTGTTGAAGAAGAAGAAAGAAGTCGAGATTCGAGAAAGGCTTGAGCGAGAAATTACCAAGGAAAAGAACAAGGGGAGCGGTATGCAGCGCCTTGTATTCTGGTTGCAGCAGCCGTCGAAGTGAAGATTAACTTCTGAATAAGAAGTTCTATTACTACGCAAGGTGAAGAAGGTGAAGAAGAGGAAATAAATACTCGTATGAGTAAAATACGTTTTCGACATAATAAAAACTTAGCGTTGTGTTAATCAAACTCCTTTTCTTTCACGTCGTAATAAAACCATAACCTCTCTGCTCGAGTGTATATGCGCGCGTTCTCTTCCTCTTTCTCTCTCTTTCCGTTAAACTCTTACTCTTCTCTCTCCCTCTCTCTGATACATTATATAAATTCTAAAACCAAATATTTTTGTGTTCACATCCTCGTTCCCTCTTCTCTGCGAAGAAAAGAAAAAGTTTTGACGACAAAAACATTTACTTACCGGCGGCAACCGCGACTCTTTCCGCGGCTTCGAACGCCTTGGCGCACGCGGCTTCGTCGACGGCACCAGCGCATTGCTTACCCATTTGAACCAACGCGGCGCCTCTGCCTTCTTCGAGGACTTCATCGGCCGGGATGAGGTTCAAGCCGTTAACCAACTCTTGGGCGACCATGCCGGAGATGGAGATCATCGCCAAGCGGCCGTTGTTGATTTCCTTCAATCTCGCTTCGGCCATGTCTTCAGCGGTCTTGTTGTTGGACAAGCCGAGCGGGTCAAAGCCCCATTGGCCCGGGACGTAGTCGTCGTTCAAGGAGAACAACTCGCTGGTGAACGGATCAGACCAGCCTTTTTGGACGCGAGTGGATTCCAACAAGAAGATGGTGGCGCCAACCAAGCCCCAAACCAACCCCGGGGTTTGTTGGAAGTGGTCGATGGCCGGACCGGTGACTTGCGCGTCAAACAAGAACGAAGAGCCTTCGACTTGTTCGCCGACCAAGAAACCGACGGTGGCAATCATAGAGACGCGACCGTGCGTGATCTCGGCTTCGCGGAAGCGTTGCAAGTCGCCGCCGTTGATGCCTTTGCAGAAGCCGAGGATGTCCAAGCCTTCCGGGAACGGCGCGCACGCGCCGTCCAAGCCAGCCGCAGTCGCTTCCTTGATGTCCGCGTATTGTTTGGATTTGTCGAAAACGCCAGATCCAGACGCGCGAACCGTCGGCTGTAATGTTTTATTAGTATTAGTTAGTATGTTTGTGGTGGTTGTGGTTTGAAGAAAGAAAAATGTCAAAGGTGTCAGTTAAAAATTTTTCTTTTTTTTTGAGCCACACGTCAGCCAGAGAGTGAAAACTTTTTTCGTCAAAAGTGGTACTTTTTCTCTTTTTTGATGACGTGACGTATTTATTCTCTCTTCTTCTTCTTGTGTGATATTCTTTCAACCACGAGGGACTCAAAAGAAGAGAAGAGAGAGAGAGAGAGAGAAGCCTTCTTCTTCTTCTTCTTCTTCTTCTTCTTCTTCTTTGTCTTCTTCTTCTTCTCGATTGCATCAGAAGACAAAAGAGAGTAAAAGAGAACGAAAGAGAGAGAGAGAGGAGAAAGACGCGCGCAAAGTTTGGAAAGAAAGAAGAAGAAGAAGAGATGGAAAAGAAAAAAGATTAAACGAGACGACGACGATTCAGACGACGACGACGCGAGTAATCTTTTTTCTTCTTCCATTTCTTCTTCTTCTTCCGTGATGAGTGCGCTTTAAAACGCGACGTGAAAGAAGAAGAAGAGTAAGAAGAAGAAGAAGAAGAAGAGGAAGAAGAAGAAGAAAGAGTCGTCGCACCTTAGCCAGAGATGCCATGATAGTGAGAGCCATTTTTAGTATATAAAGTAGTAGTGAAGCGTGTGTGTTTTGTGTGGTTGTTTTTTGGTGATGCGTTGTTTTTGTAGCCACACGACGAAAGCGTGCGGCTGACGTGTGTTTTATTTAAGTCGTAAAAAACCAAAAAGAGAAGAAAAAAGTTTTTTTGGGTGGTTCTTTTTTTTTGCTTTTTTTCATGAATGGGGGAGTTTTGGGGGCCTAGAGGACACAACCTCAAATCACACAACACATCAAAAATCACAAATCATCATCTTCTTGTGACTTCTTCTTGACTTCTTCTTGACTTCTTCTTCTCTGTGACGTAAAGAAATGAAGCGAATATTGTGCGCGGTGCCAAAAACGACCATGTGCGGAAGCACAACCAGAGAAGGGAAAATGAACAACAACAACGACGACATGAATACTACGAATACGAATAAAGGGGGAGGAGGAGAAAATAAGAATTGGTCCAACGCGTACGAAAAGTTTCGAAAAGAAGCCTCGGATTTAACCGAAGAAGAGGCGAAAGAGTTGTGGAGAAAGACGAAACAGTGCATGGCGCAAGAGGACGAGGTGCAGTTGAGATTGTACGCGGAGTTGGATTTGATTTACGGCAGTGATGATGATGATGATGATGATGACGAGGATGATGATGGTGAGGAGGAGGAAGAGGCTGTCGAGAATAATTTAAACAATACTACTACTAATAATAATAATAACAAAACGAATAACGCTACTAGGTCGAAACAACTACTAAAAAGAAACAGTCAAAGGCATAAAGATTTAGTGCACGAACGGGTGCGGATCGCGCTCGCGAATGAAATCCGACAGAAAGCGATCGAGGCTGATTCGGTGGACCCGTTCGATATGATTATGAGTTCCTCGGACCAATCGTTGAAGAAAGTCGGATTGAGTCGAATCCGGAGTAGCGAGTAGTAGAGAAATGTATATACGTGTACGTACAGGGTACTACTTTTAGATAGAGATTAACTACTACAAGTTGCAACAGTACACGCCGACTAACAAAACGAATCCTCCGACAAATGTGGCCGGTCCAGGAATTGAAGAAACGGACAACAGATATCCAATCGCAGACCCGATGATTGGTTCGAAAGATAACGCGAATGTGACCGTCAGAGAGGATAAGTGCTTCATGGCGACGAAAAAGCCCGAGTGACCTAACGTGCCAGGGACGACGGCCAGGAAAAAGACGAGGAAGCACGTCTTTTGGCCAACCGCGGGATCCCAAAATCTCATCCATCGATAACTTTCTAAAAAGACCGTCGGCTTAAAGCCGCCGTCATCATCAAACGCGCACGTGAGAACCACCACAATTTGTAAAAATATCGCCGCCGAGGCGACGATAGGAAACGAATACACAAATATCGGCATCGACGGTCTATCGCCTCTTATTTTTGCCCCGATGGCGATGTATCCGCACACCAAAATCGCAGACAACAGACTGAGAACGTCTCCTTTCAAAGAAGGCCTGTCGTTACGCTGACTACTACTACTACTACTACTACTACTACTATTACTACTACCATTCTTATTTGTTGCGTCAAAAGCGATGATGCACGAACCTACGAAACCTATAATTGCGCCGATGACTTCAAAACTTGAAACGTCTTTGAATCGAAGAATCGAAGAAGAAGAAACAGAAGAGGAAGGAGGAACAGTATACAATTCTGTAAACTCATCGTCGTCGTCGTCGTCGTCGTTAACGTTTTCATTCTCTTCTTCTTCTTCTTCTTCTTTACCTTCTTCTACGTTGTATTCGTGCAACTCAATCTCGCCTCCATTCGCGCCGGTCTCGCGCGTCTCGTTATTGTCTTCGTCGCCAACAGTATTCTTTTTCTGTTGCTGTTGCTGCCTATTCTTCTTCGAGACCACCCAAACGATAACTTTTTGCACTTTCTCGCTTCGAAACGTCATCGCCGTTAAACATACGTACGCGATTGGTGAGCTCGTGACGAATAAAAGCGAGTGCGACAAACTCGTTCTCACCAAGCCGTTCATCCAAAAGTAAAAGTGTAAGCTCAAGAAGAAACCGCTCAGAACGAACACGTGCAAGTTCTCGCGGAGATATCGAGCGTCTTCCTCGTTGTTTTCATCACGTATCGTCGTCCTCGTTCGTTTCCTCTCTTCTCCTCTCAAAGAAGACGAAGAAGACGAAGAAGAAGAGCGAAAGAGAAGCGAACACAAAAATATCGGCAACTGCACCAACGCCGTCGCGGTTACGCGAGAAGAAGCTAACAACGCCGCCACTTTTTCTTCTTTTTCTCCTTTTTCTAAAACTCCTTTATTATTATTATTATATAAAGGTTCCCCTTCGAGTATTTTGAATATCACTCCAGCCGTGGACGCGCTGACAATCGCGACGACTAAAACGAAAATCGATGAATTCGTCTTTCGAGAAAAAGGAGATGAACTTTCTTTTTCCTCAACGATGCTCATCTTTTTTAGAGGCGTTTATCTTCCTTCTCTTCTTCTTCTTCTTTGTCGTCGTCGTCGTCGTCTTTGAGTTCTTCTTTGAGTTCTTCTACCACGTAAGACAAACAAAAAGGAAGGAAGAAGAGAGAGACGAGAGGAAACAAAATTTGCCTGCGTGTTATGTGATAAATACTAAATGAAGAAGAAAAGTTTCTCATCAAACAATTGAAAGAAAATGATGATGGAGTTTTGATGATGACGATGATATAAACTTGATGATGATGATGATGATGATAATAATAATAACTCGTAATAATAATAATAATAATAATAATAATAATAACAATTATCTCTCTTTCTAACGACTTATACGACCGTCGACAAAACTCTCCAACGTTTCTCGCAACTTTGTTTGATCAAAGTCGCCGGTGAAGACGCAACCGCCCAAATCGCCTTTTAACAGTATAAAGTTCATTTTACCTTGCGACGCTTTTTTATCCACCGCCATCAAGTCCATGAATTTCTCTTTTGTCATGCTACCACGCGGGACCTCGATGGGTAAATCAAATCGTTTCAACAAATCCACCGTTCGCGTCTGTAAGTTTTCGTCGATCCATCCCAAGCGGAAGCTCAAATCCGCCGCCATCGCGGTTCCGATGGACACCGCTTCGCCGTGTAAATATTCCCCGTACCCGACGCCGGTTTCAATCGCGTGACCAAACGTGTGTCCTAAATTTAAAGTCGCTCGAACGTTCAATCCGCTCTCTTTCTCGTCTAATTCAACCACCTCCGCTTTGTTTTCGCACGATCTTTGGATGGCGTAGACTAAAGATTTTCGATCGATTGCTTTCTTTTGCAACTTGTCCGCGTTTTGTTCGATCCAATCGAAAAACTTCGCGTCGCGAATTAAACCGTATTTAATCACCTCGGCTATTCCCGAGTTGTATTCTCTCTCCGGTAAGGAATCTAGACTGTCGATATCCACGAACACGCACTGCGGTTGGTAAAACGCGCCAATCATGTTTTTGCCTTTTTTATGATTCACGCCGGTTTTCCCGCCCACCGAGGAGTCCACCATCGCCATCACCGTCGTCGGTATTTGGATAAAATTCACGCCTCTTTGATACGCGGACGCGGCAAATCCAGTCATATCCCCTATGACCCCACCGCCTAAAGCGATGAACGTCGTCTTCCGATCCAAGCGAGCATCCAACGCTTTTTCGAAAATCAAATCGAGAACGTCCAAGTTTTTATGCTCTTCGCCGTCCGGCAAGACGACCGATTCGATTCTCAACGATTTTGACGACGACGAAAGAAGGAGACTCTCTTTCACTTTTTCCAGGTACAACGGCGCGACGGTTTCGTTCGTGACGATTAAAACCGTCTCGCCTTTGATGTGTTTTCGCAGCAAGTCGCCTCGCTCTTTCACGAGCTCGGAGCCGATGTAGATGGGATAGTCTCGTTGACCATCTTGGTCCAGTTTGACGCTGACGATGGCGTCGGGTTCTTTTCTTCTGTTGTTGTTGTTGTTGTCGTTGTCGTCGTTGTCGTTCTCCTTCGCGTCGTTGGAGATGAGCGTCGTCGTGGTTTTCGCGTTCTTCTCATTCGTTCTTCTTCTTCTTCTTCTTCGATTTTGACGACGACGACTAAACGTGGACGACGACGTAAACGACGACGACGACGAAGTCAAACCCCGACGAGAAGAACAAGAACACGACGCGCAGGAGGAGAGGGAGAGGGAGGAGAAAAAACGCATATCTCTTTACTACCTCTCTCTCTCTTTACTTCACTCTTCTCTCTCTTTTTGCCGTTTTGACAGAAGTGTGTGTTTCTGCGTGTTTTCTTTTTTTGCAAAAGTGTTATCCAAAATGATCCCAAACCCGAAACAAAAGAAGAATAAAAAAAATTCGAGAAAGAAGAAAGAAGAAGAAAGAGAAGAAGAAAAAGTTTTTATCATACAGAAGAAAGAGTATAACGAATACTACTAAAAGAACACACCTAAACAAACTGCGTCGCATCAAAAGAAGGAAGATGACGACGAAGAAGAAGCAGACGAAAACAACAACAACAACAACAACACCAACAACACCAACGACGAGAAAGAAGAAGAAGAAAGAATCATCATCGTCTTCATCTTTTCTTCGTCGACACATCATCCTGCCAATCTCGGACGTCTTCGTGGCGATTAGATCCATGAACGTGCGACAGTTAACTCTGCAACTTTTATCTTTGACGCTCATCGTGACCAGCGCTTTAATGATTTGGAAGAGTTTGTGCTTATACACGCACTCGGAAAGTCCAGTCGTGGTGGTTTTGAGTGGGAGCATGGAACCCGCGTTTAAACGAGGAGATATCTTGTTTCTCTCGTTGAAGAAGATCAAAGAAGAAGACATCGAAGACGAAGAACGGAAAACGAGAGTCGGGGAAATTATCGTCTTTTCAATCGACGGAAGGGAGATTCCAATCGTACACAGAGTCATAAAGAGCCATTTCCATCCTTTCGTCTCTCCTCCTTCTTCCTCTTCCTCTTCTTCCTCTTCTTCTTCTTCTTTGCCGACGACGATTAAGACGACGAAAAAGGAAAGCGGCGAAAACGAAAAAGACCAAGGACGCGGCGGTAATACCAGCGGCGAGGACGGTTTGAGTAGCACTAGGAGCGATGGTAGTGGTAGTGGTGAAGGTGATGATGATGATAATAATAATAATAGTAATAATAGTAATAATAATAATAATAGCAGTGAGGAGGAAACTTCTTCTTCTTCTTCGTCGTCGTCGTCTGAATCGTCGTTATTCAAACACGAGATGCTCACGAAAGGCGATAACAATTACATGGACGATATCGGCTTATACGCGCCCGGACAGAAATGGTTGAACGAGAAACACGTCATGGGAAGAACGGTTGGATATTTACCGCACGTCGGGAAAGCGACGATTTTGATGAACGATCATCCGATGATTAAATACGCGTTGATTTTCATTCTCGGTCTTCTCGTGATATCCGGGAAAGAGGGATGATTATTCGGACGACTGGAGTGAGAGAGAGAGAGAGAGAGAAAATTTAGTACTACTACTACTACTACTACTACTACTACTACTACTACTACTAGTATTACACACAACAACTCGAATAATAACTCTTGTTGCAAACTAATTATTAAAGTGAATCCAACACTTCTTCGACTAACTGAGAGATTATTTTCTTCTTCGCTTTGTTCATCATGATGGATTCGTATAATTCGGCGCTCAGCGACGCGCTAATTTGCGACAGATTTTCAAATCGTTTGAAACGCATCATAGTGTTCGCGCCGCCTCGTTTATTACTATTCTCGGCGGCGAGTTCCAACGATCCCGCGGAGGTGATGTAAGAACTTCCATCGACGATGTGCGTTCTGAACCATCTTTGGACTGTTTCCTCGTCGTCCTCTCCATCGTCGTTTTCTTCTTTTTCTTCTTTACCTTCATCTTCGTCGGCGCCATCGTTTTGGGTCGTCGGCATATCACCGTTTCTTTTCAACTCCTCGTCGTCGGCGTCGTCGTACGCGTTTATGGTTCTTCGAAACCATTCGTGCGTGTTTTCAACGTCGAGATATCGAGTAAACTTCGCATCATCATCCTCGTCGTCGTCGTTGAAATCAACGTCACCCTCGTCCTCATCCTGAAAGTCACTCTCGTCGCTCTCCGAAAAAGCTGCATCCACTTCATCATCGTCGCTGGTGTTCTCATTTTCATTATCGTCGTCGTCGTCGTCGTTGTCGTCGTCCTCTCCCTCCTCCCCATCGTCGTCGTAGACTTCGCCATCTTCGACGACGAGTCCTTCTTCGGATGATTCTTTCTCCACGCCATCGTCTCCATCATCTACCTCGTCATCGGACGATACCTTTTCTTCTTCTTCTTCTTCTTCTTCGTCTGTATCGTCCTCGAGCGGTTTTTGCTTTCTCGGCAAAAAGACATTTTCTCTCTCCATCTTCTTCGCGATGGCTAGTTCTGGAGGATTATCCGCTGCAGCGGCGGCGGCGGCGGCACTGGAACTATACGGAACAAATGGGACTAAATTTTCGTTCTCGTTGACGTTTCCAACAAATTGCCATCGATTATCTTCGTATCTGTGCGCGACTCGCACGCCCGGTAAATTCACGCTCAACTCCGCCCATTGAAACGGACCCAAAGTCGGCTTCCCGTCTTCTTCGTTTGGAAGCCACCATTCGCCGGCGGTTGGATTTTTGTGCAAATACTTCATAAACTCGATGTGCTTCACGCGTTTATTTTCTTCTTCTTCCTTCTCTAAGAGTATCTGCCGTTGTCGTTGTCGCTCCGCTTCCTCTTCTTCCAACGCTCGTTGTCGTTTTCGCGCTTCTTCTTTCATCTTTTCTTCTGAATCGCGCCTACGATCATCATCATCATCATCATCATCACCACCACCACCATCTCTATTTGTTCTCTTTCTTCCGCGGCGCACTTTGTCTCGTTCAAGATCTTCTTCTTCATCTTCTCCTTCGTCTCCTTTTCGATCTCCATATTCATCGCCATCGTCGTCTGCTTTTCGCGCCGCGGCAGAGGAGGATACCGCTCTGCTTCTCTTTGCTGGATCTTCGTACGTGCCCATTTTTGCGCCCCAGGAAATATCCGATCGCTCGCCATCACTTCTCGCATCGTCGTTTTCTTCTTCTTCCTTCAGATCAAAGTCTACGCTTTTGCGTCGTTTCTTCGTCGCACCTATTCGCTCTTCTTCTTTTTTATCTCCATCGTAGAGTTTGCTGAGCAAACCTTTCTGAACGTTTCTCAATTCCTCCTCGAGCGCTTCGTCTCGTTCGTTTTCATTTTCGTACTCTTTCCTCGGGCGTTGAAATTTCTCGCCACTTTTGTCTTCATCGAGCGCACCATCGACGACGTCGTCGTCGTCTTTTCTATCCATCACGAACGTTCTCGTCGCCGCGCTCATCAAAAGTTCGTGCGTCGGTAAGAGCAGCGCTTTGGTGCCTTGTTTGCATAGCTTTCGCAACTGCGATGCCTCTTTGGAAAGTCGCGGATCTTTGGCATTATTTCCTTTGCCAAAATTCGCGCCAATCGTTGGAATCTCTTTCGGATGTTTTCCACCAAAGCTCGTTCGTTCGTCCACGTCGAATTTCGCGCTCTCGCGCTCGTCCTCAAACTGTTCGAGAACTTGGTTCCGTTTCGCTTTCGCCTTGGATGTTTCCTCCTCCGCGTCTTGACCGTCTTCTTCTTCTTCCAACAGTCGCAACGCGTGTTGCTTCGCTTCTTCTTCGTCGTTCTCGTCTTCTTCATCGTCGTTCTTCTCGTATCTTTTGTCATCGTCATCATCTTCTATTTCAACGTTTTTGATCGCTTCCTCATCTCGTTCGGTTAAAGCGCTTCCATCGTCGTTTTTCAAGAAACTGCCGCCGAACGCGAAAGGCGCCCCCGAAGAATACGTTTTCTTCTTCTTCTTCTTTGTCGTTGTCGTTGTTGTTGTTGTTTCGTCGTCGTCGTCGTCGTCGTCGTCGACTGCATTTTCACCATCGCCGCCGCTGCCACCACCACCACCACCACCACCACCACCAATGATGATGCCGCCAAACACGTTCTTCAACCGTTCATCTAATAACGACGACGTTTCGTGCTTTGGTTGTTGTTGTTGTTGTTGTTGTTGTTGTTTGTCTTCTTTCAATTTCTCTTCTTCTTCTTTGAATTCTTCTTTGAATTCTTCTTTGAATTCTTCTTCTCGTTTGTTCAACAATTTTTCGTTGCGCGCATCCAACACTCGACCGAGCGTGGTGAACTCCAACAAAGAGTCGTTCACGTTTATGTCGTCGTCGTTGTTGTTGTTGTTGTTGTTGTTGTTGTTATTATTATTAATATTATTATTAGTAATAGTACGTAAACGACGAACTTCCAGTTCTCGACTCAAATAGCCGTCTCGATTCCACGCTTCCAAATGCGTCAACGGAAACGGACCTTGCACGTTCCCGGCTAAATCTTTATACTCGAATAAAGTGCGCTCGTCGTCTGAATCGTCGTCTGAATCGTCGTAATTCTCTTTTTTGTCTTCTTTCTCTTTTTTGTCTTCTTTCTCTTCTCTCATCGTCGATCTTCTTCTTCTTCTTCTTCTTCTTCTTAATCTCTCTCAATCAATCTCTCTCCAATGACTCTCTCTGCTTTTATTTGTGACTTGTGGTTGACGAGACAACTTCTTCTTCTTTTTTTTTCTTCTTTTTTTTTTCTTCCACAAAGAAGAAGAAGAAGAAGAAAAGAAGCAACAACCAAAAGCTTTTTTTTCTCAAACGAATTTTGAACACCCTTTTTTTTTTCACGTTTTCTCGTGACGATGATATGACGACGATGAAACAACAACAACGACAACGACAACGACAACACACGGTGTGAGTAGTAGTAGTAGTAGTAGTAGTAGTAGTAGTAGTAGTAGTAAATTACAACAACAACAACTACTTTTATGGTCTCTTCTTTTCCTCTCTCTTTAACTCTCTCCTTTCTTTTCTGTAGGAGTAATCCTTTCCCTCTCTCTTTAAAGTACTCGTAGTTGAAGAAGAAGAAGAAGAAGAAGAAGAAGACAAAAAGTCTGTTTATAACAGACTGATGACAGTCACCAGTTTCGCGTCGTTTCGGACCAAAAAAACACTTTTTTAAGCAGTCCAACACGAAAAAATTCACAACACGAAAACAATTCTTCACAAAAGAAGAAGACAAAAACACATCACCATCATATCATCATCATCATCAAGAATCGCGTTTTGGGTTCTCGCGTTGGTGATCTTCTTGTTCTCTTGTTTTTTGCTTTATTTTTATTAAGAAGAAGAAGAAGAAGATTTTGAAAGTGATTCTTGGTCTCATCATCAGAAACACATCGTCGTCGTCGTCGTCGTCGTCTGAATCGTCTTCGACATATAAAATCATCGTCTTTTCTCTCTTCATCGTCATCACTCAAAGAAAAGAAAAGCGGACGACGAAAAAAGAATAATCATCGATCGATCGTTCTCTTTTTGAAAGTCTTCCGAAAGAGAGAGGAAAGAGAGAGTCTTTCTTCTCAGAGAAGAAGAAGACGAAGAAGAATCTGTCTGACGACGTCTGAGACAGAGAGAGAGACAGAGCAAAAAAGAAGAAGAAGCAAAAAAGAAAAACACAAAAGTGAGTGAAAAAAAGTTGTCATTTTGGACAGAGTTTTTAGTTCTCGATCGCGGGTTCTCGATCGCGGGTTCTCGATCGCGTGTTCTCGATCGCGTGTTTTTGTTGGCTTTTGACTGACGGACTGAAAACCAAGAGGAAGGGGTCGCGCGAGAATGGCGGCGACGACGACGATTCAGACGACGAGCGCGCGGCCGCACCGAGTCCTTCTTCGTTTCCTTTTGTGTGCACTAATACTCGTTGCAATTGTTCCGCGAGCGTTTCCTTTCGCTCTCGCGACGACGACGGATACAGACGGTGTCGTTGAGTTTGGAAAAAGTGCAGCAGTCGATGGCGACAGTAAAATCGCCGAGCTCGGCGGTAACGCTACTTCGCCAGACAACCTTGCCGAACTTGGGTACGAACTTGCTGAGCTTGGGAGTAGTGGCTTGTATGAGTGGAGATATGACAACTTCAATAGCTACTGTTCTACTTTAATATCGGGGAACAGATGGAAAACGGCGCACGTGCGTGGGGGGGGCGTGTGCAACTCTTGCGGGAATGTCGGAGGTGTGCTTGGCGGGTACAACAGATTTTGCAAGGATGCGCGCGCCGAAAGAGAGTATACGAACCTGCCGCCCCATCAAAAGGTTAAAGTTGAGTTTAAAGTTGTTTCTATTGACGGACAAGAGTGGTCGAATAAAAAATTTAAACTCCAATACGATTCAACCTCGTATTGGTTTGGTAATGTTGATATAAACCAAGGCGGAAGGGTTCACGTATGCGGCGGAGGCTCGAATAATAAGAATGACAGAGACGGGGTACACACTTACAGTCGCGAATTCTCGCATTCCAGCGATTCGCTTAAGTTATTGATTTCTACATCTTTGAGCACGCCTCACTGCGGTCGATCATCTTGGGGGCTCTCATATGTCAAGATATATCTTAATAATATGCCACCGCCGCCGAGTCCGCCGCCGCCGAGTCCGCCGCCGCCGAGTCCGCCGCCGCCGAGCCCGCCGCCGCCCGGGCGAAGAGACGAACCCACCGTTGAAATTCTCAGCGCGCAAAAAGTCGTCTCAAATCGAGAGTTTGATTTTGGAATCTCGGTTTCTCATCCGACGTGTGAGAATTCAAAGTCGTGTTTCGAGAGCGAAGATGATATTAAATCGAATCAGAAAAAAGGTCTCCGATGCGATGTTCGAGTGCAAGCCAAAGAACAAACCTCGTGTTCAAAATACGGCGAATACTTACCGTGCATGCAATGGAACAGCTTTTACGATTCAAAGAAAACTGCTCAAACCAGAAAGACTTTGCGCGTCACGAAGAAAGACGGTCAAATCCAGTCTGGCGATATCGAAATTCGGTATCGGTGCTATTTTTTGAATAAAGGAAGCTCGACGAGCAAAGCGACGGGAACGGATACGGGCGAAAAAATTTTGCACACGTTTAAAGTCGCGGAGGGATGCAGCGAATGGCTCGCGTCTTCGCGCATTCACATCGGCGATTTGTTCTTACAATCCTCCCCGGAGTTTTTGAACGCCGATTGCGACAAAATCCATCTGGTCAAGGAGTCACTGTTTCGAAAGTTCGACGTGAATCCTTTGGACGGCGTTCTTTCTCTGGACGAAGTTCGCGCCGCGTTCTCAGCGCACGACGTGGACACGGGATATTTGGAGCACGTGGCGAAAACCACCACGGATTTCTCCGACCAAGGCGGAATCCTTTTATCGAAAATTATTCAATCCGCGCAGCTTCCGACTCGATGTTTTTCAATCGACTCCGAAGCAAACGCGGCCAAATCATCGCCGATTTACATTCGTAGCGCAACCTACCCAACTTCGAGAGCCGGAGAAGAGACGACCGCGGCGCAATGTGAAGCCCAAAAAGGATTGGTTTCAGTTTCCTGGGACTATTCCAAGGTACCGGGCGATTCTGACTATCAGTGCGCGTACGCGGACGGAAGATTATACGAAAAGTTCAACGGCGCCGCCGTTCGAACTTTAACGGATATTCGGCCAGCCGTCGGAACGGGAGATTCTAAAGTGACTCTGGTCGCACAGTTGACCTTTGACGACAACGATTTACCGTTTATGAGTACTCAAGGTAACAACGGGTACGACGGGAACAAATGGAAAGACGGATTCACGATTGAAGCGTGCGGCGACGGCATCAAGTGCGCGAAACGGAAGAAAAAGGGAAAACCATTATTTATGTATGGTACAAGGCGCGCTCTTTCATCGAGCGGGATCATGATGTGGTTTTTATTGGACTCGAGCACAGAACAGTCGTCAGACGGAAGTTTATTCAGGAGAGACACGAATGATGGAACTTACGTCAACAGAGTGATTCTTTCTTATGATTCGGGTGAAAATGAAGTGATCGGAGGGTATCAGCAGCTGTTTGACAACAAGTATACGGATAACTCAAAGACCATAAAATCAGGTAAGAATTCTATCGCATCCGGGACGTGGCACCACGTCGCAATGACAATTAACGGTGTTTATGGTTTGAGCGTATTCGTCGACGGTGACGAAAAAGCTTCGATGAAAGATTTTGATCATAACATGGTTGACTTTCCGCACTTTCAAGAGAAACCAAAAGTGTTTTATGCAAAGTTGGTAATGTATGACGACTTTCGAATTTATCAAGGCGTCGTCAGTCCTGCCATGCTAAAGGCAATCGCGCAATGCGGTCGCACCAAAGGTTGCGCAGAGCTCGGATACGCGAATCCGCAAAGTCGTAGAACGTATTGCATTGTTGCTCACTATGCCGACGACGACGACGCATCAGAAATATCAGCCGTTCCGCCGTGCGCGACGGCTTTGTTCTTCACCGGTGCAGCGATAGATCTCGCTCTGACGCCATCAAACAAAGGAATGTTGTTTTCGTTCAGAGATACCGCTTTGGACGAGATTGGTTTCGAAGTTCTTCGTCGTTCAGTCTCCGAAGGGAGCGCAACCGGAATTTATGATTCCGTCGTTCTCATTGACTCATCTTTGAGTGGATGCGCTTCAAAATTCAATTCGATCACATTCTTCGACTACGAAGCGATAGAGACACCGGGGGCCGTCTGGGAGTACGCGATTCGAACGAAGTATCCTAAAACACAGACTCTCGATGAAATTTCCGATCCCGTCACCATAACGTCGCCTTGGAGAAGCACGTTAGAGGGCTCGATTTACGTCGCTGGAAATGAAATGGTTCCGGTGCGCAACGTTCGCGTGTGCGCTACGATTACTTCTCCTAGTAGCGCGTCGGCGCAAACTTCGCATCGCTCCTCGAGTAACCTCGCGTCTCACATGATGGTTATACATTCGAATCCTGATAAAGTTGTATCCGGCTTTCAAATAACGGATGGATTTTCAGACTCGTTTTCTACTTTGACGTCGGGGGAGAGTTTTAAAATCGATTTGATGAGTTTTTACGCCGTTTCCACCGTCACGGTGGAATTCGCGAAGGAAACCAGCGTCGACGCGGTGAACGCGGCAAATCTCGATGTTCGAATTCTCGACTACGACGATCCGAAAGACAACAAAAACGTGGGCACGAAAGGTTCGTCATGCAAACCGGTGAAGTCTTCGGGCGAAGCAGAGGAGGAGTCCAAACAAAAAAAATACGCGTGCGTCGGCACGACCGTTACCTCTTTTAACGGCCAATTCGTAACAATCCTTCAAAAGAACAATGATTTGATCAAAGTCGCCGAAATTATCGTCGAAGGACGAATCATGGACTGTCCGTATTCGTCGTTTACGGACGAGGATGGACATTACGAGATTGAAATTATGGACGCGAGCGGCTTGACGCCAAAAAAGACGCGCGTCAGCGTAAAGGCGTACCAAACAGACGTGTACGACGCTATTTATCACAAAGATTTTTTTCATTCGCACGACACTTCTAAGAATCAGGAAATAAGGGTACCGGAAACCGCCATTATCGCTCTGGAAGTATACGACGGCGCACTGATTGCTCCGTATTACGGAGACTACGACAAAGGAAACGGCGCGTTTAGCACAATTAAACCTTGTAAATGTAAAGACGGCTCGGAACTTCGTGAAGTAGTAATCGACGACGCAGAAAACGACGTTTACATATGCGCCAAGTTATGCACAGAATGTGGAAATTGCGCCGGGTTCGACAGAAATGTGAAGACGAAGAGGTGCAGATTCACGAATGGAAAAATTGGTGGGAACGGCGCTCATGTTAAATGGTCGGGTTTTCAGTTTTGGCGTAAATTGAGCAAAGTCAAAGCAACTGCAATCACGGATGAGAACATCCATTTGCACGTGCGCGAATGTCTCGCAGAAGCGCCGAAAGATGGAATGTGCTACAGGTACGGATTCAGCAGTAACACTGGTCCAATGCCGAGTTGGGACGTGAAACGCGTCACGACTATGAACGGCTTATTCAAAGGCAACGCGGAAATCAACGCTGACTTGTCCGATTGGGATGTTTCTCAAGTTACGGATATTAGAGAGATGTTTCGCGATGCCGTGAACTTCAATCAACACTTGAAAGATTGGAAATTATCTTCTTCGGTAACTTCCGAGGACGCTTTTGCAGGTGCGATATCCTTTCAAGCGAAATTCACGAATTGCACGAGCGCCACAAATGGTCCACCATCGTCGTGTGAGCTGAAACGAAGAATGAACAGATTAGAGTTCGCCGAGTACGTGAGCACGCAAAGAAGCGCGTTTATGAATACGAAAGTTATCGTTACGGATGAAGTTTGGGCAACTTTCGATACGAACGGCGACGGCGACTTGGACGATGCCGAATACGCTCGTGCGAACCGTTTGATGCGATATGGATACGTTTCAGGAACGCCATGGCTCGTGTACTCATCGAAGGAAATGAAAAACATTCGTTCTTTCGACGTTATTCGACCGAAAGTATCTGGAAATGAGCCGATCAAAATTTCCGCGGATGGCGCTGCTGAAACAAAATCATTTCTCCCTTGCGACGCGGAAGTCGATAAAGACGGATATTATTTAATTTTCAAGCACGACAGTTCCGAGGGTGACTTTTGGTTAAATTCTGACGAAGCGAAACATTTTGGCGTCTCGCCTTCGACGGAGAAAAAGTATTCAAGGCTCGACGAAATCTCGAAATACGGCAAGTCTAGTTCATACGGCGGGTTTCAATTCAAACTTGAATATCCGCAAAAAGAACAATCGTACATCTGGCGCCAAACTTCGAATCCGGCTGAGAGTACGAAACGAGGCGTGGATGGGTATAAGTCAATTTCAACCACGGTCATAAAAAACTACAAGCATTTTACGTGGTCGAAACTCGCATCCTCGAAATCTTCCTCCCAAATCGGCTCGGGACTATCAAGCGCGCTCGGATCGGCGACTCGCTCCGCACATTTCATTTCAAAAGAAGTATATCCACCTCATGCGGACACCAACAATTCAAGCGCGTCGGACGAGATTGGGAGAAGGCGACTTCTCGGTTCTGAGACTTTGAGCGGATTCAAAAACGGAAATCGAGCGTCTCTCGGCGCGACGAAGAGTTTACCAACGAAGAGAGAAAAGCATTGCTCAAATCGCGCGAACGGGTGGGCCCTCAAAAATCCTTCAGTCCCGACGTGCGATGACGGCGTTACACTTCCTACGTCCGGTATATCCAGCGACGAAGCTGTCGCGAAATGCGGCGCATGCAGCGGCTGCACCGCGGTTTCTTACAAACACAAATGTGACAAAGGCGGCTGTGAAGGGATACGATACACCTCTGGCTGCGGAGGTGGAAAAGGGTGTTTGGCTGGCTGGTCGTCTTGGACTACATATCGAGATTTAAAGTTTTGCGGCGCGATAGCGAACGGTGACTTCCAAACGCACGTTAACGGATGTCTGAGCGAATCTCCAGTCGATGGTTTGTGTTACCAGTACGGCGCAGATAATAAGATTGGTCCAATGCCGCATTGGGACGTTTCCAAGGTCACGAGTATGGGGCAGGCGTTTAGTGGAAAATCATCTTTCAACGGCGATCTCTCGAATTGGGACGTTTCGTCTGTAACAGCTATGTGGAAGATGTTCTACAAAGCTTCCGAATTCAATCGAGATATCTCAAACTGGGACGTTTCCAAAGTCACAGATATGAATTACATGTTTCGCCAAGCGAAAAAGTTCAACCAAGATATTGGCAGTTGGGATGTTTCTAAAGTCACGAATGTACGCGTCATGTTCTATGAAGCGTACGCTTTCAATCAAGACATCTCGAAATGGGACGTTTCTAAAGTCACGCGTATGGACTACATGTTCTATTATTCTTTCGCTTTCAACCAGGACATCTCGAAATGGGACGTTTCTAAAGTCACGAGTATGGAAGGCATGTTCAAAGGTTCCTTATCTTTCAATCGAGACATTTCAAAGTGGGACGTTTCGCAAGTCACGAACATGTATCAGATGTTTCGCCAAGCGAAAAAGTTCAACCAAGATATTGGCAGTTGGGATGTTTCTAAAGTCACGAATGTACGCGTCATGTTCTATGAAGCGTACGCTTTCAATCAAGACATCTCGAAATGGGACGTTTCTAAAGTCACGCGTATGGACTACATGTTCTATAAAGCTCACTCTTTCAACCAGGACATCTCGAAATGGGACGTTTCTAAAGTTACAAATATGTCGAGAATGTTTGAAGACGCGCGTGCTTTCACCGGTTTCGTTGGCGGTTGGAACGATGATAGCGTCACGTCGCACGCAGGCATGTTCAAATACGCACACGCATTTCAAGCGATGCACGATTGCGAGGACGCAAACGACGGTCCCGCGAGTTCATGCGAAGTTATCAACGCAATGTTTGAGTACGCCCCGTCCTTTGTCTCGGGAACAGTTGTGAAAGACACTTCTTCCTCGGACGCTTCCATTGGCGACGCGTATTTAAGCAGTTCTGGTTGTATCAAAGCTGAACCAAAATTCGGCGTATTTGAATCTTTGTGCGGACACTTCGGAAGTAAAGCTTCGTTTGCGAGCGTCATCAAGACTCCTAAAGTCGATTTGAGGAGTTTTCGCGGTTTCACTTTAGAAGCGTACGTGATGTTTACCGATTCTCCGTCCAACCAATATATTTTTGGACACGGGAAGGGCAGCACGCGCTCAGGTCTTCACATCGGAGTAAGACCTGGGAAAGGTATATATTTTGGTTTTATTGGCGATGATCTTAATTACGATTTCACCCCGAGCCTGGACGTTTGGTACCACTTAGTATTCACCTACGAAAACTCAGGCTCGTTTACGAAATGCATCTACGTAGACGGGGTACTGAAAAAGAGTGGATCTGGAGGGAAATACGCGTACAGCGGATCGAATAAGCAATTACTCATCGGGAGAGCATATGGACCTGACGTTAGCACCTCGCGTGGATTTACCGGCGAAATGGCTTACGCGCGGGGATTCACAGCGGCTCTGAATTCGAAAGGAGTCGAATATCTATACTCGCAAAAACCCGATGCAACGGGCGGTGTCTTCAAAGGTTTGGAATATAACGAGGGTTCCTCGACCTTCCTCGACGGAAGCATTGGCCACAGTACCTGGTATTACGCAGTTGGAGCGTTCAAAGAGTTCAAAACAAGACAATTCCCCGGACCAACGCCGGACAGTGTGAATCTTGTAAAGCTTTGGTTAAAAACGGACATGAAGAAGATGAAAAACTGCGCGAACCACTATGATTTGCTTTACAACCGCGACGGCGTGATCGATCGACTGGCTTTCATACCGACGTTCTCGAGTTCGGTGCCAGTTCTTACTCAATCGTGGGATACTTGGTATTCAAGCTACGCCGAGCGCGGGGAGAAAATTCGCCTCGGAAAACCTACTTTCCAGAAGCAAGACGCTTTGTATTCGATTGTTTTTTCAAACAGTGCCCAACCGATTCTTCCGCAATCTTCCGCACACGTAATCCCGGTCATCGGCAATAACGTGACACGCGTTCGCTTCGATAAATCAGTATCAGGTGACGCGCTGAGTTTTGCCAGCTTAATCTCGCGCGTCGCGTTCAATCCCATCAGTGTGAATGCCGTGGAGCAGATGTCGGATTTGGTGCATCAATACGACAAGAAAAAATCAAAAAATCAAGCAGGGAATGACGAAGAACCGGCTTCGCTCGGCCGAAAATCCAAGTCGATATCACGTCTCGGATCCGAAGAAGAGAATTCTCAATCTTCTTCCGAGGACGTTTCCTGCGCGAACAATGGAGTCTGTGAAAAAGATATCTCGGATGATTCCGCCGTCAAAGTCAACGGTATAGTGATGTTTGAACCATGGAAAACGCAAGGGTACGCGTGCGGTTTACCGTTTGCGAAAATTCAAGCCTATAGTTATGACGAAAATGAACAAGGTTACGTGCACGAAGGAACGTACTTTTCTGATACATCGGGTCGGTTTGAAATTGGGGTGCCGATAGGTGAGGGTCGTACGTTTGTCGTCCACGGAGGAGACCAAGATGTTCGTGGGCATACAATTTGCTACGTTGGAAATTCAGTAGATATCGAAGAAAGTGATGATAAATGCGTGTCACAAGTTTCAGTGGAGTTTCCTGCTCCGGGAGAAGGTAGTTCCATTTCCTCGTCGAGTTATTACGAAGTAGCGGTTGCGGAAGGCGGTGAAAATTTGGTCTTTCTCGACACTTCGACGCGATCCGTGGATATAGGTTTATACGCGGGTTCATGTGATTCGCAATATGAAGAATATGAACTTTTGATTACCCCGGCGAACGGCTGCGGAGCAGCTGCCGTCGTCACTTACGATGACATTCAAACTTGGCAATGCGTAGTTGGTTCGGATGGTACGTGTAATGGTAATGAACGAACTTGGCCGTACGCCGCTATGGATTATTACATTCAAATCGAAATGGCTCCGGACGTCTCTAGAATGGATGTTGCGTTTATTCGTGCTACTACTGTTGGAGCTGGCGCGACGTGCGAGGCGGGTACGGAAATTATGCAATATTTCAGAAATAGAGACATGCTCGTACAAACTGTCTTATTGTTGGATTTAGAGAGCGCAACTGTGGCTACGAACAGATACGAGTATCACGGTTATCTGTGTAGTGTGATCACCAGAGAAGATGGAGGAGGAGGAGGCGGAAACACCAATGCGCCTACAACTATCTTTCACGCGCTTTCGAGTAGCTCGGAGGCATGTTTGAGTTCGAATACAGATCCAGACGAAGGAGATTTAACATCGAATTATTTAATTGGCACAACAATGAGAGATAATGGACGCACAATCGACGCGAGCAAACGCGTCGGCGTAAAAGTTTTCGAGGCGCACTACACATCGACAGGAGACACTTTCACAACTTGCTCTGATTTTCAGAGCAGCACCACAAATATCGTGGTGGAAATAAAGGATGGAATCACGGGGGGTGATAATGCGTGCCATCCGAGTAAAGCCCCGTCGGAGGAGTGTAAATTTTCATCAGTTTTGGCGACTGGGGATGAAAACGTGGGATTCGTTGATTTCGGCGATATGCAATATTCCCGCGAAATATTTTCAGCCAGTGCCATTCCCAACCTCGTTACGCCGTATCGTCGCTCGTTTTCGGCGCACATTGAGCGGAACGACGGGTGGGCCATTACGTCGATGACCGTCGAACGAGAGCTCGTCGTGTTGACGTCGAAGACTCGCGGCGAGGGTGGTAAACCTGAAGATCGATACGTATCTAACTCTGAATTTTACGCGACCGCGCCGGTTCAAGGTTTAGTGTATACCGTCGTACACGACCCTCCCGGGGGTAATTCATTCTCTTCCATCTCGAAAGGAACGAAAATAGATTTAGAGATGGGTTTGACAACCACTCGAGCGGCAGAAAAAACAAGCGAGTGGGGTTTTGCAGCTGGACTAAGTGTAGAAGCCTCATTGGGTGGCGCGATTGCTGCAGGATCAGGCTATCTCAACTTGGAAGTATTTACAGAACATAATGGAGCAAGATTTGAATCCGGAGTACACGGTGGATACGCTCAAGAAGGCCCGACTGTAACGATAAGTGGCGAAACAGACAACGGCTGGGACTTTCACATGACTCTAGACAGAAATTTGGAATCTTCTCAAGACCCAGCCATCCCAGGACGTCCGGGAGATGTAATCCTAGGCGGAGGATTCGAAATTGTGTACGTGAGATCCGATAAGGTTGATTTCCAAAGTGACGATTCTCACTGTTTAGGAGTGGTTCCAATCATCGAATGGAAAGGTCGAAAACCAACAACGTACGTCATGACGGTGTTCTCGATTGAGTACAAGATTTTACCGGAACTGATAAATTTGATTTCAGTTACGAACAATGAGACATCTGATATAACCGATACCGCTATTGATGACACAACCTCCAACAACTCTGTTATTAGACAAATTTGGAAATCGCGTCTTGAGAACGCGCTGGATGACTGGATACGAACGCTTGAATGGTCCTCTCCGGATTTCAATCCTGAAGGGTTGAACGCTTTAGAAGACAAGGAAGCCGAAATAACAGAAATCGAGAGTAAATTCGATGCTATGAGAGTACCGTTCACCTCGGATGATTCCGTGTATGGTAATATTGCGAAACCTCTCATCACGAGTGTTTACGGAGCGTATACCCAAAACGATGATCTTTCTCCCGATTATACCGCGAAGAAGGATTGGGAAGAACTCAGCGAAGTGTGGGATTCAATTCCATCGGATAACGCACCTCTTCACGGTGTTCCAAAAATAAGAAGAACGGATGCTTGGAAGAACGATGGAGGTCAAGAAGCCAATGGGAAAGCGGCTGCAATTGGGCCCCAAATAATGCTCCAAGCTAGCAATGGTGCTCTTCTTCCTCTCACTCCTCTTGCTGCAGTGATGGGGACAGTAATTGATCGAATGGTGAACCCTAATCCAGAGGCATACTTGGATGACAAAGTAAAGATCATCGTCGAAGGTACTGGTGAAGAGTCGCACGACCCGAACGGCCGATGGTTCCCGACGAAGAGCGATAAGTGGCTGAGTTCGTACGAACCCGGTGGAACTGGCGACGACGGTCGAAATCTTTTCAACTCCAACGAAGATGATCCTGACAAGGACGAAGGTCTTTGGAGTCGCGGCATGAGCAAATATGCCAAGACAGAAGAGATGAAGGCGACTTTTCCTGATTCTATTGGAAATATGGACTCCTCCATGGTTGATGCATCTTTATTTGGCGGTCAAGCTCAATTTGGTTTTACTGGATATACTAAATCTACACCCACAATATCTGATCAGGGAAAGCAAGACGTGTATCTCTCATTCTCCGGCGGTGGCCATAACCTCGAGTTTTCTTCATCCATCGAGAGTAACATCGACAGTTATGGCTATTCGTGGTCGATGGAAGCTGAAGGGAGCGTTTCAGCTTCTACAGATTTTAATATGGCTGTTGGAGTTTGGGAGCTTGAAGCGGAGCTCGCAGACACTTATGGAAAAAGTATCGGGCAAGAGAAAGTTCTGGCATGGGCAAAATACGGTGAAATGGAAGTCACGTATACGCTCGGTGACGATGATCCTTACGACAAGTTTGTGATTCAAGTTTCCAACGATAAGCGATTCGGTACTCCTCTGTTCAGAACAATCGGTGGCTCGTCCAAATGCCCGGGCGAACCAAATACGATGTGGCGAGAATCGGGCTTAGGAATCGAGGCGAAACACGCCGCGGGGTCTAATAACAAATTTGTCCTTCCCGGAAAACCTGCGCTGTTCGACGTGATCATTACCAACGATTCGCCTTACAGAGAAGGTCACATTTATGGTTTACTTTTAACTTCGACCGAAACGAATGGTGGTTCTTCTTTTTCTGGCGGCAACATGCTCGATTTGAAATTCTCCATCAACGGCGACAACACCAAGTTGCGTCCGTTTGGTGATTTGTTACCTTTGCACGACGTGCCGTCGACGGACGACACCGGCAATTCAATCAACACTAAACTCACTCTGAGCGTGGAGAAAGGGAATCTATCTAATGAATATGCAGGTATTTTCCTTAAACTCGTGAGCGAGTGCGAGTGGCAAATGTCGAGAGATTTACTCTATCGCGATCCGATTTCGGACGCGTATTCGCTCGACGATATCAAGTGGCAGCGCGAGTGCCCCGAAATTGCATGGGACGAAACCACGGTAAATAAGTATCTGTATTACATCGCGAGCGGTGCAACTTCAGATGTTCTCGACGTATCTGTCATGAATCCAAACCCGTTGAATATTTGGACATCCGATAAATACAATGCCAGTGATACCGTTAGAGGCGGATGGGACGTGAACAAAGACCATCTCGTGCATCCGAACGTCGAGTTTGTTCGCGTGCAGTTTCGACGACCCGGTATCGGTGAATGGATCAGCGCCTGGGACGACTCCAAAGCTTCCGCGAATGTGACTTGCGGACATTCGACTTCCGGGTGTGGTTTGTCTTGGAATTTGACCAAACAGTACTTCATGAACGGCCTTCGCGATGGATCGTGGGAGATTCGGGCAAAAATTTTCTGTTCTGGTGGGGCTTCAACGGCCCCAATGTCCGTGTTTGGATCCACGACGAAAGAAAATTTGAATCTTGTCGTCGACGTGACTTCGCCAAAGCCAATTGCTCTCAGCGTGATGGACAAGTTATTCGTCGTCGAGTACACTGAACCTGTAATTTGCCCTCAACTGAAAACCGACGAAGAGATTTATCAAGTCACGAGGATTGAAGACTGCGACGGAAATACCACCAAAGAAGTGATCGATTGGACAACAATCCTTTTGCAATATTCCTTTCGATGCATTGAAGACAAAATAAATGCGTGGACGATGCAGTTACCGAGCGATTTGGATAACCAGGGAAAATATCAAATTGTCGTTGGTAAAGACAGCACTAGCGGTCTCACTGACGTAGGAGGTAACGTTGTTGCGAAGATGACCTTTGACGTCGATTTCTGCTCCGCGAGTGCAACTGTGGCTGTGGTCTCGTCATCATCATCATCATCTTCTTCTTCGTCGCCGTCTCTTACTTCAACAAACGCGGTGGCGGCCAAATCTGCAGCCGCAGTCGGCAATTCCAAACGTTCAAGGAGGAATAAAACCGACACCCAAAACGAGCGCGTGAAGGGAAAGAACGCCGCATCGTCAGAACTAGGCGTGGTGAAAGACGAGATCGCGACGTCGAATCTCTTTACATTTGCTCCATCTACACTTCTCGCCGGTGTTCTCGCGACGACGGTCGTCTCTGCGACGATCGCTTTTACCATAGCGCGAAGAATATCGCATCCGATCGTGACTTCCATCGATGGCGATAGCCCCTACGAAGACAAAAAGCCGTTATTGGAATCCATCATTCCAGAACAGCCAGCGTATGGATCCGTAATTTGAGAAGAGAATAAAAGCGAAACAAGCAAGCGAGCGAGTAAGCAAACAATTAAACTCGCGACTTTGTCGGCTGTACGGCGCGCGAAAGAAATATACATATTGTGAACATGTACATACATGAAAAAATTTAAACACGACCCCGGTCGTTCGATTGAAAGAGAAATACGCGAAGAAAGTATTTATTAAATAACAAATTATTATTCTACTACATCATAACAACAACACATGTAACCATCTCACTCGCGCAGTGGTGTCTCAGAGAAACCATAATACAATTTTGTTCATAATAAAATAGAACTTTCCACGCTCGTTTTTAAAAAAGAAAAAAAAGATGAACTTTGAGGAGGAAGAGGAGGGAGAGAGGAGAAAGAGAAGGAGGAGGAAGAAACGCTCGGGAAGGGGCGCAGATGGTGTTGCCACCATCATCGTTTCTGGTTCTCTCCTCGTCCGTCTTTACCACGACTACGTCGTCGTCCTCGCACTTTCATCATGTCTTCTGTTTTCGTTCTCGTCTTCTCAAAATCCAAAATCGTCGTTTACGTCGTTTCCGCTCTCGTCTTCTTCGTCTTTGTCTTCTTCTTCTTCCGTTGCGTCATCGTTGACGAACGAACGAGGCGCGTCAGCGGCGTTCGAGAAACAACGAAGAGGAGGAGGAGGAGGAGGAGGAGGAGGAGGAGGAGGAGGAGGTTTTTTTTTACTCTTCGCGAGCGCGGAAGAAGAAGAAGACGAAGAAGAAGAATCGATGATGACGATTGTTCGTTCAAACGGATGGATGCGTTGGACGGACGATCAGTCTGGAAAGTTTTACTTCCAAGAAGAAGCGACGGGCAAAACGCAATGGGAAGAACCCTCGGGGTGGACGCTGAGCGCGAACGATGATGCCTCCGATGGTGGTCATAACAAGAACATCGACGAAAGAGAAGAAGATGAAGAAGACAAAGAAGAAGAAGAAGAAAATGCGCCAACGCAAAACGAACGAACTGTGCGAACGAGAGAAGAACGAGAGCGACGCGAAAGAGAAGAACGGCAAGAGCTCGATTTGTTACAACAACAACAACAACAACAACAACAACAACAACAACGACAACGACAACAAGGAGAACGCGAACTCGAACAACAACGAGAGCAAGAAGAGCGGCGAGTACGAGAAGAAAAAGCACAGAGACAGCGGCGAGAACAAGAAGAAGAAGAAGAAGCGGAGCAACAGCGACAAATCAAGTTACAAAACCAGCGGCGCGAAGAACAAGAACTGCAGCAACAAACGGCAGCAGCAGCGGTGGCGGCGGCTGCGGCTGAAACTGCCGCACGGGTCGCCGCCGAAAATGAACAAAAGCAACAACAACAACAACAACAACAACAACAAGCAACGCACGCGTCACCGCCGCCGCGCTCCTCCGCCGCCGAAGTTGATGGCAACGACAGTAGCATTCAAGAGATGAAAATGCAGCACCACAAACAACTTTCTTCGCAAAAAGAGAAGCACAGGGACCAAATCGCCGTGTTACAGAAGCAACACGAAGAAGAAATTGAGAAACACATTTCCGATTTGAAAACTGCGCAGAAAGAGCGCGACGAAGCGTCTACGAAAATGTCCGAAGTTCACGAAAAGCACAACATTCTGCTCGAACAACACAATAAGTTGAAATCGGAGAGTGGAAAGCTGAAGAAGAGAATCGAAGACACCCTGGCTGCTCACGAGAAAGAACTTGAACGCGTGAAAAGCGAACGCGATGCGGTTGTCGATGAAAAGACGAAAATAGAGGAAGATTTGAAGGTATCGTTTACAGAACGAAACGCGAAAGAGATGAAGCAAAGTGAAGAGTTGAAGAAATTGAGAGAAGAGTTGATGGAAATTCGATCGTTGTCGAAAGAATCAAAAGAAGCGAGGGAGCGAAACGAAGAAGCGCTGAAAGGTTCGAAAGAAGAAATTGAGCGCATATCGCGACTGTACGAAGAGGCGAAAGCAAACGCGAGCGAAGCTGAGAAACAGAAAGGAAGTTTTGACAGGCAGTTGGAAGAACTAAAGGTGGAATACGAGGATAAGATGAGGAAGTTGGAAGAGTTATTATCGTCGTCTGGATCTGTAATCGCCGCTAATAAGGGAGGGGAAGGAGTAGAAGAAGAAGAAGAGGAGGAGGAAGAAGAAGACGCACCCCGCGAAGAAGAGAAGTCCTCTGTCGACGAAACAGCGGATGAGGCCACTGGTGATGACATTTCCACTGATGATGGTGATAATAATATGCGCGGGTTTTATAGTGTTGTTGTTGATGATGATGATGATGATGATGACGACGACGACGACGACGACGATACGCGTGAAAGTGAGCCTTCATCAGCATCGCCCGATGCCAAGGTTGATCGCGACGACGTGGACGAAGAGGAGGAAGAAAAGGTAGGTAATATGGAAGAAAAAGAAGTAGAGAAAGATGATTATGAGGAGGAGGAGGAGGAGAAGGAGAAGAAGAAGAAGAAGAAGAACGACGCCGAGTATGCGCGTAAAGAAAAAGAAGAAGAGAATGCAATAAATGCGAATGGAAGAGAGACAGAGCACGCCGAAAATGATGAATCTAGAGGAGATATTGCTGAGGAAGTCGAAGGCGTCGACAACGATGTCGATAATTTCGAAGTGAAAGAAATCGGAGAGCAAAAAGAATTCAATGAGAATGAAGTTTTGAAAGAAGAAACCGCAGGGAACAATGCGTCCTCGTCCTTTGCAGACTCTGTTCTCGCGACTAAAGATAAAATCGTAGTCGCACTCAAGCCTTTGGAACCTTATCTCGGTAAGTTTTTGAACATTCTCTCTGTTGCGCTTAGCGAAGCCACAAGCAAAGCGTGGAAGTCAAAGGAAGGAGTAAAATTAACGAAAATTCTAGAAAAGTGCGAGGGAAAACTTCAAGAGTTCCTCGAACGATACGTCGATAAGGTTTTCAAGACGAGCTTTGCTCGTGACGAGGTAGTCATACGACAAAGCGTGAGAGTCATTGTTTTCGCGCCGCCGTTTCTGACGACGATTTTTTTTATGAGCTTCTTTTCGAGCTTTCTGGGATTGAATGATTCGAAGAAATCTACCGGGACTGTAAATAACAATAGCAATAAATTCAGTGGCGATACGAATGGTAGAAACGATCAGACAAAGATGGGCACCGCGCCTCCTCCACAACAGTCGATTGGTGTTGGCGGTGGAGGAAGTGCTGGAATGCAACAACAGCGGTACCAGCAAACTCAGAGCGCTTCCGCGATGATTATGAATCCAATGATACCACCGAATGCAGGAGTCGCTGGATCTCTCAGCAATGATATTTCGGCTCAAAGTGTCCCTTTTATTCCCGGATCCACAACTGTTGCAAACAATGGTGGCGGAGGTATGAATGCCGGTAATCATCATCTGGATCGTAATAATTCTGGCGACAGCACCGCTAGTGGTGGGAATGGTATGTCAGGAGGTGGAATGAAGCATGATTTGTCGAGCAACACTTTAATCGGGAGACCCGGCTCAGGCGAACATCCACCGCCAACGATGATGGGAGATTTAGCGACTGCGGGCGTATCATCGAGGGATAACGACGACGCGTATAAGGCTCCGCCGAAGTTGGGTGTGCCGCACGGCGAAATCAATAACACGGCGATTAGTCCGACAGCAGGCTCAATTCCTCCGAGCGCAAACCTTTTCGTACCCTCGCCAGCTACCTCACCTCGCGCGACAGCAATGGGCGGTGGTAGTGGTGGTGGCGTGGACGCAACGACGGCAACGGCAACGAATATGTCATCATCATCTGTTGTACCAATCTTACAGAATCCTCCAATACCGCAACTTGACAGAGCATTAACGCTGACTTCTCCGATGCAAGAGCAGAGATTGAACAACACCGATGGGGACGTGGATGCAGAAATAAAAGGTGGAGAGATTGTGCCTCCTCCACCAATCATTCCCGTTGGCGCGAAGAAAAAGCAAACAAAGCCGCCGGCGTGGGCCAAAAATGCTCGAGGCGCGCAAGTCGGCACTATTCCACCCTCGATCAACGATCCATCAAAGATTGATTCGTCATCGCCGCCGCCGCTGCCGCTACCGCAGCAAGAACAGCAGCAAACATACCAACCGCCATCAACACATCAACACCATCCACCAGGATCAGTAATAACTCCTCAGCAATCTATGTCTGCGCAAACGATTCATCCGCCCCCTGGCGGTGGCAGCACTCGATCTCGTCCACCGCCGGGGGTGCCGATACTGAGGAAGAGCGTTAGTACAGGAAGCAAGGTAAATCCCACATCTAGAGGCCCGCCCCCTGGCGTGAAAGTACTTTCGCGTCCTCCTCCAGGAATTTCGCGTGCGCCTCCTCCTACCCCTCCGCCGTCTGGTTGAGATTATACAAATGAATGTAGTGGCTTGCTGAAAAAATATCAACATTTAGTTTTGTGATATTAAAAAGGCTCTCGTACGGTACTCTTAGTTACAAGCCACAAACGTGACAAAAAAAACAGAACACACACACTCATCACGACCTTCCCTCTCCTATTATTGAGAGAAAGGAAAGACAGAACAGAACTGCAAAAACAGAAAACCCAACGAACGACGCTCTCTCGCTCGCGTTCGAAGACCCAGCAAAGCCGACACCCTTAACCAATCCCTTCAGTGTGGATACGTCGCGTAAACTGGACTTCGACCTCGAGCTACCAGCGGACCTCCCAGGTTTCCTTTCTGCCTCCTGCGCGAAAGTCTCTCCTTTGCCTCCTGACTCGTTTTTGCCCGACAACGACGACGACGTTTTTTTCCCTCCCACCGACGCTCCGATGCCTGAGTTGAACTCTCGCAAACGGACGTTTCGTTCTTTTCGTTCTACTGACGCTAAGACATCTGCGACCTCGGTCGTTGACGATGCAACTCAACCTCCTCCCAACAGTTCTCCTGGTGAACAACAACAACAACAACAACAACGTGTATATAAAAAAGTGAATAAAAGAGTAAATAAAAAAGTGAAACGTGAGAGTTGAGAGAGAGAATTCTCTCCCAAAAATCACGATCTAGAGCACAGACTTAGGAAAAATAAAACTTCTGTCTTTGTAATGAAACAAGTACACCACAAATCATAAAACGACAACAACAAAAGATGATTTTAAGGAGGTGAAGAAGATGAAGAAGACGAAGAAGATGAACTTCTTCGAAAGAGCGGCTTCGGGCGTGAACTCGTTGCTTTTGGACTCGACAATTCGTTCGAGAGCGAGCCGAGAGCTGAGCAACGCAAAAGATAAGTTTTATTCACTCAAACTCCCGTCGTTGTTTTTGAGAACATCATCGAAATCAACAGCAGTAGGCTTTAACGAGAAAGACGACGGTTCCACCTGCGACTTACAAGTCGGCGATGGCAAACCGTATTTGGATTCGCCAGCTTTCTTGCGAACACAGTTGTGGGAGAGTGCGATGAAGAAGTACAGCAGCAAACACGGAGAAGGTGAAGTAAACGGAGAAGAAGATGAATTAGATGAATTAGTAGACGAAAGAGAAGAGAAAAGAGATACAGATGACACGGAGGATTTTGAAACCTTGATTGAGCGAGACTTGCGACGAACGTTTCCCCATCATCCTTCGTTTAAAAGCGCGAAAGGAATCAATAAAATGCGAAGACTTTTGTTGGCGTACAGAGATTATGACCCAAGCGTTGGGTACTGTCAAGGAATGCCTTTTATCGTCGGTATTCTAGCTCTGTACATGAACGAAAGTGACGCGTTCCAAACGTTGCTTTTTATCATGTCGAAATCCACTAGAAACGCGAGGGAGATATACGAAGAGAGCGGAATTGGATTAAAAAGGACATTTTCGAAGCTCGAGAGTCTTTTACAATGTGAAAACAAAAGACTCAGCGCGCATTTACAGAAGTTCAAAGTAGGTCCGATGATGTATGCTTCGGGGTGGATCCTGACTTGTTTTGCGAGTGATTTTACTACGCGATTTTCGTGCCGAGTCATGGACGTGATCATAGCAAATGCGAATATGGATTTCACTTACGGCGATTTTATCACAAACGTAGCTGTATCGATTTTGAACGAGGCGACGGAAGATTTGCTCGCAATTGGAAGCGATGAAGACGGCGAAAAAGGGGAAGAAATAGTTTTCGAGAAACTCGTTGAATACATACGTCACGAGCCTCAACGATGGGACGGAGAGAGATTGAATCGTATCTTAACGCTTGCGATTCACTCGCTTTCGGAGAGAGTGAAAGCGTGCAGAGAGATTGAGCGTGTCACGAATACAATCGTTTGAGTTTTACAATCTAGCCTGACCTGTATAATAGGAATAAGTACGCACTGAATGAAAAAAACATCACTACTACGCATACGTGTTGAGTAATACGCGTTCTCTTTTAACCTCTACTGAGAATATGGAAGAAGTAAGGTACCCACGGCCGTGGTACTTTTGTGAATCACTTCTGTGTCGATTTTGGGCACGTCGAGAGCCTCTGCGCACGCCGTTCTCACTCGTTCAGCAAACACTTTTAAGTTTTCATTTTCCTCTTTGCTCGGTTTCATCGATGGTAGAAACGTAACCTTGAGCGGATTCGTTTTAGCAAGGAACAGATCTGCGAGTGATTCAAAACGCTTCGGATACAGTCTTCGTACGAAATGTGTAGCTTTTTCGCGGCGGTGACCAGCTCGGTTCGAGCTAGAGGAAGAAGAAGAAGAAGAAGAAGAAGAAAAGAGTAAAGTGACAGGCTGCACTTTTTGTCCTTTAGCGAAAAGGTTTTCGTCGAATTCTAACACGTGAGTAAGACTTGCGCGCCCTGCAACTTCGGGGAAGTATATGGTCGGGAGTCGTCCAGAAATCAAAGCCAATAACTTCTTCATTCGGTGAACGTATTGCTGTCGATGCGCAAACGTCTTACCGAAAAAAATCTGATCTGATCCGACGGCATCAAGGATTGTTGCCTCGAGTGCCGTCGTCGACCTCTCATGCAACAGAGTTGGCGGCGCCGCCGAAATGAATAAAGGGATGGATCGTCGCAAGTACTGCACGAAGAAAAGAATCTCAGAAATCCGAGGTGCGTTGGAAACGACAACCAAGGGCGTGCTGTGAGAATGAATGTCGATATTGGCGTCTCTTTCGCACCCTTCGATCGTAATTTCTGAATGACCCAGCGCTTTCAACATAACCTCGCACAGAGAGACGGTAAAATACACGTGCAATCTTTTTGCCTTTTGATAAAGACGGTTCAATCTTTTGTCGTCGCTTCGACGATGTTTCTCCTTGACACCGCCAGTATTTATTTTGGTGTCGCTTAAGAGGACAACTTCTCTCGTTGTCCATAAGAATCTTTCTCGCAAGGCACTATCGACGCTTTCGGCGTTATTGCTGTTGTTGTTGTTGTTGTTGTTGTTGTTGTTGTTGTTGTTGTTGTTGTTGTTGTTGTTGTTGTTGTTATATTTCGGGAAGGATGAGTATCTGTATAGCGTCGTGCGCCTTCGCTCATTCAAGAAACGCACGATAACGGAGTAAGCTCGAGTCGAAACGTACAACGCGGCGAAAGAGAGAAGGAAAACTACCACTCGAAACGCAACAACGAGGAATACCGTCTCGTTTTTTTCCGTGGCGTTCGAGTTATTCTTCCTCCTCCTTTGATTGGATTCGTTTTCATCTCGCGACGAGCGACGCCGATCGTGGTTCTCTTGTTCCTGAGCGTCTAATGTCATTTCCACAACGCACGTGAGAGTGAGAGCGAGAGCGAGAGCGAGAGCGCGTGTGAGTCTATAGAGATACGCTCGCGTATTTTTTTTTCCCTTTCTTTTCCAAGAAAGAGAGAGAGAGAGATTTGGAACACAGAAAATAAAAATCACCTCCTCAATCCTCAATCCTCAATCCTCAATCCTCAAAACGAATACGAATACGCGTACGAATACGAATACGAATACGATGACGGTGATGATATCGCTCACCACTTTTCCGAAGAACAACACTCTGCTCTCGTCCTCGCCGACGAACAGAGAGAGTCGAAGGAATGCGCTACTAAGAAGAACAAGGAGAAGAAGAAGAGTGTTCACCCAATCATCTTCTTCACCGAAAGGCACGGCTTCGTTCACCTCAACAACAAAAGGAGGAAAGAAAGGGAAATCTGGCGCCGCGTTTATGACGCACACAGTTTTTGATTACGAAGCAAAGGAACGCGCAAGATCCGCTTCAAAATGGATAAACAATTGGAAACAAAACTACGGACCTGTTTCGATTGAGCTCATCGGGAAATATATCTTTTCGATTGCTACGGAAGCGTGTATGATTGGATTAGTTTTATTTGCAATGGACGTTGCGTTAACCGCTGTCACTGGTGGTGGCTTTGGGAACGCGACATCGTCCGCGGCGGTGGGAACATCGAAGGCGGCGGTTAAAGCCGCGGCATCGGCGGCGGCGGCGAAAGCCGCGACGATGACAAAAATCCGAAACGTCTTTTTGTTCTTCTTCTTCGCTTTCCTGGCGTTGAGATCGAGAACGTTTTCCATTCTAGACGCGTCTCGACCAAAATTGATAACCGAAATCAAAATGAAAGAGCAAAGAAAACGCCCGGAATGGACGCCTCCAGCGAAAGTGTTCCCGGTAGTTTGGATCTCCATCGCGTTTTTACGTTCGATTTCTTCCATATTAGTCTACGAACAAGTGGGCAAGTTATTTTGCTTCCCAATCATGTGCTTAGTTTTGCACTTATCCATCGGAGACTGGTGGAATTTTGTCACGAACAAAGAGAAAATGTTGGGCGTATCCGCCGTCGGCGTTTTATTCGTCTTGTCGAGCGCGTGGTTTGCTATATACCAATATTACTCGGTTTTACCAACCGCTGGTTTCGTTTTAATGCCGCTAGGTATTTGGCTCAGCATAGCGACCGCGCTGGTCTGGTCGATTTGGGATATCAACAAACCGCGCATGCGATTATGGCCGACAAAAACGCTTTAAGTAGAATCCAATCGGTTGATTCAAACACAAATCATATCTAATCGTATCGATCAAATCGACGAACGAGCTATAAAAAAATATCAACCGCGGCGGCTAAATCCTTCGCTACGTATAACGGAAAGCATTCCTCGGGAAATGCATCCAAACTTGATTCCTTGTTAACATCATTTCTCTCACTCTCTACGTAATAGTAAAAAACACCATCATCGATGAGCTCTTCATTTTCTTCCGCTAGCTCGCTCCAAACTCTTGAGCCGTAACCTGTGCCCACTAAAACTCTCGTTATCGAGCGCCCACTTTCGATTTCCGCTCTCCCAGCTGCCATCATATCCGTCATAGAATCCCCGACGAAAATCACGCCATCTTTCCCCGGTGTATAAGGCGGGAACATTTGCAGAGCTTCGAGAACCATCCCGGGCGCCGGCTTTCTGCGATTATTGCCTTCAACTGGTGATGTCTCGTATAAAATCGCATCAAAGAAGGCATCTGCGCCACCATCGCGAGAAAGTTCCTCGGTCATTCTTTTGTGAATGACATCTGTTAAATACTCCTCCGTTATTATCTCTTTTCCCACGCACGTTTGATTTGTGATCAAACAAACAACTTTGCGCAATGTAGCATTTGTTTTTACTTGTTGATTCATCAACATTCTGTCTCCTTCGAATCGACCATAAACTCTCTTTCGCGAGAGGTAAAAACTTGAATCTGTCCACGTCAATTACCCCGGGCGACCCGACGTCCTCGTTAATCACGCCGTCTCTATCTAAAAGCCACAAATACATCCCGCCTTTCCCTTTTTCTTCCTCTTCATTCGCGTTTCTTTTTTCTAACCTCATCGCGAGCGGCATTTGTCTTCTTCTTCTTCTTCTTCTTCTTCTCTTGACTAATCTCATCGTTACCAACCTCGTCTCCAATCCGGTCTGTGTTTTCATCTTTATCTTCGCAAACACGCCGTATTGCGGTTATTCAAACTCACGCACGTTTGGTCCTCATCATTCTTCTTCTTCTTCTTCTTCTTCTTCTTCTTCTGGTGTACTGAAGCAATCGTCGAAATGTGAAAAATTCCCCTAAATTTTTATTTAAATATATTTCTTCTGTAGATGATGTAGATGATATAGTATACTATTGCAGTTATATACGACGACGGACCCGAGTAGTCCATCATCCATCAGTCTCATGCGTGTTGTTATATTTGCTTTCCACCAGATTGGGTTTCTTTTAAGGAGGAATAACCCTAAATTTTCATTTGATATATTTCTTAAATACAACCCAATTTGCAATCCCCTAATCCGGAACTCCCCTAAATTTTCGCTTGAGCATGAGAAAAAAAGAACAATCTAAAATCCACTTATATCGCGAATGTACGAATTGAAAACTCGTACGTAGACAAGTAATCATGTTTTGCATGCCTCCATGGTGTCAAATTGGGTTAATTCAGGGTTTAGGGTTCAGGGTTTAGGGTTCAGGGTTTAGGGTTTAGGGTTTAGGGTTTAGGGTTTAGGGTTTAGGGTTTAGGGTTTAGGGTTTAGGGTTTAGGGTTTAGGGTTTAGGGTTTAGGGTTTAGGGTTTAGGGTTTAGGGTTTAGGGTTTAGGGTTTAGGGTTTAGGGTTTAGGGTTTAGGGTTTTAGGGTTTAGGGTTTAGGGTTTAGGGTTTAGGGTTTAGGGTTTAGGGTTTAGGGTTCGAGCCGTCGTATAAACGGGAACCCGTCTATT